TCTCTCTCTCTCTCTCTGTGTCTCTCTCTCTCTCTCTCTCTCTCTCTCTCTCTCTCTCGCTCTCTCTGTCTCTCTCTCGCGCGCGCTGGATGCCAACCCGAGAAAACCCAACAATTTGGCCCATTTCACTGGCGCCAGTGAAGTTGGCCCTGTACGACGTGCGCGCGCCAGTAAATGGGAAAACCGTAGCACGTCACGTCGAACGGCGGAAGCCGCGAAAAAAAAATCAAAATCACACACCCGCCCAGAACACACCGAGAGAGTTCCCGAGAAACCGTTGATGGGCCTTTACCCCCTTTGTGGTCACTGTCCACGACAGCCTTTCTTAAATTTTTTGTTGGATTTTGGTGTATGAGCCGTGCTGGGTCGAATGTGGTCTTTTTTCTACAGTAGCAGGGGGCCGCGTTTTTGTGAAGCTTTGGCGGCTAAATCAAGTCCATGAGAATGGGAAGAACTCATGCTATCTCATCTCCCCTGTCTCTCCCCTGTCTCTCCCCTGTCTCTCACCTGTCTCTCCCCTGTCTCTCAAGTTACATACCTTTCTTTGTCTAGAGTTCCTGGGAAACTGGAACTGGAACTAGAACTGGAACTGACACACGCGGTTCTAAGTCTTTTGACAAAACAACAAACTAACTGCCACTGATTTGCAACTTATATCGGCCAACGTTCCCTACACACTGTATCTTTCGCCTTATATACACAGATATATATATACATAACATATGCGGTGGTTGTTGAGTGCGTTGGAAGCTGGCAGTCGCGCGCTCCTTGGCCTTGACAGAAATGGGTTGGGTTGTTGTGGTGGTGGAGGGTTGTTGGAAATGTTGGATTTGTGAGGGAGTTGAGCGGGAGATGGGATTTCGTGGCAAGCGATGGGGGGTTGTGTTGGGAGAACTCGGAGGGTAGAATACGTAGAATGGCAATAAGCACAGTTGACCAATTGAGAGCATCAGCGATCAATTGTGAATACGTAGAATGGCAATGAGAGCATCAGCGATCAATTGAGAGCGTTTGTGATCAGTTGTGAATAAGCAGAGAACTCGTAGTGTTTTTGACCAATTGAGAGCGTTTGTGATCAGTTGTGAATAAGCAGAGAACTCGTAGTGTTTTTGACCAATTGAGAGTACTTGGAGCACTGTTGAACAATTCAGAGCGTCAGCGAAGTTCTCTTGGTGTTACTAAACATGAGAGAGCGTTAGCTCTCAATTGTGAATAACTAACAGTACTCAGACTCTAGCGCTCTCAATTGTGAATAACTTAGAGTACTCAGACTCTAGCGCTCTTAATTGTGAATAAAGAGAGAACTTTTGGCATTACTTACCAATTGAGAACTCCTAACACGACTGAATAAGTAGAGAGCTCTCGATATGACGCTTTCGATTGTGAATAAGTAGAAGACTACAAACGCTTTATAACAATTTAGAGCGCTAGCGATCGATTGTGGATTATTATGATGGTTGCAAGCACTTTAGAGCAGTTGACAGCGTCAGTAATCAATTTTGAATTAAAAGGATCTCAAAGAACGTAAAAACTCGAAAAACTGCAGAACAATTGAGAGTGTCAGCGGTCAACTGTGAAGTTTTTCTGTGTCAACGGTCAATTGTGAATGGAAAGAGGGCCCATTGTATGATTAAACAATCGTGAGCCTCAATGAGCAATTTGGAATCTGTATAATGACTTGAAGCTCCCTTCGACAATTGTGAGCGTTAACGGCCCAGTAGCTCAAGTACCAGCACCATCGCGAGTACGAGCACAATTGTGTTGAAAGATGGTTAACGCTAGAAGCCTAGTGTTTTGTTGAACAGTTCAGAACTTGTGGTATTATTGCACAATTTGCAGTCTCCGAGCACTACCCCACAATTAAAAGCTCTAGAGAGTAAGTCAATTGGGCCTGAAAACCCTGAATTTGATGGCTACAAGCGCAACAAAGTGACCACCCGTGTAAAACATGGTTCAATAACCCTCTCTCGCTCTTGATTGTGGATGGAAAGAGAATTACTAGTATCTAAGCCACCCTACTGCTCTCAGCTGTGTTATTGTGCCCCGTACAACCCTCTCACTGTCTGCTGACGCTCAATTGCTCAACTCTGCTTTCCCTTCTCACGTCTCTTGTCGGAATTGACCGTTCTAGCTCACTTCTTGGCATGAGTACGAGTACATCCTTGACATAAACTTTTCACGGTGCTAACTGGCTGAGCCATAAGCACACTCGAGCCTCAGCGATGGATTGTGTAGGGTCTGTTGCGAGCGATAAAGATGTGGCATTCAGCATGGATAAACGCTTATATTATTTCAGCTGCCATCGTGTTTGAACGAAAGTCGCACATGAACGTACCATTTCATCTCCCACAATCAACATCACACTCATGCCATTGCTAACGCTGTCAACTTCAATTTAAAGTCCGTTCTTTTGGTTTTAGCGCAATCGCCTGAACCGAAGGATGTAGTAAACACCGCAATTACCTGGCTTAACGTCAAACTCTTGACAATTATCGATGTAGCGAGGTCTTTTGTCATTCAGGCTCGCGGAAAATCTCTTTTAAATTACGAATACAAGTCAAAGGCTCAGGAGTCCAACCGCTCAGAGGCTCAGTGCCAAACACACCAACTACCACCGCACCTCAGCTCTTAAATTTCTTGGTTTCCCCACGCGATTCGGCGTCCCACAACTGTCTCCGCACCGCCAGCGGCACATTTTCGTAGAATTCCAGCGCCATGCCAGCCTCTACCCCGTCTTTCAGTGCACCACTGTCACCCTCCACGTCAAGATCGTCTGCCGCGCCCGAGTTACTGTAAACCGCGTTGCGCAAGTCACTCACCCCAGTATATTGTGTTTCACCCCCGCAGTAGTCCTCCACTGGCTCCGATTCCTCGCTGCTGTCGTCTTCCACATAGTACAGGTCCATGCACCGCGTGATCGCTGCGTTGCAGTTCGACACCATCCTATCGCCACGATTCAGCCCGAACTCCCCGAACGTAAATAGCATTTCCAGCTCGTCGTTATAAACACGGTCAAATTCGCCGTATTGCGGTCTCAGTACCAGCTCCACGGTTGACATCGGATACTCCGGCCCCAGCGCTGCCATTCCTTCTCCAGGTGGGAAGAGCTGATCTAGTGTCGCATCCCGTTGAATCGTCAGCACAATTTCAACACTCGCACCCGTATGCAAACTCTCGTCCTCGATCAAACGGGTTCCGTGGTACACCACGTTTTGGTACGGAATCTGTAATCCAATTTCTTGCGAGTTTATCCACACCACCATGCATGTACTCAGGACAAAGAAATCTGCCACTTCGACGCAACTGCGTTCCAATGGCTCGCCCGGAGGCGGTATAAGACCAACCAGCAATTCTCTGCCGCCACCATACAAGATAGGCAATTCGTTTTGTTGGTCCAGGGCTACGCCTTTCATTCTCGGCTGTGTTTGTTGGTATAGCGAAATTGGAGTCACATTTTCCACCGTAGGCTTCGTTCTCTCCAGTTGGCACATCAGGTTGTTCTCACCATTTTTGAGCATCACTTTTGATTAGAGTTTTGGATTTCTGTCATTGGCGATGAGTTTACTTGGTTTTTGCAGGTTGTCCAATTTTTCATCACGTTGAAGATAGCCAGCCTAATAGACGCCAAGTTGACGAGGCCACGACGAATAAGTCTGTCAGTTAAGCTCAGTGATAAAACGGTTGTGGTGTAGATGTGTAGGTGTGCGATTGTGTGTGTGTATATAGCTAGTGCTGAGAATATTTAAAGACACCGTCATTCCAGTCTTTGTCGCTCACTGTGTTATTTTTTGTTCATTCTATCACAGCTCAGAGGCAGAGTTAATGTAGATGATGTCGACTGCCTGTTCAAAGCCATTAAACTGCGTTGCGGCAGAGGACGTGTAAGCACCAAGAACTGGGAAGTACAGCCAGTCTCCCACAACCAAATCGTGCTTGAAGTAATATTCTTTGGTAATGCAGTCTAAGCCGTCGCAAGTAGGACCCCAAATAGACGCTTTAATTTGACAGGAAGGGCTCTTCTTGGGCGAGGTCGCCTTGTCGTCCAAATAGTGGAACCGCTGATCGTGGTATAGGACTCTGGGAAGGGGCTCCTGGTGATCGAATAGAATGCAGTTCATGTTGCCGTAAACACCGTCGTTGATGTACAACATGGACTCCCGGTCGTTATGGGCTCTCTTGGCAATGACATGGCACGCCAGCGTGAAGGGTGATGCAGCGAAAAAACGGCCAGGCTCGGCAATGATAGTGACGGCCTCCTCTCCGTCACGAGGAGGGAAAAACTCTTCGAGTGCCACGTTCAATGCGTAGCTGGACTCGCCAAACGTTTCAAGTTGGAACCCTCCACCAATGTCCAAGATACGAACGTTCTGAAGCCCGAACCGGCCACTGGCGCGATCGAATACCTCACGTGCGTCCCGAACAGCTTTGTAAAAAGTGCTGAAGTCTGATGCGCCAGATCCAATGTGGAACGACACACCAACCATGTTGAGGCCCAGTTCCTTTACTTTCGCCAGAAGCTGGTCCACGTTTTCCATTGCGCACCCGTACTTCGTTGACAGTCTGCATTTGGCGGTAGAGTCATCTGTGGCGATCCGTAGAAGCAGTTCCGAGTCTGGGTGGTATTTCTTGATCTTGGCCAATTCCTCGACGTTATCGAATGTGGACTTCCGCACTTGCTTGTCTTTGGCGAAACGGATGAAAGACGACGCTTTGCATGGATTGGCGTAGATGATTCGCGACGGACAAACTCCAAGCTCAAGCACCATCTCGATCTCGGATTTCGAAGCGCAATCGAAGTTGACGCCCATCTGCGCCAGCAACTGCAGCACTTTAGGGTTGGGATTGGATTTCACCGCGTAGAATGGGTGCACGCGAGGCAATTTTGCACGCCAATATGCGTGCAGCCGTTGCACTTCACCCAGATCGCACACGAAAAATGAGTTTTCATCGCCTGCCTCGCACACCTCTTGGTTTACGCTGTTAACACGTTCCTGTAGAGCATGGAAGGTCTGCGCATGTGCCTTTTCGTCACCTAGGCTTGAAAGTTTACCTGAGGGAGTCCCGACCTCACCAGTAGACACAAGAGACGTTACTGTCGCAGCATCAAAGTCTCTGACTTCTTTTCCATTGGCTCCAGTTACACTGGTCAGAACCCTAACATTTTCTACTGAGGCCATCTCAGTTTCAGAAGCGTACTAAAAATCTGTTGAAGCCAGTTGAATCTGAATAAACTGACTCTCTTTTATAGCAAAGTGTAGCAGGTTTTGTCACTTGTCTAGTAGATGAGATATGATCATCGATGATCTTACTGTATATTTTTTTCCACTGTCATAAATTGCGAAGACGTCCCCAGGTAATACGTAAGAAGTATCTTGAACAATGGCATATTCATGAGGAACAAGGCTAAAACATAGTTTTAATACCGAGCTGTCGGCAAAAGCCTCGAATAGCAGAGATCATAGAGCTCAATTGGTCCCGGTTGTAGAATTCATCAAAATTATGAGACCTCTTCTAGATCACTGAGAAGTAAACATTGGTCACGTGACATAGTGAATTACAGGTTGTTTTGCTGTGTTGCAGGCCCTGGTGTCAGCTATGATAATGAAGACTCACTAGATGGTGCTTTGAGTTATGCTCTGATTGTGGTTATCACAAGTTCTTTGGCCCGGAATGAACCAAAAACCTCGTAATAAGATAGCGACACACGAAGACACTTTTGTAGCCAGGACCGACGGTGAGCATTTTTATGCGTACCAACATTCGTTGGCAATTGCTAAACCATTGACAGCTCTCTCGACACGCAATAAAACCATACTATTTCGAGTAATTGGACTGTTTGCTGGAAATCTGTCACTCTGTCATTTTGTACTATCGTGTCACTCCCTTAGCGACACCCGTCCGCAGCTGTGAGTAGGGCTTCACAATCGTGAGCGTCACATCAGAGCTTTTGAAAATGTCATGAAAGGAGTGTGTTTTTCGTATATTGTTCTCCGCCATGATTCCTTTGGTCTACCATCAGTCAAATTTCAATTTTTATGTTTTAATCGAGTGTGTGTAAATTGGTGACAGCATGATCCCTGTATAAGAACATAAATAAAAAACAGGTTTTGCAGGACCTCTGCCGTGAACAACCAACACGTTGCCCGCTAAGCTCCTCAATCAATAGCCTCCACACTTCACCATTCAAATATTAAAACCTATTTTTCTAAATAACAACTGTATATAAGGACATCGACACTTCTCGCTACCGGCGCGAGGTTTATCGATGAACATGCCAGTCTTTGGTCTCGACAATGCTATTACAAAACAAACAGCCGAGACCTCTGCTTACATTTCCATCAGGGCTAATTCGGGTAAGCACTCCATTTGCTTTCATGATTGCAAGCTCGCCCTTGGAGGGAATTTTGCGGCAAGATTCGTTCAGGCATCTTGTTTGCGTCTTTTTGTAGCGAAGACCACAAGAGTTGCATAACTGATCTTGTTTTTTATTTGTCCATGATGGCCTCCAACACGGCGAATCCGTTGCAAGGCAGGAAATACAGGTTCGGGCAGATGAGCGTTTCGGCGACGACATTTTCCTAGTTGCAGCGACAGGCGTCTCGGTGATGGGAGTGCGAGTGACTTCAGCATCAGTATCAGCATCAGCATCAGCACCAGCGGGAAAGGAAATTGTAGATATGCTTGTGTTTGGCGTGTGCGGTCCATTTATCATGAGAGTTTGCGTTCTTGGCGGAGTCCTGCTGCGGACGGGCGTTAATTCGGCCCGCAGGACTTCCTGACCATGAACGAAATCCCTGGGAGAACTTTTGGTTAGGCTTTTGGGTGACGTTAAGCCACCAAGCTTGATCACGAATTGCTGTGGCGAAGAGGGCACACTGCGCGTCCTGCTTCGTCTTGCTTTGGCAACTTTACCTTTAGAATCGATGGATAAAATATCTCTGTCGTTCAGCAACTTTTTCATCTCTCGAGCCTTGAAGCTATTGGTTTTCTTGTGCGCTTTAGTTCTTCTCTCTTTGACCGTCTGTACTAGTTTGTCACTTACTGCAGGTGTGAATACGGGAGAGTTTTTGGAAGTTGCACAAGCGCTGCGAGGACTCATAGGTGGTGTTACGACTTCCCATCGTGGTGTCGCATTTGATAATCCAAGGAATTCGTCTGGTGGACTCAATATCGAGGGCACATTTCGAGATAAAGATGCAACGTTTGCAAGCATATTGAGACCAGAAGCATTGGGCGCGCATTCGCGAAGCTCTTTGTTGATTTGAACATAATCGTGGTAATTTTGCCTTTTACACCAATTGATCAAGCTTTCTCGCCATAATGGAGTCTTCTCAGATGTGTCAGGATAGCGATAGGCGTGTTCTTGAATATTAGGATTAGGCAATAAGTGCAAGTGTTTGAGCGAAGGAAGAGGACCACAGTTGTAGGTTTGAGAGATATTTGGAAAATCGTCGCTATCAGATTCGCTGCGATTTCTTTGATTCAAAGATGCCAAGGTCAAAGACGATGCACTGTAAAATGATTCTTTTGGAATAGAAGAGGATGTGGGTGGATTGTAGTGCTGACTGCCGGTAAGTTGCTGCGAATTCGATACAGGATGGCTGGCAGCGCTAATGCTCGAGGGAGATGGAGCTATGGGAGCATAATTGATGCTGGCTTTGAGTGATAGCGGCGACGCTTTGGGCGTCAAATGGTCGACACCCACGGGGGACGCGGGCGCGGTGCGTGCCCTTTTGTTCTGAGGGAGAGGGTCAATGACGGCGCGCTGGAGAAGGTAGGTGCTGTCGTGGTAGAGACAATGTGGGGTTTCGAACGGCAAAGAGGGCAAAAGAAGGTCGTCGAATGACCGTTTCCGACGAGCTGGTGGTGAGCGCTGATGAGTTTCGGCGCCTACAGAAATAATTGGGGCGAGAGTAGAAGCGCTCAAATAGCGCGAATAAGTCGACATCAAAAGGAGTGTGAGCAGTATTCTTACCACAAGCGAAGGCGATGAGGAACGGAAAATGGGCAGAATATTGCAAGCGCCAGAGAGAGAAGCGCACCTGGAGGCTATGATTACAACGAAGGAATGGTGAGTGAGTGGGTGTGAGAACGTCTGGCGTTCAAGGTCTGGTCAAAAGCACAAACACGCAAAACAACACAGATAATATGATCTCACTGCGGGCCAAGCATCTGGGGCGGCCACACCCTCAGGCTTCAGACCCCGTTGTATTTTATATCATCAGCCCTGGATCGAGGCACAGGTCACCACAAGAGGCACCCGGTAGAAACCTGTGTGCGCGCCCTGAGCCCAACTCCAGAAATTTACCAAAACACCACTTTCCTAAACCAGCTTGTGATGCTGAGGGGAACGCTGCTACGAACGCTCGAGTCCGTACAGAAAACGACGCTGGGAAAACTACGCTACATTACGTTCCATAAGTAAGATCTGTCTACAAACACATATGATATCTATTCTTGGTAGCTGGCATCGTAATTACCACGCTAGAATTGAGCGTGGAAGACTGCTTGTTATTTGGGTCGGCGGGTTCTGTTAAATCATAGCCATTCTTCTGTATGGGTATTGTATATTGATGAATATATAGTAAATTGAAAAGGCTGGGCAGTTTTTACACCTCGTAGATAGTGACACATATCCATAATTACGTATGAATAGAGAATCAATCGACTAAAAAGTCCGAGACAACACGTATACGTGATGTGTAAGGATCGAAGTCAAAATTCAGGATCAAGCAGTAGAGATTTTAGGAAATGCTGTGATCGTGCTTCGTTTTCCGCTTGGATTTTTTTGTTTTGACGGGTTTTCTCAGCTCGAGTTAACAATAATATGGAAATATTGACCTATTGAAAAAAGTTGGCGATGATGATGATAAAACACATATTTCTTAACTAAACACCTGAGCTCAGGCTGTACCACTAAGGCTTATTCTACCTACAATGAACAGCCAGTCGCAGACGGTAGACACATTCATCAAAAAAGTGTTTGCGTTTCTGGACGAGAAGGACTCGCAACAGCTTGCACCCTTTCTGCAGTGCTTTGAACCTACCAGCAGCAAGATCATTGTGAATGCGAACCCTTTTGCGCAGCCAGCGGTGTTTCTGGAGACCTGGCAGCGTGCTGTAGTGCAAACGCAGCATGTTTTGACGGGGCTGGACTACCATGTCATTCCTGGCACCGGCACCACGGTGTGCAGTGTGAACGGCAAAGTACGATTCGACGAAAGTGGACGCGACAAACAAGGCCAGGACGCAACGGCACCTGAACTCGGGGCCGTGGCTGGCGCAGGAGCGGGTCCCAGAGCACCCGCGGCCAAACCACGCCCGCTGTGGGGTCCATATTTCGGGTTGTCGTTACAGATCATTTTGGACGACAGAGTGCTTAACGGCGACCACAACTGCGTGATATACAGTTTCAACTACACCATGGTGTACAAGCCGGACGACTCGCTGATGTCTGTGTGAGGGCTTGCTGAGAGCGAGCTGAGATTTCAAGAAAAAAAAGCTCGAGAAGCGACGCGTTTGCATCGCAAGTAGGCATGTCCGGGTGTGGTATGATTTGATAAAGAGCACGATCCATACTGAACGCGGGACGCGCAGCGCTGGTGTGGCTGAAGCTGCCACTATAGTCACCAGTGCTGTAAGGCATCACAATACGCTTAACACACGAGGAAAAGTTTCACGAAGCCCTTGGAGAGCATAAATGCTCGTATGGCATATAATATCAAGGATCTTGCGTGTGTGTGTCTTCTGCGAGACTGAGATCACGAGAATGCATATGTGCTGAGCAAAGTGGGGCCGCAAATGTTTCACGACGCCCTAGGGAGCCATCCAGACCACTCAAAATATTACACAAAGTGGCTCAAGGCTAGCACAGACAATTGGTCTATATACGTAAAGTCATTTGCCTCTAAACCCATTCGTACTCGTTAGTAGCACATACTCATTATACCGCCCATCTCATTTCTGTCATTTCATATCACTTTATACTAACGTGTCATCGCTTCAACTACGTTGTTCCCTGTAAAAGCACATCATTGTTCGTCACTTGAACCAGAAATATATCTCAAACCCAACAGGATGAGCCAAAACAGTCATTTAGCTGGTCAATTGTGGGCATATTGACATCTGAGAGCATATAGAATCAAAAGATAGAAGTTGTTCGGTGAAAACGCCCTGTGAATCCAACACGCGAAGCTTTCCCCATCGTCTGTGAACTGTGAAGATACGAGCGGTAGCGATAGAAGATGCTATCCATTTCATCACACGCGAGTCCCGAAAACAGTTTTGCATGCTTCTCTACAGTTCATAACTCGCCTTCAGACGCGGATTGGAACTTAGCCGCCAAGGTCAAATTTGAGGAACAGTGGTATACATGCGCTCCGCAATCGAACATCATGAATTTCGCTACTGTTATTTTTGGCGCTGCTGTGCTCTCACGGGAGATCTGAGGATAATGGCAGATATTATTTTTGACATTGTTGTGTCGGAGCACTCTGGAAGGACTTTGATGTTTCATTTACAACTACGAGAAATCTTACAAAGAAAATTTGGCAATTGGCTCGACCAAGGACCCGGCTCCCTCACCTGATAGTCCAGTGCAATGGAAACGGTGCTAGAGTGAACAAATCGAAACCGAGAATCAGCTGGCAATACAAAAATCAAAAAAAAAGGGACGAAAATCAAGGATAGTGCCACTCACGAAGATGACGGCCTTGTCTTCAAAGAGCTATCCAACAAGCAGCGGTCCTGACAACAAAACGGTTAGCTTCGACAAGCAGAAAAACATGCCACAATGCGATATTGGGAACTTTCTTACAAACACACCCACACACACACACACTCTCTCTCTCTCTCTCTCTCTCTCTCTCTCTTCAGACACACAGCACAGCGGCAGACGCTCGTGCATGCGTGAACAGTTGTCCAACAGATGTAAAGGCCGAACGAAGTGCACCTCGGCGGTCCAGACAAACTCGTACGTCACAACACCACCATCGCACTCAAGAAGCTTTTCGAGCTCATCTCGAGACTAAAAACCTATCCTACACCATAGCTCCTAGAAACAGAGTTGTTGGGAACTGTGAACCTTGAAGACGAACTCGAACCGTCTCATGCTGCTCGTTTAGAGCATTCTGTTGACCTTACTACTACAATTAACACCACGCGAGTACTGTGACGAGTACTTCTGCAAGAATATCTGCAAGTACAGCTGCAAATGCCTCTGCGAGTACCCTGCCCTGCGCTGGTGCCGCACAGACACACTATCATGCTAATGGCGTTGACATTGTCAACGGAAAACTTGCAAGCTCTGTTGTTATTCCGCGGCCGTCGTCCTGTCCTCTCCTTGAGAAAAGGCAGCGAACCTTTCTGCCAAAGGCGGACGGCAGCCAGGAAACCCCGAAGTCTTCGGGCGCATATCATCATATTATGCATTTGCGACGATTTCACTTGAGGCCCAAGGATGAGGAAAGCTACGGCATCTCTTTGTTGGGGAAACTTTTCGCTTTGGCGAAACTCAGTCACAGCACAGAAGCCGGTGAAACTTGGAGTTCAAGTCATCATCCGTGTGGATTTCTCGACGTTTGGGTTTGGTCGAAAATGGTATAAAAGGAGGGCCTTACAGGCGTGTGGGTTGATTGTTTCCCATCGAGGTTTGGCGAGGATCGTTCAAGAACTACAGGCATTAGACATTCAACTTATACTGAGCTTCTTTTGGGATGTTGACTAATTTAAATCAGCTTCCTCTGCTGGCAGTAGCAGCGCTGTTTGTGTTCACTACGTTTATCCTCACCATCGTTGCCACGGCTGGCTCGACGTCTAATTACTCGCCCATCAACAATGTGTACCTAGGCGAAGCAGACATCTCGCGCATCAATGTGACCAAAGTCATCCCCGAGACCGCTTCTCTGCTCTCGGTTGTCGTTGGCCTATTCAACAGCACTTCCAGCAACTCTTCCGAAAGCGCCAACTCAGCGGAGATTTTCGACGCCTTGAGATCTGTGTCCCACACATCCGCCCTCAAACCAATGCTTGAGCTTTTTGCAGAGTCCAACAATGTTTCCGAAACGGTGTCAGCTCTGGGTCTGGTTGCCCCCGTGCTAGCTTCAGCTTCCGCGTCTTCAGGCTCCTCCCAACTGCTAACGCTCGTAGGTCAATTGATCCAAGACTCTAAAAGTCCCTCTGAAACGGTAGAGGGAATGGGTCAAGTGCTGCAGTCGTCCAACAGCACCGACTCGACCAGTCAGCGGGCCGTATTCGCGCTCTTGTCCGATTCCAACAACGCCACGGCCTCCGTGGACTCTCTCGTGGTCCTACAGAACCAGTCGTCCGCTGAACGCGCCCAACTCACCCCGGTTTTAACCTTATTCCAACAGTCATCTAACGCAACTGCAACCTTGGGTGCTCTCAGCACTTTGATGACTGCGAATGTTTCCAATGAAATGTCAGCCTCTCTTCTCAACGCTCTTCGCGCCGGCAGTTCCAACCCTCAGGCAGCTCTAAATCAGGTCCTCAACTCTGTCCCAGACTCGGTGCGCCCTGCTGTCTTGGCAGTGGGAACATTGCTCAACAACACCCGCGACTCGACGCAAACATTGACAACTCTTGAGGGATTGTTGCAAGCCAACGTCACCACTTCGCCTAATGCACGCAGGTCGTTTGGCGCACTCACGACGTTGGTGTCAAACTCAAACAATCAGACCCTAGTTTTGACTTCTGTTGCAACCTTGGCAAACTCCACCAGCTCCGCCAGTACAGCCCAGCTTCTCGGCCTTCAAGATATTTTGGACTCTTCCACCAACTCTACGAAAGCCCTAAGCGTTTTGCAACAACTACAATCTTCGAATTCCACATCGAGCTCGCAAAGCCTAACGCCAATTTTTGGTTTGATCGGTGACTCCAAAAACTCGACCGCTACGATTGAGTCTATTATGGGACTCACGCAAGCTTTCCAAGCAAACAGCACCGCGTTTCAACCTTTGCTCAAGATTTTAAGTCAAACCGAACTGGGAAGCACCGAAATTACACAGGACACTCTAAACAACGTGATGCCTATAGTGCTGGACAACTTGGGCGTCGACTCACGCTACCGCTTGGCTATTTTCACTCTATGCAGCGGCTTGAGCAACGGGAACATTCAGCAGTGTAGCTCCCCACACGCCGTACAGTCCTTTGTCCTTCGCGACATCCTGTATGATCAGTTGGAGAACTCCGATTTCCAGCCCTATATGCAAGCTCTTGACGTGCAGAAGAACGACATGTACTTGGAAGGAAAACTTCAAAATAAACAAGACTCCTACGTGCCAGCTTTGCGGGCGGTTTTGGCCTTCAACCTCTTAACAATCATCTTGGCCTTTCTCCTGCTAGTTTTGATTGTGTGCATCATGCTCAGCAGCTCCATGACTGACAAATTGAGGTTCTGGCTAGTTCTAAGCGCCCGCGTTTTGGCCTTCTTGGTGACCCTCTTTGTCTTGCTCTCTGCTGCCATTGTCGCCGCATTCGTCTCGATCATCAAGCGTGACACCAAAGCTGACGATTATAACGTTACATTTGCTACTGGTTCTGCTTACGCGGGTTTGATCTGGACCAGTTTCGTTCTCGCACTCATCACGTTCGTTGCGCTGTTCTTTGTGAGATCGAACAGAAGAGCTGGCGCGTTAACATCAGAGGAAGTCGGGTCGGCTGACGCTACAGTTTCCTCCAGCGAAAAGAGGAATGGCACTGTAGCCCACCACAGCGACGAGGACGCTGTCGCGCAAGTTGCTTGAAAAAGTTCATGAGTATTTTCCCTTACTCTCATAATTTTTGTTGTTTTTTGATTCTGGGTCCAAGCTGATAGTTCGGGCCCAAGAACGTTGTATAATTTGAATATATGCTTAATTATGAACCCCCGGTAGTGGGGTTTTGCCAATTGATTTGTCTGATGGACAAGAATTGCTTGAAAAGACACGAACCTTCTTATGTGGGAAGGAACCAATTCCAAAGAGTGCTTGCTAGCTGTATCTTGCAACATGAATAAAACTGCGAAAATGACTAGCGGGATAAGCAAAAAATTGAAGAAGAGCCTTTCTTCTTAGACTAGAGGTTTTTCCTCAATCGGACGAACGTATGCGTAACGCTTTGATCTCACCACAGATAAAAACAACAGATTTAAGAGAGCAGCAGCGACACTGGCCCACACTAGGGCGTAGAAGTTCAATCCCAAGCTCATCTTGATCCCGTAAGTGTCGTAGGTGGACGCCAAGGCTTTTTTGATGTAAACGTACGTTCCTGTGCTTGTGCCAGCCGAGATGATTAGACTGAGGAAAGCGATGAGGGATAAGAACCGACAAACCCACGTCACGAATGCGAAGTGCAAGACCCATCGTAGTACGTTGGCGATGAAATTGACGCCACTAGCGACGATCCCAATAATCAGCGTGATGAAACTGCATTTGACCAGGTTGTTGTAGTAGGTGAGATTATTTTGCAGTTTGTCGGGGAGGGCGACTTGGGCGACGCTGGTGATCAGCTGGGCAGCCTGGTTGTTGTCGATATTGTCATAAATGACTTCTTGGAGGTTAAATTGCTGGATTCCCGAGGGAGACGTGCAGCTGGTGATTGTTTTGGACGAATTGCCCACACAATACGACCACAGGCCGACGTTAATGTAGGAGGGAAGTCCCAGATCGTCGAGCGAGGAAAGTGACGACGAGAGATCAGAAAGCACCTCTGAAACTTTGAGATTTGTGAAGTCCAGCTGGGCTTGAAAGATCTGATTTATCGGATTGTAGTTTTTCGTGGATCCTGCACAGGCCACACAAGCCAGGATCACAGCTGCGAACGATAGAAATGCTGCGCTGAAAAGCGTCATACAATTGACCATGCTGGAGGGTTGGATCTTTAACTTTTTTCACAAGAATTGAAAGGCTCGAAACCTGGGAAGACTAGGTGATTGAGCTGGGTGTGAGAAGTAGCAGTGACTACGGGAATCTACCAACTTTAAATATATATATATATATATATATTTTTTAACAATGGAAAGTGTTCCAATAGATTGAGTTGTGAGAGCTGTTAAAGAATGCTACTACTGACACCAATAGAAAACGGAGCTCCCACTAGGTAGAAAAGCCTCGGGTCAGTCATTTCGGCAACAGACAATTGTGAGATCATACATGGCAAACTGCCCCGTTATCCTGCTTCCGGGGCTTAAAATAGGCTGTCACTTGAAGAACTGCAGGGCTAGCGAAGAATTGAGCATCAATTTGCTGTTACTGGAGAAGCTTAAATCAAATTACTACTAATTTGGGTTGTTTGAGATCAGAAAACCAGCCTCATAGGGCTACCCGATTATTGGCTTCTTTGAACCAGCCTCTTCACTTGATACTGGTGTCTGTCGCCTTTAAATTTGACCAGCCTCTTTTTTTATGGTGGGCGATGTGAGAAATGACGAGAGGATGACGGTGTTGAGCCTGACCAGAGATAGTTTCTCCGGAGATCTGGTGAAGTTCGAGCGTAGAATGGGAGTAATAATGCCAAGGAAGTCAGAGAAAGTTGTGGTATCGGGAGATCTGTCGAAAGATCTGGGAGAAGCTTACGGATGGTCAGTGTAGATCCAGTGTCAGCTTAGTACAAAGTGATCTAGATTATTGTGCGACGGGTCCTAGAGAAGGGCTTGTAAACCATAGGAGGAGGAGGAGGAGGAGGAGGAGGAGGAGCGAAGCTATAGACAAACACTTGCCGTTGTCGTCTTACCTCGTCAAAAAGCCCGGGACTCGATAGGTGATAGACTCGTGTCACGTGATATATTTGTGCAATCAGTCAGTAAGTCGAGTATCGATAAATGCCAGACGGCTTTCCCATGATATAGAAGCCTTTCCCACACCGATTTGATCTTACGTATCGATGTTATGACACCCTCGACCCACGTTGGTGTCATCGCCCCCAGCATCTCGTACGCTGTAATTTGAGGACACCGGTGGTTCACTATTGAGTAAATGTAATACTCAGGGCCGAACGCGGTGCATGCTCTTTCAAACAGTGATTCATGGCTACCGGCAATGGCGTAGTCGCGCGAACCAACCGGCTTTCAGAAACGAGTACTCGAGAATGTACTCGAGGAGAAAGATGTCTGTACTCGTACTCGTACTCGTATTCAGACAAGCAAGAACACCACATCGTAATATACGAGTGTGTCACCAAAGCTAAAATACCACATCACCACACACGAAATCAGTTTTTTGCTGGCGCCAAACTAAGTTAGTAGCCCCAGTTTTATAGGGAAATGCTTCATAAAAAATGCGATGAAACTCACTAACTCCACTCCACTTTCCACTCCCCTGCTCTGCTCTCCTCTGCTCTACTTTTCTCGCTGCCCATCGTTCTCCAGATACCTTCGAACGACACGCGTCTCCGCATTTCTTATGTCAGCGATGCCAGTGACCTAAATGAATCCCACCGTCGTCGAAATTCGGACTATATAAGTAACAACCATTTCCATTTCGAATTCAGACCCTACCCAGCACTCTTCACATCAAATACAAAACACACACGCTACATTTCGATTAGTTCCAGACGTGACGAGTGCTACTCTGATACCACCTGTCGCTCGACAACATTTTACAGCTCTCTTTTTTGGCGGCGTCAGCGCATAAAACCATCACTCCAAGGATGCTTAATTTCTACCAGAAACATAGGCTAAGAATCCTGAAAACCACATATGTGCTGCTTATTTTGACCATGTTCAGGAGCCTCCAACCGCGTCTGCAGAGCGGACACGGTCGAGAGCAGTTCGAACATTCGCCGTTGAAACGCAATCGGGAGAAAATCGACTCGTCCACGGCCTCAACTACGGCAACAACAGAGCTCGAGCTCGAATCACCGTCGCGACAACCGTCTCAGTCGCAGTCGCAACTGGGGGACGAGCTCAAACTTGAAGAGGACGGCGTGGGCAACTCTGGCAAAACCACTCCCAAAGAAACTCCCAAAATTGGGCCCTCCAGAGCAAATTTCCTGTTTCGCTTGCTGATCAAAGATCGCAAATGCGTGGCTCTATTTCTATTTCAAGCTTCTCTTTTGGTCATACGCACCGTGCTGTCGCTACGTGTAGCAACACTGGACGGACTGCTTGTATCGCGACTGGTCAAAGCCGAGTACCGCAAGTTTGTGCAAGTATTGCTCGGGCAATGGATGGTTTTGGGGATTCCCGCCAGTATCGTCAACTCCTTGATCCACTACAACACCCGGCTGTGTGCTGTGACGGTAAACCGCATCATCTCAAAACATCTGCTAGATCGCTACATGTCATCCCACCACACGTTTTATACAGTCAACAATATTCCACAAGGAAGCTCGCAGCTTGTCACGTATAACTCCGCAGGCAGTGTCAGCAACAATACCGAGGAATTAGCCCGCTCGGACTTGTCTGTCCAATACCTAACTCGCGACGTCGGCGCTTTCTCCTACAGCTTGTCTGTTTTGTTGAATCAACTTCTAAAGCCCACTCTTGACTTGCTGTTATGCTCATTCAAACTTGTATCCAGTGCAAACAATGGCATGATGGGTGAAGGCACCCTTGTTCTCGGAATCATCGTACACATCAGCAATATGCTGCTCAAAATGATCCAGCCCAATTTCACAAAACTCGCTATTCAAAGAACCCATTTGGAAGGAATTTTCCGGAGCTCTCACTCCAAGATCCACTCTAGCAATGAGGAAATTGCCCTTATGAAGGGCCAATCTACCGAACTGTGGAACCTGGATTACAGGTTCTACCAGCTGGCAATATTTCTCAATAAAGAACTCAAGCTGCATTCAATCTACGATTTCGCAACCACATTTGTGATCAAATATACCTGGGGAGCCGCCGGCCTTGTTTTATGTTCCATACCTATCTTCTTTCAAAAACAGCATGGGAACGACATCACTGCCGAGTTCATTACTAATCGCAGATTGCTACTCACGGCATCCTCGTCAGTTGGTCGCTTTGTGCAATTGAAGAAAAGTGTTCAGCAACTAAGAGGGGTTTCCTTGAGACTGAGACAATTTGACAGCAGACTTGATGTTCCCAATAACTCGACCGATCTAGAAACAAACGATTCGCTGGTAGAATACGATGACGCTAAGATCCAATTTATCAATATTCCACTTGTCACACCAACTCTGCAGACACTGATACCAGAGCTCAATTTCGAGTTGCGTCAAGGCGACCACTTGCTGATTATTGGACCCAACGGATGCGGCAAATCATCTTTGTTTAGGGTCCTTGGAGGCTTGTGGCCTATAATGAAATCGTTCACACATCCAGAAAAGGAGTCTAAACTTATCATGCCGCCTCGAATCGGGCCCAACGGGGAGAAGCCGATTTTCTACCTTCCTCAAAAGCCATTCATGGGTAACAAATTTACGTTCCGTGAGCAAATAATATACCCTGACACCATGGACAGGTTCGACGACAAATACAACGGGGACTATGTGAAAGGTCACAATGATTTAATTGAAATTTTGCATGTTCTGGAGCTAGATGATCTTCTAACCGAGAACATGTCTATAGTAATGGCAATGTCTCCTGACAATCTAAACAAAGATTCCGAAGTATCCATACAGGACGCGTTTGACGTTGTGCGAAACTGGTCCGAAGAACTCTCTATCGGTGTTCAGCAAAGGCTCGCGATGGCCAGAATGTACTACCACAAGCCAAAATTTGCCGTACTCGATGAATGTACGTCTGCTGTATCCCCACAAATGGAACAAAAAATGTACACACATGCGCAGGAGCTTAACATATCGCTCATATCTGTCTGTCACAGAACGACCCTGTGGCATTTCCATAATTATCTTTTGAAATTCGATGGGGAAGGTTCGTGTGAGTTTGGCCATTTCGACCCACAGCAAAGGCTCCAGGATGAGGAGAAATTAATTGAACTAAACGCTCGCCTGGAGAAGGACGTTCCCCTCTGGACTAAAAGATTACAAGAGCTCATCATTGCCCGGAAGTCAAGCGTTTTAAGGAAATCTCAAACCAATTTGGCTTCGCTCGGTTCGAGGCGTAATCTTGCTCTTACGCAGAAATCGGTAGATGCCCAATAAATCCAGCCACTACCTTCAGATCAGATCATTGGGCTGCAGAAGTAACGATTTGTCCATTTTTTTGTCTATGTATATGAGTATTTAAGCTCGATTACAGTTAATTAAGATATTTCAATGAGAATCATAGTCCGATGATCTAACAAACATTCAAACGATAAGAGACACTCATTCTGGATGCACCTACGACAATGGCAGTTTGTCGAAACCACTACTTCAGGGCAACCGATTCTACGTGAAAATGAGAAGGATATATACGTTGAACATCAAGTTGGCTGTTACCAAGGAAAATCCAAGATCCTGGGGAAGCAGAAAGGAAGAATATATGTTACCTCACAGAGAATAATATACATCGATGACGAGAGCCCTACATTAAATTCGGTGTCACTTGAACTGGACGACGTTTTAGGTGTCGAATACTCGTCTAAGTTCTTGCGTAAATCAGCAAGATTGTGCATTTTTTTGAAAGACTCTACCTCTACTGCGAATCCTGGCGCTACAGACACCGTGGGTCCCTCGAATGAGAAGAGTTGTTGGACGTGTCCAATTTGTGCATTTGAGAATAAGACTCTTGAGCATCTAACACAAGACAATATACACTCTTTCCCATGCTCCAATTGCGGCATTGCGCCTGATTTCCAAATGATTGAGGGATCTATCAGATATCTAGAAAATGCTCTCTCAGTTTTTGAAAACGTTGAAGATACTGAATGTCCGGCTTGCACATTTCTTAACCACCCATCTTTGAGGAACTGCGAGATATGTGGCACGAGGCTACCTTCCAATTTGGCTGGGGACAGATACCCTAGCAGCACTGACAAGCGAGTGAAAGTTGAGCTTGAGACAAAAGACGGACTCACAAAAGGTGAGCCAGTATACGTCCAGTTAAGTTTCCGCTCATCTGACGGGCTCCTGCTCTCTCAAACTATTTCAAACCTCATATCAGACCAGCGCCGAGATAAATCCCAAAAGGTTTACAACAAAGGTGCCAGTTCCATCAACGGTGTCCAACCTATGAAAAATGAGCTTTTGGAGACGGAAACTGAGCTGGGCCGTGTAGGAATTGCTAGCCTGGAGAAGTCCCAGGAAGATCGATTGATCAATAACGATATAATGCTCGGAAACGCCCTAACAGACCTAAACAACTTGATGGCCCTAGCTTCTGATATTGAAAAGCTTTATGATACAGCAGAGCAGTCTAAACCGCAACGAAACGCGCCGCTACTGACAGTTGATAGGGAAAAATTCCTCACTAAGGACTTGTTCATCAAAGAGATATCCAGAGAATTGCACGGTTTCATAATGAACGAATTTCAAGAGCAAAAAGAGACCGAGGGAGTGATTTTAATCTCGCTCGTTGATACTTATGCTTTGTACAACAAGACGATGCGAATCGGTTCGGGGCTCATTTCCCCTCAAGAACTATGGGAAGCCTGCAAAAAATTCGAAGAGTTGGGACTCAGTGATCTTCAGCTCACAACCATCAACGGCCGGGTACTCTGCATATCTTCGGGAGACTCATTCGCGTTTGTGAAGAAGAAAATTTGGAATATAGTCACGACATCTCCAGGCGCCGATCTTCTCGAGCTAAGTCGACAGCTGAACAATAATAATATGAATTCTTGGACGGCAGGAATCATTATGGAGGCGCTAAATAACTGCGTCAATGAGGGTCAACTATTAATTGATGAACAGATAACCGGTGTCCACTACTATGCGAATTTCGATTGGAGGATATAGAAAAAAATGCTAAATATGCTCGATGAATGTTAATGTTGAGGAGAGGTGCCTGACGGGAAATCACTATTGGGGGAAACCAGCCTTGGTAGTGACTCAATTTCTTGAATGACGTATTCCTTCTCATCCAGGAAGGTGACGTCTTTGCTTTCGGTGTTGAAAGACTGTAAGTAATGCAAAAGCTTGTCTCTGTTTTTCACCATGATATCCATGACCGGTTTGGACTTGCGAGGATTGGCAACGAAGACTTTGAAAATGTTAAAGGATCCCAGTTGTAAGTTCTTAGATCGATCGCTAAGCAGGATCATGATAAGCTTCAGATTCTCAGGCGAATTGATGTAAGCGGTGAGCAATTGATTATAGGCTCTGATCATTATCAGATATTGTAGGAGTTTGACGCTCTGGCGTTTGGTCACGTAGCTGCCATGCGCCATAACGTTATTAATCTTCTCGATGAATTTTTGCATATTAGCCGGCTGACTGAAAAACTCTGTTGCCACGGGCTTTTGATGAATAGTGAGCAAGCTAGTCAGTATTTGAAGACTCTCAGTGCTGACCTCGAAGGAGCCACCTTTGGCGAAGTCGAAAAAGTGCCAGATCTGTGGGTCGCGCAGCATCATTCGACACAGCTGTTCGTATTTCAAACTCTCAAGTATGATAGAGCCAGCTTTCAGAAACAAATCGCTGGAGTTCGCCTTGGAGAGCGCCATTTGCGGTGTGCGAAGCATCAAAGAAACGATCTTGGGTCGCGTAACCAGATAGTCCACGGTGACCAGCTTGTTATCGCGAGAATGTCGCAAACAGGTGGCGAAAAGCAATGCCACGTCTTTGCGAGCTTCAAACTCGAGTTCTGCCAAGTTGGCCAGCAGGTCGTATAACAGGTCCAGCTGGTATATAGCGCTGTAGAGCTCGTCCACGGCCTCTGCAGTGGGCTCGGGCTCTACTTCCCCGAGCAAAAAATGCTTGGTGCCAGCCAAATACCGGCTGCAATCGTCCTGGATCTTCCTGCGGTTGTCGACGGTCGAAACACTTTCAAACTTGTTTAACTGCTCTGAAAGAAGCCGGGCATAGTCAGAAGCGGTCTTGGGCGTTTTCTTCCACCAAAATGCCATTTGGGCACAATTTAAGAGACAAAACTACGGGCTTGTTGAAGCGCTAAAGTTCACCAACTCTCGAAGAAAGGTGGGTGTTTGTAGAGTTGGTTGATCTCACACAAAATTGATACACTTGAGTGTATAAAGAGTTGGGGACACGTGATATGTTAAATTTAATTATTATCGTGTCGTTGACCAGATCGATTGGCCTAAGGGAAAGATTTAGCTGTTTCATTGTAAAGATGTGCTATTGATGCTCCAAGACTGTCAAATTCGTGTTTTTCGCGAACTGGGGATCATTTTGAGCTTAAAAATGTTCATGTTTCGTTGACAAATTAGAAAATGAAGAAACCAAGACTAGAGATAATGATAGATGCAGAGTGACTTGATTCTAAGATGCACGAGATGTCGTTCTTCTATACCTTGCTTGTGTGCAATTCGAGAACAAGTGTCACAGGAATAGTGTATACACTGTCCGCGTTTTACAAAGTGATCTGTATATGACTTTCAACATGGCAAACACGTATATTCCGCTTTCGACACAAGAAGCTGAATAGCTTCACGGCCAATGCACTTGAATATTCATGTGTTCGAATCTCAAGAAAATCTGAATTTTCTAAAAATTCAGGCATGTCAACCTCTCGGTGGCCAAGTTGGTTTAAGGCGCCAGACTGTAATATTATCACTGTAATCTGGATATCGGGCGTTCGAATCGCCCCCGGGAGACTTTTTTTTGAAACTCGGGTTTCGCCGTACGTGGCCCATACGATTGGGAAAATCAGTAAAGAGCTCGTCTATGACTTTAAAACTGCTATCAATAGAGTCGGGAACATTAAATTATTCAATTAGCCCTCTTTTTCCGGTGTCAAAAATTTTACTAGGTGTTCGGAGGGCTTTGACAAAGTCGAAGGGTCCCTACTATTTCTATATAATAACGGCGATACATTGCCAAATCGTAGTTAGTCGACTATTTCTTCTTTCACTGTATTGTATACCTCTGTCGTCTAAATTTCTACTACTTTATGAGAGCTGTCATTCTAGTAGCATTTTTTAAAAAAAAACCCAAAATAACACAATGAAAGTAAATCCCATCGAAGAAAGAAGCAAGCTAAAAGTAAGCGTTGCGGCACGTTACAAGGACCTTGAACACGGTGTGTCGAATCAGCACTATTGATTTACTCGGAACACTAAGTGTGGGATTTCAATCTCGCTCTGTGTGCCATTGCTAGCGGGTTTCTCATGAACGCTCCGGGGCACAAAACGCAGGTGGATAGCTCGATCAATTTCATCAAGGAGCACCACTTTAAAGACACATTTGCACTTCTGGTGGTATTCTTGAGCTTCAACCATCTCGCATCGCTATGTCTGCTGGCGATTTTTATCATTACTACTAAATCCCGGAATTTCTTGGCAACATGTTTTATCCGGCTGTTTCTCTCGAAGCAACGTTGTGGTGATGTCGAAGAGCGTCCCACAACTGTGGCAAACAAGGCCAAATCTGCCACTGTTGACACGTCGGCCTCTGGCTCCGGGAAAGATGTGGGACCGGACGCTCAACGGTATACGGATGGGTCCACCTCTGCTTTCATCAAACGGAAATGCGCGCTTTTTAAAATTTCGCCATTTTTCTTGCTAGAGCTTGTGGTCGCTGGTCTTTTAAGAGTACACGCCAGCCAATATTTTACCAGACCCATCGAGAATTTGGCCATGTCCATTATTGCATCCTCGCTAATAAACGACCCTAGAGACTGTTTGAGCTATGCCACGTCGTGTTCCATACTCTACGGACTAGTGGTCAACGTGTGGCATAGGGCAGCCCTGTTTCTAGACCTTAAGATCTCGCCTGTTTCTGTGGTCTCCGCCTCTTCTCTGCATCAGTGGTATGGTTCACTTTTAACTCTCCCCATTCTCGGCCGCGCAATGCCTCTTTTTTGGAGATTAGCAGGCCATTCATCTAAGTATCTGCGGATTTGCCGCTACCTGGCATCTTTTCACATCGTACTTGCCCAATTTTACCAAAATATGACAGACCCACACTATTTCCAGAAAAACGTCAAACGCTCAACTGTCTCTGATGCTCCAGCATCCGTCTCAATGACTCAAAATAACTCACAGGCCGGCCCATACCATCTGAATATGGCTCTGCCAAATGGATCGGGCATCAATGCAACCCATTCAAATGGTCCTCCACTTTTGTCTGTTCCTAATCCCATCGCCCAAAAGGCCTCCTTCAGCGGTGTAGTCTCCGAATACGACATATCAGAACTCCCAATGAACTCACCGTCCGAAAGTAACCAACAAACAATTACCACCAATGTTACAACGTCCAATTTGGCCTCAACGCCCGATGAGGCCTCGTACACAAACCAATTCTTCACGATAAAAATGGCCCTTGACCGCGAAAAGCCTAGCGAGACACATCTGGACGATTACTTCATCACCACTTCAAATTTAGAGAATTTCATTCAACAGTTGTTCAAGTGGAAGAACCACCATTTGATTCCTCCTCTTTGGTCAATATTTACTACAATCAAGACAATGACTTTGGAAAAGAGAAATGTTAGAAGTTTTGATGGGGCCTCTTCCACGTCAGACACTGACACTTCTGACACCTCCGAGACAATCCGGCCAACTAACTCGAATCCTCTAATTAAAGGAAGTGTGTTTACGGGCCCGGACGCCAGCGACTGCATGACCTTGATTGCACCAGCTGCTGATGACTACAACCAGTTGCACCTTGTACCCCACAACCTAGCCACAGACTACAAAGTTTGCATTAGTGACACGGGACCGACTCAAATTACGTTCCGCATTACAAACTTATTCGAAGGCGAGCTAATTGTTCTTGTCAACGGAGTTATTTGGTCCCAGGTCCTATCGGCCATCACGTCTGAAAAGATTGGCGAAGAGTACACCGTTGTGAGTGGGCTGGTACCGTCGTGCTCTTACGACATTCAGTTTGTGAACCGTTTCAACGAAGGCAAAGATTTCTTGATTGCCGATTTGATGGTCCGCACTTGTGCCAAAGCAGGAGAAAACAAAGAGCCACTAGATTTCAGTTTCCCTTCTTACTACCACCGTAAGTTTCTTTCACCACTCTTGACGCTCAAGCATTCGGTATTGACAACCAATACCAATCTTGCCGAAGAGCGTGCCAAAGTAAAGAAGACTAAGAAAGAAATCTCCAAAAAGCTGAGTTCCCTGAGACAGGAGAGCGATCATTTGAAATTCAAAATTGCCCAAAACGCGAGCCAAGATGAAAAAAGCGCATTCAAGATGGACAACTTGAAAACCGTGTTGCAACAAAGCGAGTCTCAGCTATCGGTGATGGAGGATAGACTCAAAGAGGTTTTGGCGCAGGAAGTGCAAGTTGAGCAGGAACACTTGCAGCAGAAGGACAAACATCTACAGACTCAAATGGAGCATGGCAAGCTACAAGCGACGCTTGCGAAAGAGAAAGAGGAGCTTTCGACGAAGCTTGCGAAGCTGGAACAGGAATTGTCACAGCTGAGAGGTAAGCGTGAGCGTATGAACCTCAAGCAAGAGAAGTTGAAAAAAGAGGTTACCCAGTTCGCGGAGGGCATTGAAAACTTCAGGCTCCATTTTCTGTCGCAGCGCCAAACCGAGCGTCAGCGCCGCGAAGAGCTCAGAAACGTCGAGGCCAACGAAAGCGAGCTTGCGATAAGGGGTCTGGAACAGGACATCAGCAGGCTCGAAGGTGAGAACGAGGCTATGAAAAATATGCTACGTGCTTACTAGAGAGTGCTAAAGTAAATATTACATTGTTTGTACGTACTTTATGTGTATCAAAGAAGAGTAATTATTCTTTCTATGTATTGCAACAGTGGTCATTTGTGTGACATGGAGATTCCTAGCACACAGAAAATTCATAACTTGACAAAGCCTATTCTTCTGCAAACGATGAGACTAAATACCTGACTATCCAATTGCAAGACTCTTCTGCTAGGTCCACTCCCCCTGTAAGTATCTATTGGCACGGATTCCTGAAGCGACAGAGATTTCCGCCTCCTTAGCTTAGTGGTAGAGCGTTGCACTTGTAATGCAAAGGTCGCTAGTTCAATTCTGGCAGGTGGCAGATATTCTTTAAATTTTTGACACAATTTCGACCATTGCCGTTCAAAGAGACAGACTCAAAAAATAATCTGAAAAAAAATTTTTTTTCAGCTCTGCGTCTATGCGACGCGATGGGCGATGTTGACGACAAATTCGTAGTAGAGTCTGTCTCTTTGTACGTAGTGGTGAAAATTATGATGCTTTGACAATCAAGAAGCGCCCGGCCAGTTTAACCATATTCTGAGCATTTGAACTGGGATATTGTAGCGACTAAGGCTTTCACTGCAAGCCCTAACCATTACCTGTATACTACGGGGCGCGTGAGCTTTCTTGAGCTGGTTTTATTTTCATTTTCCGTTAGGTTTGTGGATTTTTAGTGTTTAGATTCACACCAACACTAGCAGTCGAGGTTTTAGCGTAACACACAGCGGTAACACAGCTAGACCCGACAGTTTTGCAACGGTATCAAGTTTGTTGGCTAGTTTGATCACTATTGGTCGCATAAAACCGTTGAATTATGGCTCCCTTGAAGAGAACAGCGTCAGAAACGCTGTCAGCAGAAAGCCCATGGCAGAACGCAGAAGGCTCAATCCAGAAGAAAGCGCTGATTGAGGCGCTGGGCCAAGCACAGGGCAGAAACGGCGATACAGAGGGCAAGCAGGGTGCCTCAAGCGCGCCCGGAAACGAGGGCGATGAAGATGAAGATGAAGAAGAAGAAGAAGAAGAAGAGGAAGAAGAAGAGGAAGAGGAAGAGGAAGAGGAAGAGGAAGAAACAGAGCATAGAGAAAAGCACAGAGCGGGTCAAATAAGTGCCCAGGATGTCCAGGTGGCTCGTGCCACCGCAGAGCTTTTCAAGTCCAACATCTTCAAGCTGCAAATCGATGAGTTGCTGCAGCAAATCAAACTCAAGGACTCGCGCATCCTCAAAGTGGAAAAGTTCCTGCACAAGCTCTACGACACGATTCAAATGGTGCCCGATTGGGAGCCGACCGCGCTGGCCGATGTCGAATCTTATTTCAAGGGTAAAATCGTCGCCGTTCCCTTTGCAGACCCCAAACCGGCGGTCTCAGTGCAGTACAAGTTCAACTACAAAGCACCAGACGTGTCACTGATCGGCTCGTTTGCTCTCAAAAGTGCCACTTATGACCCCAAGGGCTCGTCCGTGGACGTACTTCTCACCATGCCAGCGGAGCTGTTCGAGAAGAAGGACTATCTGAATTTCAGATGCGTGCACAAGAGAAGCGTCTACTTGGCGTATTTTACACACCACCTTTCGGTATTGTTTGGCAAGGAACAATTCTCCGATTTCCTTCAGCTCAGCTATGAATATTTGAATAACGATCCATTGTGCACTATTCTACGACTTCAGTGCAAACCAGGTGGCTCTTCCGAGTACAATTTCTACAAAACTAATTTCTCCATCAACATAATCGTCGGATTTCCCCACGGGCTCTTTGATGCTAAAAAGCTTCTTCCGAACAAAAACTGCATCCGTGTTCAAGAAGACAAGGACACGATGACACCTTTATACAATTTTTCCGTTCTTTCCTCATCTACCCACGAGCACTATCTCAAGTTCCTTTACAAAACCAAAAAGCAAACTGAGGCATTCAAGGACGCATGCATGCTAGGAAAATTATGGCTCAAGCAAAGAGGGTTCAGTTCAAAATCAGCACATTCAGGCGGACTAGGCGGCTTTGGTGCTTTCGAGTTTGCAACTTTAATGAGCGCTCTTTTGTGTGGTGGTGGTGTTAATGGTAATAAAATCTTGCTGCATGGTTTCTCTTCCTACCAGCTATTCAAAGGTGTTATGAGATATTTGGCTACTATGGACCTTTGCTCCAACGGCCATTTACAATTTTATTCCGACCTTACTCCCTCTTCTAATTTGCCCACTTCGCGATACATTGCGGAGGGCTTTCAAACTCCTACTATTTTCGATAAAACTACAAAGGTCAACATCTTGACTAAAATGTCGGTGTCCTCGTACCAAGCTTTGCAGCTTCATGCTCGCGAGACATTCGTGTTGTTGACTGACGTGGTTAAGGACCAGTTTGCGAGTATTTTCTTAACAAACTTGAACAAATTTCAAGAGGTTAAATACGATATGACTTTCGACCTGGAAATACCGACTCAGTCAGTAATACTTGAGAAGTTCGGGCCCACTGAAAAGATTAAATTCGTCAGTATCGAAAACTTTGTGGTGAACAAAATTTCCAATGTGGCGAAAATCGCCCTTGGCGATAGAATCAAATCATTGCAGGTTGAGTTGTTGAATCACAAGACGTGGTTTCCGATCAGCAAGCGGAAGCCAAGTAATACCACGAACATTTCTTATGCTCGAATTCGTATTCTAGTGAATCCTGCGGAATGTGAAAAATTAGTCACAAAGGGTCCACTCAATTCAGAAGAGTTCGCTGCGGAAGCTCTTGTCTTCAAGAATTTCTGGGGCAAAAAAGCGTCCTTGCGTCGTTTCAAAGACGGTTCTATCACAAACTCTTGTGTTTGGGCGACTTCTGCTTCTGAACCGGTCATTTCGCAAATTTTGACTTACATCTTCAAATTGCATTTGGCTGAAAATGCCAAGCTTTCGAATCTCACATCTAGACACTTCCTAGAGCTACTACCTTTACCAAATTTGCCTGCGAGTTCTAGCATGTCAGTGTTAAGTTTGAATAGTTTTTACAACGTGCGCAAATCGTTTGACGCTCTTTCCGCGTTGTTGTTCAAACTGGACCTACCTCTCGCAATTAAATCCGTTTTGCCAGTCGGCTCTGCATTCAGATATACAACTACATGTCATCCTGTTCCTTTTGCCTATTCGAATCCTGATTTTCTACAGGATGTGATTCTTGAGTTTGAATCTTCTCAAAAATGGCCAGACGAGATTACCTCTCTTGAGAAGGCCAAAACTGCATTTTTACTGAAGATTCAGGAAGCTTTATCTTCGCAACACGGTCAGTATAAGACGTTTTTTGCGAGAGACGAATTGATCCCTTTCAATCTAGACATTGTCACTCTCAACATTCTAACTCCAGACGGCTTTGGGTTCAAATTCAGAGTTCTCACCGAGCGCGATGAAGTGTTGTACCTAAGAGCCATTAGCAACGCACGCATGGAAACAAAACCAGAACTAGAAAATGTGTTTTTGAAATTTACTGCCAAGTTCCTAGCGTCGCCAAGACACAACAGAACCTTGGAAAACCTGAGTCACAGCTTTCCTTTGTATCCACCAGTTGTAAGACTATTCAAGAAGTGGCTGGATTGCCATCTTCTACTATCGCATCTGTCTGAAGAACTAGTGGAGCTTATCGCCATGAAACCTTTTGTGGACAGCGCCCCATACTTCGCTCCTGCTTCGCTTGAAAATGGGTTTTTGAAGATTATTCAGTATCTGAGCCAATGGAACTGGAGAGAAGATCCCTTGATCCTAGATTTGGTCAAACCTGAGGAATTGGACCTCGGTTCAGATGTCGGTTCGGCCAGCGGTCTTGATCTCAGTGCTAAATTGAGTAAAGACTTGAGAGAAAACCTGACAGCGTCGCAGCTAAAGGCAATTCAGGGCAACTTTTCCGCGCTACGCAAAAACGACCCTCAAGGCTTGCATATTCAATTTTTTGTTGCTTCCAGAAATGATCCAAGCGGCATTCTATATTCGAGTGGCGTGCCTCTGCCGATCGCCACTAGACTAACGGCCTTGGCTAAAGTTGCCTTCAACTTGATCCAAGCCCACGGCCTGAACAAGCAAACCGTTGATTTGCTATTCACCCCAGCGTTGAAGGACTATGATTTCGTCGTGAAGCTCCAAATGCCTATTTCTCTCAAGCTTCCGTGCGGTGTTTTAGAAAACAACACTTTCAAAAACATTGACCAACAGCAGAGGGCGTTCCCGCAGGACCTTTCGCACATGAGCGGAAAGATGGACCCCTCCTTCCAGCTGGTCAAGTACCTCAACATGAAATACAAAAACAGCATAATTTTCTCAAGTCATCGCTATCCTGGCATAAACGGTGGTGGTGCGGGCGACCGCAATGTTATCACGGGTTTAATCAGACCGACATACAAGTCGTCTGTAAAATTCAGAGCTAATATGGACGCCAACGTCAAGCCCGTGAACAACGAACTGGCAGTCTTAAACAAGGAAGCCATTTTCAACGAAATCGCTGTTTTTGGTGACGAACTCATTACCGCATTCGAGTTCAACTGATGCGCGAAATCAATCGATAATCCTATCCCAACCTCTACAATTACCACTACTTAATAAGTATTCTAAATGCCTTTCGGTTCTCACTCTTTTCCTGACGCTGACACTGATACACAGGGTCTGTCACGACTACTTAATTTCGTAAGCTTGGATAACATATTTTAACAATATTAACTTTAGTCGATGTAAATGGTCAAAAAGTTTAAGAAATGCTTATACAGCTCTTTAAAGAGCGGGTTTCGAAAGCTCAGTTACTGTTGTTGTTGATAAGATGCAAGACCCGGTGCTAGCACGAGCTTCAAAGCTTCGAACGAAGCTTTTTCAAGAAGATTTGGTCGGAAAGCTTCGTCTTCTGTCACTCAGTGTCATTGTCCTTCACTATTTGAAATTTGGGTCATCAACCATGGCATTTTTGTTCCGTCTTTTCGTGCATTCGTTGCTCTCAAAATCGCAGGCAGTTTCAGAGCAGTTCAGAAGAGTCTCTCTGCGAGCACACAATGCCCGTGCCATTCCAGGTTTGTCGAATACAACTAATGCAAGTCCAGCCACAAGTGCCTCCAGCGCCTCAACTGGCCCAAACGCGGGGAGTTCAGCGATGCCAGGCGCTTTCATCGTGGGAAACATTGCAGAACAGCCCGTTTCAGAGGCAGAAGTCGAAGAATCTGTAAATGGGGCCCAACGCAACGTTAGATGGGTCCTTTTCCATTGCGCTTTCACTTTCAACTGCATATCGACCATAATGGCAATCATTTGGCCCGTGGATTTCCGCTCTAAAATGGGCGCGTACTGGTTGAATAGTGGCACCTTTGGCAGTGCTCCATCGCCGTTCGCCAACCAGAATGGATTGATAGGTGGGGAGTTACAAAGAGGCCTTTTTGTCCAGCTGTTAGGCGAAAGGGTGCCTGGCAGCAATTTATGGAGCAACCTCTCTATCGTCTACCTAGAAATTTTGATACTGGTGCTCCAATTCAGCCTGTATATCCTCACAGCTTACAATTTTGCAGAGCCGCCTATATTGGTGCTTGCGGCCGAAGACGACGACAGTGATTCTGCCAGTAATCTCGAAAAGGAAGATGGGTTTAGTGGAGTCGTGCTGGTAACGACTTTGAGGCCGGTAGAAGTGGTGGATTTTCTCTTGGAGGAGAGGTATGAGCGCGCTGCGCCCGCTGCAACTGCGAGCGATATGGTGTAATGAGAACTTTTACATTCTAAAAATACTGTACATGCTCCAAAACCTATTCTCTATACAATATAATGCATAAGTAACTTGCTCTACTGAGAAATAGGGCAGTTTTTCAAATATTCAGCTTTGTTTTTCAAGATCCTGACGCTCTTGAAGAAAATCTCCTCCGGAGTCATGGCCCCAGTGCTCTCGACATTGAAGATGAAGTGGTCCCTCACTCTTCCGAGCTTGACTTTGTCTTCGAATTCTTCGTGTCTCAAAACTTCTCTTGAAACAGTATCGTGTCTTGCGTCTGCCACAAAGGCTTCCCCAGCGTCGTTAATGCCGATGACGCCAGGAGAAAAACAGTTGGCGAATTTTTTGGCCGATTCTCCAGAAATTGGCTGTGTAATGTTAATGTGGGGCATGAGTCTATAAGAGGCCGTAGAGACCGGAGAAAATTTGGCGTGGTCACTGCCGATACCCAACACGCAGTGGGCACGCAACGAGATTTCTTGGCCAGGCCTTAGCTTAGCGAGCAAAATGTCTGGATCAGCAGGAACCACTGGGTTTTTAGCAAAAGTGGTGAGCTGTTTACCCTGGGGTTCGAATTTCAAATCACGAGCGTAAATATGGGCGTTGCGGTAGAGAACCTTGGGATCGGTGCAATCCTTTGGCGCATCTGGGTTTCTCGTACATTTCACATTCAAAGTCAAAACAATGGTGTTTTCATCTGTGAATTTCTCCGCTTCCGGAAGATTGGTGTCGACCCATGATAGCATATCGGGATCTACCTTAAGCGGTGTGAGTCCAATTCTGTGCGCCAGCACTTCGTCTTGAATCACTGATGTGTTGTTGAAAAAATAAACGTATTCTGGGGCGACTGATGGCACTTCAGAGATCATAATACGGCGAAAGGCGTTAGCAACCGAAGTGTCGATGTGCACGAGGTCGAAGCAAGCTTCACGCTCATCCATGGAGTTGATTTTCACGTCAAACGAGTTTTTGAAATTTTCCACGTCCCACACCGCACCCTCGTCTTTCTGGAAACCTGGGAAATCGGTTGACGTGGTGTTTGTCACACGATTGTATTCAATGCCAACGATATTCGACATGTTGCAATGAGCTGGATAAGTTTGTATGAAACAAGGTCAAGTGAGTCTCCTTTTTCGGGCTTTTATATCCAAAACACTTCAAAATTTGTCTCTTGAGCGGTCAAAAGCGTCAAACAGCCAATCGTTACCGAACCAGGGTCGATTCAAACTGTCCTTTGAAACTGAATTGTAGAGCTCATCTCATCGCATGGAAAACTTTTTTTAATACTATAACCCAAAAAAATTGTTGATGTCATTGTTCACGAATGTGTGAATTTAAGGCCTTTAAAAAAATGGAAACTTTAGGGAACTTAAAGGCTCTTCTCGATAAAGAGTGAGTTCGGCGGCAAAGTCAACAAGAACAGGAAGGTTACCACCTAAGTTCAGGTATTTAAGCTTCACAAATGAGTAATTCTGAGCTTTTGGACGATTTAAACGACGATTTTGGAAGTGATGTTGAAAGCGAGGTTGAAGTAGACAACGTCTGCGATTCGTTTGGCGGGTTGGAGCGTTTTTTGATGGAGTACAAACCCATTTTGTTGGACGAGATTAACCCTGAAAACATCGGGAACGTTTCACAGATATTTGAACATAGGGAGCTCTTCGAGAATTTGATGCAAGAAACGGCCGATAGCTCATCTGCTCTGTTGCTGAGTAAAACACAGCCGTTGGTTCAACAGGATATTGACTCGTTGCACGCATTTCTGAGAGGAGTTTACGAAGAGACTTTTCCTGAGCTGCAGTCCATTGTAACGTCGGCTGAAACCTACGCTCGTGTCATCAAGATTTTGGAACATTCGCAGGGTGTTCCAGACACTGAACAACTTCAAGAGGTTGTTAGCCGAGAACAAATGCTTGTTTTGTCAATGGCTATACAAACAGGCTACAAAAACCCCAGATCGCAGTCGAGCGACCAGTCATTTGCACTTGCCAGAAGTATCGAAGTGCTTTTAGAGCTTTGCAATCTACAGCAGAGGATAAAAAATTTTGTGGCCTCGCTGATTTCGCAAACAGCACCCAATCTGTGTGCCCTTGTAGGTTCAGAGACAGCTGCTGCCCTGATAGATACAGCGGGTGGGATTCAAACGTTGAGTGAGACACCGAGCTGCAATATTGCCTCCATGGGTAAAAGCAGGTTTGTGGGACACAAGTCAGCCGTCGACCAAAGCGGTGTGAGACAAAAAGGGTTCGTTTTCCATTGTCCCTTGGTCTCAGAACAGCCGGTCGCGGTGCGAAAACAGGCGCTCAAAATGACGTGCGCTAAGGTTTCGCTTTGTGCGCGAGTCGACACCTCGAAATCGAGCCAAGACGGCAGTCTGGGATCGGAATGGCGAAAGGACATTTTACACAAGCTTCAAAACATACAAGAACCGCCCAAGCTTTCCAATGTCAAAGCCCTGCCTATTCCCGAGGACAAACCCAAGAAAAAGCGCGCTGGTCGCAGATTCCGCAAATACAAAGAACAGTTCCAATTATCTCATGCTCGGCAACTACAAAACAGAATGGAATTCGGCAAGCAGGAATCATCTGTTGTCGATATTTTCGGAGAGGAAGTTGGCATGGGTATGGCGAGCACACTGCGAGCTCCAAATTCGGCGCCTACCAAAAGAACTGCCAAGCTCAGAGCCACAATGCAACGAAGGCTCGCTGCAGTGAATCAAGATACGCATAACTTTTTCGCCACGGGCTACGATCAATCGAACGTATTGAAAGCACCCAGTGATGAGTCTACAAATAACACCAAGACACAAGACAAAAATACAAAAAGAAGACAAACACAGGCGAGTGGTACATGAAACTAATGCAAACTCCTCAGGACCAGACGAGTCGATTTTAACGCTAAGCGATGAGCTAGCTGTCAAGCTCTACAGACATGATGTTAGTCCACTTTACCACGTGAAGATTCAGCCCATAGTGGTAAAAGGTAAACACATGAGAGTGTTGAATCTCTGCTAGGTACGAAATTGCAATTCTCACTTTGAGAAACTCAGCACAGAGCTGTTAGACTGAAATCTGAGTTACTCAACATCATCGATCATCATAGCTCACCAGTTTTAAGAATTGGATAAACTCGCCCACCCATTGCAATGTACTCCAGGAATAGCTATGGACGACACCGTGACATCGAAGCACTAACGGATAATATAGGACACTTGAGCTTCGATGCGACAGAAAGCCCCTCTAAATTCGATTTTGAACCAAGCACCCCGTCCAGATATCGGGGCGATTATGGGACACCTTCGCCCACGAAGTCAGTAAATGGTGCAAATATCTCTCGAGCATCGATGATGGACGTTGATGACGCTCCTTTCAACGCTGACGTCGATTATACACAATCTCCAAAGAAGCTGCCGCTAGATTTTCACCGTAAAGCTTCTTCAAACAATACCAAAAGGCTGGTTAACGTTTGCCAAATGTATTTCTTGGACTACTATTGTGACATGTTCGACTACGTGATCAGCAGAAGAGAACGTGCTCGACAGGTCATGAAATACTTGGAGCAGCAGCGTGTTCAGGGCACTGCAGGTGGGGAGCTCACAAGGGAATGGCATTCGTACGTGGAGAAAGAGACTGGAATATTGAGAAATCGCAGACTGAAGCCTAAAAACAAAGACTTCGAAATGATCACCCAGGTAGGCCAAGGTGGTTACGGACAGGTATATTTGGCCAGGAAGCGCGATACCCGGGAAATCTGTGCATTGAAGATTTTGAACAAAAAACTGCTCGTCAAACTGAACGAGACAAACCATGTCCTGACTGAAAGAGATATCTTGACGACCACTCGGTCCGATTGGCTCGTAAAGCTTCTCTATGCGTTCCAAGATCCTGCTAGTCTGTACTTGGCAATGGAGTTCGTTCCAGGGGGCGACTACCGGACTTTACTTATTAACACAAGATTTCTGCAAGCGCCTCATGCTCGGTTCTACATCAGTGAGATGTTTTGCGCTGTAGACGCTTTGCATCAGCTGGGCTATACGCATAGAGATTTGAAACCTGAAAACTTTTTGATCGATTCTAGAGGGCACATCAAGCTCACAGACTTCGGCCTAGCCGCAGGCACAGTCTCGATGGAAAGAATCGAGAGTATGAAGATCAGACTGGAAGAGGTCAAAACTCTAGACTTTCCAAAATTCGAAGAGAAGTCCATGACCGATCGGAGACAGATGTACAAGAAGTTAAGAGCCGACGACGTCAACTATGCATCATCCACAGTAGGCTCACCAGACTACATGGCTTTGGAAGTCCTGGAAGCGAAAAATTATGATTTCACAGTCGATTACTGGTCTCTCGGCTGCATATTATTCGAGAGTTTGGTTGGATACACGCCCTTCAGTGGATCATCCACTAATCAAACTTATGAGAATTTGAGGTGCTGGAAGCAAGTATTAAAAAGACCCAGATGTGACAATGGTCGTTATGCCTTCTCCGACAGAACGTGGGACCTCATTACAAGACTGATTGCTGATCCAATGAGCAGACTTCGGTCGTTCGAGCATGTCAGGAAGATGAAGTACTTTGCAGAAATCGCTTTTGAGAACCTGAGAAGCATCAGTCCGCCATTCATTCCCCAATTAGACAATGAGACAGATGCAGGCTACTTTGATGACTTTAGCAGCGAAGCTGACATGGCCAAGTATGCTGACGTTTTCAAACGCCAGGACAAACTGACAGCTATGATGGACGATTCGGACGTGGTTTCCAAATTAGTTGGTTTTACCTATAGACACAAGAAAGGCAAGAATGGTTCTACGGGCATCATATATGGGGGCTCTGAGCAAGCAGATCCGTTCGCAACATTCTACTAAGTTTGGGACCACGGATCTTTTAGGAGGGACGAGAGATACGTAGTGAGAGGACTAGGTTGGATTTATAATATGATAGTAAAAACATATTACGGTTAAGTGGAATAATAGAAGTCGCTTTGATGTCGGACCAGCTTCTAGACAATTTATACGTTACAAGCGACGACGTCGATCTTACAGAAAAGTTTCCAAACTTTCTACAGTAGCAGCGGGTTCAAGTAAGACGTGCTCAGGTCCTCTCTTATCAATGCCCAAGGTGTATGTCAATCATTAAGTGCACACTTGAATTATCAAGCCTTGTAACATTTTTATTAACTTAGATTTCAACCGTAGTTTGGTGTTGCGTGCCAACGTTCAGACTTTGACGGATGTCTTAGACAAAGCAAATGCTTTGAATCAAAAGTCAGGACCCTTCGATTGTGCCATAATCCTTGGAAAAGTGCTTGAATCGACGGAGAGTGTTGAGCGTCCAGGACTTCCAGTGTTTTTCACGAACGGCGATGGGATGCTGGTTGAGAAACAAGGCTCAGAATCTTTAGGTCATAATTTGACCCTTTTAAACGGATATGGCATGTTTCAAAACTCTAGTGGCTTGAGAATTGGATATTTGACTGGCAACAAGAACTTTATAATGGACAATGAGGAGCAGATAAAATCCTACTTCAAAAGTGCAGAAATTAAAGATCTGGATATTTTGATCACAGATGGTTGGAGCAAGGCTCTTTTCTTGAATGACAACGATCAATCGAGAGCTGACACTTTGGAGGATGAAATCGTCAAGATTTCGAAACCAAAGTACCATTTTGCGACGCTGGCGAAGAGTAAATTTCATGAGGCCACTCCTTTCAAATGGGCGGATTCCGAGACTATCACCAGGTGTCTCAATATTGCAGAGTATAATTCGGGTGCTAGATGGGCATATGCCTTTAGTGTCGATTCTACACTGAGCGACAATCAGGCGTTACCAAAAGTGTTAGCTAACAATCCCTACGAAGCAAAACCGTTCTCAAAGCGTACCTTCGAAGCCGAAGAACCCAAGAGCCATACGCTCACTAAAAGACCTAAGCAAATATTGCCTGAAGAGTGCAGATTTTGTTTAAGCAATCCCGCAGTGCAAGATCATCTCATTATTCACATAAGCGAACACGCTTACCTGACAATCGCAAAAGGTCCATTGACCATGCCTACATCTCAGATGGACTTTTCAGGCCATTGTTTACTCATACCGATTAAACATATACCAAAATTGAAGACAGCTGAAGTATCACAGGGTGACGTATTTGACAGTACATTGTATCAGGAACTCGAAAAATACGAAAATAGCATCGTGGCCATGAACCACCAGCAATTTCAAATGTCCACGGTTGTTTTTGAAATAAATTCCCAGAATTCTGTGCACTATCACATACAGATAATGCCTATCCCAGCCTATTTGATTCCCAAATTTGACTCAGCGCTTGAGAGGCAAGTTCACTTCAACAACACAAAATACAGCAACAATGCCAAACTGAAATTTGATACTTTCCAAGGAACGAGCGATGATAGTTTTAGAGCAAAGTTGAACGACCCTAGTCTGAATTATATCAAATTTGCGGTCCACGAGAACAGTACGGCATGTCCTAAGATATATATGGCAACCTTTAATTCGGGCGAAAGAATTGATCTGCAATTTGGAAGGCGTGTTCTTGCCTTCGTCCTCAAACTACCAAAAAGAGCCAAATGGGACTCTCCTGCTTGTACTCAAACTCTAGAGCAGGAAAAACACGATGTCCAAGCATTCCAAGCGCATTTTAAAAGTTTTGAACCCTCAACATAGAGAATCGAGAAGGCTTTACCTGAAGATATATAATTCTATACACCATTCAATCCATCGTTTGCATCCTCTTCGCCTTCACCCAGGTCCAACTTTCTCCGGCCGCCATTCCTCAAGGCAGCGTGCTCTTGTGTTCTAACTTGCGATCTGACTTTCTGTGTCATTCTACTAATTTGTTCTTCAGCATCCTGTGGTTCTTGTTCGGCATGCTGCATAACTAAACGACGTCCCAGCAAATGCACACCTTGCAGTTGTTCCATAGCGTTTTCAGCCTCCTTCGGCAGCAAGAACTCAACGAACGCAAATCCCCTGGCAGATTTGTCGAATTTCTTTGGGACTCTAACGGACTTTAGTTGGCCAAAAGAGCTGAATAGTTCGAAAATTTGCTTACGCTCTGCCTCGAACGGCAAGTTTTTGACTATTATCTTACCGCTTGCCTTCTTCTTGGACTTTCTTGACCCGGAATCTGCGGTACCCTGGCGATGAGACAGCTTTAGTTGCATTCTGTGACCATCCAATACAGATCCGTCCAAAGCGCTAATGACTGCAAGCGCTTGTTCCTTCGTTTTATATTCAGCAAAACCAAAACCCATTGACAAAGTTTTTCCGCTGTTCTTTGAGTCTGGTTTGGTTTTGACTTGTGCAACAATGAATCCACTGAATGGACTAAATTTCTCAGTAAGCTGAGCACTCGTGGTAGAAAAGTTTAGATTCTTGACAAAAATCGACACTGTAGGGCCATCGAAAACGTCATCTGCGCCATGCTCTTCAGGAGTCTCCTGCACACCAACGTCCATGACATCTTTCGATGTGGCTTTCGCTTCCTTAGCATTGACCGTTTCATCGCCTAAATCAGAGTCCATGATTTCATCGCCTTGTGCATCTCTGTTGAAGCAGTTCTTTGGACCCTTCTCCAGGTACAAAATGCCGTCCTTGAATCTCTTGTAAGACAGCTTACTGAATGCGCTTCTAGCAGCGGTAATGTCTCTATACTGAACAACAGCAATGGTTTGAGCTGGTGGCATCAAGAGTCTCTCTAGTTTACCGAAGGGCAAAAATAACTCGGCAAGTTCAGCTTTAGTAGTTCCAAAAGGAAAGTTCTTCACCAAAAGAACCCTGTCATCGCGGTCACTGAGCGACTTAGACTGCACAAAATTAGCAAGATCCATGCCCTTGGACTCGAAGTATTTTCTCACATCTCCAATAACATGAGCCTCGGCAAGTGCTTGTTTGACGGCAGCTCCGGAATCGGTGGCGTCCATCAATTCAGATTTCTGAACGCCTAGTTTGGAGGCGACACTGCTTAATACAGCATCTTGACTCATATAAAGTGAGTTCCACGAAAATGTGTCTTGAGAAGCATGTGCTTTGCGCTTAAGAGCCTTTTGTTTCTTCAAAGGTAAATTCTTGAGATCAAATTCGTCCAACCTATGAGACTTTTTCTCGTCTGCTGGCAAAATGTGTAGGAGACGGCCTTGAAAGATGTTTTTATCCAACTCGACATATGCACTTACAGCGTCATCGGGTTTAGAAAACATCACGTAAGCGAAACCTTTGGACTTTCCGGTCCTTGTGTCTAAAGCAACATGTACTTCCTCTAGTTCGCCAAACGGAGAAAATAGTTCCCTGAAGTCTGCTTCCTTGGCTGTGTATAGAATGTTTCGCAGAAATAAACGGCCCGTCGTCTTGATCTTTTCGATGATCTTCTCTTCTTCGGTTGTGTCCATTTCAGGCTCCTCGACAGTTGTCGCTGAGGCTTGAGGAACGGATTCACTGTCAGCACTTTCGGCCTCGCGTTCGACTTCTTTCGCGGGCAGGTCAGGTTCCTGGCCTTCTGGACGCTCTTTGATCCTAATGCGACGCTGTTTGAGCCAGTCGAAGTCTGAGACTTCTTGATCTTGAGCAAAAGTGGAATTGCGGTCTTCTTTGATCTCATCCAATTTCATCATGGGCTCGTCATCCTCTGCAACTTTATTTTCGTCGCCTTTGTTGTTTAGACTGACGTATTCATCGTCACTCTCATTTTCAGGCACACCGGGCTGATCAAGGCCTCCGAAAGAGCTGGTTTCATCCCTCTCATTGGCGGCCCCGGGCTTCATGGCCAACGCCTGCGCCAGCAGAGAATTTCCTTGTGGGGCTCCAGGACCAGCGTGCTGTTGTTGTTGCTGTCGCTGTTGCTGTTGCTGTTGCTCCTGCGCAGATCCCAGCGAACCACCCAAATTATCCCACGAGGTTACCTGAGAGCTAGGCTTCATGGTATCCATGAACTCTTGCAACTGCTTGTTTCTTTGGACTTCTGCGTCAATTGTAGCTGTAGGTGCAGAACGGGCTTGCTGTTTTGTCTTTTTGGTGGATTGTTCCTCGAGAAGCTGTTCTTCCCGCTCGCGTAGCCTCTTCAAGGCTTCTCGCCTTTTTTCACGCATTGGCTGTGGAACTCTGGGATCGGCGAAACTTTTCGCCATGGACACCTCGATCTTGCAAGTGTCGATGAACGAGCCATCAAAATACTGTACGGCGTCAAAGGCATCTGCTTCGTGGCGAAACCCGATGAAAGCGAATCGGCGCGACTCGCCTGCTCTGTTTTTCAGTATCTTAACGTCGGTGATGAACTCCGATACATCTTCCTTTGGATGAATCTGCGTCAAACGCTTGCTGAAGTGTTTCTTCAAATTTCCTTCTTCCAGGTACTTCGGAAGTCCTTTGACTATAGTTCTCGACATCGGTATGCTAAGCTCGGTAATGTGTTAACTTCAAGATGCGACCAACTAGAATGGAATTGAGCTGAAGTAGATGGGATTCCATTGAATGAATGCGATGCGATGCGATGCGATGAGCATCGCCATACATTTACAGTAAATTTTTCAGTTTCGTATATAGTTATCTGAATTTATTCGATTTACATTATCGAGTCAGCTATCCAGTCGCGCATTTTCCTCCATCTGTTTATCTACTCCCTTTTTGGGCTACCATTCCCAAACAGGCATTTCTCTCGACTTCATACCATATATGGCGAGTCTTTTCCCAATATGGCAGCCTTGTCCAATTTTCGATTTTCTAAAAAATTTGATCTCACATTGTACGAGCTTTACTCAATTTCCAATCGCTCTGGTTCTCACTCACTCACTCACTTCGAACAGGTTTCTTAACCTCACAACTGACATTGAATTGTCACGATTACATGCTAAATAGCCTGTTAAGGATCTCCAAACCCTGTGTTCCGTTTCTAGCACGTCGACATTATATAGGCCCTACGAATTTAAGAAGAATTTCGTTACAGCGGTGTCAGTTTAGTACGAAACCCAGCGCCATGAGTACCGACCAGAAACTGCCTCCGGTAGATCCCAAGACGGGAGAAATCATTATAAACCCTCTAAAGGAAGATGGTAGCGAGAAGACTGCTAAGGAAATCGAAAAAGAGCGCAAGAAGGCCGAGAAACTGTTGAAATTTGCCGCCAAACAAGCTAAGAAATCCGAGGCGGCCAGTAAACAGAGCGCTGCACCCAAGAAGGAGAAGAAAAAGAAGGAGGTTGAGATTATTCCAGACTTCGTCGACAAGACTGTTGCCGGTGAGAAAAAAATCCTTGTGTCTCTTGACGACCCCGCTTTAAAGGCGTACAACCCAGTCAACGTCGAAAGCTCGTGGTACGACTGGTGGGTCAAGTCCGGCTTTTTCGAGCCAGAATTCACCAAAGACGGCCAGATCAAGCCCGAGGGCGTTTTCACCATTCCTGCTCCGCCCCCAAATGTTACCGGTGCTCTTCACATCGGACACGGGCTCACCATTGCCATTCAGGACTCTTTGATCAGGTATAACAGAATGAAGGGTAAAACTGTCTTGTTCTTGCCTGGTTTCGACCACGCTGGTATCGCCACTCAATCGGTGGTTGAGAAGCAGGTGTGGGCCCAGGAGCAAAAGACCAGACACGACTACGGTAGAGAAGCATTTGTCGAGAAGATCTGGGAATGGAAGGAAGAATATCACAACAAAATCAAGAACCAGATCAACAAGTTGGGTTCCTCTTACGATTGGTCTCGTGAAGCCTTCACTTTGAGTCCGCAATTAAGCAAATCTGTCACAGAGGCTTTCGTCAGACTGCATGAAGAAGGTATCATCTACCGTGCTTCGAGATTGGTCAACTGGTCCGTCAAGCTAAATACTGCTATCTCGAATTTGGAGGTTGAAAACAAAGACATCAAAGCGAGAACCATGCTGTCCGTCCCCGGTTATGATGAAAAAATTGAGTTTGGCGTCTTGACGTCTTTTGCATACAATGTTGTGGACTCAGACGAGAAATTGATTGTGGCAACAACCAGACCTGAGACTATTTTCGGTGACACCGGTGTTGCTGTGCATCCTGATGACTCTCGTTACAAACATCTCCACGGTAAATTTGTGTGTCATCCATTTGTTGACAGAAAGGTCCCAATTGTATGTGACAGTGAAGCCGTCGACATGGCATTTGGTACTGGTGCCGTCAAAATTACCCCAGCTCATGACCAAAACGATTACAACACTGGTAAGCGTCACAACTTGGAGTTCATTAACATCATGACAGACTCTGGTTTGTTGAACGACAACTGTGGCCCTGAATGGAGTGGCATGAAAAGATTCGATGCCAGATCGAAGGTCATTGAGGCCCTTAAGGAGAAGGGTCTCTACGTGGGACAAGAAGGCAATGAAATGACCATTCCAACATGCTCCAGATCTGGTGACGTCATTGAACCATTGCTGAAACCACAATGGTGGGTGTCTCAGAATGATATGGCTAAGGAAGCCATCAAAGCCGTCAAGGATGGAAAAATCACCATTACGCCAAAATCCTCAGAGGCCGAATACTTCCACTGGTTAGAAAACATCCAGGATTGGTGTATTTCCAGACAACTATGGTGGGGTCATCGCTGTCCGGTGTACTTTGTTGAGGTCGAGGGCGAAGAGCATGACAGCATGGACGGTGAATACTGGATTTCCGGTAGAACTCTGGAAGAAGCTGAAGCCAAAGCCGCCAAGAAATTCCCTAAAGTTAAGTACACGTTGAGACAAGATGAGGATGTTCTTGACACTTGGTTTTCATCGGGTCTATGGCCATTCTCCACTCTCGGCTGGCCAGACAAGACTTCAGATCTCTCGAAATTTTATCCTTTCTCGATGCTAGAGACTGGTTGGGATATCTTGTTTTTTTGGGTCTCAAGAATGATTTTGCTAGGCTTGAAATTGACTGGTGAAGTCCCTTTCAAAGAGGTGTTCTGTCACTCTCTTGTTCGTGATGCTCAGGGTCGTAAGATGTCCAAATCTTTGGGTAATGTCATTGATCCGCTAGATGTCGTGACAGGGATCAAGCTAGAAGACTTGCATGCTAAATTGCTCACTGGTAACTTGGACCCAAGAGAGATCGAAAAGGCCAAAAACGGACAGAAGGAATCCTATCCAAACGGTATTCCTCAATGTGGTACCGACGCTCTCAGATTTGCGCTTTGTGCATACACCACTGGTGGCCGTGACATTAACTTGGACATCATGCGTGTTGAAGGCTACAGAAAGTTCTGCAACAAGATCTATCAAGCTACTAAATTCGCCTTGCTACGTCTAGGTGCAGACTATCAGCCTTCTGCTGAGGAAAAACTATCAGGACAGGAATCCTTGGTTGAAAAGTGGATTCTCAACAAGATGACACATTACTCCAAAACTGTTAACGATGCTTTGGATAAGCGTGATTTCTTGACTTCTACCAGTGGTATCTACGAGTTCTGGTATTTGGTTTGTGACGTCTACATTGAAAACTCCAAGTACTTGATTACCGAAGGTAGCGAAGCTGAGCAAAAATCTGCGAAGGACACCCTGTACACTTTGATTGACAATGCGCTAAGGTTGATTCATCCTTTCATGCCATTCATTTCCGAAGAAATGTGGCAACGTTTGCCAAAGCGTGCCTCTGAGACTTCGCCCACGATCGTGAAAGCTTCTTACCCAGTTTATAGAGAAGACTACGACAACGAAAAGGCTGGCAAAGAATACGAGTTGATTTTGGATGCTATCAAAGAGGCGCGTTCGCTTTTGGCTCAATACGGTATTTTGAAGAACGGTAAGGTCTTCATCGAATCTTCTAACGCCGAATTCTTGGAAACTGCTATTAACCAAAAAGAGTCCATCGTCTCCTTGATCAAAGCTATCGATGAGGTCAATGTGGTTAAGAGCTCTTCTGAGATTCCCGAGGGAGCTGTCTTGCAAGCTGTGAACCCTGAAATTAACGTCCACGTTTTGGTGAAGGGACATGTCGACATCGATGCTGAAATTTTCAAGACTCAATCCAAGCTAGAAAAAGCTCAGAAGGTTAAGGAAAACATTGACAAGACGATGAACAGTCCCGACTACGAAGCTAAAGCTAACGAACAAGCGAAAGCCACCAACAACACAAGGCTCCAAAATACCTTGGCTGACATTGAAGGTCTTGAGGCCACGATTGCCAACCTCGAGCGTTTAAAATTATAGAGTGTGTTAGAAATTATGACACTCCCATGTCAATATCTGTAGTTTAGTTAATGTACACCTTGTTTGTTTTAATTCGATCAAACTGTGCCGGACTATAGCCAGGTTCACCTATCTATCGCCACACAAAATCCTGCTGGATTTTATGTTGAATGACTTTACGCAATTCTAGTGCGGTCTCAACACATGCTTTTTCACCAGACTGCAGGACCTGAAGCATCGACTTCTCAGTAAAGTCCCCATAGCTCTCGAACAACAAAATGTTTTCAACTTTTTGGCCACCAGCCGCCAGTTGTAATGCTAGGACGTGTGTAGAGCTCGATTTGATCAGGTCGGTCTGTGATGGGTCTACACAAATCTGTTCGTCCTCACCAAGTACCGAGAGAGGTACACTTGCGAATGAAAACTTAAGACCAATCCCTGCATCCACTATTGCTACAAAAGCTGCGTTTATACATGCACTGAGCTCTTTGACGCTGTAGTTCTCCTCTGGCTCCCCGCTTTCCAGAATTTGGAAACACACTTGAGCCAATTGTCTGGGATATAGATACCGTGCTAGCACAGGCGTTATCACTCCACGGACTTGGTCCTCTAATAACTTTTCTCGGGTACTGGGAACGCCTCGACAGGGTCTAACCACTATTTCCAGTGCTAGTTGTGCCGGCAGTTCTTGTCTAGCCTTGGGCTCTATGGGGCCTGTAACTGAGCATATCACCGTCGTTTCACCACATTGAAGCTTGCACGAGCCGTCGACTTGCTCTAAAATACCTGTTTGAGCTGAAAGCATGCCTTATGTAGATCTCTGGCGAGTGTTGAGCTTTGAGATGGATTCCATCGCTGTTCAAATTTGTATAGTTTTTCTGACTCTCCTCGAAGAGAAAATTGACTAGAGAAACGAGTGGTTGACGGAGAGTAATAATCAAACTGTCACCACTTTAGTGTAGGCTCACCTGCTATTTGGAGCATTGTATTTCGAGCTATGAGGTGCGATTGAGACTCTTCAAATAGTCGATCGACGAATATCTTATTTGTAGCCGTTGAAGTGTCTCAGTTGTGTGCAAGATGCGATTTCTTGATGTCTAGGAATTTTTGAGAATGATGTTTTGAATGATAATGGAAGTACTGAGTTGGAGAAAGACAGTTGGTAACTGGCCTCCAGCTGCGAAGTTTTGTAGCTCTACCTGATTTTTTTTTTTGACGAAGTGGAAGAGGGACAGCTTTTCTCAGAAACAGAAAACCCTCTTCACAGCATGGGAGAAACTCATCATCATCGAAAATTGGACTATCACTATCTTATTCGAGTTACAAGTGCACACAGCAATGGCCAGGATAATCGTGTAAAAAGCTCTTGCCAATACGTTTCAAGAATTCATAAGATTTCTACACAGCCTCTGGAATCTGTAACAGCAGCTGTATATTATTTCAACAATTTTTGGACCAAGTTTCTTTGTAAAATTAAGCCTCTCGTATAGTTACGGAAACTTTTAATGGGCAGCACTATTAGCGTTAAGGGTTCCAAAATTAACATCAGAAATTATGCTAAAACCTCGAAGATTCGCACACAGAACCGTCCGATTTTCGAGATGAAAAGTTGAATGCACAGGATGGTGTTTTATAATTTCTTCCATCAGAATTGTAACTCAACGAACTGCTCGCATTTGTGCTGGGTGGCTCGGTTCCGCTATGTTGCGACTACCAATGGAATTCGAAATGGATCTGACACGTGCTCTTTTGCAGTCAGATCGCTAAATGAACGACTTGAGAATCAACTTGAAGGCACTGTGCTATCTACTTAAACTTGTGCTTCCAGTAACTCGAGAAGAACCAAACTTTTGAAGCCTTACTGATGAATTGTTGTACTCAAGCTCTTTAAAGCTCCTGTATTCTTTCAGCTTTCGCCGTGTTTTGCTGGGCCAAAAATGCCGAAGCTATCTGCATAAATGCCAAATTTAGCTTGGCGAATTTCGCTCGATGTTTAGACCGATTATACGAGTTTATGAAAACCAGACTTCGACGTCTGAGCTTCTTTGGAACTTCAGATTATCCTCAAATTCGACCTCTTCGAAAATGGACTTTTTCAATGGGTGACAATATCGAAGTCATCTGCATCGCCTGGCAAGGAGGTGCAGCTGCATGTTGGTAATTTAACACAGCCTAAGCTGGCTACTCGAAACACTAACAGAGCTTAAATAAAAAAAGACCGTATTATTACGTTTTGTCGAGATATCCATATTGCTTCATATATAAAAATATTGAATACCAGAACTACATATCTCCATCAACTCTGAGTTACACGCTTACCGATCTTATGCCTCATCAACATAATCCAAAAACATTTTCCATTGTTTAGCCTTTCTAGTGGGGTATCGAGTCAACTGTTGGTGTTCCATCACTTAAAATCTAGACATTTTAAAGCGATGATCGAAAAGCGAATAAACTAAGTTACAGGAAGAATATGAGTTCTGCAATTGCCTGTGACCCAATTTCCACTGCAAGAGCCATCAACATCTAGAAAACTCGAAAGAATCACTATAAAATCGCATGTATAAAGCCTTAATTTCAAAATGATGCCTTCAAATGAAGAGAGCGTCCGGAAGATGGTTGCGTTATTCCATTGAATAGTGAATATTTGATATCGTAATTCTTGAGTACCCCAAGTCAACCTGGCCTCAATCGATTCGGTTCGTCGAAAGTCTCTCCTCTCTTCATAAATAAAAAGTTACCGAGTCCATTGCCATAAATTGTTACGTATACCAGGCCAAAACTCACTGCTGCTGTACAGATTTCGAAAAGAGAATCGTTGATGCACTGAGATCATTTCATTTCGACTCAGCAATCCAATCAGTTTGACGATGCAAGAAGATCATTTGCGTAAGGGCCAGGAAGTGCCCTTTCATTGGTCTGTGCTAGCTGGATGCGCATCGGGACTCAGCGCACGTTTCGTAACAGCTCCATTAGATACCGTAAAGATACGATTCCAGCTGCATTTAGCCAACGAAGCATCACAAGGAGGAATTTTCTCCGTCGTACGATCAATTGTTCGTCAAGAAGGCATGCGTGCATTGTGGAAGGGAAATGTCCCTGCAGCTGCCATGTATATATTGTACGGCTCAACGCAGTTCGGTGCGTTTTCGACGTTCAACAAAGCCCTTGCTGACAACCAATGGCCTGCCCAAATTCATAGCTGTGTTGTGGGGGCTCTGGCTGGTAGTTGCAGCGCAATGACGTCCTATCCGTTTGATGTTCTAAGAACACGCTTCGTGGCTAACCACGACAAGGCGTTGGCTACGATGCTTGGAACAACGCGCAGCATTTTGCGGCATGAAGGTTTTCGAGGGTTTTTCCGAGGTGTTTCTTCCTCAATAGTGTCAATCGGCATTGCATCCTCCTCGATGTTTGCAACTTACGAAAGCATCAAGATTTTTTGCGAGCAAAGTCCATCTAAAGACTCAATGCCCATTAAGGTTTTGGAGTCCTCTGCAAGCGTTTTAGCGGGCTTGTTTTCCAAAACACTCGTTTTCCCCATCGACACGATACGAAAAAGGTTTCAAGTCGTGAATTCTCAGCAACTCGACTATCTAAGTCAACACAACGAAGCATACAGCGCCTACAAGAGCACAAATTTCACTCAATTGGCACGCAGAGTGGTTCAGAAAGAAGGTTTTCTGGCTCTATATCGGGGTTTTACTCTATCTCTCGTGAAGAGCATCCCAAGCACAGTAGTCAGTATTGGTGTCTACGAGTGGACTTTACGACAAATGCGGTAGCCTCGGAGAAGCGCATTGATTGACCTTTTTCATCGTGTATTCGAGCTGAATACGTTAAACAGAGGGTCGAACATAAGAGAAATCGAACATGAGAGAAAAGTGTAGTATTTTATTTCACAATTGCAGACTAATTCGATACTATCAGTACCCAAATCGGCTGTCTCCACTGCTCTTTCGGCCATTGATGCCTGAACTGACCAAAATCGATCAAAAACGCACAAGAAGTTTCATTTTTGGTCAGGAAAATTCCAAAACACGAAGCTCATAGGAGCTTAACCCGATTATAGGCAAACGACGTTCCCAGTCCAACAGAACTCGCAAGCTAGCCTGATCGATCGAGCTCAAGTCGATGTCAGTATCGAACTCTGCCGTTAAGTTACCCTCATCACCTTGTACTAAGATTTTATCATTACAAGCTGAACTCAACTTCAAGTACTTGACCTAAAGCGAAATACCCATAACTTGAAGCGAGAAATCAACAGCTTTGAGAGCCTTTAACTGGGTTTTTACCGCGCGAAAATGTCACAGCGAAAGCTACAACAGGATATCGAAAAGCTTTTGAAAAAAGTCAAAGAAGGATTGCAAGATTTTGAAGATGTATATGACAAGTTTCAAAGCACTGACGCTTCCAACACATCGTACCGCGAAAAGCTAGAAGGGGACTTGAAACGTGAGATCAAGAAGCTACAAAAACACAGAGATCAGATTAAGACATGGCTGAGCAAAGAAGATGTCAAGGACAAGCAGCAAGTGCTGATGGAACATCGACGTTTAATAGAATCAGGCATGGAACGATTTAAATCGGTAGAAAAACTGATGAAGACCAAGCAATTCTCTACAGAGGCGCTCACAAATCCAGACATCATCAAAGACCCTCGCGAGCTGAAAAAACGGGATCAATTCCTGTTCATTCAGGACTGTCTTGAAGAATTGCAAAAACAGCTAGAGTCGTTCGAAGCTCAAGAAGATGAGCATCAATGCGAAAGACACGTTTTCCACATCGCCAACCTAGAAAATATTTTAAAACAACTGCAAAACAACGAACTTGAGCCTGACACTGTGGAGGAGTATCAGGACGACATTCAATACTACGTGGAAAACAACGACGATCCAGATTTCATAGAGTACGATACGATTTATGATGACATTGGGTGTGAGATCCAGCCCGGTGACGAGGTCAAAGATGCCGAGACGCCTTTAAAAGCACCAAAGCTAAGCAGAGCGGAAAGGTCGCCAAAAAAAAGAGAATCATCAGTGCCTGTTCAGCCACCCACCTCAGCAGCGGGCTCGACTGCGGAAAGGTCCAGTATTGTGACTGCATCGCCAAACGCTTCAACCACAAATTTGGCTTCTTCGCCCGTGAAAAAGGATGCCAGTCATCAACAGCAGTTGTCTGAGAGGAGCGGAACTCCTAGCCTGAAAAATCAGTCCATTGGGAGCTCAGATCAAGCTCAAGGACAGACTCAATCCTGTGCGCCGGCCGAAAAACCGGCAGTGCAACCTCCCAGGGATATTTCGAAAGAAATCGAAGATATTTTGGCACAAGACAGAACGGAATACTCAGCTTTGCAAAATCCGCTTTTTCAACCTGGATTGGACTACTGGCTGGAAACCAAGCGTACCCTTTTACAACCTCATGAGACGATGCCTGCGGAAATGGCTTCACAACTGGAGTCCTCTCTGCTCAATTGTCCAGATTCCCTCGACGCTGATACTCCCAAACTCTATTACAACTCATTATCATTGCCTCACCCAACATCCATATTTTTCCCCAACGAAACCATCAGACTGGTTTCTAATGACCCAGTAGACCTAGCAAAGAACCACCAGAAACAGAATGACATTTATTCGAGGACGTCGATGGGTCGCATCATGTCGAGATTCGACCTGGACACTTTGTTTTTCATATTTTACCATTATCAAGGAACGTATGAACAATTTCTGGCAGCCCGAGAACTCACGATTAGAGGCTGGCAGTTCAACAAAATTAATCGTTGCTGGTTTTACAAAGAGGTGGAAAAGCTTCCACCTGGCATGGAACAGTCAGAGGAAATTTCCTGGAGATATTTCGATTATCAAAAGTCCTGGCTAGCAAGACGCTGCGGCGCCGAATTTGTATATCGAGAAGAAGAATTTGAAAGGATATAGGTACCAATCTTGTACAATACTTCATAGCATTTCAAAGTTGCATCAATCAAATTGTATTGTTAATAGTGTGAATTTTTTCTGCTCGCAGTTCATGCCCGAGGCTCTACAAGAGTAAGATCTACCAAGTTGCAATTCTTGCCAAAGACATTAAATTTTTAAACAAAAACATTTGTCGATTTATGTTTTATTTAAACTCGGGTTGACCCTGTTCAACTTTTTTACAATTCCTGCTCAAGAAACTGCTCGCTAAAGTACTGAATTTGTTTGAAGTTGTATTCAAATCCACCGTCTCCACCGTAGTAAGGGTCGTCGACGATCTCTCTATACTTGCCATCCTTATTCCATTGTCCGAACATAGAAAGTTTAGCTTTCGAGTCGCTAGGCTTCATTCTTTGTAGGTTTCTCAAATTCATTTCGTCCATGCACACAATGTAATCGAATTCTTGAAAATGGTGGCCTTTAATCTGTTGAGCGCGATGGTTCACTGGAATGCCATGTTTGCGACAAGTAGCGGCTGAGCGTGGGTCTGGGTTCTCTCCCTTATGCCAGCCACCAGTCCCAAATGAATCGATTTTTGCAAATCGATCCTGTAGACCATTTTGCTTAACGGTATGGGCGAAAACCGCCTCTGCCATAGGCGAGCGACAGATATTTCCTAAACAAACGAATGCTACTGATATGGAGTCTTCAGTCATGGCGTTAAGGATCGAGAAGAAGCTGTGTTTTACACTTTCCAACACGAATACGAAGTTTAGTCTCGAAGTAAGAGCACCAGTAAGAAAAGTGCAAATCGCAACAAGAATATAAGTTTCGAGCAAATTCAATATCTATACATATTTCAAGCGATTCTAGGTTGAATATTGGTAACGAATTGTCTGTCTTGTTATGTACAAATACACTGATCGAAATCCGGGGTCATTTCTATTCATTTCAAAAACAAAGCTGCGGTGTGTACGTATGTATGTGTGCGTGTAAGTGCGTTTATAAAACAATTAAAAGTCAATATAATTTAGAAAGGCTTGTGCAAAGGAGAAATGACTTGCTTGTTCTTGTAGAAAGCAATAGTCTTTTCAGCTCTGGTGGCAATGCCCTCTGGGGTGAATTCGAAAGTCTTGTAAATTTCTGGAGCAGGACCGGAAGCACCAAATCTGTCTAGACCAAACGATTCATGAGCATACTTGGACCAGCCAGAAGTGGACAAGACTTCGATAGACATAATTGGAATATCATCTGGGAAAACAGACAACTGGTATTCTTCGGACTGTTGGTCAAAAGTGTAAAAGTCTGGCAGAGAGACAACACGAGCCTTGACGTTCTTTTCGGCCAATTTCTTAGCAGCATCCACGGTGATGGAAACTTCGGAACCGGTAGAGACCAAAGTGATGTCGGCGTTTTCCACATCTTGTAGAACGTAACCACCCTTGGCAGCCTTTTCAATACTGGAACCTTCCAATTGAGGCAAGTTCTGTCTGGACAAAGCGATGATAGCTGGGGTGTGCTTGGAAGTTAGGGCAACCTTGTAAGAGGCCGAGACTTCGTTACCGTCAGCTGGTCTCCATACTTGCATGTTTGGCAAAGCTCTGAAGTGAGCCAAGGTTTCAATAGGTTGATGGGTTGGGCCATCTTCACCTAGACCGATAGAGTCGTGGGTGGCCACGAAGATCACTGGGTGACCAGACAAAGCGGAGAGTCTAACGGCACCGGACGCGTAGGACACAAAGTTTAGGAAAGTACCACCGTAAGCCTTGTAGTTGGCACCGAAAGCGGAAATACCGTTCATGATGGCGGCCATACCGTGTTCTCTAACACCGTATCTGATATATCTACCGGCGTAGTCACCTAGACCGGAAGAAGGTGGTTGGAAATCCACAGCTTCCTTCCATCTGGTCAAATTGGAACCGGTCAAATCGGCAGAACCACCGATCATTTCGGGCAAAGCACCTTGAATGTTTTGCAAAACGATTTCGGAAAGTTTTCTGGTGGCCACTGGGGAGTCCTTAGGAGTGAAAGCTGGCAAAGTTTTCTCCCAGTCTTGAGGTAGTTCGCCGGAGATTCTTCTGGTGACCTCAGCAGCTAGCTCAGGGTACTTGCTGGAGTATTGTTCGAGCAATTGAGTCCACTCGTTGTATTGCTTGACACCGGGTTGGATGATCTGGGTGTTGTACAGGTCGTAAACCTCTTGAGGCACGACGAAGGATTGTTCGGCGTCGAAGCCCATTGTGGTCTTGAGCTGCTTGACATCGTCAGGCTTCAAAGGGGAACCGTGGACGGAGTGGGTACCGGCTTGCAAAGAGCCGAAACCGATGGTGGTGGTCATCTTGATCAAGGTGGGCTTGTCCTTGGACTGCTTGGCCTGGGCGATACATTCGGCGATGCTGTCGAGGTCCTCGTTACCGTTTTCGACGTAGAGCACTTCCCAGCCGTACGCTTCGTAGCGCTTGGCCACGTCTTCGGTGAAGGAGACGTTGGTGTTACCGTCGATAGTGATCTGGTTGTCGTCGTACACGGCGATTAAGTTGCCGAGTTTGAGATGGCCTGCCAAAGAGCAAGCTTCGGAGGCAACGCCTTCTTGGAGACACCCGTCACCGAGGAACGCAAACGTGTACGAGTCGCTGAGGGTGTACTCTGGCTTATTGTAAGTGGCGGCGAAGTTGGCCTGGGCGAGCGCCAGACCGACCGCGTTGGAGATACCTTGACCCAATGGGCCGGTGGTGACCTCGACGCCTGGCAATTCGAATTCTGGGTGGCCTGGACACTTGGAGCCCAGCTGACGGAAGTTCTTGAGGTCCTCGATCTTGAAGTCGAACCCGGACAAGTGCAGCATTGAGTACAGCAATGCACACGCGTGGCCGTTGGACAACACGAAACGGTCGCGGTTGATCCATTCCGGCTGTTGTGGGTTGAGTTTGAGCTGTTTCCACACGACGTGCGCCGCGGGCGCTAGCCCGAGCGGCGCACCTGGGTGGCCCGAGTTGGCTGCGGCCACTTGGTCTACGGACAGCAGTCTGATGGTAGAGATAGCTAGTCTGTCGATATCAGTGAATTGCGACATGATGTGGTGTGTATGTGTGGCGGTTTGTGTGGTGTATGTGGATTGTAATTGGTAAAATTAACGGTCCTGGGGGATCGAATCTGTCTGCCTTTTATAGTCACGACTGGAAAAACGGGCCCGCTCGGGTTTTTGCAATCGCTACGCAATTTTCGCCACCCTTTTTTCTTTTTGGTTACAAATTGTTGATTGCTTTTGGGTTACCCGGATAAGAGACCTGAAGGGTACTCACGAGTACGAGTACGAGTACGAGTACGAGTACAGTTGAACAATTGAGAGCTCTAGCGATCAATTGTGAATAACTTAGAGTACTCGGAGCACAATTGAACAATTTAGAGCGTCAGCGATAACTTATGAACAAATCTGGTGCTACAAGCACGCGGTATCGCTGACGCTCTTGATTGTGAATACATTTGGCGCTACAAGCATGCGGTATCGCTGACGCTCTAAATTGTGAATAAGTGGGAACTCGTAGTATCAGTGAACAATGGAGGGCGATATCAATCAATTGTGAATAACTTAGAGCACTCGGTATTGCCTACGCCTCCAATAATACACTGCTACCCATCTTGGTAGTGTGAGTTTTGTGCGCTCTCACTTTCACTATACAATTGTTCTTTGATGAGCATCCATACTCACACTCTCTTTCTCGAAAATTGAGTACAAGAGCGATTGAGACACTACAAATGTTGGAGTTTTACATTGTGACTTTGTAGAAGTGGTTCTGTAGTAGTGGCTCTCCACGACTGCGGTCTCAATTAATAATAGTGCTAGTAGTCCTCTACGCTCTCGATGGTACGGCGTTTCGAGTCCGGGACTCATTCACAATTGATCGCCAACGATCTCAGTTGTTCAACTGTAATACGAGTTGTCTAGCTCTCGATTCTTCAATCGAGCTACGAGTTCTCTAGAGTATTCAACTGAACTACGAGTTCTCTCAATTGTTCAATTGTGCTTATTGCCATTCTACGTATTCACAATTGATCAACTGTGCTTATTGCCATTCTTCGTATTCACAATTGATCGCTGATGCTCTCGATTGATCAACTGTGCTTATTGCCATTCTACGTGGTTCACAATTGCTCGCTGACACTTTCAATTGTTCAAGCGTTCGAAAAGGGTTCTACAGCTTGCCATCGATCGCTGCTGTTCTCCATGGCTCAGCCATACTCCTAGCCTGTGGCTTTCGATTGTTTAGTGATGGTTACAGGACTCCACATCTCTTTATTCACAATTGGTTGCTAATGCTGAGTGGTACTACGAGTTCATTACGTCTTCACAACTGATCGTCAAAGCTCTCGATTGTTTAATAGTGCTTGTATAGTGCTTGTAGCCCTCTCCACTGTACAACAATATGAAATCTTTCACTTAGAGCGTCATTCGCAGTTGTACTCGAGGTTGCACTCATGACTGATCCAGATGGCCAAGCACTAGAGTGTCAGCGACCAATTGTGAATACATATAGACCTTTTAGTACCGTTAAACATTTGCGAATAAGCAACTGTGGACAATTTGTGAACTCGTACCTTCACTGAGCGTCAGCGATCGAATCGAAGATTCAAGCTCACAAGTAGTACATAAGTAGAATTTATCTTGCCGTAGCACGATCTCGACTTTGAAGACAACTGATGGTCATTTTACACACTCTGGCGCTTTCATATAGTACTAAGGGTCTCTACTTCGGAGTTTGATCAATAGTGCTAGAAAACCTCAACATACTAGGATTCACCTGCATACTAGAAACCACTTACATACTAGGGATGACTAACGTACTAGAAATCACTTACATACTAGGAATCCTTTTCACAAGCGATCACTAACGCTCTCAAATTGATCAATAGTGCTTGCAGTCCTCTCTTTCTTCACAATCGATCGCTAACGCTCTCCATTGCTCAATAGTGCTTATAGTCCTCTCTTTACTCATAAATATACATTTAAACTACCAGAGTTCGTTCGATTACCCTTCTTTTTCCCAGTCTACAGTCTACCTATTCCATCCCCACGTCGAGAATAAAACTACCGTCGTCATCATCGCCTTCTTGGTCCGAAAGCTCGTGCTCTTCACCGTGTATATCTTCTTGACGCGAGCTTTCACCACTGGATGGAATAATCGCCGTAGTAACCCACCTATCTTTTTCATTTTCGCGATGTAGCCCCGACGTTGAGTGCTCAGGGTCTTGGACTCCAAAATCGCCCTCCTTTTCCTCTGTCTCCTCGTCGTCTTCTTCGTTGATCTGAACTAGTTTTGGACGCGCCCGAATGGCCGTGGTCAGATTTTCGCGAGACCCGTTAGCATCGGGTTTTTCCAGTATAATGGGACTCTCGCCCTCTGTTGGGGCTTCTACCTCGAGGTCGTTGTCATCGTCGCCGCCCAAGATCGAAGATCCCAATGTGATATGCGATCTGGTATCGCCGTTGCGTAGGAGATGTCGAGGCAAGGGCGGCAGCTTATTTTGACTGCGACCCCCGGCGGTGACACCTGGGATGTATGCGATAGGCAGTATGTTAGACGCCTTGGTGATCTGGGTGGCAGCAGAGCTTCTGTTTCTGGGAATGTAGAGAGACCCGCGTCCCTGAGTTTGTAGATCGGACTGGTGACCGCCTGCGCTTTCGTCAAAGTCGCCGGCGTACTCCTCACGGGCCACCAGTACGTCCTTGTTGCGCGTGCGGTTCTTGCGCCAGTATTTGGCATACAAGTATAGCAACAGCAGTATTACTACGAGCCCGACACCGCCGATTACGCCTCCCACGATGCCACCGATTCTGGCCGAGTTAGACTTTGAACCTGACACGCTCGTCGTTGTTGCGTTGGCTGCAGCGGACGAGCTGGACACTGACCCTAGCGACCCGTTTTTCTTGGCACAGTAAGTCTGTGGACACTGGTCGCATTGCTGTATCGACAGTGCACACTGTTCATCATCTGGACATACGGGACACGCTGGAGTCGACGGACAAGTTACGCATCCCGAGCCTGACGATGTCGCAGTAGCACTTGCGCTTGAATTTTCAGACGAGGACGCGGAAGAAGACGCAGAAGACGACTCAGACACGCTTGTCGCCGTTCCGGAGCTCGAAGTGTCCCTTTTTGCCAGTTGTTCGTCCCAGATCCACAATCCAAGCGTCTTGGTGGGCCTCAACATGGTGCTCATCTCTAAAGACATGTTTCAAGCTGTTATATGCGAACTTTCAAGCCTAGAGTTTCGCAAGACACGGAAATGGAAGCTCCAATACGATTTCTAACCCTGTAATCGCCTTCCAAAGACCAGAACTAACCTCAACGCCTAGTAAATTTGTCTTAAACCCTCTGGTCTTTAATACTTTAATGTGAGCCTCGAATTGGTATATTACATTTTTTTCAGATGTCGCGATTCTCAGATCCGTCAGATCTCGCGAATCGCGGATATTAAGAAGAATGTAGGGAAAGAAGCATAAGGAACGAAAAACGATGGTTGAAAAGCCAGGGAAATGAGAAGATGCTTGGAATAGAGGATTAGAACCAGGCTCGTAAGGTGTATTGGAGGAATTATGAGGTTTGGGAGAAGTCGGTGGTCAATGTGAATGTTTTATGATTATAGCGAGATGTGAGGGTCACGTGACCACCGTAGACTTGGAAACGTTACTCTGGAAAGATACCCAGGTTTTGGTTATAGTTCTGGTTGTAACTCCAGTTTCGGTGGTAGTGTATTGGCGAGCATTTCGAAACTCTCTTGAAATTTCAGTTGTGTCTCGGTAAAAGTTGATGCCAATCTTTTTTTTACTATATTTCGAATCGTGATGTTTCCCACTAGAACAAACACATTTATTCGTTCATCTTATGCTTTGCTCGCGACCCTAAGAAAGTCGCTTTTGCCAATTTGCTAGGGGACGACAGGATGGTTAAACGAAATTCCCAATGGTGCCGTTGATCGACCATTGGAAGAACCCCCTTCATTCTGGACGCGTCTTTGTGAATTGCTCAGTGCCTGTCAAAATTGCGACCACGGAAGCCTATTCAATTGTGCGTGTGGTCCGTTTTCAACTATTTACTACCCTGGGCGCCATCCTGGGCGCCAAAACCGAAACCAAACTCAGAAACACGCTAAAACCACTGCTCTTTTCCACATTTCACGCCCCGGTACCTCTACTGAGCTCCAATTGCCTCTTGTCACCCCATTTGTTTCGATTCAAGGTCCTTTGGCCTTTAAATCTCTTGCTTTCCACTTGATTTCTTCATCATCTACTGTCATTGTACAATTAAAATGTAAATGTTGCTAAATCAATCTACTCTTAAAACACGACCTTTATCAAAACGAGACACATTTAGCACCCTCTAACAGCATTGAATTGTAATTTCTCGACCTTCAACTATGCCATTCGATCTCACGACAAAAGCCTACAAGAAAGAGGACCTCCCCGCGTCCCAAGACGAAATCGTCAAGGCGTCCCAGGAGCTCATCGACCAGGTATGCACGACGTGGAAAAAGGGAAAGTGCTTTCACTACACCTTGAGCACAAATCCCACACTAGATTCCGACAAGGTGGCGGTGCAGACCTATCACACTAATCGCAACAACGAATATTGGCTGAGTCGTGTCAGCGAGCACAAAGTGGATGTGTCCCTCTACGAACGTCTCGTCAAAGTTTTGAACGGCAGCGTGAAAGAAGGCACCAACTGGATTCTGCCCGACAGAACCGCCCGGTCGCGAGTCGAAAAAGACTACATAGAAACTCTGAACCGCGTGGAGATTGTTGAAACCACAGAATCCGGTTGGGTTGGGGTGAACCTCGAATACGAGTTGGGCAAGCCCTTGACGACCCGCGAATTTAACGAGTGGGTGTACGTCGTTCCACCTTCCGCCACTGAGGAACCAGATACGGAGACTTGCATGGTGGTCAGTGTGGTCGCCGACGCGCCCTTGAGAGACTCGGTAGCGCACACGCACGCAGTTTACGCCAGTGTGGAAACCTTGGACTACAATTCCAAGACTCAAAACTTGGTGTGGAAAATGGCAACCACCAGCGATGCCGGTGGGAACGTTCCAAAGTGGATTCAGAATACTATGATTGCGAAAACTGTGGCCAAAGACGTCATACATTTTTGAGTGGTTTGGAAATCAAACTGATTAGAAGCATTGCGTAAGATATGTATATGAATTTGACAAACAAAAAAACGACTCCGATACGGGGAGTCGAACCCCGGTCTCCACGGTGAAAGCGTGATGTGATAGCCGTTACACTATATCGGAAATAGATATGGTTGCGCTGTTTGATTTGCATGCAGTTTGATCTCATCATCACGGTTCGCATGGACCGCACCATACCTTGGACTCAAGGGCTTTCTTTCAACTTGACGAACATGCCCGGTCCCGCATTGCTACACACTCAGGCCCGGATCTTCTTCATCAATAGCTTCAAAAACTTAGTGGGCGAGATAGGGTCTTTTTTAACTGTTGGACACTCTTGCGGCGCGATCAGATTTTCGCTGTCCGTTACAAACGAATTGTGATTTCCCAAAGTGCAAACGTTCGAAGCTATTGGTCCACGAGGCTGCGGAAAGCTCATGTGTATTGTGTCAAATATGGATACCGAATCCAGATTATATTCCGGAGCGGAAACTTCGGGTTCCAGCTCATTTGGATCAACGACGTTGAAGCACTCGAGAAAGCAGGCCTGCTGTTCTTCCAGTTGCATGACAATGAATCGGTCGAGGGAGAGGGCAAGCTAGAGCTTCATTGGAAACGGTGATCGAGGAGAATCTTGCAGTCGCGCATTTTATAGCATCCGGAGAAATTTGTCGTTCATCATAGTGAGCTACAAATAAGGTAAGTTCAGAGATCGATAGACGATCTGCAAAAAAGGAACACAACACAACCCGGAAGGGATGGTATGCGTTTTGAAGGATCCTCATTTTGAGGCTCGCCTTTTTGGGTTGCCCTCATGCCGTCGTTTGTTACAGGGTTTTCCGTGAAACGAAATGAAGCGAGATGGAGGGGAGCCTTGTGCCGACACATGAGAACGAGACTGAGGTCCTCAAATGGCGCACACACACACACACACACACACACACACACACACACACACACACACACACACAAAACCACGCGCTGATTCAAAGTCCACGCAACTCACACCGTCGCGGAGTATGGAGGTGGCAAGCTATCGTCTGAAGGCCCACTCTTGCCATTGTGAGCGACCAACGGCGTTTCTGCCGACAGTTCTTCTCTCACTACGCCGCTGGGGGGCTGTTGATGCGATCCAGAGCCAGTTTGCGGGGCGCGACGGGCGTCTTCCCACCCGCTCTGGTAGTAGTACCTCGACTCCGCTCTTCTCAGCGGGCTAGTCACGGTGATGTAGTAAAACGCGTGGATCATCCCTGGAACCACGCCCAGCATCGTCAAAAGTATGTTCAGCAACAGATCCGACGAGCAACACCCGCTTCTCAGCAGAACACCCACGGGAGGAATAAAAAAGGCCACGATGTAAAGAATAAGGTCCGAGACCGTGCAGCACGAACAATAGCAGCACATTTCGAGTTTGAACTACTTTAACCAATTTAAGTGAAGTCTTAAAGCCTTGAAATCGGTGTTTCGTGCTCGTATGTTTTCGTTTTTTGGACGGTTTCGTTTGAGAAACATCTTGGTCAAAAATGGTTAATTGTGCTTATATATTTATATATATGTATATATATATTTAAGAATATCTATAAAATAATAGTAACAATAATCGCAGTATTCATAAATTCCAGACAGAAACACAGTTAACCGAGCTTCAGTATTGTATAAGTAGGCTCTTAAATCGAGAGCTTAAGCGTTGAACGTTTTCTTTAAGGAATTCTGGTTTTTATCATTTGATTTATGAGATTTTGGTAATATATGATCTCAATACCCTATAAAAGGATAGTTATAGCATTTTTGGGGATCGGATTCTTGGTATGTCAGGCCAATTGGAGTCACCAACAACACATAGAGCTCAATAATACAGTGCAGGAGAACAAGATGGACTTGGAGAAGACGGGTAAAACGGCTTTCAAACGAGCTGAGGAGGATGAGCTGTTCTGTGCGGTGATGAACCCGCTCACGGGCAATTACGTGGACTTGTCGGAGTTGTCTACAACGCCCAATATGCATCGAGGAAACTCGCAAAAAAAGTACCACAACGGCCACAACGGCCACAACGGCCAGGACTGGCAGAAAACACGGTGGCTGGTGAAGGAGCCAGACACGCATCTGAACTACACACTGGGGATCTGTTCGAGCGCGACACGGAAGAGCTTGGACTCGCTGGCGAACTCCACGGGTGCGTTCTTCGTGGACCCCGAATCGCACCAAGAAGTGTCAATCGGCGACTACGTCACACAGCCGCGTTTTGTGGGCAAAAAACTGACCATGGCATACGAAAACGGTGACCTGTGTCCCAACGGCGTCGACAGACGGGCCACGCTGTTGAGCTTTGTGTGCGACAAGGAGATCCAGTCTAAGGCTCAGATCAGCTACGTCGGGTCGCTGCACAACTGCTCGTACTATTTCGAGGTGCGTAGCGTGTACGCGTGCCCGACGTCGCACAAAAGTAACGATGTCAACGTGCTGGGCATCTTTTTCGGCATTTTCTTGGTGTTTTTTGTAGTGGAGTGGGGGAGAAGATGGTTTTATGGCAGAGTCCGGGCCAGACTGCGTCACGGCGGGGAAGCTGGGTTCATGGACTCTCGGCCCCACTGGGACACGATCGAACGGCCCTCGAGATTGCGACGCATTTTGAAGCGGGTTTTCCGTTTCCCAGCACCAAGCCGTACGGCGGGCATTAAGCTCAGCACGACGGCCCAGTACCACAATCCAAGCACAGAGTCACTGACCCGCGACATCGAAGCCCAAAACAATCTTTTGGACAACTTGGACGTTGCATCGGCCAGCAGTCGCTGATCACGTGACCCCGAATGGGAGGGGGCGTTTGGTAGCAGGAGGAGCGCGCGCGCTAGTTAGTGTGTATATCATATCTTAATATAGTTTTTCCTGTGCTAGAGATCGTCTGAGCCTTACCTACTGCATAGCTATTACGGTCGGACTCCTCCTTTTCCCTGATGTGTCTAGTGGCCTGTAGAGACGAGAAAAAGACGGGTTCCTCACCTTGGACTGCCACCCGTACACCACCAAAGCTACACCCGGACACCATCAATTCGTGTTCATCTCGCTTTTTGTTTCCCTCTGCTTCAACCAAAAAACCCTCCATTTTTGTTTGCGTCCCCGTGTTTTGACCAAAAGAACAGCTCGTCTAGCCGCGATGCAAAATATTTTCTGCGCACGTTTCTGAGCAATCTCGGCTCCACCTTCTCTATATGTCCATATTTTTGTAGTTTGTGTCCTCGAAGGCAGCTAGCTTGCTTTGCTTTTGAACGCCAGCCTGGCTTGGGCGTTGCTTTCTGTTTAGCGCGAGATCTTCCGGCCCAAAACCCTTAGAAAAAGCCGCACTAGGCGGTCGCTTCTGCCTAGCTTTTTATGGATCTCTGCCTAGCCTCTGGCGAGCCTCAGCCTAGGTGGACCGTACCTCTTAGGCAGAGCTCTGTAAACGCTAGGCAGAGGCTAGCGGGGAGGGCCAGGCTGGGGAAGGACAGAGGCTAGGGAGAGACTAAAAAGAGGCTAGGCAGACCCTCCAGACCCAAAATCAGCTTAAATTTCTATATCCGTGCGGCAGTTTCTAAGCTACCCGCCTGGAAAAATTTTTTTCGCACCTTAAGCGGGCCTGCCCACGGTGGCAAAAATTTGTTGCCCTAATTTGCGGATCAGCTTTGAATATAAATACCCAGAGCCCGGGACCCCTCAGTTTCACAACTTTCTTATCCTTTTCTTCCTCTATTCTAATTTGATCTTTCATATTCTACAACTAACTAACACACTACACAATGGGTAAGGAAAAGTCTCACGTCAACGTTGTTGTTATCGGTCACGTCGACTCCGGTAAGTCGACCACCACCGGTCACTTGATTTACAAGTGCGGTGGTATTGACAAGAGAACCATCGAAAAGTTTGAGAAGGAAGCCGCCGAATTGGGTAAGGGTTCTTTCAAGTACGCCTGGGTCTTGGACAAGTTGAAGGCTGAGAGAGAAAGAGGTATCACCATCGACATTGCCTTGTGGAAGTTCGAAACTCCTAAGTACATGGTCACCGTCATTGACGCTCCAGGTCACAGAGATTTCATCAAGAACATGATTACTGGTACTTCCCAGGCTGACTGCGCCATCTTGATTATCGCTGGTGGTGTTGGTGAGTTCGAAGCCGGTATCTCCAAGGACGGTCAAACCAGAGAGCACGCTTTGTTGGCTTTCACCCTAGGTGTCAGACAATTGATTGTTGCTATCAACAAGATGGACTCCGTCAAGTGGGACGAGTCTCGTTACCAGGAAATTGTCAAGGAAACCTCGAACTTCATCAAGAAGGTCGGTTACAACCCAAAGACTGTTCCTTTCGTTCCTATCTCCGGATGGAACGGTGACAACATGATTGAGGCCACCACCAACGCTTCCTGGTACAAGGGTTGGGAGAAGGAGACCAAGGCCGGTGTCAGCAAGGGTAAGACCTTGTTGGAAGCCATTGACGCTATCGACCCTCCTTCCAGACCTACTGACAAGCCATTGAGATTGCCATTGCAAGATGTCTACAAGATTGGTGGTATCGGAACGGTGCCAGTCGGTAGAGTCGAAACCGGTGTCATCAAGCCAGGTATGGTTGTCACCTTCGCCCCAGCCGGTGTCACCACTGAAGTCAAGTCCGTTGAAATGCACCACGAACAATTGGAATCTGGTTTGCCAGGTGACAACGTTGGTTTCAACGTCAAGAACGTTTCCGTCAAGGAAATTAGAAGAGGTAACGTTTGCGGTGACTCCAAGAACGACCCTCCAAAGGGCTGCTCTTCTTTCAACGCCACCGTTATTGTCTTGAACCACCCTGGTCAAATCTCTGCCGGTTACTCGCCAGTCTTGGACTGTCACACCGCCCACATTGCCTGCAGATTCGACGAATTGTTGGAAAAGAACGACAGAAGATCCGGTAAGAAGTTGGAAGACTCTCCAAAGTTCCTAAAGTCCGGTGACGCTGCTTTGGTTAAGTTCGTCCCATCCAAGCCAATGTGTGTTGAAGCTTACTCTGACTACCCACCATTGGGTAGATTTGCCGTCAGAGACATGAGACAAACCGTCGCTGTCGGTGTCATCAAGTCTGTTGACAAGTCTGAGAAGGCTGGTAAGGTCACCAAGGCTGCCCAAAAGGCTGCTAAGAAATAAACTTGAAAACTTGGTTTTAAACATCATTTTCATCCTATTCAATATAATTTTGTAAAGTTTTTAAAGAATATTTCTCTATCGATTATTATTACTACTCCCTACTGTTTTGAGAGTTAAAGTGCTTTCATAACCCCATCCTGCCTGCTCTTGTTTTTTTACATGAGATTAAATCATACAATTGTTTTTCAATTTGAAGATCATTTGCTTAAACACTAGTTTTGCCAGAGCGTTAGGAATATTTGACACATTACCAAAATAATGGCTGAACTAACGTATGTTGCTGAACGCTCAAGTAGAAACCGACACTATAATTATTTACTGACTTGTTTTAGCCTTCATCTCGCCAATTTACCTCGAAGACCGACCAGCGAAGATGCTTTCACCAGGACCCTTTTAAGTGCGATAAATTCGAACAATCCCTATGCTAAAGACATTGAACTCCCACTACCTCGGCTTGACTTGAAATTATTACCTAAGGACAATCGTAGAATAACCTACGAGGAGAGGAACACAGCGGCTGTTTTGAAATTTTACTCCAAGGTTAGAAATGAAGTTTTGAACGACACTGAGAAGGATAGTTTTAATGTAAAGCTCATGATAAAGGCACTCATTGAACAGCTTGATGCTGTGTATAGTCCCGACACTGCGCATGAATTCACCATCGGCAAGTTGCGCCGACTTTGTCACCATATTCAGCATGATCCAGATCTGAACTTAGCATTAACGCCGCAAGAGGTGAAAGTCGTCAGAGGCAGACTTCGAAAGTTTGAAGCTAAAATTTGCCTCAAGAGTACAAGACGATTATCACTTCTGGATGAGCATTTCCGAATTGTGTCCTTGTCCAAAGCAACGTGCGATAGATACAGCTCAAGAGCATTTGTAACCTTTGCGGATCACAGAGCTGCAGAGGACTTTATTAATCGTTTCAAAGGCCATCTATCCGTACGTGGTCGTCGGGTCACAATTTCCTTCGCAAGCCATGAGTCGCTTGTTGGTGGATACTTACAGAGCGGCAAGCGTGGAATAGACAGCTTAAACCAACAGAGGGAACGGAAAGATTCAGGTTTGAGCTCGAAAGTCGACGCTGATAAGAAATTGAAACGTCGTATGAGAAGGATACGACACAAGCTCGCACTCAAGGGTATAGAGCCGTCTGCTATTCAAGAGATTGTCAACAAGACCATTCAAGACCGCATCGCAATGGCCTCAACGACGAAACCTCAGATTAAGACTGGGAGCAAAGCGCCTGAGCCGGCGGATAAAAAGCGGAAGACCGTTGTCGAAGTTGCAGCCAATCCACCTAACAACGTTCTTCTTGTACAACACCTGCCGTCCGATGTACAGCAGGAAGAAATCTCCGCTCTTTTCGCCCACGATGGTTTCGTGGAGGTACGGTTGGTTGGTGTGAGAAACCTCGCCTTTGTTGAATATAAAAGCATTTCCAATGCCGCCAGCGCTATAAGTAAGCTGGGATCATCTTATGAATGGAAAGGCTCTACAATCTCCGTGGGATTTGCAAAGTAGTAGAGCAGACAAAAAGTTTAATCAGTTCTTCAAAGTACACCTATATACATGATCAGAGCGGTCCCAATTTCAAAAGGCTACATAAATTAATTGACGAAATGGCTTATAGACGAGGAAACGTGGGTTTACTTGCCAAATACAACTGTTCTCATCGCTGTCCAGAAAGTTTCCTTTTTCTTACCATCGATTTCGTCCATTAGACGCTGGTAGTAGTGTGGATTACCCTGTGGCTTCATCAGCTTCTCACCTACTGCGTAATAGTTTTTATACTTATTGTTCAAAAGGTTATTGAGGGCCTGTGATTGTTCCTGAATGGCTTCGACTGTGTAATGCTCTTGAGGTAACATACTATTGACCTTTTTTAACACATCTTTCTGCAAACCCAAGGGTCCCGAAGTTCTACTGATGATGTCTTTTATGTCTTGAAGTGATGGTCTCTGTTTGGAGTCTTGAGTATTCGTCTCCAGGCCCGCAACTGGTTTGAATCTTTCCAACTGAGATTCTTTGAGCGACACAATATGCTTGACTCTTTCCTGTGGAAGTCTTTCTAAACTCTTGACCAGTTGGCTCGCAGCCTCTCTAACAGCTCCCGACATCGCACCTTTGATAAACTTCGTTGTCTTTTATCAGGCATGGTCAACTTTAATCTTATAATGATGATCTATGTATTCTACCAATTTTCAATATACGTAGCACACTGTACGAAACAGGCTAAAGTTCGATATCTTAAGCTTTTGACACCAAAATAGAGCGAAGGAAGACTGCTCAAACCTACTTCAAGCTCCTTGGCTCATCACTTTGAGATTTCTGGTACGCCACACATTGTTGGTTCAATTTTTTGTACATATTGTGAGTTGATTTGGATTAATGTTCTTCATAATATTATTCCTGGCCACAGAGGAGATGTGCGTAGCATGATTGATTATATATTAGGATAATTAAAGCCTGAATATGGCTTCAAAGACTACAGTATTTGCAAGCTATCTACCCGTAATTGGAGGTGCAATGCCGTATAAATTTTATTTTTATCACTCCGACATTTAGTGTCGTTATTTGGTGAAGATTATATCTCAATAGTGCTCGCTGTTCTCAGCAAGCTGTTGGCAACAATTAGATTCACTGGCCTTTTATAAATTACCGGCAATTATTTTCTATATGCTACATAACTATTCGGTTTGTCCGACGAAAGGCTTTAGGGACTTGGTGCCTTCATCCCAAGTGGTGCCATTGTAAGTGATTTCACGAATGGCCTTGACAACGTCTTCGACCGAGCCTCTCACCTGCTTGGTGGAATCTCTCTCTCTCAAAGTGACAGTGTTGTCCTTGACAGAGTCGAAGTCAATTGTGACACCGAAAGGAGTACCCAATTCATCGTTCCGGGCGTATCTCTTACCGATCGACACACCAGAGTCGTCGATTTTGAATGGAATCTTCTCCTTTCTGAAGACCTTGGCTACTTCCTGGGCAACGGCGCTCAAATCAGGGTGGTTAGATAGAGGAACCAAAAGAACCTTTGTGGGGGCCACCAATGGTGGGAAAGAAAGAACGGCTCTGGCAGTGTCCTCGGGTCTGGACCAGAAAGAGTGCTCGAAAATGGAATAGATAATACGGCCGATACCAAACGATGGCTCGATGACATTTGGAACAAATTCACGAACATGCTCGGTTCTAGTCTTCTGCTCAATAGTCACGAACTTATCATCAAGTTCGATTTGTCCTTCAATGCCCTCGATGAAGAACACAATCTTACCAGCGTCCTTCAAATCCTTGGCCTTGGATTCTAGCTCCTCTTGTGTCAAACCCAATAGGTAGGCCTCCACTTTTGGTGCGTCCTTTCTGAATTTTGGTCCGAAAAGTTTCTTGGTCAATTCGATTTCCCATTTGGTAACTTGGATGGGCTCATCTAGTTTTTGCCTTACAACCATTTTCTCCTTAGTTTTGTTGGAATGAACAGTCAAATCATAGGCAGATCTATCAGCACAACCGACACATTCTATCCAACCATAAGAAGTCTTGAGTTCGGCATCCCAGCAGTCGGCAGCGTAATGCGCCATTTCGTTGGCCATGTGTTGACGGAATCTCAACTTGGTTGGGTCCACTCCGATAGTCATCAAGAACAGGTAAATTCTGGCAATGAAGTAACCTAAAGTCTCGTTGTCAATCATCTTGGAAGAGACGGCATCACCGACAGTTGATTCGATGGGCTCAGTCGATCCGGATTGTTGAACTTCACGAGGTAAAAACTTCAGTTTGACGTCCTTTATCTCGGCGAAACGAGGGTGAGACTTCTCTAGTGGGTCAACGAAATGTTCGATTTCCGCCATCAAAAATTCACGAACTCTGAGGAGACCGGATCTTGGGGAGATCTCGTTTCTAAAAGACTTTCCGATGGATGCAGACGCAAATGGAGCCTTGTTGTTGTTGAATTCCAGAAGCTTGTTGAAGTTCAAGAATTGACCTTGAGCAGTTTCTGGTCTCAAGTAACCCTTAATTTGACCGGAAGGACCGATGGCAGTTTCGAACATCAAGTTGAAAGCTCTTGGAGGCTCGAGGGTTTCGCCAGTGACAGGGTTGCCGATGTTGTACTTGACCATGAGCTCACCCAATTCTTCACCCGAGTAGCCATCGATCTTGGCCAAAATCTCTTCGTACTCCTGCACAACGTTGTCGTCGAGCTTAACGGCCTTGATTTCCTTAACCTTCTTCTTTCTCTTCTTCTTGTCGGCGTCGTCCTTAGCATCAGCGTTGGCGTCCTTGACGAGTCCACGAGCCTCCTGGTCACCTTTTAGGCGCGATTCTAGCACTTCTTCGACCAGATGGTCCGCTCTGAAGATCTCACCAGTTTTCATGTCTCTGCACATCCAGTCGGAGAACTTGTCGACGTGGCCCGAAGTCTTGAGCACATCGTGTGGGGTCAACATTGTGCAGTCGACTTCTAGCATATCTTCCTCCAAAATAAAATGTTTTCTCCAAGCGTCAACGATGTTGGCCTGGAAAGCGCAACCTGGAGGACCATAGTCGTAAAGTCCGGAAACACCTCCGTATAGTTCAAAAGAAGGCGCAAAAAAGAATCTTCTTTTCAACACACTTTCCAGGCTTTCTCTAGAGAACGGCACAGTCTGCTTGGCCTTTTGTATATCTTCAACGCTCATTTTTTTGATTTTGACCGATTTCTTCGAAACTTGACTATAAAATCGGTTCGCAAAGGGGTTTCTCACCAGCCTAAAGAGCCTCACTTTTCAAGCTTGTCTATCACGTTCAAACGAAGAGTCAAACAGTCTTCGTTCGCGACCTTTTAGTTCGAGTTTATGGGTAGTTCTGGTTAGCCATTGGTTCAAAATTTTCAGTTTACTCGAGCGAGACTCATATCGACAATTTCGTCGAACGTGATACACATCATCGCCATTCGACAGCGACAGCGACGACGGCGGCGATTGTTGTGAGTCCAACGATCAAAAGTCAATGCTTATTCCAGCGTCTCGTTGATAGATTCGATCAGTCGTAAGGTACAACAAGTTCATTTGAGCCTTTCTCTGTTCTGTTGAAAAACGAAAAACAAACGTAATGGGATGGCATTGCAAATACAGTTTGAGCAACTCTGCAGACGCCATACTACGGCCCAACTTGCAGTGCTCGAAAAGCCTGTATTTGGAAGACAAACTCTGAATAATGAAAGAATGGAAATTTTGACCAGAGCCGTTTCTCGACAATACGAGAACGGATGTTTATCGTTACCTTCTTTGAGCGCTAACGGTGGCCTCAGTGCACATCAAGTGTTCAAAGTAAAAAAAGATACAGCTCTTAGAAAACATTTTGGAAGTTTCGAAGTTCCGACCCAAACCTTTGCTGAATTCCTTTAAAAAAAGCACCTATTTCAATGACACCACGCTCAAAAATTGGTCCGCACGGTGTTACCCCCTGCTTCGCGTGAAATGTGCACCTTCTAAACATCAAACGCAGCCACTATTATTCTTAGATCGTGCGTCAAAGACGTTTGCTGTTGTAGTCGTAAGGCGATACCACCAAACCTTTGTTTTTGCGTGCGCCGCGAAACACGGTCTCCAAGATGTCTATCATTTCCTGTTTGTCGTCCACCACAAAGTTCATTTTGTTATTGTTACCAGTACCGAAATCGCACATCATATGCTTATTCCGGTAAAAGAACATGACTGTCATGGGATCGTACAGCTCATACATATCGTTGAAATCCTTCACTTCGTCAATGTCACACAGGTAGATCACTGCGAATCTTCTCACTTTTTCAGCGATCGAAAATAGCACCTCATCCATCAACATGCAATCCTTATCCCAGTCTCTGCCAAACCTAACGACAACCAGCCGTTCTTGCTCCGTAACAATCGCCTGATCTACATGCCAACCAGAATGTAAATGTGGCAAGAAAACACTACCCATTGCTGGCTCTTTAGCGGTGTGAGGTCGTGTTAGTTGTCGCGCTTAACAAGTTAACTTTCAATGTGAAATTTCCAGTGACATATTTTAATTATACATATATGTCGATCTGCTATTTACATGCAAAAACCTAGTGCTTTGAAGGTCTCCTTAATAATGCTTCTCATTTCTTGTCTCTTTTCTTGGTAGCGAGCTTACCACCGCTTTGTACTTGCTGGGCGTTCTCGTTGAGCAGAGACATGTAGTCGTCCATTCCAAAATCATCCTCCGGATCTTGTGTTTCTGCCTCTGCAGGTTGTTTGGCCTCGGCAGCCGGCTGCTTGGGAGGCACGCTTTCGAAACTGAATACCTGGTCATACTTCTGCTTGAACTTATCCAGTCTACCGCCTGCATTGGCATCCACTACCACAAGGTCGTCTCTGCTCTCGTTCCATAGTGGATTATTTCTCTGGTCTTGAATCAATCTAATTTGGGATTTGGGAAACTGCGATCTTCTGGTGACAACACTACCATCGCTTAATTCAACCTGAACGTCAAATTTGTGATAGATAGCGGGCCTGGCTTTCCCTAGTTTAATCTTTTTTAGCGGTCTCTTAGGAATCGAAACCTGAGTAGCTCCGTGGTATGCTTTTGAAGCGACTCTCTTGGTTATGAGAGAATTCAACATCGCAATGGTTAGCTACACACACGCTGGACGTAAGCAGGCAATGAATGGCTACTGTGAAGCGCTAGCCTTTGTCGATGTGGCATAGTTAAATCGCAGATGATTATCAAAAAATTTTAAGATAATTATTGACGAGTACGACGCTGGAGGAATTGCCTTGAGCTAAAGGGTTCCGGCACAGCTGGCATCTTTACCGGACTGTTAAAGCCATTCACTAACAGGATATCATCAAAGTTCAGACTCGAAAATAAATCCATCAAGATTTTTCCGAAGTTTCGCAGCCGTTACAGAATCCCGTTGACTTATCTGTGAAATGATATCTTCGAAACTGGCAGTGGTGATGTCAAAAGCAGGGTTTATTTGATCATGGCCATTGGATTCATTGCGCCCAAACTCTGATTTTTGCGGTTGTGCTTCGAAATCCTCATCATCCATGTCATTTTCTTCCTGCTCCAAAACCACGTCATCCGGTTCCCCAGACTCAACACCATTGTCGTCATCATCATCATTCTCATCTTCATCATCATTATCATCAACGTCGTCGTCTTGTAGCTTGTTTCCCTGCTCCTTGGTTTGGGCTTTGTCAATTTTTCCACCTACATCTTCAAAGTCTGCCATCGACACATCACCGTCCGCGTCAGCACTCGATTCCTTGTTCATCATAGACTCCTTTGTGTAAAGCATGCTTTTGAAAAACTTGAGCTTATACTCACTGAATTGGGTATTGCCCTGGACAAGACAACCCAGTTCATACTTGACAATTTTCCGTATCTTGGTCAAGTCGAGCTCTTGAAACCATCCGGTCAGTTCGGTAGGCTTTTTCAAATAGGTTACCGAGGCACAAACCTCTGCGATGTTAGGCTCATGAGAAAGAAGGTCGATCTGCAGCATAAGGTACCAAGGTACTTGTGCACCGTCAAAATAAAATCGACTATCGATGTCCCCAGGCTTGTTGCTCACGTAGTACTTTGCTGGCGGCTGCGGTATGTTTTTGGCCGCCAGCAAAGATTTTTGAAGCTTACCTTCGACCTTGAAATATTCTGTTTGATATTTCGCATATTCTGCAGAAGTTCTGGGATCAACACCAAATTTGATGTATGTGTTTCTCCAAGGACCTTTTGTAAATCGATATGATACCAACGATAAAGCGATTTTCAGAGATACATGGAGGTCTTGCGGTATGAGCCCATCAATGTGACGCTTGACCCATATTGGACGTTTTGCAAATGCTTCATGCAAAATAGATAGGCATTGGTCCAGTTTTTCGTAAAATTTGGAGTCTTTATTGCTTCCCGGATATACGCCAGTTTCTTGCGCTTTCTGGTAGTCCTCTTGCAACGATGGGTGTGCAGCTAACGGAATTTCTGCTTCATCGCCAAAGCTGTGCACAAGTTGCTGATAGTTTTTGAGATACGTGCCCCGTACGGTAGACTCACCGCTCGAGGATTTCGTAGCGTAGGGATTGGCGCGAAATCTGTAAACGAAGGGAATGTTGACCATCGAAAATCGTGGAGGAGGAGGTAGTTGAAAGTCTGAGCTTGGAATTTGCGAGGTACGATCTACTACGAGATTGTTTATATTCTCAAAGGGTCTGGTGTCCTGGTCCGGGATGCTCTGAACATACTGCTGAATGCGTTCCCACTCCAGAGACCCGAGGCTCTCGTTGAACTCGCACGCAGACGGCACATTGTCAATTCGTACTTGAAAATCTGACATCTCCCGGAATCGGATGGTGTTATTCACAATTCCTACAGGAACAATCTTAGACTTGTTTGGCGGCACCGAAGCAATTGCCTTCTGGAGGTTTCCACCGCACGCCTGAAGCGTTCCTTGCGGAAGTGAGACCTTCATGACGATGGATTCGTCCCGTTGCGGTACAAGTCGTCCAATGATCGGATGCTCGTTAAAAAAGGTGTTCGGGCCATCGCGTTTGTTGTCGTCATTCAAACGAAGCTCTAAGCCCTCCGGGGTATCTTTATGCGCATTCAGAGCTTTTTTGACCTTGGTGAGCCCCCCACACATCTGGACGGCCTTGACTACACTCTCCTGCGATCCTGACACCTTCAAAGGAAGTTCCACACTCGGCAATCGTGGGATATCTAAAGTGTACTCCTTCGCCGGAACGCCAACAGAGTCTGACGGAGCAGACACCTCCCGGGTCAGGTCCAAGGCCATTGACTTGTCCATACTCGACTGGATACCTAGCAGCTTAGACTGAGGTCAAGATCTGGTTGGTGGTGATGGATCGTTATTTGTAGTATATCTATCTATACCCTGTATTTAATAGTTTATCCCGTCGTACGGTCTCCGACTGATGGTTCTATAGACCAGGATGCTGATGGATGTGGTCGGGCCTGGACGATGGTAGTTGGTGATAGTGCCCTGGATCAACTATGTTTTCAAGCAATTAGCCCTTTTTCGCGTTCCAATCGCGTTTTCATTTTGGCATACCATTGAGCAAGCGACTCGCCCGGTCGATTTAAAGCGATTATTATTATGGTCATATTATCAAACCCCACGCCCGTATTGCTATCTGCAGAGTTTATTCCGTGTTCCAGTAATTTTGTAACTATGTCATCTAGCTTTTGTCCAAGTGTCAAATGGTACTTAATGAACTGGACCAGATTTTTGTTGCTGTAGAGATCCCAGATTCCGTCGCATGCTAGAATCAAGAACTCATCGCGGTCGTAGGATATGCGGTGTGGCAAAACGTCGGGCTCTGCAGTTACTTGAGACTCTTGGGCCGGTGCAACGAATTTCTGCCCAGCAGACGACCCTGCAGCCTTGTTTGTATATGAGACACTTGTTTTGAACTGAAAATCGCCAAACGCTCGACTTAGGGCCAAAACTCCACCGACTCTTCCTAGAGAAACGGTGCCGCCATCGTCGTTTATTCGGACCAGTTCTCCAATGTGCTGCGGCTTGTGGTCGAATGAAAGTGTTTTCACACCTCCGCCCTTCGCAGACAAGACACATCGTGAGTCGCCTGTGTTGGCAACGTATAGCATTTCCCCATTGATTATGAGAGCCACGATCGCTGTGGAACCACACGATTCTTTGGCAAAATGACAGTATAGTTCTCGGTCCTGCAGCAAAAATGCATCTTTGAGAATCTGGCAGATGAGACCCTCGATGGTGCGAAATTTATGTTTGAATGCCCTGCCGGACTTTGGCGTGACGTCAACCGATCCGTATTCGTGCGTTTCGAATGCAAATTTAATCCACTTGCTAATGCCTTCTCGGGGGTTCTGTTCGGAGCTCACATACTGCGAGCACTCACCGCCACCATGACCGTCGAAAACTCCAAAAAGCGATATCCGAAGAACCTCTTCAGCATCCTGAAATGGATCGTAGAACTTCACGTCCAATGAATTATCGCAATTGGCAACTAAGTGCGCGTCTTCCTGGGTCAGTCGATATCCTTGCATCGACCCCACACAATTGAAAAACTGAGCATATTTTCCCTCTTCTTTACCTTCAATCTGCCTAGATCTGTGTCCCAGACGGTGTCTAGAGACGTTGGCGGGGAAATGCTCGTACTCATTGTACACAATGGTTTTTTCTGTCAGTGGATGTGACAAGAGTTGTCCCATCTTACTGTCCTTAAAATGGCTCTATTTCTAAGCTGGAAAACGGTAAAGAGCGGTTGGAAAATTTTTGATGATGTCTTACTGCCGCATAAAACGATTCTAGCGCTCTTTATGGACCCAAAATGCTGCGATGGGGGTCAAGATTGAGAATCCCTTCTTTTGGGTTTTCTAGATGGTGAAAATTGATATTACTGTAAGTAATCAAGGTTACCAACGTATAGGTGAAATAGTCCTGGAACGATATGAAATTCAACTTACACTACAACAAGCGATAAATCTAGCAGTGACTTTGAAACCAGTATTACCATTTTGACGTAAAATAATGGTTTTGCTGGAACGAGGAAAGAAGTACACATGTAAATAGATGTAAATTTGTTACAAGGCAATTGTTGGCTACCTGGCCTCTCCTGCGTTTTCTTCTTCATTCTGGGCATTACAGGTTAAATAAGGCAGTGATGAGCTGATGCCATCTATTGCTGATGCCCTGTAGTGTTGTCATTACCAGTAGGCTTTATCCTGTAAAGTTCGTTGACAAAATTCTCACCCCAAAACGCGGAAGTGTATTTGGAGATGTATTTGTAGAGCTTTTCCCAATTAGCATCCTTCTTTTCATCTGGAAGCGTCAAAGACTCTTGAATAGACTCCGCAAGTTCGTCTGTATTCCAAGGATTGACAATAAAAGCGCCATTCAAAGATTGTGCTGCGCCTGTAAACTCACTCAAGATCAGAGAACCCTTCTTTTCTTGCTGGCACGCAATGTACTCGTAACATACCAAATTCATACCGTCGCGTGTCGACGAGACGAGACACACGTCGCTTACTGCATACAGCGAAATCAATTCCTCGAAGGGAATGCTTCTGTGCATGAAATGAATTGGGACAAATTCAACCGTGCCGAATTGGCCGTTTATTCTGCCGACCAGCTCGTTGACCACAGATCTCAGATACTGGTACTCTTCCACGTCCCCACGGCTAGGCACCGCAACTTGCACAAGCACAACTTTCCCAATCCACTCAGGATGCTCGTTCAAGAACACCTCCATTGCGTGCAGCTTTTGGGGGACACCTTTAATGTAATCCAGTCTGTCGACCCCAACGATGATCTTCACGTCTTTGAAGGTCTCTTTGAGCTTTCGGATTCTGTCTATCACACTTTCTTCTTTAAGACCGTCGGTGAAGGTGTCTACATCAATGCCGATAGGGAACGCACCCACGTTGACGAATCTGCCCTCGTATTCCACGCCGTTGGGCAAAGTATTCACGTCCAGCACTCTTTGCACGGAGCTGAGAAAGTGTCGAGCGTAATCGTAAGTGTGGAAACCCACGAGGTCGCAGCTCAGCACGCCTCTCAGAATTTCTTGTCTAACAGGCAAAATCCTGTAAATTTCAGAGGATGGGAAGGGTGTGTGTAAGAACCACCCAAGTTTCACGTTTTTAAGATTCTTGCCCTTCATGCCGGACCTCAGCAACTCGGGCAGAAGCATCAGATGGTAGTCGTGGACCCAAACGATGTCGTCATCCGCCACGTTTTTCTCGATTTCCCGGGCAAAAGCCATGTTGGCCTCGTTGTATGCCAGCCAAGCGTTTTCATCGAAATTGATTTCACCGGGATGGTAATGGAACAGCGGCCACAGAATCGAATTACTGAACCCGTTGTAGTGCAGTTCTGCGATCTCGTCCGTCAAAAAAATCGGGATCGCGTTGAACTTTTCCAGCAGATCCTTTTTTACCGTTTCCTTCTCCTCGTCTGGAATCTCGAGACCGGGCCACCCATACCACTGGAAGGTTGTCGCTTTTTTCAAGCCCTGCAGGGCCGTTACAAGACCACCGGAAGACATCGAGTATTCATATTCGCCTGTAGTGTTATTCTTCTTGATGGTCACAGGAAGTCTGTTCGAAACGACGATTACATTCCCAGAATGATCCTTGATATCCGCCACTTCTTCGGCCCCGGAGGTCAATGTGCTCTTGAGCTTTTCCACAACTGTTTCAGCCATTCTCGACGCGTGCTTGTTTGGGAGATGGGTTCGATCGAATGAGATCTTGAGCTTTTACTGGAGTTGGATCTGAGAGGTTTGAACCCCTTTCTAAGTTAACTGTTTGGTATTGTTGAATCGCACTTTGTACGAGGTGGGTGTGTATGTGAGGCAGATGTCGGTAGAGTAGAAAGTGACTTTATTTGGGTGCTTCGATGCTTGTGAGTGGATAATGTGAGTATAGAGCGTGAAAGGGTGGTGTTGGGCTATCATTGATAGGATTGAAAAGCTCAGAACGTATTTACTTGTTTGATTCTATAAATGTTTAAAAATTCTGCTTCGCCTTGGAGCCTTTTTAAAAACAGAAAAAGTGGAGAATCTGTGTTACGTTGACTTGAAGTTGCAATTGATTTCACAAGACTGCCAGCTCTGATTATCTACTTCACAACTCTTGATACCCATTTTTTAGAGATCTCTCGATATGCCAGTCTACATGTCACTTTTTCCTTCGCTGACACTAAAAATAAGCGTGTCCCCGTTCACCGATCTTCAAAATGCTCCAGAATAGTCATTTAGAAGACCCACAAGTCTACAAAACCCCATGGTATTAATGAGTGTTCCCAGGACTTGGTTTGGTCAACTTTTTCGTTCTTTCTTCCCGAACAATAATTCACTCGAGGGCCAAATTAAGATTGAACTTCAAAGGCGATTTTAAGAGTAAATGGACTCAAAGAAAAGATGCATTGCTCTTCAAGAAATATGCCGGCTGCTGATGTTGTTGAAGCTTGTCAAAATCGCAATCAAGACGATCCTGCACCCTGTGCTGACATCACAACAACGATCGTGGCACATAATCACGTGACCTCTTCAAATAAATCACGACCTTATTCGAAGCTGGCAACCTAACAAACCATTCGACCAAACTCTCTCTTTGAACAGAACACGATCAGAGGTTGGCAAGCACACTTTACTAGGCTTTTGCATGCTGGATATCTGGTAGTCCGAGAGCTATGGATTATAATGACTCCATTATAAGCCATTTTAGAGGTCAAGATCCGGTCAGCACGGAAAAGTTAACAGAACTCGTCAACGAGCAAAAGGGCAAAGTTTCGCAACGCTCCAAGAAGATCGCGGGATTCCAAGGATCAGGAGTTGAAGAGCAAAGTCTGCGGCGCTGTGAAAGCGCTCTGTCCATTTTCAAGGAATTGATCAAGCTTCAATTTTTAATACAGAAATCCTGGGACCTACAGGCACTTTCTAAAAGCGTTTTGGTGAGATTCGACATTCAAACAGGCGCGTTACCGGGCCAGGACTCAAAGCTAGATCATGCGGAGACTTTTTATCGAGAATTGGCTCTCAAAACTATTACACGGTGCGGAAAACTGTCAGAAGCCATTGAGGCATTATCCTTGGACTCCCAGCGAGTTCGGGATTATTTGGATGTTCAGTCCTCGCACGACCCGTCTGCTTGTCTGGAAGACTCCACATGCCTCCTGCTAGAAATTTGGTTCCTCTGCGGTAAGAACATGCGGTCTTTGAAAAGGAACGTGGCAGAATTGTTCATCCGAGCCAAGTTGTTGCTGATTGATTGTGAACTGGAGGTCATAAAGTCTTTGGCAACCGAAGACGGATACGGAACGTTACAAGAGACTGTCGTCTCTTATAGGTCGTTCATAAGAGTTCTTCTTCAACAGATGCAGGACGCCGATGTCAATAACGATCAAGGGCTATTCGAGGAATGTCTCCAGGTTTTCCTCGATGTTGAGTCTATGTTCAATGTCATGAACTTTAATTATCTACTTTACGAAACACAATACTCACAGGCTGATGTCCGACTGCCATCAAGCACACAATCAAATATAGTACAGGAAGCGTCAGAACTGCGAGATATGTCCCAATTCGCGAATGAAAGCAATGCCTCAACATCATCAAATGACGAAAATGAGTTTGCAGATCTTCTGCCTCAAATTAGAAATGCATCACAGGAACGAAGAATGTCCGAGACATCAAACTTATCCGTTTCGCTCATGATGGAGAAAACATCTTTGAAAAGGGAATTGCCTAAACTTCTACAGGCTTTCAATGATGCTAAGAGATTAGAACAAGAGTTAGAGAATGCGCGAGCGGCCAAAAATAATATCTCGGAAAACGTTTCCTCGAGTCCTTCTGTAAATGCGACGACTTCATCACTCTCCTCTTCCCTACTATCTCCTTCCTCAAGTCTCTTTATGGGCTCGGCGTCGAGAATGAGCCATGATCCGAACAGCTCCATATTTTCTGTCAACAGTAGTATACATTCAGAGGATGAATCTAGATTCAATGAGGGATCCTTGCCAAAAGCTAAAAACGTTCCAACCGGCTTTCCTTCTGCCGATTCCTTTGCAAATTCAATAACCTACGACAGTGCAATGAAGTTGTCTTCGTCGCAACAGTTATCGTCATCCTTCCGATATCCTCGAAACGTCCAGGGATTTAGCAGCAATGTGTTAAACAACCTCTATGGTTTAGGCAATAAGCACTGAGGAGTTGGTACAGGTTGGGTAGTAGCATATGCATTTTAGGTATTTTAAAGGTATTCATATTCCAGAAACTTGATTCTATTTCTATAACCTTAGCCATCGTTATCGAAGTTGGTAAGACACATCAGTGATGGTAAGGGGCGCTCGATCTGGCAACATTTTATAAAGTTTTGAAATATTTACTGTCTCAGTAAGTGGGCACGTCTTAACGAGTAGGGAAGTGACAAATTAAATTAGATCAAAGAGTCCTCCTGAGGCTTTTTGTCTGGATCTTCTTCTTCTTGCTCATCATCTTCGTCTTCATCTCTGGATCTATCGTAAAATTCATCCAAGATTTTTGGAGAAATTCTGTTAAGCATCTCTTTTGGATAAATTCTTAGCAAAGACCAGGCTTGGTCCAAACTATCGAAGACTGTTCTGTTTTCATAAGCGCCTTGGGCAATGAAGGTTTTCTCAAATTTCTCCAAGAATTCTAGAGACAATTTGTCTTCAATTGACAAAGCCTCCTCACCAACGACAGCTTTCATAGCCGCAGCGTCTCTACCAATAGCATATTTGGCATAAAGCTGGTTGGACACATCACCGTGATCCTTTCTAGTCATACCTTCACCAATGGCGGACTTCATTAATCTGGATAGCGATGGGAGCACATTGATTGGAGGGTAGATACCTTTGTTGTGCAATTGACGGTCCACAGAAATTTGACCTTCGGTAATGTAACCGGTCAAATCTGGAATTGGATGCGTGATATCGTCGTTAGGCATGGTCAAAATAGGAATTTGAGTGATAGAACCATTACGGCCCTCAACTCTACCGGCTCTCTCGTAAATGGTGGACAAATCGGTATACATGTAACCTGGGTAACCTCTTCTACCTGGCACTTCTTCTCTGGCAGCAGAGACCTCTCTCAACGCATCGGCGTAAGACGACATATCAGTCAAGATTGTCAAGACATGACGCTCAGTTTGGTACGCCAAATATTCAGCAGTGGTCAAAGCCAATCTTGGAGTAATAATTCTTTCAATAGTAGGGTCGTTGGCCAAGTTCAAAAACAAGGAAGTTCTCTCCAAAGAACCATTTTCTTCAAAATCTTGCTTGAAAAATCTGGCGGTTTCCAAGTTGACACCCATGGCGGCGAAAACAATGGAGAAATTTTCTTCGTGTCCATCGTGAACGTCCTTAGTAGGTCTAACAAGACCGGCTTGTCTACAAATCTGAGCGGCAATTTCGTTGTGGGGCAGACCAGATGCCGAAAAGATGGGGATCTTTTGACCACGCGCGATGGAGTTCATGGTGTCGATGGCGGAGACACCAGTCGAGATCATTTCCTCCGGGTAAATACGGGCGTAAGGGTTGATAGGAGACCCGTTGATATCCAAGTAGTCCTCTGCGAACACTTTGGGGCCGTTGTCGATAGGTCTTCCTGAGCCGTCGAAAATACGTCCCAAGGTGTCCTCCGAGACCGGAATCCGCAAGTTTTCACCGGTGAACTCGACCGTGGTCTTCTTCACGTCGATACCCGAAGTACCCTCGAACACTTGCACAATGGCTCTGTCGCCTCTTACCTCCAAGACCTGACCCTGTCTGCTCGTTCCGTCGGGCAGCGTCAAGTTCACGATCTCGTTGTAACGAGGAAACTTGACCTTTTCCAAAATCACCAGCGGACCATTCACACCACCCACAGTGTTGTAATTGAGTCTGGGCTTGATGTTGAACCCTTGGCTCACGGCCTTTTTGTTCAAGTCGTATAGCTCTTTGTCAGAAAGCATTTTTGAAAAATTCTTGGTTTTCAGCACAAGTGTGATATCAAAACGTAGCTGTTCTTCCAAACTATTCACGATGCTTGCTAGAACTGCTTGATGCCTTTTTAGCCGTGTTTGAGACCGCTATAACCGGAGAACTATTAGGGTAGTTTTATGTGAACTAGCACTAAAACCGACCAATTCTTCACACAAATCCACCAAAATTGCACGTCGAACAAGAAAACAGCAAGAGCTTGTTACTTGATAATCAGTAAGATCTTTGAGGAGTCGTCTATAACTTGATTCGGTCTTCTGCTAAAGGGGGAGTTGTTAACTGTTAATTTTGACTTAGATATTTAGTATATAAAGATTAGAGGGATGAAAATTTTGGAAGTAGGGTAACGTCAGGTGCGTCACGAAATACACGACGCACCCGACGGTTGATGAACTGGATATAAAAGCTGGTTGAGAAGAGTCATGGGACGCTCATTTGGACCTAGTTCTGATGTGTGTTGATGGAAGTGGTGGCCAAAAATTTCTGTGCGTTTTTAGGCCCAAATTTGAGCCCAGGAAAATTGAATGAAGGAGGATGGTAGTAGAACACGGACTTTGAATCTTGCGAATGGCGTATATTTTTGGCCGTTAGGAACCGGTGGAACGTGCACGATGGTCGCTGCTGCCACGTGGCGTGTGCGTACGAAATAGAGCCGAGTTTGGCTGAACACTGCGTTTCTCGGACTCATCCGACAAGAAACCATTTATCGTCAACGGAATTGTTCAGAACGCTCAGCTCTCCAGATCCCTGGAGCAGCGCTTGCAGCTCCGAATGACACACCTCGTAGCTGATAGCGGTCTCTGCATTGCTCCTGATATCTGTGTTAACATCCTCGTTTATAATCATACAGTAGAACAGCTTGTCGACATCGTACGTTCGCAGCAGGCTTCTTAAAAGTGCTCTTTTGTCGCTGCAGTCGCCAGGAACCAGGTCCAGGCTCCGCAGAAACACCAAAAGATTCAGCACGATCCCTGTAAGGCTGTTCAAAACGTCTGTTCCTGCCTCTTTCAAAGGCAGCTCCACCAGTAGCACTTTTCCGGCTAAAATCAGGAACTCCCACATGCTTCGCAAGGAGCACTCTATAACGTTTTGTGGCAGGCAATATAGATGTTGGATGTTGACCATGGGCTGGAAACTTATCGTGTATGGAAACTTCGGATGTTCTCTTCGCCTTACTCGAAACAAACGCACGAGCTCTTGAAATTTAAGGGCCTTAGAATTTGCCAACACTTTTTGCAATTGACGCAAGCCAGGCTCGAGCGCTTGGAATTGTGCTTTCTGGTTGCTGCCCGAGTCTTGCAACATTCGTGAGTTGTCGACTTCGTCAGCGTCGTTTTTGTTTAACTGATCTTGCAGGTGCTTCACACGATCGGATTTTAGCTGCACTGCATCGCGAGCCTGCTCGACTTTGCGGCGAAACTTGTTGATCTTCCTTTTCAGATGTGCCGTTTTGAGCATAGCCAGATTCCGCCCCAGGACGTCTTTGGGCTCCGAGCTCTCGTCCATCGCGTGTTTAAGAATCTCGTCCACCTGCGCTCGCAGCTCGTTATTGGAGGCCTGAATTTCGTAAAGCTCGATTCTGTGCTTCAGGATTAAATGTGGACTTGTGTTGATGCAATGGCCGCAGTAACGCTCTTTAACCTGCTCGTGGCAGGCGTAGCACTTACCTAGGACCATCGTGATACGCAAATGACTAGGGGTTTATTTGCAGGTCCTGGAAGGTCCATAGCTTGTTAAAGCAGGAATTCGGGGAGAAAGGACGGACAAAAATTGCACGGCGAAGAGCTCACCGCGCCTTTCCAATACCTCCAAAGAGTCTAACTGGAGCTTTGAAGTGTGCCTGTTAATGTTGAAGTATTCAGGACTGGTTTCCTATAATTACGAATGACATGACACTTTAGTACATAGTGATATTGAACGATGTCAGTTTATTTGATATGCTAATTTTGGCCTATGAAAGCTCAAGATAATCGGGGCAGTGATTTCAACTACTAAAATGGCTTTTGGTATGGCTATCTGGAAATTTTAGCGTCGATATATGGCCCTCTGAAGCAAGTTGACAGAAGATCGCACATCTTTGCTCTAAAGACTATTTAGGCACTCTAAACAATGTGAAGCATGTCAAAAGCTTTTAGAGAGCAATTATAAGGACGTTCGAGGTGCTATGAAATGGATCCGTAGAACGCTGGTTTGATTCAGTTCCCCATTCCTATCACGTGACACTAGACATAGCTCAACTGTCTTTTCCAAATGCGCGTTGCAACGACAGAAGGAGACAAGATCGATGCCATTTCTGATTTACATTCGTCGTCTGCTTGGTGAATATTCATGGTTCCTCCCTCACAATCAATTTTCTTCACCGCAAAAATACAAAATTGCCGGCCAAAACCGATGAATTTCATGTTATTTAAAATGGCTCCATAAAGATAGCTAAAAATGCTCCCAAAAGCTCCAGACAAACCTCTCATGACACCAACTCAATTCTGGAAACTAGCCCACTGCCTTAAACAAAAGCTCGCATGTGACCGAAGCTTGGCGAGATTAAGCTCGTATACAGTGACACTGACACTATCAAAGCATATATGAGCTCATGGCATCTCAGCTCATCGCATCGAATGTCAGCTTCAGGTCAACTCATCTTATCTGAACCATTCTTCAGTCATTCTGCATGCTGTTGGCCTAGATAGAACACTATTTACTGCGACAATGAATTCCTTAAAAGAAGAGCCCTTTAGAGTGGCAGTTCTTGGAGGAACTGGCACGGGAAAGTCGTCATTGGTGTCGAAGTTGACAGTTGGGATGGCACATGAGGTGCACTACCCAACGACCAAACAGAACAACTGGTTGTTTACGTTTGAACCATCTGGAGAGCTGGTACGTACGCTGATGGATGAACGGCCACACCGCAGACGGCTTCTGCAAAGTGGGAAGGCGGATCGATCTTTCTTCGACACACCAGAGGTGACACCGCTCGTTCTGCTGTCACCAGTGTTGTTCCAGGCTTTCGCCAACGAATGGAAGGAGACGAGAACAGTTTTGCGCAGTAATGCGGCCAAGGCAGAGATTAGGTGCACCAATGTTAAAAACGGGGTCTACAACTACGAGGACCAGTCGTGGAAAAACGACTACATCGACCAATCGAGAACCACACTGACCAATTCCGACGCAAACATTCTCAAGACTCAGCAGTCCAGCGAGGGCATCGTCTCGTCCCAGTCAAATGCATCTTCGTTTCCGGAGGACTACGAACCGCCTACTTACAGCGCTTTGGCGATCGACATAGTGGACACGCCTGGCTTCAAGCCAGATATGGTGGTGCCTTTCCTGGAAGTGTCGCTTTTCCGTAACCTAGACCAAGAAGTTTTGAGGGGGCTGGCAAATGAACCACGGAAGCCGGTGTCAACGACAAGTTTGCTTGTCGCATCAGGCGCCTCAGAGCTAAATGGCCGCATCAACGGCTACATCTTTGTCTACAGTGCCGTACCAGAATTGAATCATGGCACTGATCCGCCAGGGTATGACGATATCAGTCAAGCTGACATGCCGCATGTCTCGACCTGTTCTTCTCGAAACTCGTCCAATCTCTCAATATCACCGACTTCAAGCTCCTCGAGCACGGCAGAAAAAGAGTGCGATGGTGGTTTGTCTCTTTTGACAACGATAAGAAACTGTATGTTGGATGCTTGGTCCGAATACCGTGACTACCAGCACCGATGGTCCGAGGGGAAAGAAGGCGACGTATATTCGCTGATGTACAACTTCAAACAAATGTGGAAGTCTCAGAAAAACAGAGATGAGAAGCTACAACAGTTACGTTCATTTGATTACAAGCCAAACGCTGTGAATTGGGACCCTAGTTCTCCAGACTCCCCACCACCTTGTATCATAATATGCACGCATGTAGATGATCCGCTGGCAAGCCCAGTGTTACTGAACCGCGGAAAGGAGTTAGCACTGCAGTGGGGATGCGGCTTTGTCGGGGTGGACACTATGGATGATTGCAATGTGGAAGTTGCCTTGGGAATGCTGCTGAGGGAGGGTGTCGAAAGAAGGAAGATTATAAAGGCGGCATTGAAGCACAAAAACAAGTCAAAATAATGTTGAATTATACTGTTCTACATACACGGCCTGGTGTCGTATATATGGTATATCATAGAGCAAATGCTTGCATAACAATAGAACCGTCTTCATACCCAGTAAAGGTCCAATTGCGAATAGCGACTTGAGTTGCTCGTCTTCTATGACCAACGCTTGAAAACTGGTCTTCCGTGATAACTTGCTTGCCCAAGCAAGCTACGCTGCTGGCTTTAATCCAGTTTTTGGGCTTTTTATCTGCAGAGAAACTGCCGACATTTGAGTCATCCACTAATAGATTGCTTCGCAGCTTGGAACCAACAACATGAGTTTCGTCTTTATTCGCTACCACAGTCTGTCCTTTCCAGTTTAATGCCACCAGAGAGTGTCCCACGCTTTCTATGTGAGCGATCTCATTAGTTTCGAGATCCAAGCTCGAATTACATAGCGCAAAGCCCTTTCTATATCTGATGCCATTAGTTTGCGTATTGCAGCCGTCATCAATATCACAATTGCCAGTCTCAGGGACGATATGTCTTCCAACAGTGCTAGTCGTTGATGAACTATATGCGGTTTGACCATCACAACTGGCACACAGTGATAAAACTGGTTCTGGGTAGTGCACGGAAGAAGCGTAGACAATTTCCAGTGATGGTCTGGAAGCATCCTTGTGTTCAACAAATCGTAGTCCCACTACAAATCCACACTCAAATCCAATATAGACCAATCCAGCAAGCTCTAGAAAGCACATCGCAATGCCCGTTTTATCCAAGGTAAAGCTCCGATTCCAGTTGCTTGCATCAGTCAGATTGCTATACAGATTAACAGCCTTGAACTCACGCTTGAGAGATTGCTGGTCTCTCAAATCGAAGGTGTAGACGTCAAAACATTCTGAATTCTCCGCGTTGCAGCACCAGAGCCTGTATTTGTTCTCTGATAGTACCTGGATAGCCACATTTGCGAAGTTGAGGGTGTTCACTGGTATGGAATAAACTTCTTTCAGGTTGCAGGAATTGCCACTTGTAGTTCCTTTCCTAGTCGTGGGCGACACGGTACTGCACTCATTTCGCAAGCGAAAGAATCGAAGACAGTGATCTTTCGAGAGCACAGTCACGTATTGATCAACGAAATTGATACTGCTGATCTGAGCTTTTGATTCTAATCTGTAAGTTGAAATAGACCGGCGTGTGATGAGGTCCCAGACCAACACTAACCCATCACGATCTCCAGATATCAATACTGGGAAATAACCTTTTTGAGCTACGATTTTTGACGCAGTAACTTCAGATTCATGTTTTCTCAAGGTGTAGGCCACTGAGAGTTCAGTTGACATGGCTCTTGGGTCTCCATCTTCGTCGAAACAAAATCTTAAAGGCAGAAGTGACATAAACAGTTACATTTTTTAAAGATACAACGAGGTAAGGTATGAGGCATACAAAGAAGCTCAGATAATAGCTTAGAGCTTAAAGCAAACTCAAGAGCAAACTTAAGAGCTCACTGATTGCAATTGTTCCAGCTTCCTCCTGGCTAGAACACAACTTTTCAAATTCATAATCCAGTCAACAGATTCTTGTTCGGTAAGAGCGCGAAATCTCAGACGCTCATCGTAGGTTATAATTGCAAACCCTGTAAAGCAGCGACGGTTTTTGTCGTCCTCGATCGAGTCCACGACCTTGTCAAGCTGGATACGGCGATATAGTTTTCCTGACGAAATTGAGTTAATGCACAAACATGCACTGTCGAGCGTGGCCGAGACCTTTTTCCAAGGCTTGCGTCCCAGCCGTTTCTTCACTCTACAGTATAAAGTGCCTGTTTGGATGAAACGCGGCGGTTTTTGTGTAGGGCTGAAAAGAGCGTAAAACTCGCGATCCTCGTCGGGAACCGGCACGATCTTTGAGGGCGACCGACGCACATAGAGGTGCCCGGGCCGGGTTTCCGAAGCTATCTCAAAATCATCATCGTTCTCGTCGTTTTCGTCGTTCTCGTCATTTTCTTCGTTTGCATCGTTTTCGTCGTTGTCATCATTGGAATCGTTGTTCTCGTCGTCGTATTCGTCGGATACGTCGTCCACGCCCTTGGTTTCATGGCCCCCATGCCAGCTTGTACCACTTGCGTCACTGAAAGTCTTCTTCATGAGGGCCTCTACTCGCGACGTTCCACGCTGCTTGTCGACGAAAAACTCCTGCAACGCCTTATGCCAATCCTCAAACACTTTTGGTGAGTCTGCCCTCAAAAAATAGGTCTTGCGAATCGTGTATAGATCGATTCGCAGTTCGTTTTCGTTGGCTCGAAATCCCAGGATCTCTTCCGCTGGGATTACATCAATGGCCTTGCGTTCGCTTTTGTCCTTGTAGTAACTGAACTGACCTCTTCTCAGCACACACCATAATTCGTGGTACCCACTTTTGCTGAACTTCTGCTGGGTAACGGCCACGCTCGTGTCGTTCTGACCATTGGGCTTGGAAGTCGTGATGGGTTGCTGAACAGTGATTTTTCCGGACGAAGCGTACGATTTCTTGTACAGAAACGAAGAAACCAGCACATCGTTCAACAGCTGCGTAGCTGTGAACAGTAGTTTAGTATCGTGATCTGCCATGGATCATGCTTGGGCTCGAGATCTGTGCTTGATGTTGTTGGAAATGTTCGAGTTGTATGGTAGATCAGACAGCGATGATGTCATCTATACGACGAATATAAAACCGTTATGTATCGCTTTGTACGCATAATCATTTTGACACAACGACGTCGTCGAGTACATTTTTGATAGGAATAGGAGTACTTGAAGCGTGAAGTTAGACCAGGTAATTGTGTGATGTAGACATTTGAATCAGGGCTGCTAATTTGAGTATTCTGTGTTTCTTGTATTCTTGTTATTTGAGTAGTTGAAGATTTTATAATCTTTGTGCGTCGCTAGAAAAACGGGATTTAATTGGTCCCTCGATGGCAGCTCGTTGCCAAGATAAGCTGATCGTGATAATTCTGTGGTTTTAAGACTAAATACAAATATGTAAAGTGGTATAAAGTGAGCCATTTTTCGTAAATTGAAGCTTGTGTTAGTTGGGTAGATTTTGAAAAGTTCCTGTCTTCTCAAATACCAGCACTTGGCGTCTTGAATTGGAGGCGATGGCAAGAACATTATCGATAGGAAGCGGCGCTTCCTGTCTCTTGTAGAATGTGATTTCTATGATATCACTCTGTACTAATGTGTCACTTTTCTTGTATGTCTTCGCGACAATAAATGCTAGACGTACTCAGACGGGAAATAAAGAACAACGTTTCAGGAACTTTCATATCTCAGACTCGATGATGCGTAGTGTAGCTTTGTGGTGACCAGAATTTAAGGTATTGCGCCTGCGATCTTTTCTTTTTCTTCTAAATTAGCATTCGTGGTTGAAATGCGACCACCGCCTTCATTTTAACCTTTGGCACCTCTGTTCTTACAATTAAATCCTTGCCATTCCATCTCTCACTGAAGTGCAGCGTGTGGTCTCGAGAATCATCAAAAGGTATATTGGAATTGGTAACTTCAACGTCCCACCCAGTTCTGTAACTAATTAAAATTAGAGATGCCCTCGAACACACAGGATTGCACTTTCGCAGTAAGAACGTGTATATTCTTAACGGAGGCGAGGTTCGCAAGTTTCGCGAGTCTTTGAGACCGAATGAGTCGTAAAGCTTTTTCTGTCCTGATACTCAAAGAGCATTCGAGGTCTCTTAACGAACTCTCGACCTGGCAACAAATCCTTTTCCAGCTGTCGTCTTTCACCAGAATGTATCTATCAAAAAATAATTCACTACAGGCTCATTTATTCACCATTCCACTGCACCAAATACAATCACAAAAAACCACCGCGATAACCTGGTATTAACGTCAATTTACCTACTTGTAATCTATATAGCGGAAAGCAGAAAACTGATGACTTATTGAGATTTCGAGGCAATCTCATTGGGCTTGTTAAGCACCTGTGAGGGGTTTCTCTTTTTCTTGTAACTTGGAAAGGGCTTACTATGGCCTTTCGAGCCAGAAGAGCTGGTTTCCGGGCCAGGACGTTCGCCGGATGAGTTTCTGGACGGCGGCGTTGAGCCTCTCATGGAAGACGAGCGCCTCACACCTGGAAGTGTTCCAGACGATGCTATGACTGATGAAGATGAGGGTTGTCGGGCCCCTGGGACCGGAGATGCAGTTATTGGAACGTTTGTTCCGTAGAAACTGCTTCTTTTAGCAGACGACGAATTGCGCACCTTTGGAACCCGAATTTGTTGAGAGTTGATGAAGCCTGAAGAAGAGCTTAGATTGGGACTCGAGGCATTGCTGGAAGTAGCCTGGTGACTCTCTTGACATGTCTGAGGTAACTTTGCGTCTGAGTTTGTCCTGTTGCGACCATGCTGATCCAGAAATGACGCTGATAATTTGAAATCAGTCTTATCAGCATACTCGAAAACCATTTGACGTGATTCTAGGTAAAGCTCCTCCCATTTAGGCAGAGCCAGCTGCGATCGCAAAGAGTCACATTCGCGGTCCAGCAGCTCGTGATGTTCCTTCTCCACGAAAGCCAGATTTTGGTACTTGTCGGCGTAGCCATCGAGCGTGCTTTGCAGCGCCGACTGGTTATTAGCTAGAGCCTTTAAAGCCCGTGACGCATGCGCTTCTTGATCAGTTTTGAAGGCCTCCAGTTGAGCTCTCAGCTCCTCGACTTCTCGAGAATGTTGCTCACGGTATCGTCCCTGTGCGTCTAAAAGAGCATCATACTGCACTTGTACTTGTAGGAACTGCTCTTCCCGAGTGCCTTCCCGCTGCGTCAACTTTTGAAGCTGGCTGTGCAAGGACTTGTTGTCGACGGCTGCTTCCTCATAGGAATTTTTAAGTTTAGCTGTCTGCTCTTCGAGCTCACGGACTCGCCTTTCCTTACGACTAAGCATGAGATTCAGGTTATCGTTTTCGTGCTTTAGCGAAGAGATGCTTTCCAATTGCTTGCTGTGCGTGCTGTTTGCAGACTCAAGTCGAGACAATAAGTTGTTCGATTGTACCGTAAGCTCTAAATTTGTTCTCGTCAAGTTATCAATCTGAGAATGTAGCGCTTCTATAACTTTACTGCTCGAGGATATCCCAGGACTTCCGTCTCTGTTCGGACTATGACCGTTCTGAATGTTCGCCATGAAAGCCCCATGATTCATGCTCAATTTCGATGGCGAAAGCTTCACTGGTGAGCTCAGTCGAGCATCTGGTACAACGTCATTTGTACTATTCATTGATGGCATTCGCGCTAGAACTCAGACCGTGAAGTGTGTGGAGTCGTTTCAGATCAAAAGACGTTCGTTACGGTAATTTCGAAGTTAACAGAAGTGCGATCATAGTACAAAGTGACAGCCAGGGCATCTTGGTAATCCTAGACTCTCTCGGGGGATCGTAGGGCTCTGAGAGTTACTTCTTGAACTTGATAGAACTGAGATATTATTTTCGACTTGTGCTATTATTTATCTACATTCCCATGCCGAATTGTTGGGCCATCTGCTGCATTTGCGGATCTTGCATCATTTTCATCATTTCATCCATGTTGGGCATGCCACCGCCGGAACCACCAGCACCGTTGAACATATTCATCATGTTTTTCATCATTCCCGGATTTTGTCTTAATTTCTGCTGCGCTTGCTGCATCATAGAAGGCGAAATTTGCGGCATTCCGGGCATTTGAGGCATTCCGGGCATTCCTGGCATTCCTGGCATACCACCAGGACCTCGCTGGCCACCCTTGGTGGATTGAGCCATACGGGCCATCATTTGCTGCTGCATTAAGATCATTTCGACCTCAAGCGCGGAAGTACCGGACCCTCTCGCAACACGAACGATACGACCGGGTTGGTCTATGAATATGCGGCCGTCTGATTCTAACTCTTGTTTCGTCATAGAGTCCATCACAAAAACCATCTTTTTCATACGTTTCGTGGTCTCCTCCTCGCTTACCTGATTCAGCATGTTGCCCATGCCAGGTATCATGTTGGCTATGTTTGAGAGCGGACCCATCTTCATGATCGTTTGCATTTGTTTCTGAAAATCCAAAAGCGTGAATTTACCTTGCTGAATGTTCTCCATGGTGGCCTTCGTGTCTTCTTTGTTAGAAACTGTTTGAAAGTGTTCAAGCAAGCTCTCGATATCGCCGATGCCCAGCAGTTTTGACACAAACGACTTTGGTGAGAACTTTTCAAAGTCGTGAACGTGCTCACCAGTACCGATGAAGATGATGGGCGTCTTGGTGGCAGCCACAGCGGAAATAGCACCACCACCTTTGGCGTGGCCGTCCATCTTGGTAAGGATAATGGCTCCAAAATCAGAGCTATCTTTAAACGCCTTGGATTGCTGTTCTGCAGCCTGACCGATCGAGGCGTCTAGCACCATGATCGTCTGGTTGGGCTTCACCACCTGCGAGATTTCCACCATTTCCTGAAAAAGCTCCTCTTCCTGACGATGTCTACCAGAAGTATCCACGATTATGACCTCAAACTTCTCCTTCTTGAACTTAGCCACACCTTCTTGGGCGACTTTGACTGGGTTGGTTTCCGTGTACGACCCGTAGAATGGGATGCGCGCCTTGATGGCGTTTTGCTTGAGCTGGTCGAACGCACCGGCACGGAACGTGTCTGCACATACCAGACCAGTCTTGAAGCCTCGTTTAGAATAGTACACCGCCAGTTTCGTGCACGACGTGGTCTTACCGGAACCCTGCAACCCCACAAACATGACCACGTTCTGCTTGCGTTTTTTGGGCACGTAAGGCTGCGTTTCACCGTCCACCAGGTGGCACAGCTCGTCAAACACCGTTTTCTGTATTAGTTTTTTGGTCTGAGCGCTGTTGACCGATCGGCTCTTGGACTCCAGAAGCGTTTTACGGATGTTATTTCTGAGCGCGAACACCAGCTTGATGTTCACGTCACTTTCCAGCAGAGCGGTCACAATATTCTTCAGCATCACGTCCACCGTTGTGGTGTAATCGTCCTGCGAGTTCGACAGAGCGCTGTTGACTGCATTGTTGATGCGCTTACCCAAATCTGCTAACACCATGTTTTCGACTAAATTCGTCTATCTTGCGATCCAGAGAAGGTATTTTGACGATTCAAAATACTTCTTAGTCAATTGAAGCTTTAAATACACGACTAGCCCGTCTAATTTGCCGCTCACCTCGTTACTTGACCTCTGTAGCCAGCTAGCTTCATTGTCTGATGTGCTATGCTTATAGATGTGTTCTGAAATTTTTCAGATTTACAACTCAGACCCTTCGTATAAGATGATTAATTTTAGTGATTTGTATGGCCTGTCCATATATCTATAACGAAATATAAGTAGCGTAAGAATAGCTAGTTGATCCTTACTTGAATCTGCTCATTACATTGTCATTTCACTACAACTAGGAAGAACTGGTTTCTTCAATCTGGCATAGAGCCAATTGACCGTGTTTCAGGCTTTTTTTCCCGAGTCATCAGCGCTTTAAAATGCTAGATTTCATCACGGTGTTCAATCCATCGTACATCACCAAGGAAGAGGATGCTGAAAAGCAGCTTTTGCTGTTCCACACGTTCCAAGAGGTTGAGGAGGGCCGAAATTTGTCGCTCAATGAAAAGATCGCACAGTTGGGCGTGATTCAAGCGTTGTGGCAGTTTTCAGGCACGTTTGCAGAATCGCAAGACATGAGCGAAAGCGTTATAGAGCTCGAAGACCGAGTTTTGTGTACTATTGTGGTCGAAAACGGTTTCTTTGTGACACTGGGTATCGCAGCTGCGGAACTGGACATACCTGCCAACTATTTTGCGGCCAATCTGCGACATTGTTACGATTTCTCGGTGCTGCAGTTCGGGCTGTGGAGCGGGTTTACGAGTCGGAAGCAGCTCACAGATCGTCTAAACGAATTTCTGGTTCCGTTTTGGACCGAATTAAACCTCATGCCGCACCATCTATGGTACAAGGGCTTTATGAACTGCTGGCCCCACTGCTACAAAGTGGCAGACATCGAAGACAACGCCAAAACGGACGCCTCCTCGTCTTCTTCTTCTTCGTGGGAAGCCGATCTCAAGCAGCAGGTTCTGCTTGACGACTCCAGCTTTCTGGGCTTGCAAGACCTTCTTATCTACCATTTACCAAAAGCCACGTCTGGAAAGAGTTATAAGCTTTACGGTCTAGTGCGGAGCTTCACACCGAATTTTGATTCCTTACCACAGTTCTCGAACTGGATCGAACACCTTGATAACGTCTACACGCGATTATCGAGTCATGTACTGGCAGGCAACGTACAGTTCAAAGAGGCTGCCGAAGAGGAGCCTACCGTCCTGGCGAACAACAGCGAAGATCTTTCAACGACTCAATCGATAATGGATCAAAGCAGGAAACTTTATAATAATTTCACTTATCCTCTGTCGTTTGCTCACGATGCCGTGCATGAGGTTGGCAATATGACTGGGATTTCCAGTAGCATGTCGTTACTTAGCGATTTAATGCCAAAGATTCCAAGCTGGAAAATCTGGCCCAACTCAGATGACAAAAAAGCCAAAGCGGCGCGAAGCGAATTTTTGATCTCTCCACTTTCTGCATCCTTTCTTCCCGAGAGCTACAAAGTCAAAAAAATGCATTTATCCTATGATGGCGTTCTCCAGAGCTTCAATTGCCTGTTTTGGTTTTACAACGAAGCACTTGTTGTCCTAGTCTACAAAGAAAACTTTGGTAAAATATGGGATCATGAATACCTGCATGATACACACTTCAAACTATCTCAGTGTATCTCCAAACTATACACGTCGCACCTCAACGCTACGCATAACGGCGTACCAGACAGTTTTTGTTATGCGATTATATCGAAAAATACTCGACGGTTGAGGTCGTCTTTTCCGTTGAATACAGCTCAAGAAAACTCCACCAAAACTTCCACCTTAGAGCTTGTCGTCAGTGGATTAGACGAATTTCTCGCCATAGGCACCAACAGAAAGACATCCGTAGCCACGCTGCACCCTTTACAGGCATCAGCAAACTCCGAGGATGAATCTGGAAAACAGCCCTGGGGGCTAAGTCTCATGGGCGGAATATTCAAGAAAGGTCCAGCTGACGATGCCTCTAAAAAGTATGGCGAGACATTTCTGGACGATATTCCCGAGGAGAAATTGCGCTTCCTGCATTTAGACATCAACAAGTTTATCAACACTTTGAACACTTCAAAAAGAGCGCCCGATTTAAAAGAAGAAAAACTGATAAAACTGAACAATGGCGTTCTTTGCTTTCTCAGTGAAACCTCGAAAGAAATCGTGGTCTTGGTGGAGAACTGGTTTGACAAAAAGCCCTCGAAATCGAAGCGCTCGCCAAGAGATGGAAACAATTTGGTACAGTATATGGGGACCGAAGTGTTTAAATGGTGGCAAAAAAATAAGCGCACACAGACGTAGTAGTGGGCTTTGCTCGTTTTGTTTCTGCTCGCTGCGTTTCGTAATACACAATACTGCTACCACTCATCATCGTCATCATAAATGTCACCGTAAATAAGATCGTGCAAAAACAGATGATGGTCGCAATTAGGATATAAAGGCTCGTAGGAGCCCAAAGTCTGTACGTTAAAGCTAAAGCTGCATTGAGGAGCATTTTTGTGGTCTATGCGATCGCTTTCAGAGGTACCGCTTTCAAACACATCTAGCGGAGCGAACAATATTGAGCTCGACTCAAGATCGGTCTTCGGCTGCGCTGAATGCAAGTAATCCCGCGCAGCGTCCGGACGCTTCGGTACATCTTGCTGGACATGATTATCAAGGAGGTGATGAAAATCAAACAGCTCGTTCAATTTTTCAATGAGCAGTTCACTGTAGCTGTTACGGCATACAAGTGCACTCCGCCTCTTGGGATTGGGAACTGATTCCGGTTTCTGTACGCTGTTATGGAGGTGACAGGGCAATTGGGAGGCTCGATTTAGCATGTGAAAAGAGAAATAACGAAAATGGACCTCGAATTTGACCTTTTAATAAGCACGGGACTGGACTTAGGCCTGCGATAATCCCGTCACAACTATATTCCAAGACTCAACTCCATTTATATGCCATTAAAACCATTATCATCGTCACTAAATGATTCGCGAGGGTTGTTCACCTTATTCCCAATAGATGTTATCAAGCTCCCGATGTTCTCAAAGCGTTAGGGCTCCACCGAACATAGCTGAGAGTCCCGAAAGTCATTCTTTGATAGGATAAGCTTGTTCAATATTATTTGGGCTGCCACCGCTCTCGAACCCATCTCCCTAGTGACTGCGCGTGCCACTTCACCGGGGAAACGAGGTCACGCATCATAACCACGTCCTTTCGTTACGAATGGATCGTTCACAGCTTTGAAAATTGCTGCCACTGTTGGATCCCAGCTTTCGGTTTCGCCCGCTTAACACTACCCAATTCAAGGTCTCGTTGCCGCTGTCCTTGTACGAAAATCTTCCGCATTGAAGACCTGAAAACGTGCGGAAGCCTGATAAGCCCGAGTGACTTCAAAGAAGCCATTCATATTCCGTGCAATGAGAACTAGTTCAACCTTATCACGAAGCCATTTCGCACACGGTTGACCTCGTAACACAAGATGCTATCAGCTTCGTCCCTTGGGCGCTTCTTTCGCACGTTGATCGTTGCCACGAAAAGCGTCGAAGGCCTTACACGGCCGTTCCGAGTTTTCCATGGCGTTTCCCTGCCGGTGTAAGGCCAGCTTCTGATGAACGTCCGTGAGTTGAAGGCTTATCGCTGTCAAATAGATAACGGACGGACAGATTTCTTGAACCCGATTGAGAATCGCAACTGATAAGGAATTTCACGTGACCGAAAGGCGCCAGATTTATCTGAACATAGCGGTTTTGAAAAACGATGCCGTTTAGCCCACGCATCCCATCCCATGGGGATTCGATTGCACGTCCATATTCCAACAGCGTATGGGATGTATAGGGCAATGGAGACGAGGCGTTTCGTTAGCCGGTGTTACGGTGTTAGGGCTCACCAAACAAACCAAAAAAAAAACTCGATGGAACCGTAGGATTGGCGATAGAGATATGGTCCCCAGCTCGATAATACGGCGTATAAGGTGTCGAAAAGTCGAGCTCTGGTTGAGCTGACTTTCGCCGCATATTTCGCACGTCTCGTGTTAGTTTTTAATCCCACGGTCTGTGCGCATGACCCGAAATGCATAGAGGCGATCTTCACATGGCTACAAGTGTTCTCGACTGTCTATGGGCAGAGCACCCATGCTGACCTCCATGTCGCTGGTGCACACGCTGGAGGATCGGCATGTAGTGAAAAAGGCGTATTTTGTGAACCCATGGTCCAACTCATGCTGCTCGATTTCGGGCAAACCTGTGATCAGATCAACGTCTTTAGGATTTCGAGGCCATGATCTGCCCTTGGTCACGAACAGCTTGTAGACGAGGTAAACGGCCAGGTTCAGAAACAACATCAGATAACAAAAAAGGAAATCCTGGACATTCCACAGCGAGGGATAGAAAACTGCGTATCCTTGCACGAGCGTCATGATTGCAACCGACACTAGACCGACCATGGCGGTGTAAGGTTGGCCCCAGGACTTGAAAGGAAGTGGTGGCAAGCTCGTTCTCTGAGCCCTGTAGGAACGCCGGAAGTAGAGATAGGTTGTGCACAGAAAGGCGAAATTGATTAGCTGAGAAGTCGTAATCAGATTTATTAGCCAGTTCAGAACCACTGCGCTGTTGGAATTCAGTTGCAAAAGACTCAATAGCCCCCATAACAAAGACACACCCACGGCGTAAATGGGGACTCCGTACTTGTTGCATTTTTTGAAAATCTTTGGTGCGTTACCGTCCAATGCCAGTCCGTGCAGAATCCTCGAGGAACAGAACGTGTATGCGTTTCCTGCCGAAAACGCAGCGGTGATGAGCGTAGCATTGACCAAGTCCGGGAGAGCTCTGATCCCCAGATTCTTCATTGCAATCACGTAAGGAGAAGCGCCAGCGCCGGGCCGGGCTTCATTAATGGCTGCTGTCAAGTCGGGATTGTTTGCGCTGCATAAGATACCAACACACAAGCTGCTGCCCAAAAACAAAAGCGTGAGTCGATTGAACACATGCCTGAAGGCAACGGGCAAGACTTTACGCGGTAGTTTTGTTTCCCCTGCGATCATGGCGACGTAGTCGGGCCCCGCTATGGTAAAGGAAGCTTGAATGAGACAGGCCAAAAAGCCCTGAAAATATCCCCAAGACGCCGTGCCCTTGTGGCCTGTGGGGAAGTACTCTTTGAAGGGAGCGTCCGAAAAGTACCGGAACCCAAATCTGTCTCTTTGAGGATTTCCTCCCAGCATGGCAATGAACGTGAACATAAAAAGTCCTGCAGCTAGGAAGAGTTTGAAGCTGGCAAGCCAAAATTCCATTTCCCCATAGTACCGCACTGCAAATAAGCTGATGGCTAGATACAGACAGACCTGCACAACAAGAGGAATTGCGGCCGAGTAATCATCTCTCCAGTAGTGAATTATGGTGTTTACTGCGACAATTTCGAAAGGTATTTGCACGCACTCCAGAAACCAGAAGTTCCACCCCGCTGTTATTGCCATTGCGTCGTCCACACACCTTGAAGCTATTCTCAGAAATGGCGAATCCAATGGCAGAAAACACACCATTTCTGCTGTGGAAACCGTAATGCAGAGGATTGGGATACACCATAGGGCCATTCCCAATAAGAGGAAAACCGAGCCTCCATGGTACAAGGCCTTGCCTATACTTACAAATAGTGCCGTTCCAATGACCCCAGAAATACCTATCAAAAGAACGTGTCTGTGATGAAGTTTGCGATGTGTCAATTGAGCGCTGTCACTGTCGATGCTCAAATGTGAGCTGGCTGTGTGGGACGATTCCGTCACGAGGGTATCGGGTTTATTCGAAGCTTGAGATTTTGACATTGCGACTTTTCTCAAGCGTTCATAGCTCAATTCCGAATTCGTGATCAGCATACGAGTCTTCACTCAATCTCACTGGCTCGTGAAATTCCCGATTCTCTTTTGAAATGACTTGGCGTCGAATAAAGTAGTAATTGAACTAGCACAAAAACCTCTATCCGAGCAGCCTTTATACGAGTATTTAAACCGCTTAAGAATGTATCAAGAATTCCCAGCGTTATTGATAGGTTTGCAACGAGATGAACACACTGTTGGTTCTAACTATCTGGTTCTCTATAACGTATTCCAAGCATCTCAACTCAGTGGAACTTATAAAGGGTTTGTTTAGATCTCCAGACGCTAATTAGAGGTCACACGTGACTGGTGATGTAAATAATCAACATTATTAAAGAGTTTTAGCTGTTGTAGTGGATTTTTGACTGGAGTTCGTTGGATCCAATCGATGTTTGGATTTACTAGTTTTTGACCAATATGAGTGGGATATCTGTTTTTTTGTGCAAATCATTTTTGATCTCGGTCGGCAAATTGATACCAAGCTCACGACGGTATCATAAAGCCCAAACATATATATTGGTTGAGAATATCTATGCTAATAATATGGTATAAACGATTTTTTTGAGCTCGCTGGCCCTTTTTTGGTGATGTAGTCATTTTGACTCAGCGGTGACAGATTCTTTTCAAAGAAACACGAATTGTAAATAATCTCATTGAATACTTGGATGAATTTTGGTATCGCGTGTTTGATACGCTGTCAGTTCCATCACAAATCCTCCAAACTACAACCAAGGCTGACCCATGGTCAAGCCGTTGCCAGCATATATATGTGTGTTCAAGACCTTATCGTTTTTGCATAATCTGTCGTCTGTCGTTCTTCTTCAGCATTAGTACCACGTGACCGTGCAGTCAAGACGTCAGCATCGGCAGTAACGTTTTTGGTCGAGCAATGGACGACAGAAGCACTTGACGACAGTTGTCAGTGCTAAAGGTTCAGGACTGTTACTGTTCTGAGTCTTTTGCTTTTGTGAACAGTTATTTTTTGGTCTTTCTTGTTTTATGAAATGTTCAACATGTAAGGTTTGATTCGATCTTAATAGCGAAGCAGAAGTAGATGCAGAGCTCAAGACGGCAACAGAGCATCTATTTTTCCGTCCAAAAGCGTTCTTTCAAGGTGTCTGACACGGAAGAATAACAGATAGAATTCCAGATCTACATACCAAATGATTAATATAATATACCTATCTATATCACCTCAGGAAATTTGAATGAAACATATTTTGGCAACTGGATTGATCTGAAAAATGCTAAATCAATGGCTAAGAAGTCATGACTGGCCCAAGGTATGCTACTTTTCAACGCTCACCAGACATTCTAGATCACTTCCACCTTTGATATCATCCACAAGGTCATGTGACTAGAGTTCATAAGACATTTCGTCCTTTATAGATCTGACAGCATTGTGAAGAAACTCATCAACTTGTAGACGCTGCCAAAGGAAGGTGTGAACGTCCAAGAATGGAGTTCTCTAGTGATCCGTGGGGTCCTAATGAGCGGTTAAGTGATGGCGTTCATCGTGGCATTGAGACCAAACTACAAGAAGTTCGGGAAACTCTGGATGAAATTGAGAAAAGGGAGCCAGAAGCATGGGAGAAACTGGCGCTTTTAACAGCCGAAGACGACCTTAATGAGAGTCTTTTCAAGCAACTTCTGAAACAAATAAAAGACGTTAACGACGTGCAAATATCTGGTGTTACTTTACTTATTTACTGCATTGTCTTTGACCGGCCAAGGTACATTGAAATATTGCACGAATCCGGAAAACTGGACTTCAATGTTCCGGACCAAATTTTTGGCAATTCGCCGCTAATGTGGTGTTTCAATCTCGATAGAGAGCAATGTCTGGTAGAGCTTCTAAATTTTGTTGAAGAATTGGATCTAAGCTATAAAAACCCCGGTGGTTCCACGGCGCTTCAGTTATTGGTCCCAGGAAGCGCCATGTACGAGTTTTCCAAAGACCATGGTGCGTTTCGATTAGCCGAAAGTATAGGTAAAGTCCCACACGAACTATACGAAACCCAACCGATGAATTTCGGAACTGTAGACGTGGATCATACTTTGGATCAGATCAATCTCCAGACTGCCGGACTTGGTCTCAACGAGGAAAGCCAGTTCGACGTCGAGGAGAGTCTTGGTCAATCTCACGGAACAACACCTGTGAACACGGAGTCTCTTCTTCCGCGCTTCGACTTCGACCATGTGTTGCCCAAGCAGTTCATCGAGTTCGCGGATTATGATATTCCGCGACTACTCGATCTAATCATATCGCTACCGAGTAAAAACCCCCACAAAACCTGCATTCCTGCCGCTATCATTTTCCAGTGCTTAAGATACGCAGACTGTGTAAAGCAAAGCGCTTCGTTGGTGGAAAGCATGGCTCATTTGTTTCTTACGAAGATTCTCACATCAATAACGTCAACATCTGGCGGTGTTCTGCAGAGCAATCAAAGTGGCAATATTGTTTTGCAATCGTATTGGTTGTCGAGTCTCAATTTTCTGTTTTACTATCTCTACCGGCAGGATGAATTTTTCAAGAGATACCCATCCATATTACAAGAGCTCATTGATGGAATGCGCTCCTTGATAATAGAACTCAATTCTTCGATTCATTCAAGAATTGAACCCTTGATAGACTCAACCATTTTGGAGCACACTACCATCGCCGAGGTTAAGGAAACTCTTTACAAAAAAGACTGGAATTTGTTCAAAAAAAGAAAACTTCGCAAGGGTAAAACTGATGCACGCGACTCATATGATCAAATTTTAGCAATGCTATACCCTCCCTCGCTCGATGAACAAAAAAAGCCTTCACCTTTGAAGATTGTTCAGATTTTTGGCGCTCTATCCTATGTCTTAGATCTCCATCAAGTCCACCCTCTGATTGCCCAACAATGTCTTTCACTTGCAATAAAATGGTTCTCAGTTACGTTGTTCAACAAAATCATGGAAAATAAGAAAAAGTCACTATCCAGGGCTCATGCCATTCAGATAAAATTGAACTTATCTGTAATACAAGATTGGATCAAAAACCACGACTTTAAAGCTTCATTTCCGTCTATGATGGACGAATTTATGATGCAAAGATTCCCTTACACGTTAGTATTCAATTTAAGCGATATCGACAGTGCTCAAAAACCCTTCGAACTTAGAAATCTTACCTTTTACAGGCCAACTAAAGGAAGTCTGACGGAGGATATGACGAACTCATTGTTTTACTACCAATCTTTCTATCAAATTGCTCGAATTCATATGGAGCCGTGCATGCAGCTGTTGCAATGGCTTCAAGTCGCTACTTCACTGGAAGACGAGGGCAGCTTAAAGTCAACCACAGCAATATTAAACAAACTCACACCACTACAGCTTTACAAGTCTATGACAAGGTATAGGTACGAACTTGAAGAGCGCAAATTCTCCTCAGATCTGAAAAAGGGGTTGTCACTTACGTGTAAGCAAAGAGATGAAGTCGATGTTTACTATTCGGAAAAACCATTATATTCACTTGCGTTACCAACGATGACAGAACTCATCGACATGTACACACAAAGTGACGATAGTCACGAACTTTTGCCACTTTTACCTGTCGAAATTCAAGATGATGTGGACGAGATACACGAGCAAAACACGAAACTAAGAGAAATGGATAAGGATCAGCTTCTCCTGGGTCAGGAAGGTGATGATTTGAGCACTGAAGACGATGACAGGGCGGGGATCGAAAATGTGAATGGTGACCAGCTGTTTAAAGAACTTCACGCACCTTCATCGGCTGCCCAACGTCCACTTTGGGCCATTACCGACGACATAGAGCAGAATCCATGGTAATGCAATTAAATATGTAAGTATGTGTGTGGGTTCGTTCATATAAATCGTTAGACTTTTATGTGCAGTAGACCACCTGTTTGGAAACTTGCTTAAACTGCTCACAAAACCGCCTTGCCCACGTCTATATGCTATCTTAAATTTGTCCAAGCAGACTGGCCAGCAACATTCTGCATTTCAGTTACGCCCGTCCGAACTCTGACATGGAATTCTTCAGGAACCGAGTTCTGTACTTCAGCTGAAACTTGAGTTGATTGGTGCAGGTCGAAGACAGGAGCATTTTTGACACCAAGGCCGTGAATATCATGTACACTTTTCCAACCACTTTGGTGTCCATCCATAAATCCGCTCTCGCTACTCGAGTTTTCGAACATATCGTACTCGCCGTTCATTGCATTTGGAGTGGCGTTATTGGGCGAAAGAATCGACGGAGATTGAAACTGCTCAAAAGCTTTCTGAACGTCCACTGCTGGCGATGAGGTGAAACGGCTATTGTGCTGCTGATTTTGTTGCTGTCCCGTATTGCCGCCACATATATTAGCAGATTGAGCAGACCGCATTTTGTTTTCTGACATGACCAAATAGACATATGAGCTCACCGACCATTCATACCAAAACTTCCCACTAACTTGGTCATGGTTTCGAGTCATGAAGACCTCGAGCTCGCTATCGTCGGAAATGAAAAATGGTTGCTTGAGGGGGAACACAATAGGTGACCACGATGTCATATCTGGCGTGTGTTCACCTTTGACGTACAGTCCTGTTGTAATCCCTTGGTCTTCTGTTAATGATTCAGCTCTCTTAACAGTTGACCCATCGGGCAAAATGGACAGGCTGACATCATCATAGAGAGTAGCATTGAAGAATCCTATCAAGCCGTGTATCTCACATTTGTTTTTGATTTTGAAATCTGTTACCGCGGACTTGCTTAGTTTGGTGTATGCTAACGGATGTTGAAAAAACCAAGTTTCATTAATCTTAGTGGAAGTAATGCAATGTGGGATATTATGAATAATCCAGGGTTTGTCCATGGCATTGGAGTCGTTGAGATTTCCTAGTGTCTGATGCAATAATGGCGCCGAAATAGGTGCGATATATGAGGAGTAGCTTTGCGGTACAAAGAGCGTTGTCTCTTTGCAACTGTATTTCTCCACATTCAAAAGGCATTCTGGAGATAGCTCATTACAGCCAAATGAGCCTAGCAGCTCACTAATGCACAAGTCCACTTTAGTGTCGCTCCTCCACGAGCAAGCATCGTCCTTGACAATCTCCACAGAGTCTTTCCAGTATTCATGCTTCCGTTTTTGCAGGTATAGGGCGGCGCGAGGACTTTTCTCTAGGGCAATTATGCGACACTGTGTTATCTTTAGACCTGCTACAGCCATGTAAGTTTCATCCACTAAGGGGCCTCTTCCCGCACCGGCAATCAAAACCACCAAAGGGCCATTGTCTTTCGCGCTGACACTGCTATCTGCAATTAATTTTTGAAGTGCCTTAGTGATAGCTTTCCCGTACATTTGATACTTCGTTCTGTCTTGTTCGAAGGTATGGTAGACTGTGTTAGAGATGTCAGTGGAAAAAGGATCTAACGGAGGCATTAGCCTAGGCTCTGAAAGATTATGCATGTTTGATTCTGCCAGCATGGCTTTGTCGCCACGTTTGAGTAAATAGATGATGTACTCCAAGTACGCTAGTTCGCCGCCTTTAACTTGGAATCCGTATTTTTCGACGCCATGGAGAATAACGCAGAGTTCTGAAAGTTTTGCTTGTGAACAACCGTTGATCTTTTGAAACTCGAAAATGATCTGTTGATTGAACTTGTTGAGCACAGGGTAGTTGTGCTGGTTGGTAGCGAATATCGACGATGATACCAAGAGGCATGTAACAGGTTCTGCAAGCCATCTCTGTAACACGCAGGATGGCACTTTGTCACGCGGCAGGGCCAGTGAAATGGTCAAGTTGAGATGGTAGCCACAGATCCTGCGAACGGTACACCACAGTTCCCAAGTGGAGAGCGGGTCTGAGTCCTCAAAAAATGGCAGTGAAATGGAAAGAACCGGATTTTGGCCACCGTCGTTGTTACTGTGCAGCGAGAGTAGGCGCGCGACCATGAGTGCATAGCGATTGATGCAGGCGAGGTTTTTGGGCGGTGCCAAAATTAGCTGTTTGATCCCCACAAATGCCGCGTAACGCTGTTCGTTAGCCAGCACTTGGAAACTGAGTTCCTGGACGTCTGCGTCTGCACTCTCCATGTCGACCCACGACGCTAGCAGCCCGATGCAGCCAGGTGCACCGGTTTTGGCCGTCTGCGGAGGCACAGACAGGTCCTGAAGTTGCAGATCCGGCACTTGCAGCTCTCCACGAACACCTTTGAGATGCAGTTGGCGATGCTGCTGGAAAGCTACTTTAACACGATCTCGGTATCTACTGTTGGTGACTGGGTGGAGCACATAATCGTACCGGTCTTCACTGAGCTCGCACCCGGCCGTAATTGATCCTAAAAGCGGCTTGATTCCTACATAAACATTACTTTTCATACCTATGATATCTCTAAAAGCGATAGTTCATCCGTCGAGATCTTTCGATATGTATAGAATGTATAGAATTCAATACGGATTTTTCACTTTAAAAGCTTGTTTACCTTTTTTGAGAGCCGCTCGTATGTAGTGATACCACCAATCACGTGAAAATTCGATCTTAGCATAAAATAATGTATTAATGTGCTTTGACGAGTCTATGGTGTGGCAATGCATACTAAGACATCTGTTGCACGAGTTTGGCTATGATATACTGTTGTTGAGCTCTTGGAAAATTTGAGTTTGAAATATACTTCTGTATTTGTGTCACTATATACGTAACAGCTTAATTTAGCGACAGAATGGTACAGAGTGATGATCAGCGATTTATTCAGTATCGAACGTCCCCGAGGCAGGGCCAAGAGTGGGAGCAGATGCTGTTCTGGGATGTCTGAGAGAGTGAGAGCTTATTTATTTGCCATTTTAGTAACCTTTCGCCTTGGAGGATGTTCTTGTATAGCATGTAAAAAAATGGAAAATATATTCTAAACCGATATTTGAGATGGATGTGGCTGATCGAAGCAGCTTGGATAGCCTGCGGTAACTTAATAGACACGTATATGTAGTACCGCTGCTAGTCCAAAACTTCCGACAACAATATGATTCTCAGATTCAAAAACACGGCGTTACACGACTCGTTCGAAATACCTGAGCCCCGCGGGTATCGATAATACACAGCAGTAAGCTAGAACTAGCATTTGCTCGTTTCAACGCCTATTTCGGTTATACGAAGAGGCTCTTCTTTATCTTTTGTGGTGCTGTCGAGATAGCGTCTTCTACTCGTATCTCCACTCGATTCGCTAGTCACTCGTATTTTCTTGAGACGTCACGTTTTCTACTTTTCTATGCTCGCGAAATAAGATCCTAAAACGATGATTGAACGGTGCCTCGACTACACAGCATTCGTAGTCTTCAATCGGCTAGCATCTACCTGAACATGTATCAGCATAGTCACGCTTTTCAGGGCAGAAAGTTGACTGAACAAGAACGGGCACGAGTCTTGGAGTTCCAAGACTCAATTCACTATTCGCCAAGATATTCTGATGACTCGTGCGAATATCGTCATGTAATGTTGCCCAAAGCGATGTTAAAAGTGGTGCCCTCTGACTACTTCAATTCCGAAACTGGAACTTTACGCATTTTGACGGAAGACGAGTGGCGTGGACTTGGCATCACACAGTCGCTGGGTTGGGAACATTACGAATGCCATGCCCCAGAGCCTCACATTTTGTTATTTAAACGCACATTGTAAAAGAAAATAAGGGCTCGTTGATGGTGAAGAATGGAGGACGACAGCACATGCGTCCTCGGGTGGAACCATGAAAAATAGAAAGGACTCACTCAGCGAAGTCGCCAGTTTGTGGCGTGAAATGCATTGAATGGCTTTGACGTGGGATTTATTTTAATTGCATCTGCAGTTAGCCAGTGGAGTTATAAAGGAGTGCGAGATTTTACCGATATTAAGAGAAACCCTTAATTATAGACCAAAAAGGCATGCTTATTCTCTAAAAAGTAATATTTGTTGGGCCTTGATACAAGCTAGTCAAAATTAATTCCTCCCCAATGTAGGCTTTTGGTGTACAAAACATATGTACCAATCTGGAATTTAGATGACCAAGGATACCATAAAAAAGGTTGCTTTAAGCTGTGGGGCCTATAATTTCGCACCCCAGAGCGTCACTGACCATGATTAGTGCATTGAAGAGATATTTAGGCGAGGGATCTATGTCAATCTAATCCGTCTTGTGAAACGCAAGCATGTGGCTATTGCAAACGTGATGCTCTTCGCGTATTTGTACAAGCAAGAGAGTTAGGAAACACCTAATTACGTCCTCGATCTGTCTTACAAGTGTCATAGTAAATGAACAATGACACTGGTATGATCACTGCACCTAAAAAATTTTGAGTCACGAAAGAGCGATCAAAAAGCCGAAATTTGAATCTTTTAATGACAAGGCTAAATAACTGTATTTTCTTTCATCCTCTACAGATCTACGGATACTCACAACGTAATTACGAACTCGCAAATAAATAGTTAAGTCAAACCAAAGAATCCGTAGCGACACGTACGCAATCGAACAATTTTTGTTAACAAAAAGGCACACTTTTTCGAGTGCTCGAAACCACAACCAGAATAAAATGGGATTTCAGCTAAGGCGAGCGCCAGTCTCGAAACATCAGACGACACACTCTATCAACTACAGTAACTACGTATATAATGATATTTTAGAAGCTAGAAAGTCAGATATTTAGATTTCCATCCATCTTTAACGCGACACGCGCACTGCTTGAAAAGACAAATGATTCGAATCATAGTGGATGACGAAGAGTGATTGCCTTGACGAAGTCCTGTTCAGCCATGGAGTCCCGGGCTAAATATCTCAATGAGCTGATGTTCGCGATCAGAAGTTCAACGGACGACAATGCGAAACTTGATCTTTTCGCGTCAAATGCAGCCGCATCAAGCGATCCCAAATCGTTGAAAATTGTGACTATTCTAGTTCAAAACCTAGCAACACCTCTCACATCTAGCGATGTGTTTTCTAAATCCTTAAACGCACTCGATCTGCTACTGCGAAAAAAACCACATCTTCTAAGTTGTTCCTTGGATCCGAGCAGCGATAATAAAGACGCCGGCGTTTTTTGGCTTTTCAAGCGCCTCCTGCACATTGCATGTGTTCATTGGGAATCGCACTCATATCAGTACGCGATAAAACAGAAAATAGGGAGCTGGTGTTACCTATTTACCACATTTGCTGGTCCAGATAGTAAAACGATTCTCTCCCGTCACATTTTTGGCCAATTAGCTGGACTGGAGGCCCAAATCACTAGCGTTTTCAGTGCATCGCAGGACGTGCATACATTCTCAAATTCGTGCAAACAGCTGTATGTTCTCTGTGACTGGTGTAACCAACGCGATCTACAAAAAAGCGTTCCTTCAATTGACACCTCCCTCGAGGCAAACCGATGGGACAACTATTTTCAGAGAATTATGCGAATAGTTTTCTACGTCCTGGATTGTGTTGATGTCGAGCAATCGGTTCTACTTGAGTTGAAAACAAAGTTTTTATCACTGACCGTAAACTACGCCGTTACTCGCGGTTCTAAGTTCTGTCGCCTACGGCGAAAGGTGTTTTCCGATACAGCATTTAAATTTGCTACGGAGGCCACCGTCAATTTCATCTCCACCAATGCGCCCTTTTTGCAAGCTGATGGTGATAAGGCCCTAGCAAAGGCAATACTGCGTCTTTATTTGAGTGTCGCAGCAGAAGTCTCAGCCATACAGCTATTTTCACATTTCACGCCGTTCGAGAAGTTTTATCATGCTAGTGAACCTTTTCCTGCTTTGAAGCCCTTCACGAAAAAGGCCTTGATCATAGCTTTTTTCGACATAAGGAGAAAGGAAAGAGCTGAAAAGAGATTGACGGATGATGCAGAGTCACTAGAGTTCAATAGAGAGCATTTCAAAGATTTGCAAAGCGTTGCACTTGCTCCATACACTCAAAGTCCTCAACTAGAGGCTCTAAGAAAGTCAATAATCAATGATTCGTTTTCACTGGTTTCGAACGCAGATGCGAAGAACTACACTCTTATGAGCTTGAAGCTCGAAAACACTTCTATTGAAATTCTGCTTAAGGATTTACAGACAGTCATAACAAAGAGCATGCAGCAGAATAATTTCCGAAGCTTGATCTATGCGGTGCAGCTATTAGGGAAGATTTCCTGCTGCGAGTCGAACGACATAAAAGGCCTTGGGGGATTATGGGAACCTTGTGTGAGTTGCGATAGCACCTTACCGAGCAAGATTGTGGAAACTGGACATCGTGGTAAGTCTAGTGCCTCCACTGCTAGTGGAGCTTATAGACTGATTTACGAGAATTTTCTGAGCCATAACAATCTGAATGACTTTGGCGAAGCTCTTTTAGCCGCAATAATGATTGCGCTGCGAAGAATATTTACTCATTTTCGTGCGCCTCCCATACTACTTGATAACAATACAAAATCGAATTTGACAAGTCCTTTCGAGCTTTTCAAACGAGTTTCTTCAACACCGAACAGATACTTGAGACTTCTAGCGGTACCTTTAATGTCTAGTTGGACTTTTCCCTCCACTGATGACACAGAAGATCAACAATTTACACTTTTATTAAGTTCCCTGCAGGATATCTCAGTTCACTCAACCACGGAAACTCTGCTCATGTCATGGGTTCGTTTAACACTCGCCTCTAATGGGGACAACTTTGACCCATTGCTTGTCAAATTAATCGATATTTTCAACTCTGCAAACGTTGCAGAGCGCCATATGATGGCACATCAACTTCGCTACGTGTCTTGGCTAAAAAGTAAGACTCCTTATCGACTTTTGTCGCCGATACTCCCGTTGCTTCTTAAGCAAATCGGCAAGAATCTCAAGGAGAAAATGCTGTCGTTTCAAAGATTGACTGACTTTGTGGAATATCCTGCGAAAACCATTCTTGAGAACTTCCAGAGGTACATTGTTCCTTACGCAATAACGCAGTATAAAGATGATGTCATAACAGAAATCTCCAATATAATGTGTGATTATAACCGTGGTGAGCTGTCAGCACAAAAAGATCGACTATTACGAAAAAACAGTCGTCAAATATTTGCTGTTGCTCTTGTCAAACATAGCTTTTACTCTATCGACATTTTGGAGTCCCTATTTACCAATTGTCTACCCACGTTTGAAAAGTCTTTCGTTGCGGCCTACTTACCTGATTACAAGACCCTCGCTGAAGTTTTAAAACTATTCAAAAATCAAAGTGATACCAATGTTTCCAAGAGTGATAATGAGAACATGATTCTTTGTTCCTTGCGGTATCTGCTCACCAAACTTGGCTCCGAAAAGCGCCGCGTTTCAAAGCTCAAATTGTTAAGCGAGTGGACGGATGATCAAGAGGCGCTTTTCCAAAAAAAGCTGCAAGAAAGCGTCTTGGGCATATTCCAGGTGTTTTCGAGCGATATGCATGATATTGAAGGGCGTACAACTTACTTTGAAAAGTTACGTGTTATTAACGGTATTCACTTTTTGATCAACAACGCTTCGTCAGAATGTATAATCTCGGCGCTAGCGCAGATCAGCATTTGTTTGCAAAGTGGGCAGGAGGTTCCAGAGGTTTGCGAGAATTGCCTCAAGTGCTGGTTCGATTTGGTCAATAGGCTTACTCAAGAGCAGCTATCTACTGTAGTAGACAGTTTCGTGCCTTTTTTGCTTCAAAACGCCACATCATTCAACAACAAGGTAAAGAAAATTGCTAACGATATCATTAGAGTTCTCGTAAACGAAAAGAAAGACCTTATCTTGCAAACGCGACCTTACATTACTTTGGCATTCGTCAATGCCACAGAGCTGAAAGTTCTGGAGGAGAATAGGTCTTTTGCGAGATCCGTGAATCGAGTTCTTTACACTACAGACTGGTTCTTAGAGTATTCAAACAACTTGAAAAGCAAAAACAAGTACTTGGTACGCCAAAGTTTGATTGACGTGAAGGCTTTGTTACAAAAGAAAGAATTAGAAGGTCTCCTTAGAGCCTCTTATCACAACGCCTCACAGACTGACATTTCTATTTTATTAGGAAGTTTGCTTGATGCTTGCTACAGCTTTCGTAATGAGGATGTTGAATTATGCGAGCAGTGTACGGCGATAATTGGCGTTATTGGAGTTTTGGATACTACCAAGCATCATCTTCCCAGGTCAACGGCTCACATGCAAGAGGTATATGACTTTAACGATCACGCACAGACTGTTAAGTTCTTGATCAACATAATGAATGAGATTTTGGTGCCAGCCTTTTGGGAAAGCGAAAATCCCACCAAACAACTTTTTGTTGCGCTGGTTATGCAAGAATCCTTGAAATTCTGTGGACTTAGCTCCTCTTCTTGGGATATTCACCAGTCTGAACTTTATCCCAATGAAGCGCGACTTTGGAGCAGGTTCAACGATGTTGCCAAAACGACATTATACCCCCTCCGGTCCTCTCTATACATGGCTCAATCCTGGAAAGAGTACTCACCAATTGAATATCCATCCTTCAATCCTAAACAAGGATACAAAACATGGCTAAAGAACCTCACACTTGATCTCTTGAAAACGAGCACGGACGAGTCTCACCCGCTGCATGTGTTTGCTTCACTTATTAGAGAAGACGACGGTTTCTTATCAGAGAATCTGCTGCCTTACATTGTCATCGACATCTTAATCAAAGCTGAAAAAGGGACGATTTATTGCAATTACGTTGACAACCTTAAACAGGAGTTTAAATTCATATTCGAGTTCGAGCTCTCTTCTTTGAACCGTTATCAGGTTGATTCGATCAAACGCTGCTACGAAATCTCGTTCAAAGTTTTGGAATACTGCAAAAAATGGGTCACTCAGTTCAAGCAGGCTTACAGTCGCAAGCACGCTACTTTCACAATTCAGGAGCAAAAATACATATTAATGTTGCAAAGAATCGAAGCCTTCTTGGAGATGAACTCTTTTGGGTTGATGGCGCAAAGATCACTTGAGACAAATTCATTTGAAAGATCTGCTCTCTATCTTGAACAGTCTTACAGAGTAAAAGACAAAACATATGTTGGGAACGAAAGCCTTCTTGCTTATATGCAAAAGACGTATGCGGAAATTGGTGACATTGACGCTGTGGAGGGTGTGCTCAAAGTCTTTTCAACGGGGAGCGTAACTTCTAAGATTGAGGAACTGCAGTATTCTCACAATTGGAATATGGCGCAACAATGTTTTGAGGCGTTGGGCCAGATAGCCGAACCTGTTGAGAAATATGAAAAACTATGCATCTCGGGGAATACAAAAATGCTTAAATCAATGTTTGATCACCAGCAGTATGATCAGGTTGTTCATAAATTGAACGTTTTGGCCACTAACCAAAATGGCAAAGCCAATGAGTTACCAATAGAATGGGTTAGTATGGGTGTAGAGAGCGCATATTTGAGTGGACAGTCCTACGATCTCCAAAAGTGGATCGGAGAAATTGAAAGGATGGAAAATGTCAGTGATCCAATGACACTGCTGCACTACAACTTTGGTAAAGTTTTGATATCTCTATCTCGGCACGACACTAATAAGGCACTGATTTATACTCAACAATGTCACAGGATTATCGGCTCTAACTTTTTACCACTCTCCATCAATACCACTCTACTCAAAATTCGTGACGTCATTTTGAGACTGCATGCTTTGCGTGATCTCTGGATTATTTCAGATCCGGGTCCAATACTTCATTCAACGGGTGATAATCAAATTTTGAAGAAACGCTTAAAGAACATTGGTGCTGACTTCGAGCCTCGACATTTCCTCTTGTCCATTCAAAAGTCTTTCAATATTCTCGAAAACCGCGGTCGAGGTAGTGTTCAGCTAGCAGAGAACTATTTCGAAATTGCACAGAACTCAAGGATAAACTCGAGACCTGATTTGGCTAGTGGCGCTCTGATTCATGCTCTCATCTATGATTATCCGTCTGCGGACTTAGAGTACGCTGAGGTCCTCTGGTTTCAAGGCGAACACGACAAAGCCATTAAGCTTGTGGCCGAAATTCATCAAAAAATGATGAGTACTGAAAGTTATTTACCGCGCGAACGCGCTAGGGTTCTTCTAAAGTACACTGAATGGATGGTACTTTCGAATAACTCTGTCTCCGAGCAAATAATAAAGCAGTACAATGATGTCATTCGCATGGATTCCGGGTGGAGTGATCCTTATTACTCGCTTGGTTTGTATTTTAGCCGGCTCTTGGAGAAACGCAGTGCTGAGGGCTATATTTCAAATGGGCGGTTCGAAAACAAATCGATTTCCTTCTTCCTTCTCTCTTTTGAAAAGGATGTTTCAAGAACGCGAGAAGCCTTACCTAAGGTGGTAACCTTTTGGCTTAACACGGCAAATGTCTACGTCACGGAAACCAATGCCGCGAGAAAAGAAAGTATCAAAAGATCAACTGAGGACATTTGCAAGAAAGTGGATGCCGCGATTACACGTTGTCCTATTTTCATCTGGTATTCTGTTTTGACTCAACTGCTGTCACGCTTGCTTCATTCCCACAAAGACTCTGTTCAACTCATTATGAGTATTCTGCTTAACCTAACCGTGGAATATCCATCTCACATTCTTTGGTACATTTCGGTGTTACAAAATTCATCTTCGTCCAGTAGAGCCTCGATAGGGGGACGAATTGCGGAACTCTTCAAAGGTAAATTTCCCAACCCCAATGAACTTGTTAATTCATCGGACGAATTAGTGAGACACTTGACAAATGTTTGCACCAAGGACGTCAAATCCTCGAGTGGCAGATCTGGAAGATCCTTGGACAGAGATTTCAGTTTCGACTTGAAGATAGCTCCTAGTCGCATGGCTGTGCCCGTCAGTGCTAACCTAGATATGCTGAGCCCCACTTCAGCTCAAACTTTGGTGAAATTCCAACCCTTTCGAAATCTGATCTCGATTGCAAAAATTGGTTCATCTTACAAGGTTTTTGCATCCTTGAAACGACCAAAGAAGTTGAATTTCATCGGTTCTAATGGTAAAATATATGGTATTATGTGCAAGAAAGAAGATGTCAGGCAAGATAACCAATATATGCAATTCTCCACAACAATGGATTTCTTGCTGAGCAAGGACTTGGCGTCAAGAAGGAGAAAGCTGGGCATTACGACCTATGCAGTGGTCTCCTTGCGTGAGGACTGTGGCCTAATTGAGATTGTACCGAATGTTGTCACATTGCGTTCCATTCTCGTCACCAAATATGATGGTATGAAAATTAAATACAGTTTAAAGTCGATGCACGAAAAGTGGCAGACTCTACCCAGCGACCAGAAGCTAGGATATTTCAAAGACTTGCTGTCAAGGTTTCCTCCAGTTTTGTTTGAGTGGTTTTTGGAGACTTTCCCTGACGCGATTGTTTGGTACAAGTCAAGGAATACATTTTCAAGGTCCTATGCCGTTATGGCTATGGTCGGACATATACTTGGGCTGGGCGACCGTCATTGCGAAAATATTCTTCTGAATGTAGAGACTGGTAAAATTCTCCATGTGGACTTTGACTGCTTATTTGAAAAAGGGAGAAGACTACCTATACCAGAAATCGTTCCTTTCAGATTAACACACAACCTGGAAGACGCATTAGGAATAGCTGGAACTGAGGGCACGTTTAATAAATCGAGTCAAGTAACATTGAAGCTGATGAGAGAAAATGAAGTTGCTCTGGTCAACATAATTGAAACCATCTTATATGATCGAAATATGGATCACTCACTCCACAAGGCTCTCAAAGTCGTCCGAAACAAAATTAGAGGCATTGACTCTCGTGACGGGTTGGTTTTGAGCGTGGCAGGCCAGGTGGAAACCATAACTCAAGAATCAACGTCAGAAGAAAATTTGAGCAGAATGTACATCGGCTGGTTGCCATTTTGGTAGCCATACAGAGCACTCTAATGCTCAATGCAACATATTCGGATTTAAATTATTTCGATGCTATTTTATTATTTTCTCAGCGTAGTCTGTTTATCTACCAACTGTGTTGCTAGATTCCTTCAACACTGATTCATCGGGCCTTTCCCTAGTTGCTTTGTTCACTGACTCAGGAAGTGGAGGGATAGGTCGCCTTTTATTAAGCTCTTGCAGGGAAACGTGAAATTGGTCTGCAGTAATTGATTGAACTGAATGACGTTCGCCCAATTCGTCATGCGCATTGTTTTCTGTCGTTTGAGAGGCCTCGACCACTACAGCAACGTGTGTTGGATTACTTTCCTTCCCTTCGTCAGATTTTTTGACGTTAGATTTAGCTTGTGTCGTAGAGTTCTCGAACTGCATCTCTTGACTGGACCAGCCAGATAACCCATGGGGGGAGTGTGGAGGTGTGTGTGAGAAATTGTAGACGTTACTTACCGAGGGGCTTTGGCCGGATGTGTTAGACGCGGACCTTTGCTTGGTTTTGGCAAACATTTCAGCGGCATCGGAAGTACGCCTATTGCCCAAAGGTTGATTTCTAGGAATTTCCTTTTCCTTAGCTTTTGGTAGGGTTCTGCGGTTGGATATCATTTTAAGGTTTTTTTCTGAAGATGGCGCCTGGTACTCGGAGTGCTGATCCTGGTCCTCCTCGGTGTTTGAAATGCTGTCCTTATACCATTTCCCAACTCTCTTGATTCCCGCGTTGAAATATTTTTTAGAGGCTTTAGCATCCTCTTTCAGAGAAAAAGAGTGAGAATCAGACGATTGCCTCGATTTCTTGGATCCGTCCTCTGCTTCTTCATTTTCGTCCTCTGCTTCATTCGGCTCCGTGCGCGACTTCAGCATCGACCTGAAAGTACCCACTTTTTGCAGCGCTTTTTGTCTCACGGAGACTGGTTCTGCTTCATCGAGTTCAGGCACGCTAGGTGCTTCAGCAGCATTGCGCGACTCCGCTGTACTACTAGAGGGTGCTTCAGCGGTATCGGAAAGACTCTTGTGATCGGTCATTTCTTTGTCTTCCGTGAAAGCGTCGCCATTTTCCGTATCGGACAGTGGTTCTGCTTCTTCTACGGACTCTTCTGCACAGCTGTGCTGTTTCTTGTCGTGTTCCCAAATACCGCCTCTGTAGAGGTCGGTAGTTGTTTTGTAATAGGCAATGTCATCCATGTACGGCATAACCAGTGACTCTCTTATGGCTTCACGAAATTTGCTCTTGATGGCATTTGTAACCATGTTGTAAGATAGTTGCTTCGTGCTCACAATGGGCTCAACATCTAAGTCGATGAACGGTTCAGTCTCGAAGCTGTACCAGATGCGATTGGATGGTGGCGGTTTTATGAGAACTATAACCGGTCCCGAAATCTCCTTGACAGTAATTGATAAATTCAAAGTAACCTCTCTGGGCTTAAACCTAGAGCCAAGATTTATGTTAGCCTTCGTGGAGACAATAAGAGACAAGCCGCCTTTGTAAAACACATGAAAACCTATCTTTGTTAGCCCTGCTGGAGTAAGCTCTTTGAGAGCTGGGTGAGTGAAAAGAGGGGCTGCGTTACCGACGTCTATGCGATCGATGACAAAATCGTCTAGAAATCCTGGTTTGTTGATTTTCGTGAGTTTTTTGTATACTTTATCACGCAAGTATTCAGACAACGCTTCTGTTTGTTGCAGGCCCAAAAAAAGCCTTCCTATGAGAGCATTGAGCCACTTAGTTGTGAGTTGTCCCTCATTCGAGTTAAGATTCTGGATAAGATACAGCATATCCCGCGTATTCAAATGAGCAGCTTTGGCAGACACATTTGGACTCAGTTCATATTCTGATGCTGATGAATTGGGAGTCGGCTTCGACACTTTGGAGGCGTTGACGAGAGCGTAATACCAATCCTCTTTTTCAACACTGTTTGACACATACACGAAAAAGTGGTCTAATCTCTCGGAGCTATGCAGCTGTGTCGTTATTTCCAGCCGTCCCTTCTCGTTTACGTGAGCAGCACCGTGTCTGAAGATCGCTATGCACATTTTTTTGGTGAACAGCGTTGCATCAGGCGCTTCGTTGTGTACTGTACGGGGCCACAGCGACACGAAACTGTCTTTGAGAACGATGACATGCGCAACGCTAGCATCGGGTGCATCATCCTTATAAAGAAACAAGTTGCCGTGTTTAAGCACAGCGTAGAACCTGTGCTTACGCTTCAATTTGTCACGCGTGGGCATGTTGTCGTTGCCGTCTTCTGTCTGTAACAACTCCGAAAAATGGTAGTAATACTTGATTGTGACAGTGAGCCAGCCCCTTTTCAGAACACGGACCCCCTTTGTTTCCTCAAGCTCTCCCAACTTGAAGCCCGGATCAACCTCTGGGACTAGAAGCTCCGGAGCGCGTGCAGCGGGCTTGCCAGCTTCAGGCGCGGCCCGGAACAAAACATATAAAACAATGAGTGGAAAAGTCACTCCCCCGAATAGATACACATACAGGAATGTGGTCAAACTGGTCATTGGACGGGGACCGATAAAGTTCGAGTTTGAGGTAATTGTTAAAGGTAAAGTTCATGTCCGATATTTGATATTGAGTAGTTTTAGGATCTTACGTACGACGTGATGATGTTGACACCAATTCTACTTTAAAAACTTGTCGGTGCTGAGCGGGTTTGGGAGCAGTTTGTGGGTGGGGTATAGCGTTAAAACGGTGAATTTAATTTGACTTTGGCTGCTGTCTTTTTTCTAGAGTTTGTAGCGTTATTTTTCAAGTAGTTAATGGTGGAAAACTACAGCTAGCATTTTTCAAAGCGACATGTGTACCGATGGATGGAAACTAAGAAGCTGATTTGTGAGTCTCGATTTTCAATTTTGCGTCGATCGGATATCTTACAGGTTGGCGTAATGTCCAACTACATTCATGAGATCGATATTTCTCCAAGATATATGACGTTGACACGAGACTATTTATGATCTTTGAATAGTTTGAGACCAATCTCAAAAATCCTCCTCACATAAGCGCCACTCTGGTATACTGAGGATACACACCAAGAATTATTGCATTTGTGAGTTTTCTTGTCTTTCCGTTCGTAATGCACCACTCACACCGCCACGAAAATTAAATTAAGGTAGACAGGTAGTATTCCCTTATCTCCTGGCTAAGATAAGAACCACTGGCTTCTCAAGCTGAATACACCAATGGCACTTCTTGAATAATATCAATATCGTCACATATTGTATGTCCAGTCATTAACATTATCACTGCGAGCCAGTCTGTCATCTGTCATCTGTCATCTGGGCACGTGATATCTTACTCGCGCGATCAAACGATATAAGCTGTCAGAGCCAGGAACAGAGCCGCCTCAGAAGATTGTGCTCCTATTGTGAATGAATCTACATGACCCCAGAACTAGATCTTGTGTTCAATTCGGTTGTTTCCAATCGATTCCACGCAATATGTGTACTTGAATTCGCTTCCTCTCGTGGCCTCTGACACGCAGTCTGCTGAATGAAAACATGTATCGACGCATGATAAAGCACTCGTCATGCTGTTACATGCAAACGAGCGTTAAAACCGTCCCTGTTCTACTCTGGGCCCGATATTTGCAATTTTACTCTCTCGACCGAAGCGCGAGCCACTACATACCTCTGGCTCTCAATTACACCTCTGGCTCGCAAATACTAACCACAGGCACTACAAACACCAAATCAGAGTCATTAAATCAGTTATTTTGGTTTGTGATCATAAAGCCGGTAATCAAACCTGGCGTCACACAGTGTGAATATAGGATATCATCATTTTGGTGCGATACAATCGATTCAAGACAAGCGCATCGCCTGATGCGCACAGCTACGTAGCCAGCGTTCTTTGTCCATAAACAAACAACGCTTGTGTTTTGAAACGCTTGCTCCAAACTCTTGTCAGCTGTCTCACGACCACTCATCAATTCTCGCGCAGCCAACACCCCCAAAAATTTGTACACAGGGAGCGCGCCTACAGGGGCCCCGAAAGGCCCTTGTGGCCGTACGATACTTAGTATGTCCGCCCGGTCGGAAAAGGTCATCACTCAGAGCCGGAGTAATTTAGCGTTACCGGCCATTTTGTTTCCACGCTTTCTTCGTCCAACTCATACAAGGCTGAAACTTAACGATATGCGTGGTTGTCGACATGTAGTAAATACAACTATTCAGTCGGAACAATTGGTATAAAGGTGTTGAATCATAGTAGGACTGCAAGCAAAAACGTCACCCACTGGTGGTGTTTTGAAGAATGCGTGGATGTAGAACAGGTGGGTTTATCGTTAATTTTGGGAGAGGAAACAAAATGTCAGGCGATGAGAAGAAGAGGATATAAACTACAAAGCGGGCTCTTTTTATACCTGGCGCCAGGCTGGGCGATGGGTGAAAAATTTTAGCACGTTAGGGCTTTGAGCGGTGAGCGAGATTATATCACTAAAGATTAAACTGACGTAGGCTGCTGAAGTTTCGTAGCTATGATCTATATTCTTATAGAAGCACTGGTTGAGACGCAAAGCTAATATGGAGAGGTCTCTTGAACACGGATTGAAGGTTCTGAGGCGCTGGTTCGGTGTGTTTCCCATTTGTTTCCAGTTTGTTTCCAGCATCCGCTATTTCCAGAACAAAGCAAATATGGAATGAGACAAACGACGCGGCAATCAACTTTTCTCCATTGTCTAGTCAACAATCCAGTCACTTCCCCAGTCCATCATCTACCCACCTATCTACTCGAAAATCTACTCACCTCTCCATCCACCCGAGATCACTTTTACCTCCACTGTCGCCGCCACCCGTTCGTTTTTGTGCACGCTTCTCTTTTCTTTTCCTTTTTTCCCCTGCGCGCTTACGTACGCATCTTTTTTCTTTCTTTCTTTCTTTCTTTTTCCATGCACGAAGAAAAGCTCATCGCCTGAATTTTGTTACCTTGAGCGATGAGCCTGTCGTAACTGGCAAATATAATAAAGAACCAATAGGAGCCAATCCAAGTTGACTGGAGCAACCTCTTTCTTGTTTATAATCTCTGGATTTTTTGTTTAGAGTTCGTTGTCTTGTCACAGACTTTAGGTTCTCAATTCGAACCAGTTCGAATTATCAATCAAGAGACGATTATTGTATCACCTATCGCAGTGCGACATCATCACCACCACGCAATTCCGCTGCTCAAGTTTGTTATAGGTATTTTCCCCCGACCTCTGTAACTGCATTTTTATCGTCCAAGTCGTTGTTGATCATCGGTTTTTTTGACACACCCTATATTCGCTGCAGTCATGACCCAGCATTTATCCATGGAGGCCCACGCCAGTATGTGGCTGGAAGACGAGGAACTCACTTTCCCATCGTACCCTAGACGATTCCATCGGGCTTCGGACGCATCGGCCACCGTGGCCTGCGACTCTGCCAGCCGGGGCAGTGCTTCGTCAATGCACTCAGACATCGAGTCTCTCCTTGACAGAGACGACTCGCTCAGTGGGAACGCTGATTTCTGGCGTGAAGTGCCCGCTGCGTGCGAGGGAAATGGCGAGCTCGATGCCGCCCAGATGACTGAATCGTCCCTCACGCATACCACCACCCCTCTTCACACACACTCATCGATGCCTCTGCAAGAGTCGCCACTGGCGTCACCCGTGACACCCGCCTCGGAAACGTGTCTGGAGGATTTCATCTGCGATGTAGGTCCTTCGGCCAATACTTCTTCTCTGCTGCAGACGCCGTTCCAACCAGACTTTCAAATCAAACGGCTCTGCTTCAGAGATGCAGAGGGAAAGCTGGCCCTCACTGACTCTCGCGGGTCCGTGAGTAAGCCCTCATTCAGCAGGCACACGTCGTACAAGACCAGCAGAAAGCTTCTGAAAAGGGCACTTCGTCGCAAGAGCGGGCTCTGGGAAATGGCGAGCCCCAAATTCGCAGTTGCGGAGTTCATGTTGTTATAACACTACGGTTTCTGGGGCCATATCCTACGCATTCCCGGAATTTTTCACTTCGCATTTGCAAATCAACAGACACTTTTAAGGACCGGATATTTCAATTCTACCAATTCTTACCATCTTCCTATTTTTTGATCTTTGAACTTAGCATCGTGCCACCAGGTGTGTGCGTATGTCTACACATAACATGTATTAAATCCACATATATATATTTAAACATAAAGTTTTGAACATTACACCGATGATGAGTCGTTTGGCCGAGTCGTTTTGTGTAAAATTGAAGCCAATTATGCTTATCTCTCTACAGTCCCTCTTGACTACGCAGCCTGTCAGATAATTCGTAACTGCTGCGCTTGTAAATGAAATTGTTTAAAAGATCTTAGTCAAATTTTACAAGCTCATTTCCTGCGTGACAAGTCGTCATCATATCTCTTGCAACTTACCACAAGAAAACAGAGTATCGTGTGCTTTCTAAGTCGTGGGAATACCATTCATGCATTTACTCTGGCTTAAAAACTTCTTCACAAAACAAGCTTTTCAAAGTCGGCCTCGAAGCGCGCTTGGAAATACGAGACATGACCACCTGTTTTAAGCATCCAAATCTCATAAAATTGAGCCACAGATGGTATCATTGCTTCTTTCAGTGTCGAAAACACCCAATCCATCGACGTGCGACAGTCTTACTCTGAGAATATCACCTTGGACGGAATTGTTATGGCCTGCCTTTAAAATTGACTTAATCCCACCACCCAAGAGAAACGATTGACAGTTAAAGATGGCAACCTTCTGGTAACCGACAAATCATGTCCAATCAGTCAGGCATCACGGCCAATGAGGCGCTGCTAAGCCAAATTGGGTCTTTGATCAATGATACCTCGAGCGGCGCCGTTGTCGTTGCAGAAATCTCTCTCGATAACACTACAGTTGGACTGCACTCTGTGCTGCCCAGCTTGGAGAAACTGCGGGACTTTGCTTCTCAAAATGTCGAGCCTCTGTACTTCTTCATACGCGAAGGATCCGGTATCATTTTCGTGTCTTACGTCCCCGAAACGTCGCCAGTGCGTGCTAAAATGCTTTACGCCTCGACTAAAAACACCGTGTTGAGACAGGTTGGGTCGAATCATGTCTCACAGCAACTGCTGTTATCTTTGCCCGAGGAATTGACTTCAGAGACTTGGAGTTCTCTTGGTTCCGGGGAAAATGCACCCTTAACCGAGGCGGAACAGATCAGCAGTAGCATTTCCGAGCAACAGCAATTGGAACACGCCAGGGGCGGCCATCAACTTGTTTCGCAAACAGGAGGCACATCCCATACCCTGTCATTCAAAATTTCGAGTGGACAGCCCATTCCCGACCTTTTGGAAAAATACAACTTGCTCATCTTCAGTATCAATCTCGCCAAAGAACAAGTGGAAGTGTTGGAAACCACTCAAATCTCTGAAACTTCACAGATTATTTCGTTTTTGAGAAGTGACCACCCAACATACAATCTTTACAATAGCCAGGGAAAATTGCATTTCATTTATAGCTGTCCATCAGGCAGCAAAGTCAAGGAGCGCATGTTGTACGCATCTAACAAGTCCGGGTTCATTACACACCTAGCTGACGTGGATAAATTGACATTGGACTCAGTCTCAGAAATCGGGGACGCTTCGGAGCTTGAGCTCTCGAAGCTGGACCACCCCACAGCAAAAGTGCTGGACACTTCGAAGCCAGCACCAGGCCAGCTCAAATTCAGTAGACCCAAGAGACCCGGCAGAAGAGCCTAGAATCTTTAGCTTCTACGAAAGAATCTCGTTTCATAAATTGTGTATTCACGACGTGCATGGTCCCGGGCAGAGTCTGGATAACTCTTGCTGGATCAAACGGCGCGCCTCGTCATCATAGTTTATACTTTCAGGACAGTACACGTAATCGGACATGCGGTAAAGCCGTCGTGAGACGGATTTATTGATATCTGTGAACTGCTTTTTATCCACGGTTCTGCAGCCAGAGGGCGCCGAATCAAAAAAATGCAAGTTAAGGGCCCTTCTAACGTGGTTTTGTATGCTTCTTTTGTGACTAGCGATTGCCTGCAATCTAGCTTCCGACTGTAGCTGTGACAGCAGTTTCCAGGACTCATCTATCTCCGACGGGTCGTTGGACCCTCTATTCAATGGAGATGGCTGATTGTGGATACGTGGCATGTCCAGTCTTTGGATAGTCCTGCTCCTGACACTACTACTCTCATCGGAGTCTGCAAAGGCTTGATGACAATTGCAGCAAAAAAGCCTGTGACAAAAGTCGCCCACCTCGAGCTGCAGTACTCGTAAACACCTTTCGTGATATGCCGTATAGCATACCGTACAGTATCTGTTAATTTCTGAGTCCAGAGTTCCGCAAATCCCGCATTCCAATGAGCTCAAAGTCCAGCTTCGACTTTGGTTTTCGGGTTCAAGTGCTAAATTGCTGATGCTTCCAGCGAGCTCCACGATTGCTCTATTCGCATCACCGCATTTCCTCAGATCTATCTTTACCTTCTGGTTGGCTTTTTCCAAATAATGCGACGGTTTACGGCACGTCGGACACTTCAGGTCCTGAGAGTGCTGATGCCATTTCCTAATGCAATCGAAGTGGTATTCATGGCCACAATCTACCAAACGGCTTCTAGTTTCGTCTAACGGCTCCAAACAAATTGGGCATTCGTCGCGAGTCATGAGAGGGGCTAGATTCGCCAAATTTTTTGTCCTTTTAAGCTTACTATCGATACTGGTGGTCTTCTCAAGATATTCCTAGATTAGGTGAGCTTCATTTTCACATCACCTTGTACTATGGAAATAATTGAGTGTTGATGAAATCAATCAACTCCAGTGTCAAAGACTAAACATCGATTCCTTTAAAAGCGCGTCCCAGGACATTTAATAACATCGTCGAGATCATGTCTCGCCATCAATTTGACCTTGTTATGTGTTTCAAACAACCGGGTACGCATGTAGGCCGATTGTGTGAAAAATGCGATGGGAAATGTCCTATATGCGATTCGTACGTCAGACCCAAGTGTAAGGTACGGATCTGTGATCAATGCTCGTTCGGGGCCAACCATAAAAAGTGCATTATATGTGGGCAGATGGGTTCGACAGATGCATACTATTGCTGGGAATGTTGCCGGTTGGAGAAAAATAAAGACGGCTGTCCGAAAATCCTGAATGTGGGCAGCAACAGGACCGACAAACACTTTGAGCGAAAAAGTAATAACGACTAAGAAGAAGAAGGAGGAGGGGCACAGGAATGCAACTCTGGGCTTCGTAGAAATCCTTCGCCGTCAAAAGTCGTGTCGAGAGCAGCGTCTGTAAATGTGTCACTTGCGCACGTCTCGAGACTCTCATTGAAAATAAAACTCTGATCGATAGAGTGCTCGTTGTTGAGTTCTGCCGCAACGTCTTCGCCTGTCTCTCCAACCAGCTGCAAAACTCTCGAGAGTACCTCGCTTCTACAGGCTTCGTATTGGAGCCAGCTGAAGCGTCTCTCCAGCTGCAACAGATACTCCATCATACTAGACCGGACTTTTGCATTCAGCGGCACCGAACGGCGCACCAAAAAGATCAGTTTTTGCATATGCTCGAACTTTTTTGCCCGTGCAACGCGGTTGCGTTGGAGCTTCTCCAGCTTTTCAGCCGGACTTATTTTCCGCATGTTCACCACCGTGTCTGAAATCGTACCAACCGTCATAAAACAACCGTCAAGTGCTGTCGTGACATTTATGGCGTCTATCCAATTGTCGCGCTCCTGCTTGTTAGGGCAAGCAAATGTGAGCTTTTTGTTGTTGCTGTAAACATCCAAAGTGTAGCGACCAGCACTCAGACCATTGGGCCTTTCCACTTCTTTGGATTCTCTATCAGAGCAAGGCACATCGATAGCAAACAGGCTACCGCACCCAAAGTTTTGAGCAGCCTGAACAGTAGAGGGACAATCTATGATATAATTTGAGACCTGTGTAGTTTCATCAACTACCATTTTGGGTTCCATCCAACCCATGCCGTTAAATAACAGAAGGCAGGATGTTGTTAGAATTCCGAAGTATCGTTTGAAGACAACCCTGTTGACATTGCCGACGATGGAGAACTTACGATTGGTAATCATCTCCTCAAATTCTCCCATCTGCACAATTTTGAGATATCTAAAGTTCCTCTCTTCTCCGCTCGGCGACAAAGTGGTCATGTTGGGTCCCAGAATGTTTTCTATCGAGCACTTGGGCAGTCGCAAGTAGCCACCTTTAGTTTCTTGAACGATGGAAATATACTTCGGATGTTGGCGATTATTGAGGTTCTCTTTAACTGTATTATCATCACTGTGGGCAGAGGGCCCTAATTGTGAATATAGTGAGACTGATGGTACGCTGTCACTGATGATATGGAAGTAGACGTCAATAGCGTCGTTCTTCGATGCCGGATTGACAGCAGCATTAAAGCTAGCATTAGGCAAGCAGGATGCAGAAGGCGTCAAAACACCCTCGAAATTTTCAGATTGGTTGCCAACACTGTCACGTCGATAATGAAGGCCTCCATCCTTGATTATTTTTCTCGGCGAATACTCAACTTCCAAACCACTTTGTTGTTCAGAATCTATCACTTCAGAGCTATAAGGACCGCTAGAGTGAAGATCTTCGTACTGAGAAAACTCTCGAGCTGTAACATTATCGAAAAAGTACTCAAAAATTTCTCTGGGAACCCGAGATAGTTCCGACGTGGAATCATACCGCATGAGTTTAACGAAGTCCTGCTTCGTCATTTTTATTTTGTTGTTAGGATTGAAAGCATCCGTATGCAGCATTAATAAAGAAAATCCAAGAAAAAACACCTCTTCTTCACTTTCCCAGAAACACGAATCCCTGTTTTGGTCGTAGTAGATTTTGCTGAATTCGTTGAGCACCCTGTCGATTTGCTGACTCTCTTTTGGTAGCTCCAAAAACATCAGGAGCTTTCGCAAAGATAAATCAAGCGGTTCCATCCTAAAATCAAACTCAGTCTTGAGAAAATAGTGAAGACATGATATCTTGAAAGCGTCGTTGTCAGTTGCCAGTATAATTGCTATGAACTTACCGTAGGACGAGAGGCTTTTCAAATACTGTTCTTCTGTATCGTCAGGAAGTGGCTCTGAAGGCTTTGAAAAGTCATCAAGAGTCTTGACTACTTTGGGAGAAGAGCTTCTGCTGGAAACGCTGATAGATCGCATCGTTACAAAACTGCTGAGAGCGGTAACTAGAGAACTGCTTCTCCTCGAACTTGAAAATGACTGCTTGGAGTTACTTGGGCGCCGCGAACGACTTTGAGTCGCAGGAGCTGCCAGATACGTTTTCGGGTTTGAAGTTCCCCCGGCAGTTTTGTCCACGACGACGTTTTCCTCAGAGCCACTATTTGATCTGATTCTCAACTTTCCAAGACTGACTCTCAGAGGAATGCCCTTCCCCTCATAGTCAGCGGCACCGACGGTGCGGCTGCGCCGTCTAGCCACAGCCGCATCTGATGTAGAGTTCGTCCCCTGAGCATCATTTTTAATTAAGCTCAAGCTGAGTTGGCTTGATGAAGCACTCTTTGCTTGGTAATTATCAGAGTTTGAACGAATCATGGGTCTTCTGAATCGAGTTTGTCGCACAGCTCGTACTGAAGACGCATTTGAAGATGCAGTGTTAATCCTCGTCATGCTGCCCGAGCTGAGTCGCTTTTCGGAATAGTTTTCGCAAAGCTGTCGCGGTGGTTTTGTATCAAACGTATCAGAGTCTTCATTTGTAATGTTAATTACGGCTGAAATGTCTAGTGGTTTCGGACTCATGCCTGAACAATCAAGACGGCTCTTATGGTTTTTTCTCGACCATGGCATTGTGCCAGATTTTGAGGCATTGACAGAGGCAGAGTTGGAATCCGACAACGCATTTTCCTCGCTTGAGAGACTGGAGCTGGAACGAAACTTGAGATCTGGAAAACTGGCAATGCGCTTTTTAAGCCCTCGCAGCTTCCCTCCCTTTGCGCTTTTTTGAAGGCTGTCAGGGCTCCCTCTCGAGGTACACTCCGATTTGTAAGACTCGGGAAGTATACGCTCTTCTTCTCGAATTGAATTGAGCGCGCTAGAACTGGTGGCTTGCTTCAGGAATTCCTGGCCTTGGGCTCGATGCTCGAATTCATGCAGATCGGGACTTGCTTCTTTACGTTTCAGGGAATCTGAGTGGAAAAGGCGAGCCCTAAACAGATCAGCAAGAGAATGACTCATGATTAAAGGCTCTCGAAGACCCAGAACTCTCTAATTGAGTCAAGAAAATGGTAAATTGAAATCTGAACAAGTCCAGTTTTTCGTCCGCGTTGAAACCGTAGGCCTTTCAAAATCGCCAGCGACTATGAAGGGGAACTAAAGAATGAACAGTAGCAAAATAACTCCGGTAAATCAAGCGAAATCCTGCCTGTAGAAGATGATCAATCTTGGATTGATGTCCTCTGCAACTTTCAGAAGCCGTTAAGCGTTGTCCAAATATTGATCTTAGCAAGTAATTGTCGAAGCATGTGACTTGAAGTTTAGACAGCGTCAGGTCCAAAATCAAAGGTCAACAACCAGCGTGTGCAAGCCGAGTAAGTACGGTGCTGTGTGAATGCGTCGAATTTGACATGGGATTCTCCTCTTTCCAAAGTTCACGACAGTCATAATAAACCTCTGCAAATATTTTCGAACGGACTGAATACTCTTACTCCGTAAAACTAAAGCCAAAAAAGATCAACTGCAGACACCGCAAACCGTAAAATTAGACGAGATACAGCACTCGAATTATTTTGATGTGACAAATGATTCAAACAGTCCTTGTTCTCTTCAGAAATATCATTAACAATTAAGGCCCTCTCCGCAATTGTTGCTGATTTTATAGACTATGGCACTATATCGGAGAGTAGTGTTGTCTCACTATATAACTAAATATGTATCAGCGAGACTGTAATGTAAGCTCTTCCCAACAATTGCTCGTTCCTATAGTCCCAGGCATTCGCCGCTTGTTCCTCTAAATTGCACCAAACTCAAGCAATCAACAGCAGTATTTTTTAAAGCCCTCTAAGAGATGCTACAAGCACGACCCACACATAAGACACCTCTCTTCTCTATTGGACTTCGTCTACCACTGTCACTTATACTATTTCTATTTTTCCATTTCACTGACGTCAAAAATCCAAAAAAATTACAAAAATAATGATTTCGCCCAGGATCGAACTGGGGACGTTCTGCGTGTTAAGCAGATGCCATAACCGACTAGACCACGAAACCATCTTATGATAAGGAGAAAATTCAAAACTAACATACCGCTAATTAAGATCACGTGCTTAATTAAATACACAGCTCGGCCTGTAACAAGAATCCAAATATTAGCCATTTCATCACTTATTTTCAGCATCAACTAGAACGCTTTTATCCACTTACCCAACTAGCTAATGCCCCAGGCTTGAAACATGCCATTTGAGCTCAGTCCCGCAGAGGAACATTATTTAAAAAGAGAACTATTAAAACAAGAGCTCTTACGAGAGATTCAATGCTTCAATGACCCACACGCCCTTAGGAAGTTCGGGTTTCCGTTCACTAGTGGTGATCCAAGCACTGATAAGAAAAAGACTCATCATTTCAAAAGTGCAAAGCCCAGCGTCTCGGAGGCTTCTTCAGAGTCTACAGTCTCGCATACTGACTACCCCTTACTGAGCCATTTCTTGCAGCACTTCGTCATGAAGGTGCCGCTTTTCTCCCAGGAAATGATCCAGAAAGAAGACTTCTGGCAACAAAAAGTCCAGGTTTTCTATGAACACTTCATGCAGCTTCAGTTCAGCTCCAGTTTTGATCGCGAGGAATTAACAAAACGCCGGAAACTGGGGATGAAACTATCCAAAATTGTGCTACTCATGTACAATTCAGGAATTGGATGCATCCAAGAAAGTGACTATTTCCAACAAGACAAATTCAAACTTGCAGACAACGCAGAGCAGACGTATCGTGGCAACAAGAATCTTGACAAATTTGTAATACCCACTAAAGAGACTCTTAAGTTCTTGCTTACTGAAGAGCCATACTTCATCAACGGCTGGGATTTCAATGTCACATCAGTGGCTGCTTATTTAGCGCTATATCCAGAACCTCAAGTTAAGGCTAAGTCTCCATCTACAACCCCTTCGTCCAGCTCAAGCTGGATGAAGTCCGCGCTAGCATTTGCTCCAACGTCGTTTTCATCACCATCAAAGCTGTTTTCCAAGATGTCTCTCACGAGCCACTCCGCAGGAAATCGCTACCACTTCATTACCAGAGTAAGGCAGGAAAGGACCGATAAATCCTGGTATATTGTCAAAACCTACTCGGATTTCAAGCAACTTGCCTCGGACTTGAGCAAGGAATTCCCCGGAAAAGAACTCGCCAAGCTGCCGCATCGTAGTAAGGTCGGCGTTTCTACTACAACATCAGCCAAAGCAGCAGAAAATGCGGATAACGAAGGTGAACCTTCGACTCCCAAGGAAAAAATTATAAGCAGCTTCGACAACAATTCGCCTGCCCTCGAGGAAGTGAGTTCATTACAGGAGAGTGACGAAAAGACAGAGGGCAACGATGACTTTGAGGAATTTGAAGATGCCACCGATACTATCACCAGGCACCTCCCAAGGGAGAAAATGAGAACGTCTTTTCGAAAATACCTACGCTCGCTTGCTGAAGATTCCGAAGTCGCAAGAAGCGTGTCGCTCTCAAAATTCATTAGCACAGGGAAGTGGGCCGCCGAGAAACTTCCCATGTCAGTTATTCAAGACATTAAAAACAGGGAATCGGTGGACCTCGAAAACTTACAAAATCAGGTCGCATTTCAAAAGATGGCATTCGAACAAACCTTAGAGTTACAGGATTCAATGAAAGAATTCAAAAAACTGATTTTGAAGGACGACGAATATCTAATCACTTTGTTCAGGGAAATAAAGGAAAAGAACTCGGTGACAGAACTTTCTACGCCTTTGCGAAGCTTCATGGGATGGTGTAAAATAAATCTCTCGGCCACCATTTACACCACCTTTCTGGGCAGCGATGGAGGCTATGAGCTTTTCACACAAGTTAAAAGGCTCCACAGGCTTTTGCCCTACACTGTCATGATACAAGTATTAAAGATTGCGAATCCAATGGCAATGATGAAGGGAATGATGGATCTTTTCATGGCTCGCCCCTTTGGTGGAAATTCTTTGCTTCAAAGCATGTTTTCGTCCGTTCTTACTGATGATTTGAAGTCGCAGTTCAAGCTATCCAGAGAACTTGAGGCTACTATCTGCAGCGAAAGCAAATTTGGACAGGAGATTATCAAAGTGCTTTCAACGGCGATATTCAAAAACGAAGATAATGGATTTGTTAACATGGAAGAGCTTCACGATGAAGCTACGAGCATGTCTATGCCTTTGGTACTTGTTCTAGTCATGAAATGCAGTGAACTGGATCGCGTATCTCAAGACGCACTCGGCGAAGTCCTTGAGTCATACTCTTTATGGAAAGAGTGGAACGACGCACAGAATCGTGACTTAACCACAGTCAATTCGTCCACGTCAATCGGAGACGTACCAGGTCTCTTCTTTTCCCACCTCAAAGGACTCTTTCAGATTTACATTCGCGAACGCGACAAGAAGCTGATGAAACAAGTATGGCAAGATCCAGAGCTGTCACAGCTACTAAAGTCTATGATAGCTATTTTTTATGAACCATTGGTTCGTATTTTCCGCGTTTCCAAAATGGATGTAGCGTTTCGTAATTTTGAAAAGTTCATGGATGACTTGGTGGGGCTACTTGATGATGTCATGAAAGGACAAAGTATGAGCGCGACAAACTTTAATGTTGTCGACGCGATTAATAAAGTTGTCGAAAAACACGAGGATTCTCTATTTCAATTCATTCATGATATTTGTTTGCATGACGAACAAAATACATTTGAGAACATGATAACATACCTAACCACAATTGTCAAGTTTTTGCAAAAGAGCAAATATGGAAACTCGGAAAACAGAATTGATCTTACGGACCTTGTCAATGAAAGTACCAAAGACGGTCTAGATGCTGTCAAGCTGAAGAAACAAGTGCAGAATCTGGTCGAGAGCAAAAAGGCCTCGCGCCAACTATACCAAAAGATTGTGGAGTCACGGACGTCAAAGGCAGCTGGGAGGAAATTAAACCTAAAGGAAGCGATGGATCAAAAATGGCAAGAGTCGAACGATGCAGCGATGCCCCACGCAGTCGCTGAAATAGGGCTGAACGATGGCGAGTTGGTAGACCTTGATTTGGACGTGGGCGATTTCACATATTTGCAGGACGATGAAGAAGACTCGCTGCAGCGTGGGTATCAGGATGTATTGGAAAAGGAAGTCGATGTGAGCGAAATCTCCAACATGACGAAACTCACATTCAAGTATAAGTTGAGAGAATTATTAAATCTATAGTACATAAGATGACATGCAACTGCACCTATTGATTTTTTTGAGCCTGAATCACCTCTTTGAGCGCCGCAAATGGATTTTGCTGGAATTGCTTGTTTTGTAGAACGTTTTGGAACCTATCGATTTCTTTTCCGGTTAGCATTTTGGCACCGCGCTGGTTGCGAATGCTGGGTTCGTTTTTCCTGATTAAAACAGATCCCGATTCGGATGGTAAGGTTGCTGTTGATATTCTGGTGACATTTCTAAAGCCTGCCCCGTTCGAATCCTGGTTATTGCGGTCACTTTCTGCGCTATCAGCCATGTCTTTAGTTGCTTCTGTTACGCCATCTTGCTCCAGGGAAATTAGAAGATCTTCCATTCTGGGCTTAAGCTGATCTCTCATTTTACGCTTTCGACGTCTGAGGGCCGACTTGGATATGGCGCCATTTAGAGATGTTTTTTCTTGAAGTTTAGATAGAAACGATTGGGATTTATTAAGCATTTTGTCTTTCTTGGATTCTCTCGCTTGATGTAGAAAAGCTTTTGGGTCCTCTGGTAGATTGACTGGTTCGGTGGGCTCATTTTCGATTGCGGATTTCGATTGACCCAGCCGCAGGGCGGCTTTTGTTCTTAGCTGATTTCTCTTCTTTGCGACCATAATTGAAATTAGGAGATCTAAGCAATGTCTTTTAGGTTAGGAACGCGTGGTTAGATGGAGGAATTTGTCGAGTAGATTTACTCTTTGTTATGCGATGAGCTACGTCTTTAACTGTATATATTTTATTGAAAAATTTCAGGTGATTTGAAGATCATGCGTAAGACGTCAAACCCTGACACTTGGGCTAAGACAGCCTCTGTTTGGCCCGATAAATATCAGGAAATGGTTTTGGCAATTTGTATGAGCTTTGAGTAGTTTGAGCGTATCAAATTGTAGATTTGAGCACCTGTAAGAGGTGAACAATCAGAATGCAAATAAAATATCAATTTTATCGAATATTTGTTTGAATTATTTGTACTGCTGAAAAACTATTATGATCTTATAAATTGAGACTTGTGGTAGCAGAAAGATGAATACAAATTGCGGCGATGTTTAGTTCATATTTCTTGATTTTTCTGAGGCATGAAGATTAATCGAACATGCTTGCAGTTTGTTGGTGATTGTAAAAGTCATGAATACTTCCAGAAGATCTCGAAAAGTGTGTGTTTAATGGAACACTGGACGAGGCTATTTTCGAAATCGCATTACCAACGCGCATATTGAGTTTGTATGGGATTTTCTGATTATATTTTGAAAAATCTATTATTAGTGGCATTTACCCGATAGCAGACAAATAGAAGCAAAATCGTCTCCAAAATGAGTTAGGATATCTGAGCTTACTCTTCTGCCCTCTTATTCCTAAAGAATTAGACGCTGTTTTGCACCACTTTTGCTTTATACCTCGGCCAAAATGTGTCAATCAAAATTGAAACCCCGTTTTTATCCTACCAGCTAGCTATAACACTTCCAATTGACAATACACACACCTGTCCACTAGTTTTGGGGCTGCTAGAACGTTCATCTCTGACCAAATGTGAAGCTAAAGTCTGACGACACATTAGTACATAGTGACATATAACCCAAATTCGACCCTAAAACTCCGATCACGGCTACATTTCAATACCGAGACAGTACCACACTTCCATTATCTCTCCTAAAGCCATCAAAACATACACACTGGATTATGTTAAGGATTTTAAACATCATTTTCTCCACTGCAATTGGACCATCTCCTACTTCATGCCCACAACCATAACGACATAATCATCATATTTTATAAAACTCAAGCAAACAAAACACGGTTTTCGTCAGCCTTTCCCACTAATATTCGACGATTTCATCCGATGCTCGCGTCCTTAAACTCGATAATCAATATACAACTCATTCCACCTTTAAACTGACACCGGTGTCAGCTCATCACTTTTCTTGATACTGAAAAATTTTAGAATTGAACATACCTGAATTTAAAGAACTAACCTTCACTTCAAGAAAGTGTAACATTAAAGTCACGACTAGAAATCCTATAACGATGTCTCAACAATCTGGAGCTTTGCAAAGAATTTTGGCTATTTCTAGTGTTACCGCTGTGGCAGCATTGGCAGGTTATGCGGTTTACTTTGATCACCAGAGAAGAAACAATCCAAACTTCCGTAAAAGCTTGAAGCGTAAGCTCAAGAAACATGCAGAGGAAGAAAAACTAGAAAAGGAGAGAGCCAAGCAATTGAAATTAGCACAGGTTGGCGAGTATTTGAGTGCAGAACTGGCGAAAGACCCGGTATCTACAGACCCAGCGCAAAGAGAAATTGTGTTCACGTCGAACGTGGAAATGGGAGAAAAACTGGCCAGCGTTCCAGGAAACGAACTAGAAGCCGCATCTAAGTTCTACAAGGCTCTTAGTGTGTACCCTAACCCAGCTGACTTGCTAGGCATTTACCAGAGGAGTGTTCCAGAGGGCGTGTATGAGTATGTCGTGTTGATGATTGCCATCATGCCACCAGTCAACGTGTCAACCTTCTTGAGCGGCAGTGCTCAGGGTGGTCCTGCTGCCATGGCCCAGGCCGTTTCTGGCCAGGCCGAAGGCAAGGTGGGCGAGATCGACGAATAATGCCAGCGTAATGTGATATAGTCCCACATTCGCCAAGGGAGGCTTGCTCGGACCCTATTTATGATTTCCGTCCGCAAGTTTGCCAAGCAATACTCCCGTACCCTGTTTCTCACGATCACGACCCCCTTTTATGCCAAGAGGGCCTGTCATCATCATCCTCATGTGTTCATAATTCTTTTAAACTGTATATATAGCGGTGTAACCCTCGAGAATCTGCAGCCAGCCATTGCTGCCCGTGTCTCTTGAAGCTCTTGTGCTGCTCAGCGACGCTAAATCATTCGTGTCAGAACGTACATACCAAACAATGTAAAAAGCCGACCAAAGAAGAACAGCATAATCGCAGGCTCCTTTTCGCTTATTCATACAGCATAGAAACTCAATATTTTACCATCAAAAAGGCATCAGACTCAATTGATCCCGTTAAATCATATTTTTACTTTGGAACAAATCTGATTAGCCCTCTGGTCAAAAAGAACCCGTAGGCTAGCATGGCAGCCACATTGGTGGTGTGGAAGAACAAACTCATGCCGTGACTCTTACCAAACTCTTTTCTCAATGGCTGGTCCTGGGCTTCCAACTCTTCGCCCTGAAGGGTGTCAGCAAGACGATGTCTGGCCTCCTTGACTCTACGAGTCCAAGGTAGCAACCAAAACAGATTTAGACATCCGCTGAAAGATGCAGACGCCAGTGCAACCAAAGGAGCCATCTGTAGAGGCATGGGCGCCGTTAGGGCCAAAAGCACCGGAGAAAACGCCTGTAGTTGGAAAAAGATGGGAAAAACTTTGTTTTGCAGCTCTGAGAAGCTATCTCTGTGCAAATGTTTAAAGGCCAAAGGAGAAGCTACATATGAGTAGAATGTAGTGCCACCAAAGCTGTAAAATTCCTCAGGTTAGTACATCATTGCATTTAAGGATAAGTATCTTGAATCGTTGCGAGACTTACGCGAAGGAATAGATAATCAAATTGACAGTTGGCTTCAAGTAGTACATCGAAGGCGTTAGTGATTGAGCAAAATGCTGGCAAGATGAGTTGAGCTAAAAGAGAGAAAGAGTACGTGTGAGTGACTTGATGAGCTTGCACCTCAATAGAAAAGCTAATAAATCTCCGGTAGTATTCCAGTCATTTGGCACGAGTGTGTATTTTGGCTAAAATATCAAATTTGAATTCTCTGCTGAACAGAGGATATTTGCTGGCATCTTAGCATCACCAGTCTAGCGGAGACATTTTGGATATGATAGCTGCCACTTTTTTCTCAAATAATTGGTTGCTGTTTGGTAGCTTCTTTTTTCGCTTTCGCATTTATCATTCTTTGGTTCAGAAATTTGGACGACAAGGCAACGAAATTTTCTATCGAAACCAGCTTTAGTGGGGCAGGTTATTGAGATTGGATTATCTTAATTCTATTGGATCTCAGTAGGATCTATATTTTTTTCGGAAACTTCTGGCTTGTTTTCAGGTTTACCGCTTCAATTAAACTAGTCGCATTTCGAATCAATAATATTCCATTCATACGATTTAGTTTGCAGTTTGGGACTGTTCCATTGCGAGAAAAGTGTCGTGGCTTTCAAATTGCAATTTGAAATGGATGTTGACCCAGTGGTGCTCTTATCGAAACTCACTGACGTTTGGTGCATAAACCAATGACTGTTAGGTACAAAGTGATCAGAAGCATCCATTGTCCAACATCGTTAGACTTCGACGGTCGTCAACAAATCCCGGTTTTCACTCGCTTATCGATGTGAGCCTTCAAGAAAGTCACTGCACTAATGTTGCCCATCAAAAATGAAATCTCGATTTCAAACCGTAAGTGACATGGCACTGTTAGGCATCGGGATTACCGTGCCTGGTTGTCGCACATGTAAAAAGACGCACTCAGCGCCGCATAATCAAGCCCAAGTCAAGTACTCACTGGTCACAAATCTCTGGTCTAATACGTCAAGTTCTCGCTTTTTGAAATTTGAGATTGTTTTCTCAAAGATATTCCATACCACAGCTCCACTTCTCTTGTAAAAACGAGATATATAAACTCTAAGCAATCAAGTAGGACTGCTCTGTGCATCATTTTGATACCAGTCCTGACGCTGTCATCAGTCAGCTCAGCTGTCGCGATCGTATAACGGTATATATTGACATAAATTATGTTAAATTTTACAAGCTATGGATATCGAAATGCCAACCCACCGTCAGCGTAGCTGTCTTCCAGAGCTACACCATTCTATCCATTCGACTCGTTGTTGGCTCTCTGTTGTTAAACTGCCCAAATGGTCGTCAAAGCTCTGAAACATTCTTCCATCGCCAGAAATGGTGTTGGAGCATACGTCTTCCCTTGCAAAAAGATCGTACTACAATACTGCAATTGGGGCGGATCATCGCAAGGAATGCGGGACTTCTTGACTAGTAAAAGACTAGACCTTTTGGCACGCAAGTTTCCTGATATTGAATTTAATGTGCTCAAACAATCTGGACATCCTCTGGTAAGAGCTCACTATACTAATGGTAGAGAGAAAGTGATCTGCGTGAAAAATCTCAACATTGACAACGTTGAAAACAAGCTCAAACTACTCAAGGATTCGTCGGGAGAAATTTTGCACCATCGTGTGGCCAATGATTACGTGGAATCTCTCAACTCGAGCGTTAGAGGCGTATGGTCTCCATTGCATGTGGATCCTTCGGCTAGGCATAAGGTATGAAGAACAACATTTAGCTTCATGTCACAAGCCGTTTGTGAGCGGCGCGACCCATAGACTGTCTTTAGAAATGCATTTGTATATAGTTGGCGTGTAAATATGATTACAATGAGGAACGCAGTAATAGCTTCTCTATGCAGAACCTTTGTACTCTCGCAGAATTACCGGAACGGACGAAGGTGGCAACGCGCCGAATTCAGTTATGATCTTTTTAATGTACTCTGGGGGGGTCAAATCGTACATGATGTTGAAAATGTTGAGCTTTGGTGATGTCTGCCAGTCTGCAAGAATTGGTTTGTTTTCGTCGACTTTAACCGGAGTCTGTGACTGGTTTCCTCCTTTCCCATTCTTTTTCTGATCCTGTGACTGACTAGCGATATCCAGCTCCCTTTCTTTGATGAATTGTTGCAGCAAAAAGCCCTTGTTACCACGTCTCTTGACCGGATTGTTAGAGTCTATGACTACCAAGTCATTAGGATCCGCGAGTTCGTTGGACGTCACACTGTCGAGTTGGACTCTTTGTGAGAACTTCAAACTTTCACAACACACCAGAACGGGTATATTTCTTCTTTTGGCACTCATAGCCAACATGGCAGTACCAACCCTGGAATATAAGAACCCATTCGATAGAATAGAGTGTGCACCAAGGAAAACGTAATTGATATGCATGTTGAAAACGGTTCCCAAACTTGTGGTGAGCACGTACATTACGTTAAGACCGTGATTTCTCAACTTCTCCGTCATCTTCCTACCTTCGAACAGTGGCCGAGAGTCCACGATTATAACCTGAAAGTCTTTACCAAGTTTGGTGGCATTGTGAATGAAGAGATCGCACAAAACTTTGGAACAACCGTAGGTTAAAATGGTAGACCCGTTTGAAATATGTTGAGACGCATTCTCCACGATTAAATGGTCTGCAAGTTCAATCTTCTCTTTAGCAAATTGAGTGATCTGTTCACATAAACCTTCTTTGGCTTCCATGTCTGGAGTGTTTATGTCAATGAGAGAAATCTCTTGTTTGAGCCACCGGATTGCATTACCCATGGTGACGCTGAGAGGTCTGGCCTTCTTCAAAAAGTCAATTTGATGGGAAAGGTAACTTGTTAGGTTACGACTCAAGGTTGTGCCCTCGGGAGTTTTGTAGTCTTTGATAGCTATTTGGAACGCCTCCAGCATCATCAAGCAACGGGGAATAGACCCAATGATTTTGTAGCCAGCTATGTCGGATGTCAGTTGGGCTATGGCTGGGTGCAGCAGAGCTCTGTTCGTAATCAGCTCTTTAATGGAGGAGTTCAGATGTGGACTACTGATTGATTTCAGTAAAGTCTGTGGTATGACTGTGGACGTGCCCGCCACCATAGACGATTCATCGTCCACTGCCATTGTTGCCAACATCTGGGCGAGATCTGCAATGGAGGGTTCCGCAGCAGTGGTCACGCAATGCGACTGTGTGCTGGCCGATGACGTCGCAGACGCTACACCGGACGATGTGGGAACGTGGCTTCCACTCAGGGCACTGGCAACGTGGGGGAGCATCAGCCCAGCAGCCGTGATCTTGGAAGCTTGACCCGAACTGATGGCACTTGTCACGGCCAGCAGATACGCGCGTCTCTCCTCAGTGGTTTCTAGATGGCCATAAAGGGTCGACTCTTTCAGTAATGGCGCAGGCGCCACGAGTTTGCCCTTATTGCCACCGCCAGGTAGCTGTTGTTGCTCTCTTTGACCCAATTTTTTCTCTCGTTTCTGTTGGGCTTGTTGCTGCTGTTTTTCCATTGAAATCCCACTTGCCTCTTTTTGAGCCGCTCTTTTAGCAGCTTTTTCCTTCTTCTTCAGTTCTTTCAGCTCCTTGTTCGACAATTTGGCCTCTGCACTACTAGAAGACGAAGGGGCAGTCTGCGAGGACGGAATGTCGTGAGCAGGCTGCCCTTCGTTTTTACCACTTGTACCTGAAACTTTAGGACTTTCTTCACCCATTGTAATTTCGTGTGCCGCTTTCAAAGTAAATCACGGCTCTTATAGACGGAGAACCAACCTCAATTGGCTGACTTAGAGTTGGTGATGAGTTCATCAGGAGGAGGGCCTTGAATACTAACTTGAAAATTTTCTGGTGATGAGTCGGATCTGTAGTACAAAGTGACATCAACACTTTCTCATGGATGTCAGTTTCCAGCATTAGCGATGACCTAGAGTCTATCTGCTAGCATTGATTAGCAGTTTTGTTGGTGGAACTCAAATTTAGTAATAATTCAAAACTGGTGCCTTTTTTTCCCGGCTTGAATGGTTTTGTTTGTTTTTTCTCACTTTACTTGTAGCTCGGTAGCTGCTCTTCCTCAGCATATGCTGGGGGGTGAGCTTCCACTGTAACAGACTCGCAAAATACGTTGACAAAATCCGTGAGCACTTCAAATTGGAATTTGTCCCGTCCGTTGAGAGTCATGTGTAGAAATAATTGGAACTTGAACAACCGTCTAATATTGCAGGTTATTAAGCTGTAGAGACGATTACCTCTGTGCCGATAGTCCTCCTCGTTGAAACGAAGTTTGCTCAGCGTTTCGATATCAGCAATGTCAATGAGACATTCTTGATCGCCATCTGAATTTGTATAGCTCCTGGAAAGATCGATCTGAAGATCGGCATTAGTTTTCGCCAGCCGTAGGCTATTCAGGTTGGAATTCGAACGCCCGCCCGCTAGATAAGTGACAAATTCGATCAGATTGATTTCTACGCCCACGATGCGCAAATCAGACCCTTCTGGAAGCGGCAAGGGCATAATCAAGAAGATCTGGTCAAATTTGTTGCATCCAGGAAGGAACAGGTAATCGAGTCTGTAAATCGAACGCAGCTGTCGAGATCGCACCTCGAGCCAGAGCCTAATGTCATCGTCTTCGAATGTAACGTCAAATTTGGATAAAAAGGTCATCACAGGAGTCGAGTTCGCACTCTGCATGATGGTTTGCAGCTGCTTTTGTGCGAAGTTGGATGGGATGAGCTCGAAAGTGCGTTTTAAAGCGGGACTCGCTGCCCGGAAAGGTTTAAACCAGGAGTCCTCATTGCCGGTTAAAACCACTGCTTCGACGTAGTATTCAACTTTCCCCAAGGAGTAAAAGTAGATGTCCAAGTTTTGGACCTCTTCAGTCTTGAGCGCGTTGTTGAAACTTGGCGGCAGCCCGATGTTGGGCTCGTTACTCAGAAATGTATAGAGCTTTTTGGGATGCGTGGCAAGACACAGTGGAGTATCGGGAAATTCGAAGTCAAAGCGGAAAGTGTAGCTACCCTGTTCCACTTTGAAGGCCTTTTTTGAGCCCTGCATGGCAGTTTTGACATTTTGCGGTGGGAAAACACTAACCTCGGAGTTCATTATCTCATGAACAGAATGCTGATCTTCAAGTGGCACTTGGAGACTGGTTCTAGTCCCATTTGTTGAATGTTCGCCAGGTCTTACTAACGTTTCCGAGCTCCCCACAAGTTTGATGACAATCTCTCTAATCGACAAAGGCTTCTCTAAGTCCAAAATGAACTCACCCGATATAACGTCCTCCATGGTGTAGAACTCACCGTTACATGGCGGTTTCAGAACCAATTTGAGAGCTGGGGCCATTGCTTGGTCTGACGTGAATTCGAATGGAGCTGGGTAATAAGATATTATATGGAAATACTTACGCGGGGCGCATTAGCACACAGCATGAAATATAAAGGATAAAGAGACGGAACCAGAGGTGTGGAATGGAACGTCGGGGATCGATTGAAACGTTAAGCTCTATGGCAGTGTTTTTAGAGTTAGAATTACGTATTGTTACCATTGGTGCACTCATGATTCATTGAAGATTGATTTAATGTCTTCATTACTTCGATTAGTTTTTAAGATCAGAGGGCAAAAAATCCAGAAAGTGTATAGATGCCTTTATTCTTATATATTTACAAGTAGTTTTTGCCATCATTACTCAGCTGCTGGATGGGGAGCAGCAGTAGTCGATGCAGTGGGACTAGAGGCCAACTTCTTGGCGTTGGCAGCGTATTCTTGATAGATATCGGGACGGTCTAACTTCTTCAGAATAGCTTTATAGTTTTCAACAAAGCCTAGAATAGATTGAGGAGCTTCGCCAAACTCTACAATGGTCTGCGCCATGATATATTCGAATCTGTGCTCGCTCAGAAAAGCAGCTAGTCTGCCGTTCGACATATACGTTTCATCAGCAGCGGGCAAAATAACGTCCGTAGGAGAGAGTCCTGGCAGCGCCAGCTCACTGGAAAAACCCTGTTGTTTGGCTAGCGCAGCAACCAGATGAGTTGTGAGGCCGCTTTTGTTCTCTTTGTTCGAGACCTGATTCCATGCTGTAAGAAGCTTGTTTTGGGCCGTTTCTGGATCAGAAAGATTTCTGGCACTGTTTCTGTGCAACTGGCAGGTTACCAGTGAGTTGAAGAAGTGCTCCACGTCGAAAACAGCGTCGTTTTGGGCCTCCACGAATCGAGGCCGCCACAGGTACAGATGTTTCACAAACGACGAAAGCTTACCCAGCTTGAACGTCGACGCAAACAGGACGTTTTGAAGATGGCTGGCAGTGAAATACTGCCAGATGCCCAATTTCCTAGTGGTCAATGACGTCCACTTGTGCAGGAGACCAAGTACCTGCGATGGCTCTTGTGCTGACCATATGTAAGTGTTAAGAGTCTGACGGCTTAGGGGCTTCACAGGAGCTCTTGGTTTCAATGGGGCGTCTGAACCTGGGTCTTTTAAGTCCATGGCCAGAAGCGTATTACCGTTTCGTGGTCTGTATATCCAAGGTCTGAGCGATGCCTGAGTTGCATGGTATTTGTAAAACTCTTCGAGTTTGGTATCAGCTTTTTGAAAACTCGACAAGTACCTTTTGGACCCCGATTTGAGCATTATTTCTTCTATTATCAGTTGCTAAATCGACGAAATTGTTTTAACTCAAGTTCTCTGTTTTGAATGAATCCAAAGAAAAAATGGCCCAGTGAAATTTCAATTAAAGATCAAAGTCGAAAACGCAAACCCAGGGCTCCAATGGTGGGACTTAAACAGTCTTTTGGACGTCCTTCGATACTTCAATGTCTAGTAGTATCATTGACTAGTCGACAACTGAAATTTCAAGATAATTTGTTAGAATATCACATACAACGAGATCGTCTATGATTTTAATGAGCTCATCGCCTATACAATACATCTAACCAAGCTCAATTCAAGCTGATGAAACACGTTTAAGGCGTTTTGAATCTGATATGAATGGTATCGTAGACTGGCTTCCTTATGTTGATAGTCCAGTTGGCGATTCTCGACTCCAGGTCGAAAATCTGGTTGAAAGGGAGCTCCTAAATGTTGACATGAAAGTCTTGCACCCTGGCGTGGAAAGCTTGCTTGGCAGTGAAACGACGTCCAGGTTCGCACAGCAGTCGTCTCCAAACGAAAGCAAGAGGGATTCGGAAACTAATGATCAAACACCGGTCAAAAAACCATGTCTTGGGGTCGATAAGTCCCGGTACGTTGTCGAACGCTGCACTACGCGAGATCAACAGGCAACTTTAGAATCCTATTTGGGTCACCATGAAAGCGTGTTGAGTCAATTAATGGGACGCACTTTGGCGAGACAGTGGGTAACAAATAACGAATATATGAACGGCGTGTGTGATGCTTTAAGGGAAATCTCAGACTCCCAGGAAAGAAATATACAGGATTTGGAGAAACACAGGGAATTGATACAATCGGAAGCCCAGCGGGACCTGGCTTACATGGAGGACCGGTGGAAGGAAACGCTGCTGCGAAACGTGGAACGGGCTCTCGACAGCGCCGGAGGAGGCATATAAAGGCTTTGCGAGGGCACACGGGACCAGTGCGCGTTCGTTTTCTTCTTCTTCCACTTGTGCAGTTTTAGCATTACAGCATACAAATATATTGTTTATACACCTATAAATGGGATTTCGCGAAGCGAGCGCACTTATTTGTCGACAACCTCGGCGTCGTATCTCTGCTTGAACCAGGCGACGGTGTCCTCCTTGGAGGTCTTGTGGTTGTTACCGACGACGGCTCTGCATCTCTTTCTTCTGGTGACTCTGTTACCTGGTCTGCCCATGACGATGTAGAAGTCCATACCGTAGATACCGATGTTGGGGTCGTACTTGATACCCAAGTCGATGTGTTCCTGGATACCGAAACCGAAGTTACCGGTCTCAGAGAAGTTCTTGTCTCTCAATTGGTACTCCTTGACCTTTAGACCTCTCTCCAAGATTTCCTCGGCCTTTGGACCTCTGACGGTGACGTGGACGGCGATCTTTTCGTTTCTTCTGATACCGAAGGTTCTAACGGTGTAACGAGCCTTGGACTGAACTGGAGTTTGACCAGACAATTGTTCTAAAACCTTGGAGGCTCTGGTCAATCTGTCACCAGATTCACCGACCGAGATGTTCAACACCAACTTCTCGATCTTCAACTCACGCATAGGGTTCTGGGCCTTGGCAGACATTTTTGGCAGCGGTTATTTGGGTTTTGAGGAGATGAGAGAAGCGCTCTAACAGAACTCTAGGATCACTTTTGAAGTGAGAGTTTGTAGGTTAAGTTGGGCCATCGCTGCCGGAGCTGGAACTGCGTCAATATTTTTTCAGAGGGAAAAAAATTGCGTGGGTCGGTGGGTGAGTCGTGAAGAGTGATGCTAAATTAATATTGACAGAACTGGCGACAGAAAAGAAGACGACGGGGATATGCTAGAACGACAGGGAACTTGTAATTGTGTGTATAGTAATTATGGGGTTGTGTTTGGAGTTATAAAATTTCTGGGAAGTAGAATGACTTGTTTTCGCGATTGGGAGATTTGTAGATATTATTACGGGTGGTTTTTGTATCAATTGATGAATGGAACTGGACAATTGGGGTGACTGGAAACCGCTTTTTGGGAGTAGAAGTGGCTTTTCCCACCACTATCGTTATGGTTTAAGAGAGGGAAAGGAAGGCTTTGGCACTACATCATTTTCACACGAAACTGACAACAGTCACGTGCATAAAACAACAAAGTAGTTTCTTCACACGTGACCCAATGACGCGTTTCTGGAAAAAAATCCGAGTGGGCCAGATTTTTTTAGCATTTAAAAAAAACAAGCCTGCTCACCACCCGTACACCACCGGGACAGTCACAACCTGGGAACATCTGCGGTGACACTATGATGGAAAGCGGTTGAAGCGAGAGTGCAAGTGGATGAAGGACAGATTTAGATTGATACATGAGTACCAGATCGGACCGAGAATAATACAGTAATATCGTATCATTCAACGGCGTGGAGAACAGCTTTTTATCGCGGTTTATTGAAACGAGATTCCTGAACGACATGGCGACTGTTGAGTAAAAAATGATGTAATGAGATTTGGGTTCATAACGGCCGCTAAGCTGGCGCCATGGAGGACGTGTAGAACGTGGTGGGTTCGTGCTGGCATCTGCACCGTCGCAAATACCACCTCGACCAAATCACATCACATCACGTGACGAGGCGACAGATGTCAATGTGGTACAAAGTGACAGCCCCAACGGTCGAATAACGCGCAGTCTACGAAACTGAGGCAGTACAGAAGCGCATCCCAGCGTGGCACAGCGAGCTGCTACAGCTACACACCCCATTTCGTTATTGCGAATTGCGCATTTAAATGTATATATCTCCCCCACACTCAACCCCCGCGATGTCACCAATTGCACGGGTCCATTGCACACCAACGTACAAGCATCGCATCCCACCAGTCCAAACCTCATCAAATGCCAGCGTAGCGCAGTCAAAACTTTCAAGTCTCGTGCCTCGTCGTTGGATAAAAAGCACATGCACAGCTTCTCCCGTACTCGTACTCGCCGCCCGCCATTTTTTTCACGCCCTCTTGAAAACGATCTTCGTAAAAGCCAACTTTCTCTATCTTTTCACTACCACCTCAAACCAGCCCAGTGCACCAGTAACCTCTCCCACCAGCTCCAAAATGAACCCACAGATCACCAACCTGGCCATCATGCTCATCATGATGCAGGTCTCCCGTCGTCTCGATATGGAGGACCCCACCATCGTATTCTACGTGCGTATTGCCTACTGCTCCAGTGTGGCGTTGGCGTGGATCGTGTACCAATTGGCCAGATCCCGCATTGTGCAAAAGAACGACCTAACCACGATCAAGTTCGTGGCTCCAGCCAACGCCATGGCAGGCGAGACTGAGGGCAAGCTACAGGTCACCACCGTCAGAGACTACGACTTGAAGGAACTCGACTCTGCCATCAAGTCCATCTACACCGGGCTCGCCATGATGGGCTTCATGCACTTGTACATGAAGTACACCAACCCTCTGCTCATGCAGTCGATCTCGCCCATCAAGTCCGCTCTTGAGCACAACGAGGTCAAAATCCATTTGTTCGGCAAGCCTGCCTCTGGCGACCTCAAGAGACCATTCAAGGCTCCTTCTCTCTTCGGCGGGTTCGGTGGTGCTCCAGCGGCCAAGACTGACAAGAAATCCATCGAGGAAGCCGAGAAAGCTGGCCACGGTGGTGTCAAGACTGAGTAGACCAAAACGCTGGCCGCGGGTCCGTCCCGAGTGATATCCTTGCTCATAATTATATATATTATATACAATATATATATATATATATAAATGGATGGATACATGTATATATGATATACTTTGGTATGACATCTGTATTCGACTACGACCCCGTTTAACCCATTGCCACTCCATTGCGATCATCGTGAGCACTGCTAGCAATGGCAGACCCCGCTACGTCAGTGCTGGTGCTGGGCGCTGGGGGTCTTGGGTGCGAAATCCTGAAAAATCTGGCTCTTCAGGGCATCCCTACGATACACGTTGTGGATCTTGACACCATCGAATTGTCGAACCTGAATCGGCAGTTTCTGTTCCAGAAACAGGACATTGGACAGCCCAAGGCTGTGGTGGCGGCCCAGCGCATCAACAGCAAACAACTGCTCGGATTTGGTGAACGGCCCGTGCACGTAACCGCACACTTCCAGGACCTGACAAGTTTCAGTGACACGTTTCTAGAGCAGTTCACGCTGGTGGTGTCTGGACTGGACTCTGTCGCGGCACGCAGGGCGATCAACGCACAGCTGGTGCGTATCACGCTAGAATCAGGGTTCCAGAAGTGCATCCCGTTGGTCGACGGTGGGAGCGACGGACTGCAGGGCCACTGCAAAGTGATCGTTCCTGGAATTGCAGCATGCTACGAGTGCTCGCTTGCCACGCTCCCGCCAGAAACAGAGTCGTACCCGTTGTGCACCGTGGCCAATAATCCACGTCTGCCCGAGCACGTGATCGAATACTTGCTAAGCGTGCAGTGGATGCAAGAGTATCCAGACCAGCCGTTTGACCACACGCGCGACGAACACTTCCAATGGCTTATGCGCCGGTCGCTTGAGCGAGCCGCACGCTTCCACATTGACTCGTCCAAGCTGACTGCGTCGTTCGTGCTGGGGGTTATCAAAAACATCGTTCCCAGCGTGGCTAGCACAAATGCAATTGTCGCTGCACAGTGCTGTAACCAGGTTTCGAAACTTCTGTATAACGAGTACGATTTCGAGGGCTCGAACAATTTTTTGGTCTACAACGGGCAAGATGGGTGTTTTATGTACGGTTTCGTGTACGATCGCTCCACTGAGTGTCTGGTGTGCCGTGAAAACACGTAGGGAAGCCGATCCCATCAAAGATAGACCAGAATTGGCGTTACGGAAGTTGCGCCATGGGGCCACGACACTATAGTACAAAGTGATATGGTGGTCAAAAGACCATCAAACTCAGCCAAACTCAGTTAAATGCTATCTGGAACACTTTGTGTTCATCCAGGCTCTCGATTTGACTTTGAAAGACGGTCATTTAGCATTACGTGACTTTTCTAATCATATCGTGCAATTTGCTGTTCCAAAATGACTTAAAATGGACCGCTAAAAAGTGAGGGCATCTGAATTCTATTCAGCTATAGAAGTTAAGCGGCTTTTCGTATAAGACAAGACAAGACAAGACAAGACTGGTGACAGACAACATTTCTAGATGACTAAAACCCCATTTCAGTATAAAATTTGAATCGCGAGATTTTGCCTAAAATCTTAGAAACAACGTCAACCAGCAAGAAGCGAGATTAAATACCCCAACAATCTTGGATAAAAGATCCGCTCCACAGCTGGACGCCTCCCAGCTCGTAGTCTTGATTGGTTTGTCTAAAATCCAGTGTATTAACAAATATCACACGTGACACCAGGTATTCATTTCAGAACATCAATAATATGTAACGAATTACCAAATCTCACCATAAATCTTTAAGCTGCTCCATGTCGAGCAATTGTCCTTAACGATGTTTGCCAGACCATTAGTGAGAGCTACGAGTCCACTCACAAAGAACTTAAGACTTCGGCCTAGGTTCGTTCGGCCAAATTCTAGCTCTTCAGCTGCTCTTGACAGCTTCGTAACACCTTCCAAGATCATCAATGCTCAAGGAAATATGGGCATCAACATCACTCAGCGGGCTGCCAAAAGACTTGCTGAGATATCTAAAGACACCAACGAAGCTCTTCGCGTTTGCGTAGAGAGCGGCGGTTGTCACGGCTTCCAGTACAACTTAAAACTCATTACTAAAGACGAAATAAAGTTGAACGCGTCTTCGAGTGAAACTCAACACTCAGAGACCGCTAACGCTGCCAAAAGTGACCAAAACTTCGAAGACGACGATGATGCGGATTTCGAATCAAAGCAGGACACGATTTTCGAGCTGCCCGACAACGGAGGCCAGGTGGTGCTGGACGAGAAGTCCCTCAAAATTCTCAACAACACCACTCTCACTTACACCACCGAGCTCATAGGTTCGACCTTCAAGCTTGCAGGCGGAAACATGAAAAACAGCTGCGGGTGTGGCAGTAGTTTCGACGTCGAGCTGTGAGCATTGGTCCTGATTTCTCCAAAATCATAATATATGGTATGCAAATACTGACATCGACAGAGCGAGATTTACCGACAAAGAAATCTTCCTCTGTGCACCGGTTTTCAGGGTGCGGAGATCGTGCACTGCTGGTACTGTGCATTGAACAACTCGAGTAGCGTTCCGATGACGGTGGCCAAGATACTGCCATCACCGTCGAGTGTGGTGAGCGATCTGGGTGTCACAACTATACGATCTCGGATCCTAATCTCAGATATGGGCAGAGTGTCGCATCGTATACCGGTTTGAGCATGCAAATATGGAAGAACGAAATCCGAGAGTGCCCGATTGGTGTTTTCAGGACTGTTCACCAGCGCGCGCACGTCTCTTTCTGCAAGATCGAATTCCAGCTTTTTCAAATGATTTTGTTCTGTTTGAGGCTCATAAGAGACCCGTACTTCTTTGAGACTCTGTTGAAGGACGCAGTCCGCGATTGCCATCATTGATTGATTTTGAAATCCCACTTTTTCAACAAAAGTTTCGCTATGCTGGGCAATCCAGTCCCGCAACACCGTTCCAAGGCGTTCATCATCACAAAAAAAACTTGCCTCGAACACGTTATTTTCGTCACCATCGTCGGAGTATTCAGAGGTCCTTGTATATATTCTGATTTCTCCAATGAGCTTTGACTCAACACTTATTTGCCAGCATTTCAGCCCACAGGGCTCGGATTTCTCACAAAATGGTCTCGATCCCCTGGTCTCGAGCCCGTCGAGAAAGCTTTCCACTAATTGTTCTGAAATTGACTGAGTTGCGACCCAGCAACCCCAGTTTTGTCTTCTTGACATGGCAGGTTTTGAAGTCAATTTTAACACCTTTTAGAATACATCTACATAAAATCAAAACCTTAACTTTATGAACATGAAGTAAAAACAAATCATAAAGCTTGATCCGCTAGGTTGAATCTGTTGCACGTGATTCTCATCTACGAGGTGGATACTGCTTTGATCTTGAGGGGCATTGAGCTACGAATTCGAAACTTTGTAGATCGGTGAATTTGTTGTGTGCCGTCTATGAGTCAAGGTCCGAGAGTCTCAGCATGTTTCTGTATTTCGTAGATATTATTTAAACATTACTGAAGTAACGAAAATGTCAGACATCCCTTCACCGGGGAGTTCAACTGTTTATATGAAGTTTAGGACTTATAGTTGTTCATTTACAATAACGCTTGGCAGTTCTTCAAGAATCGTGGAAATCTCGACTGTCACCCGACTGTCAGAGGTTTAAAGCCAAGAAAATGAAATGCCAAAAAATGCGAGGGGATGGGAACGTAACGGGCCTTCCCAGACCTTTTGATTTGGTCTTGTGAGAAAGTGTGCGCTTTTTTCCAGCGGAACTACGTCAAAACTTTGAGTTTTGGTAAATCTAGAACTGCGAGAGCGAGAAGATATCTCGGACAATTTGAGTTCTTTTGAGTTCCGTTACCTCTTATCAACGTCACAATGACAACAAAACTACAGTCAGCGCATGGCACACTCGATAGAAAACTTCAAGTTCGGCTGTGTGCGAATTTCTTAATATCAGTGTCGTCTGAGAAGGTAAGTATTGGTACTTTTCGTCAAAGTGGCATCAATCCAAAAAGCATAAAAGAGAAAGGCACCTTAAATGATTTGAAGCTCAGTAATATTGGACAATTCTTACTTTACTGTGGGTTATAATAGCACTGTAAATCCTCAATTGTTGACTTGCTCGTTTGCATAGAATTCCTCGAGGTTCACGCCTTTTTGGGCAGGATTCCTATTTGAAATTGACTTGTCACAAGAGAGAGTGGAGTGATTGGTCTCTGTCTTGTCAAAAATTCCGCTAGCATTGCCGTTCTGTAGGAACCATGCTCCCTCTCTACTGTCACTTTAAACCAATTTGACATTGCAAGTTCAGTCACATGCAGTCTGATCGCATTAAGATAGAGATCCCGGATGTGAGACTCGTAGTTGAATCAAACCGAATCATTGGTGGTTACGATCCTTGAGTTGACCTCGAGCGATCGACGAATTTTAGAGCTTCGAGCTACATTTCGAGCTTCTATCCAATGTCGTGCTCATGTAAGATCACTCTGAACTTTGTCGCAATGGACTTTAGGTTCGTAGCTGTGTAACTACAATTGATCTAAACTGCGAGACTCACGCATGGGCAAGCATCTTCAGTCATAGGTATGTGTTCAAAAAATGGCTTTTGATATTTACCCATGGTCACTCTGCGTTATCAAATTCCATAATTTTAACAGCTGTACCATCAATATCCCCATTTCCCAATCCAATTGAACGTGAAGGGCATATCTATCTCAGGCTTACAGCTCGAGAGATCTCTAAAGTTAACCTCATAATGATTCTGTGATATTCGGAGTATTTAGCTTTTGAGCCTAGTATGAAATAAAATACATTTCCTGTCCTTACAGTACTTATTTCAAGGACGACTGAAAACCTAACAAGCAATGCTCGAACCTATTCCAACAGCGATAAAAAATGGCCGGTAAAATTGCAACACGAAACACTCTATGCTCCAAATAAATTCATTAAACTAAAATCAAATCAACGAATTCGTAAATTACTAAAGAACGAGCTGTCGACATTTCCCAGAGCCGTTACAAAATCCCAAAATCCACAACTTTACCACAACATAATTTTAGAGGATTAATTTCACCGTTTTAACCATATCACAACTCAATACGCCCTCTCTTTAGTCTTCCTCTTTTATTTAGTGACACTATTTATAGTAAGTCTTAAATATAAAGAATAAGGTAACAAATTGATCTAACTTTAAGCATACAACATCGAAAGTCAAAAGTCGAGCATGAGTGACTTCTGGGAGCAGAATAAAGGCTCTATCAAGTCTGGCTTTGCCACTGCTGGCAAAATGGGCTACCAGGGCACCAAATTCGTGGCCAAAACTGGTTATAAGGCCGGAAAACAGCATTATAATAAGTCCCGGGGAATTCCTGGCGAGCAGTCCGATAGCAGTTCCAGCTCTCTGAGAGGGAGTACACCTATTGCTTCGCTGCCAGATGTGTCATCTCTACCACCACCACCTTTGAAGCCTGGCCAAGTTTCATATCATGGCTCATCTAGAACTAGTGGTATGACTGCAGCATTACCACCACAGCCACCACAGATGGTTACTCAACAAATTCCTGTTAGCCAACCTCAAACTATGTACCCAGAGCCTATTCAGATGTTTGACAACAGCAATGCACCGCAGGCTGATATTCAGCCTACTCAGAGCTCAATTCCGCTCCAGTCGCCCGTAGCAGCCCGTCCAAGCGCTGCGATTCCTCTGACAGGTCAAATGTCGCAAAACACCTCTATACCGGTAGCTTCTCAAATGATTTCCCAGATGGCCCTTCAGCGTTCTATGCCAACGGAGACGACTACTACGATAGCCAGTATTCCTCCATCGTTACATCTTGATACAGCTTCAATTACCAGCCGTGTGCCGGAAGTCAACACAAGAGCAGTGCCATTAGCTCCGGTGCCTGCTCAAACATCCATTCCTACGCGAGGAACACCCTCGCTGCCATTTGGCGCGGCAACATCTATAAGCAATCAGGATGCGCAGGCTTCCACAAGCGGCCAACAACAAGTACAAGCTCAAGCCATTCCCGAAAGGACTTACTTCCGCGCACCTGCTCCAATTCCTACACAAAATGTTCAACAGATTGTCCAGCAGCCTGTCCAGCAGCCTGTCCCGCAGTCGCTCCCGCAATCTGTCCAGCAGCCTGTTGCACAACCAATTGCACAACCTGCTCAACAACCTGTTCAGCAACAAGTTTCACAGCCTATATCCGGTCCTGTGGCTTCACAGGACGAGGAAGAAGCAAAAACCTCAAGGATAACGGTAAAGCCTTACGAATGGAAAGATCGCGAAGAATTGAGAAAGACTTTGAGAAATAAAATACCGGAAGCTGATCTATCTACATTTTCACCGCCACCAAAACATCAAGATCTTTCCCCAAGCACTTCCGGTTCATCTTCCCCTCGACAATCGCTTGCCAGTCCCATTACAGCGAAACCGCGCGCTGCCGTTGCAATGACTGGTGCGCCAGTGGAACAAAGTTCGAGCAAAACAGTGAAGAGTACCACCAGCGGCAAAGGCCGTGAAGAACAGCCAGCTGAACGAGGTATTGCCGGGAACTACACCAATACAGGTGCTGTTAATTTTCCGCCACCTCCGAAAGCCTCAAGAGCGAATGCTCAAGCTCCTCCGCCAATTGCTAGCAAGCGTTTTAGTCCACAGACTAGTGGAAATTCACAGCACCAAAGAAAACCTCCAGCTTTACCCCAAAGAACGAGTACGTCAAGATCTTTGGTGCTTGAATCTGTCACGCCAACGCCTATTAATTCAAAAGCACCTGAAAGACAGACTGAGTTCCAGCCTCCACCCAAGCCTTTCAAAAAAGACGCGAGAGTCACACCTGCGCTTCCTGCAGTGCCACCACGCCGCACCACTTCCACAGCATCTGTGAGCTCTAATGAACCTGACACGGTTCCTCCACCTTATGTACCCATCGAAACGCCGAATCGCTCAGATCGAAACATGTTTACAGCGCCTACTTCAGTGAATGCTGTGCAGCCAAGGAAAAGTCCTCCTCCGAAGAAGGCACCTCCCCCAAAGAAGGCGATTCCCCAGTACCTACAAAATACTCAAGACGAGACTTCAAGCACAGCGAAACGCACTGACTTGAAAATTGCATCTAGTAAAGTCCCGCCACCTAAACCAGCAAGAAAGAATATAGCTGCCCCTCCCAAACCATCTAGAAAACCGCCAATGTTGAATATAGCAAGCGAGGAGAGTAATTCTGGCGATGCGGATGGACTGAATGCGGAACTGCTGGCAAAGATCAAGTCAAGACAGCCATCGAATCTAAAAGAACAGAAGAAGCCATTTACGGCAGAGGCTAAGATTACATCTGATAACATACGGCCTGCGGTTCCGGCTGTCAAGGTGGGAGGGTATGTGAATACACTTACTACGACGCCAGCGGATCCTGATCTTGATGACAGTAACGAGAACCCGTTCCAACGGTACCTAAAAAATGCGGTGCCAATGGATCACGATAGACTACACAAAAGTTAGCTCTGTTTTGGAGTAGCATTTTATAAGATGACACACAGTAGAAAGAGAAAAGTAGATGGTCAGAAGAATAAGGGAGGGAAATGGGGGCCATGCCAGCGGAAAGTGTCGAAAGCAATTGAAGCTCCTTCTTCAAAAAGTCGCGATCCACTGCCAGGTAAACATGTAATTCCCAAAATGCATGGCCAGCGAGCGACGCTGCCAGATCAACGCAGACGCACGCACGGCGATCATCCCACGTCCGTAGCGACCCGTAGCGACCCGTAGCGGTCATCTGATTCACCGCAACCGCACAGCCGAGACTAAGATGCTTATTTCGAGAGCAACGCGGCGAACTGCTTGATGTTGATTTCCCCGCTGCCATCGCTCACTTCCCGCAGCATCTCGTCCACCTCTGCGTCGGTGAGTTTCTCACCGATCGAGGTAAGCACATGTTTCAACTCGGCTGCAGAGATGAGTCCGTCTCCGTTTTTGTCAAACACTTTGAACGCCTCGAGCAGCTCCTGCTCGGAGTCGTTCGACTTTAGCTGGCGCGACATCAATGCCAAAAACTCGCTAAACTCAATTTTATGGTTTCCGTTGACGTCGATTTCATTCATAAGGTCCGACACCTCGGCTTCGCTGGGCGAAAGGCCCAGAGATCTCATCACCGTGGCCAATTCCGACGACGAGATCGATCCGTTGTTGTCCTTGTCAAAGAGCGCAAAGGCTTCCTTGAACTCGGCTATTTGTTCTTCCGTTAGGTTTCCAGACATTGTTGTAGCTGTTGATAGGGTCCAATTGGCTTAAAGACTCCGAGTTTCGACGGTCTGGAGGGCGCTGGATGTTGGACTCTCTTGGGTTGAAGAAGATGGTTTAAAACACTTGTAATTGTGGGATATATTTTTAAACCAATGAGCAACGGAGGGTATTCGTGTTAAATGACTGAGGAGGGGAGTACTCATGAGTACGAAAGTACTTGTGAGTACGAAAGTATCCATGAGTACGAAAGTATCCATGAGTACAAGAGTACTCACAATTTCAAATTAACAATCACCACCAACCTTCAAAACTAGCACCAACCTCATCATCTCAAGACAAACTCCAAGACACCCAAGTTCACAACCATTGGCCAATCGCAGTCTGCAAACAATGGGTCTGGAAGCAGTTTCGCCGCTGGCGTGGTGGTTAGTGACATTATATGTGTCTGTACCCGTGGTCTGCTACGTGGTGGTGCCCTTTTTCTTCTATGGCGATCGCACAATCAAGAAACGGATTATCATTTGCGTCCTGGGCGACATTGGCCACTCGCCGCGTATGTGTTACCACGCTCGAAGCTTCAGCGAGCAGGGCTGGCAGGTCGAGCTGTGCGGCTACCTTGAGGAGGAACGGCCTCCCGCAGATATTGAGGACAACCCTAACATCACAATCCACGCTCTGGCGACATACAAGGCCTCGAAACGCCAATCGTTCCTGGCAACTGCAGTGCGCAAGGTGGCACTGCAGGTGGTGTCGATCTTGCGAGTTTTGTGGAAGCTGAGGGGCAGTGACTATGTGCTTCTGCAGAACCCACCAAGTATACCTATTTTGCCCATTGCTGCTATTTACTGCACTATTCTCCGGTCTAAACTTATCATTGATTGGCACAACTTTGGATTTTCCATTTTGAAGCTCAAACTGGGCTCGTTTTGGAACCCACTGGTGTTGGTTTCCTTCGTTGTAGAGTATCTTTTCGCCAAGTTCGCAACCTACCATCTCACGGTCACAAAGGCTATGAAAGTCTACCTAAACGAGAAGTTCGGAATGCCATCTTCACGGATCCAGATACTCTACGACAGGCCTGCGTCTCAATTTACACCCCTCAAGACCGATCGCAGCGAAGCGCTACGGCAAGTTTTCATTCGGCCTCACATTCCTGCTGGATTCGATGTCACGAAAAATGACCGCATTTTGGTGACCTCCACCTCTTTTACACCAGACGAAGACTTGTCTATTTTGATAGGTGCTCTAAAAATCTACGAAAATTCGCATAAGAAATTCGATCACGAACTGCCAAAACTTCTGTGTTTCATCACAGGTAAAGGACCCATGAAACAGCAGTTCATCGACCAAGTTAAAGCTGAAAAATGGGACTGCGTTCATATTGAGTTTGTGTGGCTTTCTTCTGAAGATTATCCCAAGCTCTTGCAATTGTGTGACTTTGGGGTCTCTCTGCATACATCCAGCTCTGGCCTTGATCTTCCAATGAAAATTCTGGATATGTTTGGGTCTGGGCTGCCAGTTATTGCGTACAATTATCCTGTACTCAACGAACTGCTCCAACATAATGTGAATGGGCTCAAATTTCTAGATAGGAGAGAGCTTCATGAAGCTCTTATCTTCGTGACGAAAGACAAACAAGTAAATGAAGTGCTCAAGGCAGGCGCCTTGAAAGAATCCAAGAACAGATGGCAAGACTCCTGGGAGAAAAGCATGGAGCAGATTTCCATAATAAGACGCTAAAGCTAATCACAATGCTCTCTGAGCGTCATAAAACTGGACCAATTTCTCCATGCGAGCATCAGTGTTGTCATTTTTGAGAAACGTAGTTTGACACCCTTCGGTGTCATAATACCAAAACTTGTAAAACTCATCCTTATAGAGCTCTAAAAACTCATGGTCAGGGATAACGTCTTCCAAATTATCAAAAGGGCTTGGGCTTCGATATTCATAAGAAAACTCCGACAAAACTTTCCAGGTCAAAAAAGTGTAAAATCTGCTGGCCAATTTCTCATTGTAGCCCCCGCCGCCCAGGAGCACGATATTGGCGTTGGGAAAATTCCGTATAATTGTCAGTATGTTTTCGGCAAGTCCTCTGATAGTCAGTTGCCACTCTGCGAATTTGTCGCCCATCAAGCCATCTGCGCCACATTGAATGACAATGACCTTGGGGTTGTGACTTCGAACAGAGGGCAAGATAACTCTTCGAACAAGCTCTTCAAGGATACTGTCATCAAAGCCATGTAGGACAGGGAGGTTAACTATATTCTTTCCTCGGAGTGTGTCTTTCAAAAAGCCTGATCCTGGGAAGAATCCGGGCTCTAGTAAATGAACAGATATAGTCTGGACGTTTGCAGAATACTGGAACGCACGCTCAACGCCATCTCCATGGTGTAGGTCAAAATCGACATAGCTCACGGCCCCGATACCAAGTCTTCTCAGTTTCGTAATCAACAGTGCAATGTCGTTTACGTAGCAGAAGCCGCTAGCTTTGGACTTTAATGCATGGTGTCTGCCCCCATCCCAATTGATTGAAATAGTACGTTCCCTCTGAGAAGAAGCATTCTTAGCAAGTGCTAGTGTAGCGCCCGTGACAACATGGCAGTACATTGGCAAATATCGGAAAACAGGGCAATCGTGAGAGAGACCATATTTTAGCATTTCAAGCGAATTCTTGGAATTAATGTCTTCTTCTTCTTCTTCTTCTTCTTCTTCTTCTTCCTCGACGCGACTCTCTGGGCCTTCGGGATCCAATAGGTCTCGCAGCAAACCTCTCCGCTTGCGTCCCTCAACTTCGAGTCCAGCTTGAGCATTCTTTAAATAATATTGATATAACTTAGTCTTCGAGTCAAACCACGGTGAATTATCTTTTGGCAAGTTTGTTTTCATCTCAAGCCAATCGGCAGCCCTCTCTGCAATTGCTTGAACATTGTGGTCCTCATCCTCCCCGTTCAGGTTCGCTTGATCATTAAACCTGGGGTTCAGAAGGTGATCCAAATAGTCTTTCGAGTGGAACTGACGTAGATCTGTAGCAGAACAGGTTGGTAGCTCTATGATCTGATCGAAATGTCTTAAGAGATCATAAGCTTCCAGCATTGTGTGAAGTAGTGAAGACTTGCCATTGTTGTTGCATGGAAGAAGATCGGAGACTTGGCATTGAAATGGCGAGGTTGAGATGACGAGATATACCATTTATGCCATAGCTTTGCTCGTACTAAGACGCCAAATTTTGACCAAAAGGTGTCAAAAACCTAATTATTTGAAGTTTGAGGTTTGTTCAAGAAGCAAACTGTGTCTTGAAGGAATAAACATCTATAGAAAGGAAAGAGCGAGAATATTCATTCAGTATCTATAACGTTTTAACTAAAGTGAGCATGTCCCGTCACAGTTCCAATTCCTTGGCGGCCCAAGTTGGAAGAACGAAAGAGGCCTCGTGGATCTTCTTATTGTAGTATCTGTATAGCTCAACCTCGGCCTCGTCGGATCTCTCACGCAAAGGCTTCTTGACATTGGACTTGCCATCTTTGCTGCACACCATGAAGCCGATCTGGCCCGATGGGTAAGTTGGGATGGTGGTGTAGGCGTATTCGGCCACAGGGAAGACCTCTGAGCACGCTTTCTTCAAGTCCTTGATGATAGGCAAGTGCAACCAGATGTTCTCAGCCTGGGTGGTGATAACACCGTTTGCAGTCAAAGCACTGTTCAAAAGCTCGAAGTACTCCTTTTGGAAAAGACTCTCGGCTGGACCCTCAGGGTCTGACGAGTCGGTGATGATCACATCGAATGAGTTTTGGTAGTCTCTCAAAAACTGGAAACCATCGCCAATGTGGGTTTTGACCTTAGGGTGAGAGTAAGAAGCAGCCATTTCTGGTAGGTATTCCTTGGACAGTCTGATGACAGCTTCATCAATGTCGCACAACCAGGCCTCTTCCACGGTTTCGTGCTTGACAACTTCTCTTAGAACACCACCGTCACCGCCTCCAATAACCAAGACTCTCTTAGGGTTAGGGTGAGAGTTCATGGCCAAATGTGTGATCATCTCCTGGTAAGAAAATTCGTCCCTTTCAGTAGCCTGGATAACATTGTCCAAAACCAAAACGTTGCCGTAATCAGTAGACTTGAAGATCAACACGTCCTGGTACTTGGACTTCTCGTGGTGCAATACTTTTTCGACTCTCAAAGTCATGGCTTGACCAGGCCACATAGTGTTAGAGATCTCTCTGAACCATCCATCTTGGATAGTAGGGTGCGTAATTTGACCAGACATTGTCAATTGAGCAGGCTAGGTCGGTTAAAGTCTTGAACTTTGGCAACTTTTTGGACTCTTATGTAGTTGGTGAGAGTGAACTGGTGGAACAATGGCAAAAAATTTTCAAATTAGTAGGGCGATAAGATGAGAAGAGATAGGAAAACAGAGTTGAACGAACAAGACGGGATTTAGAATACTGAATGAATTTTGAAACGTTCACGGGTGGTCGTTTATGGTTGGGAGGTACGGCGGGCTAGCTCAGGAATTTTTCTGGAGAGAAATCGATAGCTGGATGTGCAGTTTATTGATGTTTTGTGAATATGCAAAGTGTCCTGTCATCATTGAGATTTTGAAGGAAAGGAGAGTTCAAAAAGGGTTCAACGGGTAGTTTTTGACGTTTGCAATTGGAATTAACTCAACTGCGTGGGTTTGAACGTTGTTTTGGAGGAGATGACAGGCTCGAGAGATGTTCTCGCCTGTGGCGATTGATATTTGGCATATTTTGAAGGGTGAAGTGTGACGTGTGAACAGGGCGCGGAAAAGTAGTATTCCCCTTATGCACTTTCAATCAATCGGTCAGGGTGGAAATTCAAGTTGCAAACGGGTCAAGCACATTAGTTTTCCCCTGGCTAGATTTTCAGATACCATTAAAAAAAAAATCTGGGAAAATAGAAAGACAGAGTCTTTTCAACAGCCTATTCACAACTCTCGATCTATCCCCACTCGATATCTCCTTTTTACAACTCTGTGTCTTCACAGTCCTCTGACCATCGATGCTTCATTTCCAATATCACTCTGTACTACAGTGACGCTCAGATTTGAGTCTACGCACGAACACCCTCCCAAGAACAGTGAAAACAGTGTAATTCTCTCGTTAATCTCATCTTGAACCTCAGAGCGGGCTGAAACTTCTCTCTCTGTGTCTGATTCCCTCTTTTATAGCATTTCTCATCACCGTGAACGTATTTCGACAATATCGTTAATTATCAACCTGCTCTTAACAAACTCTACCTTCAGCCAACTCTTGAAGGCATTGAAATTCTCTGCTATGAGCGATGCCTACGTGGAGACTCTCGGGCACATGGTATCCTTGCTCCAGGAATACAAACCCGGTCTGATTACTCTGGACAACGTTACACGGTTATGCAAGACACTGCGACTGGAATCATTCACTGACAACATCGACAGCAACACAGTCCGTCTTTCAGCTGCTTCTAACATCATTGTGATAGACATGGATTTCCACAAGTCTGAAAAACAAGTGAAAGATGTCAAGATGGTGCTGGCCAGCAATTTCGATAATTTCAATTACTACAACGATGGAGACAACGGAAACATTCTATTCAACGCATTGAACTGCTTCCCTGATTTGCAAACATTTTACTACAATCTAAAGTTCCTTTCGGTTCTGGATACTCACTCCATTGTTGAGACGGAAGCCGCTAGCTCTCCCAAAAGAGAGAAAGTGGATCTTTTCAGGTATTTCACAGAACTCCCAGAACAGCTGCGATCATATTTCAAAGATGCCGGTATCAACGCAGAACTTCGAACAAACGTCGACAATAAGTTCGGAATATACGTCTTCAGTGAAGACGTTCAAATAGCCAAGATTTCGATCGAAGAATGCGACTCGTCGCTTGCGGACCGTTTTTACGACTACCGTTATGTGAACCATGGATGGAGTTGTGAAAGCCTTGAAAGCGTTACCTCGGGTGTAATGCTCACTTTGCAAATCTGTGATACGAACATGCATTTTCCCCAGGAGCTTATCTCTCGGGACTTGGTGCTGGATGCTGAGTACCAGAGTCCTTTCAATATTGTAAACCACCAAAAATCGATTCTTTTGTTCAATGAGGCTACTTCATCATTGATACCAGCGTCCAAATTCAATATCAGCAATGAGAACATTGACCTTTTGGGAGAGCTTTTGAAATGGGTCACTTGGTGGCAGAAAGTACTTTCAAAGGTACTACAAGCTTTAAAGTGCCCTGCCCCACAACCATTGCTGGAGACGAAAACACGCCAATCGTCCAACTCGGCTATCATGGCCTCGCAAAGACGTACAAGCATCACGAGACGCCGCAGATCTTCTCAAAAGGGACATCGACCCAGTCTAAACGATTCCAGCATGATGAAAGACGGTGGCTTACAGCAGTTCACCCTCAATGAAGTAATGAGCCAAGCTGTCATCGAGGATGATGAACCTGGAGAAAAGACAGACCTTATTCTGGATGAGGATTCTGTCACACTGGGAAACGAACGTTGCGACAGCCAGATGGGTGTTGACGAGTGGAATGCATTCATGGAAAAATTCATGCAACTCGTCGTTGCTTAGAATTATCGAGGTCATTGCGAGTAAGATTTAGAATGTTTGGCAAAAAGCTTTTAGCGTTTGGTGCTGACATCCTTTTTGTCTATTAAGGCTCTACATATAGAAAGTGTACTTGAAGTAGCAATGTTGACATATCAGAAGGTTAGTTCAAAGTTGGTACTGTTGAGCAAGTCTGATACCCTGCGCTACGTTTTGCACACGAGCGTCGAGCTTGTAGCCCTGTTCAGCCAATTTTTCCATCTCTGAGGCAAATGACTTCAGAGGGACCCTGAAGCACTCGATGAACTCGTTTTCCTCGAGTTCAGTCTGAGGGTCCTGGTTCTCTGGGGCGGAAACATCGACTTCCACCGTCACCAAGGACAAATTGGTGTTGGTGAAGCCGGGGTCGTTGAAGATAATGGGGGTTTTGCTAACGATTTTTCCGGAGTAACCAGTTTCTTCTTTCAGCTCACGCAAGGCGGCCACATCCACAGATTCGTCCTTGTCAATAAGACCAGCAGGCATTTCAATGCACACGCCCTCCACTGGAGGTCTGAACTGTTTTTGAAGCAAAATTTCAGGTTCCTGGCCGGGGGTCTTCAGAATTGCAAGGATTCCGACCCCGTCAATTCCACCACTGTTCCTAGTTCTTCTAACAGCGCTGTCCCATTGTCTTTTGTTTCCAGCGGGATCCAAATACTCTAGCCTTTCCAAACCGATCCATTTGCAATCGTCAGCGTTAGACACCGGATATGCCTTCAAAAACTTGGCATCTTCTGGCTTACCTTTCGTACTCATGGTATAGCTCAAATTGCACCTTCCTAGAGATATAAACGGTCTATATAAGCTTATATAGCGTGCCGATACTGACCTTAACATTTTAAACCTTATCGTAAATATCATTGACAAGAACCAAACTCTTACTTACGAATATCACTTGGCTAAAATGTACATATAAATCTGACCAAAACACCAGTCATAACCAGGTCCTTGAGCCTCTTGACATTGCTACACGAACCCAGGTTAAAATGACCTCTGGAGAGTCGAGCATCATGCAAGTTAAGGCTCAAATTCAACAACATTTGGTGGAATCTGGGAGTTACGAACTGTAGGTAACATATACAATTATACATATACCGCGATGTTTAGGATACGAGCACAGCAAGGACACGGTCTCTGTGCTTTCCTGAATCAGGTGCTATGCGAGGGCTTATTTTGGTTCCCGTTTGACTGCGTTTCACATTTACTAACTGATCTGTGTAGGATATCAAACAATTTGAGCCAGAGACTGCTGCAGGAAGGATGGACCGATCAGGTCAAGAGCCTTGCCCGGGAAGAAATCAGCAACGATACAAGTGCCACTTTTACTCAAATTCTGGCAAAGGTTGAACCAAAGGCAAGCGGTATGTCATGATAGTTGCTGCCCTCTCTCTCTCTGGGGTCTAAAATTACAAAATACTAACGTCAACGGCTGCTGGCTAATGTGCAGAACTGGTGTCTGAATCTACAAAACAGGAGATCCTCGAAAAGATAAGAGGCTTTCTAAAGGAAATCGTCGATACCGAATAGAAATATCCGAGCAGGCCGTCACATTGTCGATATTGGCCAACTTTAGGCTATTGAAGATCAAGTTCTCGAGTCACTAGTCTTTTAATCTTCATATTTACCGCCTGGTGACCTCATAGACTCGTTTCCATTGTTTATTTTTTTATAGTTACATCCACTACATCTCAATCGTCATAATTTTCATCCTCTTCCACCTCGCGCACGGCTCTCTCGTTGATGGCGGGCTCGGAATCACCGTTTTGAGTGGACCCCGGTTCGTTGACCAAAGATTCTCGCTCCTCCTCTTTCCTGAGTTCAGCCTCTTCACGAAGCTTCTCAATGGCATCGGGGCTAGCTTTGATCACAGTCTGGTTCGCATCAACTGAATTAGTCTCTGACTGCACAGGTTGCTCTGGCTTGGATTCCGTAGTTCTATCAGGGGTGTGATTTTGAGCTTGGTCCTGTGCAGGTGGAACAACAACAGGTGGCTTGGTCTCCGTGCTTTTAGAAAGCTGCGCAACCGCAGCTGATGGAGTCGCGACAGCTGAGGTCTGAGCTGTCTCTGGATGCGGCTGAACTGGTCCTGCTTGTTCGCTTGTAGCCGCTACAGGCGTTTGTACCGGGGTTTGCGCTTGAGAGTGTTTAACTTCTGGCTCGAGCACAGAAGCAATGGAGACCGTTTTACTTCTAGCGAGGTAATGCGGTGATTGATTGGGCTGGCTCTTAGAGCTCGAAGCATTGCGCTTATGCTTCTTCTGATGAGAGCCCTCTGAAGCTACAGAGGTCTTGCGACTTCTAGCGGTCGTTGGGGTTGCTGACGAAGGAGTTGCAGCATTGGAAACAGCAGCATTGACAAGAGTGTCCATTCCTGCCTCTATAGGTCTTTTCTGGGGTAAGTTAGGAGCCGCAACGACGCTGTGAACAGTTGGGTTCATGATCTGAGGCAAGGTATTAGAGCCAGAGGCGGCTGCAGTTCCTTGAATGTCGTGAAATTGCCCCAACGTATTGGTGACAGGTGCTAAAGTAGACGATTGCGGAGCCTGTTGATACTGATGCTGCAAATGCACTGATGGGTGCGAATGCACAGCAAGCTGGGGTTGCGGTTGAGCTTGTGGTTGCGGTTGTGGCAATGGCTGAGGCGGAGTTGGTTGCTGATGGGAGGTCAACTGTTGAGACGGCACTGGGGCCTGCACATGTGCTTGCAAATGCGCAGGCAAAGATGTTTGCATCTGGCCTGGCAATTGAGGTTGAACATACATAGATGACTTGTTCAATGGATTGCCATCATCCGTAGATTGCAAAGTGGGTTGCAACATCACAGGTGGTGGGTTTGTGACAGTTAGAGGTTTGGGCTGAGGAGGCATTGCAGTTCCGCCATTTGATTGATTCGCCAGTTGTTCCGTGAGAGCTTCCAATCTTTCTCGAATATGCACATTATTTGTATCCAGCCGCGCCGCTTGCTTGTAAGCGTCTAGAGCGTCAGTTAGCTGGTTATTACAAGTTTCGTAAAGGGTTCCCAGATCGTACCAAACTTCACTGATATATGGATTGAGTCTGATAGCTCTTGTGTATGCATCAAGAGCGTCTCGATACTGCGAGATTTGGTAATATAGTACACCGATGGAACACCAGAAAATCGGGTTTCTGGAGTCTCGATTCACTGCGTGCTGGAAAGCATCGTATGCGGCAGTGTAGTCGTTTCTGACCATATGAATACGGCCCAGATGGTACCATGTGGTAGCATCCGTGGAGTCAGTCTCTAGAGATTTGAGCAACAGATTCAATGCAGTTTGCGTATCATAGAATTGAACATTTTGCATCCCGTACAAACATCCCAATTGCTGCAATACTTTTGCATGACGCTCGTTTTGTAGAAGGACATGCTCGTAAGCTTCACGAGCGCCTTGCCATTCACTCATACTTTCCAAGACGCTCCCAAGTTGGAACCACACATCCCACTCTTGAAGAGGAGCCGGTGGTTGTGTGAGAATGTATCTAAAACACTCCAAGGCCTGGTTCCACTTGCCCTGGTGCTTGTAAATGATGCCCAGTCGGAAATAGATCTCGTTGGCCTTTTCGAATTGGGGATCGAGCTCCAGCACTTTGGCGAACGCCTCTTCGGCGTAGTCTAGCGACCCGTACCGATCGTAAAGGATCCCGATCCCGTGCCACAACTTCGGTACGTTAGGGTTGCTCAAATGGTAGAGCGCTTGTTGGTACGCGGCGTAAGCACGCTGGAGATCGTCAAGCATCAGGTAGCAGTGACCTAGCGTAGCCCAGATGTCACCTAGCTCTGGATTCACCGATAACGCGCGCTGGTACAGTTCTGCAGCCCGTTGGAACATGTCGCGTGACCTGTATAGATGGGCAAGAGACGTGAGTGCCTTGGTGGACGAGGGATTGTACTGGAGCGTTGCGTCGTATGCCATGGCCGCCCGGTCTGCGTCACCGAGCGTTTCCGCTAGAGATGCAATAGAAAGCCAGGTTTCTGCCATGGACTGTGTCACGGGATCCGCCGGAAGCTGGGGCTGTACCTGGACTTGCACGATTGGCTGACCTGAAGTAGCGGCAGCAGTCGATGCTACTGTGGTAGCCAATTGTGCTGGGGAAGCCTGTTGTTGTTGTTGTTGTTGTTTTTGCTGTTGCTGTTGCTGTTGTTGCTGCTGCTGTGATGGCGGCTGGGGCTGGACGTGTCCCACGTCCAAGCCTGGACGCGTTGCCAAACCCACTTGGCCACCCACAGGTCCCAGCGTTCCATGTTGAGAGGGTAAAATGTTCATTTTTTCTGGTGACGCCGCTGCAAACCCCGTAACCGATAAGTTCGTATCACTGATAGACTCGCACACAGGCGTTTAAGCTCGTTTTTTCGAACAAACGCGTAGCTGACCCGGGTACTTCACAACCGCCAAAAGAATGACACTCGACACTGAACCGTTTTGGAGATTGCAAAAGCTCTGCGACCCACTGTGTCTCGATACTGCGGTCCCTTGAATTTTTGCCGCCTGATCTGTCGAAAATGCTCCGATTCCGCTGCTTTTTTGACCTGAAACCGCCTTTTTCAAACCTCAAGATCTGTTTTCTGGCTTCCACAATTGCTTAAGTCGCGATTAGAGTCGCTTTTAGCCCTCTATTTCCTATGTTTGAGTCCTTGTAAAACGTTGTTTTGATGAAGGTTAAAGTTAACTTTAAGAAAACAAATTTTACCAAAAATTTTCAGGGTAATGAACATCAACATAAGAATATCAACAGGACAACCATTGAAAAGACAATTTTAGAGCAAGGTTAGAGAACTATAAAAGAACTGAGGTTAATAGTTTCGGGATCTTTGAACTTCGGGTAAATTTTGTAGTTAAAATGGTCCAAAACGGACGTTCCGTTCTGGCGCGAGTGCCGGTGTCAGTGTAATTAGGTTTGTAGGATGGACGTGTCAGATTATTTCAAGAGTGACTAACGGGTCCCTGTTCGACGACGTCAGTTATAGGGAACGGCGTGGTGACGAAATCGGTGACCAACTGGTGAAGAGGTTGGTGACGAGGTCGGTGTTTTTCTGGGCAGGTGCAGGCACTGAAAAGGCAGTGAAAAAAAAGGCGTGCAAGAAACTGGTGCGGGAGCAGGGGAGACGAGTGGTAGTGTTGAGTTGGATTTGGGTATTTCATGTTTAGGTGGCGAAAATAGGACTTGGAGTGTGTCTGTCTGGTTTGTTCTTGATTTGATTTTTTTTCCCGACGCACGACAGAAGGTGTAGACATGTATATGCGTGAGGGTAGATAGAACAGTCTGAATTGTAGAGGTAGTCTGTATTGTAGAGGAACTTGGCATGTGAGAGATCCGGATTTGAATATTTACGTGCCTGTAGGTAGAAATGCATTTCCTGGTTTAAAGTGGTTAACCTTGCCTCTGCGAAATGCTAAAATATTGCCACAGTCGACGTATAAATTTAATGGCGTAGAAACCCACACTTACCATTCTCAATGCAGTTGGCAATTGCAATATTGAGTAGTTCAGAATGTTCAAAATGCTATTTGCTCCAGCTTTGAAATTTCAACAACTTCAGCGTAAAACTCCCAAGACCCTCACAAATGGGGTCTTGCCATTCTTTGTAACACACTTATATAGTCCAACTGGAGATACCTAAAATACTAAGATTGCTGCTTCATATCTGTCCATATCTATCCGTTATAAATTAGACTCCAGTTTTAACGATTCCTAAGCGTTGATCTGACGAAAATTGTATTGCTAACCTAGACAACCTTTCCCTTCTACAAGCTCAAAGGAACCGCCCAAGGACTTCCAAAACCAGCTGTCAAGTCCCACAAAATGCTAGAAGAAGGTGGATTTATCAGAAAGCCAAGAACTAGACGGAAGCGTCAAGTAGACTACGGGGAAACTAGTGATGGCGAATCGACTCAAGTTGATAAAGTAGAGGTTGATGGGAACTACGAAGACGAATATCTGGAAAACATCGAAGAAGATGGCAAAGAAGATACTCCGGTGGTGATAGAGTCGTCGTCCAGCGACGAGAAACCAAGACTAGAAGAAATCATGGAAATCAAAAGCGAACACGAGGATTTGGACGGGAACAACAAGAACAACGACAACAACGACAACGACGACAACGACGACGACGACGAAGACCTGCCTCTGTCGAAAACGACACGCAAGCGCAAAAATACAGACTCCGACAAACCTCCCAAGAAGAGAGCCCCCAAGACCAAAAGTGATGGAACCAAGAAAAAGGCCAAGAAAGAGACTAAGCCCAAGAAGCCAAAAACAACACCGTATGAGAGAAACACTGCTCGCCTGTTCGAGCACCATCCAGAGCTCAAAACAGTTTTCACCGATCTGGCAAACGCTCCCGCGTATAAGGCCAATCGGGCTCCTCAGCCTTCAGGAATGACTATCAAGCTCCTCCCGTTCCAGTTGGAAGGGCTTGACTGGCTCATCAAGCAGGAAGCAAGCATCTACCATGGAGGTGTGTTGGCAGACGAAATGGGTATGGGTAAGACGATCCAGACCATCGCGTTGCTTATGAACGACGTCTTCAAAAAGCCTTCTTTAGTCGTGGCTCCAACAGTCGCTCTGGTGCAATGGCGTAACGAGATCGAGCAGCACACTGGAGGACGTCTGAAAACCCATATTTTCCATGGTGCCAACCGGACCTCCAATGTGGGCGAGTTCAAAGACGTCGACGTACTTCTTACAACGTATTCTGTGCTGGAGTCTGTGTTTCGCAAACAGAACTACGGTTTCAAACGGAAAAATGGAGTCTACAAGGAACGCTCTCTTCTCCACAACATGAACTTCTACCGAGTTATCTTGGATGAGGCCCATAATATCAAGGATAGACAAAGCAATACAGCCAAAGCGGTCAATAATTTACTGACCGAGAAACGATGGTGTTTGACAGGTACGCCCTTGCAAAATAGGATCGGAGAAATGTACTCACTTATTCGCTTTCTCAACATCGATCCATTTTCCAAGTACTACTGCACCAAGTGCGATTGTTCTTCAAGAGAGTGGAAATTTAGTGATCATATGCATTGCGACAAGTGCGCTCACGTAGTGATGCAACACACCAATTTCTTTAACCACTTCGCGCTCAAGAACATTCAAAAACATGGGATGGAAGGCCCAGGTCGCGAATCCTTCAACAATATCCAGCTTCTTTTGAAAAACGTCATGCTACGAAGAACCAAAGTCGAAAGAGCTGACGACTTGGGTCTGCCTCCCAGAATTGTAACTGTACGGCGAGACTTCTTTAATGAAGAAGAAAAAGATCTGTATCGAAGCTTGTACACGGATATCAAGAGAAAATTCAACTCTTACGTGGAAGAAGGTGTTGTTCTCAATAACTACGCCAATATCTTTACTTTGATCACCAGGATGAGACAATTGGCAGACCACCCTGATCTAGTTTTGAAGAGAATGAAAAACGGCAAAGGTTACGATGACAGTGTCATCGTGTGTCAATTATGTGACGATGAAGCAGAAGAACCAATTGAGTCGAAATGCCACCACCAATTCTGTCGCCTTTGTATCAAAGAATATATCGAATCCTTCATGGAAAATTCCGAAAAACTGACCTGTCCAGTTTGCCATATCGCCCTCAGCATAGATCTTTCTCAGCCTGCCTTAGAATACACCGGTGGAATACACACCAAACACAGTATCGTGGACCGGCTGAACGTCAAAGGCAACTGGCGATCGTCTACCAAGATCGAAGCTTTAGTCGAAGAATTGTACAACTTGCGAAGCGACCGCAGAACCATCAAGTCCATCGTATTCTCGCAGTTTACCAGTATGTTGGATCTTGTGGAATGGAGATTAAAGAGAGCTGGGTTCAAAACCGTAAAGCTACAGGGTAGCATGACTCCCACTCAGCGAGACCAAACCATCAAATATTTCATGGAGGATATCCACTGCGAAGTGTTTCTGGTAAGTTTGAAAGCCGGTGGTGTAGCTTTGAATTTATGCGAAGCTTCACAAGTGTTCATCTTAGACCCTTGGTGGAACCCCAGTGTAGAGTGGCAGAGTGGAGATAGAGTGCATAGAATTGGACAATACAGACCTGTAAAGATAACGAGGTTTTGCATTGAGGACAGTATTGAATCAAGAATTATAGAATTGCAAGAAAAGAAGGCTAATATGATTCACGCCACGATAAGTCATGATGACGCCGCTATTAACAAGTTGACCCCAGGAGACTTGCAGTTCTTGTTCAATAATTAGGTTAATTAAAAGACGTCTCAGCGCTAGTCCTGCACGCGGTATGGACGGTAAATAAGTTGAAAGGAACTATTAAAATCTATCTGACATTATCATTATTTCAATGGAGCGGAACTGCCACGAGCGCCAGCACCAGAGGAAACTAGCTCAATTTGTTGTTCAGACAAAGTGATTTCGGGTATTGGCAGGGCCCCCGATTGTGGAGGTGGAGGTAGGAAGCCGACCTTGTTCAAGAAAGCGATGTAGATCCCGATCTGTTCAGATGTAGCACCTTTGCCGCCTGATGCGTCTTCTCCAGTCCAGTTCGTATCCTTTTTCAAGGAAATGACTGCATTAGAGTCATCAAGTTCTGGTGCTTTAGTGTTCTCTGGTAGGTTGTCTAAGACCATGTGCAGAAGTGGGTATAGAGCATTCTCTTCTTGACGTCCAATAACAGACAGTTCTAGGGACTTCCTCCATTCATCGTAGCTTTCCACTTCCACAGGGTAGCCGTATTGCTTCAACTCGTTCAAGTAGTCCCTGAAGAGACAACGTGGGTGAGCGGTAACATGGGCAACCTCCAAAGAGTTTTCCGATGGTGGATAGAACCCAGCCGCAGTGACCACTCTGGCCACTTGATCAACAGGAACCATGTTGACAGTATTTCTGATGTCTGGGATTTTACCCAACTGGACAACACCCTTCAGACATCTCAATAAAAAGTCATCGGTGTTTGAGGAACCGTTACTGGAAGCTCCCGTAACATAGCCCGGTCTCACAATACAACCGCGTAGACCACGTTCACCGGCACGTCTAATGATGTATTCCGCAGCCCATTTGGATTGACCGTAACCGCCGCCCAGCCCTGTTGATGAGCCCATTAGATCATCGCTTTCAAGCAAGCCTTTACCTTCTGCAGCTAGTTTGTCAGATAGTTCAAAGTAGTGTGGGGTGTCAATCGTAGACGTGGAGGAAACAAAGGTGAAGTACTTGGCCTTAGAACCGCTAGACGCAAGATTCATCACGTTAATAGTAGAAATGACGTTTGCGTCTCTTAGTTTGGCATAAGGATAAACCCAATGAACTAGAGCACCATTGTGAATAATGACATCTATCTCGTTCGTCAGCTTGCCCCATGCTGTGTTGTCAAGCCCGAATTGAGGTTTCGATAAATCTCCCAGAACAACTTCGATGCGAGAGGCAAAGGCATCAGACCAAGTGCCATACACAATTCCTGCTTTTTTTAGGCGGTCCATTCCCGCAGGTCCATCCTTAGCGCGAACATGTGCAAACACTTTAATTTTACGAGAAGTAGTTGGTCTGTTGAGGAGATCCGCCAAAATGTAAGACCCCAAGAACCCTGTCACACCTGTAACGAACACGTTCAACGTGTCGGGGTTAAAACCATCGAGAGTGACACGCGAAGGGTAGCTATCAGGCAGCATAGACTTGGCAAGCTCTTTTGCATCTCCATAATAGTCTGCAGTCACCGCAGCCTCGGAAGAAGGACTTTCCGATGACGCTCTGGCCCTCGCTACTTCGTTTGCGAAAAGCTTGATTGTCGGGTATTTGAAGACTGTTCCTAGAGGGAGTTCAACGTGAAGCTGTGTTCTCAAAGTGAAAATCATCTTTGTGGCCAAAATAGAGTGTCCACCTAGATCGAAGAAAGAGTCGTCTGGGGTAACGGTGGCAGGTCTGGTTGGCAAAACCGCTAGCCACAGGTCACGAACTTCGCGTTCTGTGTCGGAAAATCCAGAGTCATCAATTTCAATAGATGAGTTGTCAGCAGCGAGTGCTAATTGCTTTGAGGTTGGGAACTGAAGCTTCGGTTTGTCAACCTTACCATTTGGATTCAAGGGCAATTTCTCAAGGACAACGACGATGGTTGGAATAGCGTAACTTGCTAGGCGCTTCTTCAAAAAGGACTTAATATCTTGTGTTAGTGATCTGTACTTAACTAGACCCTTAACAACAGAATCTTTGGAGACATCCTCTGAGATTTCCGACTCAAACTTAGAAAGATCGTCTCCTTTGTCGAATCTTGGGACCATGAAAGTAATAAGGGTTGGTTCATTGTCACTGTTACGGCGCACCAAAGTGATGTTTTCGCCCACAAGATGGTGCTGTGAAATATGGGTATCGATTTCACCGAGCTCTATTCTGAAGCCACGAATTTTGACCTGGTCATCAGCACGCCCGCAACATTCACAGTTACCATCTGGGGTGTAACGACCCAAATCACCAGTTCTGTATAGACGATCACGAGGGCCGTACCAGAACTGTCTCCATGGTTCGCCATTGCTCTTATCTAGAGAGTCCCAGTGACCAGGTTCCACAAACCAATTTGAGACGAACTTTTCCTTGTTCAAATCTGGTAGCCCGCGGTAACCTTCGGCCAAACCTCCAGCTCTGACGTATATTTCACCAATTTCTCCGACGCCGCATATCTGAGTTCTGTCATTACGATTTACGACCAGCAGTTGAACGTTAAGCATACCCTTTCCTGCAGGCATGACATCTTTCAAAGATTTCAAGAATAGCGGGTCATCAGACCGTGACTTGACCTCGTAAAAAGACACGGCTCTTTGAGTCTCAGTGGTACCATACATGTTTACGATACGAACGTTCTCGGCCAAGGTCTGAAGTCTCAAACAATCCCTCTTGGTGAGAATGTCACCGACGAAAAAGGCATGGTGCAATGAAGGGAAAGGAGTGACTGCCTGAGCAGTGAGAAGTTGACCCATGGCTGGAGTCAAGTGCGTAACAGTTGCTTCATACTTGCCCATCCAGTCAGCCAACTGACCAGGTGTACCAATATCATCCTCAGTGGGCACCAAGAGTTGAGCTCCCAGAAACAAAGGTGTGAACATATCTCTTTGAATTGGATCGTGTGCAATACCTGAAAGCATGGTAAACTTATCAGACTCGGACAGGTTGAATTGCTGAGACATCCACTTGAAGTAGTACGCAAGAGAAAAATGTCTACCGAGAACACCTTTAGGAATACCCTCAGAGCCAGAAGTGAAAGACAGTGTAGGGTTGCTGTCGGGGCCCACTACCACGCCAGAACGGGTGTCCTTGAGGGACTCGAATTTGGCCAAGCAATCCTCACTGGAGCCTGGTAGAGCTCCACCGTCAACCAAACCATTAGCCTGGATTGCAATCGACGGTATTCTTGAAATGACATCCAGTTCGTTCGATATGTAGTCTTCCACTAGCTGGTCCAATTGGCCAGCGGCACGGATCACGATCAAACCCTTGGGCTTGGCAACGCCGAGGTAGATGGTTTGTCTTGCAGGTGGATATGCTGGGTCGATGACGGAGAAGGTTGCGCCTGCCTTGAGCACACCCATCACACAGACCATGAGGTCGACACCTCTAGAGGAGTAAATCATCACTACGTCTCCTCTTTTGATGCCGGTCCTGATCAAATAGTGAGCAACTATGTTGGAAGCCCTATTGATGTCTTGGTAAGTGAAAACACGAGGCTGAGCACTACTCGTAAGTCCTTGGGTTTCCACAACACAGGTTCTGTCTGGGAACTTGGCCGCATTGTCTTGAAAAATGTCATGGATACATCCTGCAAAATCGCACCATCCAAGGTTTTTAGTGGGGTCTGGCAAAGCTGACTCGCTGCCGGGGGTAATCAGCGACACCTTGGTTATCGTGTTAGAAGTGTCCTGCAGCACTGCTGATGTGAACTGGCTAAATTGGGACAGTAGGATTTCGATTCTGAGGTCGGAGAAGAGAAGTCCGTTGTAGACTATACTCAGCGTGGAGCCACCTTGCAAGTTCAAAGCCAAGTCTAGCAGCTGGGTTTTGTATTGGTTCTCGAGCGAAAATTCTGGCTGATCTTGAACCAATCCACAACGGAAGAAGTGTGGAGGGGTGTCTTTGTCCTGGGATTCTTGGACGTGGCGAGACAGTTCATCCAATGAGACAGCTGGAAGCCGTTCGACACGTTGCAGTTGCTGCGTGATAGTAGCACACAGCTCTGCAAAAGTCCATGTAGGCTGTATTGTGAATCTGAGCACTCTGTTTTCACGAACCAGCAGCACTATATCATCGTCGCCCGTAAGTCTGAACAAAAGAGAAGCCCAAACGGCCAAAACCAAAATGTAATTATCCTGTCCGTGAGGCAATTCCAGCTGCGGCAAATGGATGCATTTTTCGTGCTGTTTGACCAGAGGATCGCTGTGAGGGCGTAAAAAATCGTGAGGTAAGACGCTAAGAGTAGGGTTTTCGAGCTCCTGAGTCCACACCAGTAGTTCGGACATCTTTCGCAATGAAAAAAGCAGCTCGTTGTAGCAATTAAAAAGAGAGAGTGAGAGTGAGAGTGAGAGTCCCAGAAGAACGATGCCTTCACAACGTTCGCGGTTTATATGGAGCCAGCTAGCTTTTCGATACTGATGATTCAACAGGATTTTTTTCGACGCTGCAAAATTCCAATGGGAATGAAAAGGTTAAGACCGGTGCAGAAACGTGAGTTGTGGCAGCCGCTGTCGCCGTCAAGTGACGTGTGAGTCACACGTCTGGGAGAAGAGATGGGAGACGAGAGGGAAATGAGAAATGAGAAATGAGAAATGAGAGAGACGTGAAATGAGAGACTGGAGGGGAACTCGGGCACTAAACTGAAAGTTCGCTAAATAATGTGAATGATCGACAATGGCACTGCAATTGTGAGTGTGTGCTGGTTGCTGCTCCTGATTGATGCGAAAAAAGATGCTTTGGGCCCTGTGTTTTGAGCTTTGGGGGTCGAAACAAATGGCGAAAACCAAACACAGCCGTTGAGACAAGCTGATGGGAGGCTGTGAAGAGGTGTGACGATCCTGGTAATATCAGAAGGAGGCCACCTTTCTGATCACAACGCTTGGATTTGCACGGGCGTGGTCTTGGATCTGTGTGAAATTAGCCGCCCATCGCAGGTTCAAAAATGCGTGTTTCTGGGCGGAAAAGGCTCGCGAAACGGGGCCACGACAACGTAAGTCCACCATGGCGTGTTGGGAAGCTCGTGGGAGCGAGCTTACAGACCGATTGCGCTTACTTTTGGTCTTGTCTATGAAGTTGAAGTAGTGGTTCGAGGCAGAGGTCCTTCCTGTACTGGGGGAGAAGAGCGTTATAAGCGCGTCCATATCACATAATACGAACTTGGTTTTCCCGATGTTTCCAATATTGACCAAAAACCAAGCGCGGAAGGCGCAAATCAAGCTACCGAGATGGAAGCGACATTAGGTGAGTTTTTGTCGTTTTTTAACGTTTTTTAACGATTTTTCGACCGGTTTTTTGACGTTTTTTTGGCAATTTTGGTGTTTTTTTGTCGACAACTCAATTTTTTCGCCAGAAAAGCCGAAGTTTCACTGCTGGAATACCAATACAGTACTAGCACCAGAAATCGAGCCATAAGGCCTGCTTCTAAGCCAATAAGTTCACATTTGTAAGTAGATAAATCGTAAAAAACTACCGTACAAAACGATGCACCGTACAAAACTACACAAAACTTACTACGAAAAACCGTTCACCCCATTTTGAAGCCTTCAAAGGCGTACCCTATCAGCTCTGGCAGCACATTATACACTCTCACTAACCCCACACTCTCCCACCTTTATTCCCCACGAATCCCATCCGCGTATCATCTTTCCTCTCGTTTTTCCATTTTTTTCCACGCTTACACGCGAAATCGTCGCTGTACTATAAAAGGGGCATGGTAAAAATCACGAAAGTTGGGAAAACCTTCAAGTTTTCGGTCAACTTTGTAGCAACACAACAAACATCTGTCAATTTGTGTTGAGAAGTGAGTTTCGAAGCACCAATTGAGCGTGAAATCTAGTCAAATTTGAAATTTGGTTGTATTAGCTGTTAAAATTGTGCAATTTTACCCACTTATAGTGACCCAATTTCTTGTTTAAAGGAACAGTTTTTGTCATTGAAGGAAATAGCTTGAAAGCAGAGAAAAATGTCAGCCGCTGTGACCGAGAACCATACTGAAAAGACCACCGTGGAGGAGGTGAAGCCCGTGGAGGTCGTGGATGTGCCCAGAACCATTGTGGACCCTGAAACGACGATTTTCGTCGGTAACGTGGCACGCGAGTGCGAAGAATCGGACTTGGCTGCAGTGTTTGCAGAAGACGTGGAAGTGGAAATCCCTTCGGCCAAGAACGGGAAATCGTTCAAGCAGCGCTACGCGTTCGTCAAGTTCCCTAGCAAGATCGATTTCGACGCCATCAAGGCCAAGTACGACAAAACCGTCGTCAAGGACAGAGGCATTTACATCAGACGCGCCCAAACCGAGGAGGAGCGTGACGCCAAACGCAAGGCAAGAATCAGCAAGCCCAGAAAACAGCGCGCTGAGCGTGCCAGTGCCAACGCCAACGCCAATGGCGTCCAGGACGAGGGTGCCAGTGGTGAACCCGACGCTGAGACCTCCGCAGCCGACAGAAAACCGGCCAGATCTGCGATCCCCGCGCCTCCCAAGAGACAAGAGAGAACCAGAGCGCCTCTGGAGTCTATGGAGAGAACCACAGACACGCTGTACGTCAACAACGTGCCCTACATGGCGACCAAAGAGCAGATAGCCGAGTTTTTTGGCACCAGCCCGGAACTCGTCGTTATGCCGCTCAGAAGAATGCGTAACGTGAAAACCAAACAGTACTTTTACTCCAAGAAGATGAACAGAGGTATCGCCTTCGTCACATTCGAAAACTGCAGCGATATCGCACAGAAGGTGAACGACTTCCAGGGAAAGTCCTTCAACGATCGCGAACTTGCCGTTGACGTTGCTGCTTTGAAACCCGCCCGCGAAAACGCTCCAGCGCTAAAACACGACGGCGAGTCCCAGGAACCTGTTCCTGAATCGACCGCAGCCTAAGCAGCTTTTTTTTTCTCCCAGCCAAGTTGCTAACGTTTAATGATTTACTACTGCAACAACATTGCAATTGGCTTTCCACACATCTGTCAGGATTTTGGAAAAGCTTGTAACGAATTGTACATAACATTTTAACTGCCATTACACACTCAAAAAAGCACTACTCATCAGTTCTTTGAACTTACCACGTATTTTTTCTACTCTATAATAGCCTTCTAGCATCAACCTCTTAATATGCCTAATTCGATGATATCAATTAGCTTGTTCACAGTTTGACACCAGAAAGTCCTCAAAACACGACATAGGACGGGCAACTGTGTGCCACAAATGGGCGACCTAAGTTTAAAGACCATTAAGTTCATAAATGCTCAGTTGTTGGGTCGCAAACGACCCACTATCGAAGTAGTGGCCGAAGATCAAACAGCACTGGAGAGTTCACCAGTAAGCATGACATTTTTGAGTACAGAGACCACAGAGGAGCGTGAACAGGTGCTAGCAGACTGCCAGGACCTCTATGAAAGCTTAAAAAACACTGAAGTTACGCTGTTGAAGGAATTTCATAAGAAGTATCTGGATTATCCGTTCAACAACGCGCTTCCAAAACAAATGAAGGCATTGGATGCGTCCCAGCCGTGGATTTTGTACTGGATCGCATGTTCACTGCGTCTGATGGACAAGACGTGGCTGGGAGAGCCGGTGCAGCGTAAGATATACGCCAAGATTTTCGCAGCATCGCTGGAAAAGGGTCCTTTCTGTGGTGGAATGGGCCAGGATCCACATTTAGTATGTACTTACGCTGCAATCAATTCCTTGGCGCTCTGTGACAGCGTTGATGACTGTTGGAGTCAAATTAATCGTCAAGCGATCTACGACTGGCTTCTTTCATTGAAATGTAGTAATAGTGGCTTCAAGACAGGCGTTGCAGTGGGCGAATGCGACTCCAGATCTACCTACTGTGCGCTCAGCGTTGCCAAAATGCTGAATATTCTTACTACAGAGCTTTGTGAAGGTGTCGAGGGTTTTTTGCTAGGATGTCAAACGTATGAGGGCGGGTTTGGCGCATGTCCTCAAGAAGACGAAGCACACGGAGGCTACACGTTCTGCGCTACAGCAGGATTATCCATTCTCAACTCCTTGCACAAATGTAACATTCTCAGGCTCGCAGAGTGGTGCAGTGCCCGCCAAACGGCAGAAGAGAAGGGGTTTTCCGGTAGAAGCAACAAGCTGGTAGACGGCTGCTACAGCTATTGGGTGGGCGCCGTAAACTCTCTTTTGGAGATTCACGGCTATGGGTCGTTCATTGATAAGGGTGCGCTACAAGAATACATATTAAAGTGCTGCCAATCTTCCGAGAGACCTGGTCTGCGAGACAAGCCGGGAAAATCACCAGACTACTACCACACAACTTACGTGCTAATGGGGTTTTCGCTTACAGAACATTTGTTAGAAGTCACAAAGCAGACTGAACCCATAAGTGTGAAATCCACCACAAACGGCTTTCAATTGGAACCCGTGAACCCTGTTTTCGGGCTTCCTGCTGAAGATGTGACCAAGTTTATTGATTTTATGTCGCAGCTGCCTCAAGTCTGCTAAGACTAAATCAGAGACTAGTTTTGCCCGATGTCGAAGTTTCGAGCCTGGGAGACGAGACAGGGAGTAAGGCCAAAATATGAAGAGCCTCATTAGCTCAAACCATTCGTCATCCCAGCTGAGACCAACACACAACCTGATTGATTGTTCCAATTGAGGAAAACATATTCACTCGGCACATTACGGCAACCCAGAGGTAATAAGAAAGGTGATCGTGGACTGACAGCTTCAGTACAATTATTGTCCCGTTGAATTTCGTAAAACACAACTTCGCAACGTATTCCTGGGGTCGATTCGATTAAATCACTTCGAGTTAAAGCTTTCAATCTTTGACTATTTCACGATTTTGAAATTTGTAAACTCCTGCAAGAACATCAACACTAACAACGATAGTCAAATATAACTCACCAAACCATCTCACAGCGACCCAAATCCGCTACAAAATTCAACAGGAGCAGCCGTCCGTCAGTGACCTTTACCTGAAATAGGTTGGTCCATCTTTAACACGTGATCTAGTTAGCGGTGTCTATAATCATATAAATGAGCTCTAAAAATGTAGAACACTTAGGGTCAGATTAAGTCAAAGTTTCAAGCGCTTTCTGTCTCAGTTTCACCGCCGATATAGCTGGTGATATGGATTACATTCAACGTTTGCTTCGGCCAGGAGGAAACCCTCAGTTCCAGCCAATTCCCGGTTCGTTTCCTGCCACTGAGCCCGAACAATCCTATACACCCGATGCCAGTATAACAAGAACCTCCTTAGAAAAAGTGGCCAAGACCTGCCTCAAAGTTCCCCTTTTATTAATTTACTACGCCCTGGCAGCACTCATATCGCTTCTCAGCGTGCTGCGACCTTTGAACAAACTGTGGTCTTTTTACGACCGCAAGAAGAAGAAGACGCTCAATCATGAAGACGCCTTGTCATCTCTTCTGGAAAACTTAAGTGTAGAACACAGTTTCTTGCTGACCAAAAATTCCATTGAAGAGACCAGTTTGGAAAACTCGTTCAGCTTTGCTTCTATCTACGGCACAGAGGACGGAACCCTTACCACGCATCTCCTCCCTTCTTATGCGAAACTATTGCAATCGACTTCAGCGCAGGGCAAATTTGGCATCGTTTATCTTCACGATTCGCTGCTAGACAACTGTGGCCACTGTCTAGGAGCTCTATGCTCTGAAAAATTCGTCAACATGGCTCGCAAGTATGAAGTCTTTATTTGGATGGGAGACATAACCACCCCAGAAGGTCTGCAGGTTGCAAATGGCTTGAAAGTTAGAAAACTACCTTTCATCGGACTTCTGGCTCCTAAACCTGGCTACAAAATACAAGTTATCGATACGCTCGAAGGCGAGCACTCGAGTTGCTCTTTGGATTCCTTCGAGGCTAACATGGCCAAGTTTTACCCTAGACTCATCGAGTTGCGTCAACAGCGCCAAAATATAGAGCTTCAGAGACTCATACGTGAACAGCAAGACTCTCGGTATCAAGCGTCACTCCGGCAGGACCAGGGAAACACTCGCAGAAGGGAGGCCGAAGAGGCCGATCAGAGAAGACAACAAAATGAGGTAAGACAAAAACAACAGTGGCTTTCTTGGCGAAGAAAGACCCTCGCTCAAGAGCCGTCAAGCTTCGAAACTTCATGTAGGGTGGCTATCCGGATTGCGGACGTGGGTCGCGTTGTGCGCAACTTTGATGCCAATCTTCCAATCGAGGAGATCTACGCATTTGTAGAGCTAACCCGTCTGGGTCTGCTCAATGATTCGCCTGATGCAAATCAAACAGAGAGCAGAAAGCCTGATTACGAATACAAGTATCCGTTCCAACTCAGAACGCCCGTACCGAGAGTCGATTTGGACCCACAGTCCACAATCAAAGACGTCGATGAGATCTACCCATCAGGCAACATCGTCATGGAGTTCATTACTGCAGATTGATTTTCTTAAATACATGAATAAAATCGACAAAACGTGGTAATTCATTAATACGTTTCTCTAGTGGTTTACTTTCGCAAGGATTTCTTGGCCTTTTTGTTCTTCTTCTTCTTCACAAGACCAACCATGCCTGATTTGATCGCTGATGAATAGTCCTTCCAAAACTTGTCTAGCTGTTCCGCTTTTACCACTGTGGAATATTTAACGAGGGTTTCCCCATGGCTTTTTTTGATACGCACTAATACGTCGTACTGTTTGTTGTGTGCTTCCTCTGGGATAATTGTAAACTTGGCTTTCCTTGATACATCAGAAAGTGGTAGATCCCTGGAGTTGAACTCCTCGTTTCCCTCTACCACGTCTCTTTCAACCAATCTTTTCACTGATAAGTTAACGGACTTTTTTGCCGCATTAGCCTCTTCAAAGACCGCGGGCACAATCTTTAGAAATTCCTCCGGTAGTAGACGGCTTGATTGACTCATTTCAAAGGCTGTGTGTGCTGGGATAAGTGAGTTTTCGACAAATCGTGTTCTATCGATCTGGTATAGTTGGTTTACACTGTGATGTCGAAGAAATAGACAGCACTTCACACGAAGGTAAGTTCATTTAATGGATTTCGACGACGTCAGTGTTGAAGTTTAGTGATGATCGGCACGGGGGGGGGGGGGGGTTTAATTGTATGGAGCTTTCACAATTGGATCCGCGGTCTACTTTTCAATCCCAGTTGGGGAGATCCCGGTTTTTTTATTTTCGTGATGATGTTTGTTAGGTCTAGGGACCATGGCAAAGAAAAATGGATTCAATAGTGTATAAAAAAAGCTGGAAATTATATGAATGGTAGAGCAATATTGCTTATTTGTCTCTCAGTCCTTCTCTCGAGCCCGTTTATGGCAGCCTACAAAAGTAGTGATTATGGTATTACAGCATCGCGACAGAGTGGTACAAAGTGACAAGTATATTTCTTTGGCCATGTAGACGTCTCGACGATGTCATGGATGGCTAAGTTTACGCTTTTCCAACTAGCGACGCATGTCATTCTTTTAACACGAGTTCAAGAACGATTTGATTTTAAGAGCCCCGATCCAGAGATTCATTGTAATATTTTGAATTATCTTTATTTCGTTTCACGCCAAGATCAGTGAACCGGTTACGCAGACGTGCGAATGGTATTACTGTGACGAGGACACCACATCGCAATTCATTTATCAACACCAAAATGCCAGTTTTCTCCCTTCCCTACTTTTCCTCTTTTACTCTCGATAAAGTAACAGGCCAGGACCTGCAACCTTCACACACCTCATCTGCCAACTACAACAATGACACCGGCTACCTTTTCACGATCATTTACGCCTCGAAAATAGCCCATCACGGAAAGATGAAGCCATTTTACAGTTTGTGAGTCCATTGGTGCCCGAAACATTCAAGAGAATCAGACTTCTTGCATTATTCTAAACCATTGCTCACTGTGATATAAAACGAGCCGGGAAAGCAGAAATAAAACCGTTTTTTCCCTGTTTGTCGGTTGAAAATTACTCATGGCATAAACATCACCTAGCAAGTCACCACAGGTATCTAAATCGTCTTGTCTATGAACTCAGATGGGTTCTTTATACTGTACTGTATATATAATAGTCAAAAAAGTTCATTAATCTTATAAAGTTGACTATCCATCCCAAAAAAGTGGAGACTGAAAGACCAATAAAACAGAGTATAAAAGGACTCCTTAAACGCCCAGAGTGCCATGTTCTTTGCTTACAGTATTTGGAGGTTAATTGATGTGTTTTTTTCGAGTACCTGGCGTTTTTGAGGCGGTACGAAATCGAAGTTCAGCGGCAAACGCGATCTTCGTTCAGATTATATCTTCGACAGCTGAAGCTTTGAAGTCGAATGAATTGTGAGTAGAAAGGCTTACGCAAAGCAGTATTAACTGTGTACAAAACATTTTATGGCTCGATCCTCGAGAATTGTGTTTTTTTGAACTACGGTAAAATGCGTATGTATAAAAACACATCTGACGTGCTGAGAGTGTGGGCTTAACGCAAAAATTACCTTCCAAGAGACATCCAACTACTATAGTGAACGCCAAGGTGAGACTATATCAAAGAGAGAGACAGTTCCCATTGAACTTTGAATTTCATCATCTTTTTCCAATCACATCTGTGCATAGCGTATCTTTAGCAACAAGCTGAAGAAATTGCCCTATATGCGGTCTCAAATCATGAGACAACGGCTCCACCAGTCCTTTCACCATCCTCAAGCTCAAATCTAGTCCATTGTCGAATTATAGCCAAAAAAAAGGGTCAAAACCTGCAGGCACCGAGTGTTGAAGCGCGACTTCAACACAGTTACTTGAATTCAAAGCATAATTTTGGAGTACCAAGAGAGTCCCACATTCAATACCGAGTGTTTTCCTCAAACTTCTCGCCTGTTGTCGGCTTTGCCCGCGTGTGAATAGTTAAATCGCTTCACACTAAAATGGCTTATCTAATCGATCTACCACTGCGATAACGAAAAAGGTCGGATTTGATGGGACTCCTAATTCTCGTTGCTACTTCCACAAGATCTCAGGGTATCTGAGGCCAGGTAGTTTCGTGATTCTGAGCAACAAAGCGCGTTCTTAAGGGCACTTTTGACCACTTTACCATTCGAAAATACACATTTACAGAAAATACCTTCCCCTGAAGCTCGAATACCACTCATGCCACCGCCGCCTTCAAGAGTTCAGCTGCTTAGCTGTTTCATTGGAAGCAACATCGTTGCGCTAGGAGGCGGGACGCCTTATTTGTTCAGTTTCTACGCCCCAGAATTGCTAACGAGATGTAAAATTCCAATTGCAAAGTCAAGCACCTTGTCGCTTTCATTGACGCTTGGATCTGGGGCTTTGGGTTTCGTTGCAGGAGTGGTGATTGACAGAAAATCACCACAAGTCTCGTGCGGCATAGGTGCCTTCTGTACGTTTATGGCATACTTGATTCTGAGGACATGCTATGTACGACAGATTTCGAGCGTTGGGCTCATATCCGCGGCGTTAATCTTGATCGGTTTTGGCTCGGTCTCAGGGTACTACGCATCCGTAAAATGCTGTACAACCAACTTCCCTCGCCATAGAGGCACTGCCGGCGCCTTCCCAGTGTCACTTTATGCCCTTGCAGGACTGTTGTATTCATCCCTGTGCGCGCGGTTGTTCAAAGATCGTATGGATGCAGTCTTCACGTTTTTGATGTATACGTGTTCTGCTATGATTTTGACCGGTTGCTTTACCTTGAGGATTCACAAACCACCGGTCAAAGTCAAAAGACGTACCTACTCCTCAATAGCGTCAGATGAAAGCTCTTATTCAAACGCCACACATGCACATTCTGCGGCTGGTACCGCACCTGCTACAGAACCTATTAATATTCAAACCTTGTCATCGCACCGCGACTCCCGTGGTTCCTTAAGCAACTTCAAATTCGCCATGAAGCGGTCAGCATCTCGCATATCGTCTTCGACAGATTCTTTACTTTCATTTGCCTCGAGTCATAATAGATCGGACTCCTTTATTTGGGCCAAAGAGCTTCCTGGATCTTTGTCTTTCTGGGGATGGGGCAAAGCCCGACCAACCGATTCTGATAACTCGCGGCCCATCCCAAAAAGAGTGGAAAATGCAGCTTTTCAAGAGCCAGATCGCTCCCAGGTCATGCCAATAACACCTACAGACGGCTCACAAGCTCCCAGAACGCCTGCCGCTGCAGGCAGGCGTGATTCGTTGCTTAAATTCTCCCCTCACTCTTCACCAAGTCAAGAGCTACGAGCAGACGGAATTGATCTAGAGGCCGAACTTGAGCATGAACCTTCTTTCAGAGACAGTCGCCTTTATAAGTCTGTCACGCAACCAAAATTCATCGCTTACTACCTCATATTGGCACTTCTTCAGGGAATAGGTCAAACCTATATCTTTTCGGTTGGATTTGTCGTTGAAGCATTAGCTCATTCGCATCCCAGTTCTGAAATTAACGTCAAGGCTATTCAATCCCTACAGGTTTCAATTATATCTATAATGTCGTTTGCGGGCAGGATTTGCGCAGGCCCTGTTTCCGATCTGCTCGTAAAACGAGCAAAAGCACAAAGAGAATGGTGCATTTTGATCGCGTGCGGACTGATGATTTATGGTTCCAAGCAAATTTTAGCGGATATCGTGTCCATTAAAGTTCCTCATGGTTTGCAAAGTACCGACTTCATACAAAATGTGTCATGCGCATCTTTCATTTTTGGATTTGCATTCGGCATTACATTTGGAACTTTCCCTGCCATTATAGCCGATCAGTTTGGAACCGATGGGTTCAGCACCATCTGGGGCCTTTTCACAACTGGTGGTATTGCAACGGTCAAGTACTTTTCCGCTGTCTTTGCGAATGACCTCTCGCGCAACACCAGTCCTGGCGATACAATCTGCGATAAGGGCTCTATGTGCTATGCACATGCATTTCGAGTCGATGCCAAATTTGCAGTTGGTGTAAGTTTACTGAGCCTGGTTCTCATCACTGTCAAATATGTCAACAAGAAAAGCACTGCCAAACGTTTCGAAAGTAATGGCGTCTTTATCTTGGATGAAGACGAAGATTTACTGGATGATTAAATCGAGGGGAAGAGTAGAAAATTGCTTCTTTCGAGAAAGTAGTTGGGAATGTCTTCTTAAATTTGAAGTGATTCACTTGGCCAATAGACTAAATAATTAAAGACTATAGCATATCCGTATGGGAATGATGTTCAACACTTAGAACCGACCCGCCGTTTTGGAGAAGATCTTTGACGGCATCGTGAGGAATTTCGTTTCCGTTTTGATCAACGAATTTTTTAAGACCTGGGGAAGCCATGATGGCATCGACATCAAAGGCCTCTTCGCCACCGGCCTGAGAGTTTTGGTTTGTAGAAGGGTCCTCTTGAGCACCCGTTGGTTTGGAAACAGCGTCTGCGGCAATCGTCTTCGATGCGTGAAGGGCCTCTAGCGCCTGCTGGCTTTCAAGATTCTTATACTCTTCATATGTGGACAAAAAGTTCTGACAAGGGTAGTCCCAGCCCGTCAACCACTGAGACTTTTTGCACAAGTCCTTGGTCCATGGTGTTCCATATATCAATGGACGGTAGGTGAAGAAGAAGTATAACACGCTACCAAGGAACGCACTCACAATCGCGTACCCGTAAATTTCTCTCCTCCTGAAGTTATACGTCACGACAACATCCATAGCATGAGCAAGAGCGAGAATACCAAAGTAGTATGCGGCCAAGTAATGGTGCAAGAACAATTGGCGTCCCATCAAAAATGAAGGGGCATAATGCAAAGCAAAACCTAGGAGGTAGTGGATAACCTGAACATGGAAGTTAACAACCTTGGAGTCTTGCAATATTTTGTAGCCAAGTTGCCACGAGATCAACTCGTATACTACAGTAAGAGCGAATAGTGCGGTAAAAGCAGTGACAGACCACCAGACAATTGCGTTTCCCAAGAGATAAACTTGTCTGTGGTTCTGACCCCAATAGTTGATACCGCGAAGTAAAAAGGGCCATGAATGAGGTTTGGACTCGTAGATATGAGGTTCAACCAAATTCTTATTGATGTGCCACATTTTTTGATGAGATTCTATCAGTTTTTCAAAGAACCCGGGTGTCTTGTAAGAAATGCGCTCGGCGTCTTCTGGCAAATTAGGGTGAAAGTTTCCCTCAACGTACCACAGCGTCAAGTGTTCTTTTCCCTGGCTGGCACAGGTTACTTCTTGCTGTTCGAACCCCCATTTTGGAAGCTTGACCTCGTGCGAGAACAAATGACAGTTCATCATGGGATGTTTGAGTCTGAATTTAGTTTCCAAAGCCTTGACACGAGTTCTGGCCTCGCCCGGAGCAGAAGCTTTTTGGTCAATTTCCACAATCCAGTCGTCGTTGGCATCACCTTCGAAACCCTCGAAACCATAACCAGAAACTTCCTTTTGCCAGTCGGCACTTTCGGAAACAGGAGCTTTGTGATCGTGAGAATGCAGCCTACGTTGGGTGACCACATGCTTCAATCTGATCTTGGTTCCATCAGCCAGGCCCTCAAATGAGTCTACCACAGCGTTGGGTTTGTCATACAGCTCAATGAGCCAATCGTTGTTTCCATCCAGATGAGGATACAAAGTAATCTGCTGTTGTTGAGATCCCTTCTCCAACATGTGGTCGTGAGAATGCAAGTAACCGCCCATCGTGGCAACGTGGCGAATAGATACTACAGAGCCAATACCGACGTCTGCCAATATGTCTCTTGGAATAGTGTTTCCTTCCAATGTAGTTCTGAAAGCGGACGAAAAGAACCCAGCGCCATCCGAGTGCACGGTCAAGGTATCAAAATGGATGTAAAAGAAAACCATGTATAAGATAGCAGGCACTACCAACAAGAACACACCTTTGCGGACAGCTTCTGTAACAGTTTTAGTGATAGGTTTGGACAAATCACCAATCATGAACCAGAGTCTCCAGATACACAACAGTCCAACCCAAGCGATGGTAAAGAGACCTACCCATTTGGACGACACGGCCATCCCGAGAGAAATTCCTGCGCCCAACAAAGCCTTTTGAGAAGCCCATGACCCTTGTGGGTAAAGCTCGTATTTCTTAAAAGCATAGGTGGCGGAAGCAATGAAGAACAGTAGAGGAGAGTCTAGTAGGATGTACCTAGAAATGGTGACGAAACTGTTCTCTACTGCGAAACACAACGAGGCAACAAAGGCAATTGGGATTCTTACACCGGAGCAACGAAGGGTGAGATACATCAGTAGTACGGTAGCAACACCCAGGACAGCGGGGAAGAGTCTCATGAAGAAGTACGGCGTGGACTCGGGGAACTTGTCAGCGATGGCGCTGAATTCAAAGTCACCTCTGAATCCGGCAATTGAGCCCACCGCAGCGAAAAGCATCTTGGCAAGCGGAGGATGCACGTCCATGAAGAAGATGCCCTTAATGTATTTGGACGCAAAGCCACCGAAATGGACCTCATCGAAGACCACGGAGTCAGGACGAGAAAGCCCGTAGAGTCTAACCACAGATGTGATCAGTAAAAGAGCTGCGATGGTTATCTGTTCCTTTGGACTAGTTGGTGTGCGCGATTCACTCAATGTCTTGGGGGGTTCTGTTACAACATAGGATCTTGCTGGGCCCTTTCCGATCTTCAAATCTGGCACGGGATCTTGAGGGTCAGTACCCTGATATCCACCACTCGCATTTTTCGAAGCCATGATGTGGTTATGCGCTTTCAATGTTTGCGTGGACGAGGTTTCCGAAATGTACACGTAAATATAGTTGCAATCGAAAATTTTGAAAGTCCACGTCTTTTCAATACCGTGTTCTTCCGGTCATGTGAAGAATGACAGAAGAACTCGACGCGAGAGAGCTTCGCGCTCACCGGAGTTATCAAACACGAGAAGGAAAGAGGGCAAATTAGACGTTATGGTCTGGGATTGTAGTTCAATTTGTCCTTTTTACGACGAGCCAGGTGAGAAGTCTAGAAAAGCGCGATTCTCCAGCTGTTTGCCCGTCTAGTGTTAAATTCAATTATCAAATGATGTGGTTTTGGAATGGGGTGTGCCAATTGTAGTGGTAAGTAGAGCATTGATGACCGTTTTTGCACGGTTGGTTCTCAAAAAGCTCCAACTGTCATTTTAGCTCGAGGAAAACGGCTGTTGATGGATCGTTAGCCACCAGAGTGCTCTTGCTGACATGTAATCCGCTTGCAGTAGCCGTATGACTCGCAATTATTGAGCATGCATCTTTCTTCTTTCTTCTTCATAAATTGGCGTAGCTGAGTGGGATCTTGATTTGCAGGCTTGTCTTTTGCGCTGCTTGCAGCGTAGATGTCATATACTCGCACAAGAGTGACTTGGAAGCACAATTTCTGGCAAGGAAGAAGTGTTCTCGCACCTTAAGATGATATCTCTTGGTTCCTTTGTGGCTTGTAGAGGACAAAGTTCAATGGCGAAAGAGTCTGTTTTTTAGCCGCCAGTTGATGACAGTTTGGTACAAAGTGATGAAAGAGAGCGTACAGCGACACATTCCAGGACGCTCGAGATAGGCAAAGGATGGTGGTTGGTCCTTGAGAAGGGATGGACGGATTATTGTGTGTGTTTTACGAGGTCTTGAGTGTATTTTCGTCTATGTGAAGATATCCTCAGGCGAAATCTGGCGTTGTTTTAATTCGAAAATACAGGCGTCATTTGGTGAGACACCCAGCGCGGGGCCTTGAAAAAAAAGCGAGTAGGCTCCGTAAATGGGCTAAGAATTATAAATTACGGAGCTATCTTTATTTTAGAATGCGCTCCTTGGGCTTTCGAGCCTGCTTGTCAAACCTCGATTGATTCTTATTTATTGAAATTACTTTTACTCAATTTAACGTCCAGGTTTTTAGTTCCTACGTTTATTTCGACGCATTCTATTCCGAGCTCGAATTAAGATCATCTTCCCAGTATTTCAGAGGTCCATTCAAATGAGTGCTCACGTCAATGTTGTCGAAATGAAGTATTTATCATAATTCGATGTATAATCGTCTATGGTGTCAGTAAAACTGATGTCGCTTGCCAATAAATAAATATCTAGAGAAAGGACGAAGTGATCAAGACATAAGACATAGGATATAAGCAGATAGCTTATACCTAGTACCAGCAGCTCATTAATCGTGGTTATATGAATTCAACCATATCATCTCTTTCGAACGTGGTCTATTCACCATTCGGCTCATTATCAATTCAAGTCTTCACATTCTCTAATATTTGATCAAAAACAAAACCAGACATTTTTAAATACCCGAAAAATCCCACTGATAAAACCGGAATCAATATCCTGTCTACAACACCACTACCGACCATTTTGCTGAAGCTAATGGTGCTCTGGTATCATTTTTAGTCGCCATCTCGACGATCATCACACATCACGAAGGCCAAGTTCAAAATAATACACTTTCAAATGGCTAAGGTGGCAAACGGTCTAACATCCTCACCATAACACACCTTCAACAGCACACGCAGTTCAGCCATGGCTTCAATCGAGGACGCCAGACTGCTTGTAGAGAAAAAGGACTACTCCAATGCCGAAGATACCTACCTCAAGATACTGAACGATACCAAGTCGGGTGGCAAAACGGGGGCCGCAAGCCAAGCTCAGACACAGCTCCAAGAGCGCTGCATTGTCGAGTTGGGAACTCTCTATGGGCTCTCAAAACAATCAGAAAAGCTGGCCAAGTTTATCCCAGAGGCAAGAGACATCATGATGCAGTATGCGAAATCTAAGACCGCTAAAGTGCTCAAGACCCTTATTGATCAATTCGAACACATCCCAGATTCGTTAGACACTCAAATCAGCGTGTGCATAGATTGCATCGAGTTTGCTACTCGTGAGAAACGTGCGTTTTTGAAACACGCCCTGTCGATCAGACTTGCCACACTGTACCTCTTGAAAGCCCAGTACAACGACTCGCTTCAGCTCATCAACGATTTACTTCGAGAATTCAAAAAGCTCGACGACAAATCGTCTCTGGTTGACGTTCATCTATTGGAGGCCAAGGTCTACCACAAGTTGAGGAACATGGCCAAGGCCAAGGCTGCGTTGACCAGCGCACGCACAGCTGCAAACTCGATATACTGCCCCACTCTGACCGTGGCGGACCTAGATTTGATGAGTGGTATTTTGCACTGTGAGGACAAGGACTACAAGACTGCGTTTTCCTACTTCTACGAATCCTTTGAAGGCTACCACAACCAGTCGACAAATTACCAAGAAAAAGCGGCTCAAGTTTTGAACTACATGTTGCTGTCGAAAATCATGTTGAATCTTATTGACGAAGTCAACTCGATTCTAAACGCCAAATACACAAAAGAAAGCTACCAGTCGCGTGGCATCGAGGCCATGAAGGCTGTCGCCGAAGCATACTCACAAAGATCTCTACTGCAGTTCAATGCAGCTCTTAAGAAATACGAAAAGGAACTGATGGGCGACTCGCTCATCAGATCCCATTTCAACGCGCTTTACGACACACTTTTGGAATCGAATCTATGCAAGATCATCGAGCCATTTGACTGTGTGGAGTTGCGTCACATCAGCAAGATGATAGAGCTCGACATCAATCAAGTGGAGGGCAAACTGTCTCAAATGATCCTTGACAAGGTGTTTTACGGAGTTTTGGATCAAGGCAATGGATGGCTGTACATATACGACACTCCTCATCAGGATGCTACTTACGATTCTTCGTTGGAGCTTATCGGTCAACTCAGCAAAGTTGTGGAACAACTATTCGAGAAGGCTAGTGTTCTTAACTAAATTCATTCACGTTAAGTACTTACCAAAATAGAAATAAGTGCATTTTTGTAAAAAACACACTAGTTCTGAACAAACACTTGTTCTGGGGTTAGAAACTGAGCACCGATACTTACTGCAAATTGTTTATCTGAATTGCTGAAATCCCTCGAGCGTCCCGCTGCGTCGCCACAGTAGTATTCCAGCTTAAATTTTCCGCCGAAATCTTTGCTGAACTCTTCGAACATTCCTGAATTCGGCTTTCGCATCGAATTGAAGAGAAGATCACTTGCCATGGACTCTTGTGCATTGTCCTTGCTTGAAATTTTCACCACTTTTCTCTGCGTAAAACGCTTGGCTTTCTTGGTGGAAGACAGAGACGCAGGTTTCTTGGGGGACGCATAAATCCATATTCTATCTTCCAGCGCGAGATCAAGACCCGAGATTGCTTGCAGCACTAACCCGATTTTTTTTGTAAATTTGGTGCAGCTCTTGGAGGTTGGCGGCACTGTCACAGTCGCACCTTGGTTAGAAAAGATGACAATATGCGCTTTGGTATAATTTGTCAAGATCTCGCTCAAAATATCTATCGTTTGTACAGTCTTGCCCTCCGTGCCGGTCGGAAATGACATGAAAGTCCAGTCATTCTCGCTTCTGCTAAAACGGCCACCAAATTTAGGCTTTATAATAGTGTGATCCAGGTCGAATGCATAAACCTTGAATTCATCGGATATCGACTTTGATTGGAAGTTCTTTGGAATGTATTTTATCAGATACGGCAGTATTATAGCTTTGTGCGAGGAGCACGACGTTTTGAGAGTAGCCATCGCCGCTTTTACTTTGGCTGGCTTTTCTCTGTTTTAGCTGATGATGCAAAATACTACCTACAATTGTTGTCTAGAAATTGCAGGTCTAGCTGAACGGTAGAAACGACATAACTGAAGGCTATGAGCGACTCTCAAACCTCAGAGAAGTCCAATTTTGGGCGAAGAACATGGGATCGTGCCGAATATGCCCAGCTTGGACGGCTTTCGAAGGATTCCCCAAACCCTCATCTTGATTCTCTCACACAAGAAGAACTGCAATCTTTAAAAGTCAGGTACACGAACCACAATACTTTGGTGGCAGGGGCAACTCAGAATGCCAATCAGAAAGTTCTTACGAGCACGTTGAGCTCTTATAAAAGAGGCAAACAATTCGGATTTTATTGCGAACTGTGCGATTTGACTTTCAAAGACACTCTGCAGTTTGTAGATCATCTAAATCATAAAATTCACCAGATTAAATTTGAAACGGTTTTTGGTGAGCCTCTGATAATAGATCTGCGAGATAACGATGATATCCCCCTTCAAGAATTTGACGAAGCCTACTCCTCAACGATTAGAGAATTTTTGAAGACTTATGGGCGGCCCTCTACCAAACGGAAAAACGCAAGCCAAACCGACCACAGTGTCCCAGTTGCCAAGACGCAGCAAAAACGCAAGATCAATGATGGAAATAACCTTGACACTGTAATGGGATTCGGAGGATTTGGTACTACAAAAAGAAAATGAATTATTATTTACAAGATCGATAGTCCCGGGCCTTGTAGAGATTATTTTAGAATTTCTACTTTGTTCACTGTCTGGTAGTATTGGCCCAATTCAGTCCCTACACTGGATTCAGTAAAGATCACTCTGTCGACCAGACTGACCTCATTTTCAAACTTGATGGCATCCTGAATTTTAAGCGGAAAGTTCGTGACCACGACGCTGTCGCCCTCTTGACAGTTTTCCTTCAGATAGCGAGCAACAAGCATCACCTGCAGGCCCTTCGGTAGATGCTCTGGATAACTGGCGCCGTGACTTTCGTGAATTTCGTTCAGAAGCGCATAATACTTATCGTCTTGCAGGTGTCTATAGTACTCCACTGCCTCGCCTACGTCCACTATCTTCGAGAGTGGTCTCTGCTTTTCGAGCACGCTTCTCGACACTCCTGAAGTCACCAACTCGATATGCAACTGGCCTGGCTGGAACATCATTTTACGACGTTTTACGCCCTGCATCTCGGTTTCAAACTCCGACTCTGAGTACGAGTTTTTGGGCTTATTTTTGTCAAGCGATTTCACGGTCTCTACGAAAATGATAGTGCCAACCACACCCACAAGTGCTATTTTCGTAAAACTGGGAAGATCATCTTTCTTAGACTGATTTTTTTGAGAGGAATACGTCCGCAAAGCACTAGTCCTAAGACACGTACTCACCGGCGAACCAGCTTTAAGAAGCACCCGCTTATTGAAGCATCTCAGAAACATCATTTCAGACCAATTTAGAGCCAACCTCTCAAAGAATCCAGCTCTTGTTGCCCTAAACTCTTACAGATGTTGTTCTTTAATCAGGGCCTTTAAAGTTTCCGGTTTCAAGAACTAATTAAAAGACAGATTATCAAATTTCGTGAAAAATGCTATCAACACTTTTTTCGACAATCTCAGTAACTACGAAAATTTGACTTTTAATCCATGAGAGAGAACCAATATTTTGGGTTTGAAAAGGCTTACCTCGAAGCTCAATTCTTCTCGGGACTTCGCTCCATTTAGCCTCTTCATTTTGTGCTTTAAAATTTGAAATTAATTAAAGAAGAACAATGTCTTTAGTCCATTTGGCAAATGTGTGCGCTCATTTGCAGAACTGTTCCAGAGCCAGAACATCACTAACTTCGATTCCGTACACGAAACTGCATCTCAACTTCGCTTACAACCTTTACAAGCATGGCTTTCTATCTACGCTACAGAGGGGCTCTACGAAAGGCCCAGATATCACAGCTGTTGAGGTGACTCCAGACAATGTCTCCACACGCAGACTATGGCTGGGACTGAAATACAGGGAAAACAGACCCGTGATAAGCACCTGTAGGCTCATTTCCAAGCCGAACTTGCGTATAGATCTCAAGTACGACGATCTCAAACAGCTGTGCACAGGCAAAACCGTGCGTTTAATTAAGCCCTTGCAACCGGGCGAGCTCATTTTGGTGCGGAGCGGAAACGAGCTTCTAGACATTAACGATGCGATTGCTCGTAAAGTGGGAGGTGAAGTGTTGTGTCGCATCAAGTGAGTGATCAAAGACGTGCGAAAATTAGTGTACAAAGTAGCATTGTAAATAGTGTTGGGCGCTTTAGGGAAGGCGACTGCGTTACCGTCATTTCTAATTGAAGCTGCATAAAGGACTGTTAGGCAAGAGGCGGCTTTTACTGCGGCTGCGAATGCAATGCAAGTGAAATGAGGATCATTATAGGTGCACGATTGGTCCGGATCCGATGCTTCGCCACTGAGTCATGTCAACATTCCAGCCTTTCCACTTATCGAGCGCACTGCGGTCGACGAGAGGTGTGGAGAAAACAGGTGGCTGTTTTCGAGGAGTATGGGGCTCTTGGTGTGCTAGGGAGAGTGCTGTGGCTTGGTATTCCGCGAACTTTTGTCTTTCGGAGGCAACCTCTTGCTGCGAGGCGCTCAACTGAGCTTCCAAGGTTTGTACGTGTTCCTGTAGTTCTTCGATAGTTGTTTCTTGTTCCATATTAACAAACTTTAGTTTGCGAAGCTCCGCTGTGAGACTAGTGACCTGCTTTTGGAGGTCTATTAGCGCAATGCGGTCGTTTTCGCGTTGTAGCTCCGATAGAAACGAGGGTGAATCTTCGGGGAAGAGGGAAGAAGCACCGGCGGATTCGTTTTCTCGTGCTTCTGGAGACGATGAGGGTAGCTCGTTTTCGAGAGCCTGGTCGTTAGGCTCTGTTTCTGTTTGCACCTTGTCAACGGACTCCTGCTGCAGCTCGTTTTCTGGGATCTCACTTTCCAGGGGCTCATAAGTGCTAGTTTCGCTTACTGTTTTGGCCTCCTCAGCAGCCGCTTCAGAGCTGCTTTTCTCGAGTTCTGGAACCGTTGTGTCAATGCTTTTCAGCTCTGGAGAAAGGTCTTTAGCTTCTGGCTCTTCTTTCGCCAAGCTCTCTGAGTGATCATTTCCTATTTCCACTTTTTCGTTGCCTTCACTATTGACATTGACTGATCCCTCTGTATTGGATTCTTTTTCTGGGTTACCACTACTTGGATCTTCTGTCTCGGCCTTTTTCTTCTTTTGATCTTTCTTCTTTCTTCTGTTCTTCAGCTCTTCTACTCGTTTTCTGGCTTCTTCCAGTTGTTTTGTGCGTTTCTCGTCATCTTCAGACATTTTCAAGTACCGTAACAGCTAGCCACACCAATTGAGAAGAGGAAGGATATTCAAATGTCTAGTTGATTATGTCGTGGATATTTAGGTTTCCGCTTCAGCTTTCCACAACTCAATGTCATTTATGCAATTTAATATATACAAAAACAGTCACGTGAGAGGAGCTTGATACAAGATAAACCGCGCGTCAGCGAGCCCTCGGCGAGCCTTCAACATATGCTATTCATGTCTAAATCTCAACATAGTTCGCAGTATGATTGGTTTTAGTTCTAGGTTTATTTTGGTAGTCTTGGGTTGTTGGTTCTATTTGATTAAGTTGTGCCAGAGGAAAAGGACAACAGCTGTCGAAAGATTAAGTAATTTCCGGCTATACAGAGGCTCAAAATTTGATAGTTAAAATGCTGAGACGGATTTATTTTTCATAGTATTTTGGCTTTTAAAATTGATACGGGTTCATTGGTGATGATGCCAGAAGAATAACAATCGATTGTGAAGATGTCATGACGTCAAATAATAAAATGTCAGGGCCAAAAAAATGAAGCAGAAGTGATTGAGTTTTGGTTATATTTCAGGGGTCAATAACAATGCTGTAGTGCATTCCCTTGCGCCATCAGGGATTTCCTTTGCCAAGGTTTTGACCAAAAGACGAATCACGTGATCAGATGGTTCACCGCCTCTTCAATAACTTTTGATCCAGCTTTACACAAAAAGTTTCAATACACTTGCAAGAAAAGTATCGTAATGCCAGTGTCATAGTGCTTATACTAGCTGGTAAAGCAGGTCTATCCAAGCCGCTCCTTTATTCTATGACTAGTACTTTCTAGAATATTTTATGAATCCCATCATTAAATACGTAGATCGAAATATTCGCCATTATTCTCATCTATACGTGAAACGTTGAAGCTTTCCAACTTACACTTACCAGCATTGTTTGGGCGCCAATACCTGATCGCATTCAATTCAATACATCACGTCTTAGAATGGAATACACAGTTGAATCTAACTTGCACGATTTGATCAACTCGAAAACGCACAAATGGATCTTTGTGGGTGGTAAAGGTGGTGTCGGTAAAACGACATCGTCATGCTCTATTTCAATTCAAATGGCAACAGCGCAACCAAACAAACAGTTTTTGCTTATTTCCACAGATCCCGCTCACAACTTGAGTGATGCGTTCGGTGAGAAATTTGGCAAAGACGCCAGAAAAGTCACTGGTATGGACAACTTGTCATGCATGGAAATCGACCCTTCTGCGGCTCTTAAAGACATGAACGACATGGCCGTGGCCCAAAACGGAAGCGTGGGCGACGGACTCGGCGATCTTCTACAGGGAGGCGCACTCGCCGATATCACTGGCTCGATTCCCGGTATCGACGAGGCTCTGTCGTTCATGGAAGTAATGAAGCATATCAAGAGACAGGAAGAAGGCGAGGGCGAGAAATACGACACTGTGATCTTCGACACGGCTCCTACCGGTCATACCCTGAGATTTTTGCAGTTGCCACAAACGCTTTCGCAACTTCTCGAAAAATTTGGCGATATAGCTGGTAAGTTTGGTCCCATGCTAAACTCTTTCACCGGAGGGGCTCAAAACATGGACATTATGGGCAAGATGAACGAATTGAAGGCAAACGTCGAGAAAATCAAACAGCAATTCACAGACCCGGACTTGACCACTTTCGTCTGCGTTTGTATCAGTGAGTTTTTGTCGCTTTACGAAACCGAGCGTCTGATTCAGGAGCTGATGTCTTACGACATGGACGTGAACTCGATCATCGTGAACCAATTGTTGTTTGCGGAAGACGATAGCGAACACAACTGCAGACGTTGCCAGTCGCGCTGGAAGATGCAGAAAAAGTATTTGGACCAGATTGACGAACTTTACGAAGACTTCCACGTAGTCAAAATGCCCTTGTGTGCAGGCGAGATTAGAGGGTTGACCAACTTGAAGATGTTCTCGCAGTTTCTAAACACTGGCTACGCCCCCAAAGTTGACGGCAAGATCATTTACGAATTGGAAGAGCAGAAGTAGATGGGTTGATATAAATAAAGTAATTGAAACTGTTTTCAGAGATGATTTATCCAGTGCTAATAATAAAGAAGAAGCAAACGCCCTTTACAAGCTTGCTACGAGAACAGGTCCAAACTTATTCCAAAAAACACTGCTCCAGGGGAGGTTCGAACTCTCGACCTTCAGATTATGAGACTGACGCTCTTCCGACTGAGCTACTGAAGCTTATGGAGACTTGGAACGAGTACTGAGCACTCATAAGGCATCTATACTTCGTGCCCTCTACACTTGCTGTCCACCACGATCAAGGATTTGACCGTGTATTCGTTGGCCACAGCCTGTGAATGACATCTGCAGAAGCTGACATGATCTTACCCATTTACATAGTTCTGTCAGAAACAGTATAGAAAACGAGACCCCGTTTAAAACCCAACACCACTCTCTCAACCTAGGTTCTGACATTAATCTACCTACATTTCTACACTAGAGACTCATTCATAGTGTCGGCCTCCAGCTGAGCCTTTTTCAGCCATCTTGCCACGATTTCGTCGTGTTCCACCTTGATTTTGTCGTAACGGTCGTGCAGCAGATTGTTTTCTATGTTTAGAGTGATGATCTCGTCATTCAAGCGCTCTGTATCCTTGTTTTTTAACTTCAATGTCCCTAATAGCTCTTCAATCTGTCTTTCACGATGCGCAAGTTCTTTTCGCAGTACTGTGAGTGGATCCGCAGACTCTTCAGGTCCGTGTGCTGCTGGTAACGCTGAGGCTGTCTCAAACAACTCAGCAAAGTTCTTCTCAATAACGTCTCTTTCCTGTAATCTGCTTGACAGTATGTCCTCCATTCAATTGATCAGGTAAAGTATAGTGTGGTCCTGTTCAAAGACACGACTTTCGGTAGATGCACGTATATATGTGAAGTTTGAATTCAAAGCATAGTCTACTTCAATTTAAGGTCAATTACTTAATTAACTGGTCACTCCCATACTAAAATCACACATAATTAAGCCATTAAGAGCCCCAATCCCGCCATTGCGCCTTTGAAACTTTGCATAGATGCTTCTGTGAAGTCGCCAAGATAACTTATACTATTAAGCGAGGTTGTGAATGAATGAAGAAGCAGCTAACACTGCTGATCCTATAGCAGAAAGAAAGGAAGCAGGATGGACAAACTGGCTAACATCCCCTGTAAGTGGCCTTATGGGATTAAAACATGGTGAAAATATTGATTCAGGAGAGTCGGAAACCCCAGAGGTGAATAACGAACCCAAAAACTCGTGGTTATACGAAGTAGGAAAGAAACTGCCTTCGTTTCTGTTTAGGCACGAGGAAGAGCCTGTCGACATGAACAATTTGGCAGACTACAGTCATCTGAGCACTAAGCAAATCCAGTTCTTGGAACTGGAGGCTCAGCAAGGTATCATAAAAAAGGCCGACACATGGTGTTGGTTTGAGGATTTCACTACGACGTCACAAGAAGAGCTCGCTGGGCCACATTCCGGAGAGTTGAGCGTTGCAAATACCGGCTCAGCCGTGTGTCCTTTGCCGTTGGTCAAATTTCCAGTTTCAAGAGATTCGTGTCATCAGTTTTATGTCCAGAACTCGCTCCTTTTGCCAAACGTCCTGCCGAATGAGCTATTTCACGAAAGATCAACATTGAACAAGGTATCAGCCGCCTGGAAAAACTATTATAACTTCGAAGGCGAGAAACACACATATCTGAGCCATGGCACTTTGCATAGCAGGCTGGGAGGGAAGAAGGCTGTGATTGTGTCTTTCGTGGGCGGACTGCCAGACAAATACGAGAAAGCGACTTTAGGGAAACAAATGTCTGCTAAACAGCTCACAACCAAATTAGCCTCTGCTATTAAAGAATTCGACATCGGCAAAGTTGTGACGTTCTCGATGGAAACCCCGCTGGATCAGAAATCATTAGACACCTGTTGCGAAGAGTGCATAGGGCTTTTGAGCACATGGCACCGCTATTTTCACGACGCAGACCTGCTTTTATTTGCTGGTGTGTATCATAGCGTACCGTTACAATTACAGGTCGCAAAGCACGTTCTTGAACATCGAAACTTCTTTGGATTCTCCGACAATGCTACCATCGGGCTTTTAGGTCTCGAGTCATGTTTGGGTGGCTATCAGTTCTGGGATCACAGCTCAGACTCCAAGGTTGACACGAGCTCTGCAAACTATCAGGCGAATAGGGAAAAGGCCTTACTCCAGGGCTGTACGCGGGCACAACAAGAAACCCTTTCTCGAATAAACCAATACCGAGATCCTAACTCCTCTGAGTCTAAGCGTGTACAAAGCACTCTCGATTGGATGTTTCGTCATCACCCAAATACCAAACTGGTATTGATAGGGAGACTTTACGACAATTTCATGACAGTAGCAGAGAAACTGGCAATCAATCTCCAACACCCGAGTATAATAAGGCACGCGTGGTGTGAAGGATCAATTTTAGGCTTTGACTTAAAGAAATGCGCCACTTTTCTGAACGCGGGAGAGCAAATCTCAAAAGGTCCGATTCTTTATGAAGAGACTCTTGAAATTCCTGGAGACAGGGAGTTTGAACTGTGTCTCGTGGAGGATCTTCTGATGGCTATCAATCTAGGTCACACACAGCTTATACCAATGTTGAAAATGGTAAGCCCTTTCTTTATTTCCCGGTCTTTCAATAAGCATACCATACCGGCGACTCTAAAAAAACAGCAACAATACGAACTGAAATCGTGGCTACAAGAGATGGATATGCGATGGAAAAATGCCACTTTACCCAAGGACGGAACGATTCCTGCCGAGATCGAGAGAGCAAATGATTTGTTGGCCTACGTGTACTACAGGGCTAATAAACCCGCTCCAGATCGGTTTAAATTGAAGGATGGTCTTTTCCAAAACTTCCAAATATTTCGCACCTTTTTGCATGATACGATGCAGACAACAGCACTGCTGGAGCCGCAAGACGTGAAGCTAAACGCCAGATCCATCACTCCAACAAGCATTTTGAGCAGTCAAAACCAATACGATTTGGTTTGGCAAATTCATGACTTTCTGTCGTATTTTGCTAAGGTGCGAAACTTGCCCGTTCTTCAAACTCAACGCCTCCTGTTCTCTTTATCAGACCAGACTTACACTTTGCCTTTGAATCAATTCGACTCGGTGAAATTTCGTCGTAACAAGCTCGAGGCTTTGCGAAGAATTGAAAGGTTCTGGGACTCCTATCAATTGTGGAAACCTCCTACAAAAGGGCTTAAGCAGCTCCAGCGCATCCTGAGCTTCCTGTCACTGTATTCGTCGGGCCATCATCTTCAAGTTGACCTGAAGCGTATACAATGATTCATTAGCGAATATCTCTCATAAGCTATGATGAACGGCGGGAGAGACAAGTTTCCATACGTTTAAGACCGATGTCAAAACCGGTCTGTTTGGCCATGACGAGCTCGCTTAAAAGAGTATGTCACAGTTTAGCTTTTAGATGAATTGAAAGAATGAAATTCTTGAAGGTTTGAAGACACCAAATACTAACTATACCGACAATTAGAGACCCTCAAACGAAGCCAATGAAGCGGAAGGGAAACGTTTCCAAGCTGGAATAGACTCGAACCTCAGCCAAACCAATACCATTGCAGTTTTGGTGAGCTTAATTCCAGGCAGGGAGGGCAAATACACTATCGAGGGAACGCCAGTCACGACTATTGGACGAAGTAGAAATTGCGACATTGCACTTGCCGAACCCGATATTTCGACTTTGCACTGCGAACTTTGCGTTTTAACCGTCGAATTGGATGGTTCTAAAAGGCAAGTTGTCAACATTGTAGACCGGAGTCGTAATGGGACCTTTGTGAACGGCAATAGGCTTGTCAAGAGAGATTACATCCTGCGAAATGGTGATAGAATAGTGTTTGGCAGGAGCTGTTCGTTTTTGTTCAAGTACCTTATTTCTAAGCAAGAAGAAGGAGAAGAAGAAGATGGTTTTGAAGTCTCCTCAGTAGTCGCTTCGGATGAGAGCAGTAAGAAAGATTCGTTCAAGAGGCCCACCTTTAGTAGTCAAGATGTCGTAAGAAGGCCTGCATCGATCAGAAAGCCAACCTTTTTTGCCAGATTTGTGCTGGGAAAGGAGCTAGGTACCGGCCACTATGCTATTGTTAAAGAAGCAACTGACAAAGACAGCGGTGACATAGTCGCAGTTAAAATTTTCCATCCACAGCAGAACGACGACCAAAAAAAGACGAAACAGTTTAGAGAAGAGACCAAGATTTTAATGAGCATACAACACCGAAATATTGTCAAACTGATTGACAGATTCGTGGAACCTGTGAGTAAATCTCAAATACAGACGTATTTGGTTCTAGAAAAGGTGAACGATGGCGAGCTATTTGACAGAATTGTAAGGAAAACAAAACTGGGGCAGGAAGAAACTAATGCCATATTCAGACAAATTCTTCACGGACTGAGATATCTGCATACTAAAAACATTATTCATCGAGATATCAAGCCCGAAAATATACTTTTAAGCATCAAAAGGCGCAAGTTCCCTGAAGAAGAGCAAAGGGGACCTTGGGACAAGGATGAAATCGACATAAAAATTAAGATCGCAGACTTTGGATTAGCGAAATTCATCGGCGAGATGCAGTTTACAAATACGCTATGTGGTACTCCCTCGTACGTTGCCCCGGAAGTCCTTAAAAAGACCGGTTACACTTCAAAGGTCGACTTATGGAGTGCTGGTGTTCTGTTATATGTGTGTTTGTGTGGATTCCCACCTTTTAGTGAACAATTGAGTCCTCCTTCAATGAAGGAGCAGATCCTTCAGGGCAAATTAGCATTCTACTCTCCATATTGGGACAAAATAGACGACTCATGCCTGCATCTGATATCAAACTTATTGGTCGTGAATCCTGCCTTCCGTTATGACGTACAAAAAACCATTGATCATCCTTGGTTCTCAAATGCCCTTTCTGAGAGAGAATCATCGGCACCTCTACAGCGGCAGGCCGTTGCCTTTGACAAAGTCCCCAAAACGTACTCAGAATTGTCGAATTTGCAGTCGTGACATGTACCTATATTTAACACTGAAAAATGACATTCACTCTACTTACCATTTGCTTAGGTCAATGACTTTTTCTTGTACCTCTTTCTTTGCTTTGACCCTCATGTAGAATATATCACAGTTCTTGTTTGAGCATAGAACTTCGTTGTGCAAGCTTCCAGAGCATCGTTGACATTGAGTCCATAGTCTGGCAAACTTTTGCTGGAGATCTCTTACATCAAAAAGAGCGCGCACATACAGTTCACCCGATCGGGTTACGCAATTGTCACACAGAGGTCCTTCGTTTTTGCTCAGTGGGCGCTTACAGCCTTTGCATGTCTGAACTTTCTTGACAAATCCCATCAGCCCTCCTTTGGTGTTACCAGCACTGATTTTGATCGATTTCACTACAAACATTGAATTTGCGTGCTTCTCTCCGATAATTGGAGCGATAATGCTGATAATCGGATTTTGTAGCTGATTTGTTAAGTAGTATTTCGAATCAATCTGAATGTTGTGCTCCAGCACGTAAAGAGGATCCTCGGCTCTGTTGTAAAGCTTATCATTACCTCCAATGATCACATAATCGACACGGTCACCAACATTGGGCCCGACGCCGTCCCTTTTTATCATACGTTCGGTAAGAACTGCGTGCGGCTGTGGATTTGTGTAGTTAGGAGCCAGAGTTTTCGATATAATCAGCTTTGAGATGTCAGCCCTATTGTGAAGAATGTCACCGATTGTGTCCTTTACGAAATTCAAGGCGTCTTCGACGTTACGATCTATCAGAATCTTTTTGAGAACCTTGTTCATGACTATGGAGACCAATGGACATGAGTCACGGCGGACAGAGGCTAAACCCTTCTGATCCAACTTGTCATATTTGTCTGGTCTTGTCCAATACAAGCCAGCGTATCTTTTCTTGTTGATGAGCAAATATGGAAAGTAAGCCTTCTCGAACTCTAGATTGATAGGATTCTTGAATAGTGAAGAAACGTATTCGGCGGCCTCCGCACCAAGGTCCATTGCAGTTTTCAAGTCATTGGTGCCAAATTTCACCATAACGGAATCTGTGTCACCGTAGATAACAACAGCGTCATGCTCGAATCCATTCTTCATGCAGTATTTTTCCTCTACCGCTTGCTTGGTTTTCTCAATCATTGTTCTACCATAGGACGTCACAGAGGATGAGATTGCTAAACAAGGCAGCTTTCCTACTGTCGCTCCTGTGAAACCATATACCGAGTTGGCCGAAATTTTCAAAGCCAGTTGTCTACCGTTCAATACATCACGTTTGAATGGGTCTTTCTCGTCCTTCAGATCTTTTTTGGCCCTTTTACGGGCGGAAATCAACTCATGTAAAATCTCTGGTAAAATACCGTTACGCATTTTAGCTGTGACGAAGTAATCATTATTTGGAGTTACAATGTAGTCTTCGTCTTTCACCAGCTGCAGCTTTTCAACGGTAGCTTTATTGCATAAAGTTGTGTAGCAGAGATTGTGGGCCATCATAATACTAGGATATAAAGAATTGAAATCTAACGTCGCGACGGGCACGTCGTAGTATCCTCTGATAGGCTCAATAACTGTAGCACCCTCATACTGCTCATCAGAGCCCTGTGACTGCATGTTTGGAATAACAGTGTCGATCTGCAGGCACTTACGGAATAGTTGCGAGACAACCTTAATTTGTTGACCACGGGCCAGCAAGTATGAAAACGGCACGCCTGTTACACGCGCCATTTCCGTGTAGTTCACCAGTGCCATCAATTTCTCTAGAAGCCTGAGTGGTAAAAACGCGTCCTTCAAACAATAAACCGCTAAACGTCGTCTAGTCTCCGAATCTCCATTTTGTAATGAGCTTATAATGCTATGATGAACATCTTCCTTTTGCTCCCCTAGAAAATGAGCAGAGACTGCATTTAATGTGTAGGATCTGAGTTTGTATTCACGCTGCACAAATTGCAACAAATCCAGTTGAAGTCGGCCATCAATGTTAATAATCTTTGATTCACGAGTACCGTATGCTTTCGACGAGAAAATTGCTTCTTTGACTTCTTGCTTCACCGTCTTGAGTCTTCCAAAATATGGAAATTCCTCTATTTTAAGAGAGCGACCACGGCCGAGCAAGTAAGGTAAATCGAAATTTGTAGTGTTGTAGCCAACAATGACGTCGGGGTCTACCTCCACTACAAATTTTCGCCAGTGTTTAAGCATATCGTTTTCAGTCTTATGGTCAAAAATCTGAGAGCCTGTAATCGGTGAGCATGTATTGACTGTGAATACATTTCGCACAAAAGATTTCGAAGCACCCGCTATACTTACCACATTGGCAATCTGGATCACTGGATCGATCTCTGCCTCTGGAAAAACTCCCACTCTACCAGCACACTCAATGTCGAACGAGAGAATTCTAAGCGGGGCAGAGTGTGACCAATCGCCATCAGCCGGGCGTGCTATTAGGTCTTTATAGTTCACCAGCACTTCTAATTGACAAGTACTGACCTTTTCCCTTTCAGGAATCAAGCTGTATTTACCCTCTGGCAAAGTAATCCAGGACATTCCAGTAATTCCACAGTCTATCATAACCCTCAATGGAAACGCAATGTTGTCGTAGGTTGAAGTCCCACCTGAGAACCAGGTGTCGTTAAATGTAATGTGACCACGTTCGAACCCGGTTCTAAGCTTGTTAATGCCCGCAGGATTTGTAGCGTAGATTTTCAAAAAGGGCAACTTCGCGGTTCCAGAGTAACCCCAGATCGACTGGCGCAACGTAATTTCTATCTCATCAACAACCTGATCGTAAGAGTCATTCAAATAGCTTTGAAAAGCGTCGATATCATGTTCGCTAAAGCCAGCAGGAGCGGGAACATAAAGATAATGTCTGAATCCGGTTACACTACAGAGCACCGAGTAACCTTCGTTAGTCACCCCAAAGAAACGAACCGCGTGAGAGGTGTTGTTGACCTTGACGCCAGGCAACAGACATTGCTCAGCATCAAGTTGCTGGAAAGAAATCGCGTGTGTTTGGGGTGAAAAATCCTTTGGCAATGGACTGCGTGCCCACGATGAGTTCTCGCCATGTTCCTGAGCCACCACGCCTTCATGATCCATATGCGAGAGTTCCTGCTCAAAAGCAGAGGGATTCACAGGCTGGGATCCATTGACAGTACCTTTTGGAACAAAACCCTGTGTATTTTGCTTGCTGAACTTGTCCGTAGGAATGATCTCGATGCTTGAGACAGGTTCGCTGAGAGCGCTATGATCAAACGATTGCGGCTTGAGACGTTTTTCCACAGTTTCTGACTCGCGTGATTCACCTTCGCCAGGTCTTTTGAGCGCATTTGAGCTCATCCTTGGTGGCTTTTTGGGTGATTTATGTGGTTGATGGTGATGGTAAGGAAGGTCAATTTACCACTAATTTTAATATCGCGTTTTTACACAGTTAACGCGAAAACAAAATATAAAGTTCTTGTACTGTAGAAGATGACGAAGTTGGGACTTATTCTTTGGAGTTTATTTGATCTTTCGTAGGCTTTTTCTTCCAGCAATTTTGAAGCTTTGAACCGATCTGAAAGGTATTCAGTCCGGCAGTGCTTAATTTATAGAGATTAATAGCCTTCAGTCTTGATTTTTGGCATTTTTTATGTTCCCTTTCTCTGACTGGTTGAAAAAGATGGAATAGTACTGAGGGAGGAGTCTAAGCGGCTTGTAGGACATTTTCAAGGCGAAGTTGGTTGTCATATTTAGATGTTGTTGGAATTGTGTGTGTGTGGTGAGTATTTGAGAGAACGGATTGTGCGCTTGAGCAGAGAAAAAAAATCGGGTTGGACCACACCTTAACTGAAACTAGACCCGTCAATGGTATATAAGTGGCCATCTTGGCCAAACTGAACTCGAGTGGGTCGGATATATTTGAACGTGTCTGATGTGCGTCACTTTGTACTATTATGTCATACTTCGAGAAGCGACACTGTGCAGGTAGATCTACGTAAGATGACAACTGTTTCCTGTTTGTTAGTTCTATATATAGTATGTCCTAATTAGGACACCGTGCATGTTTTGATCGACGTCTTTCAAGCAAGTGGTGCCCCATTTTGGCGCTGCCATATATGAGTTTCAACGGCTCTTAAAGTCGGCTTAAACAGAGCAATAATAACTTTGAACTATCACTCAAAATGGCTATGAATTCTGTGGCAACTGTCGTCATTCGAAAAGGCAATGCCAACTCGGCACTGACTACTTTTCCTCCATCAAAATCCGACTGCGATAGAAGTTCACCAAAAAATGACAGAATAGTACGAAGTGATTACTTTCAAATGCATATTTATCATCCTGTATTCAAACAGAGCGTTGAGATTGATAGTAAAGAGGTCATTCCCGCATACTGCTTATTTCTATCAATCTCCTCCCGAAAGCGCAAACACACAGACCAGTGCCCAACAAAACAGGCTCACTATAATCATTACTTTTTATAATTCCCACGTCGTCAAAAAAACTGGTAAATTCCCAAACCAAATTGGAAAAGTAAGTCCGCAATAATATACACCCTAAAAAAGATTCCGGTAAGCTTCAACACTGCTATTTGTCCTATACTAATTCGTTATTTTTCGTGAGACATTTCGCCTTTCGTGAAAAATGCTCTCTGCTGTAATGAAATCTGGCATTATGAAGGTGAAATTGGTGAAATTAACAAGAACGACGACCGAACCACCGGACGAGAACTTAGGGAACCTTTGAAGACTCTGTGATTCGACCCCTGTATCATCCTTGATAGCCCGCTACAATTTGTATGGGTTTTGGGCCTTTATTTTGAAATAAACCAACAAATTCACTTGGACAAGCTTCAGATCGTATAGCCATTGTTCGTTATTCAGTTGATTTGATTGAGAAGGTAGCAAGAGTTTGCAGCAGAATAGGACGAACGCTGAGTACTCATCGAATTAAGATTGTAAAATGGCAGAAGTTGAATATACCAAGGAGCAAGAAACACTCACGCAATCGATTGTGAGTAAGAACAACCATGCGTTCTACGAACTGCTTTCCATCGAACGAACAGCGTCCGACATTGAAATCAAAAAGGCATACCGAAAACTCGCAGTGAAACTGCACCCAGACAAGAACAAGCACCCGCGAGCAAGTGAAGCGTTCAAACGGATAAACAGGGCGTTCGAGGTCTTGAGTGACGCACAGAAACGTCGTATTTTCGACCAGATTGGCCGTGATCCAGACGAAAGAGGATCCCGCGATTCATCAAGTAGTGGTTCTGCCAGTGGATCTTCTTTCCCAGCCGAGGGCATGTTCTTCAGACGGCCTCAAGCTGGCCCTCCTCCTGACATCTTTGACTTCCTCTTCAATTCCCGAGCCGCAGGCGGTGGTAACTCGTTTAACAGCGCTTTTGGGGGAGGACCATTTGGAGGCGGACCATTCGATGGACCCTTTGGTGGTCATGGTGGTACAACATTTACTTTTGGTGGACCCAACGGGTTCAAAGTTTACACTAATGGTGGCCCGAGAGCTCGCCAGACACCTCGGAGTACTCACAATGCTCATCAACAGCAACAAGAAGAACAGCGCGAAATGCAGCAAATAATGAGAATACTAATACCAATTTTAGTAATTCTCTTCCTGCCCATGCTAGAGAGACTTTTGTTTGGGGCTTAGAAACCGGTTTTGAACCGTGTCTCGGTGTGGTATAATTTGCTGGTTTGAGCATATGTGTGCTCACACAATCATACCTCCACTCAGCCATTCTTGCAGAACTTTCCTGGCGTCCTACGTGTATAATAAATTTTTAATGATAATAAATGCATCCTGTTAGATATACACAGTTGGTACACTACTGTTGTGCTGTTGGTTTTCACCAGCTCTTCGTGGCGAAATGCAGAGCTCGCGAGTCTTGAGTGACACCGCAAGCTTATTCTAAATCTCTCAGACGTTCTGCGATTATGGCATCCACGTCTTCATCGTCATGACTTTTGAGTTTAAATCTTAGTTTCTTGCTGATTTTTTGGCTGAAAGCCTCAGAGCCTCCCTCTTGGCTGTCGCCGCCTTTCCGACGCTTGATTAACTTGCCGCTTGGCAGCATTTCATATTCTTCAGGGTTGAAAGTAACACCACTGCGCACCGAAACTTTGCTTGACGAGCCAGCTGGAAGTTCGGTCGCGCTAGGTATCGTGTTTTTTCTTGATCGCGTGTGATTCCCGCTAGCATCAGTCTCCAGGGTCCCGTTACCGCGATGAAGAACTCTATCTGTGTATCTTGTAAGCGTGCTGGGATCTTTGTCCCAGGTCCAACCTTGCTTTAATTCATTGAACGCCTTTAACTCCAATTTCTTGCGCACTTCATCCTTTTGTTCCAATTCCATAAAGATTTCGGAATTGGAAGGCCTGAGCATGATTTTGAGAGCTTTGATGACAATATCTATAATCAGGGGCAGCAAAACCAGGACAAGGCAAGAACACCAAAATGTCACGTCGTCACCGAACTGATGATATAGTCCCACTAAAACGTCATAAGGTCCATCAGTTGAGTAAAGGCCGGGCAGTAAGCAACACCACAGAAGCCAACCTCCGACAGAGATAATCAGGGACCCGAAGGCTAGAAAATTTCGATTGTGGGTCTCTAATAGTTGACATTTAACATTCACAAGCGTTACGATAGCGGTGAAGTTAATAACACCAATCGGGTAAATGGTGTTATCGGATAGCGACGACCCAGCCCATATTTTCCAGTTCAGAAACGATATCACCGCTGAATTTAAAGCTGCCTCGAACATCCAGAAGAGAAACACCCTGAGGTTGAAGCTCTCAGATAGCCGTCCTGATGAATAGAGCTCTGGGATAGCCAACAATGTAACAGGCTTCAGATCTTTTTCAAACATGCCGATGCATAAAACAGGTAATGAAGTGAATAGAGTGTTGAACATTGACAGGGACCAGGGCTCGTAAAGTGACGTACCTGAAAAAAGAGTGTTTTTCTGATAAATCATTTGAGTAACGTAGAAAAGTAACTCCTTGTAAAATGTACAGAGGACGAACTTCGATGTGCGAACGTAATTGTAACGTCCATGTACTAGTAGCAGCTTAAGAAGAAACCTGAACTGTCCAATTGAGTAATCCGACGACCTTGATGCTTGTAATCCCTCTTTTCCAGCAATTCCAACGCCAATGTCGGCAGACTGAATCATGGCAATATCATTTGCGCCATCGCCAATCGCTAAAGTGACTAGGTTCTTGTCGGTTTTTCGTATGTGGGTCACCATCAGAGCTTTTTGTGAAGGGGAGGCCCTGCAACAGATGACTGAGTCGGTTTTAGTGCAGAGCTCCACAAAGACAGACATTAATGTAGGGTTTGTCTCGAAATGAGCAAGAGTCGTTCCGTCAATTACTACCACGCAATGTGCAACATTTCCTCTTTCAATTTCTTGTGTCAGCGCTGTGAGTTTCGAAGACATGTTTTCATCTTCTGCAGACAAAATTACCACCGTTGAATAATCGTGAATCAAGTTACAAGAGTACCCGATATTGATCGCTGTCTCGCGCTTGTCACCGGTCAACATCCACATCTTGATTCCAGCTCTTCTGATTTTGTTAATCGCGTCAGCGACTCCTTCCTGCAGTTTGTCTTCAATTGCAGTTACGCCCAGCAAATTCAGTGATGTTTCTACCTCCTCGCCAACAGAGTGCATCTTCTCCTTCCTTCGTTCCAATGATGTTTTCGCAGAATTATAATCATTTGCCCACTTTTCATAAGTAGAGATATCAAGCCATTTGTAGCTGTAAAGAAGGGTACGGAGACCATTGGTAGAGAATTCATCGATCGCTTGTAGCGTGCGTTCAAGAACGTAACCTTCGTTTTTAAGTAGCGTCTCATTTCCAATATAGTCCTCTAAATCGTCCTCCCTCACATCCCCTGTAACATCTGGTGGCGTAACTGCTAGAAAGTCGGATGACAAGTCGGAAGAGCCAGACCCTGTCGAATTTTGTATATTAACGCTATAACGTTCCCGTTGCTGCTTTTGAAGCGATTTGCGGCTCTTGGCGTAGATATCCTGAACTTCACTGTCTGCTCTTTCGACGTCATTCAAAAAATCATCAATGGAATTGAACTGGACCTCCGGGTCGTTATTTCCCAAGCTTTTCCGCGATAAGCTCTTTCTAGACAAGCTCTTCCTCGCTGCTTGTAGAGACATTCTCACCATACTTGGCCTCTGAGACGATCTTCGTCTCAAAGAATTACTTGATCTAACATGATCAGTGGTTTCCAAAGATTTTCTTTGCTTCAAAATAAGGTCAGCTTCCGCGGTCTTGCGCTCATTGGTGGACTCCTGAAGCTCCATGATCTTTTGATTTGCCAATACACTATTGTGTAAGCGTTCGAGAATCACATTATCAGCTCCCTTACAAATCAAAAGAATTCGATTTGGCTCCTGGGGCATGCGCACCAGAACTGACATTCTCTTTCGGTCTGAAGTGAAGTCAATAAAATTCAGTACTTCGTAATCTTCGATGAGCGGATCCGCATCAAACCCATTCGGGTATGACTTTACTGTTAACACGGAACCATTTCTATTGAGTACGGCAAACCCCATATCCCGCGCAGCAGTGACAAGTGCCAGCTCATCTGGAGAAGAAGCCTGATACTCAACGCAGTCTTCTTCATCTGAATCTGACGCCTTTCTCGGTAAGCACGAGTGGCAAAGTGCTAAAGCTATGATGAAAAATTTGGCTTTCTTGCTGTAATAGGTGTTGGCGTTCCTCTGAATGTAAGAAATAAGATCGTGAGATGACCTTGGTTCCTCGACTGCTGTATGACTCTTGCCTTGATTCGAACGGCTTGTACTTTTGCGTTTATCATCGCCTACGTGTTTTCGAGATGCCATGCTCGGTCTGCCGGTATATGTAGCAGAGCTGTTTCCCTTGTACTCAATGGACGTCTTCCTAGAAATGACTGAACTCGAATCTGCAGGTCGGAAGTTTTCGAGGAAACTTCTATCATCCACAGAGACCACATCGATATTCTTACTTTCATTTGATTCGGTTGTACTCAAGGTATTTGAATTTTGGTCCACGTCATGAACCCAGGAAGCGCCGCAGATTGAAAGCGCTCTGAACACCATCTTGTTATCGGTAAGAGTACCAGTTTTATCACTGAAAATGTATGACACTTGTCCCAACTCTTCAAGAATTGTTGCAGTGCGTGACTCACAAGGCGTATTGGACGCAGCGTGATACATGTCTATGTCCCATTCCATTAATTTACTTTGCATCGCTTTGATGATCTCCATTGTGACATACAAAGACAAAGGAATCAAGGTATTGTACATTATAATGAACGACATCACGGTTGGTGCAACACCGGCATCCTGTTGAAAGAGATACCAGGCATTGTTGTTATCAATCCATTTCCTTTTCAAAATTCTTTGAGCCATGAACGATAGTAAAGCCATCGAAGCAACGACAAAGACCATAAACAGGACAATCATGTTGATGGCTTTTTGTAATTTAGGTGCTTTGATTCTTGGGTTTTTTATCGCATTCATGCGAATCTTAGTTTCCTCTCCGGTAAAGATCACCATTCCGATAGCATTTTGGGTATTTCTGATTATACTCCCACGGTAAATAACATTATCGGGCCCAATTGTGGTTTTCCTCGTCTGATCGAGCAACTCTAGATTACCCTCGAAATTATGCAGATCAATGTTAGGATCTTCTACAGTTATTCTGGCCTTGAAGCTAGCCAAACCAGCGATGGTTTCCATTTGGTCGCTAATTTCCCTTAGAGGTTGTTTGTTCTTGAGATTCGTCTCACCATCGAGTGCCATGGTTTCCACGAAGCAGTCGCTGTTTTCTGCATCACATGTAAGAAGAAGTAAATCAGCGGGAACCCAGTCGTCTTGATTTAAAAGCACGTAGTCTCCAACTTTAACGTCCTTCCACTGTTTTTCTACGATGTATATCCCGTACGAACGCTTTAAAGCTTCCCAATTCGTGAAGGGCGCGGTTGCAGACGATAAAGAGCCATCCTCTTCGGAAAGACCGGAGGTAAAAGCATTTAATGCGCTTGTTGAAGTAGCGCTTTGCTGCCACTGCGGAAGGGAGTACAGGCTATTTGGTCTTGTAATGTCGCCGGTGATTGCTGTTGAGACTTGTCCGTTGGCGTCAGGGTCCCGAACAAGAATTTTCACGGGTTTGTTGTTTTCCTCCCGGTCAAGTTTGTGTCTGCGAAAGTCGTCCCAAGCTTCACGACACATCGAGATACTCATAAAGATCAGAAGCGGAACGATAGTGGTGTACGTACCCGTTGTGGACCAGCCCGGGATCATCTGCAAGATCGCCACAAGTAGAAAGTATGAATTAGCGAGCCTGGAAAACTGAGCATACAATTGTCGCGGCAGAAATGTGTATATTGTGTACCGCGACGACGTGATGACATTATCCTTGTAAGGCCTCTGACTTCTTTCATCAATTAGCTTATCTCCGTAGTCGCCGGCGAGTGCACGGAAAGCTGCATCTGAATGGTCCAAGCTTACCGGTATTATTCTGCCAGCTTTAGTGTGCTGATTTCTGTTTCTCCGAAGTATCCAATCTATGAATCGACTCCCAGTATCGGCGATGGACAGGCTGCGCTCGGCTCGGTCCAGATCCATATCGAATTCTTCCGCTGGTTCCTCAACCTCGTAGTCCTGTTGAAATTTATTGTGCAGCTGTTTGTTGAACAGCTGAGTGCGCAACGAAAACGCCCTTTGACGTTTCATGCCGCCCATAGCACAGGCCTTGTTTTCCTGAGACCTTCACGAATCAGTAACTGTTTTGTACAGAGATTTGGTGATCTTAAGCCACTCCGTTTGGTGTGATTTTTTGATTCGAGGTCACGTGCCGCACGTTTGATCGACCGAATTTCAATGTGTAAGGAATCGTTTGTCGTTGGATAATGGCGTTTGGGAAGGTTTTGAGTGATGTTTATCCTGACTGAGACGATTATTGTGCTATCCAAGGTGTAATTGGGACCTTGACGACACAATTTTTTGTCATATTTAAGAGACCAAATTTTTTAGAAAATTGCCCTTGCAGTGTCGTATTCTATCCACTCTTCCCTTTTACATCACTTTGAAAGTAATTCAAAAAAGTATAGTTTAAGTGCAGTGATCAATCAGGATTTCCTGTATTGTTTCAAAGCTTCCGCCATATTGACAAAAACTCTAACATTAGTTCATCTTATTGTCACGAGACTCACATTTTTGGGATCAGAATTCGCGCACATACTCCCAATGGTGAACAATAGTTATGGCCCGAAGAATCGGAATCTACGGACTCATGTTTCAAACTGTGAGTCCGCAATGTGGCAGCGTTCATATCTTCGTAATCATCCACCGATCAGTGCACTTGTATGGATGTAAGTTCCACCTCAACGGGTCTTGTTCGTCAATAAGTCTTATGTGACCTTGTGTGGGACACAGGAACGACAGTCAAGACAGACGAGTAAACCAATCTCGCACATCTTAAAGAAAAGCGTGTTAGAACGTCTGGAGAACTTTTACGCGGCTCAAACGTAGCTTGGTTGATGTTTTTAGTTGCCTAAAAGTGATATATCCGCGTCTAAAAGTGTGTCCCCTGCGATGATGTCTAATATTTATTAACCAAAAAATAGTGTCACGTTAGTACAAAGTGATAAGTATTCGATTTACTAACTTCAAAGTGTTAAATAGTCGTTGGAAAGCTCTAGCGGTCAAGCTGAAGCTGAATATAAGAGGTGCACAGCTTTGCTACACGAAAATGGTTGAAATTCCACCAAAAACAAGCCGTTAAATTGACCTAAATTTGGAAATAGAAAAGAAAGAAGAGAAGGGCACGACAGTAAAAAGACTGAGCTTCCCTCAACAACGTGTATGGACTACCAAATACTAACTGCCGAGATGGACGTGATTGCGAGCACGAATCGAAGATTATTCTCCAAGGCCCTTTAAAAGCTGGCAATGTGTCACGTGACATACGCGTCATTGCGAAATTGATCTTGAAATCACGTTTCAGTCATATATGTCTATATTTATACAATACATGAACTCAAGCACAGGAAACTTAACACAATCCGATACTCAATCCACCGTAAACACACATCCAAGCATCCAACGATATGGGAATTAGAGAACTGTACGAGGCGAGTAAGCAGCATGCGCTCTTTAGGCATTTTGACCGGTTAAACAACGACCAAAAACTAGAATTTGAGAAAAATCTTGACGAAATTGCGACTAAAAACGCACCAGAAACACTTTTGCAAGACTGCCAAAAGGCCATTGAGTTGAGTTCGGCCAACTCTGACGAGACGGATGCCATTGAACCTCTCCCAAACACGTCTTACGGGACTTGTGTGGGAAACCCGGAGCTGGAAGAAGAATATCGTGATCTAGGGCTTCAAGAAGTGCACAATGGCCGAGTGGCAGTTGTGTTGATGGCAGGCGGCCAGGGCACAAGATTGGGCTCTTCGCAGCCAAAGGGTTGTTATGACATAGGTCTTCCTTCTAAAAAGTCGTTATTTCAAATTCAAGCAGAGAAACTGATTTGTCTGCAGAAGCTGGCTAAAAGTCCGCACCCAATTCCCTGGTACATCATGACTTCAAAACCTACAAGAGGGCCTACCGAGCAATTTTTTCAGGAAAATAACTATTTCGGACTTGCTCCAAGCCAAATTGTTTTCTTCAACCAGGGAACGCTGCCAGCTTTCGACCTAGAGGGCAAACAATTATTGCTTGAGTCACCCACACAGCTTGTGGAGTCCCCAGATGGCAACGGTGGTTTGTACCGCGCTATCAGAGACAACGGCATTCTCGATGACCTTGTGGCCCGGAAAATCAAGCACATCCACATGTACTGTGTCGACAACGTTTTGGTAAAATTGGCAGACCCAGTCTTCATTGGTTATGCACTAAAAAATGGGTTTGAACTAGCCACTAAAGCAGTACCCAAAAGAGACGCTGCAGAGTCTGTTGGTCTGATTGTCAGCAAAAATGGAGCTCCAAGTGTTGTAGAGTATTCTGAGATTTCCAAGAAGATGGCAGAGGCCACTGACAAAAATGGACTTTTGAAGTTCAGAGCTGCCAATATAGTTAACCATTACTACTCTGTTGATCTACTACAGCGGGAACTGGGATCTTGGTGTACTTCTATGCCCTACCACATCGCTAAGAAAAAAATTGCAGTCTACGACAACAGTGCGGATTCCATTTATAAACCAACAGAAGCTAACGGTATCAAATTGGAACAGTTCATCTTCGATGTTTTTCCAAAAATGGATATGAACAAATTCGGCTGCTTAGAGGTCGATAGAACCGCCGAGTTTTCTCCCTTGAAGAATGCGCCCGGTACTGCTAATGATAATCCTGAGACAAGTCGCGTGGCCTATTTGGAACTTGGCACAAAATGGTTGAAAGCCGCAGGAGCAGAAGTAGGCTCCAAGTCGCTTGTTGAGGTTCCGGGTACGTTGAGTTATGGGGGCGAGAGCCTAGAGAGATACAAAGGACAGGCTTTCAGTGAGCAACTCTCCATTTTGCATTAAACGTCTTTTGATAAGTAGGTGAATAGTGATGGCTACATAAGAGTAACGCGGCTCAGTTTTTCTCCAGGATTTGCCTCAGCTCGTAAAGAACTGGTATACTTTCTTCTGAGGTGAATTTGGTCCAATGTGAAGGCCGGCCTTCGATCATGGACTTCTCTCTGTTTACAGCTTTGTTCCTATCCAGCAGTCCAAAGCTTTTTTTCGTCCGTAACCTTTGCTTGCCCTGTTTGTTTTCAATCGCCAAGTTCATTATTCTTTCGTTAAGTTTATTCCGTAGTTCTTCATCCGTAAGCTTACGGAACTCGTCTTTGTGGTCAATGTTTTCGTTATAGGTAAAAATCTGTTCGGTTATAGTGTCATCACCTTCTTGTTCCGATTCTGTATCAAGTCCCGATCCCTCTACCTGTTTAAAGTCGACTGCAGAAGCCAACACCGGCTTATTTCGATCCCATTTCTGATTGACTTCGAATTCACTGCTACTGAGAGTTGGTGACTGGACGACATTGAGATTTAAACCACTCAAATGCCGCTTTTCATTCTGGTGACTGGGATGTCTTTCTTTAGAAGAAGGGTTTTGATGCCATAGTCTCGATATTGCGTCAAGTTTCCGAATCATCCTCTCACTTGTTCGCTCCTCTGTGCTAGTGTTGTTTGTGATCAGAAATTTCTGCAATTCTTGTATCAAGTTGAGCGTTGTGGCTGTGCGATAATCATGTTGATGGTCAGTCTGTAGACTCTGAATATGGTTCGAATGCGACGTAGTGTCGTTCAAGTGAGATTTGTACTGAATCAAAAATGTATGAACTGTTTCGAGCAGCTTGGATAATTTGTGAAGTTGATGCAGCAGCACCTGCGATCTCTTATACTCTGAATATTGGTGGTCGACTGGGCAAGTTGAAAAGATCTTTTTAAGCGTAAGTTGATACTCTAGCTCTTTTTCTTCAGAATCTTTATCGCGTTTCCGACCCACTGACAAAAAACAGCATAGAAGAAACTTTTTCAGAAGATGAGTTCTGCTAGCTTTCTCACTTACGCCTGATGCTTCGCTATTGATGGCAAAATAAAGGTCCACCAAGTTGACACCATATATTTCGCAGTACCGAAATAGTTCTTGCTTTCTTAAAAGTGGAAGTATTTGCTTGGTAATGGCCTGTAGTTCGTAGAACATCAAGTCAAGAGAAGCGGTCAAAACGTCTTTGATAACCGATAAATTCGAGCCTGATGGGTGGCAGGATTGTACCAACGCAATAGGTTTGTAGATAGTGAGTTCCTTGTATCGAATATGAAGGCGATGGAGCAGTTTGTCCAAAGCCTGTAGTTGCTCGACTGAGTTTTGCAGAACAATTAAAGCGGAAAATTTTACGTAGTGTGAGTGGAACAGCTCCTGTTGCAGAGCCAAGTACACTCCGATGCAAAGTGTAAAGAAAACTCTCTGCTTGCTTTTGGTTGCAGTCTTGCAATTCTTCATGATAACCAGACAACGACGCGCGGTCGAGACGGTCGGGAGGAAAGGCACTGTTTTGCGAAGAAATTGCTGTCTATCCTTGACCAAAAGCATCCCAAATTTGGTTGGTATCTCCGATTTGTAACGTGAGGGTTGGATTGAGCTTCGATCATTGCCGACATGAAGAGGAGAGTGCTGGGTTTTGGGTTTTGCGGCCCATAAAGGCCGTATGGCGTCAGTGAGCAGCTGCGAGGCTATGATTGTGTACTGAAACTCGTCTATGAAGCTGTGAGTATCAAATGCATTTTGAACAAAGACTTTCGACACGACTGTCTCGAATCTTGAAAACCCTATGTGGTCTTCGTCAGTTTCTGAAAAGGCCAACTTTTCGTTCACATCGTCCTCTGGAAAAACATCTTGTTCGTTGCTGCTAAACTCCGAAGATTCTACCATTGTCGGAGAACTATCATGCATTGTATCAATCCCCCACTCTGAGAGCTTCCTGGCGTGCTGATCTGCTGGTGAGGTGTGTTTGCCAGCGGAGAGATATAGTGAGCTTGGCAAAACATGTGAGTGGGCCAAACTCGAGTTTAAAGTCGAGTTAGATCGGTTCATGCTTGAGTACGAGAAACCAGACAGACTCTGAAGTCTGCTCTTGTTCTCATTTCTATCACAATGCATGGCCCTGAGCCCTGTTGGTTAAGTATTTTGGCGCTTTTGTCTGGCAGACGATGATTCTTGTGTAAAGACTAAATATTTGTTTACATTTGGATCAAGGTCATAATAGTACATAGTGATAAAAAATGAAATTCAATGGTCAAGTTTGGAAGACGAGGATGGCAATGGTGGATGGTTCGAGCTTACCGAGTGACTTTTCGTATTGTATCTGTACTTTTCTCGAAGCCCAGGATCTTGGCCTTTTGATGTCTTTTGATGTCTTTTAATGTCTCTTTTCAAGCTATTTGACTAACGCTGGATTTGATCGTGCAGATTTTACGAAACGCATTTCTGGATTGAAGTACAACTTACTGAACCAGCAGGCAGAATTTTTCTGACGATGCCGAAACTTCTTTGGGTGAAATAAGGCGCAAAGCATGTTAATTTTATCGTTTTTGTCTAATGTGATCTTATATTAGCATATGAGTATTGAGGGACGCCAACGAAATTAAAAGTGCCACGATAAACGTTTGAGAGTAGTCTGAGGGCACGATGAGGACGAGATTACCATTCCAGCTAATTAGCTTCTCTTCAAAACATTTCGCAAAAAATTGATTTCGCCCAGGATCGAACTGGGGACGTTCTGCGTGTTAAGCAGATGCCATAACCGACTAGACCACGAAACCTCTGATGATGTAATCTCCGCGACGGTGAGAATATTATAGCATTTGATATTCTAGAGGTGGACCTACAACAGGGCGACTTCTCAAGAGCGTCGGTGACTGAATGCCTAGATGAAATAGTATGCATTCGAGTATGAAGAGCACTGGAGGTCAAGATCAAGATGAAGTGTCAGTACGTCCTTTTTTTATATAGTTTTAGTGAGAAGACTGAGCCTCAGAAGCGGAGCAGTCCTTCGAGACATTTATAATTATACATCACAGTCAACCTTCGATAATTAACAATTTGTTCTTCCCAGTTTCAGCATCAGTTTCTCCGTTGTAACGTTTTTCAGTCAAGAAACCCAAGACATAATCATCAAGCTTCTCTTGGTTTTATACTTTCGAATGATATCGTGACATTTGACGCTACGAAAGGTTCACCCGAGCTGACTCCAGAGCTAGCATGAACTGTGCCGTTGCATTCATTGACTCTATAAAACCCGAACGAGCATATGCCAGCTCCTAGAATACATACAATTATAATTATCCCCACTCGGGCCAATGGTTTCCTTAATTTTGATGCGACGAAGACGGTTGCAACGGATTGCCAAAATTCATCATGTTTGTTACGCTCTCAATATACTTATCACCCTGCGGTAGCTCTTGTCCCGACGCAATAACCGGCGAAAGTGCGCTTGGCGACTGGTGCATCATCATCATGTTCATGTGAGTTGCCGAATCCAGCGTATGACCGCCCAGCGGTAGTGGTGCCGAGCCTGGGTCAGGCGTTAGATCAGCAGGATTTTGGTAGCCAGAAGCATTGATCTGCGTGGCAGAGACATGTCTTTGAGCCGAGGGACGATTATGCTGCGGTTGTGTTTCCCTCTGGCTGGGCCCCATACCTTGACGGTGCAACTGCTGGATATCTCGTCGGTTCGGCAGCTCCGCTGTTGCAGCGTCGCGGGCCTGTTGTGTATTAGAAATCCTACTTTGGTTGTTTGAGATCATAGCAGAGTGTTCATCCGGTATTGGTGGATTCGAAAATGACCTATATCGCTGAGGTCTTTGCGTAGGATAATTTTGTTGGTGTTGTTGTTGTGGTGGTGGACGTTGCTGCGGGTACGGCGGATACTGCTGGTAGCTTTGCTGTTGCTGCTGCTGCATCATAATATACATGGACTTTTGATACTGATCATGTAGCTGTTGTTGCTTTAAGTTCCACTGCGTATCATTTTTCGAAAAATCGTCCTCTGGATGTTTCCTGACGCCCATCGCATCGTGCTGTTTCTGCATGTATATCATCATATTATCAGGAATGCCCGGTGCATTATTCATGGGCGGTGGAGCCATACCGGGGTGTTGATATTCTTTGATAGATGTCTCAATCCCATTTTTTGTCGTGTTTAGCGCTTGCTCACTCGAAGCACCGGAGTATGCTCTCACTACCGGTGAGAAATTCGAATACATTGGGTTTGGACCCAGTGGGCCTTGCGCATTTGGCACACCAAACTGATGAGATGGCACGGAAAGTCCAGACGGCCCCATTGCTGTGGGCATGCCGCCTGGGGCGGCTTGTACATGAGAATATGCCGACGCAGATTTCCTTAATGGTGACGATGGTGAAGCAGTCGTTTTGTTGGCCTTTAAATCATTAACTCTGGGGGGCGCCATCGATGGCTGCAACGGGCCCAGGGGCGCGAAGGCCGCAGCGTCGGTAGCCCCAAAATGCGGTTGTTGTGGTTGGTACTGTTGCTGCCGCTGCTGATACTGGTATGGCTGCTGCTGAGTCCAGTTCGGATTCGAAGTCGTTGAGCTTTGTACCATCGGTGGTCGCTGCGGCAGAATCGGCGTGACGGGATCGTGGAAAAGACGATTGCTGGATATTTTCTCGACAGACTGGGTTTCAATGAAATAGTGCAATGTCCACAGAGACTCCCACCACTCGCACAGAAACGTGTCCTTAGAGTTCATTAGCATCTTAGCGTGCAGGAGCTCATCGCTTTTGGCTTTGTCGTCAGGGATCGGCTTGGAAAGTGGCACGTCTGCTTCATCTAGCAGCCGTCGCGCCGTTCGGTAGTACTTGTGTTGAATCAGGTAGTTGTAGATATGCGCGTACAGCAATTGTCTTGAGTTTTTGGCCATCGCATCCGACACGAGAATGTGATGGTTGAAACGGGGCCGGTCGTCTCCAGACTGCTCCCCTGCTTGGTACGCACTGTTAGAAAAAGCTGGTGTATCCACAATATCCGCTGTTGGACTCCAACTCCCCGCTTTGGTGTTGTCTTTTGCACTTTCCCCTACGATATCATTAATCCCAGTATCTCCCATACTATGCCCAGGCTTTTTCCAAAACTTTCGACCGTTTTCAAAATGTCCAAGCAAGCAAAGCTCCCTTTCTCCCACTTTGTGAGTTGTATTCAAAGGATGCTACCCGCTATCTTGCTGTCTGATGGTCTCCAGACTTCCTTTCTGAATCTGCACCAACTTTTGTTCTGAGAAAGGCTCAGATACCCTAAAAAGCTCAGAATGTTTTCCGGGCTTTTTGGCAAGTTGGCCCTCAGTATGTAAACTGAAGGTTAAAACTGGCTCTGAATGTGTGAAGTAGACCAGGATGCGGTTTAGCTTTTGTCAGATGGTTTTTATAGAGTCTGGTACGTCTTAGCGGTTTGTTAATATATGATAATTATCCCTCTCGCGAACAGTAATCGCTTGGTACGGAAAATGATGATGATCGGCAAGTAGATATTCATAGATCACGTGAGTAGTGTCATGAGGCGTTGGACGACCAACGGCGAACGACACTGCGAGTGGATGGATCCAGCAATGATGGCAGTGCTTGTTCAGCTTTACAATGATTTTCAGTGCGCGTTGCGGAAGGGGATCTTTTTATTTTTTCGGGTTTCGCTTCCATGTGTCAAACCAAACGTGATTGTCTGTTTGTCAATTTCTGAATGCCCGTCTCTTTCTGGTCATTCAATACCCAGTTCCTGCTGTGATCGTAGTTTTAGTGTCATTCTGTGGTTCTTGCGTTCGCTCTTGTGCCATTGTATTTTCGTGTTCATTGATCTCTTCGTTAGGATGCATTTCATCAGACTCTTCTTCGTCCAGTCCAAGATCCAAATCAAAATCTTGTTCTTCGCTGTCGCCGGACTCGTCTATTTGATACGGCTCGTAATCTTCGTCGTCGTCGTCGTCATCGTCTTCTTCATCATCCTCGTCAAATTCGTCTTCATCGAATTCGTCGTCGGTCGTCTCTGGATGCGCTTTCATGCCAGCAAAAGCTTCCTGTGAGGCTTCTTCTAAGACTTCCTTCGAGGGTTCAGGACCAGCATTTTTAGCCCGCCTGTCGTTGAGAACGTGGAACGCAGAGACTTCTGTACTGGGCTCAGTGGGTTTCGAAATATTGAGTGTTTTTAGTTGTTGCTTCACACCGTGTGCGGTATCCATGTAATTGAGCTTGGGCGACGCCAAAGGCGACCCCAGCTCCAGGTAAAACTGTTTTCCTGCAGTTTTTGGGTTCCCAGTGGTTTTGTAACCTTGCAACGGACTGTTGGGCGTGGAGGGAGAGTTGGTCTCATAGCTTGTACTTTTGGAGCTCTTTGCATCAGAAAACGGCTCAGAAAAGTTCGTGGGCCTTTCGCTCGCATCTGCTTCTTCCGCAGCAACGCTATCCAGGTCCGAAAGATCGTCCAAATCAAGAATAGGCTCTCGCCAGAAATTCACATCTGTGAATTGCACGTCGCGTGGGCGATGAAACGACCTGCCCTCCACCACGGTGCCAGGAGGAGACCCTGGAGTTGGTGACAGGTTCCTACAATCATCCCCGCCGTTAGAGTAATTGGTAGCCACTGGTGGGAAAAAATGGTCCACCAGCTCATTGATGTGGATGTAAGAACTTCGATATCCAGCAAGCTCCAACAGCTCCATGTGAACCTCTCCATCGGGATTTATAGTGAAAATCCTGGAACTTGGGATACCAACGGTGCGGTAAGCGAGGGCATCTGTGATCCGGTTGCCAAATCCTGCAACAAAGGGTGTGGGAAAATCATCCCTTCTTGTGTCGTCATTCAATTTACTTAGCTCGACTTCTCCATAGTACAGTCTTCGGAGATCATTCAAGCAGGCAATTTTAAACACTTCAGGTTTTTTCAAAATGACCTCTCTTCTCAATGCTGCCATGGTTCTGTCTGGTGATAAGATAACGGGGCCGCGCGGTAGCTTGAAGCCGTCCTGAGCAATACTATTCAGATAGCTTCTAGTGGAATCTGCCTGACCGGCACTTCTAGCTGTTAGGTAGACCACGTTGTAACCATTTCTCTTGATCTCAGTGAACAGCTCTGCTACTCCAAGATGGGTCCAGTCTCTACCGATCATCGTTAAGACATGACCCAATGCGTCAGACTTTGTTATTGTACCATCAATGTCTGAAATGACAAGCGGTACGTCCCACCGCCAAAGAAACAGCTTTGCAGTAATAACGGCCCTGCTGTTATCAACGGAAAACGATAAGTCATTCTCACCATACCTCAAATCGAGACATCGCAGCTGTTCGGACGTGAGTCGAATAGTTTTGATATAATTTTTTGGAGCGACGGCCGAGTCTGGTGCTCTAGATGACGAAGGAGGAGTGTAGTCTGTTGAAGTTGTGATAGAAGTCTGTGTAGAGGTTTCTGAGGGGCATGAGCTGGGGATGTCGGGAACATCGCTTGGCTGCGGAGTGGGAGAGCCAGGCGGTGAAATAAAGCTTGCGTCGTCCCCCGGGTTCACGATCCGCATGTTACCGCTGCGATCTTCCCTCACAAACGATGAAATGTCAAAATCGGTGCCCAGCTCATCCTGGAGTAGCTGCTTCAGCATGGCGTCTGTGTCGTGCACTTTGTCCGTGCTAGGCTTGTAGCCCTCGATATCAAGCAACAAGTCGCCATTGTTGTCAAACTTACTGGGAATTTTTTTCTCGTGCAGCTTTTGGTTAAGCTTACGAGCTCTTTCCTCGAATATCGAGTGTCGTCTAGGAGGAGGGGGAGTTGAGGGCATTAGGGTATCCACTTGCACCGGTTTGCCGATATCCAAAAAATCAGGCTCTTCCAATGGCGCTATGTTGCTTTCTGTGTCGTTCGGGGTAGCTGATGGGCTGCTGGTAGCGCTCACTACAGGCGAAGAGATGAGTTCATCCGGAATTGCATCAACATCTGCCTCCGTTTCGAACACAAAGTACGCCTCCCCAGAGTCCCCCAGCTTCATAGGAATGTTTGTGGGCTGTCCGTTAACAGAAACGAGCACTTTTTTTTGCGAGGGCTTCAGGATTTGGAACTTTCCAAACCGTACATGAAACGGCGAGCATGCCAGTCTACCATCCGGATGTTCTACAACGACCACATCGATCGCTCCAGACAAGGTAGATGGGTTGATGGACGACCAAGTCTTCGACACCGATCCTATAGCTCGTCCAACGTATTGCATTGACGGAGTGTGAGACCTAAGACCAAGGTTTAGTGTGGGTAAAGGTGGTTACAAGAGTTCAAGGGCTTTTGGATTTACATGTGAACTTAATATATCCTATGCATTATAGAATTTCACCACTCACGTGTAGTTGACTTTAGAGACGGTAAACTACAAAGTGATATAAGGAAGGCTGTGGTTCGAATCCCGTAGGACGCTTGTTTTCGGTTGGATTCGAAAACTTTAGATCTATGGAATATGCATGTATCAATAGGTTGGGAATAGCCACAGTATGGATGTTAGTGCCCAAGTTTGTTGTTTGTGCTTGTTGGTGTTTGTTTGTTTGTTTGGGTGGCTGGAATTGGAATATTTAGACAGCGCGCGCGTTGCAAGACTGACCATTTCGCAAGTTTGCTTTGTATTTACAGGATTTGGCGCACGAAGGAAAAGGACGAGCACGTAGCATGGCGAGGTTTTCGTTATGGGAGAGGGACTTTGTCATTATTATTTTCATCGGTATCGATCAAGTGATTTTAGCGTCACCTGGTATAGCAGCAGCATGATACTGCTTTGGACACTGGTCCAAATAAATCTGGGTCCCACGCCGCTGAAGAAGCCCAGAACACCCTCGGACCTGTACACGGCGCCCAGACCTTTCAAAAGCGAGTTTTCAATCCTCACCAGCCGCGAATTATCCGTCGTGCGGCTCGACGGAATCTGGGTCTGAATACGCGTTTTGATCACGTCCATTGGAGTGGTCAGGATACCGGCCAAACCACCAGCTGCAGCACCAGTCAGTAGCTCACTCAGCACCGAAAGATCTTGGTTCTGTGACTTGCGTTCCAGACCGAAGGCCCACTGACGGAATCTTTCATAAAATGCAAATTGGAAGGCGCTAAACGGCAGATCTCTGCTCAGCGTAGCTTTGTACCCAAAAAATAGCGTCTGCCAGCCCTCTACCTTCACAATGGTGGCAATTGCGTTCCTGAGATTGACGTAATTGTAGCCAGATTGGAAATGCGGGTTGTCAAAGCGTCCTTGCAGCTGCAGCCGCGTCTTGAGGACTTCACTAGGTACATACACCACGCTGGAAACCAAATCACCGCCCAGGCCCGCTGTAAGGTGCGAAAAGGTCTCGTTGACAGCCCAGTCGTCGATCATTTTTCGCTTTAGAAATTCGTACGTGCCGAAGAAGATAGCGGCACTCGGCATCGAGCCGATCATAGCAGCGCTGTATCCTCCATACAGACCCTTACGAAAACCTTCTTCCACGAAAATCGTCTTGTAGGCCGAAAGCATATGTCTGTATTTCACGGCATTGGGCGCACCCTGTTGTCGAGTTTTGACGGTGTCGAGTGAATGCATCACAGAGTCGCCAATAGCGCCTCCTATTCCTCCTGCCAAAACACAATGCAAAATTGGAATGTATTCGGGCTCATTCCCCCCCGGTTTGTGCGCTCCGTTGGCTAGTTCGCCGTCTTTCGGCCAGTTACTGGTTTTCCCAGGCGGTTGCTCGTGGGGCGGATGTATTACAGGTATCGACGAAGTGAACGAGAACATGTCCTCATGCGTTGTCAGTGCGTATTCTCAGCTAGAGAAGTATGCCCCTTTTGGGTCACTTCCAAGACTTCTGTTAGTAACGGACGATCAAGCTGAGCTGGTTAAAGCTGTGAAGATGTTTTCATATCTCGAGCTTATTCCATTTTCACGATTCGACTAAATACTCGACTGGATAATTGACTAGATGAAATGGGGAAACGGCGCTGGTGGGCATGAATATACACTTAACTACTCTACTAAAACCACATCTATGGCATTGTGACTCGACTTTCACGTATTGTCTATAAACCTGTTTGATTCTAAAATTTACGATGTCGTTTTGGGCCGACGACAAAACGGGAAAAATACACACGCCAACCCAGCGTGTGCAGTTACCGTAGGTATGCATGCGTACGTACGTGTCCAGTGCTGTGTTTCAGAGAGGGAACTCGAAGCGCAGGGTGTTGAATTTGGTATACTTTCAAAATTTCATCTTGGCTTGTGAAATGATTTCGCTGTGGTGGGGTACGAATACAATTTCGATTCTGTCACAACGCAACCTTGCCTGAAAAAACCTGCATCTAGTAGTCAATCTCGTACGCTGGTATTATTGGTGCCGCAGCAATACGATTTTCACGAAACGGAACGAACAGCACTTCTGAAATCGCGAATAACTCTGACGTATTAAGAACATACCGAAAGTTTATTAGGAATCCTTCGACTCTCCTCAAAATAGAGGAAAAAGCAGCGTCCTCATAAAATACAACTGTTACCGTATAAGTCAAAAACAAACGCTTTGCCCAATGATTCGTATTGTTCACGCCACAAAAGCCAAATGAGCACAAAAATCAGCGAGAAAGGCCTCCGAAAATAGCCTAAAAACTCCGTGCATGTCTAGAGTCGTTAAATTCGAAGCCCAAGTGGCTCCCAGGCCATCATCGTAACGAAACTTCGTCAGATCTTCAAACCTTCGTCCATGGCGACCCTGTCTCAAGCCTTTAAGTCTTCATCTTATATTAACACATTGGCAGATCCATTTCAGGCATCGGCGAAGAAAGAGCCCAAATACCAGACTTTGAAGAGCCTGGGAAGCCTTGGATTAGACCTGAATGTTAGCCAGTGGTGCTAAACGCTGTCGGGTGAATTCGAGGTCCAACACAGCATTTTTAAATGCGTTCTGGGCGTTTCAAAAACCTGTGAGAACTTACAAAGTTTTAGCGATCGAAACCAGCTGTGATGACACTTGTGTTGCCATTTTAGATCGTAAAAATCCCAATGAGGCACCTCAAGTGCTTGTACATCTAAAAGAGACTCTTGAAAGTGGCCAAGACGGAGGGATCATCCCAACACGCGCTCATTTGCACCACCAGCAAAAAATAGGTCCATTGGTGCAAGCAGCTCTTGCACAAACAGCTTCAAACGCCGATATAGACTTGGTATGCGTCACAAGAGGTCCAGGGATGCCTGGGTCACTCTCCGGGGGGCTTGATTTCGCAAAAGGTTTGGCTGTGGCCTGGAATATCCCTCTGGTTGGCGTGCACCATATGCTAGGACACCTGCTAGTTCCACGCATGCAACATAATGCCCTTGAACCTCGATTCCCATTCGTAAGCCTTCTTGTCAGCGGCGGCCATACGCTTGTCGTGCTTTCGAAAGCTTTAAACGAGCACGAAATTCTCTGTGACACTATTGACATTGCAATCGGTGATTCATTGGACAAATGTGCGCGAGAAATCGGCATTCGAGGCAACATGATTGCCAAAACAATGGAATCCTTCATTAACGAAAATCTTGATGACGCTCATAGTGGTGCAATCCCAATGACACTTCCTAAACCACTAGGAAATCAAAATGGACGCATGAACGTGCAGAAATTCTCTTTTGCTCCGTTCCTAACTGCTGTCAGGCAAAACCTGACGAAAGGCATTCAGCTTTACACGGACCGCGAAAGGCGATCGATGGCATACCAGATTCAGGAATGCTTGTTCGATCATTTAATCACAAAATTGAAGCTGGTCATCAATATGCGACCAGAGATCTTTCAGGATGTCAAACAATTAGTGTGTTCGGGCGGTGTTGGTGCCAACAAAAGGCTACAACAACGCTTACAAACCGAGCTGGCCAATTCTTTCAAGAAATTCCATTATCCGAAACCTTCCTTATGCACTGATAACGCAGTAATGATTGGATGGGCCGGAATAGAACTCTATGAGACCTTGGGCTTGAAAACCGAACTAGACGTGGGGCCAATCAAAAAATGGCCAATCACCGAAATACTCCAAGTTCCCGGCTGGAGTTGCCAATGAGTGCTGTCATTAAGGAATAAATGACTCCTGTATATTATATTTGCGTATCAGTGCTCTCCACGTAGACATGTCCATTTGGAAAATAAGATGATTTTGTCTACCGTCACCGAGAGTATGCCTCTCATCGTCTGGCCCTTCAGAGGCTTCGTTGACGGCCCTGATGGCAGGGAACCCTTCTGCATCTTCCTCCAGCATGATCTTGCCCTCTTTTATTAGAAAGCTGGTGTAAAATAGGTGTTCCACGGTTCTGGGGAAGGAGTGGGGGTCGATGATGAAATCAAAGAGCCCAATTTGGTCGTAGCCCTTTCTCCTGACCAGCGTCTTGTAGCATTTCTTGACCTGTCCCGGCGTAGTTTTTTCCTGCGTGGCGCTCAGAGACTCTTTGCTTACCTTTTGCGCCGTAGCCACCTCGCCAGTTGGATTTTCTACCGCCCTGCTCCCGTGCGTGACGTTAGGTCTTCTCTTTTCTGCTGCAAAGGGTCCTAGTAGATGGTCCACGACGACCGGCGCCTTGGACTTGGTCTGGTATAGCATACCGACCTTGAACCAATTGAACTGTGCGAACTGGTCGTACCGATCGAGCTGTTGTAAAACCTCGCGCTCGTTCCTGTGTTGTGCTAGTCCGCTGCCTACCCCTTCAGAACTCCCATGGTCGCTTCTCGTGTTCATAAATGCAGTCTGTGGGCCCTCTTCGACGTCGTTCCGCCGAAAATAATCCTGCAGCATAAACCGTTTCGCATACCGCAATATGTCGTGTCTATTCACAGCCACTTCCGAGTTGTCTAGCTTCATGTTACGCACGCTGAGCTCTGCAAGCTCACTGACCCCTAGCACCGTGCGTGCATCCTGTTCAATCAACGAGTTTTTGTTTGAACCCGCTTTATCCAGCTCACCAAACAGCTGATCCACCGCTTCCAAGCGTTCTTTCACCAAACTGAAGTCCCCATTTCGCGTTATTTCCACTCTGTCCTTCCCAATGTTGCTGTACAGATCTCTGTACTTGGTCAGGATCTCGAAATCGGATACTCCGTCACCGGTCGCTGCGACTTCGTTCGAAGGCTCTGGAGTTATAATTCCATTGTCTTCTTCCAGCTTGAGACGCTTTGATACGCGCGGTTGGGTATCTTGGGCTCTCTTCCTGGCCATGTCTATATGTTCTTGTTCAACATCTGAATTGTAGAGATGAGATGAGATACAAGATGAGATGAGATGAGTTAAATATTCAAAACTATATTTCAACGGAAACAAATGCACAAATAATCCAGCACACAATGTCTTCGAGGATTAAGGTAAGTGGGAACTTGGTGAGGCAAGTTTTGGAGCTTTTTGAGTGTATTTTGAACTAACATCGATGTGTTTTGACCTTAGGCTTTGGACGAATCGGTTGTGAACAAAATCGCAGCAGGAGAGATCATTGTGGGACCAGTAAATGCCCTGAAAGAGATGATGGAGAACTCAATTGATGCGGGGGCAACTTCGATTGATATACTGGTGCGAGATGGGGGGCTTAAGGTCTTGCAGTTGACGGATAATGGATCAGGAATCGACAAGAACGATTTGCCAATCCTATGTGAGCGGTTCACTACGTCGAAACTGACGGCATTCGAGGACCTGAGCTCGATTCAAACGTATGGGTTTCGTGGTGAGGCACTTGCAAGTATCTCCCACATTGCTCGTGTCACAGTAACGACGAAAACCCAAAGCGATGCCTGCGCGTGGAAAGTTTCGTACGCCGCAGGCAAGATGCTGGGTGAGCCAAAACCGACAGCAGGGAAAGACGGCACTGCTATACTCGTGGAGGACCTGTTTTACAACGTGCACTCGCGGCTCCGCGCGCTGCGGTCGCCCAACGAAGAGCTAGCCAAAATCCTGGACTGCGTAGGCCGATACGCCATCAATGCGTTTCAAATCGGGTTCTCGTGCAAGAAGTTTGGCGACTCGCAATTTGCTCTATCGGTCAAAGCAAACTCAACAACCAGGGAGAGGATACGAGCCATTTTTGGACGCGTGGTTGGCGAAAACCTGGTTGAGCTGAACCTCGCTGAAAACCCCCAGTTTGGTGTTTCTGCGCATGGCCAAGTCAGCAATCTCAACTTTGTGAGCAAGAAAGCAATTACCCCAGTTTTGTTCATCAACAACCGTCTAGTGACATGCGATCCACTCCGACGGGCACTGAACCAAGTATATGGGTCTTATTTGGCGAAAGGCAACAAGCCGTTTATCTTTCTCAGCCTCAGTATACGTCCAGACCTAGTCGATGTGAACGTACATCCTACAAAACGAGAAGTTAGGTTCTTACACGACGATGAAATTGTGGAACTGGTCGCGAGTCGGCTGGAGGATGCTCTCGCTAGCGTTGACACGTCCCGCTCTTTCACAACTACGTCTATATACACTCCAAACCCAGTTTCCATTCGAGAGGGTTTGGGACAGCCACACTCACACTTAATCAACAACATGCCTGTGTCAAGCGTTACCAATAAGATAAAGCGCCAAGAAAACAAGATGGTTCGCATAGACTCTTCCCAAAACAAAATTACCAACTATTTGAAGACTGCGGAGATCCATCCAGGGCCTTCAGGAAATGCTTTTGACTCGCAGCTTGGTCAGGCAGTTTCCGTCAATCTATCTCCTGATTCAACAACCCAAACCCAAGAAATCGAATCCAACGATTCAGTTGCGAATGCCAGAGACCCAGTATACTCGGTATTGAGAAGTGAGTGGTCCGATGTCAATCTCGCAAGTGTGAAGACGCTAAGAAAAATGGTGGACGACGACACTAGTAAGGAGTTGACCAATGCATTTGCAAACTTGACCTATGTCGGGGTAGTTGATGAGCAAAGAAGATTGGCTACAATTCAACATGAACTGAGACTTTACCTTGTCGACTACGGCTCAATCTGCTACAATCTGTTTTACCAAATTGGCCTTACCGACTTTGCAAACTTTGGTAAAATTTATCTGGAATTAGAAGCTTCACTTTCCGCCGACAAGGGCATCGTTATTCAGGATCTGTTGATTCAAACGCTCAATCCTGGTGGCAATCTAGTTGCATCGCTCTTACAGAAGATATGGGACATGAAGGAAATGCTTGACGAGTATTTTTCGATCGAAATCCATGGCAACAGCAATGACCTGCGCTCCATCCGGATCGCGAGTGTGCCTCTACTGTTGAAGGGATACATGCCCCCTCTGTCGAAGCTCCCATATTTTCTCTACAGATTGGGTAACAAAGTTGACTGGTCAGACGAAATGCCATGCTTACATGGCATATTGCAACAAATAGCATTGCTCTACGTCCCTGAAGTCATTGAGAGAATTGATCCAGAGGATGAATCAGTAGAATCTGAGGAACGGGCCGCATACGTTGCAAAAGTGGATTTAATGACAGCCACCTTGGAACAAACAATCTTCCCCTGCATTAAAAAAAGACTTCTTGTTCCAAAGTCTCTAAAGAGCAGCGTAATCGAGGTCGCCAATTTGCCTGGACTGTATAAGGTCTTTGAACGGTGTTGACTCTGCTGAATTTAGTCTAGAATCTCAAACAAACTAAACCGGTCTTCGAAGTCACGAACAAATTTCATAAAATCACGACTTTGACTTTCGTTCTCTTCATTCTCGGGCATTCTACTGTCCACCTTATCCCATTTGAGGAGTAATCGGCTTTGTCGCCTACTGCTTTCTTGTAACATTCCCATATCGTTGCGCAGTATTGTGTAAACAGGATGATTCAGTCCCTCTCCATCGTCAACAACGCGGACATTACGCCAAAGCTTTCGGAGTTCCCTGAGCCTTTCTGCTAGTACAGATGCCCTTTTTGAGATATCGTTCTTTTTCAAGTCCTCACTGTCACAAATCTCAGTCAAATCCAAAGCCAACTGCTCATTCACGGACGAGGAGTCAAATACAAAGCACAAAGAATGAAAAGTTAGCACCTTTGAAATGGCGCTTACCACAAATGGCAATTTGTTCAGAAACCCCATGCCCACCTTGATATTATGAACAATCAGAGCTATCATCATCGTCGAGAATTGATAAAGCTTAACATGACCAGATTCTTGGTCATAGTAAGTATATGCAAGATTACTGATCTTCCAATTAACGACATTCAGTAAGAAACTGACAATGAATTTCTCACACCTAGTACTAGCGGATACTTTAGCGTCCAGTGCTTGAGCTTTGTGCAGAAAAATATCCACCTGCCTTTGTACAGCATCCAAAGTCTTTAGCGGCGGTTTTGTTTGAGTGTCGAAGTATTTTCTGACATCACGATCTAGAGAAGTTACTTTCCACAGAAGGGCCTCGAAGGTTTCCTCACTTTGGTAGACATCAACGTTGGGTCTATCCATTAAAAAGGCAGCGTGATTCAGCAGCGAGTTGTTCGTTTCGTGAACGGACAAGGGTTTATCGATGCCTGATTGCCAATAATCGTGGACGCATAGACGATACCAAATCTTCTCACAGGACAGTTTGGTCAGTCTTACATCAGTTGTATCCGCCACCGAAATTTTGAAAAGGTCCAGTTGCCAATATTTCGCTAGGTGCAGACAATGAGTTAACAGACTGTTCGCAAGCGGTGGATCGTCAGTCGGGAATGAGGTCGAGGCAAGGATCAAATATGTTTGAATAATCTTAACATCGGGGAAAGCCATGAAATTGGCTCTAGTCAGCATTTGCAGAGATACATTGGCGAAATCGGCAGCAATGTTAGCACGAGCTTGTTCTGTGAGGCCTGACTCTTGCAGCTCAGCTTGCATGCATGCTAAATGCGTCTCCAACATTAGTGTCTCCAACGCCTTGAGCGGTATGTAATAAACGGTCAGTGTGAGAATTGACCATAGAAGGGCATTCCATAGATAGTTCTCTGGAGTTATGTCATTTCTGGCTATTTTAGTTCGACCCCAGTATTCTTCCAGCTCGATATACAGCTCACCCACGTCGCTTAAAACGCCAAAATACAACCCACCCAAGTTTTCTACCGAGTAATCAAGAAGCTTGAAAGATAGTTCCATGTTCATTTGTTCGAGCCAGAGGTCTGCCCTTTCGTTTTGGGACCTCCAATCCCACTGTTGCCGATTTTGAAGCTTTCTAGTCCAGCTTTGACAGCCCTTGCCCAAAAGCCCATTGTCTATAATCCAAACGCTGTAAGCATGCCACAGAATTAGAAATTCTTGCTTGTTGGTGTTTAAACTGTTTCCTGCGTTGTTAAGTTCGAGCTTATAGGACGCGATGCATTTATCCTCTTCACCTCTTTTAACGCAGTTTGAACAAGGAACTGCTCGATCACATTTCACCTTCCGTTTCACGCAAACAGAGCAAGGACCCTTGGATTTGGCGGGCTTAAACCGAGGAATCATTGGCCTGAGAAGTCCATAGGTTGACACTCTTGATACCTGTGCTTTAGCTCATCGCTTAACATATAAGAGTTAGGTTTATTTTGTTTACATGATTTAAATGATCAGCCTTCACTTTGAACGACTGTGTCGTTGGGAATCCTCCAGCGATGACACTCAGCATCGAGATTCCCAATGGCTCAGTAGCAAATTTAAACGTTCAGCGTTGGCGTTTTCCATAATTTCTGCTTGTTCAGAAAAAGGGTTTGTAGCTTATTCGCTTGTAAACTAAAATAGTTCAAAACGTTCAATTAATGCCACGTCTTCAGTCACTAGTTTTCCGTAGATCTAAAGCTTAGATATGTTGACGTGCACGGCTTTTGTTTGAGTGTATGCGTCCATACCACTTTCACCAAGTTCACGGCCAATTCCGCTCATCTTGAAGCCACCGAAAGGAACTGAGATTTCCTCATCGTTGGATGAGTTGATCCACACGGTTCCGGCCTTGATGTCTCGCGCGAAAAAGTTGGCCTTGCGAATGTCTTCAGTGAAAACTGCCGACGCCAAGCCGTAGGTAGTGTTATTGGCAAGCGCAATGGCTTCATCGTAGTCTTTGAATTTCTGAAGAACTGCAACAGGCCCAAAAATCTCTTCTTGAAATAGTTTGGACTCTGCAGGAACCTCTGTGAACACAGTTGGGGTGATGAAAAAGCCATCGTTCTGTGGATCAGTCCCCATATGTTTCACGCTGAGTTTTTCTTGAGTTTTACCGTGTTCGATGTACCCACGGACTCTGTCGTACTGCGCTTTGGAAATGACAGGCCCAACAGTGCAGGATTTGTCAAAAGGGTCGCTGTTAAAGCCAAAAGTCCATTCTTCTTGCACATGTCTGGTGAATTTGGCTAGAAATTCATCGTAGATCGATTCTTGCACAAGCAAACGCGAGTTGGCAGTGCAGTTTTGCCCAGAGTTATAGTAAATACCAGCTGCAGTCCATTTGACGGCCTCGTCGAGGTTGGCGTCGGCAAAAACAACACCGGGCGACTTGCCACCGCATTCCAACGTCACGGCTTTCAAATTCGACGTGGCTGCCAGAGCCATGACTTTCTGTCCCACAGCGGTGCTGCCTGTGAAAGCGATCTTGTCGACGTCTATGTGCGAGGCCAAACTCGAGCCAGTGACAGCTCCAAGACCTGGGAGCACGTTGACCACGCCGGGGGGAAAGCCAGCTTTCTCAAAAAGCTGTGCAAAAAAAAGTAGCGACAACGACGTATTTTCTGCAGGTTTGATGACAATGGTGTTACCTGCAGCGAGGGCGCCCTGCATTTTCCAACTAGCCATAGCCAAGGGATAGTTCCAGGGCACGATCTGGGCGACGACCCCGTAAGGTGCCTTGACGGTGTAGGCGTATTTATCGTTGTTGACAGGGATCATCTGGCCCTTGGAGTACTTATCGGCGCCGCCTGCGTAGTAAGTGGTCAACTGCGAAATCTGGTCGAGATCCCCTAGTGCGTTGGTGTAGTAAGGTTTACCGGAGTCCAGTGTTTCGATGGCCGCAAGGAGTTCTTTGTTTTCGACGATGAGTTTTCCCAGATTGCTGATGAGGGCACCACGGTGCTCAGCAGAGGTCTTGCTCCACACCGTTTCGTACGCCTCGCGGGCTGCTGCCACTGCGGTGCCTACGTCGGCCTCAGAAGCCGCGTAAAACGACGTGATAGGGGTGTTGGTGGCAGGGTTGACGGTTTCGATTGTTTTTTTGTCGCTGGAGGCCACATACTTGTTGTTGATGAACAGTCCGAGAGGTTGCTTGTACGAAATGTTTAGCTGAGGGATCGAAAGATCGGTGAACAGAGACATTACGGATGGATATTAGTGGATAATTGGTCCAGACTAAGAGCTTGTGTTGTGTGAGAAAGAGAGTGTACTTCTTTCTGGGTTCCTCTTTTCTCTGTTTCTTGCCAGTAGAGGATGCGAGGTGCCCTAAGTGCTAATTTCGATATATTTAAAGATATATTAGACAGAAAACGTCCGGAGGAAAAGACGAGCAATTTATCGAACTATAGGCCCCGGGCCCTGTAGATTTATACTCAATTGAACCTTGAAGGGTCTGTTTGTTCTCTGGACACTTTTTTCCACCCCTCGGTGCTAGAAGAAGATACCGATGACTTCTGATCTATGCAATTCCTGTAATTAAGATAAAACGTCTGTCTTGAGTCGTCCCAACATCGCACGCAATGCCAAAATTCAAAGCGGTCCCTAAGATCAGCCCCAAACCTCGTTCGCCATTCTATTCCCGAGTCTCTCAAAACTCGTTCAACCCATAATTTCCGGAGAACAGGTCGTCAAGAGCGTTTGCTGTGTGCGGAGTGGGCGCAGAACCACTGGATAAGATACACGGAGCGAACAACGCGATGTGCGCAACGTATTGGGCGGGACACGAAACGCTGTAGCGTCAGATCTCAGCGGGAGTTCCAGTGATTTCGTTCGTATCTTTCACCAGTTCGTGGCGGAAAGTAGATGATGAGTTTTCACTTATCAGCTTATCAGGCTATCTTTCTCAATAATTCAGAGCGTCAGCGACCAGATCCTCTGGTCGCACACCTGCGCAACTAGAAATTTTCCTCTGCTCGCCCATGAAGCGCTTAGATAAGGACCAAAAAATCACTGTACACGTAATGTTTATCTTTAAAACCCCTATAAATCCTGGCGGGAAAAGTATATAAGGCGCGTAAGATCTGATCGAGAAACAACCTTTTCTTGCCTCTAAATCTCTCCTCCTTGGGATCCACTAGAACATCAATCGTTGGCATCTTGCACTTGCTATTGGAACGCGCGAGCTTTTGTTAACTGACTTACTAGAGGCTTCTTTTCTTGTTTTTCAAGAGCCCAAACAAAATACACGCCCACACACATCCAATGACAGAACTGTTCCAAGAGATCGAACTGCCCTCAGGAGGGTCGTACAATCAGCCTCTAGGGCTTTTCATCAACAACGAGTGGGTGGCATCGTCGTGCGACGAGAAAATCGAGTCAATTGACGCGTCCACAGGCGAGGTGATCGCCGCTGTGCAAGCTGCAGACGCCAAGCTGGACGTCGATAAGGCCGTGGATGCTGCTCGTAAGGCATTCCCTGTGTGGAGAGACACGCCAGCAACGCAAAAGAGAGATCTACTGCTCAAATTGGCCACGATCGTGGAGCAAAACGCAGAACAGCTTGCAAAAGTTGAATCGCTCGACAGCGGTAAGCCTCTCGAGGCCAACGCCAAGGACGACGTCGGTGCAATCACCCAAGTGCTCAAATACTACGCTGGCTGGGCCGACAAGGCCCCGGGCCAGTCGTTCAGCCCAGACGCCAATACCCTCACGTACACGATCCACCAGCCACTGGGCGTGGTCGGGTGCATCATCCCATTCAACTACCCACTCGCGATGATGGCGTGGAAATGGACTGCCATTGCCACGGGCAACACAGCCGTGTTCAAGAGCGCCGAGCAGACACCGCTGTCGATCTTGTTCTTCGCCAACCTCGTCAAGGAAGCTGGCTTTCCTCCGGGCGTTTTCAACGTACTTTCGGGCACAGGTGCCAAAGTGGGCGACGCCATGGCCAAGCACCTTGGTATCGACAAGATCGCATTCACCGGTTCCACTCCAGTGGGCCAGCTAATCCAGCAGTCTGCAGCCGTGAACTTGAAACCCGTCACTTTGGAATGCGGCGGTAAGTCGCCCAACGTGATCTTCGAAGACGCCGATTTCCACAAGGCCGTCAAATGGACAGCCGAGGGCATTTTCAGCAACATGGGCCAGATTTGCTCTGGAACTTCCAGGTGTTTTGTACAGGAATCCATCTACGACAAGTTTGTAGATGCATTGGCCAAGCATGTTGAGGAAAACTACATTGTCGGCCATCCCACTGAACCAGGCGTGAAAGTCGGTCCTCAGATCTCCAAAAGACAACAAGAACGCATCCAGTATTATATTCAAAAGGGTATTGACGAGGGCTGCCGTGTGGCTCTTGGAGGTCCTGGTTTGCCAGACTCGATAGCTCAATCCGAAAAGTGCAAAAGCGGGTTTTACGTGAAGCCCACGATTCTAGCCAATGTGACCTCCAGCCACATTGTGGCCCGCGAGGAAATATTTGGCCCCGTTATCGTCATTGGCAAGTTTTCCACTTACGACGAAGCCCTAGAGATTGCCAATGACTCCTGCTACGGTCTAGGGTCTGCAGTTTTCACACAGGACATCACCAAGGCCCACAAATTTGCATCTCAAGTAGAGGCCGGTGTATGCTACGTGAATTCTTCCAACCAGGTCGACTTCGCATTGCCATTCGGTGGTGTGAAAATGAGTGGTCACGGTCGGGAACTGGGCGAATATGGACTCGGCAATTTCACCAGTGTGAAGGCTGTTTACGTTAATTTGGGCAACTAAAAAGCTCGAGCAAGAGGAACAGCATACGCTTCAAAAAGTTAAAGGACAACTGAATTGACATATCTGTCCTATTACACACAGACACTTGTATAAACTGAGTATACCATTCCATCCAAAAGTTTTGATCTTCTTTTTTAAACAGAGACACCGGAAAGCGCGCCAAACTACGTATTGGGTATTGCGAAGTCAACAAGACGTGGAGGCAGATAATTTCGGGTTGTTCGTTACTCATTGTTCGTTGCTTGCGAGTTCATGACAGAATAGTACAAAGTGATAAACATTGTATATATTCATGACAGCTTCACATGCCAATGCTGATATGCACTGAGTGGTTGGTAATGCTTAAAGTGCTAGTCATAAAACTGCTGAAGATTGAAATCTAAACCCAATGCGGTGCCATTTGCGTCGCATCGTTCCTATCCTATTTCAGACGGATTTTTTTAGGCCTACAAAAAGCTCGAAAATTAATCACACGATTCACAAGCAACTCCACAGCACTACGCAACCATAAATCTAAAGCCAAAGACAGCTTTTCCGCGGTCAACTTTGCCTATAATCTTGACTCAAATTTTGTCTCAAGCCCGAATCATATCACTTTTTCCCAAACAGTCGCTTTTTCAAGAACTTTCTCTATAATCTCTTACGTACAAAACGACAATTTCTATTTTTTTGAGAAATCTTAACGATCGTAATAGTACAACAACAACGCTACATCAATAACTACAAATTCGACGCAATATTCAAGGGTTTAAGACACGTATTTCAACCATTGGGTAGGCAAACATCATTGTAATTTCTCGGTTTTGTCGACTCGACTCGAAAACTACAGAAAAAACCAGTTTATCAGGCGTTTTTCCGGCTTCAATTTACCGTTAATATTGGGTGAAATCGTACTATAGGGCCTTACGATCTAACTTGTCGCTATTGTTTGGTTCATACACACACATACACACATACACACTCGATGGAAGACTACAGTGGGAGCGGAATGGAATACCAAAACCAGTACCAGGACGCTTACGATGTTTCGCCGAGTTTGAACAATGGCGACGCACAGAATAGCAACTCTCACGCGAGCGTGGAAAATCAAAACAGTAACGACGGGCAGAATATCTCGCGTTCCACCAGTGCCCAGGGCGATGCAGGAGACAGACCCCGGACCAAGAGAACTCGGGCCACAGGTGAGGCGCTCAATGTGCTCAAACGCGAGTTTGACGAAAATCCCAACCCAAATGCTCAGAACCGGAAACGAATTTCAGAATTGACGGGATTGCCTGAGAAAAACGTACGGATCTGGTTCCAAAACCGACGTGCAAAGCATAGAAAGACTGGGTCTGGCGTCACGGGCAGTGGCGGAGGCAGTGGCTACGCACACAGCCGAGGACCGGGAAGAAATGGCAATTCGGGCACATCGACCGCAACGGACGTAAGCGCCGCTACAAACGCTGCTTATCCAGCAGCAGACTTCGACCGCATCCCGCTGGACACCAATCCCAACTACTGCTTTTTGGATGTGAAGTCTCTCACCGTGGGCACTTGGAAAAGGCTTAAAAGCGGGAATTTGAAGAAAGAGGAACTTCCCACCATAAAAAGCCTCTCTAATCTCTCCCCCTTCTCTGTAAACGAAATTATGGCAAACGCTACGGATCTAATGGTGTTGATATCCAAGAAAAATCACGAAATAAACTATTTTTTCAGTGCCATTGCAAACAATACCAAGATATTGTTTCGCATTTTCTTCCCCATAAACACCGTTGTAAACTGTTCTGTGGTTCTAAGCTCAGAAGAGTTACCAAGTCCTGCTCAAGATGAAGACGAGGATTCTCACTCCAATGACGAAGTACGAAACAAAGATCAGCTATACGAACTTCGACTCAATGTTACTAAATCTCCTACTTTTGCTGTCTATTTTTCGGACGGTGTAGATCAGTACTCATCGAACCAGTGGTCGATCTGCGAGGATTTCTCTGAGGGCAGACAGGTAAGCGAGGCGTTTATCGGTGGAACCAACATTCCCCACGTTATTGTGGGGTTGAGGGAACACCTAGATTTTATGAATGAAACGATACAGGACTACAGCGGTAGGTCTCAGGACCCTATGAACTCTTCCGAGTCGCAACCTCTCATACTTCACCCCGAGCCTCATTCAATGGGTCAGCAACAGCAACCTTTTTTTGATAGCTTCAATGATCAAGACGGAATGTACGGAATGAATGAACAGAACAATGGTCAGTTCGTTTCCTCATCCACTGCGCAACCCCATTCCTACACCCAGCAGCCTCAAACATCAAATGAAAATGAACATGTACCGTCCAACTACACTGATCCCAACGTGCCACGAACTCCTGATTTTCTCAAAAGTGACGTCGGGAATGAAGAGCAAAGTGGTCTCAATAACTTGTTGATCTTCGATGATCAGAATAATTCAAGCACGAAGAATGTTCCAAATTATTATTGAGCACCTTTCGTCGTTTTCGTAACAAGAATAATTGAGTCCGAGTAGCATGCACGCACTTTAAGAGCATTGTATTATTGATTAAGCAAGCATACACACCTCTTTTTTAATCTCCCAGTATGGATTCATACACTACTACCGCGGCTACAAATTTCTAACACAAAAACATAGTTCGATAGTCTATAAGAATTGGTTAGCCATGGTATTTTTACCAAGCTTGTTTCCGCCGTAAGAATCATTTTGCTCTTCATCTGCGCTGGCCAGCGCTTCTAGCTCGCGCGAGGTATCCCCTTCCACCACTTCATCTTGGTCATCAGAATGATATATGGGAGGCTCGGCAGGAAGAGAGTTTAGGGTATACTGACCGGCGATGGAGGGCTGGGGAGAAACGCTAAACTCGAACCCTGGCGGTGGAGGCAGTAAATGACCGTCTTGGTCTATAATGTCCCCATCGGTGGTGGATATACTTTCGTCGTCAGTGGCATCATCCTCGTAGCTGCTTTCTAGCAATACATCGTGGTCATAATTATCGTAAGATGGTGGAGGCAGTTTCATACCCTGAGATTTAGCGTACCCCCATTTTTTCACATTGGCCTCGATGAACACGAACCCATAAGTTCCAAAATTGACGTGAATTTTACATGGAACGTTGGATCCAACAATGGGGTAGATATACTTGAATTTCCATCCTTTGATGTGACCACCGATTGTTTTCTCACTAAGTTTCTTACCATTTCTGGTGAAAAACACTGTTCCACTGTTTGTGCGATACCCTATGCCGATAACATCACCCTTTTCGCAGCGAGGAAATATCGAAGCCAACTCCGGAGAGAGTTCAAAGGAATCGTTGATTCTACGCGCTCCACCGGAGTCATATGCTACCGAGTGATGATGTCTTCCTGGAAGTCTAAAGTAAGGGTATGGAGACGTAGACAGCCCGAAAGATATGACTTCATTCAAAGAAAGGTGATTGTCCATACTGCCAGCAGTGTTCAATTCAAAAATCTTAAATTCGCAATAATATACCCGATTCAGACGTGGGATGGGTAAGTTTGTCGTTACAGACACGTCGTAATTGAAGTTCAGAAATGTGAGCTCCGTTTTGTTTTCGACCAAAACGCTATCGTTCGGAAGTTTGGGGTCAGGTTGAAATTCCCAGGCATATGCGCCCTCTTCGTCGATAAATTGCAGAGTCTGCTCGTTGATTATGGGATCTACTACGTTTGATGCTCCCACTATCGAGGGCTGCTCTGGTATGAGCAGAGGCGGATTTTGCCGAATATACTCCTCACCTTGCTTGTAGTAAAACTGCTCTTCAGGAGACAATCTCGCAAGTTTGTCTTTCACTACTTCTGCGTCATCCAGCGAGCTCGTCCACCGTGGCGAGCCCATCATACCTGAACCACTGTATTCGCTATCACTTCCCAGCGTGATCCCGGCAGTGAAATATCTTCTCAAAACGAATCGTACAACGAAATACACCACCGTTAAAACCAAGTAGCAAGCCAGCATGAATGCTAGGCTAAATATCATTAAATCTATGTCCAGATCATCGCCTTTTTCGTCCTCATAGGGGTTGGATGGCACATATCTTTGATCATTGGAATTTGTGATTAAAACAGTGCCGTGAGCCCGTTTTGCCAACAGAAACCCGGCCAGACCTACCGTGATCCCTGTACGAGCCAGTTTGTTGTCACCCATGAGTGTTGGATGGTGCTGGGACGCTCCGTGTGAGGAATCTTCTTGGTTTCAATCGGACAGTTCCTTGGTTAAATCTATAAAATGCCATTTGTAAAACTAGTATATAATTAAACCTCAATCCATTCGTATAGAATGATGATAAAAAGCTCATCGGCCTCCATGAGACTCCCAGCGTCCAGGATCATCCATTGCAATTGTTATGGATCAAGAGAGGTCAAAGCGGGCTTCAGCATTTATCGCGTAGAGTAGTTTATTTTTGAGTAGCTCGCGGTTTTGATAGTTTGGTAATTTGAGTAGATTTACGCATGTCGACGCAGTAGGAAGCCGTGAGACGTCGTGACCAGCATTGCGTATTCCAAACAAAGGATTCAGCGAGCCAAAACCCTGTAGAGGTGCTCTGGGAACGGATGTGACAAACTTGACAAGGTTTAGCCGGTCTTCAGGCCCGAATTCGGCCATTATTGCCCAGAAGTCTTGGACTGTTTGGTCATCGTCGGAAAACTCACCGTATTCGGTGTGTTTTCGCAGGTCAGCAAGGTCGATATCTTTACCACCACCTGATATCAGCATTTGCAGCTCGATAGAGTTGAACATTTCGAGCCAGTGCGGTGGAATCATGGTGTAAAGACCACCTGTGAAGGCGCGAGTTCCAAGACGTAGTTTTCGATTCATCTTGTAATCTGCTGTCGCCAGTAGATATTGTAGCGTGTTGGACTTGTCCACGGCTTTTTGAGAACCATTGGGAACGAGCTCGACGGTTTGCAGAGTTTCCTCGTCGGTGACCTCAAATCTCAAACCCAAAGATTGCAAGTCCCAAGGAGTCATGTTTAGCAGCTTCACAAGGTTAGAATACAGCGTCGAGTCTAGGCTCGACAAATCATCGAATGAAGAATTGGAATTATTTACATTCAACAGTTTCTTCAAAAAGAAGTCGGCAAAAGTCACATCTATCAGGACGTGATCATAGAGGCACTTGCCAAGGACTTTACCCAAAAACCACATGTATCTTAAACTTTGCGCCGAGTTTAAGTTCCCAGATGGATAAATCTCATGGTTCTCGTTTCCTTCAAATAATTTGTGCTTGTCAGTTTTGAACCCTTCGTCGGAAACACTTGTCAAGAATTCTTTTGTGATTCCCCCACCATCAATTCCTGCCTCAGGACCAAACTCATTCACAAAGGCCACAGACAGCTTTGATTTGAAACTTTCACCAATAGGGTTGAAGGCCTCGAACGCATCTTCCAAGAGATTTTCTCGAGAGATGGTGGCTGTTTGCTTTGAGGCCATTGGATTCGCACTCCAAAAGGAGAACATTGCTGAAAGGCTGTTAGAGTCTATCTCGAGGTATTTGTGATCCAGTGCGATGAGAAAATACAGCCAATCGACTCTTTGTTGAAAAGGAATGTAAAAAGGTGCCCGGAAAAGGATGTTGAGTTTCTTGAATTGTCTTGTAGTTGCGCTGTTCACAAATGTTTTTTCAGCAGCAGAAAGGAAGTCGTATCGGAGGTCGCGTTTTTTCTCGAAAAGCTCGAGGTCTTCCACATCTTCATCCTCTGCTTCCAGCTTATCAGCGTGTTCACGGTAAAATCGCTCGTAATCTTCAATGTATTTCGTGATGTTGACATTCACAAACTCTGTGTCAGAGACACTCCAGTAATCAGAAGTCTCGGTTCGCGGGAAGAAATGAAGTCTAGAGTCACGCAAATGGATTTTCTTTAGGGTATTCAAATAGCAATGCGGAAGGGCAGAGCTCTGATCGTTGTTTTGCCACATGCTCTCAAAACATAGGTTTCTGAGATATTCGGTCGTTTCTTTCAGCAATTCTAATGGATAGGAGTCTTTGTTGTGGACGAGCTCGAAGTCACTGGCCACAGAAAGGTAAATGTTCAGTACCTCCAAGAGTAGAAGTCCCTCAGATTTTGGTGTCTGTTTTTGGCCGGCTCCTCCAAAGACTGTCATGTGGGCCTGAATCATGAATTCTGGCTTGGCCACCAAACTAATCAAAACGTTATTTTTGCAGTCCACATTTGGAGCGTGACCGATGAAGTAGGAGAGTTCCTCGAAGATTATTGCAGAGTGGGTGTGCAAAATTGTGTCCACGAACTCTTTTGTATAGAGCTGCTTGTAGAAAGTCTTCCCGATCATGCTATTTTCGTCCATATTCTTCAAACATCGCAAGATGATGTGGCCGTAAACGGAACGCTTGACGCCGTCTAATGACACGAACAGGTATGCTAGATTTTCAATTAGCTCTGGAGTGGCCACCTCGGTCGAGATATTCCTTGGGGACGTTAGAGAGCCCAAATATAATAAGAACCGCTTAATGTTTTCAGGATTTCTCGCTGCATCAATTGATATTCCGAAAACCAGCGAGACCATATCTGTTTGAGAAACGCCTAGACCACCCATCAACTCTACCAATTTTTTTAAGGCCCTTTCCGGAATTTCGTATGGGGCCTCAGTGAGCATCTTAAGTATAGCATCCACAAAAGTAGGTTTCGGTGGAAATTCGTTTGCATACTTGGCCCAAACTGTAATAAAGAGATCCTCTGAATAGGTTTTCGCCCCCAAACAAGCGATCAGCTTCGTCAAACTCAAATTTATGGCGGTACGACTGCCGTTGTTTACCAGCTTTCCCAAGATATTTAGAAGCACACTTTCTGGTAAGAATTGCAAAAGCATCGCTGGATATGCCACTAGCAGCTGCGTAGCCCGTTCGGGAGTTACGCATTGTGCAAGCTGCCCAATCAACCTTTTGTTACTGAGATATCCACGAATATGTTGTTGAAGCTTTGTAGCACTATTCTCGTTTCGCTTGTTTAAGGCCCTTTTTTCCCGCTCTTTTTTGGCATCATTCAAAAGCTCTTGTTTCGACCGACTTGTTTTGCTTCCTAGATTGACATTGCGACGTTTTGTTTGTCCAGAGAAGTTCAACATCTCTGGTTGACGTTTACTTATAGCTAGGGTTATAAGATCAAGTAATTGATATTCGATCTGGCATATATTAAATAATACTGCTAAAGAACAGAATGACACCCCAAGGAACAGCACGGGAAGAGGCGAAAGACATTGTAAGGCCGCGTGATGATTCTGTCAATGACGTGGAAAAACAAGGATCAAAAAGAGGCTCTCCTTTGCAGATTCTGATTATATTTCGGATCATCAACAGCATCTTTGTCAACTCCTATTTCCAACCTGATGAGTTTTGGCAATCACTCGAGCCTGCTCATGTCAAGGCATTTGGATACGGTGAATTGACTTGGGAGTGGAAAATCGGGTTACGGAGTTACGTATTCCCGGTTTTATTCGAGATTGTGTACCGTGCAGTCTCACTGTTAGCAGCATCACTAGGAGGGCTCGTGGCTGTTAACGTCAGGATTTTCACATCTTTGGTCAGAAGTGTAATTCCTGGCTGGAAAACAGGCTTAGAGATGGTGTTCGAGATGCAAAGTTTCCCGCGAGAGATACAGGAGTTCGCAGAATATCAGGGTGTCATTTACGGTCCTAAGATTATGATGGCAGTATTCGCAGCAGTAGGTGAGTGGTATGCTATACAATTCACAGAAAGAGTATATTCGGGTTGTTTCGAAGACAGCACGAAGAAATCAATCCAGAAATCGGCCCTAGTACGAAAAATCGCATTGGTGCTCTCGGCGACCAACTTCTTCAACTGCTTCATGATTACTAGAACCTTTAGCAACACATTTGAAATGGGACTAATTGGTATCGCACTCTGCAAATGGGACTGGACTGGGGGTCAAAACGTGAAGTCCTCTAGCTTCAGTACAAGTTTGTTTATCGGGCTACTTTTATGCATTCAAAGACCGACCAACGCGTTTATTTGGGGACCTTTGGGGCTATTTATGGTCCTAAATCTTCTCACCAACCGCCGTTTCAAAACGCTGGCTCAACTGATTTACAAAGTTGTCTCTATACTATGCTGTGTGGTACTCCTGACTGTTATGATTGACTATTACTTTTATGGTGAGGTGGTATTTCCCGCTTTGCGATTCGTCAAGTTCAATTATATAAGCGCGTTGTCAGAATTTTACGGCACAGCGCCATGGCATTTTCATTTGTTTCAAAGTGTTCCGCTTATTGCTGGTTACTCTCTGCCTTTACTAATCCTTGGTTTATTCTCGTTGAAGTCAGTGGAAAAGCGTTCCTTGTTCAATGATCCACTAAAGCAGATCAAAGTGATCATTTTGCTTAACATAGCAGTGTTTTCTGCTGTCGGCCATAAGGAATTTCGGTTTATGTACAGTCTTCAACCGTTATTCCTTATGATTTCAAGTATTGTATCGCTGAAATTCTTTACAAGCACCAAACAACAGCACGCGCACTCGCTTGAGTGGTATTTTTGGATACCGCCATTTGTTTCCGTTGTCGTGGCCATGTCCCTTACGTCGCTTCATGAAACAGGTGTTGTTGAAGTTACCAAATACTTGCACGGCATTCCCAAGGTGGACAGCGTTGGATTCGTGATGCCCTGTCATTCAACACCATGGCAGTCTCACATTCACCGAAACGACACGCAAAGTTTGTGGTCTATTACATGCGATCCGCCGCTGCACTTGCTATCAGACCCCGAAGCTAGAGAGAAACTTGCCCATTATATGGATGAAAGTGATCGTCTTTATGAAGATGTTCCAAAGTTTATATATCAAAACTTTCCCCCAGTATTTCGCAAGAATCTCAGATCACCCGACAAAAAGTGGCCGCATGAGTGGCCCGAGTATTTGGTGATTTTCGAGCACCTAGACGATTTGTTCATGAGAGAATTTCTGGAAGATACTGGCTACTCGGAGGAAACAAGGTTTTTCAATACCCTAAGCCATTGGGATTCCAAAAGAGCAGGCTCTGTCATCGTTTATTACAAGCCTCCATGGTTTTGAGCCAAAAGATTACAAGTTCCATCTACTTTCCTTCTCTATGGGCGAGTCCGTGGTAGTCCGATCGGCATGCAAAAACAAGCTGGTATCAGCGACGACATTTTTGGAATATAATGCTAATGAATTAATCTGGTCGTGACGGGAGTTCACGAATATCTGAAAGGATTCCTTTGATACCTCGTTAGTTTCTGATAACTTTTGCATGCTTTTCAAGCAGTTTTTGGCCTTTTGGAACGACTTCAGCTTCATGCAACAATCGAAATAGCCTATGAAACACTCAAAATCGAATAGCTCCATGCCCAATTTGAACCATTGGAGCGCTTTTTGCAAGTTCTGGAAATAATTCATTTCTAGAAATCCCAATAATTGGAAAGACTCTTTGAAACCCTCGCTTGCCGCGCTTTCCATCAAGCATCTTGCTTTTACAGGTTCCGAGTCCATGTATAGTTGTGCCAGATGATAATAAGATTGCACAACTTGCTCCAACGGACATAGTCGAATGCTCTCCAGAAAGTACTTTTCTGCCTCTTTAAGATCTGGCTTCTTAAAGCTTATCTTACCCAGTTGTCCGTTAACTTCTCCAGCTCTGTACGTATCCTTTTCAGAATCCAAAAACAGCTTATAATACTTTTCAGCATTCGAAAAGTCTTCGCTAGCAAAAGCAAAATCGGCCGTGAGTTTGATCGTAAGCGGATGATGCATCTGGTACAAGCTTTTTATAAGCTTCTGAGCGTGAGAGACGTCTTCTGGTGTATTTTTGTCCGAGTTTGTGATCACATTAAAGGAAAGGACTGAAATTGCGTCATTGTCGCCCAATTCTGCTGCGTTTTCCAGAAGTTCATTCTCCAAGTCTCTCAAATTTCTGTTGACGCTTTTGGTGCGATGTCGCAGTTTCTCAAGCACTTTTTTCATCATCATAACGTCCTCTCCTTTGAAAGACACAGGAAAACATCTCTCAGTATGTCCAACATCTAGAGAGTTATACACAGATTCGTAAACCGGGTACAGTTTTGAGAATGTCAACTTGCTGTCCATTTCGAATAGCAGTCTGTTAACAAGTTTCTTGCTTGGAAATACCTCATAAAAAGGTGCTCTTTTAAAAGCCAAAGAGCTGGACAGTCTTTTGAAACTAAGCTTAGAGCAAGAATACATAATGAAGAGGCGTCTTGATATGCCTTTGTGATGTATGCCAGTCTTTTGATATCACTTCTCTAAGCGAGCTTAATATCGAATTTGATATCGATCTAATATATTGATGTTGAAAGTAACGTTATAACTTGATGGATAATGTTGTCAGTTTTTCGAAGCATTAAAAGCTGAGAATGAGGTCTGCTTCTATGTTGATATAGTTGTTGAATTGCTCTCTCTTCTGCTGATTTGGTTTAGAAACTGGTATTGTTGATATTGACATTAATATCAGTAATATTGAATTCAATTTTGGCTCTAGTGATTGAGCTATCATAAGACAAACTTGGACCTTCATCGGCACGTTACAGGCCTGAATTTGAATGTTTACGCCTCTAAAATCTGCTCTTATACTTGGTGGCAGTGTGCGTACCAAACTTTGGCGTGGGCTGGTCTCTTCCTGCTCCGGAAATGTTGATTTCTCGCACGCCGTCATAGGAGGAGGAATTGTAGGTCTGTCGATAGCCTTCGAACTGAGTAAAATAGCAGGTAATCGCGTAGTTTTAATCGAGAAAAATACGGCACCAGGCTTGGAAACGTCGAGCCGTAATAGCGAGGTGATCCATGCTGGATTATATTATCCACCAGACTCTTTAAAGACTCAGCTGTGTCTCGAGGGAAACAACATTATATACACAGAGTTGACGCAACTCAAAACAGGCGTGGAATGGAACAAGTGTGGGAAGTGGATTGTGGCACAGAATGGCCATGAAGCGGCGTACTTGAACAAGCTTTACGAAAAGGCTTCGAGACAACTGAATTTGCCTGTGGAAATGATTTCAAGCAGTTTCGCAAGGCAAAAGGAACCATATGTTGAGGTCAAAGCGGCTGCATTGAGCTCTCCAACCTCAGGTATCATCTCGTCGCACTCACTCATACAATACTTGATCACAAACCTGGATATCAACGGTGTTGATGTTGCAATTGGTACCGAGCTGATTGGCATGAATTACAACCGCGGGGCGGGATATGAATTATTGTGCAAATCAGTCGTCAATTCCTCCGACGAAACTGTAGAAATATGCGTTGAGAACGTTATTAACGCAGGCGGGCTTTTTGCCCACACTATTTCCAATATGCTTCTCCCAGAGCATCGCCACAAGCAACAATATTTTGGAAAGGGCAACTATTTCGCGTTATCTGGCCGTCCTTCTGCACCTGTGAACCGATTGGTCTATCCTGTTCCTCCTCAAAATGGACAATCATTGGGAACTCATCTTACCATTGACATGGACGGCCAGATAAGGTTTGGACCGGACCTCGAGTTCGTTAGTTCACCAAGTGATTATGAAGTTAATAGTTCCAATATGGAACACGCCTTGCGTGCAATCAGAAACTACTACCCCCACGTCGCAGCCCAGGATCTTCAGCCCGCATACAGTGGTATTCGACCAAAGTTAGGCCAGCCAGGAGACAAGACTTTCAAAGATTTTTATATATGCGAGGAGGATGGGTTCCCTGGCTTTGTGAATTTGTTGGGAATAGAAAGTCCCGGGCTAACCTCAAGCCTTGCGATCGGGCGTTACGTTCGGAAAATATATCATGGATAAGTAGACCTGAAGATGAGAGATAATACGTGAATTTATTTCGGAGTCAGCTTCGGAAGCTCTGATGGTGTCGTTGGTTCCGGCAGCTCCACGAAATATTCGCTGGTGAGACACTGTGTGGGATCAAAACGCTTATGTGGGTTCATTGTAAGCATGCCACACATGAGGTTTAGTGCATTTTCCGTAGCGGCGATAAATCTTCTCCTCAGCTCTTCTCTGGAGGGCGGTGGATATACCTGAATTTTGTTGTAAGTGCCAAAAGTCGATATTTCGGGCCAGTCCCTATCAGTTGGTGTACCCAAAGCACGGAATGTTACATCTATCTGATCAATGTCATCTTTGCCGGGCAGATAAGGTATTCTCAGCATGAGCTCGGCGAAAATAATTCCTACTGACCAGATGTCCACGGCGCCCGTGTAGTGTCGGGCGCCAAATAGAAGTTCCGGGGCCCGATACCATCTGGTAACAACATTGCTGGTTAGAAAATCCTGAGGCGACCCCATGTTTCGAGCCAAACCGAAATCTGCCAATTTAAGTTGTCCATCTGGTGCAAGCAGTAAATTATTTGGCTTTAGATCTCGATGTAGAATGAAATTGCGGTGGCAGTGGTGAACTCCTCTCAGTGTCATCAATAGCCAAGATTTAATATCTGCTTGTGTGAATAGAATGGACGTATCTTTGATAATCATCTCCAGATCTGCCGGCAGAAACTCTAACACCAGATTCAAATTCTTCTGGGCCATGAAAACATCAACTAGCTCAATAACGTTTACATGCTGCATTTCTTGTAAGTATTTCACTTCTCTTATTGCAGACATATCCAAGCCATCCTTGAATCCCGACGTTTTTATCTCTTTGATGGCGATCCGACGTTCATTTGACAGCTTGGTTCCCACGTAAACCACGGCATATGTACCTTCACCGACCTTTTTCTCTGTCCCAACAAAATTGTTAGTATATATTCGCGCTGGGAGTTCTCACGTCAAGCTTAAACTTGCCTTTAGAGTACTCTGTTTGAGCAATCATCTCTGGTTGGGATCGAGTGTATTCGAGATTGTTATAAGATGAGATGAGCTTTAATTAACATCAAATTCACAGTTGATCTTTCATAGTAGAAAATAAATCAAAGGAGACAATACATATGCTTCTTTCGAGGCTTCAGACGAATCTTGTGGGTTCATTACGTGCTAGAAGATTGCTGCTGCCGAAAACATGTTTAAGATTTCAAACAACGGCTGGAAGTGATGAATTACATGAGCTCCACCCACTACTGCTGGAGAGAGCCAAGAAATATGCAGAAGAGCTAGAGTCTTTGGAACAAAAGATGGCTCAGGGTACTATGAATTTCGATGTTGAGCGGGAAAAGCATTTTTCAAGGCTTTCTGCCGTGGTGGACTCATTCAGGCGATATTCCAGCGAAATATCGACTTTCCGAGAGTTGCAAGCCATGGTCGATGAGGACCCAACTTTAAGGGAAGAGGCAGAACAGGAGATTCAAGACATTAAACCGAACTTGGTTAAAACGTCGAGTGCCCTTTTGGCGCAACTCTTGCCGCCCCATCCCTTCGCTGATAGACCCTGCATCTTGGAAATTAGACCAGGTGTAGGTGGTCTGGAAGCCATGATTTTTGCACAGGATCTGCTCACCATGTACATAAACTATGCGCAAAACAAGAGGTGGAAGCACCATTTGATCTCTCACAACGAAAATGAGAGTGGATCTGGGATCGTTGACGCAATTCTTAGCATCGACGAACCTGGCGCATATGATATACTGAGGTTCGAGGCTGGTGTTCACAGAGTACAGCGAATTCCAGCAACCGAAACTAAGGGCCGGACACATACTTCAACCGCCGCGGTTATCGTGCTGCCTCAAATGGCAGAGGATACCGAAAAGGAAGCAGACTCATACGAGAGGTCTTTCAAGCCCGACGAAATTAGAATTGATGTTATGAGAGCACGCGGGAAAGGTGGACAGCACGTCAACACTACTGACTCCGCTGTGCGGCTGACCCATTATCCATCGGGCATCGTGATCAATATGCAAAACGAGAGGTCCCAACATAAGAACAAAGCAAAAGCATTTGCCATTCTGCGAGCCCGTTTGGCGGAAATGGAACAAAAAGAAAAAGAGCAGAAGGCAAGAGACGTTAGGAAGGGCCAAGTCAGCACCATTGACCGCTCCGATAAAGTGAGAACTTACAATTTCCCCCAAAATCGCGTTACGGACCACCGTTGCGGATTTAATCTCCACGACATGGAGGGAATCATGGCAGGGGAGCGTCTCGACGACGTCGTAGAAGCCATGCGAATTTTTGACAGCGATATGCGGGCCAAAGAACTCCTTAAGGAGGTTGAAAGTCACTCCTGATTGCTGACTCTAAATAATATCTGTAAATATCGTGCACACACGAATCTCCAGAAGAGAGAGTATAGAGAATTTGGGGGACAAAGATTATACTCACTGAGAGGGAATCGGAATAGGATGGCTCCAGTTCCAAGACTGGATAAATCGTCTTTCCAACCAAACCGATCTGACGTTTAGGCATCTCGAGTCTTTTTCTTATCACTTTGTACTAATCTGACACGTCTGCTCCAGACTCACCCAAAAGACACGACTTACTAGATACCAGTATCCAAACCATGGCAAAATATCAAAAGTTAAACCAAACAGTATTTGAAGCTTTGATTGTTGATGAAGAGATCGACATTTTGACTTTTAAACATGGACCAAATTTTATAAGGGACTACGATGTAATCATATTCAAAGTGGAATCAATCATCACCTCATTGATCACTGAACACTATCCAAATTCCAGGAATATACCGAAGCTTTTAACGAGTCCTAAAATGCCTTGAACGAGTGTGAAATGAACGTTTTAGCCTTTTAAATTGATTTCAGATCACTAGTAACGTCACTTGGACGTTTATATTACTGTGATATCCAACAACCAACGCTGTAACCTCATCCCTCCTACAAAACTCCAGCTCACACTCCAATTGGCACACTGCTCTTGATGGCAGCGATATGACAAGTTCCTCTGACCATGGAATACTGTGGTTCAACAAGTCCTCTGTCAAAATCGGCGAAATAGAACGCTATGTTATCACTTTTCAGCTATACGATGACGAGAACGGGCTACCTGCAGACTTGTCGCTCAATTCCCTGTGGTTAAGGATTCGAAACATCGAAAATGTCACCTTCAGAGCAGCTTACCTTATGGGTCCATACCTGCTGTACTGCGATGTGAGAACCGCAGACTACCATCATTCTCAGCATCTTTTCGTTTCTGCCGATCAACCCAAATTTGAGCCCACTCTGCAACCACAGCAGGACTTCTACGCCGAGCTTTCTTTGCACAATCTCAAGAAAACTTACGTTTGGATCGTAGATGTAGCAAGCCAGATCATTTTCACTAACACCAGCCAGATCGGCTTCGAGATCTCGATTGGGTCGTCTAAGAAGAGTCTGGAAAATGCTGAGCTCAGCTCGCATCCACTGGCAAGTTCATCTTTCTCAAAGCTCTCTGTGACACGTCTGGACACGTTAGATCAATGGAATCTCAATGATCACATTTCCCCTCATGCGAATCAAAAAGAACATTTAGTCGTCTTGACCCACGGACTGCACTCAAACGTTCCGGCAGATCTGTTCTACCTCAAGGAGCAAATTGAAAAGTGTCAGAAGTACTACAATGACGAGCAGATCGTGGTGAAAGGTTTCACCGGAAACGTTTGCAAGACAGAAAGAGGTGTCAAATATCTTGGCACCAGATTGGCCGAATATGTGGTTCAAGAGCTGTACAACGATCGAGTAACAAAAATCTCATTTGTCGGGCACTCATTAGGTGGGCTCGTTCAAGCGTTTGCTGTAGCTTACATCGCAGCAAACTATCCTTGGTTTTTTGAAAAGGTGGACCCAATCAACTTCATCACACTGGCATCTCCATTACTTGGTATTGTGACAGACAATCCAGCATATATCAATATTTTGTTGTCATTTGGTATTGTTGGGAAAACTGGTCAAGATTTGGGGCTCAAAGAGCAATCCGAGGCCGAGAAGCCTCTACTGTATTTTCTTCCAGGAGAGCCAACTAAAACAATTCTGAAAAAGTTTAAGCGTCGAACTCTTTACGCTAACGCGGTCAACGACGGCATTGTACCGCTTTATTCGGCTTCTTTACTTTTTCTCGACTACCAAGAGGTTTTACAACAACTTCAAGAATCGCCCGACTTCAATCAAAAATTGGTGACTACAACTCCCGCTGAATTTATCATGAAGAATTTCATATCTCCCATTTCTAAAGCCATTAGCCTGTTGGCGCCTCAAAAGTTTCCAGAGAGTGGCTCATCAGGAAAAATCCCAAAGGTTTCCGTAATAGAATCCGCGGCTTCCATATTGATACCACCAGTGCCAGAAAAATCATACATCATGGACCCGGCGACACGAGCTAATGTCATTATTCATGACAAATTGTATACAGAGGCTGACATTCCAGCAAGAAACTCGCAGTCCGAAAAACAGCTTCTGGGTAGTGACAATATGTTATTGCGAACATTTGTCGCGAATTCAGAGAAGTCGTGTCAAAATCTAGAGGAGGATATTGCAAGGCGTTGGCATGAAGGTCTAACATGGCGAAAGGTGATAGTATGTTTAAAGCCGGACGCTCACAATAATATTATCGTAAGAAGGAGGTTTTCCAATGCATATGGGTGGCCTATAGTTGATCATTTAACGCAAAATCACTTCAACGGCATAGATACCGAACCCTGCATTCCCGATAGCGAGGTCGGGGCACCAGATAGTAATGATTTGGAATACGATAACAGCTGGGTCAATTTCACAGATAAAAGAAGCCTTTTCGATGTTGGCCCAACGGGAATGATTTCGACAGTTACCGAAATGCTGGACTCACTAAGCAAGAACAGTCCGATGTTGAATCGAAATTCAAGCTCATCTCGCAGGCGAGGCAGTAGTTTTGACCAGGACCAACTGTTCAAATATGAGCTTGAAAAAAAAGATTTAACCGGGGATCCTTTATAGATTTCTATATAGCGCATTTGCTAACTCGCTATCACTTGAGTATTCTATCGAAAGCTTGTCGCGGAGACCCGAAAACTGTCTGTGATTAATATAAACCTTGGACAAGAACTCTTCGCAGTTTGAGTCTTCTCGGTATTTCAAGGCCAAAATTTGTAAGGTTTCAAGAAACGCGCCTTCCTCGGCATTTTGGGGGATAGAGCTATAGGGAAAGCTTAAGCTATCTTTCAGCGCTTTGAAATCCAGATGCAATTGATCTAAGCCAAACTTGTTGAATTTGTTGAGATTGATCACATAGTCAATCATATAGTGTATCAGTATATTCAAGATCTCACTTTTGATGGCCAGAATCACATCCGGAGTCAAATCCGACCTTTCCATCATGCTCACCAGTTTGTTCGACAGATTTAGTGGTGAGACCAACTCTGCACTGCACTGTTGTGGTTCGGAGTTTATTTGATTCCAATCGCTAACTTTGAAGTAATTCCGAAATGCAACATTCATAAGTTTTTTGTACCTATGAATGACCGATTCTTTTGCAGCTACTATTGCGTCCTCATAGAGATTTAGTACATCGTCGAAAACTGTCTCGTATGATGAGGAAGTGGCAGCATTTAAGTATTCGGTGAGTTGAAAAAAAATTGATTTGTCCCCGAAGTTTTCGAGCGTCGTCCTGATAAGTTGCAAATTACGCGCTTTCCAAAGTGTCTTCTCATACTGCGTTAGCTCTGAGTCGGTGGCGACGGTTTCGTCCTTAGAGTTGAGAAGCGTGTCGCGATAGTTCTGTGGCAGTTTCAAAAATATCTCCCTTGTTGTCTTCAATTTGTAGTCCATTATTTTTGCATACTCAACGCTGAAAAACGGCTCGAAGTAAAGGTAGAGGTTTTCCAGCAGCTTTGCAAAATCGGCACCGCTCTTTTCAAGACTTGTATAATTGGTGATTTTGTAAAATTGGCTAATGGAAGAGTCGATTTCAAAAGATAACCATGTGTTCAACACTTCTTCAGGTGCCATTGCAATGAGCCCTAGACCATCGTAAAGATGCTTTTTAACCAAAGCATTATCTATGATAAAGATTTGGGAAATGAGAACAACCAGAGTTTTGAGGTTTTCATTCGAGGCACCGTTGACAATTTTGACCAATGTGGTGTTGACCTTTTCTCGTATTGGAGCAAGAACATGGTTTATGAATTGCTGGTGTACAAAGTTTTTGTTCAAATCCGGTGTCGTTGGATCATGGAAAATGTCCACACATCTGTACAGGTTTTGGTCCAGGTATTTGTCCAGAAACTTAAAATGCATCTCCACAGAATGCGGTTTTTGCATGGACTCGTTAACAAGATGGTAAATGAACTTTATCTTGAAGTTATTGGCAATACACTCAAAATTCCAAAGGTTGCCAGGTCTCCGTTGCGGTAGCCACAATGCATTTAAACGATATATCCGCGATGACAGGTCTCTGAAGGACGATGCGAGCACCGAGGAAGCAGCGGGATTGACTCCACCATGAGTTTGGTCCCAGCTTGAGTTCAAAAGCCCGGATTCCAATTTCTGAATAAGCGGACTGGCTTGTTGTTGTAACAGGGTATTGTAGATTTCGAACACTGGAGCCACGTCTTGGCTCGGCAGCTGTGCTTGTGACGCCTTCAAATCTACGTGCCAGAGTTCTAGCTGTAGATCCGTAACGTTTTTTTCCGAAGCAGCGGACTTGATAGCGTCCAGTGTCCTTTCCACCTGTTCCAATGCTGCTTTCTGGGCCGTTTTGGCTGCTCTTTGCGCCAAAAGGGCATCAATCTGATCCAAAATCACCAGAGAGCCGTACTGTGCTCGTAGCTTCGCAATATCTGTACTATTTCGGGCAGAAACGATGTCTTTGGCTGCCAAATGCAGCTGTTTTTCTACCAGATCAAACTCATCCAAAACTGTTTCGTTTTTCGCCGTTTTGACCTTCAATTGATCGGCTAAACTCTCTCTTTCTTTTTCTATCTCCTGTGCCAGCTGTTTGACCTGTCGAAGGTCTTCAATCGTCGTTAAAGTCCCAAGATCTCGCATCATTACAACATCAACAATTGGTCTGTTGAACTTCCAATTTGTGTGTATCATCTAAAGCTGAGATGAGATTCAACAATACTCAATTTATGTCAATTTTACAAGATCGTTTTATACGTAACAGCAAATGAGCATCTCCCCTAATTTTGTTTTGAGGACTATAAAATGGCAAGAACTGGGATGGTTCTGAATAGATCTTGAGACACTTCTTCCCTCACTTTGAATAATCAAGCTTGGATAGAGTCAACAAGACAACATTCTACTTTTAGATTCGCAATTGATCCTTACGGCGGTTAAACTGAGAGCTTTCTGGATCCCTTTCTCAGCCTTTTTGAATTCGAGCTTTATTGTGTTCTATTTCACATTTAATTACATCAATAGCACCAATTTTACGCTAAATACCTCTGATCTTCACACTATATATATACGACCAAGATGAGCGACGCCACAAGCATGAGAAGACCCGTGGAAATCACGGAATTTAAAGTGGTCATTAGCGACCTTCCCGACCAGCAACTGGCCAAGATCCGCAGCGAGCTCGAGAACAGTGTGAAACACCTCGACCGCTCGAATCTGCGTCTCAAAAAGTACATAGCCAAAATCGAGGGCAAAAGAGAAGACACCCCAGACGGCGTGGACCAGGAGGAGCTCGACAAGATCGATGCGAACGACCTGCAGCTGTTTGAGGACTCGTTCCACGAAAACGAAATTGTGCTGAAAAACCACTACGAACGGCTCGAAGCCCTGGACCAAGAAGAATCGTACCGTGCCAGTGGGTCGAAGGAGCCCCCCACGGCTGAGGCACAGAAAAACGCCAAAATCAGAGCCGCCTCGTTCGACACCGATAACACCAACGGCGACGCAAACGCCGCCAACAGCGTGTATTTGTGAAGTGGGAGCCGAGGGTTGTGAGCTGGCTTGCTAACAGACAAGCCGGGGTTGTATAAGCGTATATATCAACTTGTCTAGCCCTCAATTGAACAACTAACGACGACATATGATGAAGCTTCTAGTGCGACTCTTTAGGTAAATCGAGTAATGATAGTTCCAATGGTCGTAGTCTTTCAATAGTCACAACATAGTGTTCAAGACCAACAATATCCATGGTTCTTGCCTTGTTTTGTAGATGAACACCTGGATGAATATCTTTATAACACTATGTCTTCTTAATTCCCAAATATTTTGTGTCGTTGCAGAAAATGCTGGGGACAGACAGGTCAATAGATTCTTTACCTTACAAAGAGAGCACGTCCGAACAAGGATGAGGTACAAACTTGAGAGCATGCTTTTCGGTTCCGTTCTAGTTATGGCAAATTTGGGGCGCGAACCCCAGCCGCAACCGAAATTGTCGTTTGTCTGTCCTCCGATCAAAGCTTCGTCTTTGCAAGTTGAAAGAGCGCAACAAGAAAAACACACCTGTGTAAGTTTCGAAACGGGATCTAATTCAAAAACGGCCACCTTTACGATTGAGGTCATCGACTATCTGGATCACAAACTAGATTTAAACCGGTTCGGACCCACGAGTTGCGAGTTGGGCAGACAGCGTTTGGACTTTACGGCAGCTACCTCAAATGGCGATTTGCTGCGATCACATCGCAACTTAAAGTCTGGTAGAACGGCTATTCAAGTCGAAGCGTCCATCACAAACTTGCACTTCGAATTTTGTTTTTCCAATCTCGTCTATGACAGCTCCTGGAGGTCTGTCGATATGCATAAGGCAATCACCATCACCTTGGTAAACCAAGAAACAACAAAACCACATGTGTCAGATCGCATCTCCAAAAAGGCAAGCGACGCAGCTGTCGACGCTGCCAACATGATTTTCTCGCTAGTCAGCGAGCAAGATGGACAGCAGCTTTACCACCTGGAAAACGAGCGTCGCGACCTCAACGAAAGCACTTTTTCGTGGCTGCTGGGAGCACAGTTAGCGCTTATGCTACTAGTTGCAATTATTACGATCGTTTCGGTGCGCTGTCTCGCCCTCACAGACAAACCAGCCATTTTGTCCGTTGCGTCCTCTACGGATAAGTGCAGCTGAACATCTACTCGATGCTCTGGTTGACTGGCTGGCTGTCCGTCATCATGAGTACATTTGGACTCGTCATGAAAAAATTCGAATATCAAGCCAAAGATACGTGAACTAGACAATTTAGCATGTCCCCCGATGAGCTCGAACTTCGAACCCCACCCAGCTTCAGACGTCGTTATATAACGCAGTCCAGTTTCTTTGAAAAATGGTGATGTCCTTGACTGAAAAACGCTACTTACAAGAAAGTCTGCTTTCGAAGCCACCAGTGCGCCCAGATGGCAGAAACGCTGAGCAATTTAGACCCATCGAGATATTTACCGACTTCTTACCCACCTCCAACGGGTCTTCTAAAATTGTGGCCAGTGATGGTACCGAGTGCGTTGTAAGCGTTAAATGCAAAGTTGTTGACCACGCAATTGAAAAAGATTTGATTGTAGTGGACGTAGATATCGCAGGCCGTCGAGACGATTCCCCACTAGTTCAAGAGATTTCGTCTATTCTTAATAGAGTTCTCCTGTTACAGACTGACCAAGAGCAGCTGCGGCTTACGAAAAAATACAGCTTTAAACTGTACATAGATGTCCTGGTACTGTCAAGCTATTCGCATCCACTGACACTGATCTCTTTTGCCATTTACTCGGCTCTCAACTGCACACAACTACCAACTTTGATCTCAAGTAAGGACGATCTAGATGTTGCAGAGCTGCCTACTTTTCACGACTATGATATGACAGAGCTGAATATTGCTGTTCCAATAATGTTTACGCTCGCGATATGTGGCCAAAACGTTATAGTGGATCCAGCTTCTAGTGAGAGTGATGTTGCTAGCAACGGAATTCTCGTAACGTGGTATAACGACAAGGTAGCAGCCCCAGTTAGAACCATTGGTCTAAACGAGGAGTATACTCGCGGCATAAATCCGCAAAGTTTGGCGGACAGCATTCAATTAATCGAGGCTTTGGCTCCAAAGGTTCTGGGTGCTCTGGATTCTTGATCGTTTGGCTATCTATCTGATCTATATTATATAACAAAGGAATAAACGCGCCTGAGCAGTTCTTCAATTCCCTTTACTCACGTATGCTGGGCCGAGTATGAATGTACTATCACAGCTGTAGCTGTCTGGATGTTCATTGAGCGAATTACACCTGATTGCTTAATCTCTAAGCACAGATCCAATTCTCCAAGTAAATGGCCCGGAATACCTTCCGCCTCTGTTCCTAGTAAAATTAAACTCTTCTCGGGGAACGAATATTTATTGTCCAATTGTAAGGACTTGTCCGTTTGCTCCAAACCTATCAAAGTGTACCCCTCCTTCTTCTTGGCTCTCATGAACTGGACAATTTCATCGACAGCCACTGCTTCCATTGGCATCCAACGATCAGCGGTTACGGCAACACTTTTAAACTGAGGCTGATCTTTCATTCTTATATCGTGAATCGTAAGAAGACCCGCACCCAAAACATCACAGAGTCTACAGATACCGCCAAGATTAGGTGCTTTGTCTACCAAGGAAGCAACAACAATCAATGGCGTACGCTTCACGGCTCCTCCTGATTTCTTCTCAGCAAAGTTCATTACGGCTTCCCAGGCTCCACTTTTTGTTTGGAGTGGGGAACCCTTCTGTTGGTGTGTCTCAGAAGACTCTTTCAACCCTGATCTTTTACCTAACCACAAATCAGACTCATCTCTGCCTACTGGAAGTTGATCCATCGACGTCAAATGCTTTTTGAACGTAGCTTCGTCGATATAGGGTACATTGTGGTCAGTGATTTTCATCAAAACCCCTCCAAATATGCTAGTCAAATTCAAATCCTTGTTTAGATCCCATATAACTGCATCGCCCAATCTGAACTGGCCATGAACCTGCAATTTTTGTGCATTCAAGTAAAGGTTCTCGAGAACACTTGCGAGAGTTTTGTCAGTCAAAAAGTCATTGAATAATGGCCATAGAGTCAGCATTAAAGAGTTTGAAAAATGTCTTACCAAGGGCTTGTTGGAAGCACAATTAGAGATCACTTTCGGGATAAACTTATGCAGCAGCCTCTTGCAATCTTTTACACCAAGTACGCTTTTCAAAGACACAAAAATTACCCGAGTAGCTGTTACGGCTAACGAAGGTTTTGACTGATCCTCTAACATTTCAAAAAGCGCAATTTCGGTTTGACTTGGAGTTTCATCCAAGCATGTGTGACACAGATCAATTGCAACGATCCATTCAGAATAAACTCGAATAAGAGGCGAAGTCTCCGCGGCAACACTGCACATGATTTCGTCCTGAACGTGTTTTTTAAGAACGGGTAGCTCGATTGATTTCATGGTCAGCATCAACATTTGCCATTTCAGTAATCTCTCTTGTTCCTCTGTACCATTTGTGCTTTTATTTGCCTTAAGCAGATTCACATCGCTTGCTACCCTATCCACAAAGACATCCTGGCGAAACTCATCACTTGCGTGAAGTACGGCACTTATTAGGAAAACGCGGCATGAAATTTCTGGAATTTGATATACGCGGTCATAAAGCGATCCAAATCTACCGCGCAAACTATCCACTTGCTCGTCAAAGAGCCTTGCCACAATTGGCTTGAGCTTGAAGGAATTGACACTGTCTTGGCTTTGAACAAAGGCCCGGAAAATGAGGTCTATAAGCCAAGAGTAGTCATGCGCTTGACTTTTCAAGTCTTTCCCAAAAGTTTCCATAAATTTGTTGATCCTACCACCTAGAGTCGGGAGAAATGTACGTCTTGAAATTGACTGAGTGACAATCTCGCTGCCATATCTAGAGAGGGTGGATCCAAGATCAGAGTCAGGATTCTGTTTTCCGACGGCGAAGAAAAGTACAGTGGGATGAAACAAAGTTTCAATGAACTTTAGATGCAGCTTTCTCTGGTTAAGAACCAGCCTATCTCTGGCTACAAAATCCCAAATAGTGCACAGAATGTCAACAATTTGCTGAACAACGCTGAAGTCGTTCATTTGTCTTCCGTCAAAACCTTGTAAACGTGATAAAACGTAGTTATTGAGTAAAAACTCGCAAAGCTCCATAATCCGGAGGTTTCCCTCGTAATTTCCATTGTCTGCATGAACATTTTGACCCATTAGCGCGATTACTTTGGCGAGTTCATCCTCAGACGAATCAGAGCTAGTCTGAAGGGCATTTGAACGCAAGAACGCTAGAAGTAACTTGAAAAAGCCTCCATAAACAGAGTCTTTGTATTTGAATGTTCCTACCATTGTTTCTTTGCAATGGTTTTTCAGAAGTTCGTAGAGGTCGAAAATGTCTGCAAGTTCGAAGGGAGTTAACATCATACTATGCTTTGTGGTTTGCAGGTAACAGGATGTGAAAAAGGTAAATTGATCGGCACTGAAGTTTGTGCGTAAAGCATTGTAAAGTGTGTCAAGCTTGACTGCGTTCCAAGTTTGAGAGCCAAAAATAGGCAATGTTGTCAGAACATCCGCATTTTCGTACTCGGCTCTCTCAGCTTTACAACTAATGAGGTCAGACAATGCGTTGGCGTAGTCGCTTTTGAAACTTTCCAAATTCATATCAGACTTGCCAAGTTCTTTCAAAAAAGAGAGGTCGACCACGACGGGCTTTACGCCAAAAATGGTGTAACTTAAAACTTGCAGGATACAGTCATCGGGTTGCATTTGTGACGTGGCAAACTCGATCTGATTTTTCCCAAAACATTTGAGAGAGGTATCAATGAAGTCGTCCAAGACAGGTGAGAGATACTGGTAACTTCCTTTGTTCGCTCTAACATGTTTTGCTAAAGCGGATATCCACACCGCGGGCGATGTGTCGACCTTGACGTGCATTAGCATCTTCAAGTACAAGGTCTGCAAAATGCACTCAAAAACACCTTCCTCGGAAGACACTTCGAACAGCTTAGAAATAACTGATATATTGTCCTCGTCTAGAACTTGTAGTTTGAGCGAGCTCAAAGCACGATAAAGACCAAGACAGATATAAATTCTTGGAGGATCGAATGCCATCCTCTGATCATATAAGCACTTCAAAATGGATGACACCATTTCGGGGACTTGATGCGAAAAATGGCTTTGATGAGTGTGGACGATTAACTGCGTTACGAAAGCACACAGGGCATCTCCGTAAGAGCACTTTCCGTCTTCAACAATAAAATAGGGCGCAAACATGGATGCTGGCAAATAGTAAGAGCTCACCTCTTGAGCGTTTGTGTGAAAAATGGCCTTGTTTTTGACTTGGAACATAAGCTTCACAGTGTGCCGCCTCACACTCTCCATTGCCGCCTTCAAGCCTGTCGAAAAAAGCACGAGACCCCATTCAGCATTGATTGCCGTGCTATCCAGCAGATCCAAAATGTCTCCACTGGCCGCCTCTAGCTGATTAAGAGCGGTGTCTAGCGCTACTATCTCGTAAAGAGTAATGAATTTACTCCATGCCGCAGAAGTCTCGGAATGCAAAGATGAGCTTGGGTCCCAAGTCATGAGATCATTAGATATCAATTCTTCTTTGGGAAAGGTCTGTAAGATGAGTCTCAAGATAGACAGCGAGTACTTTCTGATCTCGTGTGACTCGTGGGCAAGGCCACTTTTCAGCGCAGACCAGAAAGCAGTAGTTTTCACAAATGCCAAAAAGCAAGCGCTAGGCGTTGTTTTCAATAGTAGGGATCTTAAAATGTGGAGAAGCCCGTTTTTGGATTTGACCTGCGTGGAATCGCGGGTCAGTAAAGCAGCGATCTCGGCCCAGACAAACCCATCAAATTCTGAACTCTGCAGTGGCAAAGCGGCAATTTCTGCGGTTTGCCATTTGATAATTTGGCAACTTGCGTTTGAAACGCGCGGATCATCACTGGCCAGAAGCGAAACCAATGTCTGATAGAGCTGCTGGTTCTGGGGCGATTCTTGGCCGTTGCGAATGGTAAAAGTGGTTTCTAACAGTCCTAAGAGAGCCAGAGACCCGGGTGGCGCACCAACCAGCTTTTGAGCGGCCCATTCCTGGATTGCAGAGAACGTTTTGTCGAGTTTTGCCAACAGTGGTGCAAACACTCCGACCGTCACAGGGTCGGCGTCCTCCGAGCCCCAAAACGCTTCCAGGCCTCCTAAAACCCGGGCAGTTGCAAGAACCTCGATTCTGGCCACCACACTGGCATCAAACTCGATTTGCTCCAGCACATCGTGCAGCTCATCGAAACGGTTCGTTTCCAGCATTTTCTCCAGCAATTCAAGCTGTTTTGGAGCCGGGAAAAAGGCACCTACCAAACCTGATATGCCCATTTTCAAAAATCAATGCCTTGATCCATATAACTCACCCTATTGCTTTCAAAATGTGACTTCTTTGATTTCTTCTCTCTAGCTCATCGCTTGGACGCTAAAATCGTCAATTTCTCACATATTTAGATTTCAACATTTTGGTCTTTTTGTACGAAGGCCTTATGAACTTAATTCTTTAAACTTATATATATGTACGTCTATAATCCCCTAGACAAGCCTAACAAAGAACAATTCACCTCACTGAGTCTCAGGTATTTAAGACCACAGGTGGTCTAAACTGTAGCTATGGATAGGAGCGGATCTATGGGCGAGTCTGAAAACAACAGATCGGCGAATGGCGCGAACTCCAGCGTTCTTTTGGATGTGAAACGCGTTTTGGGCGGGAGCGAGACTGAGGACAGCGAACAACACACGCAACAGACGCAACAGGAAGATAAACAGGTGGAATCCGTCAATCTGGTTCGCACGGAAATTTTCGAGCAGGACAACCCGTTCTCCGGTCAACAAACGCGGGGACGCGGAGCCAACGGGCAGAGTTTTAGGGATCACCGGACATTGCAGAACCCAAACAAGACGTTCCAAGAGGACGAGGACCACGAAGACTGCGAACCCCTGGCAATGGGTGGCCACGGTACCCGCAGCAGCAGCTCCGGGAGCATCGAGGTGAGCCCAGCAGCGTCGCACGACGAGGAACAAAAAGTGCGGCGTGCAGGGGACGAAGTGTACATTTTGGAAGCTTCCAAAGCCGCAGAGGGCCAAGGCCGCACCTACATCGCTTACACAATCAAGCACGGCGACGCCATGGTCCGTCGACGTTACAGCGACTTCGAAAGCTTGCGTAAGATCCTGATTAAACTGTTCCCGATGACTTTGATTCCGCCGATTCCGGAAAAACAGTCTATAACTAGCTTCGGAAGGGCCATGGCCGGCTCCAAGTCCAGCTATCTGCTGCCCTCGGAGACTGCAGGGTCAGTGGACCTGTCCCTCTCGGTCATCAACGGGGCAGTGAACACAAACGACGAAAAGCTCATTAGGCACCGGATAAGAATGCTCACGAGTTTCCTCAACCGTCTGTTGCGAAACGAGGAGATAACCAAGACGTCCATTGTGTCGGACTTTTTGGATCCCAATAACTCGAACTGGAATGACGTCATCACTAGTTCAGCAACAATTTCATCTCTTCCGAAAAGCGTTCTTCTATGCAACCCGTTGGACCCGACCAACACCACGCGAGCACATGCATTTTTACCTATCCCGTCATCCTCCACTCAGTTACGTTTGAGTAAGGAGATGGTGGCAACTTCAACTCACGATGAAACTGAAGATGGGTTCACCAAGATAGAACAGGAGTACCGCAGGTATGAGCATATTATGGAAAATGGGTTTTACAAATACAACAAGAAAATCACAAAGAGCCTTCACGCGATGCGTCAAGACATGAAGGAATTGAGCGAGGCCTTTGCCGCATTTTCAAACGACCAGAAGCGCGGCGCCGAATTGGCAGAGCAATTGTCGCATTTAAGCAATGTTTTTGACGAATCTTCTCTAGAGCTGGAATCCATTGTTGGTAAACTCTATTACAACATCAATGAACCTCTTAGCGAGGCTGTGCACATGGCTGGGGCTGCTCAAGAGTTGCTAAGGTATCGCAAGCTCAAGTGCGTGCAAAGAAGCATTCTTAGCAGGACACTGCTGTACCGGAAGGCACAGCTGAAGAAGCTGCAGGAAAAGGAATCCGAAGCAAAGAAAATTGACGCTATCGTCGACCAGCAAATGGCAGAGAGCGGCCACGTCAATCTCAAACATCCAGAGGCGCGATCCTATAGTGGCAAGTTCATGAACAAAATCAACAAGCTTGCAACAATGGTGAAGGACACAGTGAACTATCAAGAGAGCGATCCCTCGGTAGCTATAGAGAATTTGGAAAAGGACATATCACAACTTTCTGAATCACTGGAGGTAAGCGAACGGGATTTGAAGACCATTTCCGCTACGATCAAAGATGTTGAGCTTCCCAAATTTTGCACCAGCCGAAACGAGGAAGTCTCAGAGATTCTCAAAAACTACTCTCGTTACTGGAAGGCACACGCCGAAAGGACTCTAAAAATTTGGAAAGACGTCAAGGAAGAGCAAGGAAGCTCTTTGTAAGGTTGAAAAGGATATCAAAACTACAGAATAAAAGAATTTTCCTGGAATTTCAAAAACCGGCTTACCACACCTGCGCTGGGCTGACTCTTAGTCTGGAAAGTTTCTCTGGAATCTGATATTCAACATAATTTATGGCGTCAAGGTATAAGGGAAAGCAGGAAAGGGCATATTTTAGCATTTGACCTGCGATCTGAACAGCAAACAATGACAACTAATTGGGAGCTGCAACATGGAGTTAGTACATATTTTATAGGGTTGTTTTCCTCTTGACAACTGAGGTTTTTAAAAAGGCCTAATTTTATTGTTAAGCTCAAATAAATCAAAAGGTTAACGTTAGGATAAAAACTGTCTTTAGTTCGAAAAGACAGATCCAAAAGTGTCACCAACGGACTAGAGAACTTGAGATTTTGCTAGCATGGGTATTCTCAATGCCCCAGGTATTATAAGAGTCAAAAGGAAGAGAGAGGAAGACTCTATACAAGCGCTACGTATGTGTTTTTGTCTTGATGATGGCTTTCAAGTCTAGAGATCGAGTTGGCTAACTAACTGAGCTTTACGGTAGTCCTCCAGGAGAATGAGTCTGCCAAGCGAGGAAGATTCGTATTCAAGCTTGCGAAAACTGTGGAAACGGGGTCGGACGTGCAAAACCAAGAGCTGGAAACGCCTTTGTTAAAGCTCTCGAACGTTGGGAACGCCAGACATTTCGTATTAGAGCAACGGAAACGCAAGCACGAAGCGCAAGAACTGCCAGTAGAGATCTCAGAAATGCTTAACAATTATCTGAGTCTGGCGCCCTCAAAAACAGCAGAAATTACCAAATTGAAGAGACCTAATCGCAGAAAATCGGGGCCAGAGGTCAAGCCCGAGTCTCTGCCGTCACTTTCGTACGTTTACGATATCTATTACCGGGAAGTGGTTCCGGAAGATGAGTTTGTGTTTGACCCCAGCACAATTGGGTATATCAGAATTGTAGAAGACAGCGGCGATCTGCTGGCGGAAGACGACGACGACGACAGAAGCGAGGTGTTTTCGGATGACCAGGATTCCAACGAAGAATCTTTTTACCAGAACGACTATCCTGAAGATGAGGACGATGATCGGTCGGTGCTGTTTGGAAGCGAGGCAGATCTGGAAGTGCGTCGAAATGAGGATGACGGCAGCGAAGAGTCCGAGGCTGAACAGTTGGAAGCGGACACCATACGCAATCACATAGTGGCAAGTCTTGGAGACGACGAGACGGATGCGCTATTTGAACGATACGCTGAGGCTCCGGACCTGCTGAAGACCGCGGGAGCCAATTATTTCGATCTGGATGACGATGACCATGATGATGAAAGTTCGGAGCTGGAGAGCGACGACGGCAATGACGCAGGTAACCACAAAAGGCACATTTTTTTCCCATCTGATGCAGAGGATCCGATGGCAATGCACCGCGATAAGATATTTGGCAAGCTGGAAAACATGATTTCAAAAAGGTGATGACGACCAAAAGTTGTGCTTGAACTTAGTCCAATTGTCCTTCAAATCACGACATCTGGAATACAAAAACATCAACTTTTCACGACTGGTTTTGAACACAACCTCCATTGCCGTCGACACTACTTCAAGAACTGCTGTCTTGATCGTCACTTTGACGAGCACTGGCACTAGCGCTGGCGCTGGAGTCAACTTCACGGCCTGTCAGTCTTTGGTTTGACTGCTCTTTCGAGGATGTGTGGGTGTTCAATTCCCAAAAAAATTTACAAAATATTTTCATGCGAGATTCGAACACAGGATAAACTTTTTTGAAAAAATCCCGCTGTTCAGTAATTCTATGTCTTTTGGTACGAACATCTGAGATTAGCTCACGTGATCTGATATACCCACGCACAAAAACGTGACTGAAAAATTTCAGCGACAGCGCCGTGTGCGCGCGACGACAGCGGCCTGGCGATGGCCTCGGACAGTGCCTGTGTTCGCTGCTCTCCCAATCCTGGAACTTTGACCTAGGTATCCATCCAACTTTTAAACAAATGTTTAGTTCAGTTGAATCTTGAGTTAGCGTTGTTTTTCACATTTTTGGCTTCCAGCTGCTACCTGCGTTTTTGAGAAATGAAGTACATCCAAACCGACCAAGTCCTAGACATCCCAGAAGGCGTCACCGTCAACATCAAGTCCAGAGTGATCAAGGTCACCGGTCCAAGAGGTGTCTTGACCAAGAACTTGAAGCACATCGATGTTACTTTCGCCAAGGTCAGCAACAGACAGGTCAAGATCACCGTTCACAACGGTGACAGAAAGCACGTTGCTGCTTTGAGAACTGTCAAGTCTTTGGTCGCTAACATGGTTACCGGTGTGACCAAGGGTTTCAAGTACAAGATGAGATACGTCTACGCGCATTTTCCCATCAACGTGAATGTTGTTGAAAAGGAGGGCGAGAAATTCGTTGAAATCAGAAACTTCTTGGGTGACAAGCTCGTCAGAATGGTGCCTGTCAGAGAGGGTGTCTCGATCGAGTTCTCTACCATCCAAAAGGACGAGATCGTTTTGTCCGGTAACTCCATCGAAAACGTGTCTCAGAACGCTGCTGACATCCAACAGATCTGCCGTGTCAGAAACAAGGATATCCGTAAGTTCTTGGATGGTATCTACGTCTCTGAAAAGGGCTTCGTCGAACAAGAAAATTAAACTGACACTGCGAATGCCGTGTCTTGGTCATCAAGGCTTGAATCGTGTGTAATTTAATGAAGCTTCTTACAAATTCAAATCCCGTCGTCAACCTGCGCGTTCTAGCGCTTTGGGGCAACCGCCAGTAGTAAAGAAACCTTAAAACCAAAAAATTACTAGTCTTATTATTTATCTATGGCTTTATCATCGTTGCAGTTCTGGCAATAAGTTGCAAATACTCTTCCAATCTGCCGCAAGACTGGAACAGAAGGTAGATGCGATCAGTCTCGTTTGCCACTAGATTTGCTAGTGAAAGGGCTTCAGTAACAAAACTGGCGACCCGTAGTTTCTCTGATGCCACCACGAAGGCGCGATGAAGTTCGATGACCATGTGAGGAGTGTATAATGCTCGTATTTCGTAAATCGTATCTTGGTCCTCAGGAGTAGATTTGTCTGAAAGGTCCATCAAAAAAGATTTGATGACCTTATGAACAAAACTCGAAATGTTCCGAAACGATGTCAACAAACTTGATAAGTTTGTGTCCGACTGTTCTCCGCGCGACATCTCTTGCCATTGTTCGAATTTCTTGAACGCCTGTATTAAGGAGCGGTAATCGCCAATCTCCTTAGCTGCTGTGCTTGTGTTTTCAGTGTCTGTGAGCGTGTCTATCTCGTAATTCTTGATCAGATTGTCTAGATTTTGCTTTTCGTAAAGGTATCTTAGGGAATTGATCCTGCCGTTCAGGAGAAACCTTCTTGATATTACCACTAGAGAATTGAGAGCGTCCACGGAAATGTGACCTTCGATGAGCCACTCTGCGGCAGCTATTAACCGTTTATCAGTGGCGTTGATCGGCGACTGCACATTCACTCTTGCTCTAGGACAGTAAGAGTTCTCAGTTTCATCGAAAACTCTTTGAGCTGTACGCCTCAAAATATTAGCAACAGGCAAATGCAATAGACGACACAGTTCTAGCTGTTTCTTACGCGCGTCGGTTTCCGTCAGGTTAGACAAAAGGAATGAATAGGCCTCCAGTGCATCCGGCTCGCTCAAGAAGCTAATGTATACCGGGATAATATCATTGAGTTCGTAAAATGAGAGAATTGTCACATAGGCTGTTATTAGTTTTGACTTATCTTGTTCCTCAATTGAACCGGGATAGACAATGTCCATCATGATTACCAGGTGGGTCACCACTCGGAGTAGATAAGGCTCTTCAACCATGACATTGCTAGGATCCAAGCCTTTGATAGCATCTACCAGCATAGCCACGGAGGATTTGATCACTGAGGGCACCTTGTCCAGCATTACAGCGCCCATCAGTACTCTCAGAGGATGCTCGCTAGCACGCGGATGATTCTTCGATACGATGTCCAACGCAGACTGTAGCGGTATAGACTGGATCTCCATTGGAACGATCATCTCCTTTGTATTGACCAGATTTTCTTTGACCATATGGTTCTCCAACGCAGTCTGCCACGACTGGTTCAAATAAAGTAAAAGTTCTGTGTCCCAGGACGTTTCTATATTTTCTGTGGTCTGGCCTATATCGCCAGCCAAATAAGAATAAATGGCCCTTTCATACGCGTCTAGTTTTTCGTTTTTGGATAACGAATGAACTGCCCTTCGCCAAAGGGTCTTCTGTTTATAAGACTCGAGAGTGTGCGGACTTTCTGTATCCAGCTCCACCTGGTTATCGACTCCACACAGTATCAATGCTAGAGTTAAATTGTCTGTGTGCTCGCATTCTTTTCTTGCTTCATCCATTTTGCCTGCTTGTATGAGCTCATATGCGTACTTGTAAAAGCTTTGATCTGATTGTATATCTTCAGGATCTAGCACGCACTTGGGATCTCTAAGCGGGTAGTCTGAATCACAGCTTTTGAGTTCTCCTGATATGAACGAGTTTGACCATTTGCTGGTACCCAGAGAGTCTGGTCGCTCTGGGACTTTAACATTCGATTGGATCCATACAATGATCAGCCAAAGTTCGTAAAGCGGGCTATTGTCCTCCATACGTACTTTGTGGTAAATCGAATCGGCACTCGATTGACCCTCTTGTTCTAAATCCACGTCAGCAGTTCTGTAATCGACCAAAAGCTCGATCAAGTGCCATAATTTAGCCTCTAAATCCCAGTTTTCGAAAACACCGCCACTCGACGCAATGTCACCCGATACAAGTTTCAATGCTGCTTCACCTGCCACTGACCTAAATTCTCTCACCACATCGAAAAAGTTCTTCGAGCCAGGGCTGTTGAGCTCAGTGATTTTAAACTCTTTCAACACATTGGCGAACTCTACAAGCACTGAAATATTCCGTCCACTGTCAATTTCCATAGTATTTTTTCGCCAGCTTTAATCCAAAGATAACAGATCGCCGTTAAACTGGCTCCTCCTTGAGCTTTGACGTTGATGTTGTTCTGATCAAATCGCAACTGATGGGTCTATTTATTATGTTATTCAATATTTATAAAACTGTGTGCTATTTAATCACTTTGAACGAGTACAAGTAAGAGATGAGATTCAACTATACAGCTGATGAACGCTCTTTGACGATTGAGACCACTGAAGCTGGAGTTCACAATTCAATGAAAGTTTTTACATCTCATTGAAGACTAGCATCAATTAAATTGGACTGTTTTATCGAAGTTGCGTTTAGTTCGACTGAAATTAATGCAAAAATCATTTTAATTGCGAAACGGGATCAACGTCAGCTGTTTAGTAACTTTAGATCACGAATGAGCTCGTTATCCAGTGAAAATTTATATATTATGGGATGCCATTGACGTACTTTATCGGCTTGTTACAGCGTTCTTTGAATTTTTTGCTTGTGTTCTTTTTATATGCATTTCCATTCCGCGAAGGAACACCAGCCCGCGCCAGCGTCTGATTTGACTAAACCGGTCCAAATGCCAGGCTCCATGGCTTTACCAGCAATTGAGGTCTCCCAGGTCCCAAACTCGAAATTGGGATCGTTTTTGTGCATTAAATGCAGTTTCCCGGAAGGAGCTTGCACTGCCAGTGCGTGCTTGGACAATTTGCCAACTGCTGGCGTGCCGTAAATGACACCGTCGCATGGATGCTGTATAACTTCGAAATTGTACTCGTTCTTTGCAAACAGATACTTGTTTTGTGGAACCCTGATGTACATGTCAACTTTCTGCACACCATTTGAAGGCACGCGAGTGACGAATTCGTAGTTTTTGGCAGTGCCAACGTGTTCCAAGGGAATTATGAGCGAGAGGGGATGGACATTGGCGAGTGTCGTCTGGGTGCCCTTGATGCCAGAATGTATGTGTATTACACCGCGAGACGTGCCTGGTGGTAGAACGGCCTTTACTACGGCTAGTCTTTCCTTCTTGCGGTGCTTGATCTGTACAAGCGACAGATCCATGTTCTCATAATGCTGCTGCTTACTTGGACTGTCGACTACAACCGAGGAAAATAGCTCCACGTCGTTGGGGATGGATATGGTACATTCGTAAATCTGGTTATCGTGCAGTTTAGCCAGACCATTGCTGAATTTATAGAGTTTCAGCTCATTATGGAAGAACGACGGAAATACAATCGGGAGACTCAAAGCAATGGTTTGGTCGACGATCGGAATGATGTGCTGTTCTTGGTAGAGTCGAGGAACATGTGTGTATATGCAATGAAGGGGTTGTATCAGAAAGTAAAAAGCGTCGGCGTGATCTGCTTTACAGTTGTCGATGTATTCGTGGATAGGATTCGTCTGGTTCCCCAGAATGACGTCCACCATGCGCCATTCTTCGTTTGCCAGCACTCGGAGCCAGCAGTGGTTGTATTTGAAATCCATGTTGTTGGCTCCTGGCGTTTTCAAAAAGCCTATCACGATCTCACATACAATGCCAAGGGAGTTGGCCATACGCTTGAAAATCCACGTCGATTCATATGGCGTGCAGTAGGACTTGTGAAGAGTTTTGCTCAAATTCACAGGCTCCTTGCCAAAATCTGTTTGACCATGATCATCTACGAGAGCGAATGTTTCTGTGCAGAAGATGAAGATGGCAAACAGAATTTCAATCTGACTTTTGTATGCGGATGTAAAAATCTGGCGTGCAAATGATTCAATTGACGATGTACCGCCTTTTTTAGCTTTGCTCTTGATCGAGTCAGCAATATATTCTTTGTTGATGCAATTCAACTCAATATCAACTAGACCTGGTTGTCTCCTGTGTCTGACTTCATTGGTATTGATTTCATCTAAAATGTATTCCTGGGGATGTAAGACAAGGTCTCGATTCTCTTCGAGGGCAAGCATCTGTCTGTCATGGCGCTCCTTCGAGTTCAACGTTTGAGCCCTGTGTAGATGAGCTTTGGCCTCGACCCATCCATGAGCGTCATCGTGTGATGTGTCCAGTTGTAGCGAGGCTAGATCCGGTAGCTTGGGAAACGATCCTGTAGGCGAGCTCGGAGACACATCAGTACCCTTGATAACAAGTTTTTTGAAGATGTTATTGAGTTTTTGGGGGCTGGCAGACCCGTTCTTAGATCTAATTAGGCCCTCTTCGACAGCTATTTGAGAGCGTTGCATGGAGTCGTCAAAAGACTTGGCAAATCTGTGCCTCGCAAAACTACCCGCACTTGTTGCGCTGAAATCGCTCATCAGAGCGAGGCTATCGGCGCTGCTGGTGCTCGATTCTGTCATATACTGAGAATGCGAAAAGACATTAGAACAGGCACCGGAAGAAAGATCTCGCGGGCTGTATCCGTCGTAGAAATCTGCGCTAGCTCGCTGGTACGACACTCGCGCGTCTAGCCCAGTGTTTGTTGCTGCTGCCTCTAATATATCGTTTGAGGAAAACGATTTAGGAACCTGAGACTTTTTTGCTACCAACCGTTCTTTCAGCTGCGGAATAGGCGGCAAGGGCGGTAACTCATTGAGTTTTTTCCCATAGGATCTGAAAACAGCGTCTCGCTTGTGGTCGTCGCTGGCGGTTGAGACTTGCCACGTCCGAGCATGGTTCAATGACGGGGTGCCTTGATTTTGCGAGACAAGATTGGAAGCGGAGTACGACTGGGGCAGTCGTTCGGTGTGTGTGTGTCTATAAGAGCGAGTTTTGGAAGGCCCTTTTTCCCTGCGCATGGTTCTATTTTCGATGCTAAAAACGGGCGCATCCGCATTGCGACTGGGGGTTGGCAGGCTCTGTCTGGCAGCTGATGGCAGCAGTACTGAGTTTTTGGTTTCTGGGACGATAGAACGTTTGAACTCGTTGTATTTTTCTTCGATGACCGTGACGAAGTTGTTTGGAAAGTAGCCGTATTTTCTCGAGTTTCTCAGCAGTGTGCCGTAGAACCAGTCGCCCTTGATTTTAGTGACCTGTATAATGTCATTTTCGAGAAATCCGAGGTCACCACGGGTTTCTCCAGACCACGAATAATGTGCTTTAACTTTGAAAGGCGGTTGAAGTATAGCGGACGACATGCAAAATTATGGTGAAATCACTTTGATAATGGAACAGACTCTATCGAAGGTATCAAAACTCCCACTACAACGCTTAAACGCCGGAATTGAGCTGCTATGAAGCTGGAAAATGCGAAAAGATTAGGTATTAAAATGTGTATCAGAAAAGGTGGTTCTTGGGTCCCTGAATGCGAATTTTTGATGATCTGAAGCACTAAACTCGTCTTTTTTAGCCAAATTCAAATACACGCAGATCTATAAGTTCCTTAACTGGCCTAAAATCACTTCAATTGATAGGGTGTGCTTAAACTGCCAAAGCTGCTAGAAATGCTTGTCTGGCATCTCAAGACATCTATATAGGCTAATTTAGCTTTTTTTCAGAACTCGAAGCTTTAAAAGTAAACATCACGTGATTTCTATGTTTAACGCTATGGGTCACGTGGTATTTTTTACCTGTGAGTAGAGTAAGAGATAGATACATTTATGGGATCAGCAAGCAAGCTAGCTAGCAACCGAGCAACCGAGCCGGTAGTTGGAATCTCTAATATTAAGTCTATGAACTAAACGTTACAAAACGCTTTCTCTTTTGGCCGAGCTCTCAAGATTAATTAACAACGCTCTTGCCAAAGTCACGTGCTTTCTGAAGCAACAAAGCGTCAGCGAGCACCAGGGCGGCCATGGCCTCGACAATGGGCACGGCTCTGGGTGTGACAGAAGGATCGTGTCTGCCCTTGGCCGCTAGTACACCGTGTTCACCGTCGTAGGTAGCAGTTTTCTGCTCTTGCGAGATCGTAGCTGCGGACTTGAAAGGCACGGAAAAGTACACGTTTTCACCGTTGGAAATACCACCCTGGGTACCACCAGAGTTGTTGGTCTTGGTACGCAGTCTCTTGGTCTCCTCGTCGAAGTAGAAGGGGTCGTTGTGCTGGGACCCTGGCAGCTGCACGCCCTCGAAACCGGAACCAATCTCGAAACCCTTGGAGGCTGGAATCGAGAGCATCGCATGGGCAAGTAGAGCCTCTAGCTTGTCGAAGCAGGGTTCTCCGAGACCCACTGGCAGGTTTCTGATGACACAGGTGACGACACCGCCAATGGAATCCTGATTGCCTCTGTATTTTTCAATTTCGTGAACCATGTCTTCGGCGACCGAGGAGTCTGGGCATCTAACGGGACCCATGCTGTCGACCTTCTGCCTGGTGATGGTGTTCAAGACGTGCTGGAACTTGGCGTCCTGAGGGTCACGGTTCATCTTGACGGCACCAATTTGAGTCACAAACGCCACGATCTCGACGTTCGACACCTTTTTCAAGAATTTTTCGGCGATTGCGCCAGCAGCGACACGGCCGATAGTTTCTCTGGCAGACGAACGACCGCCCCCGGAAGACGACTTCACGCCGTACTTCTCCAGGTAGGTGAAGTCCGCGTGCGATGGTCTAGGGTACAAGTCCATTTCAGTGTAGTCGTGTGGTCTCTGGTCCTGGTTCAACACGAGCATTCCGATGGGCGTTCCCAGCGTTTTGCCGAACTCTGTACCAGATTGGATCATGACTTTGTCCTTCTCGTTTCTGGGAGTGGACAACTTGGATTGGCCCGGTCTTCTTCTGCTCAGTTGTGGCTGGATGTCCTCCTCCGTGAGACTCATTCCTGGGGGCACACCATCAACGATGCAGCCCACGGATTTGCAGTGTGATTCACCATAGGTGGTGACAGTGAAGAAACGACCAAAAGACGACATTATTCACTGGTTCGTTCGAAATTTATCTGAAAAGCGCGAGAGTTTCGATCAAACGACTCTATTCTTTGAAATAATACTCGCTCACGCTCTGTAATACAGGTTTGAGATGGATTTGATAGGGAGCTTTTCAGTTCAGCTCCAGAATTTCCAAAATTTCACCTTGCTCTGTTCAGTCATCTTCAAAAATCATGATCGTAGTGAAAATTTGATGATTTTCGTGGTAGCGGAGGAGGTTCAAAGGGCGGCGACAGTTTTGAGCAGAAGGCGGTTTAGGTTCCAGAGTATAAGCGATTTGGGTCTTGAGGTTTAGTTCTTGGTACTTTGCAGTGTGTTGAATGGTTTGAGTTGATGGTGAGATCAGAGTGAGGGAGCTCTTCGGACGAATAGTTTTAGAAACGGGATTTAGGAGTTCGCAGGCTTGTATAGCTTGTAAGAGTGTGTGTTTTGGAGATCAGTGAGGTTGTGTGTGACTCTGTTTCAAAGTACTTTTCTGTATGCTGTGGTAGCCCTGGAACCCAGGAAACACCAAATTGGGAAAAGGAGGCGATTGATTTAGCCGCCTACATGAAATCCGACTGTTTAGAGCGACATTGGACTTGTAGAGATGTGTTAGAGAATTGATTTTGTTGGGTAGATCGGTTTCGAGATGCATTTTGGGTTTCTGTCAAATCAAATTGGATATGGGAGCGTCATTGGCATCGACGGAAAAGGATTGGCTCGTTTTGATCGAGCGATGGCCAACAAAAATATCCATTATTCCACCAGGCAAACAAGAAGAGCTCCCACTCTAGGGACTTCAGGTTTGTTTAGGTCCATAGGCCAACACTCAAATCCCTTATACCATGTCATGGCATGTAAAAACCCTAAAAATGACTCTATTCTTGTCAGCAGCTCGTTTTATAGCTCTTACTGAAGACTTTGATGCCTCATAGCGGGTCTAGTTCTCCTCAAATGATGAGAAAAGAGCACCTTGAAGGTTTCTTTCTGGTTTGTTGATTTTGGTTTCTATAAAGGTGTCACGAAATTGATTAATTGACATTTTATTGTCAAATACATGTCAAATTGTTGAACATCGACAGGCTCGAACTTCATTACAGAACAGACTACGAAAGGGCAGGTACGAATGTCAAGCGAACCTGATGTTCAAAATAATGTCAACGGCGGCTTCAAAATCGGCCTTCTTTCTTTCTAAAACAATCGAACAGCCGAAATATCGTGAACCTCTTGGAAAATAATTGACATCACGGCAAATAAATTACAAAAAATTCTTGAGATGAGGTATTCTCTCAGCTACAAGTTCTTAAACGCGACACGGCATCCAGCACAAGATGTTATCTTGGTGGACACTTATATCGTTCAACTTTGATGCATTTTCTTGGAGGGAGACTTTTCTCAGCTATGGAAATATCAAGCTGAAAATCAACCATCAATCAACTAAAGCCACCTGGGAATTGTCACAGATCGTCCTTTGGCTGAATTTCAGAAGGGTGCCACATTTACTCTTCATATACGGCATGTGACATTGAGCATCGACAAACGCTGCAGTTCTATGTGCAGGGTGCTCACCCCTCCTACGACTCCGATAGCTTAACGAAATTTATAACAACCTAACGTACATGGTGTGGCTAATCCACATTTGATTTCTTCAGGTATATTTGGCCGAACCTGCTTAAAAATTCTTTGAGGGCAAGTCTCAGATCTGCGGACAGGCTTTTGTCTAAAATTTGCATGGCAAGGTCGAACATAACATCACAGTTGTCCTTAAAATCCTTGTCGTCAAATTCGTAGTACCCCTGCAAAATCTCTACCACCACTGGGCGCCACGATACAATGATGTGCTCCATAGTTCTGTCATCGAGTCTCACGTACTTCTGAATGATACGAACCGATATTGAGATCAGCCTTTCTGACAGTAACTTCCTCTCTTCTGCCGACTGCTTATCACCATTCAAAAAGAGCCTGAACATAATGTTGATCAAAACTGCTGATGCGCTCGTTTCCTGCCTCACAAGGTTGGGAATTCTGTCAACAAGACGGGCACTCAATATGCGCGATCTCAATCCAAAGTCATCGTTGAAATCACGGGCAAACGCATACGTTTTCTCCAACATTACCGTTATCTTGATGGCTTCTTTGTATGGGATGTTTCTGGAAAAGCCCTCGTCCTCAAAAAGCTCGCTCAGAGATTCTATCATTAACAGTTGCAGGACACATTTCACGACAATTGCATTTTTAGTCGAAATTGTGCGCCGCAGATTTTCGCTGCTCTTGGTTTGAACTAGCCTTTTCGATGGTTTTTCGACCTCGGTGTCGGCGTTGCCTACATCCTCTCCATGTTCCTCTTGATGAGCTCTGGCTATTTCCTCCTCGACAGAAATTTTATTGTCTGCCTGTGGGTTGGTCTCGGATTGCCTCCTGCCCTGATGTAAAGGATCTAGATCAAACAATTCATTCGCGGTCGTCAACTCAAAGAGACTACCAAAGGCAGCAGTGATTTGCTCCCAGTGAAGATCGTTAAGCTTGCTCGCATTCTGAACTATTAAATGCTGCAAACACGAGCGACCAATCCTTGCAATAGTGTCGTTTTCTTGGCATATACAGGACACTAGAAGCCCCAAAAATCCGTCTAGCATATCATTCAGGCAGTCAAAGTAGTGGGTGAACAGGGCGACCATGTTTCTCAATGCTTGAATGAGTGTTGTTGAAAACCACACTGATAGATCGTCGTGACTGTTAAATTGATTGATCTCCCAGTGCTTCGATAATGCTCCAAAGATAGGAAATAGCAATTTGGTGCATATGCTCGTCCAAAAGCTGTGGTCAAATTTGCCGCCGTAAGCAACTAGAGCATCGAACATGTAGTTTAGAGCTCTTGATCTCACCTCCAAATCCTCTGCTGTCATTATTGTGTCATTGAAGCAAAATAAGACAGGGAACCAAACATCTTGGAATAAATCCTTGCCGTGAAGCAAGTCAGCAGAGTCTTTCCTTTCAAAGCAAATTTCTGCAACTTTCTCGTTGATTTCCTTCAAAACCTCCAAGGAATGTAGAGACATCTTCTGAAATTTCTGGTTTTTTGTGATTTCTCGCAAAACATTGACCAAATCAATGAAGGAGTTATCCTGAGCAAAAACACTTTCGAAGTGGTTTTTCACAATATCATTAGCCACTAACTGGTGAGTTTTCATCACAATGGTTTCATGGGACGATTTCGCAGTAAACTTGAGAGACTCTAAAATCGGTTTCCATCCTGACTTGATCTTCGATGATTTTGTAAGTATGAAATTTTTGAAGCACTCGATGCACATTTCTTGGACATCGGGATTTGTCGTGTGATAGGTAGCGTATCTGAAAGGCTTTAGAAAATCGAGTTGAAACTCGAATCCTGTCAATTCCTCAATGTCCAAGAACCTCATGGATAACTGGCGAAGGGAATCCACGGCGAAGAAAACCACAGCCAAGTTTGAGTTTGTGACAATTTTATTGAAAGCTTCTCCCATTACCGCCCAAATTGGCGTCCACTCAACTCTAATACGATTCATATTGTAATAGGAGACATCGACCATTTTTTGTAGCGAAAACATCCTTGGACTAGCTGCATTGTGAGAAGAATCTATCTCGTCAAAAGAAACCTCGGTGAGAGCTTTTATGAAGTCAACAATGGCACTGCCTGTCAAGTTCGAGCTGTTTGTAAAAATTCGATCAATCAAGAGTACCAGTTGACTTGACGAAATATGCTTTGAAATCTGAGGCGATAGAATTTGATTATGATGCTTTTCTTGTGCAAGTTCAATTGGCGTAGATTTCTTGGTCCATCTCTCGAAAAATCCCATTGACGCTGACCTCGTGGAATCGAACGAGCTCCTGTTGTTGGCTAGTCTGGCTTGCTTCACATCAGGTAGGGACTGCCCATCGATACCCTTCGATATCAACTGCAACCTCTCTACCTGTGAAACGAGTAACAAAACGTCTTTCCACGAACTTTTGAGAAAGTTACCTTCCGTTAAGGCGAGCTCGAGAAGAATTATAATAGCATTGATGTTCTTGATCTTGGTTTCCTCTAGATTTTGGAGATTTGCAAACTGAACTAGTGCCCCCACGAAAGAAGCTCTAGCATAGTCATTTCCGAAAGTAGCAGATATTTTTATCGAGAGTTTGATGCCTTCCAAACACATGTCAGTTGTTGCATAGTCATCATACTCCTTGAAGGGGGGTGTCAAGGCAGCCAAGAAGGACATCCATAGTGTGTCGAAGACAGATTTCACATGCTCGATGTGGGAAGCGGCGTGGTAAACAACACTTTCATTGCCCTTGTTCTTGGGTAAGTTTCTGAATACCAGCTCGGTCTTTGAAGAAATCTCTTTCGAAACTTGCATGTATGCCTCCCTGTTCAAATCACGACTGCTGAAAAAGCTAAATGCAGATGGTTGTTGGTGACTAGTACTCACGTCACCAGAGAGCATGGCCTGATGCTGTTCCGATTGTAGTTTGATTTCATTTTCTGCGATTTCGTTGAACAGCTTTACCATATACTCTTCGGAGACATCGTTTCCATTGTCAATCCCGGCATTGTTTTCTATGAATTCCTGCAAAGTCATTTTGTTCTTAATCTGGGAAGAGTGCAGGTCCGTATTCAGCATTATAATGGAGTATGATAGGACATACGCAGTATCCGCTTTAGAAAATTGCCCAGGATTTTGGTCGACGAATCTCTCCGCAAACTTGAGCATGAAGCGATCAATTTTTTGCCCCTCGCCTGGCAGTCTAAACTTTTGTAAAAAGACTCTCAATGAGTCTACAAGGGATAGATTTTTGAAATTGAAGTAATCCACAAAACAGTGCATCACAGCAATGTTTTTATCGTCTCCCTCCCCAAGGTAGTCCCCCACAGCGGCCAAATCGAGCCCGTCTGTTTCTAGTAGCCACTTGGCAATTGAGGGAGGGGTATCATCAGTAATGAATTTTCTTTCTATCAACTCCTTGAGACCTCTCTTGGGCTTGTAGTTGAAGATGTTGATGCAATCCTGTAACTCTGTTTTCCGAAGTTTTAAGTTCTCAAACTGCGCAGGATCATCAGCCTCTTGAGTGACCTCATTTTGAGACTGATTGATGGAATCTGTTTGTGAAAGGCCGTTCCCATCGCCATTGACATCAGTAGATGAGCTACCAGGAGAAAGTGTCTTTCTACCATTTGCAGCAGCAAATGTAGATGTAGACCTAGTTCTCGCATGGGAATATTGGGCATTTGGGCCATTTGAATTCATCGCTTTGTGAGCCCATGAACTCAAAGATCTTAAAACAGCTACCATACAACTTAGCGATCTCATCTTCAGCGCAAACTCTACGGGAAAATTCAGGTTTTCGGAAGCGTTCGAAGACGACAAGTTAGAGGTCGATAGGAGGGGTAGCTGTGCCAAATTGTAGGTCGCCAAGGGCTTGGAGCGTTGCTCGTCGTAGTATGCTCTTTGCGAAGGAGATATTTCCACTCTCGTTAAAGCCATTCTTGTTAAATAGTCAACAATAATCTCAACAACGTTCGGTAGATGTGGGTCACAGTCGTAGTTAAGGTAGAACTCGATCAAAGTTCTGGGGTCGTTACAGATACGTTGGATAACACTCAAAAAGTATCTTTTCTGATGAGAGGTAGAGGATTTTAGGTCGGAAATTGGGAAGTAGATCTCTGTCAGAAAGACTGGAATTTCTCTTTTGAATTCTGACCTTAAGTTTGAAATCATTAGCCACATTATTTCTAACGTTACTTCAAAGACGGGAGAGATGGGAGAGGCGGCATTGCGTGATAGTAGAAGACACAAATACTGCCTGATGGAATTCACTAAGGACGTTTGATCCTTTCCCGGTATTATAATATCTTGAGATAGAAAAATATCGATGTGATCACGGATAATTGAATGAATGATATGCAATGACAGCAGTTTAGATCTAACAGCATGGGATCTCATGTCGGTGTCATCTTCGAGAGGCTTAGCGGATATTTTGGTCATAGCTCTGAACACCAAAAAGGCGTCCTTTATGAGAAGGGCCTTCTCATCCTCAAGCTCATCCTGCTGCTCATCAACAATTCTTTCTTGCTCTGTATTCAAATTCTCGAGGTTTTGTAGCGTAAGTGGGGTGATGGAATTCTCTGAAACCAATGCGGGCAAAGTTGAGCGTGAGTTCGAGCTATAGAGGACAGGCGCCAACGTCAAGCTGCCTCCGACTTTGTCGAAAACCAGATTGACAACTTGGGTCAAGGTGGCCTGTGCAATACCTTGATTAGAGGAGCTCAGTGAATAGATAAAGATGTTGTAGATTTGCCGAATGGCTTTGAGCAAGGACTGGCCATGGCAAACAGTGGCAGATGTGTCGGTGAGAATGCAGCTTGCGAGGGCACGCAAAACTTGAAGTTCCACACGGGAATCAGTGCCCTCGCCTTCAAAGCAGTCTGTGATGGTGTCAATGGCGGCGTCTATGAGACGTTGTTTGGGAGGAGGTGTGATGCCTGCATTCGAGGCATCGCTCTGGTCATTAGAAGCCATAGAATTGGGTGGATTGACCATGGTGGAACCGTCCAGTGCTTGGAAGGAGAACAGTTTGGAGAGGCAGTCGAGAGCGCTGACCGTCATATGCGTTGACTTTGTCATGCAGCAGAGCCTGAGGGGCTCAAAAACAACAATCGAGTTCAAATACTTAGGGTCATTGTTCGTGCTCGCCAAGCTTTCGTCCAAATGCTTGGTGCTTCGTTCAATAGACTTTTGAACATTGGCGTGTTTCTTTATGTCCTTCTGTTGTAAAACAGCCTCGAAGGTGGCCTTTACGAGACTTATAGTGGACCTTAGATTATTTTGCCCCGCTGTAGATGTCGTTGACAGCTTTCTGGAAGGTGTCCCGTTGGCAGCGCCATCCATTCTCGTGGAAGTCTCTGGCGTGGGTGATGCGACGGGCTGTATTGTAATGGAGGCGACAGAGGCAGTGTCCTCATCAGAAACCTCAACCGGAGTTTGACTCGGTTCGACTTGAGACATGGCACTTGAGTTAGAAGTGTTTAGGCGCAAATAGCCGAGCTTTTGACCTTCTGTTGGCTGTCTGGTTAGTTGTTAACATAGGGGAAATTCAAGAACTTTAGCTAGCTTGAAAAATAACTAGGCGGTTTTTGATGTTTGAGATTAAGGTCACGTGTGTGTTGAAACTGACACTGACACCGCGTCAAAGATGTGCTGTAGTTCTCACGAGTTGTGCGAATTATACAGGATTCTTGACGAGAGATCACACCGTGAACGGATTGGCCTGATTGGCTCTGGATTGGAGTTTAGATGTGGTATAAACTTGTGAGACTCGTGTGAAATGAGAATGTCGATGACCTAGCTACTATGCCAGTTCGGGACGTGCCGACTCGTCGAAGATCAGTGTTGAGGATACAAGCATTTTGAAGTTTTAGTTGTGGTTTAGAGAGATCTTGATTTTCGGGTTTGACAATGTGGAAACGCAGTGGGTCGAAAATATCCATCGTGATGCAAAAGCACGTCGTGTCGGAATTTATTCGCACTGGAAAGAGATTCAAGAGACTAAAGAAATCGATCAGTGGTCTGGGTTGTCCATTTCGTTTTGTGCAAGAGCCGCGCATTGAGTTTTATCTCCAGACATCCTCACGACACATAAGTACAAAGTGATATGATGAGAGACTATACACTATGGTGTAGGCGTCGCACAACGTGATTGACAACTGATGACAGACTTGTGCTGAAGGATACTGTCCTGACACTGAATGCTTTGGTGTATAGTTTCTGATATTGATACAACATGTACCAGTCTATGTGAATATTCGCGCTTGAAAATGGAGATCAAAGTGTGCGTTTCTGACAATAGTCAAAAACTTCATACAAGTGGATTCAAAGCGCTAAAAACAAGTTCACAGCCCACGCAAAAAAAAAAATTTCTGTGCTAGAGTGACACTGTTTTGATCGTCCCATTTTGTACCAAAAGATGTGCTTTAATAATCCAAATTTTCTACTTCTAACAGTGAAGCGTTCTGCACCGACGACATCATCTGTTATTTCTTCTTTGTTGTGTCAGATTGTTTTTGAGCCATTATTGAATGTTACGTTGCTGTAAAAAAATAAAAATTTGGCCCTCTTACGACAATTTAGCGAACGCTTTGGCACAAATATCGAACCCATTGACCACTCCTGTCACATCGTGTTACACTGCAAAGGACTCTCAAACTACGCTGCGATCTGCGTCGCCGCCAAAATCAGGTTTTCGAGTGTCACAGCACCAAAGACGAGCGAATTGTAAACCATGGCGTCTTTCGAAGCCTGCAGCCATTACTGCTAATCACAATCAATTGCTGACACAGTAGCTCTGGCTGTTGCGCACAGTAACTCTGGCCTATCCAGCCGTTAGCATCCACAGCATCCACATCACGTGACCAAACGACAAACGACACTGTAATACAAAGTTACCAGAAGGCGATGCAAGTCGTTTTCCATAGACCGATGCCATGCTGTACATGCACACGTTCATACATATCCCACGAAGTCTCCAAAAACTAACACTGTAGCACTAAGTACACCACTCAAACGCCAATCAACACCAAGTCGATCTTGTTCGCTGCCTTGTTTCAATCATTGGACACCTCTAGTAGACTCTAATTAACGAATCTAATACACTCCTTGGCCCCGTCATACCTCCTGCAAAGCCGACGGACTTAACTCCCGGAGTAAAACCACAGCTTTCGCTCTCAATGCCCCATGGCGTAGCTCATGTATCAGTTTTGGGTTTGGGTTAGGATTTGGGTTTTCCCCGGAGCCGAGATTCGGAGATCCTGCTATCTTGCTTATCTCAGCAGGGATATCACTCATTACGGATATACAATCCAGTCCGACGGAGTTATTTCGCTTGCTGGGCGCGGACATGCGACAATGGCCGGCTGCCCCTTTGTCACGAATAAATTGATATCGCCGACGGAGAATTGTGCACGAGCTCAAATGTCAACAAAGCGAGGGGGGCGGCTGCTCGAGCCCCCCGCGAGACAATCATATATAAAGACACAACACCGGAAACATCTGTCAGGAAATGGAACTTACCGATGCTTTAGTTCTAAAACATCATCATCGTCTAATATACTATTCGTTCTACAGGCTTGCACTGCTCTTCCAGTTCAATTCTGTTCCCGCTTGTTGTGCACATTTCCTTGAAGCACTCAAAATACAGCTTATTGGCGCCCTCCCTCCGTCTCCTGTGATATTTTTAAAGTTAGCCAAGTTGCTATGGCACCCGTCACGCTACCAGTTACCCTGCCAGTCTCGGCCGTGCCACACGACTGCTCGGCCCACAAGCACGTGAAAGACGCGTCAGCAAAGACTAAGGCTGACGCGTCAGTCGTTCTTGACGACGGTGTCACGCTCACGACGTACCCGGAGGACTCGAGTCCCCTCGGGCTCACGTGGGGCGCGGCCGCGCCCGAAGTGCGTGGACCCGTGGTATGCTCGCGCTACCACGACGGCTTGGCCAAGCACAACGCGATCGGCGCGCACTCCGGCCCCTACTGCGTGTACCACGCACTAGCGGTCGGGTCCAAACAGCTGGACCCTAACCACGTAGCCGACTACACCAACTCGCAGCCCGCGTTCTCCATTCCCGAGCAAAAAGCCTGGTACACCGAGACCGACATCGTCGCGATGGACCCGCTTGGCCATCTCACGCCGTTCATTTTCGATGAAACCGCCAAGGCTGAAAACGTGCAGATTAGACCTTCCATTTCCGTCACCAAGGCGTCTTTGCAGCTCTTCGAGCTCAAAGACGCGGTCGCCAACAACAGAATGAAGGTTGACGGCAAGATTGTGCTCAACAGAAACGGTGACGTAGCCGTGTCCAAGGTCGCCGTCGAGCCCGTGTGGTACTTGCCAGGCGTGGCACAACGGTTTGGCATCACCGAGAACGAGCTCAGAAAGGCCCTGTTCCAGGACACCAACGGTATGTACCCAGAGCTCATCACTCGGCCAGACATCAAGGTATTCTTACCACCCGTTGGCGGATTAACCGTGTACATCTTTGGAGACCCAGCTTACGTGTCGGACCCTACCAAGAAGGTCGCTCTCAGAGTGCACGACGAGTGCAACGGCTCAGACGTGTTTGGCTCCGATATCTGTACCTGTCGTCCCTACCTGATGTTTGGTATCGAAGAAGCGGTCCGGGAGGCGCAGAACGGCGGGTCAGGTGTGGTTATCTACTTCCGTAAGGAGGGCAGAGCTCTCGGTGAGGTGACAAAGTACTTGGTCTACAACGCACGCAAGAGAGGTGGTGACACCGCGGACGAATACTTCCACAGAACTGAGTGTATTGCCGGTGTGCGTGACATGCGTTTCCAGCAGCTCATGCCCGATATTCTCAAATGGCTCGGTATCACCAAGATTGACCGTATGTTGTCGATGTCCAACATGAAGCACGACGCCATTGTCGAGCAAGGAATTCCAATCATCGAGAGAGTTCCTATTCCAGACGAGCTGGTGCCACCTGACTCTCGTGTTGAGATCGATGCCAAAATCAATGCCGGTTACTTTACCACTGGTAAAGTAATGACCGAGGCAGAGTTGAAAGCTGTCCAAGGTAGAACTTGGAACGACGTGGTCTAAGCAAGCGCTCTCGTGCAGGCTACAGACTGGTGCTGACTGCTTCGCGACAATACTTATTGGTGTAGATTAGTAAAATTAGATAGAGACATGCCATTCTTCGCGATACGCAAGAATTTGGCACTATGAAGAAATTATGAATGAGTTTTTCAAAAAGCGTTAGAGCTAAGATTGACAGCATTGCAAGATCGTAGTGCTCTTGAAGATCTACAGGTGGAATGCATTGTGAGTTGAACATGAGGGCAAATTGAATGTTAAGAGTTAGTGTCACATTAGTATAAAGTGATGTCTCACGTTTGAGTAAAAAGGCCAGTCAAGAACACATAGGTGCTGAACCCACGAAACAACAGGCCCTCAAGCTTGCTGTTTGCTCGAAATACTCAAGCTTCATGTAACACGCTTCATCTGAATATTCAATTTTATCACTTTTTCCGAGTCCGTCATTTTGAATTTTGACACTTTCAGAGATCAATATACGCCTCTATTCGATTTGACAGTGGTTTGCCAAGAACAGTACGGTCTTGTTAAAGGCCGACTCGTGCGAGAGGGACACACTGCAACTTACAATCATTATTCATTTCGCAAACGTATCCTCATGATTGATACAAACCGAGGCCGTCAACTTAAGTCTTTTCATCTTTACATCCCAAAACGACTTTAAAATGAAAAATTGAAACAACCTTTGCAGCCTCTCAGCACCACAAATATTGATTCCCGATAATCAGTACTCTACAATCGTCACAGGGACAGTAAGTATCGTCAATTCCATTCATTTTCAACTCCGGTACGCTATATCACTTTGTTTCCCACTGTCACCATAGAAAGTTCTACGTATTTCTAAGATATAAACTGCGTCATATATAAAGGGCAAGGGGACAACCGATCTGATGGCAAACTCCTTCACCTTCACTCACCACTAATTCAATTCTCTTGAATCAATCTAAACACGTTAACACACATCCAATTATGAGTTACCACACACCAATTCTTTCACTTTACGACCTCTGTCAAGCTATGGCTTACGGCTCAGGCGCGCCAATCGAAAACGAAGGGCTCGAAGGCAGAAGAGCTCACCATTCAAGACGTCATCATGGCCGTTCCAGACACAGGTCAGATGTGAACAACCGCTTTGCCCAACACCCTCACTTTTACTACATACCTAGTTATTATGATGCCGGCGATGAGGACGAGGACGAGATTGATGAGCAGCAATACCCTTACTATTGGCTAGGGCAAACTGCGCGCAATGAACCACTACCACAATTTCAGCAACAGCAACAGCAGCGGAGGCAACAGCCACAACCGGAATTTCTGACGCGGATATTAAGGGAGGCGTTTGGCCCGGGCCAAGCGGAACGAGAACCCGAGGAAACTGACGCCAACGGCGCCGTGTCGAACGAAGAGGCTGCAGAGGCTCCATCACTAGCTGCTCCAGCTGGGCCATCGGACGCGAAGACTCAAGAAGACGGAGATGCAGATGTTCCTACCTCACCCCCACAAACAACCGCTCGCTCCGAGGCTCCCAGTCCCGTTCCTGAGCCCTTGCAGGTATCCAAGCCCCAGATGCGCCGTGGGGTTCCCTTTTCGCCCAAAGTCAACGTTTACGATGACGCTGACGCCTATGGCGTGGTGATGGCTCTTCCTGGCGCCAGCTCCAAGTCCTTCAAGATAGACTACCATCCCACGTCGCACGAATTGCTCATTAAGGGCAGCATCGACAAAAAATTCGGGTACGACGAGAAAAACGTGCGTGTCTCTGAGCTCCCCACCGGCAAGTTCGAAAGGTCTGTGAGACTTCCAGTGGTCCCCAGAATCAAGGACGAAGAGATTAAGGCTACCTATTGCAACGGGCTGCTGCAAATTAAAATTCCCAAGATCTTAAACGACACTTTGCAGCCTCCACCAAGAAGACACATTGTAATAGAAGACGTTCCCGATGAAGAGCTAGAATTTGAGAAGAACCCAAACCCTGTTACAACGCTCTAATCGAGACTAAAGGCCGTTTTTTACATGAAAATTGCCTTCGAAATTAGATTTGTTTATACTCTCTGCACTGAACAGCACAACACAGCACAGCACGATTCCCTCCCACATTTATGCATTATCTCAAAACATTCATTCATTCCATTACCTCAAATTCATGTCATACATACAAAATCGATGATGCCTTGGATAGCTTGAGATGTTCTATTTCGTGACACTTTCTCGATTGTGAAGCTTAAGAAGATTATCACGTGCCATCTATAGTTTCTGAAAAATTTTATAAAAGTTCAAGTTCCAATACAGGCATTATTACAACACATCCATCTACCTCATCGAGCCAGGTGTTCGAGTTCTTGGTCCATCAACAACACATTTCAAGATGTCAGAACAGAATCAGGATCAATCACAGAACCAACAACAAGATTACTACAACCAGTACTACCAAAACATGGGCCAACAGTCTGGATTTCAGCCCCAGGGCAACCAGTTTAACCAGGGCAATGAGTACTCGCAATACCACCAAAACTATGATCCAAACGCCCAAACGTACCAAGGATACAATCAAGGATACCAGGGGTACCAGGGGTACCAAGGGTACAACCAGGGCTACCAAAATTACTACCAAGGTGGCCGTGGAGGCTACAAAAACTGGCGTGGAGGCTACAAGAACTATAACCAGGGTTTCAACAACCAGGCCCAGTCTTTCCAGTCCTTTGAGCAGCAATCTGGCTCGCAGGGCATGACTTTGCAGGACTTCCAAAACCAGAAGAGCTCGAACCTGAACACTGCAGCTGCTTCGACCACTGCAGCATCCACTGCAGCTCCTGCTGCCAAGCCCAAAAGAACACTAAAACTGGCTTCTGGGTCCGGTATCAAGCTTGTTGGCGCTACCAAGAAACCTGAGGTGGTCAAGAAAGAGGAAGCTCCAAAGGACGTGGAACCTAAAGAAAACTCTAAGGCGGAAGAGCCAAAGGTGGACGAAAAGCAGACCGAGGACAGCACAGCTCAGGACTCCTTGCCCAAAGTGGAGAAGCTAAAGATCAGCGAAGATAAGTCAGCCAAAAAGGCAGCCGAGACCGCTTCTGCTGCTGTGGCCAGCTCAGCTGAAGCTCTCATTAGAGAGCAAGAAGACGAGGTCGATGAGGAAATTGTAAACGATATGTTTGGCGGCAAAGACCATATGTCCATCATCTTCATGGGTCACGTCGATGCCGGTAAGTCTACTATGGGTGGTAACCTGCTGTACTTGACCGGTTCCGTCGACAAGAGAACCGTTGAAAAGTATGAAAGAGAGGCTAAAGATGCTGGTAGACAAGGTTGGTACTTGTCCTGGGTCATGGACACCAACAAGGAAGAAAGAAGCGACGGTAAAACCATCGAAGTCGGAAGAGCCTACTTCGAGACCGAGAAAAGACGTTACACTATCTTGGATGCCCCTGGCCACAAAATGTACGTATCAGAAATGATTGGTGGTGCATCCCAGGCAGATGTCGGTGTTCTAGTCATTTCAGCTAGAAAGGGTGAATATGAAACAGGTTTCGAGAAAGGTGGTCAAACCAGAGAGCATGCGTTGTTGGCCAAGACTCAGGGTGTCAATAAAATGATTGTCGTCGTAAACAAGATGGACGACCCGACTGTTGGTTGGGAACAGGAACGTTACGATCTATGTGTGAAAAACATTTCTGTCTTCTTGAAAGCTATCGGATACAACATCAAGCAAGAAGTTATTTTCATGCCCGTTTCTGGTTACACGGGTGCAGGCTTGAAGGACCGCGTTGATCCAAAGGACTGCCCATGGTACAAGGGACCTTCGTTGCTTGAATACTTGGACGGAATGTCTCATGTCGATCGTCGTATAAATTCTCCATTCATGCTGCCTATCGCCTCCAAGATGAGAGACCTAGGTACCATTGTCGAGGGTAAAATTGAGTCTGGTCACATCAAGAAGGGCGGCAGCACGCTACTGATGCCTAACAGAACTCCTGTTGAAATTGTCAATATTTACAATGAGACCGAAGCCGAGGTTGACATGGCCATTTGCGGTGAACAGGTTAGGTTGAAGCTAAAGGGTGTCGAGGAAGAAGATATCTCTCCAGGTTTCGTGCTGACTTCGCCAAAGAATCCTGTCAAAAACGTAACAAAGTTTGTTGCTCAAATTGCCATTGTTGAGTTGAAATCGATCATCTCTGCAGGTTTCTCGTGTGTCATGCACATTCACACCGCCATTGAAGAAGTCACCATAACAAAGCTACTTCACAAACTAGAAAAGGGCTCTAATCGTAAGTCTAAAAAACCACCAGCTTTTGCCAAGAAGGGTATGAAGATTATTGCTGTCCTCGAGGCCGAGGAACCAGTGTGTGTGGAAACATACCAGGATTACCCCCAACTGGGTAGATTTACTCTCAGAGACCAAGGTACTACCATCGCCATTGGTAAGATTGTGAAAATAGCGGAGTAATTGAAATGTGTATATGCATTGTAAGGTAATATAGTATACAAATTGAGTCCTTTCTCATATTCATTGCAGATGACGTCAAGGCTCAGTTAGGGTCTCGAAGATGTTCAGTAATGATTCAACACCTATTAAAACGTTTTCATCGTATCCTTGGCCCGGGACAAATCTCGAATGCGCAAAGTCGATGAGCGAGAGAGAGCTTAAGCATTTGTTTGCAACCTCTTCTTCCTCGCTGTCACTCGTGCTGCAATTGAACTCGTCCCTTAAGAGGTTGTGTTTGTCGTCAAGTTCTTCCCAACTTTCCAGATCGCCTTCATATATGAACAGTAAACTCGACGATATCAGTCGCACGTCTTCGTTGAGCAAAGTGTTATAAAGCAACATGAGTCTTTTTTGGAAAACCTCGTAAAGTAGATTTCTCCGTTGCTGGCTGAGTGCATCATGTGCGAAGTATAGTTCAAAAGCGTCTTTTATAGTGCGAGCAGTAAGTGACCTTCCGTAAAACTTATTGACCGCGACATATCCATCTTCGTCCGCTTTACAAAAATCAGGATCTAGACAGTGCAATTGCGAGTTTTTCTGGATCTTCAAGCCGCAAATACGGAATCCTAAGCTACCTGATGTGGTGTCACTGCTGACTTTCTGTAATCTCAGCTTTTTGTCTTCAGAAGCGAGATCGTCGTGCAGAACTTTGCCGAGCTTGACATCCAGAATATTTGGCGATTTAAAGCTTTGCAATAGATTTTCGAGAACAATGATGGGTTTGTTTCTATGAGCTGCGGACGACGGTTCATTCTGAAGTGACTGGACGATTTTTGGCAGTTCGGGATCTGCACTTCGAGAGATAGCATGTTCAGATACGTTTTCAGAAACTCCCAGCGTCAAAGTACCAAGAAAAGCCGGCATCCATGACTGCAGATCAACGTCACCGTTGTCTTCATGTGCTATATTTCGATTAACATTTTCGTAAAATTCAACCTCCAACGAGTTGGTTGGTTTGAAAAAAAGTGTCTCTTGCTGATCAGTAAAATTACCATCGTGGCCAGCCGCTTGATGTCTGGCCTTTACGTACCCTCTATCCATGTTGTGGTGTGATGGACAGTTTCTGTTCAGTTGACGCTGTCAATAAATCTTGATATTTAGAGTGGCATCATCTGCCACGTCTCGTAGTGAACATGCCAAAATTCAAAGCTCGAAAGAAATAGGCCGTACTGTTACATGTTTGAACTCAAGGCTTTTTTAATAATGTGGTAATTTGTTATACTAATTTTTGGGGTGGTTTCAAGCGTTTTACTTTATTTTGCGACCTAGTTACAACTTCAGCGACAACATCGGAATTTTGCACATTGATGCTTAGTTGGTGGAAATGTGAGTGCTCGACGAGCCGAATCACAGATTTGACACGAACATCACTTTTATTCAAGCAAAAAACGAACCAGTATGCTAGGATTCTGATTCTCACTTTTTTGGCATGCCAGGAAAGGCTCAAGAGATGACAATCGGGTTAAAGAGATGTTTATGTTTTGGAAACTAAGCCGTGGTGCTAGAGACAAAGAATTTTGTGTATTGTTCAAGCTGATTCCTGATTGAATGGCCTTTTGGTGTTGGTATGGAGTGTGCTGAATAGATCCGCTGCGCTTATATCTTATCACTTTGTACATCTCTGTCATCTGAATATCTAACCTACGCCAAGAACGTAGCTTCACTATAATCGAAAGAATCAAACTTTGGCCCGAATCGGCTGGTGAACCCACCATCATCGTTTATCTAAATGAGAGTATTTGGAACAATTGGCAGGGGTTATCTTCTATCTTTTGCCGATTTGAAGCTTCTCTTTTGACAAATGCAGACTGTGTGGTATCGCTAACTCCAGAAGAAGACGGACCCGCTAAAATGGCGTGAGTTACCGAGCCACATTGTAACTTGTAATCTTCAATCTCAAGATCTACGAATTCAAAGTGAAACTTTAGTTACTCGACGCTAAGCGAATTATTAACACGCAAGAAACGCTTTTTTCCGGGTGGATTCTTGGAGCAACTCAACACCAAAAATCAATCATAGGATCTTCTCAGCCCGCCTGGTTTCTCTGATGTCATTGGATGTTCTCCAGACTCTTGGAACTGCCCCTGCTAAGCTCAACTGTATATCTTATCTCTGCGTGATAAGCTATTCTGAACTTATCACGATAAATTGGGTTATGAAAAAGATAGATGGTCATATCGAGAACAATGGATTGTCTGTCATCGACTCTGGGACGATGAAATCTTGCGGTTTCGAGCTATTCTGGCCTAGTGATGCTGGTTCGGAATAAGAGCAGCGAATTAACTGTTTCTGAAGTCTTGCATTGTACTCCTTGGCGGTGCTCTGCCCAAGTAAATTCCGCCTATCTCTACGTATCAGCAAGAGATAGGCACATATTTCCTGCGACGATCAGAATCCTAAAATGACAGGGTCCCCTAGAGTAGAATACGTAAGCTTCCGACACTGGGCATGGCCAAAGCATGGCTAGCACAATGTATATAAAAAGCGGCTATTCGTCGCAGTTCGACACTACCTGGTCCTCATTTTGAATTCTTCAAAACGGCTAAGAAGCTTGTTGCCAAGATGAGCTACGTACACACTACAGACATGAAAGAAGACAAAAAAGAGCTGGCCCAGGTTCAGACGGGCGAATTGCAGGAAAGAAGCTCTTTTTCGTCTGATAGCTCAAACAGAGGCCAAATTGAGATCGCAGACAAGCATGCTGTCGGAGCAGAATTGTTCAACGAGTTGCTTGAAGGTGACATCCAGATTGACGACAAAGAATATGCTCCCATTAGACGCAAAATTGATCGTTGGTTATTGCCACTACTGTGCGTAACTTACATGATGCAGTTTCTGGACAAACTATCACTGAACTACGCATCTGCATACTCGCTTTCTAAAGATTTGCATCTCAAGGGTAATCAATATTCGGACATAGCAGCTATTTTCAATGTGGGATATCTCATAGGCTCTATTCCGGGCAATTGGCTAATCCAAAAATTGCCAGTGGCCAAATTTACAGGGTGTACCTTGGTGATTTGGGCAATTCTGCTAATTGCGCATGTTGGTGCCACTAATTTCCAGTCCATGATGGCCTTGAGATTTCTACTAGGATTTTTAGAGGCCGCCATTTCGCCTTCCTGTATGATGATGTGCGCCATGTTTTACAATAAGCAAGAACAGCCCTTTAGAATGTGCACCTTTTTGAGTATGAACGGTGTCGCTACCATGGTCGGCGCTCTGTTGGCATATGGGCTAGGTCACTCGACCAGCGCGGCCCTCAGACCCTGGAAGCTAATTTTCCTAGTCATCGGCTTAATCAACTTCGTGTGGGGTCTTATCTTCCTGTATTTGGCGCCGGATTCGCCATCTAACGCACGCTTTTTGGACCACGATGAGAAATTGAAGGTTGTGCAACGTGTGTCTACGAACAAAATGGGTCTTAAGGACACCAAACTCAAGCCCAAGCAAGCTGTGGAGGCTCTTCAGGATGTTGGATGCTGGATCTTAGCATTAATTGGTCTTGGCTGTGGTGTCATCAACGGCGGAACGTCCAACTTCATTTCGTCGCTCATCAAGGGTTTTGGATTCACTGGATTGAATGCCACTCTATTGCAGCTTCCAACAGGTGCTATCGAGCTGGTCTGCGTTTTCGCAGCTGGTGTTATCGCTCTTTGCACCAAAAAAAACGTCAGAACCATATTATTGTTCGTCCTTTGCATACCAACACTTGCAGGTCTTATCGGTATTCATTTGATTCCTCTTAAGCACAAGTGGGCCCTGGTCGGCTGCTGCTGGTTGTTGTACATTATTGGAGGCCCAGTTATTATGTGCTGGATTTTACTAAACGTTACTGTTGCCGGATCTTCCAAGATCTCAACAGCCAAGATAATGTGGTTTTTGATGTACACGGCGGGAAATATCACTGGGTCCAAGATTTTCTACGCTAAGGAGGCCCCAAGATACATTACCGGTATGAAGGGTCTCATGGCGTCTTATGCGGGCATGATGTTCCTGTGCATTGTTTACTACTTTTTGATGCTTTACAGAAACAAGTCCAGAGACAAGAAGTACGGTGTGTTGACTCCCGAGGCCGAACAACAAGGTATTATCGACGGTTTCAAGGACTTGACGGATTTCGAGAACAAGAACTTCAGATACACTTACTGAGACTTTTCGAGAGTCAAAACACTAATTCGAAACAAACAAATAGACAAACTAACTACAGTAATATTACTATCAATTTATGAAGAGCTTTTGATGGCAAAGAGCGTGTTGGAAATACGGTGCAGTCGTAGCCCATTCTTATTGTGGGACCCTTCCACTTGATCACTTTGTACTTATCTGGCATTTGTTGAAGATCTTACCGACCATTACGAAATGTCAATCAGTATAGACGTTGAAAACACTGACGTCTCCAACCTAATCTCACTCGTACCATCACCATTAGTTCTAGTATCGACAAACTACGGCATATCCATCAATTGTCAACATCCTGTGAGAGCTCTGCAATGACACAGGCGTTCGAAATGATCTTCTGCCTAACTCTCGATTCTCTAGGCAGAAAATTTTTTCGCTAGACAGAGTTTCCACCAACCAACTAGGCAGAAACCAGCCTAACTTTCTTACCAGAACTTTGAACTCTAGAAGGAGAACTTCCCTTTAAGCTCAAAACATCTCAAACAAGACGTCACAGTCCGCTAGAAACGATAACTTAAGAGTTCCACGTGATGTCTGAACCATCCATCAAGCTGAGGACAGCCAAGGACACCGTACGTTCATTGTTGTTGACGTTTTTCTTCGAATCTTTGTTGATATGAAGCGATCGTCCCACGGCCACCAGAAAATTTCGGCCAAATTTCATTTTATAAGACCCACCTACTAACTTGAAAATCGAATGTTGCTGTAGTTAGTGTCATCGCTGTTTGAGCTGTCGAAATCTGCCAACCAAACCGCGTCGTGCATTATCGATTTCTACAATGCCATTGGCGAAGACGAAGAGGAAAAACTGGAAGCGTTCACAACATTGACAGAAGCTCTGCAGAAATTGACATCTGCCACGAACCAAATCCATGGGGTGAGCTCAGAATTGACTAACCCACTCGAGGACGACAAAGATGTGATCCCAGCCATTGTTTCGCCCGTTAAAGCTACGACCACCAGAAAGAAGCAGGAGCGCGATCCAAACGCTCCAAAGAAGCCACTCACGGTATTCTTTGCCTACTCCGCGTACGTTCGCCAAGCGCTGCGTGAAGAAAGACAGAAAGCTGGAATGCCACCATTGTCATCGACCGAAATTACCCAGGAAATTTCCAAGAAATGGAAAGAGCTCAGCGAAATCGAGAAGCACAAGTGGAAGCAAGCCTACAACGCAGAGCTGGAGAACTACCAACAGGAGAAATTGAAGTATTTGGAGGCCAAGAAAAACGGTCTTGCTCCTACTCTAGACGGGCCAAGTACCGCTCCTGTCCCACTTCCAGACTACCTGCAAACGAGCTTAGAAGAGGAGTTCGAGCCTCCTAAGGAAAAGAGACCTCACGAAGAGGACGGTAACACCGGTAGTTCTGAAAAGAAGAAGAAAAAGAAGAAGAAGGACAAGAAAAAGGACAAGCACAGCAGCAGTTCTATGTGAGCACTGGTCTCTTTGACTTTAATTTTTTTATATTGGTTGAAGAGCTGGCTCTATCTTTCTTCTCGAATGTCAAAAGTTGAAATGTATGTATGTAACTGAAGCTGTTTCTCATGGCGGGCGTATGAAACCACCGTATGTATCCATTATCTAGTCTTATGTTTTCGTTCTTAATCTTTTATTTACAGGGCTGAATAACATTTGGGGACTCACGATTTCTCCAGTTGCTGCTGAAGCAGGTCTGTCAGGTTTGCTAGCCCTTTTGGCGCGTCTTGAGGACGTTTCCATTCTTCGGGGAACTCAAAGTTGCGTGTCTTTTTGCGCAGATTCTTGGCTATTGTGTGTCTAGTGTCCAGAGGAACATCGGCAAAATCGTCTTTAGTATCTTTAGCCTCTTTGATGAGAGCCTGTAGAGTGTCGCTCAAATAGCGGGCGTTTTGCGCGGCTTCAGGGTACCGATCGGAAGACATTTTGAAAATATCTGTTAAATGATCGTAACGAGTTTGTGCTAGCAGACGGAACTTGTGGGTTTCCTTGTCGCTGAGCTCGAGATCCTTGGTTCTCAAGCTCATAACCACTTTGCGTGAGTTTGGATGCTCTTCGCCAATATAAGTGGTATACCTATAAGTGACTGGGTTGGTACGTGGTGAAGGTCTCTTGTATTCCCGGCGGTACTGTACCAACGTGGGAAGCTCGTAGGCGGCCAGTCTGTTGTAAAAACGTTGCTCACGATGCTGTTGCACCAATGTTTGTGCCTGAGATGGCAAATCGTCAAACATGAAGGGCTTGGGCCGGTAATCGTCTTCCATGTTGGTACCTGCAAGATCGAAAGCAGCCTGTTCTCCGCCGTAATACATGGCTCTGATGGATTTAGCGGAAACCCCAGTGTGCTCCGCTGTGGACAAAAGTGCATCTAGCTCTGTCTTACAGGGCTTATATTGCGAGCCCAATTTCACGATTCTCTCTCTGTATAAGCCAAAAATCTGCTCCGGCTTCAAAGCCTTCCATTTCGATGGATCCAAGTACAAGTCTGGCGCAACAGCTCTGCTACTTGTTACCTTCTCGATAACAGCATTTTTGCAGCTTGTAGCAGAGCGAATGAAAAGCGGAAAGTTGGCACGCATATCTTCTAAATGGCTCGCAAGGTAAGGATTCGCAAAAGAAGCCTGAAACTTGGTAGAATAACCGCGTTGTGGTCTTCAAACGCTTTTTACACTGGTCATTGATTCTATATGGTTTTCATCAAAAATTGTATTGACGGTTTCGATCATAGTTGAAGGCCACGTGCAGAGTGCTCGTCGCGACAGATAATAAAAGAATGAGCTTGATTTTGGCGATCTTGAAGGTTTCAAGTTCGAGTTGTTGGCGTTCTCGTGGCTGAATTGAGCTCTCCCATGAACATCTTGTTTCTCCGACTAGGAATGTCTTATTTCAATCCTTTTGAGACTACATTAATATTGATTTTGCGGTTGAGGATTTTAATGGATACTCGCAAGTATTTAAATTGTTCTGTATAGTGCCGCTCCACCTAGTTATTAGTCGTGAGAGCTGCATGTCTTTCTTGAGGGTGCTCGGAATAATTTTTTGGGGACTCCCCTTCATTAAGTTACTTTCCTGACATTTTTTCCGAGCTCTTTCATGATGATGGCACTAATAAGTTCAAACTGGTAAAACCTTGAGCGATCATGATTAGTCTAATTAATTCTTGTAATAATATACTGAATGTGCTTAATTTCCATTTCCTTTATGTTTGTCTTTACACTGACCCAAAATAACGTTGACAGTCATTTGTATCATTTATTAGACAGGACTGATTTCCAGCACATTAACGCTGTGAAGACAACAAAGGAGGATATTCAGGAAAGGTAATGACGAAGCTTCGCAATAATTAGGCAGCCGCGATATTTCATTTAGATAATCCTACAGCTTCCCATTGCAAACTGCAAGCAGGGAGGTTTACATATAAAATCAGCCGCATGGTTTGCAATAACATCTGGAGTCCTTCGAAGGTCTACTAATGTGATTTAATTTGATTAGAAAGCTTGCATCTAATGTGAGAAAGATAGGTAGAAGAGTTATTGCACGAAAATTACAACTTTACAAAAGTAACGGGGCGCGCCTCGGACAAATACTAATCTCACAACAAATCGCCATTTTAGTTGTGCACAAACGGCAAATGAATAAATCATAAATGAAAGCCTAGGCAGCGTAAAGCTACCATCAAGACACTTATTCACCCATTCTTCTTACGTCTGAATTTAGAATTTTAAAAGGCCGCATTATCGTTAGTTTGAAGAGCCTTAGCTAGATTTTTTTAGCTCTTGAGCTATCATTACAGTGCAATATCAAGTGGTAGGACACGAACTGCATCCATGGAATCGTCTACATGAAAGAGAGAGTGTGACGCTGATGACAGGTTATAATCACGTGTCATTATTTTTAGAATAAGTTCTGCAAGCCGGCAAAGAAAGAAGATGTGAATGGTATCCAAACGCTCCAAACAAGAGCTTAATAGGTAAGGAATTTGACCACTACACTGATATTCTTGCTCGCGAATGCTTCTGGACAACACTAAGAAGTTCTGTCGAAAACAATTACTCGTACAATGTGACACAAATATTAAATTGGAAATCTAGATGAGCTATAAGTTGCCTTCAGATCAACTGCTCAATATTAAAGCTTGACAACTGCAACCATACCAGGTGTTTTGGGGCCTCTCAGCAGTGCCAAATGTCAAGACCACCGCGCCGAGGTAAGGGTATAAAAGATGAGAATCAAGACGACGAATTGGCGCATGAACCCACGCGGCTTTTGACCTCTGTTTTGAAGACACTCGACTTGACTTTCGAAAGAGATATAGGCATGTTGAATGGGAAAAATGTGCGTTCCTTGCCTGGGCTTCAACCTTTACAGAATTTACAAGGACTTTTAGACAAGCTAGAATCGACTTTAGAACGAATTTCGGTCAGTGACAAAGCCACAATTGAAACAATAAAGAAAATATTGGAAACTAGTACGGCAGCTCCACCGCCTACGAATCCAGCCCCAGAAGAAATTGAACAGCTGGATAGTCTCAATGTGGCACCTCAAGCTTCTGAACCACCGGTTACCGATGAAGAGGCAGACGCAGAACCTGTTAAACAGGCAAACCGTAAACGGTCGCTGAAAGTTGAAGACGAAGAAGAAGAAGAAGAAGAAGAATTTGGGAACAAGAGAGTGGCCACCAAAGCTTTGGCACCCTCGGAAGATGCGGAGAAAAAAACACAGAAACAGCTGGATAGAATAGAAAGTGATCCCTCCGTCAAAAATCCAAAATCGGAGTTCGTCGTGTCCCAAACGCTTCCCGCCGCAGCTGTAACGCTGGGACTTTTCACCAACGAAGGCCTCGAGAGCACGGGTGAGAGCTCCTTGAAGAAGAAGTACGGTGTGTCAAGTTACCCTACAAGCGATCTGAAGGACCTTCTGCCCGGGGTGATTCCAGACATGGATTTTTCCAGACCTAAACCAGCCAACCAGATTCAGTTCACCACTTTTCTAACGTCTGTCGACAACTTCTTTCGCGACTTGTCCGAGGACGACATCAAATTTTTGAGAAACAAATACATTATACCGCCCAACGTTAAGGTGGAAAGATCTTACGATCCAGAAGTCACGCCATATGTCATTCCCAAGCTAGGGCCACTTTACACAGATGTTTGGGCTAAAGAGGACAACAACGAAAACATTGCTAATCTTTCACCACCTCCCCTACACGACCCAACCAGCATTCTTCCAAAAAAATCAAGTAGGGAGCTTAGTGACGAGACCTTAGATACGGAAGATATTTCATGTGGTCCACTAGTTTCCAGATTGCTGTCAGCAATTTTGAAGGACGACACAAAAGATGCCAATGCGACGGACAGCACGGCTGATGAAGACGTCAAGACCGGTACGCCGAACATAGGCAACGCCACTCTCACTCCCTCAAGTGAGCTGGACGATGATCGGCTCGTTAAAAGTTCGTCTACGAGTGCCCTTCCCCAGCAGCTAGGCTGGAAAGTTAATAGCGTCAACCTCGATTATCCTACTTTTGAAGAGCGTCTGAAACGAGAGCTCAAATACGTTGGCATTTACATGAACTTGCCCAAGAGTGAGGATAGCAATTACGCTGAAGATCCGGACTGGCTATCAGGACGAGAGGATGATGAAATCAGTTCAGAACTGCGAGAACTGCAGAACGAACTAAAACAGGTGACAAAAATTAATACTAAAAGGAAAGCGACATTAGTGCCTCTGGTAGAGCGTCGATTGGCTTGGCAAGAATATGCGTCAATACTCGACGATCTAGACAAGCAAACCGACCAGGCTTACGTGAAAAGGATTCGAGCCCCAAAGAACAAAAAGAAGAAGCAACAGGCTGTCTCATCAGGCGCAAGTTCCACATCTCAAGCTGCGATACAAGCAGCACATCAGCAAGCCGCCAATTCGAGTTTAAAGTCTCTTTTGGATAAAAGAAGACGGTGGGTTACAAAGATTGGACCTCTATTCGATAGACCAGAGATAATGAAGCGCATACCCAAAGAAAGTGTTTTTAGAGACATGGATCAGGAAGAAGAGGAAGACGACGGCGATGTTTTCGGAAGCAATGGCAATAATAAGGATGATGAATTGACTGATAGTTTACAAAATAAAGACGAATGAGTAAATGCATATTGTGGTTATTTACAGAATGAACTATGGGATTTTGGTCGGAAAGAGGAGAAAAGCGGGAGGAACCACTATACGTTGAGCCCTCTCTCGATTTCTTTCAAAGATGGAACAGTCACCGTGTTTCCGAGCGCAACAATAGAAATAGGCTTGTTTTTTAACCTATAGTTGGCCCAAGTTATGATGTCATCCTTTGTAATCCGATCAACTTGTTCGAATACCTGCTCTGGAGACAGTCTCTTTCCCGTGGTTACGATTTGCCGTCCGATGTCTTCAACAATAGCAGTCGAGCCATCCAAAGACAAAAGTAATGAGGCCTTCAACTGTGACTTGGCGCGCTTTACTTCTTCATCAGAAATGTTGCCGCTCTTAATTCTTTGCCAATCTTTGAGCACCTCGTCAATTATTATCTTGATGTTGTGTTCCTTGGAATCGGTAACGATGTACATACCCCATAGACCGGAGTCGGCGTAAGAGGTAGAAAATGACATGTATGAATTGGCCAAGGTACCACTGTTCGATGCTGCTACTGCTAGAGGTGAGGGCGAATTGGTACCGGTTCCAAGGGCCCTGTCCCAGTTTCCTACAATTGCCTGAGTGGCAAGAGCGGTGAAGTAATCAGGAGCGGACCAAGAAACGCCTTCGACCGATAGTGCAATGTGAGTTGTAGGCAATGTGTCCTCCTGGATCTTGAGTTCGTTCCCGTAGAACACAGGTAAAGGGCCCCGAGGTGAGCCCAAAGGCACCGGGGATAATGATTTGGGAATATGACCAAAAAACGTTTCAGCTGCCTTCACCAGTTCATCGTGATCAACTGCTCCAGCGCCGGCTAGAACCATTCTGTCGCCTTTGTAGTTGGTAGAGATATATTCCTGCAAATCACGTTGCTGTATGGTTTTAATATTTTCGATTGGGCCCAAGATGGTGCGCCCTAGAGGCTGATCTTTGTAAGTAATGGCGTGCAGATGGTCGAAAACCACCTCGTCGTACATTTTGTCTACCTCTTCACTCTCGCGAATGATGACGTCTCTCTCCCTCTCGATCGCACTTTTGTCGAGCACAGACTTGGTCAAAATGTCGCTGAGAACATCTACGGCATTTGGAATATTCTGCCTTAAAGTCTTGGCATAGTAAACAGTATTTTCCCTAGAGGTGTAGGCGTTAAGGTGCGATCCTATATTTTCGATTTCCAGTTCAATGCCCACCTGCGTGCGGTTTTTAGTTCCCTTGAAAGCCAAATGCTCCAAAAAATGGGCTGTTCCATTATTTTTGACATTTTCAGCTCTGGAACCAGCGTCAACAAAAATACCGACGGTGGCGCTTGAAGTGTTGGGTATCGTTTCCGTAGCCACGGTTAGTCCATTGGAAAGTATTGAAGTTTTTGTAGTTGGTAAACCAGTCGCCAACCGTCTGATAAGGCGACCACGAGGTACCAGTGTGCGAAGCATTTAGTTTGTCAAATGTAGCGTGGTAGACGTAGAGTTGAGAGTCAAAACTGTAATTCTGGTGATTCTTATAGTCGTTCAAATCTTATTCATCGATTACGTCTAGATTTCAATCTCATCAATAAGCAGCCTAATACTGTGCGTCGTACATAGAGACAAGATAAACGACTAGATGATCTACTCAAGGAATTGTTGTATCGAGGCAAAAAACCCATTTAGAGGGCCCCAGAGAGCCCCTAACATCTTCCAACCTTATAAATACTATTTGAAATGGTCTGTTTGCGCCTTTCTCAATTTCACAAGGTAGGCGAAATATCTTCTAAGAATTTTGGCGGATCAGTCTCACGAAAGCTCGCAGTGATAACACCTAATGCATCGTTTTGAGTATTTAACATTAACTTAGTATGCAATCAGCAATAAATTCAAACAGATTGGCAATGAAAATGGGGGAAAACTACGGAATTACCAGGCTCAAGATGTCTCTAGTAATAGCTGGTGAACAACTCGGGTACGACGACTCATTAGTAGAGAGTGATATGCGATGTAAAATTTGTACTTAGGGACACCAGAACTGTGAGTGGCGAAGAAAGCAGCCTGAGGTGTGGTGAGTCTGAATCCGGATCTATTGATTTCTAGTGTTCGTCGAGGCATACGGCTTTTTGTTGTTGCTACCAGGGCTCAATGGCTCAAAATTTTTGGTCAATTCGAGCCACTGAGGACGCAGCAAGAATAACACACAAATGTTACGTCATCCAAAGCCTGAAAAAAGTCGCTATTACTCAAATAAAAACCATATAAATTTATGTGATACGCGAATGTTTTAATCCGATTTATCGAGCACAAATGTTTTTGCCCTCTCTCTATCACCTTTTGGCATATATCAAGACATTCCTCATCAAAATTTGTGCTACCGCATGCACAACGTAATGTCTTCTCTGGTCCTACCCTAGAAACATATAACATCTACACCTGTATTATCATACACTCGGTCAACCGAAAGAAACCTCCGTAAGCCATCGACATCAATTGGACAAATTGTCTTTGAGATGAGTCACGAAATCACGAATGCTCACTGGGAAACAGGCGCCATTGATTTCCCGAGAAATAGTCATCTTGTTCTTGGTCCGAACTATTATTGACTCTTGTCATTAGACCAGAAAACTGGCATCTGTCACCATGTCACGTGACACAGAAGATGATATTCATAGAAATTGGTGGCATTATGAGTGCATATATACTCAAAGACAACACAAACGAGAACTACCAGCTTTCTTGGCCGACAGCCATCAACTTAAATACCCATTAGGCTTTAAAACTGGTCACTTTTTGTAAGATACGATATTACTAGACCCACATCACCTTTTACGACACCAACTCAAGAACCTTAAACTTTCGGATCCGATATTGACGATGGAATTGTTCATTACAGAGTAATTATATATTCCACACATCAACTCCAAACTACACGGAAAGCTACTCTTACCGGTCTCGAAATACGCAAAACAGCTCGTTTCTGGTGTATAAGCTACTATCGAATTATACCACAGCTGATTCTTATTTTGCGGGGTGCGTCGCCAAGATAATCATGTTTTCCAAAGGCCTAATGCAGAGACAAGCTCTCAGAACACTTCACCAGACTGGTTCAAGATCCCTCACCATTCCGTTCCTTTCCACTCTGCCCCAGAATCCTGGTGGAGTTAAGGGTGACGTAAACGATGCAGTCAAGCCCCCAGCTCCTAGCAGAATTCACGGGTCATTACACTGGGATTTCCAGCGTGTCACTTCCGTAGCTCTACTGCCTCTCGTTGGTAGCAGTTTGGCCTCGGGAGGTGACATCAGTGTTGTTGCCGACTCCATCTTGGCTACGATGCTGTTGGGCCACGTATACGTGGGATTCCAATCTTGCATCATTGACTACATTCCCGCTAGAGTCTACGGCAAGAACCACAACTACGCCATGTACTTGTTGACTCTCGGCTCTTTATTTGCCGGAGTTGGTATTTATAAGCTAGAAACCGAGGAGGAAGGGCTCACAGGCTTGGTCAAGAAGCTTTGGACCGTCAATCGCTCCACTGAGGCGAAACAGTAGCTGAAGGGAGTTCATGCACACTAGTGACGTCGATGTACGGACCACGGTGGCGATGTCTTAAGACATGACTCAAAAAGCAAGACGCTGCCAAAAGTGAGCTCACATCCTATATATTATTTATTCTATACATTCCGCGATTATCTTCATAATTCATATTCAATCCGTTCCTTCCAAACGCGTAGGTCTTGTAAGAGCGTGAGTCTCGAGTCGACTCCAGAGACAAGGTGCAACTTCTTTTCGCCATCGTAAACGTCTCGACTTTCGTGACATCGAAGCACATGAATTTCACCGCCAACTTGATCAATACTTATGTCGACCCACTTCCCCAGAGACATCGCAAGTTGTTCGACTTCTAGGGCCGACTCCATCTCACACTCTGTTTGCAAATTTACGGTGTTGAGAGTTCGATGGCGACAAAACAAATCTAGTAACGTCAGTTTCCTCAGCTTCGTCCACATAAGTGCCGTTAATATGCACCGTAGACTCTCCGGTACGTCTTTTATTTTACCGAAACTGAATACCTCCAATATTAGCTCCTCTTTTTCATTCTTAGACTCTAGCCACAGCGGCTTGTAGTGTAACGTATTGACATCCTCTAAAGCCTGAAGGACGTGATCTCGAAGCATCCCTCACCTAGTCAATTAAATGCTAATAACACTCGCTGGATCTTAAACTTATTATATATATTTTGATCAACTTCACAACAACAAATACCCCAGAATCTGGAGCCCAGTGGATGCCATGAACTGCTAACAACGTCAATGTCTACAATTCTGTACAATGCTAACTCGAAATTGGTGTCGAGGTTTCACCGCAAAGTGAAGCTGAGAAACGAACTGAACGTTGATTTTAGTGATGAGCCAAGCTTCAAGTCATCTCATCCAAAAAACTCTCCCGAATATCTACGCGAGCTGTGCAAATCAGTATACCCAGAATCTTTGCACTCGAATTTTACTGACATGGCCATCTCGAGACTTTCAGTCCATGCGTTCTTTGCCTTGATCGTTCAGAATTTTGTTAAGACTTGGTTCGGCACGAAAATCCCATCAACAGACCCGGAGTTCTTGTGTGAGCTTTTTGCAATTGTCCAGCGATTGGTGGTCCACGTTGAGAATTACGAAGTAAGCTGGGAGCAGCTAATTCTCGATGACTTGCCACTCGTTGTGTTCGAACACTTCCAAGCGCTAAAAACAAATGGGCTGGTGTACAGTCGAGAAAACAGTTCTTCTGCGACGGCGGACTACATTTGTTCTCTTTTGAGAAGTGAATCGACGCTAGAAGCTGTCTTTGTTAGATCCCTCTACGTGAATTTACTATGTGGTAAAATACTTCATAGCATTGCAGAGCCCTACCTGACGCTAGAAATACTAAATAAGGTGGCACGCTCCAAACTGGAAAATCTGCATTCTGAACCGAGCTCCATTTTCGAGAAGATCAGCTCAACAATCACAGTCGTTCGCTCGGCACTTAAGTTCCATCGTCAAGGTCCACAACAGCTCTGGCGTCCTTTTACACACCGATACTTTTTTACATGTGCTAGGAGACTTATCCGGTTTGAGCAGCGCAGGCCGTTCTTATACTGTCTTTGCAAATACACTGAGGCGGCCGCTGCAAAAATACCAGGTTTCGACAGATTCATGTATCGTCTATTCCAGACAAATGTTGCAGACAAACTCTCATCTGGTCCGCAGGTTGCCCATATTTTTGTAGCCTTGCGTCAATTGGTTTTCCCGAGAGATACGGTGACAGGGCCGCCTAGGCCGGTTTTCGACGACCACAAGAAAAAGCTCTTGCGCGAAGAATGCGAGCAAAACTTCTACCAGCTTCTGGCGTCCTACAAAATAGAATCCATTGTGGGACTGACGGTCACAGACGTGAAAAATTTCGTGAGTACTATAAGCGCAGACCAGTGCGCCAACGCTCAATTGCTGGAACGCTTAGTGGCTTGTGTGATAGCGCATATTGCTTAGCGTTTAGTGAAATATCCGATGTCTCCTAGCATACCTATATTTTGAACTAGAGGAAACCCTTTTTTTAAACCTGCTCTCTAAGAAACCTCCCAGTCCTCTAAGAGAATTTGCTGCACTGCTGGTTTGAAATTGCCGGTCTCATCCACGTAATTTGCCCACAGGGAAGTACGCCCACTATCGACTGGGATCAGATGCTTTCGTTTCTGCAATCCTACCTGTGTCTGAATGAGAGCCGAGTGAAGGCCAATTTGGTGTCCTGCTGACCGAACTTGCTTACCACGGTATTTGATGTCGTTCATGATTGGTACACCAAGCCCTCGCGCCAATTGCAGTCGGATTTGATGTTTTTTCCCAGTGCAAAGCTGAAGCACTAGCGCCCCGGAGTCAATTTTCCGAAACCAGCTTTTCATGCCATTGTGTTCAAGCACGCCCTTCGTGGGAAGGTTTCGAGTCGCTCCGTCTATGAGCGCTACGTACTTTCTTACAAGCTTATAACCACTATTACCGCCTTTTTTTAGGTTTTTCGAAAAATGAGCTGCTGAGTTCTTATCTTTTGCTATCAGCAGTCCTCCAGTGACATTGGTATCTAGTCTGTGCACAGTTCGCCACTCACTGCTCTCTAAACCGCTCTCCTGAGCGCAAGATCGCACCAGATCCATAAGCAAAGGTAAATGCTCATCACCATGATTTTGACGCCATTTGACAATGTCAGGCAGCTGAGAGAAAACGCCAGCAGGCTTGTTGACTACCACATACGTTTTACACACCTCAAGGAATCTCAAAAGTGGTCTTTGAGCCATCTATAGGTCATTGATTTTATACCTACTCAACTCTCTTCATTTTCAAGTTTTGAGAATAAATTACGAAAGAAAGCGTAGTTGACCTTTCTTCAAACACACCCCCAAACAGAAAGTGGAAGGCAAAACAGTATAAAAGGAGCGGTTTGAGAGCTGTCACTTTACCAAAGACTTCCAAATAACTGTTGAGACTTTTAAGGCGTACTGATCGCTCGGAAATAGCGTTAAAATTTAGTGGTACTGGAGTTGGAACCGTTTTCAAGGGCGGCTAAATCATGACGACTTTCCCGGGTGATAACACGAATATCCCCAAGCGACTAACAGAATGTCTGGAGTACCAACCACTTAACTTCTTGGTTCCCAAAAGTGGGCTTTGCGAGCTTTTGAGATCGTCTCTGCACATCACGCCTGTACCCGATGAGATCGTGTTTGGCGAGCAGGAAGCTATCAACGACACCGACAACGAGAGATCGGGACCAATCGAGCCCTTCGAGCTGAAAGAGGGGCTTAAAATACATTTCAGGGCAATAGAACCAGTTGAGGGCAATGGAAAAGACGATTCGAGGGATCTCTTTGAGGGCCTGTCTGAAGGGGCGCGAGATTTCCTGAACACTGCATGTCTCGAGGATTTCGGGAAGAGATCTCACTCGAGTGATGACGAAGAATACCAAGAAAAAGATTCCCGAGACCTGAACGGTAGCAATGGAGTGGAGAGAGTGTCAGTTGATGTGGAGCTGAGAATGTCGTCGAAGAAAAGAAAAGCTGGGCCCCGAGAGGCTTCACTCGATCAAAGTGCCATGCTCTCTCGGTACGTGGAGGAGCTTAACGAGATCGTATCCGAGATTAAGGCTATAGAAAATATGAGTGACGATACAGACCGCATGTACTGGACACGAGTTGACAACAGCAGGTCCATTTCGGATGCGTGTCTTGAAAGGATAGTAATCATCTTAAAGAACGTGTCGAAATCTGAAGAATTCAGCGGAAATTTTGACCACGCAGCGCTGAGCCTACTGCTGAGAGCTTGTTCAGAAAGTATCGACGCAATTTTGAAGGCCGAAGACTTTTCAGTTTTTACCAACGCCGCCTTTAAGTGCGTCTCGATAATATTGATGGTATTCCTACTGGACATGGAAGACAAACGCCTATATCTTGAGAGATATCTTGTGTCCGCAATATTGTTTTTACAAAGAGTCAGTGGAGATTTGAGCGAAGACTCGAGAAGCAATATTGCTACCGCCGATAACTGCTTGCAGCTCAGATCTGCATTATCCCTGCTATCTTTTTATGTTCACAAAAAGTCACTTCAAGAAGAAGAGCTCATCACCAAGCTGGTGTACCTCCTTTGTGATTTACTGACTTTCAACCCAATTCAAATACAAGGAATGGCCCGCTTGTCTACGTGGCTAGAAAGTCTGAAAAGAGAAAGTTCAGCTGGACTCATATCCCTCTTTCAAAAGCTTCCGTCACAACGGCATTTCATATTGGATGAGCTGCTATATAGACTCGATACACTCCCGACCAACAGAGTTCAGAAAAAGCTGCAAAAGGTCGATAATCGCCTTTTCGCCACACATCTGTATGTTTCCATCATCAGAATGCTTCAGTCTATCAACTCAACTTCCTATCGACCCAAACCGGATGACGTCTCAGAGCAGACAGTTGATGAATTTCTTCAAAAGTTCAAAGAGCAACAGATGCAACTGTCGTTATTGATTGAGCATGTCAACCAATCTGTGATCAGCAAGTCCTTCATGACTAACGCCACAAAAAGATACATTTTGGACAACTATGTCCAGGATTTGACTGCAATGGTCGTCTACCCGAGTTGGAGCATTGCCGAGAGCCTTCTGGCTTCTTTGTTGAAAATGATGCTATTGATATTCAGTCCTTCCAATCAAAACCACTCGGTCAAAGAGGCATCGGTACTTCAAGTAATTACAAGCATTGGTAGCGTTGTTCAAGAAATTAAATTGAAGGGCAAAGAGGCAGGAGGTTTAACATTAGCGAGTATTCATAAGAGCCCGCAATTATTGAACACCGTGCTAACACATTTTAACCTCTGCTCGTCTTCACAGACAAAAAACAACGACGAGCATGTTTCTCTTTGGGAAAGAAGGATGGCTTGCTTGGTCGCTCTGTCTGATGTGGAAGAAAGTGGCTCCGAACTGGAAAAGATGACGACCGACGCAATCGCGCACTTTCTAAAAGAAAATTTGAATGATGCTTGCGAAGAGGATCTCCGACAGGATTGTGACAGTGTGCAAAATGGACAGCTCAATTATTTTGCGGTTCTTCAAACATCTGAGCTGGTAAACCTTTTCGATCCATATGTTAAGCTCGTCTTGTCTCTTTTGGACAAGCAAAAAGCCAAATTGAAGTCGGGCGCCATCAAGTGTCTTGGTCCACTAATAGCAAAAGATCCCGAGTTGCTCACAGTCCCATCAGTAAGAAATGTTATTGAGCAACAATTAAGAGATTCTTCGCCATCTGTCAAAAGTGCCATTTTAGACTTACTTGGTTCTGTCCACTTCTCAAAGTTGTATCGCCTGATAAATCTGAACTTCGATGACGAGAGTACACTCGTTAGAAAACAAGTTTTACGGCTCAACCTGGAAATATATGACAGCGTTACTGATGTCAGCATTAAAGCATTTGTTGCCAGCAGAATTCTGAGAAGAACGGAAGACGAGGAGGATACAATAATCGAGAAGGCTCAGACATCGTTGACCGAGCGTTGGTTTCTGGCCCGCGCAAAGGAAGACACAAGCGTAGAGGATGAAAAGGATAAACTCGGAGAGGTTATACTCACAATATCCGCTGTCGTTGGTTTAGAAGAAGACGGCTCTCAGCTTTTCGATAATTTTTTGAACGAATACGTTCTCAATGAAGCGCTTCATGAACGTGAAACATTTGATGAGATCATTGCATCTACCCGACGAATTACTTGCAGGATTGTCGACGACGCCATTAATTCTCATTATAACAGCACTGATGAGCTATGCCGGGAGTCAATCAACATGTTTCATCTGCTATCCATTGTGGCAGCTTGCGATCAAGCTTTTATTACTAAAGATCACATTACGACTCTTTATCCCTACCTGCTTTCCTCGGAACGATCCGGCCTACAATTCTATATTTTGAAGGTCTTCAACAGCAGCTTTTCGAAGCTCTCATATTTTAAACCTGCGTTTCTTGTCGAGCTAGAGAGCGTCATTCTGGGAAGGCTGCCAAAAATGAGTGTTAGGGAGATGGAAGAGGCCCTGCCACTCGCATGGTCAATTGCCTGCCATCGAAACAATGAGACAAGGATCTCTAAGGCATGCTCGTCTTGTCTTGCTCTATTGTCCCCTTACATTAATTCATCTGGCAAAGGCCCTACTGCAGGAAAACCAGATGGCAAATTACAGCGGTTACTGTACCTCGCTGCTGGGTTTGCGAGGTTTTGCAATTTCAAAAATACACCACAGAGATTCCCACATCTCAAGACAAGAGAGCCAATCTTTGAATACGTAACCAAATGCATACTTGTCTTCACTAGGCCCGAGGTAGGAAAGGAACAAAGAAGGATTGCGCTTAGAAACCTTTTAAAGATTGGCACAGCATATCCTAAGCTGTTTAACTCAGCCCGAGTACTAGAAGTAATTGACAAGGAGCTTGCTATGAAAAACCTCGAGACCAATTTGGTGGTTATTCAATGTCTTTGTGATTTTTTTATCAATGAAGAGCGAAAAACTCTGAAATTGACACGTCCAGTGCGGTATTCAACGTTGAAATACCAAAGGAGTAAATCCTTTGATGCAGATAGGTCGAGTGATGCTATTTCTTCAGCTGTAGCAACTCGCTATTTGAAAGTTGTTCTTGAAATTTCGTTATTGGAAGACTCTTCTCAATCTTGTATTGGTTTGAGATATATCGAGCTAGTCCTCGATTTTGGATACACGAATCCCGCGAAGTGTATATCTACGATAATGGCGCTAACGGGCTCACCTCACAACAGCACAAGAAAGCTAGCTTTGACGGTGATGGAAAATGCGTTCATGAAAAATACCAGTATGCTGTTCGGCAATCTCAGCACGGGAATGAAGTGTGCTATTGAACATGCAAAGTGGCTTCAAGATTGCGGTTTTTCTAGTAATACATTATTTCTACCGGAGGCTCAAGTCGTTTTGTCCAACGTGGGAATGAAGCATTCTAAGTTCTTCAATTCTTTAAAAAAGGCACTAAATGCATACCTGACAAGCACCAAAGGACCTTATCCCAAAGATCAAATTATCGCTTTCTGCTTTAATATAGCCGCTCTTACTTTTGAGGGCTTATATGAAGTCTGCAGTCTTGCTAGATTTCTGGACAACAAAGCGGAAGATCTGTTCGAGCTTTATGACCGACATGAAGATAACGATATGATGTCACCTTCCTCTGCGACTCGATTGATGGTTGCTCGGGAGTGTCTTTTGGAGCTTCGAATGTACCTATGTCAGAAGTTTGGCGTTACTGACGAAAACGTCGCAGCAGTGGGCACATATGAGCAAGACGAACTAAAGGCAAGACCTGCGGAGCCGAAGAAAGCGGCATTGAGATTTGTATTTCCGCCCGTGGGCTTCGACGCGGAGAAGCTAGCCAAAAATTCATCTTCGCGAGGTATATAGTAAAATTATTAAATGGGTATGTGCAGGTTCAGTGTGCTCCTTTGTTAGTTCTATTTTTTTTGGAACGTTTTGATGGGGTATTGGATCCGCTGCGACTAGCCGGGCCCACGCCGGCACGCTTTTTGGGCTTTGCAGGACTGTTGCTACGATTCTGAACGTGATTTGCAGTGCTGGGCTTCAAAATTTGTCGCGTCGAATACGTCTGAGTGGGGAATGGCTGATAGTACTCGACCTGGGGTGGGAGCAGTTCTGCCTTGCGAGACCACTTTGCCTTTTCCGCCTTGGAACATTTAACAATGTACGCCGATCGCAGTGGCTCAGCAACAATGGCAAATTTGTAGTTTACGGATGTACTCCTGCGCAATTGCATCACCACGGTACCGCCAAATTTCTGTTCTCTCAGCTTTTTCCTGTAGGCTTTTATTTCCGCGTTAGACATCGATTCTTCCTCGTCGTCCGAGTGGAGGTCCACATCGCCAAACCCGAATGCTGGTAGCCGGTAGTGGTCGATACGTGAGCTGGAAAAGTCGTCCGAGATACGAGAGCGAGAGCAGGCTTGTTTCCCGCCTTTCAGCCTACCGTTGCGGGCTAAAAATGCGATTCGCGCCTTGAGCGCTTCGAACTTGGCCAGCATACTCCCGATTGTGTCTTGTGTGATCTCTCGTTTGCGCATGATCTCCTCCAGATTATCTGCGTTGTGAATAACGGTCGTTTTCAAGAGGGTCTTGAGCCAGTTTTGGGACTCCAGGCCTTCCAAGACGCCCTCCAGCCGCTCGGCCTCTAGCTCGCTCTGAACTGCGTCCTGGTTCACCATTCTAATTTCTTGTTTTTGCATTTTTCGATGGTACACTTCGTAGAGCTCGTCTGCCAGTGGGTCTGGTCGCACAGAGTCACAACCGTTCGGAGTTTTTTTAGTCTCGTTTATCTCTAAAGTTTGCATTGGCCTATCCAGCAAGTTCTCAGCTGCATTTGGCACTAAGTCTGCTTCATACGCAGTTTCTTGCTTCTCGTCTGTAACGTCTGCAAACGATGTCCCGTCTGTTGCATATGTCAGCGAGTGCTTTTCGACCACCAGCTCGCCCATCTGCTTAAGTTCCTGTTTTTTGCGTTTCAGTTCAGCGCTACCATCCCATTCAAGCTCACTCGCGATTGCGCCAGTGGCACGCGGCAGTACCGTTAGCTTACAGTCTGCTGCAATGCTGCCTGGGCACCGGTCAAAATCAAAGAGCCCATCGGTGTTTGAAGTCGCTGGCGATTTGGATCTAAGCTTGCGTCCCGATGTGCTCTCCATCAATCGAATGGTCCCATTGGCCAATACCTGGGGATTCTTGTTGGGCTGATTGTTGATTAGAATCTGACTTGACTGCTCTTTTTGTCAGATTTGATTTGGCTCGTTGTTCGTTGATGGTTATGAGCTTCATTTTTCAATCTCGAAATGAGAAATTCCAGCGAACTGGAAACTCTTGAACTGGAAACAGACTGGAAACAAACTGGAAACCAATTCATTAATTGATATGAGATGATAAGTCTAACGAGTTAAACATCCAAAAAAACAACATCCATCAACAGGTTAGAGAACAATATCAAAAGTAAGCCTTTCACCAAGCACACCACTGCTTTGAAGCTGTTCAGACTTAGTCGCGCATTTCGAAATGTCGTATAGGAGACGCGAGACGGAGGAGAAGCACCTTCACGCCAGCGCAGGCGAGAAGAACGAGTTTTTGAGGCCCAAGTTGTCAAGCGCACCAAATGTTAGAAGTGGATCTGGGCTGAGATTGCTGAGACACATAGTATGCTGGCGCTACATTCTGTCGTGGCTGTGCTTTTGGATCTGTCTTGTCCAATACTACGAAAATACAGTGGTTAAACGGGCAATGAGCCGGTGCCAGTGGTCGCGATGGGAAAATTGGCCTCGTGCAGCAACACCGCACCACATGGCTGTGCTGGCAGACCCACAGATTATGGACGCACACTCGTATCCGGGACGGCCGTGGGTTGTCAACTACTTCACGCAGCAGGTGGTGGACAACTACCACGCCCGGAATTGGAAACACCTGCACCACACTCTGGACCCAGACTCGACATTTTTCCTCGGGGACCTATTTGACGGGGGTCGGCGCTGGAACGACTCCGAATGGATCACAGAATACTCGCGTTTCAATCGTATTTTCCCCAAAAAGCCTAACAGACTCACCGTGATGTCGCTGCCAGGAAACCACGACATCGGCTTTGGTGACACCGTCATGGAGAAGAGCTTGTCACGGTTCCAGGTTTATTTCGGAGATCCTTCCACGAAATGGAACGTCGGCAATCACACAGTCGTTCTGCTCGACACCATTTCACTGTCCGACACACAAAATCAAGAGGTGTCTGCAGTACCTCGCAACTTTCTGGATCAATTCGCACAAACTCCCGAGTCAAACCCCAGAATCCTGTTGACTCACGTTCCGCTGTGGCGTGACCCAAACACCCAGGTTTGTGGCCCCAAAAGAGAATCTCTAAAGCCGTTTCCCATGGCTAAAGGCGATCAATATCAAACCGTCATTGATGCAGATTTGAGTCAAGAGGTGCTGCAGAAAACTGCGCCGTCTTTGGTTCTTTCCGGAGACGATCATGACTACTGTCACATCACGCACAGCTATTCGTCCGAAAGAGGCTCTCAGGTCGCAGAGGAGATTACGGTCAAGTCGTGCGCCATGAATATGGGCATCTCGAGACCAGCTATACAATTGTTGTCGTTATACAATCCTGAGCAGTCACAGACCTCTGAAGATACCTTGCACACCAGCATTTGCTATCTGCCGGACCCATATAAAGCACTCCAGGTCTATATTGGCGCTTATGTGCTGACATTGCTGTTTGTTGCTTCGCTTCATTTCGCTCCTACTTACTTCAACAAAGCTATGAGTTTCATCGCTCACAAAATGACGAGAGACGCTACAACACTGCTGCCAGTTGCCGCCAAAAAGGCTAGTGCTAATATTTCGCATGACGACTTGAGTTATTTATCGGCTTTAAATGGATTTGAAAGGGCCAAGTGCTTCCTCATCAACGCTTCTCTCATGACTCTAATGATTTTCCTAGTCTTTACTTTTCATTACACAAAGAAGTGAGGTTAGGATAGCCCAAATTTGCTCACGAAGCTGTTTTGATTGAAATCATCCCGCTTTGCAAGATAGGCAGCGATGATTCTCTGATCAACTAAAGCTAGATGGCCCTCTTCAGTTAAAGAGGTTAACTCCTCTGGCTGCACCGTAAACAAATTAGCCAATTCCCTCAGGGTTGCGAAGTCGTCTACCAGACCATCAACAGACCACTCTTCTATTGCGGTTTGAATACCGATGATGTCCTTGGTGACTATAATCCCTCCCACAGAACTTACTTGAAATTTTTTGTAATGTTCAAAGAGAAGACGGGACAGTGTGCTTCCAATTTGTTGCAGGAAAGATTGCAAGTTTTCGTTTTTCAGATACAAACGTACCTGAGAGTACAACGAATTGAGGTCCTTCACTATCTCGGAGGCAGGAAGAGTGTCGTGATCCAGTATATCCTGAGTTTTAGGCAAAAAGTCTTTTTTCTTCTGTTTCGACAGCGACACAAGAAATCTTTGCGTAAATGCCAGTACAGTTTCATCTATGATAACGTTCATGAACAGCTCACACCTCTTGATGTAATGATTTGTTATCGTTATTACCGCTTTCTTTATTTCCGGCGTGTTAACAAACAGCGGCAAGACCACAGTTTTTATCGAAGCAGATATGAGACTCAGCATCTCCGAGGCTTTTGTAATGTAGTTGAGATACGACATGTCAAGTTCTGGGCTTTTTGACAAATCCTGCTCTGTCATCTGTGAATACGACACTTCTAACCCGCATTCGACATAACTGCTTACCGTGCCCATTAATACGATTTCCACTATTTCATAGGTGTATTCATTGGCTTTGCTTGGAACCAGTTCCATGATTCGCGCGACTGACTCAATGGCACACTTCAGCATGCCATCAATGCATTGCAACGAGAATTCTGATTCGGCTTGAGACGTATTCGGACTTCCCGCCCTCCCTGAAGCGTTCCTGGTGTTGGAAAGGACATCGGTACCGTGAAGTTTTCTTTTTTCGCGCTCAAGGTGACTTTTCAGAAAGTTATTGATCTGAGATAGTTTACCACTGGAAGCGGCGCTGGACTCTTGAAATTCAAGATCGTTTGCAAACGAGGAGCCGCTCATAAGCTTGGTATTAAGTGCTCTCGCGAATATTTCTTTATCATGCTCCAAACAAAACTTGGAGGTCTTTTGCGCCAATGCAATTTCCAAACTTCTTTTCTCGAGATCGAAGTACTTAGCTCTGTCGTAAATTGTTTTAGAGAATAGATCCGCGAATGAACGCTCCAGCGCGGAGGCTAAGTCCCCGGTGGTGTCGATATCGGCAAACTGGAAAAACTCAGAGAGATCCTTGACAAATTGGCCAAGGAGAGAAAATAGTGCATACAACACTCTCACATAAGCTAATCCAGAAAGCGATAGAGCGGCATTTAGCAGCGATTCAACACGAGGCTCGATTTTTTGTAGAAATATTTTCTGGATAAACAATTGCAGCACATATGCGCACCTGCTTTCAAAGACCTGTTTTACAACTTTGGATTCGTTTTTGATTAAGGTTTCAATTTCATCCAATTTGTGTACCATTTTCGCCTCGTAGCAGAGCGCATGGAAGTCGCTGTTGGAGATGTTCTTTTTAAAAGTCTCGTCGAATAAAAAATCCTCTTGGTCAACGCTTATGAAGTATTCGTGCTGGTTGATGAAGCTCTGGATGACATTCAGACCATTATTGTAGCGGTTCAGTATGATGGCTATTTCGGTCAATTGATCAAAGCTGTTTTCGCGATATGCAGTGTTGAATTCAGCAAGGAATTCCTTTTCCATTTTTTCAGCATAACTCTCAATAACAGCGGAAGTTTCGATCGTCTTGGGCACGGATTTCGTCTCGATTTTTCTGGTAAGGATTAGTAGGTTTTTCACCAGAATAGAAGCTCTTGCCCTCGATTTCCAGTTTTTGGACGTTCTCAGGGTCTCTAGTTCCTGGGAAATACCGTTGGTGTGGAAAGTCGAGTAGTAGGAAATTAGCTCGACGGACTTGACATACATGTTTTTCCGCTTTATAGCTCTCTCGAGTTTCTCACCCAACGGCGAGACTACTTGAGCAACGCTTGTGAGCTTAGTGTCCAAAACGCTGCTGTCTTTGACGATGGTCTCCAAATTATCCCTAAGCTGTAGCACTCGCTGAGCATGTAGTAATTCGTATTTGGCCACACCTTGTTCCAACTGGCTCTTTCTGCTCTCGACATCTGTGCTGAGTTTCTGCAGCTCTTTCACGGTAGACTCAAATGTACGAATATAGGGCTTGGGATCCAAATGTTCCCATGTCCCGGTATGAGCTGCTCTGTCCTTTAACGAGTTCTCATTACTGATTTCATGAACAAACTCATGAACCGTTAAACCACCCAAGAAATTATCTAGATTCAGCAGCTTTCTCCACTTGGAGTCCAGCTCATACAGGGAGTTCATCAACCAGTGGATTGGAGCTGTCTTTGGGTTTTGGATAAAGTTCAATAAGATATGTATTATTATGTTAATTAACTTCGAGTTTCCGATCTATTCTGTATATAAGAATGAACTTAAACAATCACCCTCCAGAGTGATTATGAGCATTCTAGAGCACTACGAAAAACGCGTGTTAGACAAAGCTCTAAAAACTGATGATAATGTGGAATTAAAGCGCAGTGAAGATCACATCGACAGCGATGCTTCGCTCGATGAGATATTGGAAGAACTAGAAGACAATGATGACGAGTTTCTACAAGGCTACCGCGAACAAAGGCTCCAACAAATAGCCACAGAGATGCGTCAAGTGAAAAGTAATGTCGAGAACGAACATTATGGCCAATTGAGGACGGTGGACGATGAACGTGAGATTATGAAACTCACAAGTAATTCCGATCAGGTCGTAATACATTTTGGCCTGGAGAATTTCAAAAAATGTGGTGTGATGGACTCAAAACTGTCGCAACTCGCACCCAAGCATCTTTTGACCCGGTTTTTGCGTGTGAGCGTGGACAAATGTCCGTTTTTGGTAACCAAACTGCAAATCAAAGTGCTGCCTTTTGTTGTAGCGTACAAGAAGGGAGTAGAACGGACGAGAATCGTTGGGTTTTCGCGCCTTGGGAACCAGCCTGACGATTTCGACGTATCAGTACTGGAAAAAGTTCTGTTTGAAGCTGGTGTGCTGGCCAATAAAGCGCGCACCGGGGGCCAACGTTCCGCGTGGCAAGCGGCCAGGTCAGTCTCTGCTGGTGACAGCGATTCCGATCTAGACGTATAAATGAGAGCCGTGATTTGCAAATCGAGCGGATGTCCTGAATTGTTGATGAAGGAGAGGCATTTGTGAGCTTTTAGTTGCTCGCGAAATTTCTGGCTATGCATTCATCGAAAAGCGACATTGATATCTTCTGTGAATGATACTCGATTGTCAGAACTGCGCAGTGCTTAATTCGACAGACAGGTGAATGTTGGCATTAGCGGTCTGCTTGCAGGTTGCATTTTCCAGCAGCGACGCGAGGATTTCGCCCCGAATTTCGGAAGGTCACCAATTATAAGTCAAAGCATGTCAAACAGACTTCAATTGAACTCCAACAATAAAGCACAGACACAGATCGGGTCAATACAAGTTCCAATGGCCATTGTCCGTTTCTCGTTTGCTCCATGGGCATGCCCGTTATCACTAGGCCACCACTCTGGCGCAGAAACACCGAGCACGTGACACATATCTAAAACATCACCGTCATTACTACTGACGCTGCGAGACCGTACTATATGGTCCGGCCGCTGTTCCGAAGCGGCAGATTAAATAGCTCTCCTATGCACGATGGGCAAGTTTTGCCTGTGCTTTGAAAAAAATATAGTCACTCCGAATAATTTACCGAACTGCCCACAACCTCTCAAAAATGGCTTGATACTCGGCCTGAATGTTGAGTTTACTGTCAGAAATCCAGGACTAAAACGCTACAAAGAAACTACTCATTAACCTGACAAGTCTTTGACTTTTTCAAACAAAACTAGTCTGCTAACCCAGATGACAGTTTACTCCTGCTCATCTCTATTCCAATTCATGCATCGCCATTGTTTAGATCTTTTAGCTTCGAACAGGATACACGAGCTTAGACCCAGACACCAGACACATACACCCAGACACCGGAGAATTCAAACCCACACACCCATAAAACAAAACCCAGACACCAGAAATATCCACCCAGACACCATTAAAACTAAAACCCAGACACCATTTACGTAGTTAATGACCCAATCTCCTTCTCGCAGAGCAAAAAAAGAAACGATCAGACATTGACCCACGCAAATTGGATTTTTTTTCACGAGTACTCTGAAAAAATAAAAACTATATAAACCAGCATAAAACTGGCAATTCTTAATCCGTTCCTGTTAACTTCAAGAAACTAGTCAACTTGGTCTGAAAGAAGCACTACTGTTAGTTTGCCGACAAGCCAAGATGCAGATCTTTGTCAAGACCCTAACCGGTAAGACGATCACCCTAGAGGTCGAGTCCTCCGACACCATTGACAATGTCAAGTCCAAGATTCAGGACAAGGAAGGTATTCCTCCTGACCAGCAGAGATTGATCTTCGCTGGTAAGCAGTTGGAAGACGGCAGAACTTTGTCTGACTACAACATCCAGAAGGAGTCCACCTTGCACTTGGTGCTAAGATTGAGAGGTGGTGGTAAGAAGAGAAAGAAGAAGGTCTACACCACCCCAAAGAAGATCAAGCACAAGCACAAGAAGGTCAAGCTTGCTGTCTTGAACTACTTCAAGGTTGACTCCGAAGGTAAGGTCACCAAGTTGAGAAGAGAGTGTCCTAACTGTGGTGCCGGTGTCTTCTTGGCCAACCACAAGGACAGACACTACTGTGGTAAGTGTCACTCGACTTTCAGAATTAAGGCTTAAGCGCATCGTGTATAGTTCCCGTTTTGCGGGTGGTATAGTTGTAATCGAGCATTGACTTTGAACTGTGGGCACGTTATGTTGCCATCGATCATCATTTTTCATTGTACTGTGGTTGCCGTTGCCGTAGCATCGCCATGCACACGCATTCGGTTTTCAAGCTAACAAAGGTGATTTGAAATCTCATTCGATTGTCTTACTTTACAAGGTAAATGCTAATATTATTTCTATTCTGCGAACAGACACTGGAAAACTGATCCAGAAAACATGCAAACCGCGAAGCACGGCTATCAAGAGCCGTCCCGGCTATCGTGATATTCTTGTTTTCTTTGATTCAACCCGTAACATCCTGAATGTCCAGTTTATCACTCTGTTCGATGACTAGTCTCTTGAGCTGCTCGTTCTCTTGCAGCAAATGAGCTCTATGAATTTCGCTCTGTTTCAATCTCAGCAGGGTCCTCTTGAGTTCGACGCTGGTACGTGCGTATCCGTCCTTGAGGAAATTGAAATTGAGCAGAAGCTTATGCGTGTTGATGATTCTCTTTTTGACCTCGGCGACCTGAGCCATGGTATACTCCTCGGTGAACTTGGAAGGAGCATCCACAGGCTTATGGACTTTTTGAGTCAAAGTTGGTTTGGGCGCCGCCATCGAGGTGGGCACTTTGAGTGCGAAGGGCTGATGCTTCTTATGCTTGTATTGGGACTCTGAGTCCGATGTAGGAGACAAACTTGCGGGCGACAATGTTTCATAGGCAGCGGACGCTTTAACAATTCGGGCTTCGGGGGTATTTCTATCAATCTTATCGTGCTGCAATTGGTCGTGGGCCACGTCAATCGTTGGTTTCTTTAGTTTTACGTCTGAATCTTCGTGAATTTCCAGTTCCTCTTCAGATTTTCTCTTGTTACCGTCCTTACTTTCCATACTGTGAAGTGTATGCTCAGCAAGAATTCTATCAACGGTGAGCTGGGCCGTGCTGCTAATTTGACCGCTGGTTGGTTCGTCAATATGCTGGAAATTACCCACCCCATCACCCAAAGAATCCCAATCACCGGGAGTATCACCCATCATCTCTGGTAGCTCCATTTCCGAAATAGCTTTCTCGATGGCGCAGTGTAGAGGATCAGAGGCATCTGACGGGTCGTTGGCCTGCGTTAAGAGAGCGTGCAACGTCAGTTCTAGATCATGATTGTCTTCAGAGGGTTCAGGCTTCACTGAAGGGCAGGAATCATCTCGTTCGAATTCCACATGATCCCTGGAGTAGGTATCGTCGCAAACCATGAAATAGATATCGAGCGAAGTCTCTCTCTCTGGCTTGGTTCTCGTTCGAATTCAGCTCATCGCAGCTCATCTCATCCCAACTTCCAAAATTTTTCACCACACAGCTGATCCACCGAGACGAACAAAAAGTGTCGTTCAGAAGACAGAACGACAACTGAGCTGACGTTGGCCTCGTAGTTTGGTTGATGTGATCTAATCGATATTGTAGTACCGGTAGTGATGAATGTATATATATATTTGTATATGGCGAATAACTATGTACAGATGTATTTTCCCCATCCTTTTGTATATTTCGATGCTAGGTGTAAAATGTCGTCTATATTCGTACTCCTGGTAAGAATAAATGACGTTTGGCATTGCAATGCTTTTGTGGAAGGATCTTAGCCATCTATGTTTGTGCTCGTGCTTGAGATTTTTCGAGAAAGTGACTCTAGCGTGTAGAAGGCTTAAAGCGCGAATTGCGAGCATTTTAAAATTAGTTGCCAAAGTTAAAGGCCCGCTGTATTTGCTTGGAGTAACGCGAAATCAGTGACGTGGATTTCAGCTCCGTTTCTTTGATTAGATTGTCGGTGGTAATGATAATTTCGTCAACGGTGCCCGCAACCTTGGTGCTCAGCTCGTCTACAAGCTTGTCACGCTGTTCCCAGTTTGTGCTAAGCATCTGGAGAACTGAGTCGAAACCCTGACGGCCCTTAGAAGCGTTTTCTCCAAATCTCTTGACAGACCACTCTTCAATCCGGTTGCACAAAGTGCTGATCGTGGCGTACGCCGTTATTTGCGCCTCCTGCCGAAAACACGTCTTGTTCAAATCCGAATGATGCGGCATGTATTGGACCGTTTCATAGACCTTGAGCAAATGCGCACATGTAAGGTTGCAGCTTTTCAAAGTCAAGGTCTTAGTATTCAAATCCACCACCGAGACTTCCCGCACAAAACTCTTGTTCGAGCTTCCTATCAACGTCGAAAGCCATTTTGGAATGGATTGTTTGCACGTTATCAAGCGTTCACTCGTAAGTCTGGTCCCACTAACATCTAGTTCCCTTCTTAACACATCCACAGCAACTACATGTGTGGAAACTTCGTTCGGATACTTTCGCCAATTTGCTGCCGTGACTTGATCCCACGGATAGTTGAACTCCTGCGTATTTTGGAATAGTCTCATGCTGTCTGGTGGCTTCCGTTTGATCAAGTTGGTGTCGAGACCTTCTTGAGTGAAGTCGAGCTTTTATTTGGTAGATGGTAGAAATATTGGAAAAAAGGAACTCAGAGTGTCAGTAAAATCGAAAAATCCGAGATCAAAAATAAAGCTTCAGGAAACTCAACAAATTGGCCAATCAATGTGTTTAACATTGCACAGGGACTGTATTAAATTTTCTCAAAACTATGCTGTTGTGGCAGGTTCAAAAAACGCCAATCGCCGGTGGGATGTTTTTCCCGGGCACTCATGACGCTGACACCTCTTGGTTGACACGCCAGAGATAACATGTTTCTGGCTCGAGAGCCACGGTCAAACGGGTTTGTTCTGGAAGAGGAGAAACTGTGCAAAATGGCCTTCTTAGAGGTCAAATTTCTGAGAAATTCATGGGTGGTCTGCTGCGACGAGGTCGCGAAAATATGGAATAGCAGTAAGATGAGAGGGTAGCACATAATAAGAACGCAATATACGATCAACAGTATGGCCACAACGGTAGATCTGAGATGGGAGACCTTGGAAACATGAATTGCGCAGCCAATGATGCATAAAATAGCGGAGACGACGCTGCTAGTCAAAAATGTCAAAAAATACCGGTAGTTTCTTTGACCAACGCAGTTGTTGATCCAGATACAGTGGTGGTCGTGTGTCATAACACATGCATCGCAGCTAGGACAGTGCGAGGCGCGCGGGGGTCGCCAGATGCGACAAGTGGTGCAGTATTTCAGGTTCACAGTGCGTCCCTCAGGATGAGCACTGGGCAAAGTGATCATGTTGTAGTATTCTCGTGGCAGCTCAAAGTCGTTGCACACTGTGGGAACATGCAAGTTTCTGGGCAAAACGCCCGGGTCGCTGGTCGCGCTTCGGATGAAAGAGGCCAAGCAGACGGCCCACGAGTAGTAAAAGAGCACAACCAAAGTGCCATGCCCGCTACCAAACTTCCACAGCATCTGGGCCTCGAAAATCGAGAATAAAACCGCTGGCACGACCAGTAACGTCAAAACAAGCACAGAATGTGCCGAAGTGTTTGAAACTGTGCGTAATCGTCCACCTAGAAAGAACACATAGTTGCTGACTCTTGGCATGGAGCGATAGTTTACCGCGTCGGGTACCGCCGTATCGAGCGTCACTACCCATTCCAAGACATATCTGAACCTAGAGTGGTGAGTTTTGAGCTCTTGCTCGCCGGGAACGCCATCTTCCCTTTCATTTCCTCTTACTCTAGGGTTTCTGTACTGGCGATGAGCCTGTTCAGGTACACATTCTGTCATAGAAACCGAACCTTGGCGACTAAAAAATGTATCGCATCAAATTGTGGAATTGTCTCCAGGCTCAGCAAAGCTTTCTGAAGCTTGGTAAATTGTCAGTCGTGTGGTTGATGTCTTTAAGAGATGTTAGCAGCTGGTTCGATGTAGTTTATTCAATATACTGCCATATAAAAAATCCTTATATACGGAACCAAAAGCCAGAAACAGGTGCCAGTGTCTGGCGCTAGCAGTGAGGTATTCGGGCTCTGGGTTGAGACTAGCTTGAATTTGATTATCGGCCAAAATGAACCCTTTTCGAATTATGCTCTTTAAAACTGTGTTTTCTATTCATATTCAACTCCGAATGACTACTATATAAAATATCAATGCTACTGTACATTATGCAAATTTGTTCCAATCCCAGCAACCACAGAACGCCCGCGAAAGTTTACTCACCAGTGTCATGATGCCCATGGCACGGTTGAGGTCCAGGCAAATATAAAAAGGAGGCCAAATATTCACCTTCCGAAACCACCTAGAAGCCAACCACCATTTGATTGCGTTTCCTCGTCGTTATACAGGTCCAACGTGAACTTGGGTTTCTTGTACGCCGGTTTGGCGGGTTCAAGTGGCTTGACTGAGCTGGAGTGCGATTTTGGACGCGACGCTGAATCCTCGTCTGCATATATGCGCAAATTAAAGGAATTCAACGAGGGCGACTCCGAAGCTGCACCGTTGTTTCGACCCACCAAAGTCGAAACTGACTCTGGGTTCGATTTGGCGTCTTCTTCTAAGGCCAGATCATTCGGATTTCCCGACCCAAACATCAATCGGTCCTCATCATCCAAAGCTTTCGCGCTAATTGGAATAGGTTTACTAGCCTTGAAATTCAGCGCAAAACGATTCATATCATGCGGCGCCAAAGGACTTACAGCAAAACGAGATGGCGACAACTTAGATGTGCGTTGTGATGTCGCGTCTAGTAGGTTAGGCTCTTCATCTTCTCCACCACTAGCGTCGCCAGGCGTGCGCAAGAGCTTCGAAAAAGTGCCAGGTAAAATGTTGAGGTTGCTTAGCGAGGTGTTAGAGCTGCTGTTACTGGAAGATGGAGACGAAATCCTCGAGAAAAACTCCGGCGGGATAAGTCCAACGCTGAAGTTGTTGGCCGATTTGGTTCGTGGAAGTCGTCGCGCTCGTTTGGGTGCCGTAGAAATAGGCTGCTCAGCGAAATGGCCATCGTGGACGTAAATATTAGAACACCCTTGGTTGAGTCTATTGGCAGTAGGAGAGCACATCTCGTCCTCAATATTTTCCATCGTGGGAGGCTCTTCACGTCCCTGTCCCTGCAATCGTGGAGCATCCTGCGACTGTGACCCATTCTGAGCGAAAGGTGCTTGCAACGCTGGGTCCATCAAGCTGAGAGACCGAAATCTGCGAGCTGTAGATTCGGCCTCCAGGGAATTTTTCGCAGAGAAGTCCGTTTCTGAGCCACAGCGCGATAGCCTGCTAGGCACCGAAAAGCTCAGACCGTCTTCATCATCGCCATCATCATCTTCGTCATCTTCTTCCTCCTCCTCCGAGTCCTCATAGGGCTCCAACTGCTCTTGCTCTTCTTCTGTCATGTTTCTGTTGGGGCTCATGTTGCCTCTCCCAGATGGGAACACATTGGGAGAGCGAGACCTGGCCAGACGAGAATTTGTGCGGGTGTACGGTGCAGTAATGACTTTAACAGATTTGTCTTTGTTCGACGTAAGTAGGGAATTTTGGAAGTTCAGCAGTGAAGATGAGTCTCGTTTTAGCGGTGTTTCTTCTTCCTCGCTATCAGTGGGCTCCACTTCCGGCGGTTTCGAGGGCTTCTTCTGCAAAGCGTTGCTGTGCAAGGCATTTAGCGATTCGTTGGATAAGTAGCTGGTGAGAGGCTTGTCGGATAAGATGGTCAAGAGTGCTTTAACCCCGGTGCTATTAGTTACTACGATTATGGAGTCCAAAACGCCTGCTTTCTTGGAGGACTTCGAGATATGAGACCGCGAAGCATTCTGAGGTGTGAATTTCTCCGTCAGTTTAGTGTAATATTCTTTGAAGGGCGTGGTAGACGAAGTGATCATGTTATAATTGCCCATGACTTCGAAATGGACTGTTGCACGGGCCAGCAGGTCTTTGTTGAGGAAAGTTTTGAACCAGATCAATGACGTGGGCGACACCTGTATCCTGAACACGGCACGAACATATTTGGAGATTTCCTTGTGATTCTGGATGCGATGCCAACACGATTCTATCAGAAATTTGATGGTTTCGACGTAGCGAAGCGCTCCGCTGGAGGCGACAGAAAACGTGAAGCTCACAGGCCAGCTGGAGGACGATTTTTGCAACAGCGAGTCCCACACGGAGTCCTCGAAGTCCGTTATGCTGGCCAGAATGCGCTCTCGCAGCTTGTGGATCTTAAACTTCTTGTTGATTTTAGAGAGTCGGTTGTGAGTCAGCTGGTCGTTGTAGTAGTCTATTGTGGGGATATCAATGTACAAGGACACCTTGAATTCTTGAAACGACGGCAAAACCATCGGCAGTCTGGAGACCGCTGCATCCGAGTACGATATCAAAAACAGCGAGTCTTCGCGACTTACTTTCACTTTCGGTTCCACTTCCCAAGCTGGCGGTGCCAGATCCAACGCTTTAGCCGTCAGCACTTTGGAAGCCAGGTTTTTCCCATTGCTCAATTCTTTCATGGTATATGGTATTTGTTGAATGTCATATAGTTGGTGAGGTGGATGGGGGAGGGGGTGCTGGAAACGAGAAGGGAAGTGGTGACAAAGTACCGAAAGCCAAGCCTAAAATGTCAGATTCAAAGAGCCCCAAGTTTCGGAGATTTCGAGAACTCTGGAGGCAATATTAAGAGTTCAAAAACGTCGCACTTTCTCAACGTAAATTGAATCAAGTTTATCTTGGGATGCGATTGTGAAAGAAAATCCACAGGTAAATTTTTTGAAATGTTCTTTAAACGAAGCTGACAAAAGAGAAGAGCTAGCTCTGGGGACGGAAAATGGGTGATTTTGGTTCAACACTAGATGCTTGAGAATAGCGTGAAAGTGTATGTAAAATGTAGATGAGAAATGGGGCTGTTACTCATATTAATGGCCAAATTATACACTAGTGTCAAAGTTGTCATTATGTACGTGATTCCATGAAGTGTCTCGTCATCGTTTGCCCTGTGGGTGGTGTGAATAATGCTGATACATGGGTGTATTTGGCTTCTTTCTGGGTTTCGATGTGATGATCGAGATGATTAAGTTTGAATCATCGACAGCCAGTTTCGAAAGGTATTATAAAAATCATAGGATATTTCCCGAATTGGGATTAAGGTTCATATATCGCGATAAGGTAGCCCTCCCCCCATTTGGAGACGCTGTTCAGTGTGAATTTTGTAGGAGGACGGACATCTGTAAGAGAACATTCTTTTTTTTGGATAATGATCGGGACGTTTAATGAGGCTGGGTGTGTGAGTGGGGATCTCTCTATATAGCGCTGTAAATGAGTGAAAAAAGAGCGGTGTCAGAAATTGGGACAGCCTCGTCGAAAGCACTGATCATGCCTGCCCCAAGCTGGGCGACGCTTACAGAGTTCGTTCTTTCGACAAGCTTTATCCAGAGCACGACAAAATATGTCAAAGTGATGTGACGCCGATAAAAAATATGTCCGAAAAATGAGCTGTCCACGACTGATATGTCTTATCGTAGGAATTAGAGAACCCAGGGGGTCCTTTCTTGCAACTCTCAAAACACCCTAGTGTCGCGTCTGCATTGAGTTCGGGCAGGTTTTTACCGTCGCTCGAGATCACGTGACACAACGGACTCATATTTATTAAAGCTCTTTTACAATAGAAGAGAACCATCTCCAGGCCATCGTGGCGTTGTCAATAGATTTGAGAAAACCGTGGGATGAACTACTCCTACCAACTGCTAAGCACACACACACACACACACATACTCGTTAAATGCCAGATCGAATCACGTGACCAATCTCTCTCTATCGCCTGTCGATAACGCTACTGCTACAACCAATAACTGGCCAAAAATTGTAGGGTTTGTTGGACAGCGGATATACACAGGATAGGAGGCCCGAATTCTAGCATTCCACCCTACTTTTCATCTCAATTGGCTCGTCCCTCACCCATCCAAAACATGCAAACAAATTTGCCACCTCCCGGTTTGACCGAATGTGATTTTCAACTTCTCAAAGACAATGCGATAAAGGCTCGCGAGCTGTCATACAGCCCGTATTCCACGTTTCGCGTGGGATGCTGCATCATGACAAAAGCTAAAGCATGCATTCTGGGCGCTAACGTCGAGAACGCCAGCTACGGAGCAGGTATCTGTGCCGAGCGGACTGCCATTGTCAAGGCCGTGACCTCTGGCCATGCCAACGACTGGCTCTGTCTTGCCATTAGCGGTGACGCTCTAGAGACGTGTATCTCGCCCTGTGGCATCTGCAGACAAGCCATTCGCGAATTTGCAAGTCTCGAGCTACCAATTGTGATGTTCAACGGCGATGGCTCCAAATTCATCATCAAGTCGCTGCAAGAGCTGTTACCCTTGAGTTTCGGACCCGACGATCTTCGAGAAAACTAAAATTGACGCCGAGAAGAGCGTAGAAGACGAATCGTCTCCAGCAGAGCATCTGAGCATCCTACCAACTACTAAGATCTGGTTGGCATTACTTATGATACCATTATAAGTTGTCCTCATAAATCGTGAACCTAAAGCACCAAAGCGACGAAACCAAAAAAATAAAATCCAATCACTCATCTAAATTCACATTTGTCTCGACGTCAAGCGCTACCATCTCCTCAAACAGACACCCTCCCTTCCTTCAATCACGAACTTTTAAGCTGTTGGCTGAGCGATGCGTGTGGCTAACAAGCTTTTTCTGAAAATATTATAACGTTAACAAATTTTTCACTCCGGTCTGCTAAGAAAAACCAACGCTCAGCTTCATCACATCTGTCGCTATACTAATATCTGACGTTATGGCTCGCTGTTCAGACTTGCAATGTGGATCAGAAACTACCTCCGGGCTTAAATGTCCCATTTGCTTGAAGCAAGGCATCGACCAGCCATTCTGCGATGAGGGCTGTTACAAGAATAGCTACAGAGCTCACAAGGCTCTCCACTGGAAAGACGACAAACCAGACCTATACGACCCTTATCCCAAATTCAAGTACACGGGCAAATTGAGAGCTGCGTACCCTCTAACGCCCAAAAGAGCGGTCCCCGAGGAAATCGAGGCACCGGAATGGGCAGATGATGGGCTGCCTCGTCTCGAGCAGCGTAACGACACCACCAACAAGATCATAGTTTATTCCAAGGAGGAGATCAAACGGATTCGTAAAGCATGCATGCTGGCCAGAGAGGTTCTAGACGCAACAGCAGCGGCCGTCAAACCTGGCGTCACAACCGATGAGCTAGATAGCATCACGCACGAAGAAACCGTCAAGAGAGGTGCCTATCCGTCGCCCTTGAACTACTACAACTTCCCAAAATCCCTGTGCACCTCGGTGAACGAGATTGTATGTCACGGTGTTCCCGACCAGACCGTGCTCAAAGAGGGCGACATCGTCAATCTCGATGTGTCCTTGTACTGGAACGGAATGCACGCCGATCTCAACGAGACCTACTATGTGGGAGAAAACATATCCAAGGAGGCCATCAACACGGTCGAAACGTCAAGAGAGTGTCTCAAGGCCGCGATCAAACAGTGCAAGCCAGGTGCCACTTTTCAAGAACTTGGAAACTACATCGAAAAACACGCTAAGGAAAACAAGTGCTCTGTGGTGAGAACTTACTGCGGGCACGGGGTGGGAAGGTTCTTCCACTGCGCCCCAAGCATTCCTCACTACGCCGGAAACCGTACCTCAGGTGTGATGCAGCCCGGCATGGTGTTCACGGTCGAGCCCATGATCAACGAAGGTAGCTGGCACGACGTCACGTGGCCCGACGACTGGACCTCGTCCACCAAGGACGGGAAGCTCAGTGCGCAATTTGAACACACACTGCTCGTTACTGAGCATGGTGTGGAGATTCTGACTGCCAGGAATAAAAAATCGCCAGGTGGACCAAGGCCCAGAAGAAAGTAGACGGGGTGATTAAGAAAGAAACCGACCGGGGGATCGTGAAAATAGATGTCGTGTCTGACAAAAGAGTTTGACAGAAGCGACCTCCCTCACCACGCAAATTCAGAAAGACTTTAGAACTCACGATAAACATTCCAACAAGCACACATTTGCGTGTTTATAGTAACTAAACAGTAATAATCAGATACCAATTGTCACTTTGTACTAATGTGTCATGTATCTACAAACTTTCAGACTGAAAGCATCAGCATTAAAGCCAAACGCTAGAACCATGAACACACAGCAATTTGAGAAGAAAATAAGGTGGTGGATTACATACCAAGCTAGTCTAAACACATCAAATTTCTTTGATTTTAAAATATCACTATTTTATTCCCTGTCGCTCACTACTTCGGGTAACGAGGTGGCGAATCTGAAAAATTTCATAATGATGGAATCAAACAATAACTATAGCTATGAATACACGCTTTGACTCCTTCTTAACCGATACCAAAACAGCACTCAATTGACCGCTAGTCCTCACTTAAGATGTCTCTACAACTGCTGAACCCTAAGGCCGAATCATTGAGAAGAGATGCGGCCTTGAAAGTGAACGTCACGTCAGCGGAAGGTCTCCAGTCGGTGCTGGAAACCAATCTGGGTCCCAAGGGAACTTTAAAGATGCTGGTGGATAGCGCTGGCAATATAAAACTTACAAAGGACGGGAAAGTGCTGCTCACAGAAATGCAAATCCAATCGCCCACTGCTGTGATGATAGCGAGAGCTGCGGCGGCTCAGGATGAGATCACCGGCGACGGCACAACCACCGTGGTGTGTCTGGTGGGAGAGCTGTTGAAACAGGCTCACAGATTCATTCAAGAGGGTGTGCACCCCAGGATGATAACGGACGGGTTTGAAATCGCACGTCGTGAGACCATGGAGTTTTTGAACGGGTACAAGATCGAGAAAACCGCGGAAGGTGACATGGACCGTGAATTTCTGCTGCAAGTGGCCAGAAGCTCGCTTTCAACCAAAGTGACACCAGAATTGACCGAAGTCCTAACTCCAATCGTGACTGACGCCGTTCTAAGCGTTCAAAACGCGGACAGCCGCTCGTTGGACTTGCATATGGTTGAAATTATGCAAATGCAGCATCTCTCTGCCAAAGATACAACATTCATCAAGGGTCTCGTACTGGATCATGGTGCGAGACACCCCGATATGCCAACCAGAGTAGAAAATGCCCACGTCTTGATTCTAAACGTCTCGCTAGAATACGAGAAGACTGAGGTTAATTCCGGCTTCTACTACAGCTCTGCAGACCAAAGAGACAAGCTTGCTGCTAGCGAGAGAAAATTTGTGGACGAAAAACTCAAAAAGATCATAGACCTCAAAAACGAGGTATGCGGGCTCGATTCCAACACGGGATTCGTGATAATCAACCAGAAGGGTATCGATCCTTTGTCTTTGGATGTGCTCGCCAAGCACAACATTCTCGCCCTGAGAAGAGCCAAGAGACGCAACATGGAGAGACTGCAGCTCGTCACGGGCGGAGAAGCTCAGAACTCCGTTGATGATCTATCACCATCGATTTTGGGTTACTCTGGTCTTGTTTACGAGCAGACCATCGGCGAAGAGAAGTTCACCTACGTCACTGAAAACCGCGATCCTAAATCCTGTACCATCTTGATCAAAGGTGCCACCTATCATGCTCTCAACCAAACAAAAGACGCCGTAAGAGACGGTCTAAGAGCCGTTGCTAACGTCCTCAAAGATAAGTCTGTCGTTCCAGGTGCTGGTGCTTTCTACTTGGCCGCTTCGAACCATCTGAGGAACGCCAATGCCGTCAAGCTAGGCGCCAAAGGTAAAGTGAAGTCCGGTGTACAGGCTTTCGCCGAAGCACTACTTGTGGTTCCCAAGACTCTTATCAAAAACTCTGGATACGACGCCCTGGACGTGCTGGCCCTGTGTCAAGATGAGCTCGACGAAAATGCTGATAGAACAGTGGGTGTGGACTTAAAAGTTGGAGACTCCTGCGATCCTACAATCGAAGGTATTTGGGATTCCTACCGTGTCATTAGAAATGCAATCACTGGTTCCACTGGCATTGCAAGCAATCTACTATTGTGCGATGAGCTTTTGAGAGCCGGTAGATCTACTTTGAAAGAAGGGCCTCCACAATGATCTTCATTAGCATGGTACAAATAATTGTAAATATCCGGTAAGCCAACATCTCTCGTGAGTCGAAGCTTTCTTTCTACTGGGGTGTTCGAGTCGTCTTATAGTTTATATCATCGTTTCAAACGTAGTAATGGTGTTCCTAATTAACAGTGTTGATATCTGCTATATTTCACATTACGTCCAGAGAACAGCCTTCAAGCTGCCAACAAAGCGATCAATTGGGAGCTCTGTGATGTCTTATACGGATGAGGTTAGTCTGAGAGACAGGCAGATTGGTATGTGAATCCTAATGCGAAGATATTTCGAACTAGATCTGACGTTTACTAACCAAAACCTATCAAAAGCCCTGATCGTCAAGATGCTGATGTTCAATCAGGACACGTCAACAGACGACCTGACATCAGGTTTAGATTGTCAGGAAGTAGTATGGAAAGCCCTTGTAATGGACTCCAAAGGAACGGCCATTGTCTCGTCAGTTTTACGAGTCAACGATCTTCTAAAAGCAGGCGTCACTGTTCACAGTCTCATTCAACAAAAAAGATCACCCTTGCCAGACGTTCCAGTCGTATATTTTGTACAGCCTACTCAAGAAAACGTTGATGCTATTGTACAGGATTTGATCGAGGACAAATACGCCGAATTTTACATCAATTTCACTTCGGTTCTAAATCGAGAGCTCCTCGAGAATCTCGCTAAACAGGTGTCTGCCACCGGTAAAACAGACCGTATCAAGCAAGTATTCGATCAATATGCAGAGTTTGTCGTCACAGAGCCCGATCTTTTCTCACTGGAACTGCCTTTGGTCTTCCGTCAATTGAACAACCCAGAGAGTACTGAGAACTCCATCAATGAACTATGCGAAGCCATTGCCAACGGCTTGTACGACGCCGTTATGACTGTCAATTCTATTCCAATCATTCGTGCCCCAAAGGGCGGTTCTGCAGAGGTCGTAGCCCGTCTGCTAGAAAGCAAATTGAGAGACTACGTCATAAACACCAGATCGAACACAGATTCCGTCCCACATTCGCTAGAGAGATTTGTGCTGGTTATTCTCGACAGGAACATTGACCTAGCCTCAATGTTTGCGCATTCTTGGATATATCAAAGTCTGGTCTTTGACGTGTTTAAGCTCGCAAGAAACACCATCACTATCCCTACAAAAACGAAAGAGGGTCAAGAGACGGAAAAAAAAATGGATATAGACCCAAAAGATTTTTTTTGGTCGGCGAATTCCCACCTACCCTTCCCAGATGCGGTCGAAAACGTCGAAGCTGCGCTGGCTACGTATAAAACCGAAGCGGAAGAAATCACTAGGAAGACGGGAGTAAACGAACTCAGCGACTTGGATCCTAACGCCAACAATGACACCCTCAATATTCAGGAGGCTGTCAACAAACTTCCTGAGTTAACTTCGAGAAAGATAATCATTGACACTCATATGAGCGTATTGGCGTCTTTGCTATCTCAGTTGGAGAGTAAAGGGCTAGATGCTTTTTTCGAGATTGAACAAGGGCAGGACTCTCCTAAAACAAGACAACGCTTTCTGGAGACTTTAAAGGACGGAAAGACGAATAATCTTGAGGATAAGCTCAGAACGTTCATCATTCTATACTTGACCTCTGCCACCGATCTACCACAGACTTTCATCAAGGAAGTGGAAAGCTATTTCGAAAGTCAAGACTATGATATCCGATCATTGACATATGTTTATAAGTCAAAGGGATTGATGAAACTATCGGCAATGTCCTTACAGAATAAATCTTTGGAGAGCAGCGGATTTGACGGTAAAAATCAGAGCTCAAGTACAAATTCTTCAGTTTTACTATCTGGTCTATCAAACAAGCTGTATGGCTTGACAGAAGGTAAGATTCAAGGTGGAGTGGGCTCTTTGATCTCTGGTATCAAAAACTTCCTGCCAGAAAAGAAGACGATACCAATAACAAATGTCGTAGAAGCTGTTATGGATCCACTGAACAGTTCCCAGAAAAACTTGGAGACCACGGATAACTACCTCTACTTTGATCCTAAATTGGTCCGAGGCTCTCACAACAAGAAACCCAAACGGCAATCATATACAAAGTCAATTGTCTTCGTTGTAGGTGGAGGCAATTATCTGGAATACCAAAACTTACAAGAGTGGGCGCATTCTCAGCCGGCAAACACTAAAAACGTCATGTATGGTAGTACTGCCATCTTGACACCCGCAAGTTTCCTGGACGAAATAGCTTCCCTGAAATGAATACTAGATCTGTTTCCGTAAGTACATACCGTAGGTAATGAAGGGCGTGATGCATCTAGCATGCTATAAATAACTATTGCTAGACTGTAATATTTGTGTTGATCTCTTAGCATCCAGGAACAACAGTTTAGCCTCGTTGACATCATCGAGTGTGATGTCCGAGCGACCGGCAGTTTTTGCCAATATTCCGCAGGGAGACAATAGCTGTAAGGAGTAACGAAGGGAGGTCTGAGACCCCATGTTTGCGAGCAAATCTAGTGCATCTGCGTCTATCTTCAGATTCTCAACTGTAGCTCTTCTCTCAATGATGGTGCGAATTTCGTCTCTCGAGTATGGAAGCGTCCGTACAATGAGCAATCTATCAACTAGATCTGGTGGGATACCGTGGGGTGACACAATATCATCTGTGCCGCGTACAGTTGTGAGGCCACGATTAGATGCCAGTACCACCACTGGTGCGATGGACGACTCAAGAGCGCGGTTCAGATATGTGAAAATCTCGATGTCTAGCATGTTGACTTCATCGATGAATAGAACGCCCGGAATGAGCTCCGCAACACCCTGGTCTATGTATTTGGCAACAACGCGGTTGACCTCGTGTCTTAGTTTTTCAGTAATTTCTGTTTTCTTGGGTTTCAAGAGCTGGCCCATCATAGACACCACATCCTGACCACCTTGAGGACGAGCGTTTGCCACGTCTAGATCATGCAGCGTTACGTCTTGCACAATTTCTTTCTTCTTGTGAACCTCACCTTTGGGCAATGGCACGTACTCCTCGGCTTCGAGGTCGAATTCCGTGGCGTAAGCGTCCGAACGACCCACACGCTTCACAGCGCCTGTGTTAGCTTCGATGTAGACGACATCACCTACGCTGACTTTTTCACGTTCGATGCTTTCGTAAACCGTAGGATCCAATCGTAGAGTTTTCGTACCCTTGGCAGACTTCAAGCCCACGATAACGTGTGCAATGGTCTTTCCGTAACCGCCTAGCGGGTTCTCTGCGGCCTGAGGAGCTAGCTCTGTGACCTCTCCCTCATAAACCTCTTTGGTCTCCTTGATCCGCAGACCAATGGCTCTTCTGAAATTTTCCATGAGAGCCTCGGTTTTCTTCACCTCTACCGAGTAAAGTTCTGATCCTACCACGGGACAGAACGGCACTTTGGGGCCTAATTCTTGTGAAATGGCGAGAGCCAATGCTGTTTTACCAGTGGATGGACCACCAGCTAGCAAAATCGCCTTTCCTGACATTTTCTTGACCTTGATCAAGTCTACAACCACTCCACAAGCCTCACGAGCCTCCACTTGACCCACGAAGCCACCTTCTACAGCTTTCGCAACACCTTGAGCATCTAAACCAAGCCCTTTGATGTGCGTGTGGGCTGCTGTGCGGGTCGAACCTTGCTTGCCAGCGCCAGCGTCTTTAACTTCACTTACTTGAACCATAATTGACTGTACAGAGGTCTAACTCGAAGCTGAACGAGCGTAAATGTAAGACAAGTGTCCAAGGTATTTATCTCTATCTTCTGATTGATCGACAAAGAGATGCTTGAGGACAGAATCAAGAATCTTCATGATTGAACAATCATCGGTATAAGGTGTAAATTTCGAAGATTTCCAATTCATTAAAATTTTTAGATGTGTTGATATCACTATAGACGAAGGGTTTTCTGTTTTAGACTTCAGGGAACTTTTAAACGGCTCACAAACAACAAGAAACGAAGCAAGAAAGACCACGAGTTTATGCGTTTTTGGCAGGAAAAACAGTGCTAGAGCCTTAAACCGTGACTCCCGTTAAAACTGACTTAAGGCGATTGGCCAAGCACTGTTTGACATATAGCTTGCAGTCTCAAGCAAAGTAGCTCACTGTATATTACCCGCACGTGTATCAGCAGCTAGCTTTTACCACACTCTTGAGTTTTGTTTGTCTTTAGAAAACTCGACGTTTGAACTCCAGTCTCTTCTTCTCAAAATTCCCTTTTCGTCTAATTGAGTACATCAAACGGTGTGACAATTAAAAAAGTGTTCAACGCTGTTTGTGGGCTCTTCAACGATGGAAAACTCATCGCAAAATGTGTTGAGACCGTCCAAAACTCGACGTGGTAGCTTGAAGGGTGCTGGCAAACGTGTTGGTGCCCATAGGACGTCCTCTTACCAACCGATTACTCCTCCATCGACTATCAAGAAGTCGTTACAAAAATGCGTCTCTGAGGTTCCGCAGCCGAAAAAATTGTTACCAGCGCTCCAAAAATGTGCTTCTCAAACTCGCAAACCACGTCTGAAATATCGTCCACAGCCTAATTCTGTTTTTGATCTGGGTTTGTATCTCTCTGGGGCGCGACAATCCTCCCAGTGTAGCGAAGCCAACGCCCAGTTTCTGCGGTACGCCTTACAACATAGCAAGAGGGTTATCGTGATAGCGGGCGCAGGTGTCTCAACAGACGCTGGTATTCCAGACTTTAGGTCTGTTGATGGTCTTTTCTCTACTCTTAAGTGCCCCGGGCTCAGCTCGGGAAAGGACCTCTTCGACTACAATGTTGTTTATTCTAGTGCCGAGATGGGTCTTCGATTCAACCAGTTGATTACAGAACTGCATGAGAAATGCTCCCAGGTTGCGCCTACTCGTTTCCATGAGCTGATCAACTCCATAGCGCAAGAAGGACGACTGCGCCGTTTATACACCCAGAACATCGATGGTCTAGAGGATCAAACTTCACATTTACAGTCAAAAGTGCCACTGGAGAAGCCATTCCCGTCTACGATTCAGCTTCACGGTAGTATCAAACACATGTCCTGCAATAAGTGCTCCAAGATTTACGGACTGGACCCCAGCCTGTTCAAGCTCCATGAACACCACGTCGATCGTGAAATTGTGCCTCTTTGTCCGCAATGCTCCGAATTCGAGTCCGTTAGAGCGGTCGCTGGACTGCGTTCTCAGGGTGTCGGTAAACTAAGGCCACGGGTGGTTCTCTACAACGAAACGCATCCAGAGGGAGAAAGTATTGGCAATGTGGTGCTAAAAGATCTAAAGGGCAAACCAGATTGTCTGATCATAGTTGGAACTACGCTCAAAATCCCAGGCGTACGAACCATGTGCAAACAGTTTGCCCGTCAAGTTCACGACTCACGCGGTATCGTGGTGTGGATTAACACCGATTTGCCTGCCAAAACTCTAGAGGATTTCGTCGAATGCATAGACTTGATAATAGTGGGTAACTGTCAGATGGTTTCTGAGATGGTAAAATAAGTACGTATGTGCTCTAGTAACAAAATATACAGCGCTGTGTTAGTCTTTCCAGCACCACACAACGCTTCCATGCTATTGTCGTAGATTACATATTTGCGAGGCCGAAATGCCCATGCCTAAATGTTTACAGGTCGTCTAGTTCGATCTGGTCGTTGGGTTCCTTCGGTTCTTGGCCCTCTGCCCATTGAGTCACGTCGTCCACATAACTTAAAATAGCCGCAACACTGTCCGGGTTCTTGGCTTCCAGGGGCAAGAATTGAACCATTCCAAAGTCGTCCACTAAGTTGGCTATAGTCTTGTTGAGTTTCTGAAATCTTGGATTCCAGGTCTCGTTCGTGGAATCCAGCAACAGTGTAGGGTCGGGATTTAGGTATCGTTTCAATTTCTTTCTACTGTAGTCGTCTTTAATTTGGTCGATCTTGCTCAAGATGTTGATATGCGGCAGCTCCAGAAGGATCATGGCAGACATCGCGCTCAGCGCTCCACTGAAGAACTTGGAGGAGTCTATCACAAATGGCGCTTCCAAGAGGTACGTGGCACACAAGCTAAAATTCAGTTGCGTTTGCAAATGACGGGCTATCGCAGGCAGAACCGGAATATGAGTGTAAAGTTCGATCTGGCCTGGACAGTCGAAAATCAAATACTCATCATTGTAATCACCGAGTTCTTCTTCTAGCCAATCCAGATTATTCATCAAATATTCAAAACAATATATCAACGAGCCGTTGGGCCCCAAATGCAGCTCTTCCATTACGTCCTCCAACGAAATGAGGTCTCTTATGTCTATTGTGAACTCGTATTCTGTAGCTTCGGCTGCTGGATCCAAATTCACGATGTGAGCTCTGCGTCCTATAGTTTGCATGTGAGAAATGATGGAGTTGCAAAAGGTACTTTTGCCCGCACCTGCGGGCCCCAATACAAGTACACCAACTCTTGACATAGGCTTGTGGATCAGTTGCGATGATGATGATGGTGGTTTAGCTCCTAGCTTGCGATGAGTTCGTTCTATCAATATCAAAATTTTGTTTATCGGCCATGAGTACTTTTTTGAAGCCACGAGTACAAGCTAAGCGGATAGTGTCAGCATTTTCATACCAGTTAAGCATCGAACGTTATTTCAAGCAAGATGGTCTTTGCCAAATGACGCCTGGTATGCGATCGAGCTTAGGTTTCTATCACTGTGGGAAAATCTTTATCATATCAACAAACAAAAAACTGTTTTGGAAGTAAACCCCAGCAGCTCTTAAAAAAGATTAGATCAGTCTCATCCTGAACAGTTGTAAAAGAGCACTTGCTAATTTATTAGGACTGCAGGAGGTGCTACATCAGGAACTTTTCCAAGTTGGAAACGCTCAGCTTTGAAATAGTCCAAAACCTCCTTCGGCAGATCAGCTTCCGACAATTCCTCTTGAGCTGCGACACCTTGCACAAATGGCTGCTGATTGATAGATGGATTTGAGAAAGAACTATTCTGCGGTTGTATATTTTGTACCATGGTATTATTGGTTGGTGTCGCGCCAAAAGGACTTCCTGCAGGGGTATTCGACGAAAATCCTCCAGCGCCAAAGGTTTGCCCAAATCCAGAAGGTTTGATGGCGTCTGCTGGCTTGGTAGTATTTTGTTGAGCGTTTAGATTACCAAAGGGTGATGTGCTGGTAGTAGAGTTTGTTTGGTTGGCCACAGAACCAAATGGTGAAGCACTTTGAGGATTTTGGATCGAAGCAAAAGGTGAGTTACCAGAGTTGGACCCAAAGGTTGGCTTTCCTAACACTGAGCCACCAAATGGCGAAGAAGATACTTGAGATCCGGCAGAACCAGGGTTAAAAGCACTGCTCCCAAAAGCAGGTGCTTGAGGTGCTGATGTGGATCCAAAGGTTGCTTTGCCGAATGCAGAGGAACCGTTACTGCCCGATGCAAAAGCTGGCGCACCAAAAACTGAATTAGATGCTGGGTTACTTGCAGGTTGGCCACCGAACGCAGAAGCTCCCGAACCAAATGCATTAGCTCCCGCGCCAAATCCCGATGGGGCAGGTTTGCTTCCGAAAGCACCTGCTCCCGAGCCAAAGGCTGTCGAGACCGGCTTGGCACCAAAAGTGGAGCTAGGCGAACCAAACGCGTTGGCAGTGCCAGTACCAAAAGCGCCCGCTCCAGAAGCTCCAAATTTGGGTTGTCCAAATGCCCCACTTATGCCTGACGATCCGAAACCTGGTTGACCAAAGGCTCCAGTGGCGGGTGGTGCGCTTGGTATTCCGAATGGCGCCTGTTGTGGTGCTATGGACGGCTGCTGACCAAAAGGATTCTGTGGGGTTGTAGTCGAGCCAAACAAATTTGATGTGCCCGCACTTGTGGCCTTGTTAGAGTACGAGGTACCGGTCAAGTCCAGTGGATGCTCTATAAAGCCTCTACTCAATGGTGTGCCACCTTCATGCATTTTCTCGGTCGCCAGTTGCAGAAACCTTGCAGCTTTTCGAGAATCTGCTGCCACGAAATTTCGACATTTTACTGAATCTGCGGCCCGCGCTTGCATTTGTGTTTCGTAGACCGGCAGTGAGTTCTGCAATTGCAATTGGTAGAATAAAAAACGGGATTCTTCTGCTGATAGGTCCCGATCTTGGATCAAATTCACTGCACAAGGGTTTCCCAGACTGTAGCTAGAGGTCAGAGGTTGGAATTTCAATTCTGAAGCCATCGTCATGTCATCCTCTACTTCCTTAGCGTATTTCCCCAGATTCGTGGCATTTATAAAGTTCTGGTACCGATCTAGACCGCTGTTATTCCCACCATTACCGTTGCCGTTGTTGTTCACGTAAACGTGGGCAAAATTGCAGCTATTTCCCTTCTTGCACCGACCCTGTTGGAAATATTTACACGGAGTCTTATTACGACCTCCAAAAGACATCGAGAAGAGTGCTTGATGCTATAAAAGTGTCTTCTAAGACACTGATGGTTGATTTAAATGAATATTTAAACATGTTAATTACATCTATTTAGATTTATAAATCTCAAAAATATTAAAACTTCAGTCCATCTCGTCAAGCAGAGATCTTCTAGCCTTTCAAACCATCAACTTTACTTATTATACGTTTGAAGGTGTTACAACAATGATATGATTTGCATCAATTGTTGCGGCGAGGTTGAATGTTTGTATGTGAGGTATTCAAATGACCATATTCGTCTTACAGACTGCCCCAATTGTCGAGACGTTGCCGATCGATATGTGGAAATAGACAACGTTTTACTGTTCATTGACCTGCTTCTGCTGAAGCCTGGAGCATACCGGCATCTGGTTTACAATTCGTTGGAACTAGAACTGTCGAAATTCCCCGGAACTGAACAAAATGGAGAGAACTCAAAGAATGGCTTCAAAAATGCCCTTTGGGCTCAAGCTCGTCGCTTGAAAAACTGGTTTGTGAAATTCGACAAGTTGAATCGGGTTTGGCTCATCATAACGGCCTTCGAGGTGTATCTGACGTGGGTTTCAGAGGAACGTCGTTTTCAGGCGCAAAAAACGGACTCAAGAGGACTATTAATGCGTCAAATATTGTCCAAAAGTGCTCTGGCTCAGTATCTTTATTTTACTGTCTATTGCGTTGTTGATTTCATGGTTCTGCACAATGTTGCCTATTTTTTGCTGGTCAGGCTCTTTAAGTGGGGCTGTCGCGTCAAATATGCCAAGTACGTCATATCTTACACCATTCTACTATCATATGGTGCGAAAATTTACCCGATACTGATGTTGATTTGGCCCTACGATACGATTTTGACCACGAGTATAATCAAGATCGTGGCCAACGTTTACATTGTGGAGGCCCTAAAAGTCGTCACGAATAGAAGCTATTTTGACATCATAGTCCTGTATTTTATGGTTTTTGTTGCTCGATCTCTCACCGTGAAACCTTTGCTTTCTCTACTGGTCACCAAAGGCAATTTTGCTCTATGCTTACACTACGCCAAGACAGAATTGCAACTCGTGCATCTTGATTTACTACCTAGTAGTTTTCGAAACGGATCTCCTGACTTGTAAATATCTTTATATTTTCTATTACTTCACAAGCGGTCTTTCTAATGGAGTGACCAGGTATGGGTATTCATAATTTCCGGTTCCCGCAATGTTGGAAACCGTGTCATTGTCTCGCTCGTATTCACGCATGGAGCTTAATGCAATAAAATTTGATAGAGGGAGGTAGTTCTTTTCGAAATCCCATAGAAAGCTGAGTGTGATCAATGGCAAAGGTGCCAAGCAACATGATAGTATCCACCCACCCTGGAATCCTGCCAGGGTACCAGCCATTGTTAGCTGAAACAGTAATAAGCCGAGAATAACTCTTCTGAAAATCAAAGGCCAGACTTTCCCGGTGGAATGAGGTAAATGGTCAGTGGCAAAGACCAATTGGTATTTGTAGACGTAAAACCCTATCACAAAGTAGGCTAGCCCAGAAGCGAGTATTTTCGTGCTCATTACACTGTAAATGAGCGTCACAATTAAAATAAGTATTGGTTGCGGCAACTGGAGACCAAAATTGAATATTGGAGGTTTCATCATTTCTTTCTCTTGTCTTGGCGTCTTGCACTTGATTTTGACAAAGGGGAACCCAATGAGGCTTCCTGCCAAAAGAAGCTTGAAAGGGAACATTCCGATGCCCTGAAGAATAATCAAATCGACATAAAATAACGAAAATTCTTTCACGGACGTTGCCAACTGATAGGCTATTTTTGTTGTATCGCTTAGGTAGCCCCAATAATTAGAAGCAGTACCTGCCAAGGTAAACACCAAAAACAAATTGACAAAAATGTAGAAAAAGTTCTTGGAAACCAGCGAGACCTCTTCTTCACTGTAAGACACGAGGCCCTGTCTAGATGTGAGAAACTCGTAAAAGTATGGAACCCCGATATTCAACAATGTGAATAAATATGTCGGTAGGAGACCTGTTACAAGGTTTTGTGCCCATTGTCTTTCTTTCAAAAACTTGCCAAGTTGAGGCCAGAATCTCGAAATGGACTTCAAATTCAGCAAAGTAGCCAGATAGGATACTGGAATTACGAGGAAAAAGCTGCAAAACCCAATGAAAATGGTTATTGACCACACTTTAGTCAATCTTTCTTTCCTCGATAGACAGACGTTGTCCCATTTGATGTCATGAGGCGCAGGGGCTAACCTGGTAATGAAGTAATGAACACGGGGATCAAGCACAGCTTGAGCCGCCATTTGAGCATTGGCAACCGAATCCATAGTGACGAAAGCAGTAGGCGTTGCTGGGTATGACTTCTTACGAGCCTCCACAATTTCATCGTCGATATATTTCAACTGCCTTTCCAAGTAATCTATGGCGTCCACACGCTCGCCAAAGAGTCCGAATAACCCAGTTCTGGTCTTTTGACGGCCCCGTAGCTGAATGTGGGAGTACAGACGGTTGGAGTCTGGTGCATCGGCATCTGGTAGTTCAGGTGAGTGATCTGCTGCCTGGTCTAAGTCGTCTCTTGATGAGTCGCTTCTTAGTCTGTAATTTTCATCAAAGTGTTCAACATCACGAAGAGACTCGGGACACCGGGCGTACTCGAGTTCCAGCTTTTCGAGTACCTTCTTTCGATAATGGAAAAGATTGTTGAGAGGACCCCACTCACGGCATATGCTAACGGACGCCACGCTTCCTATTTCTAGCTCTTCAATTCTTGCCTTCAACGCGGCAGCGTCCCTAAGTTCAACGGGAATTCCAGTAAGACGAATAGTTCTATCGGTAAGCGTGTTTTGCCGTCCTAAATAACGCTGACGGGTATTGACCACCACCTTAGTTTGCTCGATAAGAAGGTACAACGAAAGAAGCGTGAAGAAGCACGTGAAAACGACGTACATCCATAGATACAGCTCTGCTGTCTCTGGGCCCTGGCCGTCGCCAACATTGTCACCACTGTTATTGTACAATGCATTTTTAGCGCTCAAATAGCTCTCTTCGCCTCCGTCGTCGTACCTCCCCGTAAAATGATATCTAATTGGCGAAATAAGGCATACTGAGAATGCACAGCAGATCGCCAAAAGTTTGATGCACATTTTGAAAAACCCTAAAAACACGTAGGCGTCTAAACCAGCGCTTTCCAAAACCTGACTTTCGCTGATTTTGTATAAAACTGGAACCCATGCAAAAAGAGACGTGTCATCCCACGAGGGCAGTGATCCCTGAGACCGCCCCATTCTGCTCGCATACAGTTTTGGCAATTTCTTCAATAACATTGAGAATACAAGGAAAGCAAACAGTCCCAAAGAGCAAGCGATCAGCAGCTGAGTCGTGGCTACCCTAGTTGCCGGTTTTCTAAAATCAGGGCCCTCATGGTCCTTTTGTACCTTTTGAAGTTCGCCCAAGATGTGAGTAACATTCCAGAAAAGCCCCATCAACGCTGCAAAGTGATAGGATGTAGCTCAGGAGCGCTTCAAGTTTGAGCTTTAGCTTATGGTTTGGACATTTAGCTGTTTTCCCGTAACAGTCCGGTTCATATATATCATTTGATTTTCCGGGTAACGTGATTAGTTCTAACTCAAGCGCGCCAGTATTGAGCCAAATTGTGCAAACGATCAATGACAAGTGGCAGAAGGGCGTTAACGCTTGCGTTGATGAGGTTTTGGAAGTGAATGATGGCTTCTTCTTCCGACATGTCCAGACAGAATTTCTCTTTGACTTTTAGCATCGCTCCGTCAGGATCAATTTTAATATCAGGAATATCGGATGGCTTCATAAGTTCGAACAAGTTCAGTATCAGATTAGCATTTCTTCGTAGAATTGAGTAAGCAACGAAACAGTAGCTGCGAAATTTGTTGTAATTTTGAGAATCTGCGCCTCCGAAAGATTCGATAATTTGAGGTGGCAGTTTCATCAGTGGTGGAAACGGCTTGGGATCCTGACCCAGGATATAGCCAAAGTCAGCATGGAAAAAATGGCCATCAGGCGTCACCAGAAGATTGTCCAAATGACGATCTCCCACGCCCAAAATGTAGGTTATAACGCAGTACCCGGCACAGGACTTGACAAAATTATCAATTACCCAGTCTTGCACACCTAGCTCGTTCTCTGCGAGAGGATAGTGGGTGCGCAGGTACGGTAAGACGCCATGGTATTTGCTAAGAATACTAGCCAATGTGTCGTTTGGAATGAATTGAATAGCCCCCTCCTTGGAGCCCGTGGCCAAGATCTTGTATGGCGTCAACTTGAGGTCGACGTTTTCGTTTTTCAGAAGCTCATTCATCAAAGAGATAATTTGGACAACCAGCTGATCCTGTCTCAAATCATCGCCAACTTTGAACATTAAAGCGTACTCCTGGCCCTGTTGAGTCTCAAACACAATTTTAACCGGTGACAGGGAACTCTTGAAAACCTTACAGTCATGGGATATGACATCTGTGATGGTGAAATCGGGATCCAGTGGTAATTCCACAGGCGTTGATTTCAAAAATGGCCGAAGTTTTGAAGTTATAAGCTGCATTAGGAGCTCGAGCTTTTTTGGCGTGGTGTCCCGGAGATTTTTGATCTCCTGACAGAAACTTTCCAGCATAGAAATTAAAAAGGTCTGTTTCTTGAGCTTTTCACGTTTGTCACTCGGCAGACGACTCACAAAGCTGTCCAGGATATGAGTCAAATATTGATTTCCCTCGGATTCGGATTTCAAGTACCAGTAGAAGAAATTTCCAAGTCTGGAGTTAACTATGGCTCTTCGTATCAGAAATTCGGCAAGCGGAGATATGAGAATTGAGCTTTGTCCCATGGTTGAACTGTCGATGTCGTTGATTGAACCTGTTCCATTGTTGTGATCAAATTTTGAAGACGGCGGTGCAGCAGCCGCGCTTTGTGCGACATCAACAATCGTGAACTCACTTGCTGAATTGTCCGAAAGCGGTGAGGCGCTTTCAAAGCAGACCGCTTGTACCAACTGCAGGAGGTACAGTTCCAACTCATTGTCTGACGCCTTTTTAAGCCTGTTTACGGCATACGACCGCAGAGACAAGTTTTTGTAGGCAGACCGTAGGAGCTCAATGGCGTCTTCGATGTCTATTTCTGCCCATGAATCCACTAGTTCCAAAACCTCTTTTCGCTCGCTTTCCTCTGTGAGATTGGTACTCTGCAAAAGCTTGGTCAGAGCTTTTTTGTTATTCATCAGGTAGTAGCGATACTTCCAGACTAGTCCCTTTTCATGAGCCGTTAAATCACTGCCAGGTGGGTATGATATAATTTTATTCAGGGCGTCGCGCTTCTTTGCATCGGGTTTGAGCTCCTTGTCAAGGCTAGCATTAGTCGTGGCTCTTTCTAGACGTCTGTACTTCTCCTCAATGGGATCCGCACAGAACTGATCGGGGTCGTAAAACTTCAAAGTAGAGTCTACAGCGCTGCCCAACGAAATCTTAGCCTGAAGTTCGTGACGTGAGATTTGTACGTCGTTGTTCATGTCAAAATTATGATACGTGGGGATTTTTTCTTGGACATTACTAGCATGATTCTCGGAAAACACGACAGGAAGGTCAAATAGCGGATACTCGATGTTTAGCACAAAAACACCTTGTGGTAGTTTTCGTTTCTTACTGCTTTTGCTTAATTGTTGAAATGTGATCTCATCCAACCATGGAACTGGCTTTATGTCACCTTGTTTATGTTTGTTTATCAGCTCTTGGACGTCGCTAGTCTCAACTGTACCACTATCAGGGTCATCATATCGAAACCTGATCGACTCTATCCCCCTCTTCAAAGTTCGACTGTTTTCATCAAACAGCGGGGTCTCCAGAGAGAAGAATTCCACCTCTTTATCACCGTTAAATTCCCAAAGTACGATGTTGAGCATGCTATGCGACGTCAGTTGTTCGAGCGTAATTGGGAGTGTCAACCAAACGTCCCATTTTCGAAGATTCTTGAAAGGAATGTAAGGCGTATAAACAGGAATAGTCAGATTTCTTCGTCTCTCGCTGTCAAACACCTGCACCGAAACAAACATGTCACTGTTTGGAACTACGTCTGATGTCCTCTGCGTTAGTGAGGGTTCTGTGAGCTTTTGAGAAGCCCTTAATAAGGGTTTTGATCCCTCTAAAGAGTCGATTTTTATCTGCAACGGTAATGCCACTTCATTGGATACGCAGAATGTGACACTGTTGATGGACATCAGAGCTCAATGGGGCCATCAACAAGACTGGGTTTGGTCAAAGTTAGCCCTACTTCTGAAATAGAGCTTAGATAGGATCGTTATCTACGTTTGATTTTGGACGTTGAACGGACCTTGAGATGATGAGATGCCCTTCGCGAAAGACAAGTAGCCCAGCGTTGTCGCTTAATCCCTGCAGTGTATATTCACGCTATATCTACATGCTATGTACAATAATTAAATCTGTGTCCAAAGCTCCCAGGGGGCACGCCTTGAATTTACAAATCTGAAATTCAAGTTAGTCTAACCTGGGGTTGTGGCCTCTGTCGGAGGACCGAGACTGTCTATCATTGAACCCTCTACTATCCCTTTTAGAGTCCCAACGTCCGCGAGTGTCTCTGTAGCTTTTACCACGAGATTCGTAATGGCTACGAGTAGAATTTCTCTTTCCTTCGTGATCATCGTTGTAATCTCTTTGGAATGACCGTGGGGCCCCAGAGTCAAAAATTTCCTCGACTATTCTACCTCTCAAGCCATATCTCATGCTAGCAGTTTCTCTACTCACTTGGAGCTTTTGGCTAGGGTCGAGTAAACATTCTCCGTAGGCATTGGCAAGCTGGCGGGCCACCTTAGGCATACGGAAGCCGTACTGCTGTTCACAACCCTTATAGAACGAAAGCATGGACTCCAAACCGTCTCTGAAAAGATACTCATCCCGCAAGCAACGTTTAAACTCAGCTGCGTCTGTCTCTTCAGGAGCAAAGTCCCGCTGGTTGGCAACATTCACACCCTTCTCGGCTGCCAAAGTGTCAATAAACGAAAGCTCATCTTTGAAGAGGTAAATCGAAGCCTTACCTTCCTTTCCACCTCTAGCGGTTCTTCCGATACGATGAATGTAATTAGAGATCTCCGATGGAACTCCTAACTGATATACTTCTTCGACATCTGGGAAATCCATACCACGAGCCCCAACGTCTGTGCAAACGAAAAGTCCCTCATCTGCGCGCTTAAAAAGCTGTACCATTCTGGTTCTCTTCTTCTGGTCCACTTTGCCGTGAAATTCGTAAACGGGCAAAGATGGGAACATTCTCTCTAGTACGTTGCAGTAGAACTTGGTGAACTTAACGGTAGGTACAAAGAGAATGGCCTTGAAAGGAGCTTTGTCCGCTAGACGAGCTTTGATCGCGGAAATGGGACCATACAGGTTGTGGGCAAATGTATCTGAAATAACCAAGGTCTGCTCAATTTTCTCGTGCGCCTCGGGTTCGTTCTTGTCCACAGTATCCAAGAAAAGACACTGTTCACGGTTCATGATGCCGCCTGCCAACTTTTGTACGTTTTCGCCCAACGTAGCAGAAAATAACAAAGTTCTGATGTGTTTTGGACCAGTCCCATTCAGACCATTCAGAGTCTTGGAAATGTCGCGTAAGTCGTCGTCAAATCCGATTTCCAGCAATCTGTCTGCCTCATCTAGCACTTTGAAATCGACAAACCGGAAAAACTCGTTGGAAAACTTGGACAGAACGTCGATGAGGCGGCCAGGGGTCGCCACGACGATGTTGGGCCGGTCTTTGAACATTCTTTTGATGGCCATTTGGAAGTTGCTGCCCCCAATAAGAGCGATGGAACTGAATTTTTTCAAAGCGTAGTTATTTTTCTGGAGTTTGACGATTTCGGAGTCGATCTGCAGCGCCAGGTCTCGCGTTGGGGCCACAATCACACACTTCACCATGTACGGAGACTCTTTGCGCGTTTTGAGAAGGTGCTCGAAAATGGGGATAAGAAACGCCAGGGTTTTGCCCGTACCGGTTTTGGCCCGCGCGATCACGTCGTGTTCCGTGGACAAAATTGGTTTAATGGTTTTCTGCTGCACGGGAGTCAAGCTCGCAAAGTTCATACGGGCCACGGCCTTGTGCAAGTCTTTGTCGAGAAAGCCCTCTTCCTTGAGCGCGTCGATGGTGATTTCCTGAGGGTTTTCCTCTAGCGGCACCTGGATGATGTTGCTGATTCTGGACGAGCTCAGTAGCGAGTCTGCCTCGTCGCGAGGACTGTCCACACCGCGTCCACGTCTTTTGTCAAAGCCCTTTTGGAATCCACCTCTGGAACCACCTCTGGAACCACCTCTAAATCCGCCTCTTGATCCACCGTTGCCGTAACCGCCATGGCCTCTGGACCCGTTTCTGTCTCCACGTCCCTCGTAAAAGCTTCGTGCACCTACTTTCAGGCCACTCCTCCCACAGACAGTGTCAAATACGCTAGTTGCGCGGCTGCCACTTCGCAGCGCCAGCGTTCTTGCAATCGCGTTTCGCGCTACAAGAGTCGCCATCTTCTGCTTTAAAAAATGTAAAGCTCAGTGATCAACCTACGATAGTGTCTATCACTAATGTATGACACCACCTTTCAGAACAGCTCATCTTCTCATAAACTCTTGATCATCGCTCTTCTTTATATACAATTTTTCACATATTTAATATCACAGTTCACGAAGGCTTTTTTGGTGAAAAAGTTAAGAAACTTGAACTTTCGTCTTTTTAACGTATATATCTATAAATTTGACTAAATCTTGAAGACAGCTTTAGCTCCTAAGGCCCGTGTCTATCAAGCATTTCACAGCTTTTGACGAGTATATAAAGAACTCGGGCTCTTTGAGTGCTTTGTAGAAGAAGCTCGAGTCACTTGTTACAATGTCTGGAAGTCCGATCCCGCAGCTAGTAAATATTTCGCACGCTTTGCAGTCTTCGTTCGTGCAAAAACTGCGTTCTGAGGTCAAAGCGTTCTCAGAGACGCCGCGACTGACGGAGCAGCAAACGGAGCAAATCGACCAGTATATCACGTCGCTGGAAACCGCGTTTGCGGAGTTCACGCGGGACAACGAGCACATCGAACGTAGAGAGGCCCACGTCACCGCAGCTGACGTGCAGCTGTACAGCGGGCTCAAAACCATGTATGCAGACTACCTGTCACAACTTGTAAAACTCAAGCAGCGCAGCGTGAGCCAGGAGGAGCATGTCAGCGGCGAATGTCCCGTGGACTACGTGTGCGACGAACTGCCCTACAAGCAGCCCAGCGAGCGCAAGGCGTACGTCGACAAGCTGTTGGCCGAGTCCGGCCCAGATTCGTACGCCAATGCGACCCAGCTCGCGAAAAACGACCAGCTACTCGACGGAATCACCAATCTGGCCGTCCTGGACTCCACAATCGCTGCCAACATACAGGCGTATTCCGCCCTGCTGCGCAAAATCGGGTTCTCCGAAACTGAGATCAGCTCTCACATGCCACATTACGGGAACGGCCACAGCGCTCCTGAAAACAGCGTTACAACAAAAATCGAGCCCTCCTCGGTTCCCTCGTCCCTCGCAAGCAAGGCTCAAGAAACCACACCCAATACCGTGCCTGAACCGTCCAAGAAGAAAATATCGTTTTCCAAATACCTGAAAAAGGGCGACTACAACGACACTACGCTTAAGCGTGGGTCTGAAGAAGACGGCGGCAGTAGTAGTCCATCCACTACCAAACGTTTGAAAACCGAAGATTCCCCCACTGCAGCTTCGAACTCAGCAATAGCATCCATTTTGAAATCACATTCTAACAAGAAGAAACGAAATCCCATACGATTTGTCAGTGATGAAAAGCTTTTAACAGTATATGGTGATGAGCTCCCCACAAAAGGTCTTATTGTGTCTCCCAGCAAGCTGAAAAAAGTGCTGAAACCTTTCAAAGATGGCGAGCCTCGAGAAATCACGTATTCTGCATGGAATGGTCAAAAAGTTCAAGAACTGTCGTTTCCAAAACCCAACCAAGATTCCGATATAGTTGACACCCGGGGCGGGCTAGTACCGTGTGAGACGCGTGTTCCATTAGGATATCGACTGAATTTCACCACGTTTAGCAAAGCTCTGACAAAAATGCCCTCAGAGCCCACAGAGCTTGACGACACCGATCCAAGTCTATCCCAGAAGCCTTTGATCGTGCGTGCTTTTGGTAAGAACTGTCTACTTCTGCAAAAAGATCGCGGTGGCATACCTTACAAAAGAGTACCGGAAGTCGGTGTAAACGATTATCCCATAAGGCCAGCGTCAACATGACCAGTACTAGCTTACAAAGACGTATGTAACATTAGACTAGAGAAAATTCACAATTGAATCTATCGATGCGATGAAATGGTTACAAGCTAAACTCGGTGACAATGCTAATGATAATGATATAGTTAGATACTCATGGATAGCAAATGGTAGATGTGGAATGCAGTATTTCGGTACTAAGTTGAGCGAAGACGCTTGATCATCACAACGGCAAGAGCGCTCACCATGGCAAAGGGTGGGAAGTATTCCAAAATGGTTCTGGTCCATGTGGGTCTTATTTTCGCGACCAAAGATTGGACCTGTCCAAATAGCGCCTCCGGGGTGCCATTGTTCTCCAAAACATAATCTGAGCGCCGCGTTCTTTCCTTGTGGGTCATTTGCGCCTTGATGCGGTTTTCTGCTTCTTCGGTCGACAATGCAGGATTCCGAGACCGTATTCTTTCAATTTGAGTGCTTTGGTCGCATATTACAGTCACCGTAACTCCACAGAACTTGTTCAAACCGCTTTCGAAGAGAAGAGGAACATCCAAGACGCACATTTTCTTGCCCTTGACATACCAAAACAAAATCTGTTTGAAAATTTCAAAGCGCACTGCGGGGTGCGTAATGCCGTTAAGTACTTTGAGATCGGCATGGTTTGCAAACACATGTTTCCCCAGAGCTGCTCTGTTCAAAGTCTTATCATTAAGGACCAGATCTGGAACTTTATCGCCAAAATAACGAACAATACGGTTGTAGGCATCGCAATTTGGCTCAACAATTTCCCTTGCCACCTTATCAGCGTCGATAATTGGTATTTTATAGCTCTTTTCTAGTCTCTCTGAAACCGTGGACTTCCCACATGCAATGCCTCCTGTCAAACCGATTATAAGCATGTTATTTAAGAGTGCGAGGGGTGTTTTAAAAGCGTTGTGAGTGTCTCAACAAGTAGAACAGTCGGATCAACGCTAGTTGGGGCAGCAGAATGCTCGAGCGTCACAGGTCTCACAGCTTGTTTCGCGTCCTGTTCTTGATATTTAAAATATGATTGTTACTCAACCATACGCGTAAATTAACAGGCATCATGGTCACGTGTTTTTGGCTCATAACAAACAGCGATATGAAATCGATCATGATCGTAGCATTGAAGGAGCTCGACTTAATTTAGAGGCTACCATCTGATCAGCATCTACAAGTGTACTTTCTCCGGAAAGGCAGACTCAAACTTCCATTCCTCGAGCAGATCACGTGACTATCATCTGTTGATAGCTGGGAAGACAAGTTTCAGCTGGAACCAAGACCCCTTACAAGTGTTTAACTATCACTAAAGGTCTTCCAATGTGCTAATTGACATAGTGTTCCAGCGTCAAATGTGAGAGATGCATGCTAAGAATTCAATTAAAACACGGGGCATCTGCACTGATCTTCGAATCACTAAATACGAATAAAGCACATTTCCTAAAACTAGAAGTATTTCTCCACGTATACATGTATATACATGTGCAGTACATCAAAAGCTGTGTTCATCGCATAAAAACCACACCGATATAACATCCTGAGCATGGTATGAGCGCTTCACGAGTGTACGCTCTGGGGAGTTCGCCCTCTGTGTACTTGATGTGTCACGAAATAGCTTCTCTGAGCTTCCAACCGCGAGTTCCAGAGCTCGTCCTGCTACTTCAAGACCAGAAGAAACTGAACAGATTTTTGGACAATGAGTCTAGATTGGTGATAGAAAAGCCCAAAGGGGGCTACAAAGGCTCGCATCAGTATATGGCTTCGTGCTCACCACCCAAATTTGCATCTGGAGAGGTCGCAAAAGTCGACAATTTGATAGTCGGAGAGAAAAAACCGCGATCGTTTGCACAAGCGCTCAAAAAATACTCCGAATCAATCCACACCGATACAAATGTGCTTCTTCTAAATCCAACGGTGGGTCTGGTGGATGTTTTGCGCAAAAAAGTCTGGCAAGAGCGAGGTATGTGTCCTAATCTATTTATTGGAATGACAAACGAACGACACATTTCTAGGCCTAGTGAGTTTACAGCTCAGCTTTCAAGCTACAAAAACTCTCTTCAGATCTGCGCTGTACCGAAAACACACAATAACTACTCATATGAGCAGGATGTGCAAAACGCCAAAGAAATGGCAAACACTAACAATTTGCTGAGGCTTTTCAAGTCCGTCAACGAGGAGGAGTCGGGATCTGTGCTCGGCGTCATGAATAGATCTTATGGTGACCTCTTATTGTACAGGTATGAAGAGCTGATAATACAATCCTGCGTGCTTCCCATCACGGCGTTGTACGGTCTCCGCTTTCACGATCTCAAAGCCTCGCATGACTTGCTCAAGATGGTACGAGCGCTCATAGCAGAGTTCACTCATACAATTAAAACCACAGATAAATTTGTGAGCCAAATACCGCCTGCGGAAGGTGCGTTGAACAATGATCGACTGGTAGCCTCTGTATCACGTGCCCTTAATAGGGATAGGCGAAGAATACTCAATGAAATGAACGTTCACGATATTAACCAATTTAACGGTTTTTTTGCATTAAAGGCTAGAAAGCACAACATCAAGTGTCTTTTCAACGACACGGTGATGACTTGCGCCAAAGCTAAACTCAGTTTGACACGTCAAGCGAAGTTGGATTACAGATCATTGTAATGTTAGAAGAACTTCTATTATCTGAGATACATGATCTGGTACGCTTCATATACGAGAATTGAGACAAGTGCTGGGCCAGAAAGTTTCATGTCATCTCTGCCATATGACGTTGCAAAATCATTTGATAGCCTTGATAGATATTCAAAATATTATTTGCACATAGTTGATCAACATTGGCCATTTTTTTGATTGTCTCTATCCTGGCTTTGATTTGTTGCGCCAGGTCAAGCATAAAGCTTTTCAGTAAGATCTTCATGGCGGGATCAAATGAGGCCTCCGTCAAATAACCCAACATGAATTTTTCCACTTTCTTTAAATCTGGACATACTTTTGCAGCTATTGCGACTAGAAGACGATAGCTGATGTCGCTTCCAGATATGGTGTACTCGCCCCAGAAATCATGCTTTCGCAGAAAATCTTGGATCGGTAGTTCCTTGATTATAGATTCGCAATGAGCAGAAACGTCGATGTAGTTCCACTTATTTTCCGCCAGCACAAAGCCATATTCATTCAGCAGAAAATCGTTAGAGTGCGCCCCGTAGCTTAACAAAATTTCTTCCCCAGGTTGCGAATATTGGTGGCTTCCTCCCACTATGCTGAAAGCCCCCAGTCCATACTTGCCTTTCTTCATCCTATTAATCTGAGGTGAACAGTATATTTCCGAATCAGCATTATGATTTAGAAAGTCCACATACGGAACAAGCGTGAAATTGTCATGAATGCTGTCTTTGAGAGGAATCTGTATATACAGGCATCTTGAATTAACCACGAAATAAATGTGTAGGAAATGCATGTACAAAGTTGCAAGCGTCAGAGAAACATTGCTGTCTTCGAATGCGTTGCACCATTGCTTGACGATAGGCTCGATCACTGACCAGTCATTCCTGACTTGAGCCGCTATCCTTTCGGCATGGACTCTGGACGCCATTGGTAAACATTCAAACAACGGTTGGTTAGTTTCTTCAGTGCCAAGCATCCAAAGAGCTGGAATCGCTTCGAGTTCATTTAAAGTTGGAAACACATCAAAGAACGGCTTCCAGAAGGATTGCGCGGTATTCCAATGTGGTAGTATCTTCCATTCAAATAGTATGTATACACACAGGAGCTGGAAAGAGCTCAAGCTGTGTACCAACTCGTTGCTAAGAATTTCATACATTTGGAATCGTGGATCTACCTCATCACTCGGTGCTATGGTCGAGTCTTGACAGGTGACGCCGTCAAAAGACAACTTCGGATTAAATTGAGAAATGTGATACACTGCCGTGTGGAAATTCAGCTGGCATTCGCTCGGTATTGTCATCAAAACTTCATTTCTGCTAATTTTCCCAGTTTTCAGATATAGTCCTCTTCCTGACTTTTGAGTGTCTTGGAGAATGACACGATCACTCAATGTAAAATCGCCGTTTGTTTTCAACCATTTTTCCAAGTTCTGAAGTTTGACATTCCAGTTTGATTGATGCTGTCCACCGGGTTCGAACGGGCTCATTATCAATACAGTGGAGCAGCTTTACTGGCTCATCGCTTAAAATGTAGCGAAAACTTTCTGATTCTAAAAATCATTGAAAAACTGACATCTTGAAAATATAACGATGGAACTACTTCGACAAGGGCATAGAGATCTTGTCTGTCGCCTGTCATGGCGGCGACTATTTATGTTGAGACTTAATAGTACATGTTCTGCCACCTCGACGACGTTTCCCATCGAGGACTCTTCACAAGTGCTAAGACATCTACAATTCACGAAACCACTTCCCTTCGAAAAGGGCAGCAGAATCCAAGAAAGTTTTGTGAGGGCTCAATTGGACATGAAACACTTGCAATCGAAAATCTATAGAAAATTGCGGCAATTAGAATCGGAACATCCGGGCACCACGCTCAATCATCATGAAGAATGGATTTTGAAGAATATCTCGAACATGAAGCCCCATCCCATGGTCCTTACATTCGAATTTGAGCCCACTTACACGGGTGGTAAACGTAGTAAGAAGGCTTTGAGCCCAGAAGATATTGCCAAATTCGAGAATTTTGTGCCACAGTCCCAGGGCGACCATCTGCGCCCGAAGTTTGTTCAGGCAGAAAGAGGTGGACAAGTCACATTTCATGGACCTGGGCAGGTGGTGGCCTACTTGATTCTAGACCTTAAATCATTCGACCATTTTCCTGCCAAATGTCTGGTGTCAGCAGTTGAGGACTCTACGATCAGCGCTTTAAAAAAGACCACGAATAGTAGCGATGGCTCTACGCTGGGGATCGAGGCTTGCAAAACACCGGAAACCGGCGTTTGGATCAATGAACAGGAAAAGATTGCTAGCATAGGGATCCACGTCAGAAGGTCGATTACATCTCATGGGGTTTGCATAAACGTTAGTCCCGATTTGTCTTACATGAATTCATTCGTTATGTGCGGCCTACACGGAACCAGGGCCACTTCCATTCACGAGCAGAATCCAAAAAGTGGCTGCACAACTCAGGACTTAGCAGTCGGGTTTGTCAACGAGCTCTCGAAGAAGCTAGGCATTACAACCGTGGAGAGGGTTCAACTAGAAGATATAGATTTAGACTAACGGTATAATTACAAAGTAGTCATTTTTTTGAGCTATACTGAAACGCTGCGGCAACTATTCCTATTGTGAAGGCACTTAATAGTATCGTGGATCTGTTCTTCTTTATACCGGTGTCTTCCGATATACTATCAGCTTTGTTCAAGGTCTGTCCTTCCCGTGAGCGCCTTGTAGAGTTTCTTATTTCCTCATTGCTTTTTCGCAGTTGGGCATTCTTGAACTTCTCTACCTCTAGTCTAGTGTTCAGGTCTTCAATTTCTCGTTTTAAGCCTGTGATTTCATCGGATTCGTGCTTTTCCGTTTCTTCTAATTGGTTTCGTAGATTCGCGTTTTCTCGTTCAATCTTGTTCAGCCGCTCGACGTGGACTTGAATTGAGGCATCATGTTTGTCATTAAGTTTTTGCTTGAGGGCATTTTGCAATTGTACCAATTGCATGTCGTTATTCTCGACTCGCAGCTTGTTGATGTGTTCTAAGCTGGTAGAGAATTGAACCAGAAATCTCTCTATGGATTTCATTTTCTCGTATTCGTGCCTTTCCAATGATATTTCAGTCACCAGCGTCTTTATGACGTTTATGAGATTTGGGCTAGTGCCAATGGAATTGTTGATGAATATACCGCTCAAAATCTCAGTTTCCGATCCTAACAGTGATCCCTCCAAGTCAAGATTGTTAACATCACCAAACATCGCTGCTGCAAATGCAGCTCGCTGAGCGTTGGGTGCCACAAATTTATTATTTGCAAAAGAGGATCCATTAGATGAGGTCCCTTTCGTATTGTCAATCCCACTAAAAAACACATCATCGTCGTGTATCAGTGGAATGACGGAAATATCCTCTACCAATGCACTGATCTTCCGGTGTTCAAATTTTGCGTCAATATCTGTGCCCAGATCAATAATATCCCCCACCTGGAGTTCAACGTCGTTTTGCGTAATTCGAGCACCGTTCACAAAAGTTCCGTTTGAGGACTTTAGATCCCTTATGTAGATTTTCCCAGAGAAGGGCTCGCAACTGAGAGAGGCATGATTTCTGGACAAAACTCTTGAGTCAAAATTACCGTTATCCGGTCTTACTTGCGATTGTAGATCTTGTTTCGCGCCCTGAGGCAGTGTAGAGTTGGCGATTGGTCTTCCTAATTTCAAGCCGTCTGGTTTGAACGGTACGACCAGGATTTTGGTCTCAAATGTGTTATTCAGCGATTTGAGGATTGTAATATGTGTGTACTTGTTTCTAGGAGTCGCATTGGGTGTCATCAGGTCCGATGTCAATCCAGAACTCGATGACCCTTCACTGCTCGAGTTCGCTCTCGAGCGGGTCCGGACCGGCTGTTTGGAGTCCTTGCTTGCAGTCTTCAGAGACGACGACTGCCCTCCTTCCTTGTCATGAGCGACTGGTGGCATTGATGTATCGAAACGGATGAGTTCTTAAACTTCAACAATCTTTCAGTAAGATTGATATGTTAAATTAACAAGTTTGGAATATTTACCATACAAAGAGCTCAAACTTAGGAAGGAATACGTAGCTGTAGATGGCCGATAGTCTCTCACAATGCGTTGATTCTTTGCAATCAAGTTTACAGTGTTTGGAAAAGACAGTCTCGAAGCTCAACAACGAATCTAAGACCAGCAATTATTTGACCAAGAGCCTTCTGCAATCACGAAGGGTGTTCGAGCTTGTGCCAGAATATGACGTCCAGAGGGCCAAACTAGATCTTATTGAGGAAATTGAACCGCTGGTGAACAATTTGAGTGGCAAAGTGTCGAAAAACCTGTCTAGACTGGAGAGAGAACGCGATAACTTGCAACAAACACTTGAGTTGAATGTTTTAAGATTGAAAAACCGATTCAGTGGCGAGGATTTGTTTGACGAAGATGCAGGATCGGACGTGGTTTTTATGACATCGTCAACGGCAGAAGAACTAGACCAATTGAAGGAACTGAAGGCTCAAAAGTCGCAATTGTTGGAAAGAATACGCGCTTTGGAGAAAAATACGTAAAGGGGCGGAAGAAACACTTTTACATTTGATGCTTCAGGCTGTGAAGCTATAGCTATAAACCGCTGGAAAGCGTGGTCAAGGCGAAAATAGTTTCTGCTGTCTGGTTTCGTCACATTCGATTCGATATACACCTTGGGCTTCTCATATGAGGGTTAAATTGGTGTAGTAATTGCTTACGCAGTTTTCAAGCGCACTCAGCTTCGACGTAATGCTTATTAGGCTCGGGTCGCTAGTCGCAATTGACAGTTTCTCGCACTCGGAGACCAATCCTGACTCGAAAGTCACACAGCGTGCCAGCACGTTTTGCGCTTCCTCCAGGGTCGTGCTTATGTGTGAATTTTTGTGAGCAAACACATTTCTGAGAAGCGAGGGCTCTTCTATTTCCAGACCTTCTTCCTGCAGAACGTCACTGACTTTCTTGCCGCGTTGCGCCTTCAATTTGTCACGCACTTTGTCGGTGAACGTCTTCCCCGTTTTTGCGTCGAAATCACACCAGGGCCTGGTAGTAATCTTCTTCAAGTTGCGGAAGTCCATGCTGATCTCGTTGCGCAAAATAACGAGGTCGATATTCAAGATGTGATGCGCGGTCTGAAACGGCATTTCGCAATTGGCAAACAATTGGTTGAGCACTGCATTCCCGTTGTACGGGAAAAGAAGGCCCTGCGGCGGGAAATGCAGCAGATTGATGGATTTGGACAGCAAATCCAGCACTTTGACCAGGTCTTCCACAAACCGACTCGCATCCTCACACTGCTGCAGCACGTCTAGCAAATCAGAGACTGCCGTCAGATTTTCTGTTATAGTATCGATTTGTTTCAGGGGATACGGTCTACTGGTGTCCATTTTGAATGCGGACTGTCTGCCACGATTAAAGTTCTTGAACTTGACGATCAATCGGTAGTCCGTTATAAATCCACGGTTTCTAGTGAGAATTCCTCGTACGTATGAGGAGTTCGGCTCGCTGGGAGCTCCACTGCTGATTGGCATTTTAAAATTTTCGTCGCTTGTCAACAATTCCAGACATTTATCGACGTTGTCTATAATGTTGGGCAGTTCAGGTTTGATTATCTCGTTGATCAACCATTTCCGTTCACCTTCTTCGTCTTGTGGTTTAGCTTCGCCAAAATAGTCTCCAGGATAAAGTCTCGTAGTCATTGAGCACACAGTATTTATCTGATGATGAACATGAGGTTGATCAAAGCTTCTATAGCTCAGTTTTCTAGGTTTTATATTAACTAGTTGTGATGTTGAATATTTAAGATTGACAATTGTCAAGTTATCCAGCAAACAATCCATGAACAACTGATGAACCAATGCTTAAGAGGGCTACAATACGTCATTTAAGCTCACCAAGGCTTCTCCAGAGTCGTCAGTTTGTTGTGGCTAGTGCTTTAACTGTTGCAGGCTTCATTTTTGGCCGCGATGCCCGTCTAGCAGATGCTATGGACAGGGGCGAACTGCACAACAAGAACAATAGCCTGGAAGTGCCAAAATATAACTCAATCGCAGACTCGCGTCCTATGAAACCAAACTACAAGGGCCATGTTCCGCTATACCCCCACGAAAGAGTGTTATTGTTTTTGATTTCAGGTCTCAAGTCGTATTTCCATCCTGAGGACGGCGAAAACATCGTACAACTGGGAGAAGCGTCCGCTTTTACGTTCTTTTTGGAAAACTTGCAGCAGGTTATGCTCTCGGACAAGACTGGGCGGCGAATTCTGCGAGAACAGCCCGATATCACATCGGAAAGTCTGGATATGGACCGGTTGCGGAAAATGGCCCCCAACACGCTGGGCTACAACTACTACAAATGGCTCATGAAGGAAGGTGTGTCTCCTGATACCAGGGCACCTGTCAAATATATCAATGATCCCTTACATGCGTACATTTTCAAGCGGTACCGTCAATGTCATGATTTCTACCATGCAATCAACGATCTTCCGATTATAATTGAGGGCGAAATCGCAGTCAAGGCCCTGGAAGCAGCCAATATTGGGGTTCCTATGGCTGCACTGGGGGCTCTACTAGCGCCTTTGCGACTCAAGCCAGTTCAAAAAGACCGTTTGTATAACGTCTACTTGCCCTGGGCGATCAAAAGCGGCCTGAGCTCCAAACCATTGATAAACGTTTACTGGGAAGAACTGCTCGAGCACGACTTGGAAGACATTCGCAAGAACTTGCATCTTTCGCCGCCTCCGGACCTCAGAAAAATTAGGCAAGAGAGGGCCCAGCAGCGTGAGCAGTTCAAGTTGAAATACGAGAAACATGAGCTTTAATCAGAATGAGATCTGTTGACAAAAACTTGTCTTGATCTTTATATTATGTCTATCTATTATTAAAAAGTGTGTCCAAACTCCTGTGTGGTTTTATTTCTGCTTCTCGAGCACTTCATGCTCTGATTCTATTTCGGCACCGGTGCAAGAACTTGATTCTTCCGAGCGTCTTGGTACCTCATTCTTTTGGTAGTTGTACTCGTCGACTTCGTCGAAGTGTAGCTCTGAGAACGGAATCATGTTCTTTCTTCTGGCTTCTTCTTCCGAGAAGGAATTGTAGTAGTCCTTGTCGTCCTGCTTGATGTTGATCTTTACTGGGAAGATCAGACACAGGATCCAGTAAGTGAAGAATGAGATCAAAAAAGAAGTGAAAGAGTCTGCCAAGTAGAAATTGAGGATACCTTGGCTGACTGTGATATTAGTGTTAGCCTCGGCAGCCAAACCTGGTAGACCCGGCGTCATACCGCACACGAAGGCCAACATAGCACGCCAGTTGACACCCCAAGTGTAGTAGTATTCACCATGGAGCACAAACGCTTGCGAGACGGAGTAGTTGCGCTTTCTAACCAAGAAGTTGTCGCAGATCATAATGGAGATGATTGGAGTCATGATAACACCAAAAGAGTAGGCGACTGTCAAAAAGGTGGAAGAAGAGTTGTAGAAGTTCCAAGGCTGGATAGCAATACTGAGTAGGGCGCAGAGAAGGGCACCTCTGAAGATGTTGACGTATTTGGGCAAAACACCACTCAAATCCATACCAGCGGCAAACCCACAGTTGGAGATAGTGTAGGAGATCTGGGAACAGAGGAAAGCCAATCCACAGAAAAAGGTGGCCGCTCTGGCACCTGAGGAGTAGCCGTCGTTTAGCCAATAGTTGCAGATGTCCATGGGCATCCAGAATGGCTCTCCGTAGAGTTCGTTCGACGTGGAGGCGCCAATGACACCGTAAACTGGGATCAGAGTGGTTGGAATGAGCAATGCCAGAATGGTACCGACGTAGACGGCGGTTTTTGAGGAGGCGAACCTGGAGAAATCACTTTGGTTGGTGGAACCGGGCGAGACGGAGCCAAACCAGTACGAGATCATGTACACCCAGGCCCAAGCACGTTCCGAGCCGTGGATTGTAGTTTTGGTGCTCTTGAAGTAGTCCCCGACGCCGCCGTTTTGGTGGCACAGATAAATGACCATCCCGGTCATAGCGGCGCAGGTGGCGCAACAGGACGCGATCAAGAAGTAGTTCATCTTGTAGGGTTTCATGAGATAGAAGAACGAGGCGATGACGTGGAACAGCATGAACCCGATCACCTCTTTGGTGGTCATTGCGACGTTGGACGACAGCGTGTTGGGAAGCGTCAAGTAGTGGTGGGACCACGAGTCCAGGATCATGTTGACACAGAGACCTCCGAGCCACGCGTTGGACCCGTAGTTGACAATACTCATCAGGAACCGCACCAGGATGCCAAGCCCGGAGCCGTAGATTCCAAACACAAAACGCGACGAGATCGTGAAGCCGACTTTCCAGTCCGTTCCGTGGTACGAGTTGGCCAGCGTGAAGATGATGGTGACGACATCACCGATGATAAAGGTTCCGATGGTTTCCGGGTACGACAAATTGGCATCCAGCGCTGCGTTGGCACTGATCCAGGTGCCCACGCTGAACGAGATAATTCCCCAGTACGCCATGTTGGACATCCAGCCCCTGTTTCAAAAACCTGATGTTAGTATTCAAATTCAGCCCTGAGTATGCGGTTTTCACGGTTTTCACCGTTTTTACCGTTTTTACCGTCTGTTTCAACATACCAGGTCTGTTCTTGCACTGGGATAGGCTGCAGGTCCGGGTTCTTCAACACACTCAGCGTGTGTCTTTCCTTGACGGGGACCTCCAAGTAAGTGAGACACCGCGACACACCTCTCTTGAAGGCGCCGCGAGGTTTTCCCTGACCGACACTTTCGCTCGACATGACGATGTGTTGCGTTGAGATGTTAATTAAAAATCTACTACTAGTGTAACTAGTGTCTAAAGCCCTGTGCTGAGACGATTAAAGTTCACCGAAAAAAAAATCTCTTGTCCACCACTATGCGATGCGATGAGCTTGTATTTATATGGCTCTTGGCACATCCTCAAAACCTTGAACCGTTGGGGAAAGATTGTTCCTAGATAACTGGCGATTTTTTGCAGAGCTACGAGACCCATAGCTTATAGGTAACTGAAAGCAGTTATATGCGGTTATGGGCATCGCCGAGCTATGAATTAATACACACAGAAAGTTCATGAAGGTTAAAAAATTGTCGGTCTTGGCACGGCGTCATAGAGCACCAGTGAGTCGGGCGGGCGAGCTCGCTCAGGGTTCTCGTTGGGACGACTGGTTGCTAGTGAGAAATTCTGGCACGGTTGTGTGGCGTGGTGGTGAATTTTAGAGGTCAGAGTTTAGGCGAGTGTAGGCGAGTATAGGCGAGTATAGGCGAGTATAGAGGAGTTTACGGCTCTTAAGTGGGTGGAATGCTTAGAGTTGGCGAGACATTGAGTTGAGGGATTTGAGACGTTTAGTTTGAGGGTCTGGTGTCGTCGTTTATGGTGGATTTGATTTTATGGTGAATTAATTAACGATGGAAATATGTGAGCGGGTGTGAAATATTTATGACAGAAACGTAGAAGTTGTACCAGTTTTTAAAGGCTAGGTGGCCAGGTGGCTGGGTCTGGCTTACAGGATTGTGCGGTGTGGATGGTTTAATGTGAGTCTAGGAGGCGTGTGTGCCGTGTCGCAGCAGCAAGTTTTTTTGCAGTTTTGCCAGCAAAAGTGCTACACAAGCGTTCCAAAGAGCAGGCTTCTGCTTGCTATGTGCCAGGACACGCTCGTGCCGTTGATCGTGGCGCTCTCACTCTCATGTAGTCTCGCTTTGGCACAGATTGACATCAGTCGCCTGAGCACGTGACCTGCCGTCGTGCTTACTGCAAGCTGAACGAGGCTCTACAAGTCCTCTGTTAACAATGCTCGCACCATTGTTGTGCGGTGTCCCCCGCCCTGTGCCCTGCGTTTTGCACCCTGTGCTCTGCGTTTTGGTTCGGCAACTTTCAGAACTCGACGAACAATACCATCTAGCAACTCTCAGAACTCAATCGGACTATCATCAGCCATCACGTGTGCCAGCGACACACGCTGGTGGGCGCCGGGCAGAGCACAGTAACTGACAAGTCCTATTATTCCCGTATCTGGTCTGTCAGCTCATGAGGGTATCAGCACTCTGTGCAATCTGGCGAAGTGTCTTCTGACATCAATGATCGCCGCTGTTTGTGTGTGAATCATCAGTTAAATCGCATCCATAAGCCCTCATATTTGAGCCCTGTCACGAATTCTCTGTGGTGCTGGTCGCCATTCCATGATTTTTCGATTGTTCAAAAGTAATACGGGCTCGCCACTCTTTTAGTTGGCGCTCTTGTTTGTCCAGGAGTGCGTAATCGATGACGCTCAACTGTTCAGTGATAGTAAAAGTGCTTTATCTTGGGAATTTTTTTCGACTAATCAGTTGTGCTAATAGCTCTTGTTTCATTCACAGTTGACCAGTGACGCTTTGTCAAAAGCTCTCCTAGACTACGAGACCTCTCAATTGTTCAGCTACATTATGCGTTTGAGAGTTTTCTAATTATTTATTATGGAGCGCTGAAGCTCACAATTGGCCAAGATCATCAAAAGCGCTCAACTATCAACAATCGATCGCTATTGCTTTCAAACGATAAATGATGCGAAGAGTCCTCTATGTATATCATTAGTGATCGACGACTCTATTAATTGTTCTATTTTGTTAAGAGCTCTCTGTTTATTCACAATTGATCACTGACGCTCTTAAAGCTAGGAGCCATCTCTTTATCCACACTTGATTTCTGACGCTCTCGATTGTTCAGCTGCGTATGTAGGCCTGGTTGCTAATGCTCTCAATTGCTCCGTAGCGCTTGAAGTCATCCTAACTCTTCAAAATTAATGGCTGACGCTTCCAGTTGTTCAGTGGTGTTCGTGGCCATTCTCATTGATCTCCATCGCGCTCGATTGCTCAACTGTAGTTCGATCGCTGACGTCAACTGTCCAATACCCTCGATTGTTCATAGGACTCTTTTCGCACACGTACTTGTACTCGAATTTCGACAGTCTACCGTTATTGCATATTACTTGTACTTGTTTGAATATTTGTTAGGCTTCTAATCAAGCACAAGAACACTATCGCCCGTGTTGTGTCGTGCTTGTGGCCATCGCACGCACTCATGATTGATCGCTTTCTCAATTATGCGACTTTTCATCGCTAACGCTATAAATCGGTCAATAGTGACTTGTAGCCTTTTTCACTGACGCTTACGGGTACTCGGGAAATGAGCACTGAAACTGCGATACCATGCGTGCTACTGGGCCTGCTGTCGCTCTCAGTTTCACGGTTGTGCCTATGGCCATTCTAAAACTTCAATTTTGAGGCAGCAGTCAATTGTTCTTGGGTACTACGAGCTCTGATCGCTGAAGGGCCCAAGTTCTCAGTGCCTGAGATGTCTCTGCATGTCTTGATGCTCTCGATACAGCGATAGCACCTAGAGTTCCATTCACAATTGCTCGCCTATGCTTTCAAAGGTTCTTGAGTGCCTGTTCTTCGGTGCTAGTAGCCATTTTTACAATTCACAATGCTGAGAGTTCTCAATTGTTCAGTAACACTCCGAGTTCTTGATCGCCGACGGACTCGATTGTATAGTGCTTCGAGTTTTCTACAACTCGAAGTCGATAGCCATCGCTCTCAATTGTTCAGTAACACTCCGAGTTCTTCACCACTGACGAACTCTTCCCTTGGGCACAGAATACAAAAACATCAGCTATGAATTTTCAAGTTACATGGTTGAAGCAGCTTTATTTGACAAGGACGCAATTGAATTTCAATGAATCTTGACCGTCACTGTTTCTTCTTAATTATATTCAAAGGGCTACTGCTAAACAGGACGACAGCGTCATGGTAGTTTGGCTCGTTGAAAACTCTTCAAGCTTATTTCTACAGATTATAAACCTCATTCGTGTGACGATTTGGTGTCGTTTTCTAAATGTATTGATATTTGTTTAATTTTGTTTCTTGATTCAATCTCAATTGTAGAGCGCTTCGAGTTCTCTACGAGTTCTTAATCGCCGACACTCTCCATTGTATAGTGCTTTGAGTTTTCTACAACTCGAAGTCGATACCCATCGCTCTCAACTGTTCAGTAATACTCCGAGTTCTTATTCGCCGACACTCTCCATTGTATAGTGCTTCGAGTTCTCTACAAGTTCGCGTCAGCGATACTACGAGTTTTCTACAAGTTCGCGTCAGCGATACTACGAGTTCTCTACAAGTTCGCGTCAGCGATACTACGAGTTCTCTACAAGCTCGCGTCAGCGATACTACGAGTTCTCTACAAGTTCGCGTCAGCGATACTACGAGTACTCTCTTCTGTCGATGATCCTATTGGTGTTTCAATGGTACTAAAAGGGCACACTCCATTCGCAAGCTTGTAGCCCTCCACAGCCGAATGGATATTGGGATATCTGACGCCGTTTGCTTCCGAGTTGCTGTGCTTGGTCGCGAGAGAGGCGCTCTGCCAAAGCTGCTTGGTGATACTAAAAGATCAGACAGGTCGAGAGACAGGACTCTACAGGAGTAAATGACCGACATGCTCTCCATAGGGTTTCAAAGAGCGCAGGCTCTGCCAGAACGCGCTCATCATCGACAACTTGTGTCTTGTTTCTGGTATACGGCAGTTGGAATCTCTGTCGTATATAGTGATTGATCTGAATTCTTGGCGTATCCGTACTACAAAATCGTACTACAGAATGGCCCAAACCTGTGCTGACCACTGCTCGCAGTTGGCGCAGCGCTGTCTCCTACTTCCTCTGCTTCGAGGCCCCGGTCTTGTGGTCCGCACTCGCGAGTCCATCTTTTGTTTATTCAGATCACTATGTACGTTATTTCTTCCACACGAGAAGAACCATAGAAAAGACGTAGCGCGTTGACACCTTCTCTCAGCACCTGTGACTACTGGTATTACTCTCCGTTCTTCCTCCTGCTCTCTCTCTCTCTCTCTCTCTCTTTTCCCTACTTCCTCTCTTTTACAATTTTCCATATCACTATTTACGAACCATTTTTTTCCCCATCTTCTTCTTCTTCTTCTCTGCACACGCCCAACCCAATTAGAACACTCCCTGAACACACAACTACGTCCTCTCTGACTCTTACTTGCTCCCACCTCTCGTTGTCTCCGCTTCTCTCCTCCGTTTCTCTCTTTCGCCTAGTCTCACCCCATATCACCTCACACGGCTCCCTCGCCTTCGCCTTTTTTTTACCCGTTCTACAAAGGAGACAAAACAGCCTATATTGTTTCTAAAACCCAACTTTTGCCGCACACACTTCACAAAATAACAACCCCCAAGCACACATACCACACTCTTCATACACTTCATACACTTCACACACACATAGAATGCCGGCTGGAACCGAGCTACAAGCACGGCGCGAGCCTGTTGACACGTCTGGAGTTCGTTTGCCGTCTTCGGCGCGCGAGCTTGTCTCGAATCCCGCCGTCGTTGCCGCTGACGCAGATCTGGAAACGGCCAAACCGACTTCTGCGCCGCAGAACACGCCTGAGCCGGTAGCAGAGGAGTCTGCTGGTACCGCTGAACTTGCGGTTTCGTCGTCGCGTCCACGGCCGCCACTGCTGATCCACGGCGACGACGACCCCAGTATGGCGCCTGCGCCCCCGTTGTCGCGGCCCGCGACGAGTGTCCAGCCCGTTGGTCGTCGCAGTTCGAACCCTTCGCCCTCGGTTTTGTCCTCCCATCGCTACCGTGGCCCTGATCCTCTCCTTCACAGCCATCAGGAGTCGTCGTCCTTGTCGTCGTCCTTGTCGGAAGCGCGCCAGAAATATGAGGTCACTGGGGACGAGAGCGGCAAAAAAATTGCAGCCGCGGTCATTGTGGACGGCGGGGAGGAGGAGGAGGATGGTGGTGCCGTGGGAAACGATAATCGACGAATGAACACGTGCCCCGATAAACCTGGCGAAAACGGTCACGTGGTGTCGTTGTCGTCTGCTCCCGTGCAACTGCCACACATCGCAACACTTCTAACACTGCCAAAGCTCTCAGAACCACGCCATACATCGCCCAACTCCATCTTAACAGGTCGCAACGTGTTCGCCACGTCTTCATCGCGCAACTCGCCCGGCGCGGCGACAATCGAGACCAAACTGCCGGCGCGCGGCGCCAGCAGTTTCAGTGGGGTCAGCAGCAGCAGTCGTGGCGACCGCGGCGGTGGAAGCAGTACTCCGCTGGTGCCCGCGACCACCAGAACTTTTCTAACGCCGCATCGGCTCAGTTTCAATTCGCACCAGATGGCAACGGACCCTCACGTGACCCTGGTGGATCACAACAAGATCGATATCTCATCGCTGCTCAACTCGCGGGGCGAGGACGTGTACACACTGCGGTCGCGCGAGCTGCTCAGCTCGTCGCCCGGTTTCCAGGCACTGGGTCACCACGCTGGTGACGAAAACGCAGATCGCAGCGGCAGTTTCGGCGTTGGCGACGGCGACGGCGATGGCGACGGCGATGGCGACGGCGATGACGACGACGACAATAATAATAATGACCACGACAAAGACAAAGAGCACCACGACGGCGTGAAAAAGAACGAAGCTGGAGAGAAAAAATCGCAGAGACATTACACGCGTGCCAAGGCAGAGCCCTCCCGCGCACCACCTTCAAAATCCCCACGCGGGTCCGTAATCGTGGTTCCACCGCCCAACACGCAACCGGGGCGCATCAAATCCAAACTCGACGACATACGGTCCCGTGTGTTACTGGATCCCAACACTATCCCACCACGGCCGGACAACTTTGAGTCCTCCTCGTCTGTACGCTCTGACGACGAATTTGCCGCTGCAGGTGCCGCAGCGGCTATCATCACAAAAATGCGATCCTCTCCTTATGGTCCGCATGACGAATTGAATTTGTCCAGTCGCCCCGGTTCTGCTAGCCTCAGGCATCATATGCGCCCCATAGTTCGCATCCACCAACGAGAATACGAACCTAACGAAAGTGACGAAAGTGCCGTGATAGAGGACGACACGGAAGACGAGTCCTACGAAGAGGCGTCCAAGCACGCCTCAGACAAAATCAGCTGGAACAAGAGCGGCATGAAAAAAAGAGTCACGCGGCGCCAGTCTGCACCTTCAGCCAACTTCAAACGTCGTCACTCCAGTCAAATGGAAAATCCAGCTACAAGCTCGCGAAATTCACGCCATTCGTCGACTTCATCGGCGTCTACTGTCACGTCGTTACTTTCAGCCGCCAAACTTTTAGGCAAAAAACGTGGCGACAAAAGCATTAAAGAAGAGACCAAAAATAATCTTGATCCCAACGACCCATCGCTGTCACCACCGACATCTCCAAAAAGTGGTAAAGCGCGGCGCAAAAATGCTTCTGGATCGCGATCCAGAAGCGGATGCTGGATTTGCAGGCTGCGTAAGAAAAAATGCACAGAAGAAAAGCCAAGTTGTCACAATTGCATGCGTCTCAACTTGCAATGTTTCTACGACCATACCAAGCCAGACTTCATCTCTGACCCAGTTAAGAAAAACGAGAAATTGGAAGAGATCAAGAAAAAGACCAAAGAGGCAAAGCGTATGGCTATGAGAAGAAGGCCTTGAACGGTGCTAACTTTCGCCAGCCGTTTACGATATACGACTCTTGGTTTTAATGACAATATCAAACACACGCTATCGCGGGAAACTCACATTTTACCAAAGCTTCTTATTATGATATAGGATTCATTACATATATATTGCAAGCAACATTTGTTTTAATGCAAAGGAAACCTTGTATGATCGACAGCACGCTCGCACTATATCTGCGACATTGATTGTAACATGATGGTAAAAAACAACTCAAGCTCAATCCACTGACGATCTAATAGCCATTTCATTCAAGTTACTGTCGAAGCAGGCACTGTGTTTGAAAAAGATATCTCAACAAGTAAGGACTCTCGGGGTCAACTTGTGTATAAAGGCTGCAATCGATGGAATACGTTTATTCCATCTAAAAACTAAGCACAGCAAAGTTGCATGCCTGTAGAAACTGGGATTCGGGAGTATGGCTAAAAGTGAGAGCTGGGATGCCTTAATGCCTTCGGTGCTAGATGCAATTCAAAGAAAACAATGGCGATCTCCTCATATATCACCTTCCAACAACCACAAAACTTGAACCCGATTGGTCCAGAAAGATCTCCAGCGATAATATTCAGCTTGGTTACCATCTCGATTTCGATCTCACTTTAAGTGCATTCGAATGTATCTTTGCAGTCCCACTCTAAAGACGCAGAAGCTAGTACGCTAGTACTGTTTGCCGGATACATGCTTGTTCGCAAGCAAAGAATTCATTTCGCTGATCAAAGTAACGGTTCATCACCCTCATTGCAGAAGTCTTTAGCATCAGTACTGAGGAAACCCATAGTTACCAGCGTAAAACTGGTTTTGGGCGGGACCTGGTTGTGGAGCGTAGGCTGTTTTTTGACCGAACGGTAAGCCCTGATCCGGTTGAAGACCGTTATACGCCATAGGTTGGTAAGCATGAGGCCAGTATTGCATGTATGGGTTGTTCATCACTGGGGGTGGCCCATTAGCAAAAAATGGAACGTCATAGGTCTGACGGATATCATGAGGGATAGACGAAACCATTGGCGCCGCGGGATGGGTTTGCTGGTTGAATTGCATTTGGGGTCCGTTCGAAGCAGAAAACAGAAAAGCAGGATTGTTCTGATTCATCACCGGAGGACTCATGATTGGTGGTACCGCTTGTATACCAGAAGGAGGACGAACAGGTTGACTGGGAGCAATACTGCTGTCAATAGTACTTGACGTGACATGGGGGATCTCGTGAGATGGTGTTGCGGAAGAAGTTACATTTGAATCAACGATGGAGGACGAAGAAGAACTTGGTTGCAAAATGGAAGCATTTGGTCGGCCGTTTAGAACGTTGACGGACTTTACAGAGGACTGGGGCGTTCTTACTTCCACAACGCTGCGCTGAGTAAATTCCACGCTAGGTCTAACTTCCAAAGTTGTTGGCGCTAGGGGTACGGAAGATCCACTGTAGCCACCAGATTTAGCACCTGCGTCAAGTAGGGTCTGGGACTCGATATCGCGTGAAGACAAGGCACCACCGATCGTAACCTTATTTTGTTTGTTCAAACGAGAGTCCCACTTCTGTCCTGCACTTGTCTTAATAGCAGATCTCACAAACTTCTTGTCGATCAACTGAATTCCACAGGCATTCTTCAGCAAGAACTTTTTACCTGAGACGGCAACGGCATCCAGTCGCAGCGCGTGCTCTTCTTTCTTCGAGAGCATCTTGTCCGCCATTCCAATAAAAGCTTTTGAAGAAGTCTCGGAGTTGAACAGATCAGAGTCCTTGAAATCGGATAAAGAGTATTTCAAAGGTTTAAATTCTCGTAAGAGTACGTCTTCTTGGAAGTAGTAAGGGCGATGTGGTCTATGACTTGAGCTGCTTTCAATTTCGCGACATTTTGTCTTTTCGTGAATTTCATTCATCAAGTGCATCATCGCCTCGCAAAAGTTGGTATTCCGATGTGCAAAATGAAGAACAGTTTTATTAGCCATTAGCCAACACTCAGCAACACGTACAAAGGCAAGATACACCCATTCTTTTTCGTTTGTAAGCTCTGCCACGACTGCGTTTCTCACAAAATTACTGATGTAATCCATTGCAAACTCAAGGTATTTTGCTTCGTTCGCCTGTGTTTGTGGCAACTCCACGCTCTTACGGTTTAGCGTCTTGAGTATATCAAAGCCGGCTATTATCAGTATCAAGTTTTGGAAAATTAGCTGCAGGTTTTTGGCGTATCTTGTCGCAGTTTTGTGCATCACTTCTTGCTGAACGTGGGAGAGCATGACTTCACTGATGAGGTTTTTCTGTTCGTTTCCGATCCACAGCTCTGGCGCAAACCTCGCTCCAAATAAAACTAGAAAATACGTTTCGATGATTTCACGATTAACGATTTTACCCCGAGTCGCATGCTTGTGGACATCGTGGAAAGTTTCAACGATCTCATTGAATATTTTACTGTTGCGTTCGCAAACGGAATTCATGAAATTGCCGAACCCTGCGCTGCTTGGAAGACGTGATAGGGCGCTCCTGGCGAAAGAATAGGTCGAAGACCCGAAACTCTTGACATGAACGTAGACCAAGCCCTCTTGCAAATACAGCTCTCCAACCGAGGGTAAAACCAAAGTGGCCAAATTGAAGTACCGCATCGATTTCTTGTAATGGGCCAAATCTGGTACACCGTTGTGGGGCCTCTCGCACATGCTTTTGTAGCGGTGACAGGATCCCAGATTCAGCAAGCAGCCGTGGATCAAGAACATCAGCGAAACGGCTCTTACGTCGTCTTTTCGCAATACTGGCTTGTCCGTGGCCGCAGTGGCAGCGGTAAGGGTAGCAGCGCCAGCGGCGCCGCTTGATTTGTGGGTGTCAGGGCGTTTAAGGTTCAGTTGCAGCAGTAAGGGCTCTGGGACGATTGCACGCAGATCGTGCTCCGATGCTAGCTTTTCGAGGACGCCATAGTAAAACTTGTGGATGATTTTGAAAAACTTGGCGAGTTTAGTGCTCATCTTGCGGAGCTCCACCACGCGCGGCTTCTGGTCCACTTTGACAGCCAGCAAATGCTGGCGCCACAACTGGAACCATTTGAGTACCGGATAGTGCACGTTTTTCCAACAGCAGTCCATCACACGCTGTGCTACTTCCACGTTGTTCTCTGCGCCGTCCACGTACTGGATGCATTTTGAATGCGCAAAAGTGAGAAACCCGCCCAAAAGCGCATCGTCTTGTACTGTAGCGTAGGTCTGGAGAATACCTGCCACCTGTTCTTGATACTTCTTGAAGTGGGCCACAATCTGAGCCGAGTCCGCTGTTTCAGCACTCGACATCGGCTATCAATCGTGTTGGTCTTTTTTTTGTAGTTTTTTAACAAATAGGTCTTGAAAATGGTCGCGTTGAATCCAGATTTCTTTACATATGTCCACAGTACGAAGATTGAGGTATAATTCAGTGAATCGAAATTCACACTAGCTCTTATACAATCGATAGCAGTGGCTACTCGATGCTTCTTATAGCAGTCGATGAGTTGGGAGACGTTAGCTTCCGAGATTCTTGAAATTTTTCAAGATTCGTAGTCACTGTCTACGAGTTCGATATCTTAAAATTCGTCAATTTAAAAAAGGTAAACATTAAAGCATCACCATCATCTACAACTTCACCATCGTAAGAGGTATAAAAGAGGGCTATTTGAGCCTGTGAAAGTGCTGGAACTCAGTGCCGTTGGCTTTCTATGCCTCGTGTGATATGTGTTGCCGAAAAAAACTCAATTGCTAAGGCTGTGGCTGGGATTTTAAGCGGTGGGAGATCATCGAGACGTGACAGTCCCAGTAAATACATCAAAAACTATGATTTCACATTTGATTTCCCGTTTTCAGGGCCCAGCAACGTGACAATGACATCTGTGGCTGGCCATCTTACCGGGCTGGACCTGGATCAGGCACATGGGTGGGGAAAATGTCCAATCCCGCAGGTTTTCGACGCCCCAATCGTCGACATACGGACCAAGGACCAGGAAAAAATGGCCAGCAACATTAAAAGGGAGTGTCGCAATGCAGATTTTCTCATGATATGGACCGATTGCGATCGTGAGGGCGAGTATATCGGGTGGGAAATCGTGCAGACGGCGGTGCAAGCAAACCGCGCGCTTCGCGAAAACGTGTTCCGCGCCAGTTTCTCGCATCTGGAGAGTCGCCATATAGCACAGGCGGCGCGAAATCCAAACCGGCTCGACCAGCGTGCTGTGGACGCTGTGCGAACACGTATGGAGGTCGATCTGCGGTCCGGTGTGGCATTTACGCGGTTTTTGACAGAACTTCTAGGGTCCAAAATAGAGCGCGATTCGGGCTCCAAACCCAACCAGCGGCCCATAATATCTTACGGAACCTGTCAGTTCCCCACACTGGGGTTTGTTGTGGACCGTTTCGAAAGAATTCGCAAGTTTGTGCCGGAGAAGTTCTGGTATCTTGTCCTTTCAATTTCCATTGGGTCCGATAAAACAACGTTCCAATGGGAAAGAGGCCATCTCTTTGACCGTCTTGCTGTGGCCGTGATATATGAGACGTGCATCGAAAGCTCTCGTAACATGGCAAAAGTGGCCTACGTGAAATCCAAACCAACCTCGAAATATCGGCCATATCCACTCACAACAGTTGAGCTGCAGAAAAACTGCTCGCGATACTTCAAAATGAGTGCCAAAGTCTCGCTAGAAGCCGCCGAAAAGCTGTATCAAAAGGGTTACATATCGTATCCCAGAACGGAGACCGACAGTTATCCCCAAGCTATGGATCTTCGAGCTTTGGTTCAGCAGCAAACTTCTGAAAGTAGGTGGGGTACTTATGCCCAAAATCAACTTAGCGGGATGGGTCCAAACCAGTTCCAATGGCCCCGAGCTGGGAAAAATGACGACAAAGCACATCCTCCGATACACCCGATCATAAGTGCAGGTGCTGGTCTAGATAATGAGAATGAAAAAAAGGTTTATGAGTACGTTACTCGCCATTTTCTAGCATGTTGTTCGGAAGATGCCAAGGGCCACTCTACCACGATGACTCTACAGTGGGGGCCTGAATTTTTCAGCGCAAATGGAATCGTGGTGCTCGAAAAGAACTTCCTTGAGGTTTACCCATATATGAAATGGGACTCGACGAAGCAGCTTCCAAACCTCAACGTTGGTCAAGACGTCGAGCTGTCGTCTTATCTCATGAAGGACGGACAGACTTCCCCGCCTAATCAGATGACAGAAAGCGAATTGATCCTGCTTATGGATGCAAATGGCATAGGTACAGATGCCACAATTGCCGAACATATCGAGAAGATACAACAAAGAGATTACATCAAGAAAAAGAAAATGAACAAACAGACGTACCTGATACCGACGACGCTGGGAGTTTCTTTGGTTCACGGGTTTGAAGCGATTGGTCTAGAAGACTCATTTGCCAAACCTTTTCTTCGACGTCAGATGGAAGTCGACTTAAAAATGATATGTGATGGGAATAAAAATAGAGCCGAAGTGGTTAATGACTTGATATCGAAGTATCAAGACTATTACGGCTTAACTAGTTCGAGAAAGAACAAACTTATTGAAACATATACCGATATCAAATCAGTTATGTGATTATTTAATGCTGAATGGATAAAAAGATAGTTATGTGCATGAATTTTGGGTATGGCTCGTTTCGACTAAATTGCACGCTAAGAGGAAACAGTAGGCTGGCTGGAATTCGCAAAAGTCCGGCACCAACAAACGGAGTCTTTATGTTCCACTTGGATCCAGGCCTTTATGCTTGCGTCTTCCAAAATTTTCTCCACTCTTTTCTTCATAATAGTAGAATTCTCCCCGTCCATATACTGAACGTGTATATAACCGACGAGGGATTGCGACGTTTTGTCTTCACTAGCAGCATCTTCATCTGTGTGTGAAGAACCATGCGAATGGGAATGACCATGAGAATGTGAATGTCCGCCGTGCCCACCACTTGAAGATAAAGGCCAAAAACGTGGCGTTGTGTAACCAATAATGCCAGGAGTCATTGAAATTTGATTGAGAGCATTTCTCAGCTTATTATCTTGTTTGTCATTTAAGTTCAGTAGTATGCTCGTAGTCGTTGACTTGATCAAGGGAATAGAACTTAGTAGAATCAAAACAGCAATGAAGATAGATGCGATAGGATCGAAAATTTGTAAATCGAAAGCTTTTGTTAAAAGCGTGGAAATAACGACACCCACCGACCCCAGTGTGTCGGCCATGATGTGCAAAAAGATTCCTCTCATGTTTTCGTTACCACCATCGTGTCCGTGGCCCCCGTGGTCGAATGCAAAGAGACCCACGAGGTTGACCAAAAGCCCCAAGACCGAAACCACCAAAAGCTCATTGGTTTCAAGTAGAGTAGTTGGATTTGAAACTCTATCGATGGCTTCAATTAAGATACCGGAGACAATGCCAATCAAAAGCACGCCATTAGTAAATCCCGCTAGGGTCTCGAGGTAGCCGAGAGCAAAGGGAAATGTGTCACTTGCTGGTCTCTTGGAAAGGATGCCAGCAACCAGACCCAGCAGGAGAGAAAGACAATCCAAAGCCATATGCAACGAGTCCGACAGCAACCCCAAAGACCTGGAGCGAAAGGAGTAGAGCAACTGTACGAACATGAACGTGGTGTTGAGTAATAGAAATGAGAAGATAGTTCTTGTTTCTGGATTTGTAGCGAGCTGGATGAAAAGTCCTGCGTCAGGATTGACGCTGTCACCATGACCATGAGCAGACGCAGATGCATGAGAATGAGCATGACCGTGAGAATGAGAATGGCCATGAGAATGAGCATTATTAAGTTTGTGATGGTTTTCTTGGTCGCGATCATGACCGTGATTGTGATGATTGTGAAGATGTTCGTGATCTTGTTCCTTGCACAAAGCGGGATCGTGAAGTTCCAGTTGCTCACAGCCTGTGTATTTGCAGGTTTGAAAGGATATTGCTCCGCTCAGCAATACAAACAGTAAAAGTGCGGCGTTAGTTGCTAAAGCGCTTGGTGGAGCGTTAGAGGATATGAACTGCAAGACCATTGCTGCACATCCCAAAGCTGGCGGGACGTACTCAAAACTCAAGACTTTCTGAGCACTTGTTGGACTCGCCTCGCTGCAGATTTCTTTCCAACTGACAAAAAGCAGCCCCAAACAACCGAGACACACAAACATCATGGAATACTGGACGTTGAGGCCCGATTCGAGCATGCCTGGAATTAGCTCAAAGCGATCGGACACTATCGTATGCAAAGTAATGGCGAGAGAGACTGACATAATCGCATAATGAACGGGTTTGAGTTGTTTGCTGGGGAACACCCCCGAACCAAAAGGCTTTTGGTGTCTCAAGTACAGCGTCAATAGGATCACTAGGTAGCTTGCAATCGTCTTATAGTAAGACGTGTCTTGCAAATAATCGATAAACAAACTGAGTGCTGGGAATACAGCAAACAGCCAGTTGAACGCAATAAACCCACCAAGCAACTGTAACAGCAGGGCAGAAAGCACTGAAGTTTGAATGTGTCCCAGCAACGAATTGAGCGAAAAACTCACAAATGCAAGCGTAACACAGGAATTGAGTCGTTGAACGGTGCCCATAAACCCACCCAAAGCAGTCACTGCGCAAGCACATAGCAGGGGCACCGCTAAATGTTCCAAAAACAGCTCCAAAAGGCCGGCACCGGCTGGTCCACTTGCACTTTCACCAGAGGTACTTATTATCAAATTACTGCTCAGCAGCACCGTAGGATACGAGAGTATTACGGGGATCCGAGAAAGAACATCGTCGAAGACCATTAAAGATGACGTGATCCAACAAGGGCTTCAATTTGGTAAAATCACAATGAGGTCGCTGGCCTGTCCATAGGTTGTAGATGTGAGATAGCTTTCGCTGCAAGAGACCTAAGAGGTAGCGAGAATGAATTTTACCGTACTCGTGTTAAGAGATGAGAAGTGCCGTTATCGTTTTATCATATAATGTCGTTGCCGACAGTGGGACTTCGGGCTTGGGCAGGCGTTGTTGGGCCTGGCTGAGCGTTGTTGGGCTTGTTGCGAAGCTTAGTGGTTGACAATTTCCGAGTTATTCGTGTCTTGTTAGCTTTGGTAGTTCTATTGAGAGTTTCAGATGGTTGAAATGACTTAATGGTTGAGAAGGTAGGGCATAATAACGACATGGTATGATAATAGTTGTTTTGTAGAGATTTAAGGTAATCAATTGGCTACGAATAGTATGGATATTTGGGAAGTCAAGAATCTGGAAAAGAAGGTGATCGATAAGCCCTATAATTATTTGAGAAAAGTCAGATCCCCGAAATAGTTGGTACCGTACATCGATTGAGTTTTTGATGGCTGGTCAAAAGATCAAAGGCTCGTCGAGTTCGTCTGCTTGTGCATAGAGTAGGTGAAAAGGGCTTGAGTGGGACCCTGGCGCGAGGTCATGTGATAAATGTTCGTGACAGATAATTCAAAGGTGATATGAGCTGTGACGTATGCCAGGTGACAACATGTAATAAATGGGAGCTATGGGCGCCAGGTTGAATGCGTGTCGGAATATGAACTTTGAGTGGTCTATTAAAACCACATAAATCTGATTATTGTATGTTAAAAATTCAATTCACTATGCAGTCAGAGTAGGCCATTTGAAAGGTATTTAGCTGGCGAGTAGTCGACCTGGTGAGGTCTGGTGAAATCGGTGGGTAGTTTCAGATGTGGACGTCGTGTTTCTGTACCATTGCAATGGTCTTGTACGCCCTTTGTGGTGTGGTTTCGTCGACGCCAGTTTGTCGTTTGGCATCTGTCGTTAGATCACGTGATACCGCTGGCCAACTTATGCTTGAGTGGTCCCATCTGACGCTGATTTTCCGGGGGTTTCTCCCAGACGAAAATTAGTCGCTGAATCCTGAATGATGAGGATTAGGTTTACAATTTCTCATCTTATTTCAAGTACGTGCTTGATTTCGTAAATTTTGAGAAAATTGTGCTCAAATTCATAAGTCCCTTTTATTCTTCTCTTGGGCTATTCTGATTTTATATGATGAAGCACACTTGCGAGTTCTATGGGGCTTATCTCTCCATCTAATATTTTGGAGTCGTTCATCGGTTGCGTCGCCTTGAGTTTTAAATATCAAAGGCGGCCAGTCACATGAAGTGCGACCTGCGTAAGTATACAATTTGTCATTTAACAGCAGTGTTGTTCCCTGTACCATCCAGAATAAGGCAACATCATAACTGATTTGCACATATTCGATTAAATGTACTTTTAATAATTTGATGTTTTGTCGCCCATTTGAGGCTTTCGGACCCAAGAACTCACAGCTCCCTGTGTAAGTGGTTCCATTATACGTGGCCCTATTCGTTCGAAGTATGAAGTGAACTTTCCAGAGTCTGCCCAACTGTGTTGGACAATCAAAAGGCAATACCGCCAGTCATTTCCATACTTCAAGAACTGCTTTTCGGAGTTTGCACATCCCCAGGTAAATTCAATGGATGATCGGAGATCCAATCTCTGATATTTTTCATCACTTTACACTATTCTGTCACTGAGAAGTATGGCCAAAGGTTTCTCAAAAAACGTAGCGTCAAATATTCCTCCTACCATTTTGCCCGATCATCCAAAGGTTTAAGTCCTAAGATATGCTCGCAATATAGCAATTTCATCATATCCTTAGGACATCCATCCATCTCAAAAATAGTTCACGCTTCGACACCCAGAAAATCGGTCATTTCCTTTCAGTACCATTTCATTCTTGCCGATTTACTACTTTCGTAACACAAGCTTAATACACTAGTCCGCCTCGACGTGACTGCCGTCTCTTCAATGTCTTTCATGACTCCGTTCCGCGACGACTACTTAACGAAATGGTAACGTCAGACGGTCTGTGCTTTATTGAGGCTTTATGAACTCTATATAAGATCTGTCATCCTGCTAGAAGAAGACCCTGAACACGGAAGGCTGTCATCCAGTTCTTCAAGCCAGTAAAAGCTCAAGAAAGGTTGTACTTCATTCTGCGGTGATATCGTAGTACTAAAGTGACACGACGGTTACAAACCATATGATATTGTATCACATTTCACACACCTGGTCGAAGACTTAAGTTCAAATCTGAACAGATTCGCCGCAACTTACTCACCATTGTACCTCTTTTACTAAACTCAAATAACCCTTACTGCCTGTAACTAAAGCACAAGCTCTGTGGTCGTTAAGAGGTCATGAACAAGGAGGTTCGTAGATCTCGAAAGGGATGCTTCGTGGGTATCACACTTCTCTTGGGAGTTCTGAGCAGCTGGATTCTGTTGTATGAGCTGCCAAAAGCTGGTGGCCTACCCTGTCGCGTCTTTCGCAGCCGAAGAAAGTTTTACGATTCTCGCTTGGAACGTCGCAGACGAAGCTCCGAGAACTTATATGAGCTTCTCACCGATTCCCAAGATACGTTCTACGACGAAGAGTCCTGGACTGTGGGAACCACTTTCTTTTCCGAAAATACCTACTCACGACAGCCCTATGTCGCCAACGGGTATATAGGCAGTCGTATACCAAACGTGGGATTCGGTTACGCTCCCGACACTTACAATATCTGGATTCCAGACGCTTCAGTGCCAGGTGCTTTAAACAACGGGTGGCCCCTGCGAAATCGACGTTTCGCAGGCGCTTTTGTCTCCGACTTCTACGCCCTCGAACCCAGGCTCAATTCTACAAATTTCCCAGAACTCGATAAAAATGGTTACTTAACGGCGCTTGCTGCTATACCGCAGTGGACAGATTTGAGCTTTACCATCAGAAATGAATCTGTACGCTTTGATTCACAAAACGTGCATGCTCAGCAAGTCTCTCATTACCAGCAGAATCTGTCGTTGATCAGTGGTGAGGTAACGACAGAATTGGATTGGCTAAGAATACTGCATGTAAAGTCCACAATTTTTGCGCATAGAACGTTGCACCCATTAGGGATTATGAAGTTGGAACTGTCTTTAATTTCCAATAATCCCGCCAACGTCAAGACCTTAGATTTGCAAGTTGTTGACACTTTGAACCATTCCACTTCTAGGAGAACCTACCTTAGAGATTTAGGCTTTGATTCTGAAGGAATTCATATGGAGGTTGAGCCCGACAACGTTCCTTACTCTTCGGCAGCCATGTATTCTTCTCTCCACGTGTCTTCGGATGCGTCGCATCCTGATGGCGTTATATATCAGTTAGCTGACGATAACACGTCAGTTACAAGCAAGCGTACTCTCCAGCTAACTTCAAAGCACCCTTCGGTATCCATCACCAAGTATGTCGGAGTTATGTCTTCAGAATACGATCGGTATAATAAAACGGCCTCGAACGCCGAAGTTGCAAAAAGCATGGTGCAGGACTACTGTGGGCGTTACGATTATTTGAGTGAAACTCACAAGCAAAACTGGCACGATCTTTATGAAACGGCAGCAGTTGATATTCCATCTGACAGCTTGCTAGAGTTATCTGCCAAGTCGTCGATATTTCATTTGCTAACCAATACCCGAAGATACAATGTCTCACAAGATCGCGGATTGCCAGTGCCGGCTTCGGGGCTCAGTTCCGATTCCTACGCTGGCTTAGTGTTCTGGGATGCCGATCTTTGGATTATGCCCGCCCTTCTCCCATTCTTTCCCGAAATTGCGAGACATATGGTAAGTTACCGAAAGTCAATGCACGATCAAGCCAGGATCAATGCCCGCGAAAATGGATATCCAGGTGCTCTTTTTCCTTGGACTTCTGGAAGATACGGCAATTGCACATCAACTGGTCCGTGTGTCGATTACGAATACCATATCAACATCGATGTAGCCATGGCAGCGTTCCTGGTCTATCTAAATGGTGCTGGTGGAGCAGGAGATGAGTACTTAAGAAACACTACGTGGCCATTGGTGAGAGACGCAGCGAAGTTTTTCACAGCCTACGTGCAGTACAATGCAGAGCTGGATGCCTACGAGACGCACAATATGACAGATCCTGACGAGTATGCTAATTTCATTGACAATGGAGCCTTTACAAACGCCGGAATCCAGACGCTACTACAATGGGCCACAGATATTGGTTGTCACTTGAAAGAGGACGTTGACCCCAAGTGGAAAGATGTTCGGAAAAAGATATTAATTCCAACTGCCGACTCCGACATTACGCTGGAGTACTCAGGAATGAATTCTTCAGTCGAAATCAAACAAGCTGACGTTATGTTGATGACGTACCCATTGGGTTACATCACCGATGAGACTATTCTGAAAAACGCTATCAAGAATCTATATTATTACTCCGAGCGTCAATCAGCAACTGGACCAGCAATGACATACCCAGTTTTTGTAGCCGCTGCAGCAGGACTGCTCAATCATGGCTGCTCGTCTCAAAGCTATCTGTACAAATCAGTTCTGCCATACGTGAGAGCCCCTTTCGCTCAGTTTAGTGAACAGAGTGACGATAACTTTTTGACGAACGGATTGACGCAGCCTGCTTTTCCATTTCTTACGGGAAATGGGGGCTATTTGCAAAGTATCGTGTTCGGACTGACAGGACTGCGGTATTCGTACGAGACCAATAAAACTACTGGAGAAATTACTAGGTTTCTGAAGTTCAACCCGACAAAACTGCCTCTTCTTCCCGGGGGCATCGCAGTAATAAATTTCAAGTATATGGGACAGGTACTCGATGTTACAATAGGTGATGAAAATGCCACTATTTTTCACAAGAGTGGTGATCAACCCGTAAGGATCAAAGTGCTGGACCGGAAGGTTATTCACGATCGACAGCTGGTAAATCCTGAGACTACTAAAACTCGTCCACAGAAGGGATTGCCCGGAAGGCAAATTCTCCTACAACCTGGCCAAAATACCACGGTCAAATTGTTTGAGCCGCTTTTGAACATCGACAATAACATTGCAGAAGGGAAGCAGGTTACCAATTTCACTACCGGGGTGCCAGGAGATGTGATATATTCCGTCATAGATGGCAACAACTTTACACATTGGCAGCCTCTCCGTAAAAACGAAAACGCGAGGATATTGATCGATTTGGGTGTAGGCAACAGTCACAAGTTGACCGGAGGTTCTATACTGTGGGGCAAACGGCCTGCTCAGAATATTTCCGTGGCTGTGCTGCCGTATGCAGGCGACATAGAGGAGGCGTTATGCAATGCGTCTGCGGTTATCAGAGATTCAGGACCTGACACCCAGACCGAGTTCTTGGGATTCACGGGACCGGTGTGGGACGTGAAATTGAGGTTGAGAGAGACCAAGCAGAGCATAATGGACATCAGTGACAGCGAAATCGACAATAGATGGGACTGGCTCCGATCTCAGCGACTGGATATCGGACAATTGTCCAAGATTTCACCGGAAATGGAGTTGCTTAAGAGCAACTTTGTCACCATCCTGCGAGACCTCAAAGTGGAACCCTCGCTGCCGTACATGGAAAATGACGGATACAAAAACCGGATCGAGATTCCCCGTTCCAACATCACGGACTTCGAGTTCAACTACGAAAACTGCAGCGACACCACCACCACGGAAGACCTTTGGCCACCGCCTCGATTTGTTGTGATCAGTGTGCATGGTACTTACGATGACGACTACGATCCTCGCGGCGCCACAATCGAAGAAATAGCCCTCTACTAAGCATCTATATGAATGTAGTTCCCAGAATCCAAAAAAAAGTCTTGCGAATTCTGTGGATCGAACACAGGACCTCCAGATATCAGTTGACCGAAGTTTATCTTCAGTCTGGCGCTCTCCCAACTGAGCTAAATCCGCATTTGTTGAAAGGTGTCGAAAATTCAAACTACATACCAAACACAAAAAATCACACTACCCGATATTTTGCTTTAAAGTGAATTGTACATTTCGAAAAAAGGTATTAATATAAAAGGCAAAGGGATTGAGACCTACCTATCTCCTTCATCTCAACTCTTTATAACTACTCCGAATTATCATCAAAAATAGAATCATAATCGAATTCTTAACCAAAAATGGGTGACTACGTCAAGGCTTTTCAGGATGAATTGAAAACTCTAGATCAAGTACGTTAAAACGAGCGAGCTGCGGGAAAAGACGCACGCTCTCTGTCTGACCTTTCTTTCATCATCTTTACTAACAATAAGCACTACCGTGCACTGTTCGAAGAAATTCGCAGGAAACGGTCTCTTGCAACAATTTGAGGCCAAAACAAAGCTACCAAAATCTTACGGGGTCGTGGGCGCAGCATCGTTGTACTTGTTGTTGATCTTTATCAACGTCGGAGGAATTGGTGAAATTCTTTCCAATTTCGTCGGGTTCGTGGTTCCCGCGTATTATTCGCTTCTTGCGCTCAGAACTTCCACGTCTACAGACGACACGGAGCTGCTAACGTACTGGGTCGTTTTTGCGTTTTTAAACGTGATCGAGTTCTGGTCTAAGGCCATTCTCTACTGGATTCCATTTTACTGGTTCTTGAAGACCTTGTTGCTGGTCTACTTGGCCTTGCCTCAAACCAGCGGTGCGAAATACGTGTACAACACCATTTTGGACCCTATTGCGCAAAAATACATCAAGGCCCCTAACTCCACCAAGCCCGGGGATATCTCGTCTAAGATGGAGAACTTGGCTTCTCAGGGCAAGACCTCTGGTTTCGCACCTCACCAGTCTTAAGCTTCGCACCCAGAAGCTGAACTTTCTCTACGAGCAATTGTAGACAATGAATTTCAATTTCTCCGTCACTGAAAATTGGGGCGTGTATGTACTACTTTTGTATCTGCTATAACTTTTGATTCTACAGAACTCTGCTGTCACAAGCTTTGGTCAAATTTGTGGTCAAATTGATCGGTCGTGAGGCCCGATGGACCCTCGTGTATGAGTTTTACTCTAAATTTAAGCTTCCCTGATCCGCTCACTTTCAGTTCCTGTCGACACACCTGGCCAGCTGCAATTGAGGCCATAGATAGATTACCCATAACAAGCTTCTGCGTTTTTGAAGCTGCAGCCAGAACTTGCAAGTTGGAGATCTGTGCATGGCCCCGGACGTACAACTCTAGATGAGCCTCGCCAGGTACCATAGAAGCCATCTTGAAGAACACCTGCATATCATCAGATTGATATGTTTCCACACTATCTTGAGGAATGTTAATGATGGGATCAGCCTTAGTAGACGACTTGAGCAACTGACTTGCACCGTCCGACGACCCGTTGCCAAAAATATCGAGTAAGGTCTCTGAATTGTTTCCTGCAGCTGCCCCGTTGGATGTGGATGTCTCTTCAAGAAGCTCCAACAACAGATTTTGCTCTTGCGGCTTGACCATTGGTTTACTGCCCGATGAACCATTACCATTCTTGCCGCTTCTCTCAAAAAGTGGCATTGCTCCTAGAATATCATGCCTCTGGCTTGCCGGCTGATTCAAAATAAAGGAATATTGAACACTCTTGGTTTGCAGTATTATATTCGTGTCTTTGCTGTGTCCATTAATCAACTGACGTAAGTCCTCAACGCATGATGGGCTTTGAATCTTTGCTGACAGTTTCAAAGCAGCCGTCAGAGTGTAGCTGATAAGCTTGGTATTTTCGGAATATATTCCGTTGACCAGACAGAGGTAGTGAGTGAGCTCGGTTTCCAAAAACATGTTTCTCTGCAACAAAATGTCACCGTATTCGCCTATGCACCAAACGCTCAGGAGTTTCCAGCCCAAGTTGTCACCGTCAATTGCTTCCTCTTTTTTGCCCAATGAGAGCTCCAACGTCTCGTGTATAAGACGCGTTTTGTGATCCAAGTCCTGGGCGTTGTTTATCATCACGATGACATTGCTCACTTTATCGAAAGAGATGTGCTGGCCCACGATCTTCAGAACTTGTACCATTATTTCAATGACCCACCATTCGCTTTCAACCGCATAGAGCTCGAATTTACTAATTAACTGGTCAACAACATTGATTATCAGATCTTTCTCTTGTTCGCCTGAAAGCTTCAAGAACGAGACTAATTCGTCCATCAATTCTTTCATATTGGTTTCGTTCAGTATTGCAAAAGTCAGGTCAACGGCTCTTGTTCGAATTGAAATGTCCGGATCAGACAGGCACCGCGAAATAAACATCTTGTGCTTCTGAACTGCTTTTGGCTCCTGAGGAGCCACTCTCAGAAGCGTGTTCAACGAGACATACTTGGTGTTATTGTCTTTGCCCGATAAAAACTTCCCTAGCACGTTAACGCCAAGGACTTTCAGTGATTGGTCGAGCTGGAGTGCAAAGATAGTCCGAACGCATTCATAGAGAACTGCATTCGCAGAGTTTTTGGAACCAGCCGAATCTGTGGCAATTTTTGTGAGAAGGTCGTTTAATTTGTTTTTGTATTGCGCAGTTTCCTGGGGCGCTAGCTCAAACATCAACCGCAATGTATACAAGAGTTCCACTTGCAGAAATGGATCACAAGTTCCGCTGACATCGTACTCCGCACTGAAATTGGTGGAGTTCATATCTTGAAGTATTGAAAAGAACTCCGGAATTTTGTGCACTATGGACTGCAAAATCTCAGGATAATTGTCGTATTCGTAGCGCGACCGACAGGAGACGGCGACCTGGCATAGTTTAGCCACACCTAGTAGGCCACCATGGGTACACAACTGCCGAGACTTCAAAATGGATCCCACGTAAGGATAAAAGATTTCAAGTAGGGTGGTGTCTCGTTCGATAAGCTTGGCAGCGCACTGGAGTGCCTTTTTGACGAGAAATTCGTCTGTGGAGCGAGCCAATATGTTTTCGACGTCCGGGTACAAATCGCGAGCCAGTTCTGGAGAAGTCAGCGAACCGAGCGTCGAAAGAGCCATTGAGACTACGTATCTGTTTTGATGATTGAGATCGTTGTTCAACAAGTTGGTGAGCAGCGTGAGAATGTCCTGATGCTCATCCAGCAAAACCATTGCAGCGAGGTAGCCAACCCTCTTATTGCGAAAGTCATCGGATGCAATGAGATTGATGCATTCTACCTGCGCGAAGTGAGTTTTCTCGCCCAAAATATGCAAGTATAGTAGTTTCTGAATATTCTTTCTCCGTTTATCTGGTACCAAATGGTCATCTTTCAGTTTCGTGCGAATTCTCGCCGACTCCTTCGTCACGATAGACCGCTCTTCGGCGAGTGTTTTGGCTCCCCTAACATCTTTGATAAAAGTTCTTAAAGATCCCATCGCACACCTTGAACACGGTCTATGGGGTACACTTCTTGCGAACAGTTTAGTTTTGTCGAGTTTTATTGAATCTGTATATGATGTTAGTTTTATAAATATCGAATATCATTCATTGGAGCAAGGTTAAACAACAAATAAAGAAAGCTTTTAAGCACAGACGAGTCGTTTTGGCGATGTTATGATTTATTGTCGATTTTTAAATACCACCAAAGTTCCTATATAAAGGGCAATGCTCGTTTTGCGCTCTCTATCAGCCGTTTCGGAGCAGATTTGGCTTTAAGTTTTTAAGCGAGATATAAATGATGGTAAAGCCCATTGATGTTGCTAATTGCTTGAGATGGTTTGCAAGTAAACAGCGGCATTAATTTTTTACATGGACTTTGTATGTTACAGAATGTCTTAGACGTCCTGGATCGTGCTTGCATTGCGGTTTAAAGTGGGTGACTTTTTGGTTTAAACGTGACAACACGACACTCGTTTACTTTTCGCACTTCCATTCTGCTGAATGATTTGACATTATGGCTAAATGGTACAATCACATATTTTAGTGCGAACTGTGTCTTCCCCGGCCCGGTCATATATTCTGTCGTTTTGTTCTTTGACACACACAAATGGCAGGAAACCCGCTCACGACCAATTTACTCCACTTTTGGATAAACAAATAATTTCAAACCAAACGCAAAGTCCCAATGCACTTTTTCCTAGCTCGTGATGCGAGCCTCTCTGACCATTGGCTTCAGCAAGCATTCCATTCAGATGCCTAATCTTTCATCCCCGAAAGAGGTTCAAAATCGTTCCTGCGAAAAAGCTGAAACCCCCATTCTGTCCCGAATAATTCCACCAGTGCTATACAATGGCCCATATAATTGGCAATCGAGCCTGCGAGTCTTCCTCAGTCTTCCTCAGTCTTTCCAAACTATCATGACAGTGACAGTATCGTATCATATGACCCTCCACTAACAATTGCATTATGATGTACGAGATTTCAATACCATGCTTGTGAAAGCTTAAACGTCAGTTGTTGATCCTACTGAGTTCAAAACACTCTTCTTTACAGACGCTGAGGGTGTTCAGAATCCGAGCGACAATTGAAAAGTGGTCTACACTTTTGTTTGAGAGCTCTGGGACACCGCTGTTGGACCTAGTACTCATTTTTAAGGCGGCATCGCAAGCCTTGGTGGTTGAACTAGCTGCAAGGAGACGAAAGCTGCTGATTGCAACCAGAGAGAGATAATAGGATATACCTCACTTGTGAATCGAGGAATCTTGAAAAACACTGTGTTTATTGTCCGAATAACGTTTTATATTTGTGATTACAAAGGTCGGAACGCATGCCCTTCTCGCGTCCGAAACCGTTTGCTATGGTCGACGACCAGAAGATGAGTTCACAGGCTTCAGCTGAATACGAAGCTCGCAGAAGATCCTCTTCTATCAAAAATGCTCTTACAAGCATGATTAAGACCGGATCTACCAATCTCAGCTCGGTAAACGGCCATCAGCGCCCGCGTTCCCAGTCAGGAGCGGCACCTGTTTCCACTTCACACACAGGCTTTGCTTCCCTGCATAGCTCTTTGATGTCGCACGGAGGCTCACCGAGACTTTTACACAGCTGCGACGATCACGGAGTAGCGCCGAATGAATTGGCCCTAGCAGAAAATACATCAAAACCAGTGTTCAGCGAAGACGAAGACGAAGAGGCAGATATAGAGTCAGGTGAAAATTTGTCAGAGCCTGAAGAGCTCCATACCAACTTCAGCGCTCATACCTTGAAAATGCCCGCTAACCATTTAAATGGTCGGAAATATCTACTCGAGTATCTCTCCGAAAGAGGATTCCTGCAGCCGAAAAGTCTGACCTCCAACAGAGATATCAGTATTACTCTAGCTACATCCTCGGATGTTGTCTTTTTGCCCACCGTTTCGTCTCAGGATGACGAATACCTTAGCCATTTAGCAATGCTGAACGGCTCAGAGCCTACATTTGAAGAGACCACTGCTTCCAGTAGACGTGAGCCAACTTCATCATCCACAGCCCATCAAAACTCTGAGTCTAGGGAGGGCGTGTCCTCAGTCTCACCCGGAGGGCCCTCGATTGACGCGGACGGTAAGAATGTTCTTTTCAACTTGGCAGTCATCGTATCATTTAAGAGGCCAACAACAGTTACAAAAATAAAGGCCGAGCTTTTCTCAAAGGTTCGAATCTATTGGCAGCATGGAGTGCCACCAGAGAAAGCTACAAATGAAGAATATTACACTTTAGGAGAATTGAAATGGGAACTTACAGAGGAAAACTACAGTCTTTTCATCCCCCGTCATTTGTCCACAAAAAACAAGATCGTAGAGCGTACAGAAAACTCTATCAAATCAGCCTTATTCAAGAATAACGACGATTTGCTTTCACAGAATTATACGAAGAGAAAGGATTCCGACGTTCGACTCGCTTCGTCCTTAGATACTCTTGACAAAGAACGAACTTTTAAATCGGGTGAGTACGTGTTCTTGCTTCCAGTATTCTTCTCCAGCAATATTCCAGAAACTCTTTATCTGCCCTCTGGGCGAGTCAGCTACCAGTTCCGCTGTGCAACAAAATTGTCACCCAATAATTTCACGAATAGCGACTCGAAAAGTGACACATCTTCCTCTAACTCAGCCTTGTCCCATGCTTCTGAGGATCAGCACGCAGAGCCATCGAGCCACAACAAATTCGCCGGTAACAAACTTTTAAGAAAAGTGCGAGATCAGTTTCAGGCAAGTTCTGGTGATAAGACGATTGCACAGCGAAATGTTATCAAGGCAGATCAGACAATTCAAGTGGTGCGCATGCCTCCTACAATTTCCGACTTCACAGCTGACAAGCCCATTTACATCAACAGAGTTTGGAATGACGCGTTGTCGTACGAGGTCTCGCTATTGAAAAAGTACGTTCCAGCTGGGAGCAAGATACCCATCAGAATAAAACTATCTCCAATAAGCAAGGACACTTCGGTGAAGAGGATTCGGGTGAGCGTTATTGAAAAAATCACTTATGTTTCCAAAAATTTGGAGTATGAGTTTGATCAGACCGAGGCTATCGCAAACGATCCATACAATCCTTATTATTCGGAGTTCGTCTGCAGGCGTAAACAAGAGCGAATTCTGCCGCTATGGGAAATACGATCGAAGGAAAAGGGTTGTAAAGCAATGAAAGAGGACATAGTCGAAAACTGCCGGTCAGAAAATCTTTTATCGTTCTCTTCCGTACCGTTGGAGGGAAAGGATGGTAGTAATACCACGGATATGGTGGATCCCTTGGTCATTGATTCGGAAATAAGCTTCCCGAAATTCACGGCCTTGGACAAGAGAACATCGAGAACTGTACCTCCTTATGGTATTGATGAGTTTATGAATGCACAAAACCCATCACATCAGCCGCAATCTACTTCAAGTGGTCCTTTGCCCAGGAGAAACAGCGCTGCATCTGGCGTAATAGGGTTTTTCGCAGGCCGTCGGGTTAGCACTCCTTTCGCCTCGCGTCGCGCTTCCACGTCTAGCGCTGTCGAGCCCGACAGATCCACAACAACTTTCAAGTCTTCTTCCAATATAAGAGTAAGTGCTTACAGCCGTCTTAACGAGCCCAAACGGGGTCTGTACTTGGACTGTGTGAGCTTCAAGAACATCCACGTGAAGCATAAGCTAGAAATCATGCTGCGAATCAGCAAACGAGCCAAGGACAGCTCCAGCAGTGAGAAGCATTACGAGGTCTTAATTGATACGCCAATAATTATTGTCTCCGATCTTTGTGGTAGTTCGAATATTGAACTACCGACTTATGATGTCGCGACTCGCATGAACTTGACTGACACGATTGCTCCTCCATCTTTTGAGGAGGCTGTCTCTGTTCCTGGATCACCTGTAGCTTCTCCTCTCGCTTCTCCAATTGGAACCCCAAACGTTTTTGGCTCCTACGACCCCGACGATTTATCCATAAACCAGTTATCCCTCTCCAGGGCTACCACTCAGAACATGTCTTCAGACTCTTCGGTATTAAACATGCCAGCTCATCCAGACAGACGCTATAGCAATATAGATTGCCTGATAAACGCTTCTCCTGGTGGCTCCGAGTCGAAACTGTTCAAGGAAACCTTCGAGTTTAAACATTCTACTAGCACGCCGGGACCCACGCCAGGGTCTCCAAGCGATGATGACGAGCCTCCTGAATATGAAAGGTAAAGAAGGACTTATGCAGAAAACATAGATATTTGTTATGAAGGATTTAGACAGCATCAATAGTCACTAAATTCTAAGAACTCCGCGTGCTTGGTTGACGCCAACGGTGCTAATCATGCGAAGGCCTGAGGCGCCAAAGGGGAAATAACTGACGGCGTAGTAAATTACGGCGACCAATTCTAGAAGCGCGCATGGGATCGTAAGCAACGCAGATTTTTGGAACGCTGCAAAGTAGATCGTCAGAAAGCAGGAAGCAAAGAAGAACGCACTGAAAGGCAGCCTTTCCCTTGAACTTATGTGTTTCAGATACGCCACGGGGCCCTGGAGCACGCCGAACGCTCCCACGAAAAGCAGCGAGCCCATCGACCAGAGTAATCCAAATTTGCGAGGCTTGACTGCCAGCACCGGCAGCAAAAACGCACACAGCGTAAAACAGGCCACAGATCCCAGAATGCAGCAAACAAACAACATCAAACGCTCCACCCGTGTTAGTGTGAACCATGTGGGCTCTTGATCCTGGACGAGATCCTGCTGAGTCATTGGCAGACGTTGATACACATTTTGGGCTCTGGTGTTAAGGGAATCTGCCCAAGAGGCAAACAATGTTTTCGCTCCCTCATTGAACCCCTGTGAGTGCTGTGAGCGAGACTCATTCCATCTGTTAAGTGAGTCCCTAAGCGTTGCTTCCTGTCGGTCTGCCATTCCTAATCCTTATATATATATGTGTGTATGTAGATGCACCAGACTTATGCTACAGAGACGCTAGAATAGATTTGAAAAAGGTTTATTGACCTTGTTCCGACCTCTACGTATATAATACCTTCTCCTCTGGTGGAAACAGCTATTAAGCCTACCTAAACGTCCTGAAAGTTGTACTAAGTTGTGTATCATTGATGTTCAGTGAAATTTAATGTTATTTGTTACTAATTTTTGTTCTTGACAAGACGGCTACATCCGAACAAACATCCATTCGATGGATTGACAGGGTCAAAACCGACCGATAAGTGAGCTCACTGCACCAACTCAAAGCCAACTAGCGTTAGTTACACACCGGAACTCAAAGTTTGATGATGGAGATCAAACAAGACGATGAGGACTTTATCAACGAGCTGCTGGGCCACGCGGGATTAGGCGACCTTGGCGGGGACATGGGCGCGTCTCTAGCTGCAGCTGAAGGTGGAGGCTTTATTAGAAGCCATTTGGGTGTAGAAGATCACTACGAGGGAAGCAGTCTGGCGCGGGACTCGATGAGAGGCAGTTTATCAATGAATTACCTGGAAAACTCCACGCAGCACGGACGCGAGCCGGGACAGTCCATCGACGAAAGTCTTGCCCAGCAAGCGTCTCAGCAGTTCATGCAACAACCGGATTTCATGATGGAGAGCCTTCTTTTCCAACACGAGCCCTACCAAAGGGAACTTTCGAACGACGACCAGTTGTCAAGCTTCACGGATGACCCGGTATCTTCGTCCCTGGGCTCAAGCATCGCAACGGCCGACTTCATGTCGCCACGCTCTTCTTCATTACAATACCATCCATTGCAATCGCAGCAGCCACGAGAGTCGGTGGACTTGGCGTCTTATTCGCAGTTTCTGTCGTCCAGTCTCCGATCACCACCAAGCAGTCTACGGCAGGGAAATTTTCTTTCAAGCTCAATGCGAGCCCAACCACCGCCACACTCCTCGGTTGGTAGCGTTGCCCAACAACAACCGCTCTCTATCGACTCCCCCGGATTTAATGCACAGGCCTCGCAAGACGAGAGACTACGTCGCCGTCGAGAGTTCCACAACGCGGTCGAAAGAAGGCGACGAGAGCTGATCAAACAAAAGGTCAAAGAACTCAGCAAGATTGTGCCTCCGAGCCTGCTCAACTACGACGACAAGGGCAAAGAGGTGAAAACGAACAAAGGTGTTATTTTAAGCAGGTCTGCAGATTATCTCCAGTATCTGCAGCAAGTGCTCGAAGTACAAGACCGCAAGCGCCAGCTTTTGCTACAAAAAATAGGAAATTTGGAAGCGCTTGCGCAGCAGCGTCATCAAACAAACCCTTCACGAGCTGGTGGCAATACTGGCGCCGGCATGCATACTCAAAATCACACGACGACGATGGGGGCCGCTGGTAGTGCTTCTCCGGAACAAATCATCGACGCCAGAGTCACTCCCTACATGGGGGACAATTCATCATCTACGCCATCTACCACGGTACAGGACGACCTGCAGCAGTTTTTATCGGGAGACCTGATCGAAGCGGAAGACAATGCAAAACTGATGTTTGGTGAAGGTGACGGAACGGGGACGACAGCGGACTTTCTGCTGAATTTTGGAAAATAGACAATTTATTTAAGAGAATAAATAGCGCACCACCAGACTTACAACTTGATCGCAATCAATCCAGCCAAATATTTGCCTCTTTTCAGCCAGAAAGCCCAGAGATTTTCACCCGTTAAACTCGGACTAGTGTCCCATGTTAATAAATACACAGTTCATCATAAGTCTTGATAATCGCTATGATACGAATAAAGAAAGCCCGACAAAAACGCACACAAAAAGCATTCATTTCCAAGAACTGAACTACCCTCCCATAGCCATACGTGTTGATATCGCGTCGCTCAAAACACCACGTTAGCCAGTTCATCTTAAATCTGACGCCAGAACACGTGAGTGGTGATCCTAAAGACCATGCAAGTCTTACCAATATAAGTCAACACAACATATCGCGATGACCTAGCGGTATGGTATCCGGGGAGGGTATCGGTCCAGGAATATAAGAAGGGAGACCTTATGTCCTCTTTCAAAAAGGTGAGTAATAATCTCAAGGATGACGGGCCTAAACTTCGAGAGGAGAAACACTTTTCAGACTTCTACCCTGACCTCGATCAACAAGAGCTGTTACCAGTAATCGTGCCCAATGAAAAGGACAATTGCTGCGAAACTGGGCCTCGCAAGGATGAAAAAGTAGCGGTGTTGAAACGCTTCGATTCAGACCGTGAAAACGCAGTGGAATACGCTAAAAATGGCCAAAAAACACACATTAAGCAAATGATCTTCAACGACAAAGTAACGCTTGAACCAATTGCGCTCGATAAAAGTCAAGTGCGATTCAAAAAATGCAAACTGAGCATCGGAAACCTGGTACAAGACCCTCGCGTTTCGCGAACTTATCAAAGATTCGGATATATGACGGGATCGTCTCTCAACAACTTCGATGAAAACACATCGCCGTATATCAAGAGAACAGACGATCTTGCGTTGGCGAAGCCCAACCCGCTCAAGCACATATCCAGGTATCAATCAAATTTCAAAGTGGAATATGACATGGACGAGCAAGACGACCTGTATCTCAGGTACCTCAACGAGATCCGTATTTCAAATCCTACACACTACCTAACGCACGAGATCTTTGAAATAGTGATGAGTGTTCTGGAAAATGAGTGGTTCCATCTTGAGAAAAAAATCCCACCAAGAATTTCCACCACGTCTGAAGTCTCGAGCCAGGAGACAAGAGCAGCCTGGGCTCATTACGAGAGTTATGGATCTGACGACGGGACCGGCCATGTCGTAGACCAGCCATGTGCCGTTTGTGGGCTGACGGAGTGCGACAATTCAAATGCTATTGTGTTCTGTGATGGTTGTGACGTGGCAGTGCATCAGGAGTGCTATGGGGTTGTATTCATCCCGGAGGGACAATGGCTCTGTCGTAGATGCATGATATCTCGAAACCGAAAAATAAATTGTCTTTTCTGTCCCAGTCATACTGGTGCATTCAAACAGACTGATCGCGGTTCCTGGGGCCATGTGGTATGTGGACTCTGGATTCCAGAGCTTTTTTTCGTTAATTCGCATTATATGGAGCCCATTGATGGCATAGATATGATACCGCGGTCAAGATGGAAGCTCACTTGCTACATTTGCAAGCAGAAGGTCGGAGCCTGCATTCAGTGCTCGAACAAGAATTGTTTTACTGCTTTCCACGTAACGTGTGCTAAGAGAGCAGGTTTGTGCATGGACTTCGGCTCTTGCTCTATAGTTGAAGCCTCGTCCAATGCTCCTGGGGTAAGACTGCAGAGCTTTTGCGACAAGCACTCTCCGCCAGACTGGCCAGACTGTAAAGAGGGAATAGCCAAGACCAGGAATTATTTTGCCGCAGCGAATAACCGTACAGAAAGTGATGACACACCTTTAAGAGAAAAACAATCCACCTCTGTGGCGAAAGGCAAGTGGACAACAAATCGAGGTACACCTATAGCGCCTCAAGTCTTTGCGCGCGTGGTGGAGCAAGTGCTGGAGATATTCAAGGTCGAAAATAGTTCCAAGCTATCAACGGACCTGTGCAAATACTGGTCGATGAAACGAGAGCTAAAGCGAGGTGCGCCTCTTGTGAGGAAGTTCGACCCGTCATCGTTTGGCGCTTTCACGGTAGATGAAATAAACCGGCGTGTAGAGTTTGCACAAGTTCTTTCCAATGACATGAAAAAACTACACGATATGACGAATCTAGTTGTCGAAAGACAAAAAGCTTTAAGCTTGCGCGATGGTGCTGTTAGAAAAGCCCGGGAGCTTTACAGCCATCCTGGAAAATTCTTTCTACGAGAAACTGTAATGAAGAAGGTCAACAACTATTCATCTTATAGGGCCTTGATGCAAGAAAAGAAAACGCGCGATGGATTTAACCGTCAAATCCAAATTTTTCTAGAATCAAAAACCGACGACGATGATGACTGCATAGCTCTCTTTCGAGACCTTATGGAATCATATTTCGCTGAAGTTGAAGATGATGAAAAAGCCAGTCGAAGGATCAAAGGTGAAGCTAAAAAGTTACAAGCTCATGTTCACGTATTACTAGAATCGGTTGAATTTTCTCAGGTCAAGAAGTGGATCGCTCAAGATTTTACCAATCGAAATGGAGACATAAAGCCTGTTCCGTGGAAGGGTCCCCTGCTAATGAAGGAATATGAAATCGATGAAATTGAAGAACTCTCACACGCCGAAACGAAAATGCTGTGGGCTAAATTGGGTGGTCGTTGAGCATCCCGACACTACATGTTGTTGAATGGTCAAATCTGTCACAATAGACGGCACTGTCCATCTGGCATTTACCAAATAAACCATAATCACCTATAGCTTCAAAATTCCCGCCCATAACAGTCGAAGTGTACCCACCAGCACCAACAGTCGCGGTTCTACTTCAATGGGTGTTATAAAAAGAGTATCTACCTGGTCCCAAGATGGGAAGCTAGACTATCTCTCGGTCAATCCTACGAGAGATGAAGTGGCCCATTATAAAGTCGATCCAGAAGACGAAACTGACCAGTCCATATCGAGACTCAATGTAGTGAAGGACTTTGACAAGATTACATGCCTGAGCAACTCAGATACTGAACTGGGGCTCTTAGGTGTCGGGGAGAAGAGTGGAATGGTTCGAATTATGAATATGATTTACGATTTCACGGGACAGGGCACTTCACAGCTTCGAGTGAGAGCTAAACAACAGAGAGCTGTGAACACTTTAGGAATGAGTAACGGTGGTTTGATAGCTATGGGACTAGACCGAAATCGTAGCGACGCTTCATTACAGGTGTGGGATGTTAATTACCAAAGCACCGACTCGGACGTTGTCAACCCATCATTCTCCTACTGTATGAACGAAACCGTGGTATCACTCAAATTCTTAGACGACACCACGCTCATAGCGGGTACGAATAAGCTTTTGAAGGAAATTGATCTAAGGTCTCCGAATCCGGCTTACCAGCATCCAACGCGATTATCTTACGATATCAAGCTCAACCCATTTAACATGTGGCAATTTACGACCTACGGTGACGATGGAACTCTCTCGATCTGGGACAGGCGTAAACTTGGCTTGAGTTTGTCGTCCAACGAATCTATAGAGACTCAGCCACTCCTCAAATTTGAAAAACTGATGGGCGCCGGGGTTGCCTCGAGGAAATATAGCAACTCGTGTTTTCGATGGTCGGCAGTCCGTGGTAACGAGTTTACTACTTTGCACGGCGGACAAATCATCAGAAGATGGCGGCTGGGTAGCTTTCCCACTCAAATAAATGGTAACGATTCCAATGGAAACGCGGAAAATCCTACCCAAAGTGATTCCCTGTTCATATCTACTGTCCATGACATAAACACAACATACGATAGAGTTGTGACGTTTGACTACATCCCTCGAGAAGACGGATGTGCGAACTTCATATGCATGAGACAGTCAGGAACCCTGTTTAGAATGGCCTTGAGAGAAAGTTTATCAAAGACCGCTTTCAACTGCGATAATAACCTACTCATCGCAAATAATGAACGAACTAATGTAGAAGAACTGAGAGTTGCGAACATGGATGAGACAGTAAGAACTAACGACAAAGAAGCGGCACAGAAGAATCTATCTTTCGAAGACCTAGATTTGAGCGACGAAGATGATTCTTTGATAGGGGGAGTGAAAAACGACACCGATGCAAATGGCATAGATTCTTCAGGTACTAGTTCCAGAAGTAGCGACGACCAAAAAGAGACCAAACATCTCGTGGCATCCGATGGGGGGCTTGGCTTTCTTTTGAGGCCAGAAGTATTACTTCAAAATGACATTAGCATGATAATGAAAAGACGCGCGTTGCTAAACTATGGGCTGGACCCTCTGAAGACGGTGGAGCTCATTGACGCATCCAAGTCCCTACAGAATAATGCTTATATCAGAAACACGTGGAGATGGTTGTCGATCGTGAAGGCGTCGGTTGATGACGGAACTATGGTTTCGGGCGAACTTGATCTAGGCTATGAAGGAATTCTCGGCATTTGGAATGGTGTGGAAGGTCTTTCGCGGCAAGGTACAATCTTAACGGAGAAGCAGCTGAGTAAAGAACTGGAAAAGATTATTCGAATGAAAGGAAAATATAGATCAAAAATGGGCGAATCCAAGGGCACAACATCATTCATCAATTCTTCCAAGCCTATTCAGCGAAAACTATGCATGATTGTTTCAGGCTGGGATTTGCATCCTTCTGATTATGAAGAGAAATATAAGGGTATGATCAAAGCCAATCATTATGAAAAAGCTGCAGGTTGGGCAGTCTTTTTCGGTGATGTTACGAAGGCTATCGAGATTCTGAGTTCTGCAAAGAAAGAGAGGCTGCGCTTGATCGCTACTGCAATTGCAGGCTACCTCGCCTATAAGGACCAATCCGGAAATAATGCCTGGAGGCAGCAATGCAGGAACATGTCGTCGGAGTTGGACGATCCTTATCTCCGAGTTATCTTTGGGTTTATTGCGGACAATGATTGGTGGGACATTTTATCCGAATCTGCCATTTCGCTAAGAGAAAGGCTGGGAGTCGCATTACGATTTTTGAATGATAAGGACCTCACTCGGTTTTTGCAGAGAACGGCCGAGTCCGTAATTTCCAATGGAGAACTAGAAGGCCTGATCTTGACTGGTATAACACCTAGTGGTGTGAAGCTGTTGCAGTCGTATGTCAACAAGACTAGTGATGTCCAGACTGCAGCACTCTTGTCCATATACGGGTGCCCACGGTACTTCAAGAGCCCCCATGTTGACGAGTGGGTGCACACATATCGTATGATGCTCAATTCGTGGGAGCTTTTCCCAGTCAGAGCTAAGTTTGATGTTTTGCGTGGCAAGTTATCGCGAACCGCTCGCTCTCCGTTAAAGGGCAGTTGTCGACCTCGTCAGCTTTACATTCAGTGTCCCAAATGCAGCAAAAATATCAACAATCCAGTGGATCTTTCTACAACTTCTCTAGGCTCAAGCACAAGCTCCGGTGCAATGAAAAGCTTCGGTAGTGGAGGCGGCCCAAAAAAGTTTGGTCTCAACAATGCTTCACCGTCAAATGCTGCATTTCAAAAACATTCATGTCCGCATTGTGGAACACCCTTTCCACGATGCGCTATTTGCTTGTTGCCGCTGGGTACGGCCAATTTGCCCATTGTTATCAGCGGCCGAGACAGAGGTCAGACTGAGCAGGACGAAAATTCACAAAGCCTACACGATGCTCGTCGACTAAAGCTTAATGAATGGTTTAGCTTTTGCCTGGCGTGTAATCATGGTATGCACGCGGGTCATGCCGAAGAATGGTTCGAAAAACACTTCACATGTCCAGTTCCAGGTTGTACTTGCCATTGTAGCCAATTTTAATAAGCAAGCAAGTGACCTTGAGACTTTTCGGACTGTTTAATAGTGGCTACCTCAATGAAAAATGAAAAAGTTTCAAACCGCCTGGAGCGGTTCAAAGAGTTGTGGCATGAAGACTCTTAAGTTTCTGTGATATAAGCGGCAGTAAAAAAAATTGGTAATTCTTTATTGCACGACATTAAATATAAGAAAGTTATTAGAGAGCACGCACCGCTATAAGCTGTGAATGCCCATTTTCAGTAAGCATCGGGCCTGGCGGCTTAATAACAGCCGTACGGGACACCGATGTCAGTGTTATGATATCATCATTTTGAAGCGCTCTGTCATCTGTCGTTGGATCACATGATCTGGAAATACATAATTGTGCATTTGAAGATATACTCAAGGGAAGATGATGGATAGACGAGCGCAACAAACAGGGTGAGTTATATGAATTTTAAGCGTTTTTTTGTGAATCTTTTGATGATTCAGATCACAATCCCTCAGAATAGCTCAATTAACTTCCAGGCCAAGATTTTATTTGTCGATTTTCGATTATGGAGTAGGCAACAAGATGAATGTTATTTACTCACAAAATAATAATGATTTCAATCGATCTCGTGCCGTTCAGCAAACTTTTAAAGGTGTTTGATGTAGCTGGCTTTTAAGGTTGAGGATCTCGTCGACACTTTGTCATTTTTTACCCACGCGTCGCTGATACATCTATCATTACCTACGAGGTATGATTTGCTTGTCGTTTTACACATTCTCATGCCAGTGTCGACAAGTTCATTACCTTCTACCAGAAGATAATCTCGATACGCCTTCTCTCTGAAACCCAGACCAATTCTATTGTAGCGAAACCCCTTACAATATATAAAATGTTGCCAATATCAAAGAAGAATCAAAACATTAGCATTAGAATGAATAAGAAAACTGGTCAAAAATCAAACCATTCGTAGCTCTAAATTTATGTTATATTCAGAGTTTTTAAAAATAGTGAAGGCTCTTTTTTATGGCGTTCTCAAAACAAAATTAAAGTCAAGCGATTCGAAACTCGACATACCAGGAGTCTTGGAATTTTAGTACATGGAAAAAAAGCAGTTCTGATATCACAACGATTACCAGTCAGAAACAAATTCAGATTGCTAAAAGTAGCTCGTCCCATTGATTTCTTGAGCTCGACGTCTCAAAAACCTTACTTCAAAACCCAGTCACTGTACACGTGCTATTTAATATATTTTCGTTAATGCCTTTTGTATCAAGATCATCAGAATCCCGAACAAGATCCTCTCGAAGTCCTAGATCAGACAAGTGCTACGACAAGAGCAAGTGCGTTACCTGCAAATCATACCGCGGTGGTATCATATAATTTGGTGGTGTATCTTTGTCTCCTTCTTAAGTCGAAAAAACCAGAACGAAAAACAAGCATCTAGGCTTACTGGTGGGCTTTGATCTGTGTGAAACACACTCAGCTAAGACCGTTCTTGTACCGGTTTACAGGCATAAGATAGATAAAGACAGCGCTGGTTCAAAATGTTGACTAAGGTTGAACAGGACATCCGGCGTAAAGTGGAGCGTGAGCAAAATATCATCCAGGGCGCGACGCAGCTTAAGAAGAAAACCGACAATGTAATGGTGATCCAGAAGTGTAATACCAATATCAGGGAAGCGCAGCAAAACATCCAGTACCTTGAAGACACGCTCCAAAAACTGAAGCTTAGCAATGGGGCTGATGCTCAGAACGCGTCACAGAAGCGAACAAGCCACGGCTACGGCCAGCTGTCTACCATCGCGCCAGACGAACACGTTTTCTCGCGGCTGGATCTTATGAAATACGACTGTCCCTCTTTGTCCCAGCGAATTCAGTTCATGCTTCAGCAGCTGGAGTTCAAATTGCAGGTCGAGGAGCAATATCAAGAAGCTAATGAAAAATTGACTAAATTGTACCAGATCGATGGCGATCGGCGCAGTAGCTCTGCAGCGCAGGGTGGCTCAAGAGAGTCAAGGCAAAGAATACAGCTTTTGAAGAGATCATTGAAGAAGTATCAAGCTATCAATGTCGATATAGATCAGTCTAAAGACCATGAGGTAGGCTCGAACGGGATGCAGCCCAAGTTTAGACGTAAACAACTCACGGGCACGCTCACCATAGGAATAAGTGCCATACGCGATGTCGACCATGTTCAGTCGCCCATGTTTTCCCGAAGCCCGGAAACGTTTATTACTATAAAAATAGACGACATGGTTCAGGCAAAATCTCGACCCTCGCGAACTGGCAGGTGGCAGGAAGACTTCCACATCAATGTTGGCAACGGAAATGAGGTGGAGATCACTGTTTATGACAAGATCAATGAACAAACCGTTCCTGTTGCCCAGATGTGGTTGTTATTGTCAGACATTGCTGAAGAGATCCGTAAGAAAAAAGCTGGACAAACGGGTCAGATCGATTGGAAAGGAGGTGCAAGGGTAACTAGCCCACCAGAGATGAACGATTCGCGTAGCGGTGCAATTGAGTCCACGGCTGGGAGACTCGACACTACTTTCAGCGAGGATTCGACCTCGCAGCCACTCACAACTAGCTTGTGGTTTGTGCTCGAACCTGCGGGGCAGATACTACTGAACCTTGGATTTAGTAAATCGAGTCAACCGACAAACAAGCATTTGATGAGAGGTCTTCATCGTCACGGTGCCATCATCAATAGAAAAGAAGAGGTTTATGAACAGCAAGGACACCATTTTGTTCAAAAATCTTTTTACAATATTATGCGTTGCGCTTATTGTGGGGAATTTTTACGTTACTCAGGCTTTCAATGCCAAGACTGCAAGTTCCTGTGCCACAAAAAATGCTACCAGCACGTAGTTACTAAGTGTATCGCGAAGGCCAGTACTGAAGCGGACCCTGAGGAACCTAAGCTCAACCATTGCATCCCACATAGATTTGAACCTGTATCCAATAGAGGTACCAAATGGTGCTGTCATTGTGGCTATATTCTTCCATGGGGTAAAAAGAACTTGCGTAAGTGCACCGAGTGTGGCATTATGTGCCACTCGCAATGTGCACACCTTGTTCCAGATTTCTGTGGGATGTCTATGGACATGGCCAATCAAATATTAACGGCCATTCAAGACACTCAGAGATCTCAAAAAGAGAAGAAAAAGATGCAGGCGAATACACCTTTGAAAGTTGGCGACGACAGCAAAAACCAGCTCACAAATAGCCCTGTCAAGCCTTATCAAACTTCCGGTAAGCCTTTTGAACACAAGCAATTGCCACATTCCCCTACGCATATGAACTTCGCGGACGTTGTAAACAATGGGCAGGACCATCAGCATCACAAGCACGATTATTTTCAACCCGAGCTTGCGGTTCCGTCGCAACAACATGTAGCACAGGGCGTAGCTCCGGAAGAGGAGAGAAATGATATTCTAAATCACAGGCTCAATAACTTCATTGAAGAACACACCAATTACAAAGCTTTTACCGACGCCGCAAACTGCACAGAGCACGCTGAGCCTGAAGAAGAAAATCAAACTCTTGACGCTTCCTACTCCCACAATGCATTTGAAAGCAGGCCTGACATTTTTGAGGAAGGTGGCGAACGACAAGTCAAGGGAAATGGCTGGAAAAATGAGCATCAAAAATACGAAGAATTACGTGAAAACCGGTACGGAGATGAGTTCGAGATTTCGACAGCATTGCAAGGTACAGAAATTGTTGATTTAAATACTAAAGCACCTCCTCACCGAACAATCATGAGCTCCAGAAACAATTTCGATCATGTATCCTCACCTGGCTGGGAAACGAGCGTAAATGCCAATGATCTTCAACCTGCAGTGACGAACGGAAAACCGGAACTTGTGCTCGATCACAAAGGTGAAATAACTGATGGGGCAGCTTCCGCTGTGGCTCCTCAAACCAATGATCTACCAGTTTCATCTCGTTCTCCTCAACGCTCTCATGCCAGTGGCAAACACAGGAAAAAGGCTTCAAAGCGTCGGAAAATTTCATTAGACGATTTCATTCTATTGAAGGTTCTCGGCAAGGGCAATTTCGGTAAAGTACTGCTTGCCAAATCAAAAAATAACGAGCGCTTATGTGCTATTAAGGTATTAAAGAAGGATCACATTATAAAGAACCATGATATTGAAAGCGCGAGGGCAGAAAAGAAGGTTTTCCTACTGGCGACAAAGGCAAGGCATCCGTTTTTAACGAATTTGTACTGCTCTTTCCAGACCGAAAACCGCATTTACTTTGCCATGGAATTTATTGGTGGTGGTGACTTAATGTGGCATGTCCAAAATCAAAGGCTCTCGGTGCGTAGAGCCAAATTCTACGCGGCTGAGGTTTTACTGGCTCTGAAATACTTCCATGACAATGGTGTCATTTACCGTGATTTGAAGCTTGAAAATATCCTGCTGACACCCGAAGGTCACATCAAGATTGCGGATTATGGATTGTGCAAAGATGAAATGTGGTATGGAAATAGAACCTCTACTTTTTGCGGAACGCCAGAGTTCATGGCTCCGGAGATTTTGAAGGAGCAGGAGTACACAAAGGCTGTTGATTGGTGGGCCTTTGGTGTTCTGTTGTATCAGATGCTTTTATGCCAATCTCCATTTTCTGGTGACGATGAAGATGAGGTTTTCAATGCTATTCTCACGGACGAGCCCCTTTACCCTATCGATATGGCGGGAGATATTGTTCAAATATTCCAAGGGCTTCTCACTAAAGATCCTGATAGACGTCTGGGTGCGGGTCCTCGTGATGCCGCAGAAGTCATGGCTGAACCGTTTTTCAGAAACATCAATTTTGAAGACATTCTTAATCAAAACGTTCAGCCGCCTTACATTCCCGAAATTAAAGCTGCAGACGACACTTCCTACTTTGAAAAGGAGTTCACATCTGCTCCCCCTACACTGACACCACTCCCATCAGTCTTGAGCTCCAATCTACAAGAAGAGTTCCGAGGCTTTTCTTTCATGCCTGAAGACCTATTATTATAGAACTACGCATAAGAGACGTCGTCGCTCAAATTGGGCGACAGCCATGATAAGCATAGATAAACTTTATGAATGTAGTCTACAAAATGCTACAAGTTGCTAATCATAATTAACCACTGACACTTTACTGTTTATCGTCTAGTGCATTGTATAGATGTTCGTTTATGATATAATCTTAAGCGTCAAAATCAAGACTACAACTAATCATAAGCCTCTAACAGACAAACCAGACAAGAGTCGTCACTCAAGATTCTCTAATCATGTTTAAGAGCAGGCGACTTAAAAGCGTATCCAATGCTATTAAAACAGCTTCGAGCAGTGATGTATCAGTGGGTTTGGGACCCAAAATGTTTGATATAAGAGAAGTTAGCCGTTACGGAATGAACGGCACTGTTAAAGCGCTTGCCTTCGACCCAGTCCAGAGTTTACTGGCCCTTGCAACTGATGCGGGAGAAATTCACGTATACGGTAAGCAGCAAGTGGAGGTTGTTTTCACGCTAGACTCCAAGGCTATTGTTAAGGAATTACGTTTTGTGAAAGGCATCTATCTGATTGCAGTGGATTCTAAAGACTCTGTATTAGTGTTGTCGCTGTATTCCAAGAAGGTCTTGACAGCTTTCTTCGCACCAGGCAAAATATCCTGTATCGAAACCGATCCATCTCTGGAATGGATGTTGATCGGTCTTCAGAGCGGTTCCACAGTGATATACGACATTGACAAAGATTGCATTTCTCCCATGCGGATCGAGAACTTGCAAAAAACGACTCTCCCACAAGAGCACTTGTCAGAAGTTGTTTCAATTCAGTGGAATCCTAGGGACTATGGCACTGTTTTGATATCATATAAGCTTGTGACAGTGATTTACTCCATAGTAGAGAACAGGGTCAAACAGCAGTTCATTTACACAGTGCCACCATTCGCCCCAGGTGGAGACCAGAGTGGAAACTTGAAGACCGCCAGAACGCCCGAGGTGTGCCAATCTATGTTCCACCCTAATTCTCTGCATATCTTAACAGTTCATCGCGACAGCTCTTTAGTGTTTTGGGATGCAAACACTGGTAAGCTACTACATGCACGGTCGCTGTTCGAAACAGATGTAAACGTCCCTCGAGACACCCTGGAATCCGCACCACAGACATTGTCTCAAATTTTGCAAGTTTCTTGGATTTGCGCTACTAACCCAGAATACACATCGCTACTTATAGCAGGAGGGTCCATTGGAGAAGGAAACTCGTGTCACAACCTGACAATGATAGACCTTGGTGCCACCCCCATGTATTCTGTTACCTCTTATGAAAAAATGGGGGCTTATTACGCATCGCCAGTTCAACAGAAGGTATTTCCGGTTCCAAATGAGGCGTCCATTACAAGGTTTTTACCGCTAGCCAGAGCTTCCTGCCATTTCTCGGGAAACCACGATCCTGCTATTGTTTTGGTACTCTTAGATGATGGCGAGATCGAGACCGTCTTATTTCCATCTGGCAACATTTCCTATAAAGCATCGCTCTTTCCACAAAGTATATCATGGATCAGACCGGTAGCAACAAAATGCGCAGCCACGTCCGTGCCCAAGAAGCTTTGGCTAGGAATGATGACTTCCACTTACAACAAAGACTTTCTTTTGAAAGGTGGGGCTCCAATCAAAAAGCCTTTGAGAGTACACGATACGCGTTCAGCGCTGGCTACAGGTCATAAAAACGGATCCGTAAGGATATGGGATGCTTCTCATGGGGAACTCGACGATAGCTCCGTATTTGATGTCAGCGTTTCCCATGCCCTGAACAAAAGTTTTGAGGTTGCTGTGGATAATGTGTCCTTCGCATCTGAGACTGCTGAGCTTGCGGTCTCGACGGGAGGAGGGGATGTCGTTCTATTTAAATTCCAAGCCAATCAATACTTTGGTGCTAATGAGAGCACGAATGAAACAGAGATAAAGCTGAGAAGATTCTCGCTTAACGAAGTCAAAGAGCTTATTGTTGACATCTCTGATCGAGCGCCACGCAAATTGAGAGAAGGGTTCATGCCAAATTGTGCCATTCATGCAAACGCTGGGAAAATTTTGGCTCTGAAGAATAGCAACGTCGGTTTTGTTGCGATGGCTTATGAGAAAGGGCTTCTTATGGTCCTAGACAGAAGGGGCCCTGCCATCATATACTCCGAAGATGTCAAGAAGGTTTCTCGCGAGGGAAGTACATTAATCACTTGTATCGAATTTTCGGTGGCAGAGTACGGAGATGACAGATACTCCAGCATACTGATGACTTGTGGAACCGAACTTGGGGAAGTATTGATTTTCAAGATTCTCCCCGAAACAAGTGGACGTTTCATAGTGCAGGCCATTGATGCAATTAAGACAAACGACCAAGGCCCAATATCCGCTATTGATACATTTTCTAAAACCACTGGCGCTTCTTGTGCCGCAACAATTGCCGCTCTGCAAGAACTTTCAAAAGGTATCCCAGTACCTGCATTCACAGTGGTGGCCGGATACAACGACATTCGGTTGTTCACAGCTGGCAAGTCTAAGGACTCTCACAGGATTTTCAAATCACCAATCGCTACTGCCGGGCTTTGTTTCGTTCGCGTACCCGAAATCGCGAAGAAAGGAAGCTCGCTTGCAGCCGCTATTGTTTGCTTGCTGACCAGCGGCGAGGTCAAGGTCTTTACGGCACCTGAGCTCCGCGAGTTATATTCTACTCGATTGCCAATGCCAGTGCAATCTAAGTATATTAAAGAAGCTTCAATCCTGCGAAATGGTGACATTGTGGTAAGGGTCAGCAAATGCGAAGCAAGCTTATTGACTGTGCTGAGAGAAACGGCTACGAAGACGGACAAGTCTAGTGCAAATTCCGTACAATCAGCAACAGATAGCTTATACAACCCTGCTTTGCGTATTACTTGTCGCCCGCAGGTCAATTCCTTGCAATGGGCTCGGGGATCGATATATGTGAAGCGTGGTGATCTAGACAAACTATTCGGCACGGATCGCAAGCCATACAAGTACGAGGAAAGTAACATTGCAAACGGGACGATATCGCTGGACCCGCAAGAAAATGTCACCAACACACACCAACTGAACGCATATGATGGCCTTCATTCTTACGTTGCTCCAGTACGTCATGCAGCTCGCTCAGAGGCTATGGGAACAATGAGATACATTTCAAGAGCGGTTGAGAACGGAATGGACTCATTAGAAGGTCGGCTCAACGACTACGCTACAGCTACAGGAGAGACTCTTAATGATGCCATAGAACAGACCGGTTCAGACATAGTGAAAGGTGCTTTCAGGTCCAAGATGGGCTTTTAAGAATGATGTTTACATGAATTTAAGAAACTCGTCAGCGATGAGCCAAGCTTTTTTTGATTTTATATTGGGTAAAGCTAGCTAGTCAAACCAAACTAACTTGATCCAGATACAGCAATAAAAAGCTGCTGTGATTCGTTCAAGTATTAAGAAGCGCTATCGTCGAATTTCAGCAAGCGCAACTTCAACGATATGGGCCAAGATCTTGTTTTGAACACTCAGATTCGAATCACAGATCCCAATCTGAAGACTAAGGGCGGCGATGATGTGATAATGCAGACTTTGACAATGAATAGGGATAGATGTTTGAATAGAAAGCTAGTGGACTCGTTTTTTAAAGTGCTGCGACACAACAATGACGACGTTATTCGCCAGAAGTTGAACAATACGGGTGAGAAGAATAAGAAAGCTGTGAATGCAAGGTGTAAGGAGTTCGTCACGCAGGACTTGTATCCCAGTTGGGATCTGCGACTGCGTGCGATTGGGTTTTGTGAAAATGAGGCGTCCTGTTTGAAACGAGAGTTGGACGCTAAACACGGCACTGAATCCTCGGCACAGCGTCCGATTCTGAATGCTCGCATGGACCCTTACGCCGCAGCTGAGAGCACCGCTGTAAGAGAGTCGTACTACCAGCAATGGAGGGAACTTACGCGATGGGTCGACAACCAACGGGGAATTGAGCAGATTTTACAACGCACTGCAGCTGACATTCTCGCCAGGGCTTGCAATCCATACACGTCATATCTAGCCGATTTTGAGAAATTTAGAAAGTCAGTTCAGTAAAGGGAAGATAAGCCAGAACGCTGTCCGGAATTTAAATGACACGGCCACGCATTCTTGAGATTACGATCACTACACTTCACCATTAACGTGAAAACTTCACTCAAATAATAATATACCTGCCTCCACAGTATGAAACGAAAAATGAGTGGGTAAAATTAAGATCTGACAGTACACCTAGTGAACAAATTGCAGTCTCAAGATCCCTGGAGTTGCCCAGTTCTTGGGTGAACCTCTGATCTGTCAGCCAAATGGCCACCATATTTTTGGTCACATGATCCGCTTCTCTGTTTATATCACCAATGACGAATGAGACTTTTTTACTTAAATTACAATCACGTGATAAGAGGTGGGCTGACAACGATGATGAAAGTAATCAACACTTTGAATAAAATCACCAACTTCCAGCTCGAAAGTGTGTACTGGACATCAGAGCACTTGAGTTCCAATTCAGCAAGTCTTACTGATGAGCTCGGAAATTCGTGTGCCCGATTTAAAGGACTACGGCCTGAGTGGCGAGACCGGGTTTTTGCCTGCTGAGTTTCCAGTGACGAGACTGTCCGATCCATACTATGAAAAATGGGAATATGTGGTTAACAAATTGCCTTCGCTGCTGCTTTCGAAGTGCATTAGAACCGTGGTGGATCATTTGCCAGTTTTGGAGGTGAAAAAATCACTTTTGGAAAATATTCCGGAGCTGAGAAGAGCATATTCCGTTCTCTGTTTTATCACCAACGCTTACGTGTGGGGCTACGATGAGCCGTCAGAAGTCCTGCCGGACAACATCGCGAGTCCACTTCTGATAATAAGCAAAAAACTTGGGCTACCTCCACTGGCCAGCTATGCCTCTTTGATTCTTTGGAACTATCAACCAATCATTGATGACAAAGATTTTGTGGATGACGTGATGGAACTGCAAAACTTAACCACTATCAACACTTTTACCGGTGGGATAGACGAAAGCTGGTTTTACCTGGTGAGCGTTTTTTTCGAGAAAACTGGCGGCCAGTGTCTCGAATCGGGATTGGAAGCCATTCGAGCCTCGAGAGACGGCAACTCTGCAAAGCTGCGTTTTGCCTTGGAAAAAGTGGCGCAGGGAATTGACGAACTGGGCTCTATACTCATGCGAATGGAGGAAATGTGCGATCCACACGTGTTTTACTACCGCATCAGGCCCTACCTGGCCGGCTGGAAGAACATGGAGGATGTGGGCTTGCCCAATGGTATTCGTTACGGGACCTCTGGGGAGTACCAACAATATGCTGGTGGTTCTAATGCTCAAAGTTCACTCATTCAAGCCCTAGATATAATGTTGGGTGTCGAACATTTTGCTGCGGGCCATAAAAAACCTCAACAAGACGCCATATCAGCAAAAACAGCTAGCAATTCTTTCATCAATGGGATGAGAATGTACATGCCTCGAGAGCACAGAGAATTTCTTGTCCATCTTCAATTGGTGAGTAATGTCAGAGATTATGTGCTGTCGCATAAATCGGACCAGAAATTAATACTGGCGTATGACGCATGTCTTGCTATGTTGAAGTCTTTCCGCGATAAGCACATTCAAATTGTGACTCGCTATGTTGTTCTGCAAGCTAACAAGAAACCTCTACCGGGCAAGAGTAAGATTTTAAGAAGCGGTCTTTCGAAAGGACAAGGTAAAAAGGTGCAGCAAGGCACTGGTGGAACTTCTCTGATTCCTTTTCTCAAGCAATGCAGGGATGAAACAGGTAGCGTTGCTGCCAGCGATTGGGGTAAAAAGATGTTAAGCACTGGGGTATTGCAGGTCCAGAGCTCGAGCACCATTGTGGGAATTCGTAAGCAGCGGTCAAACGACGAGGATTTGGAGCAAGACTCCAAGAAGAGACCTAAGTTGGGTCTTGCAGGCGATTGGAGCTCTGCTGCCGAAGATGATGGCGGCGAAATCGTGAGTCGCTCTGGAGGACATTGGTGAATAAGTAACTAACTGTACATGATTAAATACGACTAGAAATTATGACTGGCAAGCGTCAAGCAAATATTATCGTTTTTTTGTCGACGATTAATCGATTTCATTTGTATAATGTTCTATGTAAATTAATCACAAGCCTTGGAAGAGCTTGGTAACCTCGTCAGCGTTATCTCCGTAAATTTCCGACAGCTTCTGCTTTACTACCGTAATGAGATCCTTAGCATCAATGAGTTCTCCGTCATCGTCAGCAAATTCAGGTCCCAATCTCTTGACTCTTAATTTGTTGTCTAGATACTCCTCTTTGCCGAGAATGACAGCTAGTGGGCAACCGCACTTATCAGCGGCGTCAAACTGCTTTCTGGGATTGGCCTTGGATTTGTAAACATATTCAGTTTCGATTCCTGCATTCCAGAGTTGCTTAGCCACTTGCAGTCTCTCTGGCAAGTATCCGGACCAGTCTTTACCCCCACCGAAAGCCATCACAAAGATTTTAGTGGCAGTTGGTCTAATGGAAGCATCTTTTTCAGCTCTTTGTTTGATGAGAGAGAATATTCTTTCAATACCGAAAGAAATACCGACGCAGGGGATCTGTCCAGATTTCTTACCAGTGGCCTCTGCAAACATGTTGACCAGGTTATCGTAACGACCACCAGCAGCGATCGAACCAACACCAACGTACTCGGAGGCATCTTCTGTGCTCTTAGACTTTTTCTTTAGTTCCTCAGCGTTCTTGGGAGGAGCCGAAGCCGCGGTGACGACCTCGAAAATGATTCCAGTGTAGTAATCGAGACCTCTCGCGAGCGAAAGATCGAAAGAGATGTAAGAGTCGATCTGGAGAGCTTCTACGTACTTGATGAAAGTAGCCAGCTCATCCAAACCCTCTTTGGTCTTTTCGTTAGCCATAACGTTGGCATCTTGAGACAAGATTGCATGAACTTCTTGGAGGGAGCCGTTCAACTTGACGTACTCGCCAATTCTGTCAGCTGTGGCCTCAGTTTGGCCCTTGTCGACTACCATTTCTTTCTTGACCGCGTCCCATGGAGACTTGTCGAGCTTGTCAACAGCAGAAGAGATTTTCCTCACGTCTTCGTCCTTGACACCGGCGATTTGGAAAATCCCGTCCAGTATTTTTCTGTGGTTGAGCTTGATTTTGAAGTCCTTGATTCCCAAGCTGGTGAAACCCTCCACAAGGATAGAGAGACACTCAGCATCTGGAATCATGCTCTCGTAGTTCCCTGCAATGTCGAAATCGCATTGGTAGAACTCTCTCATACGTCCTTTTGTCATGGCCGGCTGATCTCTTCTGTAAACCTTCGCAATATGGTACCTTTTGATGTTTTGGATGTTGTTCATGGCCACAAATCTAGCAAAAGGCACTGTTAGATCGTAACGCAATGAGCATAATTCTCCACCTTGGTCTTCCAGGTTGTAGATCAATTTCGAGTCTTCACCGTATTTTCCAGCCAAAATGTCTCGCAGTTCGAAGACTGGAGTGTCAAGAGCAATAGCGCCGTGACGCTTGAAAATGGAAGACAAGCTAGAGAAGATTCCGTCCCTGATCACTGTATCTTTATCAGCCCAGTCCTTGGTGCCCTTTGGGGTCTTCAAAGCGAACTGTAGCTTCGATTTTGGAGCTTTTTCTGCCTGCACTGATGTCATACTTGTAAGTCTACGGGAATTGTGCTTTAAGAGATTAAACTTGAAGGTCCTAAAGGCCATTCAAGTTCCAAAACTTGTGAACTGAAGCTCAAATGATAGTAGTTGATCCAAGTGTATCTCGTAAAATTTTCTAATTAGCAGATGGTAGCGTCAGCGTCAGCGTCAGATTGGATCAAAGTGATCATAAGCCAAAGACTCACTTGATGACAGCGTCTTGATGACTGGTAGCGATATCTCGATGTGGTGGGTTTACCAGCGTTTGGAATATATACTTTATGGGATTGGTGAGTGTTTTTTTGTTCTGTTTTATTAAACACGGCGATTTGAACTTTCGATTTCTGCCACTCTGGAGTCGAAATTTTGAGTACTCTTGAATTCGACTTTGCCGTCTGGTCGCACCGTCACATAGCTCAGGTAGTCTTTAGAATTTAGAGCTGGTATAGAGAGTGGCTTTTCGGCAATGTGATTGCGCAAAACAGGCTGGGAGGTTTGAGTAGCAGGCATGAGAACGTTGTGAGAGCTCTGGACTAGCAGAGAACGGGGCCCACGTATCTTGAGGTATTTGGCGCGTCCATTGACCCACACGGTGTAGACGTGCTTAGTCCAATTCCAGACAGCAATGAAAGCCGAAGAGGTCACCTGTCCGAATTGTTTGAGACCGAAAGTTTCAGAATGCTCACTCTCTGGAGAAACGGCTGGAGAATCGGTAAAACTTGGTTTTGAGATCTCTTTTGATGTATTTGGCGAGGTCAAACGGTACTCAGAAACGGAGTTTCTGGCGTCTAGCGCATTTTTGCTGCTAATTGCCAGTAAGTGCTCGCTCTTCAATATCAATTCATCGCATTCGTCTGATAATTCGATTGTGTAGACAGAGCCGGCGCCGCTCAATAGAGCATTACCACGACCTTGCAACACTCTGTAAGCGTTTGGAAGAGCGGAAGAGCGAGCAGAAAAAAATCCAGAGTTTTTGATATCCAGAGACGTGTTGCCTTCGTATCCTATTAAAGAGTTTTCGCCAAACACATACCAGTCCTGGGATCCGTCGAGTGTCAAAAGACACAGGGTTCTGAAAGGCTGCGAAGAAATGCCAAACCACGAAGCCAGCCGACTGTGATTGACATTGGGAGCCACTAGAGCATTGAACGGACGCGGTGAGATCAGCTTGTGGAACAACGCTGGTCGCCACGACCCGTACTTGACCATCGACCACGTGACCCCTAGCCAGTTATGTTCGATGTGCAAGTCCTGCGCGTTGTGGAGCGACACAATGCACCCACGGCGCACGTATAGCGGTAACGATGCTGGCAAGCTTGCCGAGCACAAAGTCGCCGGGGTTCCCAGTGTTTTGAACTTGGACTCCAGAGTTTGATTTTCAAGCCCAAATACAGGCTCCACATCCAGCTTTTGAGCGATTTGTGTGGGGACAACGTTCGAGACGTTCGGCCTGATCAGTGATACGCACCGAACTGCATTTATTCGTCTCAAGCTGCGGCTCATACTAACAGCAGTGGTGTCAGGATCTTGCCTGTGTTTAGCGTGGAAGACAGTTCTTGATGGCCGAAATTGGCTGGTTTCTCATATAGTGACATTTTGAAGACCTCGTTTCGAGTGATACATTTAATAATATACCTATTAAATATGTCACGTGACCGTCTATTTGTATGGTTAGTAGCGTCAGAGCAATGGACTGTTACCTCTTCTTGTCTCATCAATTGCGACCGGATCGTGAAGTTCTGTCGTTGGTTTCAAGTGTTTGTGTCCCTTTTGTCTTTATGCGTAGTCTCATAAAAATTATGAATTCACTTTGTAGGACTGATTTATGAAAACCCAATAGATCGATCTACGCAACGATAAAAAATGAATGTTTAATCGGTGATTGAGACATTGCGCAGCTCTTTTGAGCATGCTCAGTCGCGTATTTTACCCGATTGTAGCGACTGCTTATATTTCCAGGATTGTTGAGGAAAACAAAAAATCAGAACTGCGGCCTGAGAAAAGCTCTGTTGGGATCGCTAGGATAATGACTTGGAGATCGATGCAGTATAGAATTGCTCATTGAAAGTAGATTTTGCTTGGGGACGAAATTAGATGTCTCTTGCTTCAATTGATCTGCTTAAAAAAGGATGCTGGAACTTCTATCTCGCAATTTTATAGCGAGTCTTGAAACCAAACAAAAATCACCAATTTTTCTTCTACTTTCTCGAACTGAAATCACCGCTTTCACCACTTTGGCTGCGAATCCCAAGGTCAAACTCTCTCTATATAGGGCAGCAACCGGTTTCGAGCCTAAAATACGGTTCCCACTGTTTCTTCCCAGCATTCCTCCCAGCAGCCAGTCTTCAATCATTACGCTACTCCTCCTCCGTAACACCCTCTTGCTGCTTCACGAACAATGCGCTGCTCAAAGAAAATATTCTGTCCTTATCTGTAAAAGCGCTGGGAGTGTCATGAGAGTGCTTCCCAAAGCCATCAAACCCTTTGACAATATTCCCAAGCTGACTAGAGCTGTTTCCCTGTAGGTACTCGGTCTCTTTATCAAAGATTTCCTGTTGTAACTGATCTAATCGCTTTTCTTGTTTTTGACGCTCTTCCAGAGCCTCTGAAAGCTCTCGTTTGAGCTTTTCATAGTGAGCTCGATCAGACATTCAAACCCAGTACTCAAATCGCACCCTCAGAGCCTAGGTTCACCAATCTGTGGTGATCTGAATAGTTTGGTTTACACGTAGTTAGGATGTGGTTGAAAAAAAACCATAAATTCAAGAACTATCCAAGGTCAACTTTTAAAGAAGCAGGTCTGAATTTTGGCAAGCAATCGCCCTAGATACACAAGATTGAACTAGCTAAGATGTCGATAGTCATCCACAATGGTACCCATACCACAATTGCTGGCTTCTCCCAGGTGGATATGCCCCAATTGCTGTGTTCCTCGAGCTATACCAAGAGACCTGATGGAAGTCTTGATTTTGATACAGATGAGATTTTAAACGGGCCCGAAACGCCCATTTTCACTATAATGAGCACAGATGGAACTCCTTACGACTGGGAGGCTTTGGAAAAGCAGTGGAAGTGGATCGTGGAAACAAAACTCGGTGCCAAATTGGAGGAGACTCCATTGGTGGTCACCGTGGCTCCCGATATCACAAAGGAAACCAAAAACCAATACTTGGAATTGGCTCTAGGTAGGCTAAAAGTCCCAGTTTTTCAGATGGTTCTGGAGCCCTTGGCAGTTTCTCTTTCGCTAGGACGTAACACCGCGTTGGTCGTTGACATTGGGGCAGCAAAGACCACTGTAACACCCGTTATTGAGGGAACCATATTGTCGAGCGCAGCAATACGGTCGCGTTTCGCAGGGGACTTTTTGGACTTCCAAGTATACGAAACTCTGAAAAAAAGGGCATTCCCCGAGGAGGAAGAGAGTAGTTCAGCCTGTCCCTCATTCACGGCGTGGCACAACTCACACACATGGATCCAAGAGTTTAAGGCTTATATGCTACAAGCTTCTCCTTCAAAGCTGCAAGAGATGGACTCGGCAACGGCAGATATCTTAGGTTTAAACGTGGTCAAGAACTTTCTTTACAAGAAGCATAAAACAGTTACTTTGACCCAGAAAGACTGCTGCTCCATTACCGAAGGTATATTCCAGCCCTCTACGGCTTCTAGCCAGTTCTCAAACGAAGAGGGTCTGTCAAATATTGTCGCGAAAGCAGTCAAGAAAGCGGGCGCATCTACCGCTCAAAGTGCGTCTGCGGCGAACGTGACCTCTGCGGAGCAAATACACACCGCTCTGCTCACCAATATTATTATAACGGGTTCTTCATCACTTATTGCTGGCCTTGAGCAACGTGTTGTAAATGATCTGAGCTACCAATTCCCGCAGTATAAGCTGTCGTCTTTCGCAAACCCTTTGGTGCTCGACCGGAAGCTCCAAAGTTGGCACGGCGGTGTGACTATGGCAAACCTTCCCTCCTGGGATCTAGGAGACTGGGTTTCTCGCAAAGACTTTCAATCCAGTGCAGATGATGAACAGTACTAGGCCCGTAGAAGGAAGATTTCAATGGAGATTCAGCTCAGTAAGATAGATCAATATCGGAGGTTATAGAATTGCGGCATGAATAAGTGCATGCCAAAGGAAAACACTATAGACTTGGCGCTGAGTTGCCAGCTTAATTTAATATTTTCTGTGGACGGAATGGCCAATTTGATTCAGCAATTGACCAGGTTCCAGTAAGGTCCCGAACAGATTGAATTCGAGTTATCTTTTGACTTTGTTTCGAGCTCTCGGGTGACAATTGGTGTCCCAGGTAAGCAAAATTCATTACAAATAAAACGAAAGTCAACCTGCTTGTCGTTCAATTCAGAGTCTTGGTGACGCGCAGAATACCATACTTGTGAGCCCGTGAGCATTTAGAAGAACAAGTTGTGACCATGGACTTGTCACCGTTGTAAGAGTACTTTTCGAGGTAGTACCGCAGTACGAGTCCTGAAGATCGAGTTAAGGCATGACAACTACCATCCCCTCTTATAATCATAGTCCAAGAAAACCACTTCAAAAAGAATACACAACAACCATGCCTCTAGCTCCTAAATATCTCGCCTCTCACACAATTTCAACTACCAAACGATTGCAAGTGGGCAAGCCCCAGGCGCACGTAATTGAATTGTATTTGGATTACTGTTGCCCATTTAGTAAGATTCTGTACTTGAAATGGATTAAAGATGTGATCCCAGCCATAGAGAAGCAATTGAATAAAGAGTTCGAATTTCAGTTTGTGCATGTAGCCCAACCATGGCATCCGTCTTCAGGTTTGATGCACGAGGCAGCGCTCGCAGTTGCCCAGGTCGATTCTGGCCTATTTCAGGATTTCAGCAAATCGTTATTCGAACAACAGGCAAAATGGTTTGATGAGGCATGTTACATTAAGTCTCGCAAACAGATATACGAGGAGCTGGCTTCTCTGGCTACATCGGTCGGTGTTCCGGGAAATGATGTTCTCAAACTTCTGACGATCAATGAGCAGCCTTTTGAACACAATGGCTTTCCTAAGAACGGAGGCAATGCTATTGGCCCAAGCTTGAAGTACTTTACTCGGTACCATCGCCAAAACGGAGCGCACGTAACTCCAACAGTTGCTGTAAATGGAATAATCAATGGAAATATTGGTAGTGGCACTTCCCCAGAAGAGGTGATCAAGCTTTTGGATGCTGCTACATGAGAGATTGTGCTACTGACGACGATAGGGCGACTCTTAACTACAGGATGGGGGTTTAAGTGGGGGTTGAAGCTTAAAAAGCGAAATTAGACTTTGCTGAGAAATCGAGCTTGGGCAATGGCTATGTAGACCAAACTTTTGCGCTCGATGAGAGCTTTCTTGTTAGAGGAGTGCGACTTCAGGAGTTATGACACTTATTTTAGGATGAGAATATTTAATGTCGGAGACAGGTTTAATTATTCATGTTGAGAAATCAATGCTACATTTCTTTGAGGAAATTTGTACTGTGCACGGTCTTCAAATGGTGTTCATCAGCGTAGTGTTTTCGACAACGTCACACTTTCTATAACAATCATCAATTTTTATGAGAAAACTTGATTGTTTTGAGCATTGAGCCACGGTCTGATGCGAGATCACCAAGTTTAGAACCCTATTGATCTCAGACAAAGATGAGAAGACGCTCGAGGTTGCCGAACTTCTGTAAACATGAGCTCGAAAAATTGGTAATTGGTTACCTGGAAAAACACAGACAGGGCAAGTGTGAACTTTGAGCTTTCAAGACACTGGCTGATCGAGCAGAATTATTGCATTTTTATCAAGCCCAATGTATGACGATACCTCAGTCCTTTTGCGATTATCTCCTTCAAATACCATCCAAAGCTAAGCACTGTGTTCTTTCATTTTATACTAAGGCTGACACCATCAACACTTCTCTTTGTATCGCGTGCTGAAGCCATTCGCTACGGTAAATCTACACACTCACACTCACATAGGTTTGAACTTTACACGACTAAATCAGCGGCGACGCACTGTCAAGGGCTCTTTCCAGCGTCAGCCAGTATCGTAATTTGATCGCTAGAGACGTCAGACGTCAAACATCAAATGGCTCTATGTACTTGACTTTACAGATTTGAAGACCTTGAAACCCAGCAATTACGACCTGCTATAGCCTTATTCATTTCCAAGAGAATCATCCTCTTTCATTCACGTAAATGTACACATGCTTTACCACTTAATTCCTGTGAGCCCTAAACAATGTACCGATGAGCAGCGTAATGAAAAAAAATTTCGACATATAAAAGGACCACATCTTCTAGAGACTAAACTTTCTACAAACTACTTTCATGACAATTTTGTAATCAAGAGTGACAGGAACTAAGTCCTCTATTTTCACTTGTAGCGTCTCGGTTCTTGGCTCCGCACGACGTCTCGTCGTGGTCTCTGCATGACGTAACTGCTCCAGATGGAACGTTACGATATTTTACTGAAATGATGATAACCAAACACAACAACAACATGAATTTCTTCAACCGATAACCCATGAGGAACCAAACTTTGACAGCTTTTTAACCCTGATTATCAGTTTACATGCAGAGATTCTCGACAGACCGTAGATGCGAGAGCCTCATTCAGCAATACTGTAGTGTAAAAGTAAGGTTCGATTTATAAATACTGCTATGGCATGGCGAAGAGTGGATTCACAGTGACAGGATTGTAAAACAACGAAGAGGGACGATGCCACGATTGGAGAGCAGTTGTACTGAGCGTTGGGCACGTCATAGAAGATCGCTCCTCGTATGTGATGAGTAGAAGGTCAAATTAGGTGGTAGTTTTCCATAGTGTAAATCTCATCTCGTCGCATCTCATCGCATCTCATCGTATCTCATCGCATCGACTATTCTGGTTGAAAGCGATGTCCAATACAGACTTTTCTATATGCGAAGACTGTTTAGGCGGTCAGACCCGACTTACCAGATCTTTCAACGGCGCAGAATGCAAAATATGCACCCTTCCCTTTACCGTTTACCACTTTAAGGCCAACTCTAAGGTCAACAGAACTCTTATATGTCATAACTGCTCCAAACAACGAAACGTGTGCCAGTGCTGTATGCTCGACTTGCAGTGGCACATCCCGGTAGAACTGCGAGACCGAATATTATCTACAGTGCAGGGATCGCAAGTGGCCACACAGGAAGCCCAAAACGAAATGATGAAAAGATTCATTGCTCTGAAAAACGGGGATACTTACAAGGTGGGCGGTGCATCTGTGACCAGCGATTCTGTGGCCACTGCTGATGCAGTAGAAAGCATACGAAAGACCGTTGGGCGATTACAAAAATCGCAGGAAAATCGCGACTCAGCCAAAGCACGGGTGACCCCAGCATCGGTTAGCACCGCAGATGTTTCGCATTTGACCAAAAAACTGCCACTTAAGGGCACTTTGAGCTCGGCACAGTCTTTTTTCATATACAATTTGGACCCTTCCATTCCGGAATGGGCGATAGTGGACGCCGTCTCGGAACTCGTTGGCACCGTAGCCTGGCAAGACCCCACGTCCACATCAGTAACTATCAACCATATGGCTCGGTGCGGGGGAATAAGGTTCAAATCTGTGGAAATTGCGGAAAAGTTTAGACTCGGGCTTCAAAGCTTCGTAACGCCGGCGAAAACCACGAAGGGGAAACTACAGGTGCAGAATTCTAAGCTACACATTGTTGCTTGGCCACAATACCATCGTGCTGCGTTGGGTATCAAGAACGCAGAATGTTCGAAACTAGCTCAAATACTGGACAAACAGGTTCAAAGCGATCTGGCCACCGCAGACGTTGCGAAAAGTGCGCCAAAACCGGCTAAGATTCGTAAGTCAAGTAAGGCCAGTGAATCTAAGAAGAGCAAAAGAACCAAGCGGATCATGGACATCGAACTATGAGTTTTTGAGACTAAGTAAGTATTCGCGGAAGAGGCACGATGATTCTACATTGGAGAAAGGTATACAAATTGCTAGAAACAAATGCATTAGGTCCATTGAGAGAAATCTAGACAGGTTGACAGAGAGAGAGAAGCACAGAGATAGGCTTTCCTGGGTTCTTTTCGCCGTGTGAGCAGTTGAGTACTTTAGGGACGTGTGATGTGATTAATCTACTTGACTATTCTAAAGGCATAAGCTCTACCAGGCTTGAAGCCACCAACAATACGACTACACGAGTGGCAACACTGCGAGCCCATACCACTAGTTATCGCTGTGCTCATGTCCACGTATGAAGGTAAGAATCAACGTTCATATTTGACTTCACTTCACCAAAACTAACATCGCGAAGAGGAACATAATACTGATCAGGCAAATTCTGACAGTAGACGAGATCTCAGAAACCACATTCATGAGCTGTATCAGGAAAATGGAGCTTCAAATGCTCTGCTGCAAATGCTATCGCAGCTGATTCCAGAGTCCATGCAAGAGGAACTATTACAAGATGAAAAGCAAGGGTGTCCCGAACATTATGTTGATTCACTGCCTAGGGTGAATAAGAATAAGATTGAGGACCATGAGACATGTAGTATATGCTGCTGTCGATACAAGGAGGACGAGTACCCTCTGGTGGTTGAGTTGCCCCATTGCGGACATTGCTTCGATCTAGAATGCGTCGCAGTGTGGCTCTCGAAAAGGACAACTTGCCCGTTATGCAGAGACGACGTTTTATCGCATAAACCGAAAGTTGACGTCAGCCAAGTAGAAATGGAGGACGACTGGGGCATGTACGGATAGATATAGTACGTTAAGCGTGTGAGATATATATATATACAGGGTTGAAAAGGAAAAGGAGCTCGTTTCCTTTCACATATGCTTTTTGAAGGCCTCGTTGTTCAAGAGCTCTAGGACCTTTTCGCCCACGGCCTCGTCCAGCGATTGCGACTTGTGCTCTCCTGCTAAGAGAGAGCTCTGCTTGAGTGTTTCTTGCAATTTTATGCCCTCTTTTTGGTAAATATTGCACTTGATTCCCACGCCTGCGATAGAGTGTTTGGTGATGTAACTGAGCCAAAGTTCAACAACCTCTGGATTTGTGTCCCACACCCGGATCAGTCTCTTGTGAGTATGTCTCTCGAAATTCTCCTTGGAGTTGGCCTGCGCAAACGGCGATCTTATCACGGTCCAACGCTCTCTTCTCGTGGGCAATGGTTTGGGGCCGGTCAACGGCATGCCCAGGTAGAACCCGGCTCTCAGCATGAAATCGGCGTAAAAATCCAAGTTTTCATAATCGTATGAGCGCAACTGCACGTCTGCTATCAAATCGCCATGTTCGATGGGAATTTTCAATGGTGCATGGTACACTGCTTCAACATTGATAGGCAGCTCTTTTATAGCGTTAGTTCCCTCGGGAACAGCAGCAGTTGACTGATATTTGATAAGACGTCTTAATGGATTCAACACTGGTGTTCTAAACATGGTAGCGGTTCAGTCTCTTGACAAGCGAAATGGGTTCCCGTTTAGGTGATTTTAGTCTTTAACATGTTCAGAAACTTGACTATAGTAATTCTCAAAAATTTTCCAGAGGCGATGAGATGTGGAAGTTCGAAAATTCCATAGAAATTGATATTTGAGCATCCAAGAAGCCCGAATCACGCTTATAAGTTCGCTCAATCTATTCAGCGGGCCTTGTTTGATATCTGTGGAATTTTTTGGGTTTTTGAACCACATCTCAGGCTCTATTAGTGAAGACGACAGTTAATTCGACGTTCGTCAACCAACATCTACCAATCGTCAGGAAAATGGGTAAAAGTAGCAAGGATAAGAGGGATCTTTACTATCGGAAGGCCAAGGAACAAGGCTTTAGAGCTCGTTCAGCTTTTAAGCTTTTGCAGCTGGATGAACAATTCCATTTTTTAGACAACGTCACCAGAGTAGTGGATCTGTGCGCAGCCCCGGGTTCGTGGTCCCAAGTTCTGTCGAGACGCCTTTTCGAAGATGACCCCGAGAATGCAGCATCGAAACGCATAGTCGCGGTGGATCTACAACCAATGTTCCCCATTGACCATGTCATCACGATACAAGCCGATATAACGCATCCTAAGACGCTCAATAAGATCATGGACCTATTTGAGGGTGAAAAGGCAGACTTTGTGTGCAGTGACGGTGCTCCAGACGTCACAGGACTGCACGATCTGGACGAGTATGTCCAGCAACAGCTGATTCTCAGTGCGCTACAATTGACTACCTGCTTATTACGCGAAGGGGGTGTATTCGTAGCGAAGATCTTTAGGGGCAGAGATATTGACATGTTGTACTCACAACTGGGGTACCTGTTCGAACGGGTAGTTTGTGCAAAGCCCAGATCCTCCAGAGGAACTTCTCTCGAAAGTTTCGTTGTTTGCTTGGGATACAAGCCACCAACAAATTGGAAGCCTCATCTTGACGTAAACATGTCTGTAGAGGACTTTTTCCAAGGCTGCGAAATAGGCAGGTTGACTCTGGACGATAAGCTTCCTGAATATCACGAGGAGGCCAGAAGCATCGCCGACTTCATTCTCTGTGGTGGTCTCGACAGTTTTGACTCTGACGCTACTTACCACGACATACCGGCAAATTCCATTACCTTGGACCCAGTTCAGCCGCCAACAAACCCACCCTACAAGCGGGCATTGGAATTGAAGCGGAAGGGACAATTGACGAGATCCACATAATCACATTGGGAGTGCAGAAAACAAATAGTCTGGCCGGCCAGTATAAAACACACATAGACGGCATTCAAGTAGCCGATCGACAAACGATATCGGTCGGGTTGTACATAGCATAATATAGTAATTAATCTCGACTCGCAAGTTACGATTGGATACCAGACAATTCAACGGTAAGTCGTTGAATACAGATGGAGCCAAAGCGCCAAATTTATCACCACTACTTTAACGTTGTTAAAAGCTATATCAGGTACAAAAGCTGAGATAAACATCATCAGTTGTCCTTTTCCTCTTCGACGTCCCTTTGGGTGTCAGGCTTCAAGGTTGGGAATAGTAGAACTTCTCTGATGGTGTTCGAGTCAGTCAAAAACATGGCTAGTCTGTCGATACCACAGCCCCAGCCACCGGTTGGTGGAAGCCCGTATTCCAAAGCATTGCAGAAGGTTTCATCGATTAGCTGAACTTCATCGTCACCTTGGTCCTTTTGTCTGGCTTGTTCTTCAAAACGGTTTCTTTGGTCGAAAGGATCGTTCAACTCAGTGTAAGCATTGCAAATTTCCTTCGTGGCGACGAAAACTTCGAAACGCTCACACAAACCTGGAGTGTCTCTGGAGTATTTGGCCAATGGAGACATCATTTGTGGATGGCCAAAGATGAATGTTGGGTTGATACAGGTGTCTTCTAGTTCACCCACTAGCTTGTCCAACATACGAGCGTTTGTCAAGGGTGGAGGACATTCCAGGTTGTTTTCTTTCAAAACTCTCTTGAGGAAATTACCAGTTTCGGCAGTGTGAAGCTGGTCGCCAGCTGGGAATTTGACATTTAGTCGGTTTTCCAATTCCTCTATCATGTTAATTCTCTTCCAAGGTCTGGTGAAGTTCAATTCTAGTTCCTTGGATGGATCTTGAGGATCTGGGTGATACTTGATAACATAGGAGCCTGTGATCTCCTTGACCATCTCGGAAATCATCAACTCCGTAGTGTCCATCAAGTCGTAAACATCCGCGTAGGCTTGGTAGAACTCACAAGTGGTAAATTCTGGGTTGTGGGTCATGTCAATACCTTCGTTTCTGAACTGTCTGCCAATTTCATAGACTCTGTCCATACCACCGACAACAAGTTCTTTCAAGAACAATTCTGGGGCGATTCTCATAAACATGTCCATGTTTAGGTCGTTGTGATGAGTGACGAATGGCTTGGCAGTAGCACCACCAGCAATGACGTTCATCATAGGTGTTTCAACTTCGATAAAGCTTCTTTCATCCAAGAATCTTCTAATGAAGGAGATGATCTTGGAACGAGTGACGAAACGAGGTTTGGCATCTTTGTTCATGATCAAGTCCAAGTAACGCTTTCTGTATCTGGTTTCTTGGTCCTTGAAACCGAAGTGATCGGCTGGGAGGATGTGCAGACAAGGGGTCAACAATTGGATACGAGAAACGAAAACGGAGATCTCACCTTCACCACCCTTCTTAGGTTGAGTTCTTCCAACGTAACCTTCGACACCGACGATGTCACCTCTCTTGATTAGGTCGTGGTCGGTCTCGTAAGCGGATTCGTCGCTGTAGTCTTGCACTTGCGACATCAATTGCACCTCGACACCGTCACCGTGCAAGACGTAAAACTTCAACTTGGAACCGGACTCTCTCTTGGCGTGGACTCTACCGGCGATAGAGACCTTTTCCTCGGGCAAGGTCTCACCTCTTTGCAAATGAGCGTATTTTTGCAAAAAGCCGCTTAGTGGAGTCGAAACATGGAACTTGTGAGGGTATGGGTTTGGAGACTTAGTTTTCTTCAACTCTTGGATTTGACGGGATCTGGCCTCGAAGTACTGGGAAGGGTCCAAATCGGCAAAAGCGTCGTTGGCCTTCTTCTTTGGCTCTGGTTTAGGTTGCGCAGAAGCCTTCTTAGCAGCTTTCTTGGCTTCGGTTTGTCTTTGCTTGATACGTTTTTTCAACTCAGACTTGGACACCATTTCGCCAGTGGCTTCGTCTAAATGTAGGTTGGCGATTGCATCGTTAACGTTCTTGACCTGATCTTCTTGAGACATGGTGTACTCGGCTAGAAAATTGAAAAGCTCTGGATTCACCTGTTGGCTCGGGACACTGATGGGATCAATGTAGTGGATGAACTCAACTCATCTCGAAATTTCGTCAAAAAATAAAAGAAAATTTCCAGTGCTGAAATGACTGGATCATCAAATACGGAATATTTTTGAATGAGTTCTGGTCATCTGACTTGGAGAAGACGACGGCAGCGACGACGAGGACAGAGGAGGTGTTGGGTTCTAAGATTCTCCTGTTCCGTGTGTATTCACAGGTCCAACGATGTGTGCAATGGGCATTGCAATAGCATCTTTTGCACGGAAACATTTTTCCCAAAATATCTCAGTCTCCAGGACCACCTGGTGCGAAACAGTGAAGTCGAAGACGTGATATTCTGTCGTGATTTGATCAAGATCGCTCAAAGTAGTTCATAACAGTTAATGAAAGCAAAGTTCAGAAATAGGAACCCAACTTGGCATGACAGGCCCGTGACACAAACGCATATATCGCGTAGCGTCTCTGGAAGCACTGCTTTTTTCTTTATATCACAAAATCCTAATCCCTAAGACTCTTGAACAGTGATTCCTGTGTTCATACTGTTCAAACCAGTGCTGACACGCTCAACTTTCCAGCTCAAAACGACTCATAAGAAGGTCAACCCACTTCAGCCATCACTTTAAAATTCTCGAATTGCTCGCTGTTCAATAACGAGCCATCCACATCTTCATTCGCAGGTGTCCAAATAGGTTTCTGGTTAGCGCTTCTTTCAATTGTATACATATATTTTATATATCTACCATATATATATATATATTTATTACATTATTATTCTTATTACTATTATAAACTGCCTCGAAAATCCAAATGTCTCTTTTTGACTCGATTTACAACGAATTAAAACTCAACTTTTAGACCAAAATGATGCCTAATTTCGGGCCTCATAGGCCCAGATTGATCATTCTAGTGAGGCATGGCGAAAGCATATCGAATAAGGACAAAACTGTGAACCAACACATACCAAATCATCAAATTCCGCTCACTGAAAACGGATGGAGACAGGCGCGAAGATCGGGAGCGCAGCTTTTGCAGGTCCTGAACGTGGACGACCAAGAAATAGTCAAGAAACTCGCGGGAAAATACATATTTAAGGACGAGAATCGCAAGCCCCTCGAGCAGCACTACACGCAAAACAACAAGAATCCAGACAGTAATGTAGTGTTCTACACGTCTCCGTACAAAAGGACACGCGAGACTCTGCGTGGGATGCTGGACGTTTTGGACGAGTATAACGAGTGCAATTGCGGGGTCTCGGCCCGGCAAAACGACGGGTACCAGCCCGAGGGCAAACAGCGTCTTGCACATTGGCAATCGCCGGAGTTCCCACACGGCTACTTCGAAAACAAGCAGTCACGTGAGCTCACGGAGGGTCTGCGTAAGACGGCAGAATGCAAGACGTTCGTGCACTACCGCGTCAAGGACGAGCCCCGGATCCGCGAGCAGGACTTCGGCAATTTCCAAGAGCTCAATTCCATGCGCGACGTGATGAGCACGCGCACGAACTACGGCCATTTTTTCTTCCGGTTCCCGCAAGGCGAGAGCGCCGCCGACGTCTACGACCGATGTGCCAGTTTCCAGGAAACGCTATTCCGGCATTTCGACCAACCGGACCGCAAGCCGCGTGACGTGGTCGTTCTCGTGACTCACGGGATTTATCTCAGGGTCTTTCTCATGAAATGGTTTCGCTGGACTTACGAGGAGTTTGAAACCTTCACTAACGTCCCCAATGGTTCCCTGGTCGTCATGGAACTGGATCCAGAACTGGATCGCTACATCTTACGCACCACCCTGCCCAAATGGTGTTGAAGTTCATCTGACACGTACACGTGGATATCACTCCGTACGAGATCTCTACGTCTCAATAACTTTTTTTCTTTTTGGAGGGTTTTTCCGGGCTTCCTCTTTTGATTTTCCGGTCTGTCGGCTTCCCGGGAAGCGCAGCATACATACCGGAAGTTGCTGAGCTGGTCCATGGGCGATAGCATAATAAATTGAACCATCCCTAAGAATAAAGCATTGAAAGCCTGTCATCAATACCGTGAAGCGAACTAAATGAACAGGCGTCCTTGGTACTCATTAGTTGATGAACAGGGCTACATTGTGACGCGCTTTCCACTTCGAACGGCCTTCGGAGCGTTGTTTTAACGTCGTAAAGAAAAATTAGAGCCCATCAGTAGTGTGAGCTTCCACTTTTTCCGTGGCAACGTCACTGGGGCCAGGAGGTTCATCACCACCGACTGAGCGTTGTGGTTAATGGCGTGGAAAGTCGCTGATGGTTCAGGCACAGAGTGGACGTGTGGTGTGGAAATAAGGTCAATAGCATGCAAAAAGAATGGACTCATTTGATTCAGTAAAATTATCCAGTAATTATAAAAAGACACCGTGAACTTGTAGACGTCTCGATGAATCAGGTTCATGGAGTTTTTAATACACCAGAATTCGTTGAATTTCAAACACACACAAACATATCCCAGCACACTTAACAATGGCCAGAACTTTTTTCGTCGGTGGTAACTTCAAGTTGAACGGTAACAAGCAATCCATCAAGGAAATCGTTGAGAGAATGAACGAGGCTCCTCTAGCCAAGGACGTCGAGGTTGTTCTATGTCCTCCAGCCCCATACTTGGACTACGCTACTTCTTTGGTCACCAAGTCCCAGGTCTCCATTGGTGCCCAAAACGCCTACTTCAAGGCTGCTGGTGCCTTCACCGGTGAGAACTCTGTCGAACAGATCAAGGACTGTGGTGCTAAGTGGGTCATCTTGGGTCACTCCGAGAGAAGAACTCTATTCGGCGAAGACGACAAGTTGATTGCCGAAAAGACCAAGTTCGCCTTGGATCAAGGTCTAGGTGTCATTCTATGTATCGGTGAGACTTTGGAAGAGAAAAAGGCCGGTTCCACTCTAAAGGTCGTCGAGACCCAGTTGGACGCCGCCATTGAGCAGATCAAGGACTGGACCAACGTCGTCGTCGCTTACGAGCCAGTTTGGGCCATCGGTACCGGTTTGGCCGCTACTCCAGAGGACGCCCAGGACATCCACGCTCACATCAGAGAATACTTGGCCAAGAAGGTCAGCGCCGAAGTTGCCGAGCAGACCAGAATCTTGTACGGTGGTTCCGCTAACGGCTCCAACGCTGTCACCTTCAAGGACAAGAAGGATGTTGACGGTTTCCTAGTCGGTGGTGCTTCTTTGAAGCCAGAATTCGTCGACATCTGCAACTCCAGAAACTAAGCGATTTGAAAGCGGTTGATGATCAACTTTTCGAAGATGTATAACGATTGAGACTCTTGGGAAATAGACTTTTCGAGGCCTCGCCCAAAATTATATGATTTAAACGATATCTAGCATTGTGAAAACAGAATCTTGAATAGTAGGTGGTGTGGCGACTGGGTAAGGTGCTGAATGAGGGGTATACATGGCGCCTTAACTAATAGTGTATTTAGCGAGATCGTGCCGTTACTTATGCGAATTAATTTGGCCAGTTCCTCATTGCATTGTTGTGCCTATTTGATGTAGTAAAAAAGATGGACAGGCTCAGTTGAAAGAATTGTCAGACTTGAACCTTAAGCTGTGAAATGCGTTGTTTAACGTTGTGGCGGGGGTCTTTGCAAGGCCGTTCAAAAGTCCGAAATTTTAATTTGATGTCTTTTAGAGACCGTAGGTTGGACACTACGTTATGTATCTTCATTAATCATAACCTGTTAATGTAAATGACATTCTTGACTTTAAAATACACTGTTTTCCATGGCACTTTTCGATACCTTATCGCGGAGGAGTACGCAATAAGAAGGACTTCGTGCGGTGTCGCCTTGGGAAGATGACCGTGGTGTTTTGCGAAAATACCCAAAGATTCACACATTCACACCCGGTTTGTGAGTTCAATTCGATGATTCCAGCAGCTTCTGGCAATCGCCTGTAGTAAGCCTGCGATGGGTAGTAGTGTGTACCACTTTGCACTACTCTGTCGCTCGATAGCAACACTAACGCAGGTCGTCTCAGAGCTTGTCTCCAGAGCTGTGCTCTCATACTAGGATCTCAAAACAGCGTGCACGACCGTACTTGTCGCACAACTCGCTCCACTGCACGACAAATTCATCCACCAGCGGATACAGGAGTTTCCCACTGAGACTCAGTGTGCTGGTGCGAGCCAAACTCTCGACATACACGATTTTGGACCGCGTCGTTGTCACGATTTCCAGCAGTTTTAACCATCCAGCGATGATGCAGCATGTACCGGGCCCGTTTAGCAGCACCAAATGTGGCTGACCCACAAATTGCCATTTGAGCCACGTCAGGGTCCACATTGCCCCAGCAAGGGTCTGCACCACGCTTTTCGCCGACTGAAGCTTCGAGGCACCCACCTCGCGTGCCTTGCCAAATCTGCATACTTGCACTTCAATTTGCTGCGAGTCCAGATATGCGCCCAGAGTATGACGAAACCGTGCCAGACTGGCCTCGTCAGAAACGCCCACGGTCAGTGTGGTCTGCCCTGGTCGCAGTAGCGTTTCCTGATAATTTTCGAGCAAACGCAGCATTTCACCTGTGTGGCCTCCAGAGCCCAGGAAGACAAACAGCTTCAATTTTCGTGATCCCGCAACGCTTCTCGCGCTCGCAGTCTCCAGCAACCTATCATGCTGCAATCCGAAAATAGGAACCACCAAGATTATTCGCACCACGAGCCATTGCAACACCAGTAACAGCACCACCGACCAAACTTCCAAATCCATTATTTTCTGACCCAAAAAATTCTCTTGGCAAACCTCGACGCCAAAATCTTGAACGAGCCCGACTAACGCGTCTTTTCAACTTAGCTTTTCCCTTTAAATTCCTGCCTTTTGTAGATCTTAACTCAATTGAACATTTTTCAGCGATGCCTATATTTCTCTAACCATGTAGATCTTTAAGAGTACGCGAAAACTACCAGTTCGCGAAAAGATGAGACATTTACCGCGTTTGAGCTGAGCCCTCGTGTCGTTTGATTCATCAATCAACGATGATTTGCACGAACTAAGACTATGGCAGATTTGTTATATAAATATATGTAGAAGCTTCAACGGCCCAGCTGTTACAATTGAATTTCGATATAGTGACGGTAGGATACGAACAACTCATACAAAGATCTTCAAAATGAGACGTAGCACGCGAACGGACCCTAAGAAAAGACACTCCATGATGGTGGACACGTCTGGGATATCGTCGTTCGCCGGGTTTTCATCGTTGTACGGATCAAAAACCGCCAACAGGTCCTTGGAAGACGTGGCAGCGACCACACGCAAGAAAAGCAGTGATGTGGACCTTGGAACGCGCAAAAGCTCGGCTCTCAAACGCAGCACCGTGCTTCTGGACGACAACATGGTGCGCGAGTACAATTTGGCGGTTCAGAGCCTGACCCACGATCCACTGCGGACGCACCAGTCGCCTCAGACACGCCAGCCCGTTAGGAAACACCAGAGCTCGCTGTCATCGTCGTCCAGCATGTCGTCGCTGTTTTCGCGCGACAGCGCGATGTCGGTGCAGGACTTGATATTCGAGGAGTGGGCCAATGAAGCGGCCTGCGAGCCCATGGAACCGGTGCAAAAGGGCTTCTACACCGAACCACAGCCGCAGCTGGAGCGGGAGCTAGAGCTGGAACTGGCGTTCTGGGACAATAAGGACGACGAGGAGTGGACACCACATCGGAGGACGCAGCTGGAGTTTTTCTGAGCGAAACCCTGGACCCCTTCCGTCTACCACAGACTTTTCACTACAAATGACACTTTCACCGCTACAGGACTCTCATCGTTATGATACGCTTCGCTAAAAGAGGTCACTCCATCACAACGAGATAAAACTCTCACCACAACAAGACAATCTCACCCCCACCCTCACATACTAGTATGCAGGCATATTAGTGTGATTTTTACGATCTTGGTGCTATTCATCGCTGTTTTCGCTAACAACATTGACATTTCACATACAATTAGCTTCATCACTTGCCATTCCCTGGAAGTCTATATCTGAATAACGACAACTACATAGCTACAAGCCCTTACCATTGCAATAACCTGGATTTGAGATATCAATTAGAACCGGTGTTCATTTGAGCTGAGTTCTCTCTACTGAGCTTCTTAATGAGACGACAGGGCGACTAAGTTATATTTATACTTCAAAGTCTACAAGAGACGAAAAAAGATAAACTGCCGGCCGAGACGGACTCCAAATTCAGACATTCAACGCTCTACGCTCTACGCGGCTGAATGACTCGATTTAACTCTCGAGACTTTATAAATCGCGGTCTTAGACGGTCCAATTCAAATAATACGAAGTCCTCATACACCCGATATTCACTAATCAACTCTAAACATTTAAAGCATTTATAAATGCTTAAACAGCCGATCCTAGGTTCAACACTGGCTTTTGGTTGATGTGTCTGTCTGAAGTGTTTATATATTCATTTATTGACATAAATGTTCGAGCTCTTTACATTTACTGTAACTTTCACTTCACTTTAAAAACAGCATCAAATGAAGCTCCCACAGTATGATAATAAGCCGTTTAAGTCGCCAGTCATAGCTGCAAAAGCTTCACAAGGCCGTATCGGCTTGATTGCGTCTCAATCCCGCAACTTTTCGCCCAACACAGCGGGTATAACATCGAGCCAAGAGGACAACAATAAACGACCTTCAAGCAATTTTGAAGCTTCGCAGTCAACCAAAAAGTCGACCAATGTCATACGCTATTACTACACAACATACCGTAAACGTACAACTAAGAAAAACAAAACCTGGGATGGCGATGGAATCTGTCTGGAATTGAGCAGCGGCGGTCTTCGTTTCTACAAGGAAAACGGCCAGTTTATGGGCAGTGGCAATGCTACCTCTGAAAGTGAAAAATACGACAAGATCTTTTCGTGTGCGGGCTGCGAGATCCAATTGGATCACCACGTTAGTGAGGAGCTTGAAATTACGCGATTAGCCGCTCTCGTGGGCAAATCTAAAGACTCATCGGACTCGCCCAATTCCTCCTCGAGACAAAATAGCCTGTCACCTTTACCAACTCGTGTGAAGGCTCCGGCTTTGCAAATTCCCAAATTCAAGTGCGCAGCTTCAAAGCAGACCCAGCAGACAAGCTCTACAACGCTTGCCTCGAAAACTAAAGCCACCACATTTTCGCCACTCTTCGATCATGCCAAAATAGAGAATGTCCTTGTGATGAATCGGTTTGATGGTGCAGAGGTGGATGTTGTGGTAGATCCAGTCCTGTCGAGACACCTTAGGCCCCATCAGCGCGTTGGAGTAAAGTTTATGTACGATTGTGTCATGGGGTTGTCAAGACCTGCTGACTACGAAGACGATGGCGAAACAGTCAGTAGGCTTGATAAAACAGATGAGGTGAATGGGTGCCTTCTGGCAGATGAAATGGGTCTTGGAAAAACGCTGATGACAATCACACTGATATGGGCCTTGCTTAAACAAACTCCTCTTCCTTCGAAAGTGGTATCAAATACGTCTGGCTCGCCTCACCAAGGCGTATTTAACAAGGTATTGATCGTTTGTCCTGTAACACTGATAGGTAACTGGAAGCGTGAGTTTCAGAAATGGCTAAATTTGAACAGAATAGGCGTTCTGACCTTAAGCGCCAAGAGTACACCTGATAAAGACAAATTGGACGTCCGCAATTTTTTAAAGGTTCAAAGGTCTTACCAGGTTCTCATCATAGGCTATGAGAAACTGCTCACCGTGTCTGATACGCTTGTGGAATGCAGATCGAATATAGGCCTGCTTGTTTGTGATGAGGGGCACCGTCTTAAAAATGAACAGTCGAAAACCCTAAACGTTCTAAAAGCTCTTGATATACCGCGCAAGATCCTTCTCACGGGAACTCCGATTCAAAATGACTTAACTGAGTTCTTTACCATTCTGAACTTCATCAATGACGGCATTCTAGGTTCCTTCGCCAAGTTTAAGAGAGATTTCATAAATCCTATCATGATGTCGAGAGACATCAATAACAGGTTTAATAACATGGTCCAGGAGAAGGGAGACATACGAAGCCAAGAACTCATAGCATTGACAAAAACCTTTATTTTGCGAAGAACAAGCGACACCATTGCAAAGTTTCTTCCTCCAAAAACAGACATAATTTTGTTCTGCAAACCCACTTTGAACCAGCACAGAGCCTTCCAAGAAGTACTTGACAGCACTCGCTTTCTTAATCTATCGAATATGACCTACAGCTCATCTTTGGGGTTGATTACACTGTTCAAAAAGATCTGCAATTCACCTAGCCTGGTATCCCAAGATCCCTTTTACCTTGAGAAGGTCAAGTCAAATGTGAGTTTAACAAGTATATTAGACTCTGATTCTGGGAAGCTCAAAGTTTTGTTAAACATTCTCGAGGGCATTGCCAAATCACCTTCAAAAGAAAAGGTTGTGATTGTCTCTAACTATACCCAAACATTGGACATCATTCAACATCTCTTGAACAAACGAAATTATTCCAATATCAGACTAGATGGCTCTACACCTAGTAAAGAACGCGATAAGATCGTCAATATGTTCAATTCAATGCCCTCGATCTTTACATTTCTACTGAGTGCGAAATCTGGAGGGGTAGGTTTAAACTTAATCGGAGCATCCCGTCTGGTGCTGTTTGATAACGACTGGAATCCAGCAATCGACCATCAGGCGATGTCCAGGATACACAGGGACGGGCAAGAAAAGCCGTGTTTCATTTATAGACTACTTTCCACTGGGTGTATTGATGAAAAGATCTTCCAGCGACAGCTGATGAAAAACAGTTTGAGTGCCAAATTCATGGGAGGACCTGAGAACTTGTCAAGTGAAAAGTCAAATGATGACCTCTTCGCGATCGAGGATTTGAAAGACCTCTTTACTGTCCTGACAGTGACGCCAAGCAACACGCATGATCTTATCTGTGAATGTCAAGGGGACGGTCAGGAGGATGGTCAAGGGGAAGTGGAGTTGAGCAAGGCGGTCGATCAACAAGGTCATGCTGAAAATGTTCGAAGCTCTCAGTCTGAGGGGTGGATAAATGCCATGCAGTTGCAATCAACTCTCGAGAAAGCTCAGGAAGAAAACGAATTTTTGAAAGCAAGGGTGGTGAGGGAATGCTTGGCAGGATACAGGCACATAAATCCTCAAAACAGCTTGTATCACAACGAGGATCTGGCTATTGATTGGAACACAGATGTAACTTTTGCATTTCTGAAAGAATACAACATATGAAAATAATCAGAACTCTATATATTCTTACAGACAACTATTGCTTATTAGCATTGAGTTTCATCCTCGCTTCTGCAGCGCGCGCCCGTTGCTCTCTCATTAACCGCATTCTTTGATTGTCACTTAAAGAGTTATTATTCTGTTGAAATGAGGACAATTGGGGCGCCAGAATCTTTCCGGGCCCTCGCCTTGCTTCCTTTTCCAACCTTTGTCTCTCCTTGGCAGCCGATAGCTCCTCTTTCATCAGACGCGCTTTTTCTAATTCCAACATCTGCTTCTCTTTCTCATTAATTGCATCTACGTCTTCTCTGCTCATGGGCACATCGATACGAGAGGCATTCCAGTCAGTGAAGTTTTCTCCCAGGTTATGCCTCGCAACTTGGAAGGCTTGTCTGATCTCGGTTTTTTTCGTAAGTTCCCAAGGTGTCTTCCCATTGCTGTTTTGAACAGTGGGGTCGCATTTGAGATTACTGAGTAAAATCAATACCATATTTTTCAGGCCCTGCTGAGAGGCATAATGTAACATTGTTGGTGTCTGGTAGTAGTCATCTTGAGGTTTTAGTTTGAAATTGGCGTTCAGGTCATTTTTGCGAAGATACGATATTAGAGCTGGGGCTCTTGATTTCTTCAAAAGAGATATCAGCTCCCGGGTGTGTATATCATCAGGATCTTCGACTTTTGGAAAGGAAGTTATTTTAGAGGCACGTTGGTTGTCAAATTTCTCGGCTACAACTTTCGCTTTGACGTCGGCCTGGGGTCTTTTGTTTATATGCAAATAGGCCAAGTGGCACCATGCTCTTTTCAGTTCGTGACCAGTGGGTCGTTTGGTGGTGAAAGGAAACGACCTGATCCTAGCGTCGTTTTTGTCCAGACAAGCGCTAGCATCCAAAAAGATCTTTCTGTCGCTTGTGCTTTTGGCTCGGATAAAGATGTTTTCACAGTTTTTCAGGTAGGGTTGCCACTGTTGCAAAAGCTGTTGAATATCCGTTCTGAGGGCAGTCTCGTTATACCTCCGGAGAGAGGAACCGGCAGAGTTTGCTTTCCCCTTACTATTGTCCATTGCCGATTGAGATCCACCTTGTTTTCTTCTCGTAGTATATCTGTGGAACGTCTTGTGTTCCAAGAACTGGACTGCTCTTTCTTGCATTGATTCATTTCCTTTCGTCATGTTTCCCTTGATGTTCAAGCGTTTATGAGACACAATGGCGCCTGCAAAATGACCGCCTCCCACCATGAAGAGCGCAGAATAAGGATTTTCAAAGCCCGCTTTCGACGACGTGGAATGATTCCAATTTTGAATGGTCTCAAGTGCATTTTCGATCGTAGACTTCGAAAATAGAGCTTTGTATGCGCCCAGGACTTGATCTTCCGGCAAGAATTTCGATTTAAAGTATATTTGTGGCGACCTGGTGTTTAAGTGGCTTTCAATGCCAGTTTCGGATTCTTCTGTCACTCTCATCGTGGCTATCTGGTCCTCCAATATGCTTGATAATTTGTCTTTGTCTTCATTGTAGAGATCATCTTCGGAGTCTGAGTTCGAGTCTGAACCAGACAAACTCTCCACGTCGTCGTTTTCTGCCAAAATGTCAAACTCGTCTGAACTTATGGGAGGCAAGTTGTTGAGCTTGCGTTTGATGTTAAAGCGATGATAATCTGTCTTGTAGTGCGCCTTTCGCTCGGGTGTTGAACCCAGAGCGTTTTCGCAAGTGCGACATCCACCCTGTAAGTCAAGAGTCTCATTTTGTTGGTCCAAGTCTGCCTTAGTGAGAGACTTTCGTTGGTCAGTTTCTATTTCGGTCACGGTGCTGTCGAAAACCATCAACTCGAGCGATCTAAAAATTTCCTCCGGGAGTTCAAAAACATAAAGATCATTGGTCTTCATTCTTGGCCTATTCTCCGTCATAATGTGTCGCTGATTACTCACTGGAGCGAGGTTTCTGAAGTGGGATGTTAAGTTTGGTAAACTGAGCGGTTGCGTTCAAGTAAGTAGTCTCGATTTCAAGAGCAAAGAGTCACTGGACACGTATTAGAGCCTCTAAAGATGGTCTCGATATTCTAAACCTTCGATGTTTGGCGTACCTTGAATCCTGAGAGTTTCCCGACTATAGAATCTATTTACATGCTTCCCACTCTATGGCACTCTTGTAGGAAAAACTTGATCTTTTCTGGGTCCATGAACGGATGGGTGCCATGGCCGAAATTAACGATGTAGTTGGATTTCCCACCACCGAAGCCGGTGATCATTTCCTCGACTTTCTTGCTTATGATTTCGTCAGTGCCGTATATCACACCAGGGTCAAGATTACCTTGCAAAGTGACACGACCAGCATTAATCTTCACTGCATCTTTAGGGTCCCAGGACCAGTCTAGAGACACAGCGTTGTAGCCCGAATCGCATAGCTTGTCCAAGGCATACCAGGATCCCTTGGCAAAAATAGTGATTGGAATTCTTTCCCCGATTCCAAGCTCCTTCAGACGCAGAGGCAGTCTCTGACTGATTTGCCTAATGTAAGGCAAAGAAAACTCGTCAAAGTCATGAGAGCCCAACTCACCTCCCCAGCTCTCAAAGACTTGAAGCATTTGAGCTCCAGCAACAACTTGCTGGGCCAAAAACTCAACAGCCACGTCGGTAATTTTCTGCAGCAACTTATGGCTCAGATCTGGAAACTCATTGATCCATTGTTTAGCAAACCTGAACAATCGCGACCCTCCGCCTTCAGTCATGTAGACTAGTAGCGTCCAGGGTCCACCGCAGAAGCCCAGAAGTGGCACTTGGCCATCGAGCCTATTTCTGGTCATCGTGATGGCCTTGAAAGCCCAGGCCAACTCGTCGAGCACGTCAGTGTGGTAGTCCAGGACTTTTTGCATGTCCTGTTCGGTTCTGAGAGGCTCAGGGAAGTGAGGTCCCTTGCCCTCGACCATTTCGACCTTCATTCCCAAAGCTTGTGGAATCACTAAGATGTCGCTAAAAATGATTGCTGCGTCTAAGAGACCCGCATAACGCCTCACAGGCTGGATAGTGATTTCGCTAGCAATTTCCGGGTCTTGACAAGTTTCGAAAAAGTCTCTACCATCTTTAACTTCATGGTATTCTGGTAAGTAACGCCCAGCCTGACGCATAATCCAGCAGGGTGGTCTCTCTACCTTTTCTCCCAGGGCTGCCCGTATAATCAGGTCATTTTTCAGTTTTGGAAACTGAGAACGGTCGACAGTTTGCATTCTACTAACACGCAGGTTCATATGGCTGAACACTGCTATCTGTTTGGTTACGAGTGGATGTCGAAGACTTGTTGAACATGTTCAAGAGAGGAAGGTAGGTGTTCTTAACCTGGATTTTGTCGTTTGACATAAATTTTGACAATCATGTGACTGATGCGACAGCACGGGGAAAAGCGATAGCATCGAACAAAATGGCGGAAAGTCTTGGGCCATGAGGTCTGCGATGCTTGTTCGAGCTGTTGGGTATAACGGTTAGTTTTGGACAGATATTTTGGTTGGGATCGTTCAAGATATTTGATTTATGATACTGGAGATTTTCATGGACAGTTCCATTACCTTTTCAGTATCTTGAGAATGGAAATAAAGGACAATAATATCGTGATTCTACGTTCATTAATAACTAGCAGTCTACTTATCGCAGTTCCCTGGATTCAGGTTGCGCATCCAATAGATTTCGATTCTCTTGACCAGGTATAAATTAATAATTAGATCACTTTGTACTATTTTGACACATTTCCTTTACCGTTATACTTAGCTCGAGCCAAAACCCTGTCTTTAAGAAGGCTAGTGGAAACGTTTTCAATCGTTCGTGGCTGATGTGGGACACCTCCACCATGGTCAGTTCTTTTCACGCTTTCCAATATTTATTAGGCCGTCAATGTTAGATAATTGAATAGATTGTTGCTCGACGAAAGACAAATCCAGACGCGAGCTCATTTTCACAAAAAGCTTCAGCGACAGAAATTCGATAGTCGAGCTACTCTAAGTGCCCTGGAAGGTACAGTATCATTAAAAAAGATGATATTTCCAGCCCGTCATTTGGGCAACGAAACCGTCGTATTATGTGATGTCACATTCAATAACGTTTAATCTGTCAGTTCGTGAAGTCTGCGATTCTGTGAATCTACGTAAATGCCCTAGAGCATTTGGTCACTCAACCCGATTGCTCTTACGCACTCACCTTTCCAAAGAGGCCGACTAGTACGCTAAAGTCTCTTAGAACAATATTTAAAGCTTATAAAAGTCCTCTTACGATCAAGAAAAACACCATCTGATCATAGAGCTCATCGCCATAACAGTCAATATCAATATTATCGACTTGACAAACGTCTCTCAACCGCTACTAATGTTCGTTAAATACTCATCTTAACCATATTCTCGTTCAAAGCGATATACCTCATATTTCATCCTTCTATAGCCAAGTAGACCCTACCGACCGTCCCTGCAATCGGTGTAGACAGAGGCACCCTCGATCTGACAGCCATGTTCTCTAGGTACTTGCGCTCACTTTGTCGCTTCCGAAAGACGAGCGTGAGCATTCTTTTGGTGGTTACTTACGCCGTTATTGGTGCATTATACGTCTGGGACCGAATAAAATATCAGTATAACGGACCGCTCGAAAAGAGCGAGCAATTGCTGCTGGACGATGGATGGCTTTCTCTTCAAGAGATATCTCAAAGTCCGCATGAATACATTTCGAAGCAGAACGATATTGTGCACGACTACATTTTGCACAAAGTTGAGTCACTGACAGATAAGATACCATATGCAGAAGTTTCGGACGACTACAGGAACAAGAACAGAATTCTGTTCAGACAACCAGATGTGTTCAATTCGAGCTCTCAAGATACGCGGGTAATTTCTTTTGAGTCTTCTAATGTAATGGTTAAGCTAGAGGGGTCCGACCCAAATCTGGACGGTTTGCTTCTATCTGCCCACTTCGACTCAGTGCCGACTGGATTTGGAGCTACCGACGACGGAATGGGCATCGTTTCTCTTCTAGCGGTTCTGGAAAAATTATCTAAGGAGCAGCCTCGTCGTACTGTCATTTTTAATTTCAACAACAACGAGGAGTTCGGACTTTTAGGATCTTCAGCATTTTTCAACCATCCCTGGAGCAAGCTTGTCCACTACATTCTAAATTTGGAAGGTGCTGGGGCAGGTGGCAAAGCCGTTCTTTTCAGAACCTCCGACACCAGTACAGCTTCCATCTACAAAGCAGCAGTTCGCGACCAGCCCTTCGGAAACTCGATGTACCAGCAGGCATTCTACGAAAGATACATATCAAGTGAAACGGACTATAAAGTTTACGAACAGAAAGGACTCAGGGGATGGGATATCGCGTTCTACAAACCTAGAGACTTATACCACACCGCGAAGGACTCCATTGCTCACACCAGCAAGGCTTCTCTATGGCATATGATGCAAGCCGCTCTACAAATTTCAGATTACATGGCAAACGGGGATGTTGTTGATGATCCTCAGGACCGCGTGCCTGCTGTGTACTTTGATGTGCTTGGATCTTACTTCGTCTCGATAAGGGCAAAGACTCTATTCACTACCAACTGTGTCCTGTTAGGAGTTGTACCGATAACTCTGTTGACTTTGCAACTCATTGCTTCGAGAAAAAATCATAACAAGACCAAGTCCACCGGGCTTTGGCTGAGGTTGCCCATCAGTGTCGCGGCTTCATATGCCTTTATTGCCACTGGTAGGTCGATCCTTTTCCGCAAAAACCCTCTGATTTTTTCGAGAGACTACCTGAGCCCGACGATCGGTTTTTGTTCTAGCTTCATTGCTGTAAACTATCTGATTTTGTCCTTCTTTGAGTTCTGGTCACCAAGTCGCGATTTCAAGACTGTAGCGCTTATCGAGCTGTCTTTCGCATTTTGGATTTGCCTGTTACTAGCAACTATTCGCCTTTACACTGAGAAATATCAAGCTACTGGATTTTACTCCTTCACGGCTATCTATGTCTTGACGTCAATCAGTGCAGCCATTGGGCTTATTTGTGCCGCCTTCAGACCAAAACAAGTGAAGATTGAACCTTCTCTTCCTGTGGACGATGCTCGCGACGATTCTGTTGGAGATTTGTCAAACGCAGAAACAACAGCCGAGGTTCAGTCAAATGAAGAACCTGACGAACGAGCACCTCTATTGAATCATTACTCCGCCAGAAACAGTGTGGCCACGCAGCCCTCCAAGACTGACAAAAATGACTTCAAGGCTGTTATGAAGCAGACTTTGAATTATGACTGGAGTCTTCAGTTTGCAATTTTAGTACCACTGGCCTCCATGTTCATGTTTACATGTTTATTTCAACTGCTAGATGCGGCTAGTCAAACTTGTCAAGATGGGTTCCAGGCAACGTGGAACGTCTCCATGATTTCTATGTTGGGTGCGATTTTTGTCGCATTGCCCCTGTTGCCCTTTTCATACAAGCTGAATTACTTCGTTGCGATGTTAATTATCGGCGTTTCAGCATGCTCTGGTATACTGTCTTACCTCAAAGAACCCTTCACGGAAAGTTCGCCCTTGAAGCTGAGGTTTTCGCAGGAAGTTCATTTGCATGACGATGATAATTTGGCAACGGTAAAGGTTTACGGTCGTCAAGGTACTGGAATGGGGGAAATTCTGAGAGATCTTCCTTCTTTGAAACGTTCAAACACCTCAGTAAGTTGTCAGTCCAATGGTCAAGGACTGGAGACATGCAGCTACCCTGGTCTCCTGCCAAATATAGTCAGTTCTCGTGCTGAAATGAAGCCTTCTGATGTCATGAAGATAGAGGTTCTTTCGAACAATCGTAACTCGCCAACTAGATCGCCATACGAGCCAATCTATGCCGAGGTCCGTATAAAAGCGTTGGAAAATCGTTTGTGTACGGTTGTATTCAACTCCTCCCGATATGCAGACTTCACCTTCGGTCAATCGCCAGTCAAGCAGGTAACAGTTTTTGAGAGCATACTTCCTGATAATCGGACAGCAGTCCACCTACCTATGGTCGACGGTCTATCAACTGACGAGGACGGTAACAGAGTTTTCAAGTGGAGTAAAGGTATTAACTCATTGCAATTGCATAAGCTTGACTTCGAGAGGAATTATTATCGTATTGGGATTCAGTGGGTTCCTAAAATTATTAGCCAAGATACAGACGAAGAAATGACAGATGCATTGGGACTTCAAGTTCGTTGCTCCTGGGGTGATTATGACTCTGTTTCGATTGTCAATGACGAGCCAAAGCGCAGAGTACCTGCATATGACGAGTTGTTGGCATATTCCCCAGCTACGATATCCTTAGCGAATAGGGAAGCAGGCATGGTGATGTTCGACGATTACCTCGTTTTGTGAAAGCGCTTGGAGTGTAACATAGCAATCAGTCTGTGACATGCGGACAGCCAACGGAGTAAGATACAAGTTTTTACTGCAGGACCACAGAAAACGGCTGAATTAGGATGACATTATTCAATGAAGCAGTATGAGCGGCTATATAGTGAGAGAATTTTTAATTGTTTGATTTGGTTTTCCTGTCGATTTACGGCGGATGACCTTAGCTTAGGTTTCAAAGCTCGAGCGATTGAGCTTCATGTCTACTTCACGATTTTGAAATACCGTGAAGGGGTATATTTTGGTTCGCCAGGATGTCAACTGAGGACCCCGTGCGATATGGGCTATTGACGATTGGAACTTGGACTTCAAATTTTTGAGGGCCGATGGGAGGTTGACATGCCAAAAAAGTGCCCGAAGGGTTCATGCACCTTTGATTAAGTTCTTGAAAAACCTGTGGTGGTACAAGAGTCGGGGCGACTGGTAAAGGCGAGTAGCTCAAGGCTGTAGCGATTGGGGGATAGTGGATCATAGCGGGCATCATGTGTGAGGCAGGCTCACAAGATGGAAGTTTTGACACCTCTGGAGGGCGCAAGTCCGCAGAGAAAACCCCGGAATCATAATAGAGGAAAAGTTCTAGCAAAATTTGAGGCGGAACATTCATAATAATATAGGCGGGGTTTTGATTGTTGGACGCTAGAACGTCGTTGAATATTTTGTCGATTTGTCTGGCGTGGACAAGATCACCTTCAGAGGCGAACAATACAGACGCTCGTCGAAGGGCGTCTAAGGCGCTCTGCTTCCGGAATGTAGCGACAAACACTTGGGATAGCCCAACCCAAGCGAATGCAGCAAATAAGCGATTAAATCGCAGGAGAAATGGATGCTCAAAGTTTTCTAGTTTGGAGGCATAGTTTAAAGCGTGTGAAAATGCAATATGAGCGTCCTCGAACTGACGCATTCGCAAGTAAAGCGAGCCTATTCCAATCCATAAGGATGCAGATTGAGGTTTGCAGTTGACTGCAAGCTGATAGAATTCATAGCTCTGCTTCGTGTCATCGAGCATGTCGAAAATTCTGCCTAAAGACCAGTTGAAGAGATATTTTCTGATGCGGTCGTTCGCGGCAAGGCAGTTTTTCTCTAATATCAATGCCGGTATAAGTGCCTTGAGGCTTGTAAGATCCCCATCAATCATGTAGAATTGAGTCAAGGTGGCCAATAGGCGGGAGGTGCCCGAAACCTGCGGGAGTATGCTCATCGCTTCATGAAGAATGCTGTAAGCGTTCGTCTTTTGGTTCAACTTGAACTGAATAATGCACATAAAATTGTAAAGGTAACAAAGCGCGGTGACCCCAATTGGATTGGGCAAATCAAACGTCGGACAATTTCGTATGAGCACAAATGCGCGAGACACCTCTGTTTGAGATTCTGTATAGCATGCAAATCTATGGTATAGCTGTGCTAGAGAAATTCTGGCCTGAAGCTCTTTTGTCGTGTCTTCGGAGTCGATTGCAACCTGCACAGCTCCTAAAAAGTACGGAGTAAGGGTTTCGAGACCCATTTTCCCATCTGAGTCCATCCACAGCAAGAGTATGCGCGTTTGAAGAAGCCAAAGATCTGCGCCCTTGACGCCGCGGATTTCCTGCGCTGCGATGGCTCGAGACACACTTTGGAAAGCGTCTTCTGGCTTTTGAAGAACGAAATAGGACATGGCGAGCTGCGCCCAAATGCGATCATCAGAAAAGTCCGGGGTTCGCTGGAGAGCTTCGATGAGCGTGGAGACGACGATTTTTTCTTCGTTGAACTGAGCACCGAGTGCTCGAGCAAAATCGACCAAAACGCTGGCGTCGTTGGGCGTTTTCTCCAGGCTCTTTGCGAAATTGGCCACAGATGACTGGTAAAGCCCCATGTCGTAGGCTAGACGGCCACACGTTGCGTATGACGAGCCCAAGGCGGTGTCGAGCTCCATGACGGTTTTCGAGTTCACCGAATGCTGTAGTAATTCGGGCACTTTTTGAGAAGCGAGGCTCCTGTCATCACATGGCTCCGTCGCGAGCCTCCGGGCCTTGCCACGAGGCTCGCTGCGTTTTCTTGGTTTTATGAAGGTGCCCATTTTTCTTCCTTTTGCAGCGCAGCCTAAGAAAGCTAGGGAAAGAGGAAAGCCAGCTGGATCGGATCTGACGGTTTTTTGCGCGTTCTGAAGTAGAACGGACGGGCGTGTGTTTCTGCTCAGTTAAGGGGCACTAGCCGGGGTGGAAGCGATTCTGCTAAAAGTGGTAGCAGTGTGTATAGCAGTCGTGAGGCGAGTAGCAGCAGTAGTAGCAGCAGCACCGGTAGTAGTGCCGGAATTACCAGAATTAGTCGAACTCAAATCAACAGGAGATTTCGCACCCGTAGAGACCACGGCTCGCGAAGTACCTGCGTTCAGATCTCACCGAATTTCTGTATGATCTGATCAAGCCAACAAGCTATCGTCGTTGTCAACTCAGATGTATGCTCGATACCTCAGAACTGGTTTCACAGTAGTTCTGTCTTCTATGATGCAAATCTCGCCAGTTCTAGTTCTGTCTTTTGCCAGCAGCCCTTTTTGACTTGCCGATATGCAGAAATGGGAAATTCGTGCATTTTTGTTTGGTTGTTCCTCGTCCTGCCGACTCATGCACTACTTGATGCATCGAAGCTACCCTGGGGCAGCCCGCAGCCAAGAGTGAGCACATACGGAAATAGGACCACCAAAAAAAGTCTGTTTCCTGATAGTTTTTCGTATCTCTGCAATGTAGAGAAACCCCAGGAAGAACTCGAACCGTTTGCTTGGCCTTTGATAAAGGTGCTGGGGGTTAAGCTTGGTGCGTGCATAACTTTACGGTCCTTGTTGCAATTTTGAATGGAAGACAATGCGCGTCCTAGTGAGTTGCGGGTATCACTCCTTGCATTCACGATGTAATTCTCTCGGTTGGCAGTTGAAAGGAACGGATTTAGTGAAGCGAAGTGATGGTCAGAATGACGGATTTAAGGCAAGCTATGTTGAGCAGCCTTCAATGCGCGACAGCAGTGGTCGTCAGCGCAGGAATTTTTCTGTGCATGATCGCAGTGAGCTATTTCCTAGTGGGACAGTAACAGGCACAGAGATAATGGATGAAAAAGGTGCCTTAAAGCTATCGCGCTACGCATTTTGGTAGATGTTGAAGAATAGGCGATATGGGAATGCGTGACGGCGAGCAGACGAGGGAACCTGAGAGGCGAAGAGCGGGAATAGGGGAAGAAGGTTTTGAAGTAGCAAAGGCGTCAGTTGACTAGTGTAAGGTCAGCGTGCAACGCCGGCGTGCAAAACCCGTGTCAAATTTTGGCTGTGATCAGGATCTGCATTGCATTGGGCCTTCAGGTTTTCGAGCCTGAGCCTATGGTCGTAGGTGAGAGGGGGGGGAGCAGCGAAGATTGACGGTTTTCAGGGGTGAGGGGACGTGTGCTGTTGGAAGACAGTCGGAGAGAGATGAGGATGGAATATGCTCAGAGAGGTCTGCAAGCTGCAGTGTTTGAGAAGCAGTTGTTGATGGAAGAATCATTTCGATCAAGTTTCGAGGATAAGTGGTCAGGGTGGGAGTGAAGTGTCGGTGAGACCTCGCATGGAAGTCTGGAGGTTGAAGTACCCATCTTGGTGGGACTTCGAGTAGAAACTGGTGCTCAGTGTGTTTATTTTGGACAAGTCTCAAATTGCAATCTCGAGGTGGGAGTACCCATCTTAGTCGTCCTAGTAGACAACTGGTGACTGAAGGCTGTATTTTTTTCGAACTCTGAGTATGCTTGTTGAAGTGCTCGTCTTGGAAAGATTTCGTTTCATGGTTTGGTAATTGAAGTTTCCATCTTGGTGAAACTCCGAGTAGACTTCTGGCGTCTGAACTAATCCTTCCTAGTAGGAAGATGACAGCTGAAGCGCTAATCTTAACTCCTCCTAATCCCTGAATTCCACCGGCTAAATCATCAATCCTTGTCAAATCTTATTCCAGTGAATCAGCCTGTCTTAAACTAATACAAACATCTCACAAGGGAACTTGATGGGCCTGTTAAGGCCTCAGGTCTAGGACCGGAAGCTGTTTCATGATAATTGAATACTTGCAACCCTCTGTAAACTTGAAAGCTCAGCTCTCCTAGCTGTGGTAAAAGGGATAACACATTTCTTGTACACAGTATCATGAACTTAACAAGTCAAGTTCTCTCGCGACAGCGCTCAATAGTGCGCTCAAAGCGTCTCATTGCAGTCGCACAAACTTCTGACGGCACAAAAACCGTCCACCATATCACAAAACGCTAAATTCCTATTTACGTTGTTCGAGACGAGCGAGACGAGTGAGACCGTCTACGTCAAGCTCTGGGTTGTGCAAGTCCGAATAAAGGCGAGAAACTCGCGGACTAGTGCATGAACCTTCAAGCACTACTCATTGGTGTGATGAAGCAAAATGATGAAAGATTTTGGAACAGTTAATTTTTCCACATCCTAATGTCATAGCCGCCGATCAAAATTTAAAAGCCAAAAAAAAAACAGCCTGTGATAACTACAAGAGAAGACAGAATAACACTAAAACTACGCTACAATTGACGGTTGAACCGCTTCAGGGCCAAAACACATATCATGCTGGTGAAATCGTTGGCAATAAACCATAGCGTAATGAAGATCGTCAATCACGTGATCTCACATGTGTTTACTCTACTAAAGCTTATTCTACTCTACTCTCTAACGCTCTACCCGGCAACCTACGTCCTTGAATCGGCTTCAGGCGTCTCTACCATCTTATTTCTCTTCTTTCTTACCGTGTCTTTATCCCCATCTTCTAATAGTTCCCTAACGATTTCAACCTATCTCTTCGTTTAACTTATTCAACAAGAACAATATAGTATAATAATAATACCTATCATACAACTACTACAATACAAAATAAAACAAATCTATACAAAAAACACATTAAAACATTAAAATACGAGAGCTGTCAGCTGTGCCTACTCTCGCTGCTCGCATGGCTCTAAAAATTGCCAAAAATAGTCTATCATAATCCTGAGCAGGCAAACCACCACTTTCTTGAAGTAGTACTCATCTTACTCTTGTAAATGCACATTGCCGGAAAGCCAAAAAAGGCAGCGAACCTCCAACGGTCCTGGAGATCACAGTAGAGACTGAGCATGCGCCAGACCACCAGAAAACGCTAACGACCAGGTTCGCGACATGCCGTTGTCTAGAGAAGCGGCGTCAAAATCAGAGCTGGAAAAAAAGTCGTACGAGCTGCCAGGATCGTACAGCGCTTGATTCAACATCAACAGGCCTTTCCAACCGTCGGAAAGTTGCCCCACGATACCGCTTAACTTCTCGTTCCATTCCTCTTGCACGAATGCAGGCGTTCTTATTTCAGAGGAAACTGGTGTGATCGGGATCATGTGGATACCGTGCTTGTATTGTACTGCAGTGCCAAAGTAAGTGGTGTAGTCGATAATGTTGTCAAAGAGAATGCCTGCAACCTTGTTTCCACGTATTTCTGCAGGCTCAACTTCGTTGTCATTTGCCATCAAGAAGTAAGAATTCATAGATCTTTTCATCAAGGCGATCATAACGTCTGCACGTCTTTCCATCGAGGAATCACCAATGACAGCGCCCCATAGTTTCATAGCATACGCGAAATTGTAATCTTCGGAACTGGATTCCTCGTTTTTACCATTAGGGTTCGCAAATAGTCCCGCAGCCCACGAATGACCGTTGAACCAGTCAAACATACGCGACACAGGGAAGTACGCATCGTCGGTGCTAGGGTTGGCCACGTCGCGAATCAAACTGTTGACCCACGCCTTGTTTTCTTGCACCCATGTTCCGCCCTGTTCTTGATCTATACGGCCCAAGACCGCAGCGGCGTGAATTATGTAGCCGTAATGGAAATGATGGTCGTTGTAGTAGGTATTTCCAAAATCGTAGCCGGTGGAAGTTGACGCCCAGTCCCCAGAGGACACAATACCGCCGAACTTGGTGTCGTAATACAATGGGTAGAGCTGTTGGTTCAACACCAGCTTCTCGAGCGCTTGCTTGAGATTAGCGGCAACGGCTTGGGTCACTTGCGTGTCTTGCAAGATGTCCGAAACCGTTAACAAAATGTAAGCGTACTTGTCAAGAACTTTACCCAGGTAATAGGTATTTAGTCCAGAAATTGAGTCCCACACATTGATGTTAATCTCTGAATTTGCCACTTCTGACAACAACTGCAACTGGTCGGTGTTGTAACTTATACTCTTACCGTTCAATTGCGAAGACCAAGGTAGCCATCCCAGTTCTGTATTCAAAGTCTCTGTAAATGACAATGTGTTTGTCAATAGACCCTGCATAGTGCCCTTGGTGGTGGATTGTAATTGAATGCCAGTGAGAGCGGCTTGGGAATCGGCTGTCAGGGCATCGATGTGGTGAGGGAATGCAAAAACCATGGTACTACCAGACGCCGATTTGCCCTCCGTTTCGTAATTGAAGGCGTAATCGGCAGTGGTGCCATCCGAAAAACCAGTGGTCTCGAAAGTGGTGGCGTACATACCGGCAGCATTGTCATAGTAGGTTTCGTAGCTAGAATCTTCGGGTGCAACGGCAAATTGTAGGACTAGCCCATCAATGGCATGGGACCCGGTAATTGTGGATGTGTCCGAATAAGATAAAGAGAAGGTTTCATCGGAATTATCTGGCACTGTCACATACACCAACCAGGTTGAACCACTGTTGAGGCCCACGCGGTATTTGAGAATGCCAACGGGCAAAATGTCAGATGTTTCTTGTTCAAGAGAGATAAATGCTGCCGACGTTCTCAAAACCGGTTTCAACGAACCGTGGTAGATACCGGTGGAAAAGCCCATACCTTGAACCAGTGGAATCTCTAAAATGTTTGTTGTAGTACCGTCATTGATGGTAACGTCGCAGGAAGAGGTTGTCATGTCGCTGACGAACATGTTGAAATTGGAAGCACCGAACGATTCTGCAGAGAACATTAGCGACGCAATGGCGAGTGGGTTGGCCAAAAACTCAGAGTTCCCACTGCTATCGTAGTTTCCGAATGCGTATTGGCTCGCAGTAGTGTGAGAAACGGCAAATCCGTAGATGTCATTGGAACTGTACTTCCATAGCGAGTATGGGTATACAAATGCGGCACTTGTTTGGTCACCGACGATCAGATTGGTGTAGAACTTGTTGGTTTCGTAGGGGGAGTCGACATTGGTGACGCCATTCGAGAGATCCAAGGGGTTGGAGTGTCTTTCGAAGACTGAAGGTGGAGCTTCAGTTTGAATGGCACTGAACAGGTTGACAGTGGTGGGTGAGCTGGTAGAGGAGCTTACAGAAGAGGAGCTCGAAGATGAAGGGCTCGAAGATGAAGGGCTCGAAGATGAAGGGCTCGAAGATGAGCTCGATATTGTAAAGCTGGAGCTGGAGGATGAAAAGCTAGCAACCGATGATGACGTCTGAGTGTTCGCACCGTTGGATGAAGGTGTAAAAGACGAGAATTTTCCGGTGGATGCTAGGATCTCAGAGGAAGTGGAGGAAACGGTGTTGTAGTCCGATTGGGTAGAATTTGATGCACTGAGAGTGGTGACTGCTACTGTGTCGGAGGCCGAGGAGGAAGATGCTGCCACTGTGGTGAGATTCGAGGCCGCAGGAGTAGCGGAAGCAGAAGGGTCGACGAGATTCGAGTTGGACTCAGAAGTGGATGTCAAGGACGCGAGTGTTGTTGTGTTGCCGTAGGCGGAAGCGAAGCCAGTGACGGTGGATGCCGTGGCTGAGTGGGAAACGGGAACCACTACGAAGGGGTCGGTGGTGAGTGAGGAGGGGGCGACACTGACGGAGGAGGCGACACTGACGGAGGAGGCGACACTGACGGAGGAGGCGACACTAACGGAGGACAGAGCGCTGGTGACAGAGGACAGAACACTGACGGAGGATACTGCACCGCCGGCTGAGACCTGAGTGGCTAAAGTGCTGTTTGAAACCACGTCGGAGATGGTCTTGGCAGCAGTGTAGGTGGTAGCTATGCTTTGTGACAGTTTACTGCTGCTCAAGGACTGAGTGACCAATGGCTGGTCTGAACGGGAGGAGACGGTGGTGACGAAAGATGCGGGCGACGAGAAGGACGATGCCAGAGTGGAGCCCGAGTAGATAACACTGGTGGAGGTCGCGGCCGTGCTGGTGAACAAGCGCGAGACCGGGGAGCTGGTGTGGGAGCTGGTGTGGGAGCTGGCGTTTTGGGAGCCGCTGCCGGGGTACGCGGTGTGGATGGTGGGGGTCCCGGAAGCAGACTGCGGTGTTGAGACGACTGTGTCTGTGTCTGTGTCTGTGTCTGTGTCTGTGTCTGTGTTTGCGATGGTGACGCTTGCGGCCAGCGAGCTTAGGCGGCGGCTAGTGGAGTGTGCAGTCGACTTGCCGGTCGTTTCTGCAGTCGTTTCTGCAGTCGCACCTCTGGTTGAGTATCCACTCACACCTCCACTCACACCTCCACTCACACCTCCACTCACACCTCCACTCACACCCCCAGCAGACACACGCGTGGGCCGCGGGTTGCGGGTTTCGACGTACACATCGCCAAACTCGAGCGTTTGCCACTGTAAAGTCGTGGTGCGGTCCGTTTCGTAGGCCAAAATCGGGCCCGCCGGCGCCGACACGGCTATACTGGAATTCCCCGTGGAATTAGCATATATCGCCGTCGCGGCTTGCGCGTAGGCCGCCACAAGCAAGAACAGCGAAGAGTAGAGCATGGATGAGTTAACAATGGCCTGGGGAGGGGAAGGGAAAGAAAGATCCAGGAAGGAGAGATATGCATTCTCGAGCATGTCACAATGGTTCTTACTTATATGGGGACGACGATCAAGAGTGGGCTGGCAGATCGCTAGTCTTGGTCTCTAGTGCCAGCACACCAGCCGCCCAGCCCGGTACAATAAAAATTTGGGCGGCTGGGCCCTCATCGTGTACGACCGTTTAATCAGCACGCGTACCCGCCCTCCCTCGTGCCGCAGATCCTTTTGCTCTTACCTGTTACCCGATTGTTGTCGTATATGTCGTCTCCTTTGGGCCGCCGCCGCCGCCGCCGCCGCCGCCCCTAAATCCTCTGTGCGCGCATGCATGCACATGCACGCGCCAAGAATGTTGATTGTCTTTCGTAAGCAGCCACGGGCTACCGCAAGAAAAAAGGAAAACAACCACGGGCCACGGGCCACGGGACACCGGCAGATCCGGCAATCGCCGAATGCCGCGCCCGCGCATCATGCATCCTGTACCATGCACCATACACCATTCACATTTCTATATCCCGCGGCCCACTTTGCCCGCACGTACATGCATTGTGCATACTCGGAAGGAGAGCGGGTTTTCGCGCCTAATTAGCGGACGCGCTGTTGCCAATGTGTCTCTACGCTGTTGTAACCCACACACAAAAGACGGCGATAAAGTGTGTAAACTGTGTGTGTTTGATGTTGGTGTCGTCGTTGTCGTTGCTGCACAGGTATTATACGCGTGTGTGCCGTAGCGTATACTTGCACCCTGGGCTCGCAACATATAAATAAGGAGAGCCTGCCTTACGCGTTCCACTGGTTAGGGCCGCTATATACTCTTTCTTCAACCATACATGAACTCGCCACGTTTGTCTTTGGAGCCCGTCGTGCCCGCGTTTTGGGAAGAGACCCACATCTTCCCAACTTTCAAGTCCTCAGAAGAAGTGCTGAACCACGACTGCTGTCAGCCCGCGGACTCGAGTCTCGGACTCGGGCTGCCGCACGTGCATTTTCCGTACACGGACGCGGTGGAATGGCCGGTGTATGGGGGAAAGGAGGAGCACGAGGACGAGGACGAACACGAGGACGAACACGAACACGAACACGAACACGAACACGAACACGAACACAACAACTGCAGAAGCAGCAGTCTCAGCACCACGGGAGCAGAAGACGTGTTTGTGCACGACGACATCCTCGACGCGCTGTTCGAGCTGCCGACGCGACTCAGGACGAAACTCAAACGCAACTGGTCTGCCGAGGACGTGAAGGGCGGCATCTCCAAGCCCCGGGCTGCTGCTGGTTCTGCTACTTCTGCCTCTGCCTCCCGTTCCCAGGTCAAATACACCTGTCGCGAATGTGGCAAATCGTTCCAGCGACCTTCGTCGCTGGCCACCCACATCAACATCCACACGGGCGACAAGCCCTTCGTGTGTCCGTTTCCGAACTGCGGTCGCCAATTCAACGCGCGCTCGAACATGGTTCGTCACCACAAGCTGCATTTCCGTACCAGTGACGGCGAGTATGTGTTGTCGCACGCCAGCAGAATGGGAGCTCCTGAGACGCCGCCAAGCCCGAGTCCTTTTGGGTATTCGCAGGTTTGCGGGAATGCTGGCCGTTCCAGCGTGTAGGGGCAGAAACAGAAGTACCGGTACTCATAAGCGTACTCACAGGCACATAATGGTAGGGATAGGGTAGGATACATACAGTATACAATAATAGTGTAGGGCACTGAATAATGGCATACACACGTTAGACGCATAGACGCATAAACACCCGCCACACCCACAAGAAAAATCTTTTGGATCGGCGCGGGCGCGGAGTTAAGGTGCGTGCTTAACTCCAAAGCCCATACTCCGCTATTTAGGCTGCCGCGCGATGTTACGTAATACGCTTGTTACTGCATTAGGTGTAGGTTTGCTGCTTTATGTACGTTGCTACGTCATCGATCGGCGATAGCTATCGAGGGTCCGCCGATCTGCACTGTGCATGATGTGCATGTGTATGTGCGTATATGTGTTATGCGAGAGCCGTATTGCATTGCATTGCATTGCATTGCATGTGCCAAGGGGCACACCATGCACAAGCCTCGGCCAATATTCACAAGCCGTGTGCGAACGCGCGCGAAGCAGCCAGCTTCTGTATTAACGAGTCGACCGCCTCGAAGTTGAGATCGTCGCGCGCAAATTGCTGGTGTTTTTCCGTCTCAACGTGCAGAGTCAAACACTCGTATTTGACTCGGCAGTTCTCACAGTAGCCCGGCCCGGTTTTGGCGTCGATGCGTTTATTCTGCACGCTGGGTCGCGGTTCAGCCTTAATGGGCGTGGTGAAGGTGGTGGCCTTGGCACTAGGCTTGGTAGTAGTATTAGTAGTAGTAGTAGTAGTAGTAGTAGTAGTAGTACCAGCAGTCGCAGTTGTAGTACCAGCAGTCGTAGTAGTGATACCACCACCACCACCACTGCTATGAGCGTTTTTGTCCACGACCAGCCGGGTCAGACTCTTCATGTTTTTACTCGTCACGGAAGCACGCGCTGGTCCCAGCCCATTGCCGCCCTGCGTGGTAGAGCCATCGTTCGACTGGACCACGCCGCTGGCTCGGATCTCGTGCGGGATCCGCGGCTTGCGTCCACACAGGTCGTCCACGCCCAGGTCTTCGGTGTCCTGACGCGTAAACGCAGGCGCGTTTGGAAGACGCCAGATCGCTTTGGACGGCAGCGGCGCGGAGTCTGGGGACGGAGCCGCTTCTGGAGCCGCTGCTCGCGAGTACGAGTACGAGTACGAGTACGAGTCCCGATGCTGATTTTGATTTTGATTTTGATGCTGGTGGTGGGTGGTCGTGGTGGTGGTCGTGGTAAGGTCTACAGACACATTACCGCGCGATTCGTTAAAGGTGCTATCAGGATGTTTAGGCTGTTCCTGGGGCTGTTCCTGGGGCTGTTCCTGGGGTGTGTCGACATTCTGCACATTGATGCTTTTCGTACCACCACTGACATTTCCCAGCCGCTGGTATTGCTCGCTGGAATTGCAATAGTCGTGGGGCAAAATCAACAGCCGGGGCCGTAGTATCTCGCTCGTGTCGCTCGTGTGGGGCTCCGCACTTCGCTGGTATAGCATCCGTAGATGCAATGCATATTTCTCGTTCGCAGTGTCGCGTTTGTACCGCTTCAAAATCCGACGCGCACTCAGCTCGTCACATTGGCCGTCTCCCACAAACGGACACCGTCCAAACGTGCCCGGCCGCACTGCTGGGTGCGCCCCCACGTCCTGCGGCCGCCATTCTGCCGCTATTACCGGCGCCCACACTTGCCATAGGTCATACAGGTACACGTGTGGATGCTTGAAGTAGTGCACGTCGTCACGACGCGCCTTGGGATCGCGATCGGCAGGCCCGTACAGTTTCTCGTTGTGCAGCAAGTTCGACAGCGTCGACGGAGCCAACGGCGTCTTGCTTTCCAGTGCTTCCAGATCCACATCCAGGTTGTTCAAAAACCGTGTTGCCTTGTCGTAGTTCCAGATTTTCATGTACCGCTTGGCGGCTCGCGCCAGCACGTCTGTCTCAGGCAATCGGTCGTAGTCCCGCAGCACACGCTGCGTCACCACCACGGTCACGTCCGTGTCGAAAAAGGGTGTCAATTGCGCCCCCACCGACAAAAACCCGCGTTTCAAAACCTCGCGTTTGCTGTCGTTCTTGTGGGACGCCTCTGTGGTGTCGAAATAGATTTTGGTATCGCGTCGCATGATTCGTTTCCAGTTGTTCTGCCACTCCAGCAGATCCTGCGGCGTTACTTTTGCCGCTGCGGTCTTGGTTCCCGTCTCCTGGCCAGGTGTGCCATTTTGGTGATTTTGGTGCTGGTATTGGTGGTGGTTTTGCTGCTGAACTGCGCCCTCGATGGTCCGCGCCCGACCTATGCCTTCTACACCAGCACGCGGCCTCTTACGGTGTTGCTGGATCTCCAGTCGCTCCACACTCCTCTTTTTCACCATGCCATTTGTCCCGCTTTTTACGTTACTATCCGTTTCTTTCAAAGGTGAACGCTTCACCGTCGACATCGCTTTGTGGAAACAACAGTGAAAACACCCCGGTTACCGCGCACAGCACTAAGTACTTTTCAGGCTCTCTGCGACTCCAGGCAAGAGGGCAAATAGACGCGAATTGGGCCCACAATCACTGTTCCCTTGCAAGAAGTGACCTTTAGTTTTGATCAAAATCTACAGGATGAAGACGAACAAGAAGAGTTGACGGAGAGGAAAGTTACGCGATCTTGTCACTTTTTTCTTGAGTTTTGAGATATTCGCGTTCGCGTCAGGTGAGATGTGCCGTGTGGGGTGAGGTAGACAACGAGCATGTGGATTAGGCGTGATTATCATGTGACGTTATGTATTACGTAAGTAGCACACTCTTACTACAGCTTTCACCGCCCTCCAGCGTCCCATGCTGTTCCCGTCTCAATTCAATTTGTAACCGTACATGCCCGAAAACGCCTTCAAACCAGATTTCATTTTGAGAACCTCCAGCCCGTACGGGTATTTGCCGCTCGCGACAAACAGCAATAGTAGATCGCTCCGTGGAATTTGTGCCACACATGCGTGCAGGTCCTCCAGCTCATAAGTGTATATGTGAGTCGACTCCGAGCCATCTGCCAGTTCGCAAGTGTAACAGCTGGCCGTCTTTCGCGCATTGGCGTCCTGCTCGTCCTCGTTCCATTTGTCGCGTATCAGCAACGCCATCATTTTGAGGTTATTCCCGGATTTGTTGTACGATGTGGGTGTTCCGTCACTGTTGGCATATGATATTATGCTCCCATTTATTCCTGACAGCAGTATAGATGAGTAAAGTGGCTCATTCTCCGAGCCCATGGTCGAAACGGCTCCCAATGTCTCCTTCAGAAGACGTTGTATGTTTTTTCCGTGCAGCATACGAATAGTGTGTGTGTGTGGTTATGTATATACGCTCTCTCAGCAGCGTGTTTGGACTGTGAAGATGTGGTGAGCGGTAGGGCTCTTCGTTCTCAACCTTTGATTTTATCAATATAAACTCATATAGTAAACACCTTGTCACTATTCACGTGGAAAGGCTACATATACTGTATAAAAACAATGCAAACCCCGATATGCACACTCCAGATGAGCCCGCTAGTTCGCTGCGGCGACTGAAATATTGATTTCAGTCGCCATAATAATCTTCTTGGTAGCGACTTGGCGTAGCAGCCCTCAAAATGCATGTGCAAAAATGTAGTTGGCCCTCGTCATCATTAAAACAAACCAAACTGGGCCCCAGATAAAAAGATAGAATTGAAAATGAAATGGGGATGGAAAAAACACCTGATGCTTGTATGCCTCCCTTCCTTGGCTTCACGGCTTCGCTCCACGGGCGGGGTGTTGTTACTACCTGTTGCGGGAAGCAAGGTTCAATGTATAACATTCATGCAATGGTTTTTCCTTCTCTTTCTTCATTTGGGGCGTGTGCGTGTGTGTACGTGTGTGTGCGTACGTGTATTAGCATGCTGGATGGTGGCTGGCCAAGAGACCTCAAAATCTCGTCTTGGTCTCTCTGTGCCACACTCGTCGCGTGGAGCTGCTGCTGCTGGAACAAGACCACTGATACTCTCGTTAGATGCACTCACTTCTCAAGCTTCACCTCGTCTTCCAAATCTTCGCTCTCGTCCTCGGCCTTGCTGGGCTGTTTGCGGTCCATCACGCTGTCATTATCGATGCTCACGTCGTCGTCTTCCTCGAACTGTATGTCCTCGTCGTCTTCATCGTCATCGTCGTCGCCGTTGTTGTTGAGATGGCCGTACCCGTAGATGTCAGCCGCGGGCTCATCTTGGTCGTCGTCCTCTTCGTCGCTGTCGTACCAAAAGTTGTCGCCCAGGTCTCTCGTGTCTTCAGGCTCAGAGTGCCGCTGTGCCACGTACGCTGTGCGTGCCGAGGGCATGACAAAGCCCTCGGGAATGTCTTGTTTGGAACGCTCCACTTCCAGTTTCACGCGCTGCTTGTATTGGTCAACGTTTTTGCGGTAGTCCACGGCCGCATCCACGTTTGCAGGCGACGAGATGTTGGGGTCCTCCAGCAGCGATACTATCGATATCAACACGCTCTCGACGGTTTGCACCGGCGACCACGTTTCGGAGTCGGGCTCCTCAGACGTGGGATCGCCACTGGTGTGCAGAATCGAGATACACAGCCGTCCGTCGCGGTAAACGTTGGGATGGTATATCGCAGGCGTGAACCGGAAAGTGGGCGGCGAAAACGGGAAGTCCTCTGGAAACCGCATCTGTGCTTTGAAATACCCCCCGTGGTATATGGAGTCTTCGTTCAGCACCATGACGCCCACGTTCCACAGAAAGATGTTGGAATCGTCGTCCAGCTCGATGTGAAAGGACGGGATGGCTTTCTTGGCGTCTGTGAGCTCGCGGTACTGTCTCAACAGTAAGTTGGCAGCCGTGTTCTTGCGGTTACTCATTTGATTTTTGGTCGTTTGTTTAGCTGTACAGCAGCGCCTGAAGAAACCAGTCCGTGAGACTCCTTACAAAACTCCGTGAAAATTCCCCGTACGCTGTAGATTTCCTAGCGTAACGACCTTGTTCCCGTTCTGGCTGTGTTTGGTGGTCTTTGTAAAACCGCCTGTTACACTTACTCTTGGGTTAGAAATAGAGAGAGGTTTTGATGGGAATATAAAAAAATGGCACTTTGCGTTTGGTCGCTGTGTACGAGGGGAGGGGATGCCAGCGCGAAGCCAAAAGGAGCAGGAGCGAGTGTGGGATGTATGTAGAGAAATAACGCGACAGATGATGGTTTCTCGCTATTGAGAGTGTGAGGTGTGTGTAGGTGGGTGTTTCGTGTGTGAATGGTTGTGATATCACTATACACGGGTGTGTCATCTGTCGCAACTACACGACTGAGACCCCCCAATCGTCGGTGATCCAGTTGCTTTATTTCTCTGAGTGCAAGCAGCACATCGTAGCTCGCTGTGTATTTACACCTCCGTCAAGCGTCGTCGCCTTTTATCGGTCCTAGTATCTCTGTTACTAGTAGGCATATCAATATATTGTGTAGCCCAGTGCTACGTAGAAAGTGATACAAAACTATATTGCATAGCCCAGTAGAACTGGACACACCAGTAGCCTTGGGTAGATCTCGGGTGGCGTTGGTAGATCTACCTGGGGTTTTCGCGAGTAAGTGGGTGTAAAAAACGATGTAAACTACTCGTGCTGAAAAGCTAGATCACGTGTGTTCGTCTGCACTTCTCGGCGTCAGTAAATCAAGTAACCTAAATAATCCGACGTCAGACGTCTTTCGTATGTCTCAGAGACTATTTCGCAAGCCTGGGTGGATATTTACGCACAGATAATAGAGTTTTTCGCGAGGCGGGGTGTTCCGTAGTTTAGAACATGAGACGGTCTACTCTTTTGGAATAGCCGTGAATACGAGAGAATTGACTCTAGTGGAGACGTAGAGTGTCGGTAACATCGAAAAAAAAAGGGCAAGAGGTATCATACCAGGTGTGTTCCGTGTAGCCCAGCTTCAATTTACTGACACTGGAAAAATGGACACATTCCAAAACACGTGATCCACTCGCCAACATCACAACTCGATCTCTTCTCGTGCCCAATCCGGTGTAGCCTGAGCCATGGCAGCTCTCACACCAACGCTCAAGCACACGCACACGTCCACCACAACTACTCGCTGTCCCATCACTCGCTGTCCCATCACTCGCTGTCCCATGCTCATAGAACCCATTTCCGTACAAAGCGACACTATTTTAGTCTTCCTCTCTCTCTCTCTCTCGCCTCCCCGACCAAGCGACAATGGCTTATCGCCAGCATCCTCCTTCCACCAAACTTCGTCCCGATAACCTCGATCTTACTCAAAACGTTACAATAAACTCGCCCTCTCACCTATTATTGCCTGTTTCCAGCTATCGCCAGAAGCGCTTGCCAGGAAAAAGATAATCGCGATTCGCGAAATTCAATCAAATCAAATAAATGAACACACAGTAACACACGGCGACCCGCCATAACACGCCGTGAATCTTTACACCATCTAATTGCACTCAAATATCGACTTCCTTGGCGTCCTGTAACGTTCTTCGTAAGAGTTTCCAGCGTTTCCAGCGGATCCCTTTGCTAGCTTATTATCGTTCAGCTTGTCGCCCAAATCAAAATTAAAGTATAACTATCTATCTAAAAATCGTTATCTAAGATTGAAGGAATGTCCCGCCTGTAAAGACGGTGATTAGTGAAGCGTAAAGTAGCCAGAGCGCATCGATCGTGTGTGGAATCCAAGGTTTGAGCGATCTGGGAATGCCACCCAAAGCTCCAACGCCAGTGGTTATAAATGTAGTGGGCGACAAGCTACTTCGACTGTTTTTTCTAAGTCTTATGCTAGTTTTCTTTATCTTGGGTCAATTCGAACAGGTACTGCGACCGCGCAAGAAACGGGGACCCTGGAGAAGCACTAGCGAAGAGAAGAACCACTAGCACTGACAACCAACCGACCAACCAACCAACCAAATATCATTTTCATTATTATTATTATCATGACCCAGGACAACATGTATGCGTGCGAAGACGCTGTCAAATTCGAGTCATACAAACCCGTCATTGAGGCCTACACCAAAGACGCTGTGGCCCAGATGCAGGTTTTCGATCCAGCTTTCTACGACAAGTGTGTGGCAGCAATCCCATCCACCCAGGTCCTCGACACTGAGCCCGTCGACGCCACTTCGTTTTGGACTCTGCTGTCGTCGCAGGAACAGGCCATCATTGGCGACCTGACCATTGCAGATCTCACCCAGAAACAGCTCTCGGGCGAGCTCTCCGCTGTGGCTATCACTCGGGCCTATATCAAGGCTGCAATCGTCGCCCAGCTGACCACCAACTGTGTGATGCAGTTCATGATCCCAGAGGCGCTCCAGCGCGCTCAGGAACTCGACGATTACTTGGAAGCCCACAACAAGCTCGTGGGACCCTTCCACGGCGTCGTGATTTCGCTCAAAGAACATATGAACGTCAAGGGCAAAGTCACTACGGCCTCCTACGTCTCGTATCTGGACAACATCCCCAAAAATGAAGCCGTCTCCATCACCATTCTGCACAAGTTCGGCGCCGTGTTCCACGCGCGTACCGCACAGCCCCAAGGTATCATGCATCTCGACACCTGGAACAACATCACGGGAAGAACCAGAAACCCTCGTTCCACTCGTTTGTCGCCCGGTGGCTCCTCCGGTGGTGAATCTGCCATGGTCGCCATGCGTGGTTCTGTCATCGGTGTCGGTAGCGACATTGGCGGCAGTATTCGTGCACCAGCTGCGTTCACCGACATCTTCGGTATCAGACCAACCACCAAACGTATCTCCCTCATGAACGGGTTGTCCAGCGGCAAAGGTCAGGAATCGATTGTCGCCGTTCAAGGTCCTCTTGCGAGGTCTATAGAAGAACTAGAAACCTACATGCGCGTGTACATCAACGAGGGACAGCCATGGCTATACGACCCACAATGTGTTCCTATCCAGTGGCGTGAACCCAAGCTACCTTCTAAAATCAGAATCGGAGTTCTGTACGACGACAACTTGGTGACGCCCTTCCCTGCCATCACCAGAGGTATCAAAGAAACTGTAGCCAAGCTTTCCGAAAACTCCGAGTTTGAGTTTGTCAACTTGAATCCCAAGTGGTTCTCAGAAAAGGAAATGGTCGACATTTATACCACTAACCTGCGCTTCTACACTTGCGACGGAAACAAAGTGCAGTCTGAAATGTGGTCTCCAAGCGGTGAACCACTCTTGCCCCTAACCAAACACTACATGAACTTTGGAGGCGGCAAAGAGCTTTCCATCTACGATAACAAAATGATGAACGCTCAAAGAGACGCTTTGAAAGTGGAAATGCTGCAGAAGTACTTTGCTGACCTGGACTTCATTCTATCGCCAAATTACAACGGGCCCTCGGAAATTCCTGGCGAGTCGTTGTACTGGGGCTACACTTCGTTCTGGAACATGTTGGACTACCCAAATGTCACATTTCCAGTCAACGTTGCCCACGACGTCGAGAAGGATGCCAAGATCCCAGAGTTGAAGCAAAATGAGTACGAGAAAATGGTGTGGTATAAGGAAAACGGCGACATCAGATACGATCCAAAGAGCTATATCGGCGGGCCCGTGGCTCTTCAACTTACTGGTAAGCGTTTCTGTGACGAGGATGTGGTCGCCCTCACCAAGAAGTTTGTTGCGGCCTTGGGCGTTCAAAGGCGCTAAAAAGCTTAAATGCTCCCTAATATGGAGCGCATCCTAGTTCTCATTCTCGACCAACAGGTCGTAAAAGCTTTCATGTCCGAATCTGCCCGTTTGCTTGATATCATTTCTCTGCAATGCTTGCTTCGCTCCGGAATATAGATTCTCTTTAGACTTCTTGCATAGGTTCCAAACGTCATTATAAAATATTCCAAACACTGCTGGTGCGTCCGCATGATCTTTCATGCCGATTGACAACCCCTTGAGCGATACATTGGTCTTGGAGCCAGGGTACTGCTTCTTGTAGTTTTCAACAAATCCTTTGACAAAATCCTGCTGCTGATAAAGCGAAAGATCTGACCATTTCTTATATGGGAAGTCGCTTTGAAACCGTCTGGCCTGCTTGAACAGTATTCTGGATCTGAGCATTCTATCGGTAGTTTTTCTGCCCTGTAATGATCTGGACAACTGTTTCTTGTAGGGAGATGTGAGAAGTAAGAAGTGAGTGCTAGATAAAGCAAAGCTGTCTAGAAATATATTCATCTAACAAGAACCTTCAAACTCGTGATTCATGTTACTGCTATGAATCTTCAACCGTTGACATGGCCGATGTACCGTAGGGAAGTGTTGATGTTCAAGACGGTGAGACTGTAGTAATTTTAATTTGGTGCACTCACCTCAATCAAGAGTTCATTATTAATATCGTCATTATATGGTAGTTGGCAATATCTAATGGAAGCAGTTGGAATCTTAGGGCCAAACACTAATGAGTATAAGGGGCTCGTTAACTAAGGTATTGATCATTGATTTAGACGCCCGAATCACTCTCGCAACTCTTTTGATGTGCATTGAATATGTGACATTGTCTTTAATCGTAGCTTTTATAAAGTATTGAACAGCATCTCTCGAACGTCAATTACCGGTAGAATTTGATCATTTGAAAAGCTCAGGCCTGTGACGGTCTACGATGAGCATAGTATTGTTTCCTGCTAGAGTAATTGTGGCGACGAATCAAGCAATATGCACATGCAAACGCTGTGCTCAGAGTTATACAGAGCTATTGCTGTATGTATATTGTAGTTGCTAAAGAAATACGAAACAGTCGAGAAAGCTTGGCAAACCAGAGCTATCGAACCTTTATTTGGTCATTCTCTTGTATCACAATCTTTTCGATTTTAGACGTGGACATAACTTGAACTACTGACATACACTAAATATGTAGAATCGGTTGATATGCTGAAATCGCATTCTTGTATAAATAAGACGAGTTTCAGCAGGTTGACTGGTCAGCATTTTATTTTGTTTTCAAAAGAGACATAGTGATTTTAGTCTGTTACCTGAAGCACAGCCGCCGATAAATTGCGTGAAGTAGTTTCGACTACTTGGTCGACGGCATAGCATACTGACAACGAGCATACACACTTGTTCGAAAATAACCATTAAGGAATCTTTACCAAACTTTCCGGGCAGAAGCGGCAGCATGTGTCCCACCAATGCCTTGATCAAACTTTATCCTTGTGATGTGAACCCTTGAGTTCGCTGGGCGCGATTCCAAAGCAACTGTCATAACTCCTGTTACGGTGATGAATGTATAAATCATATATTTTCCAGTTTCCATTGTATCCTTGAACCACAGGCCCAAATCTGTCTATATTTTTAATTTCTGGTCGTCGTCGTCATCCTCAAAGTCCTGCATTTGGATGGCCTGGCTATTTTCCTGACCGACCGTGACAGCAGCCTGTGGTTTGGGCTTATATTTTATCACACAAACGGCGCTGCCTACGATCACAAACATCCCGCACCAGGACCAGATTCCTGGCAGGTGGTGCCAAATCAAAAGGTCCCATATCAGGGCATAAATCACCTGTGAATACGACATAAAAGCGCCTCTACCTGCGCGTTCTTTCTGGATCCCCATAGTCAACAAAAGTTGCATGAAAAACCCTGAGAAACCTATCAGCGAGAATAAGAACCACTGTCTGCCCGTCTGTGGGATCTGAAATCCAATCGAGGGAAAAACGCAAATTCCAACCAGTGCCACGATGCAGGCAATGAGGGCGAAATACGAGACACTCATGATAGCGTGTGCGCGATTTCCAATGTAGCGGATGATGATGTACACGTTGGACGCACCGAGGACGCCCAGGAGCGCCACGAGCGTGGCAACCAGCCGATCTCGCGGGTCGTTGGACTCAACAGCGTCATTTCCCTGCTGAAGTCCGGGGCTGCCGAACAAAAAGGTGGGTCGAACGATGAGAATGACTCCCAACAGCGACACCAACGCCCCTGTAGCCTCCACTTTCGTGTATCTTTCGTGCAGTATCATCCAGGCCAGAACTCCGGTGATAGACGGGCCCAAAAATGTAATTACCGTGGCGTCCGGCACCGACAGATACATCAGAGAATAGTACATCCCAAACACGCCGAAAAACCCGGTGCATCCCCGGAGAATGAGCCATTTGCGCATTTCTGGCGGACCCCACGGCACATGCTCGATGGTCGATCGATTCCAGTACATGTATATGACGGTGCCCACATATGTGATAAACATTCGCACCACCAGAATCTGCAATGGTGTAATGGGTTTTTCCAGCGTCTGATCGGTCTCTAAAAGCTTTGTCGACACCACCATGGCGCTATTGAACAGGTTGGCCGTCAGCAGATATACCAGCCCAATATTAGGCTTGAGATACTCGTTCGAAAGCCGTTCGATCCGGCTTTTTTCCACATCCATGTCCATGTTCATACTATAATCTTCCCCAGTCATTGAAGCTATGTAAACGTCTTCCTTGGCCATCTCTCAGCTCCTTTTCACCACTTCTGGGGAACTTCTTTTATCATGGGGCTGTGAGATGAGATAAGAGTGAGTGAAATTTAAAGAACTCATCATTAACTTCATGGGAAATATCGACAGTTGAAATCGCTACAAATCAAGCTATACCAGCTTCTAGCTGTATATAAGCTTCGACTGGCCTTTTGATCGACGTTCGAACACTAAACTTTTCAGTCACTGCTGGGAGAAGGGCCAGTGCTTCAGAGTGGAGAAATGACTTCATTTCAAGCTTCAACAAGCAAAGCAGACGGTGGAAAGAAAGGACTTCAGTCAAGCATCTGGGCTACCACAGACAATGAAACAGCCGTTGAGGAGAAAACGGTGAAGAAATCGAGCGGCAGACGTCGCAACTCGAAGAATGGCAGATCCAACAGCCAAAATGTTTCAGAAAAGACCAATAATGTCAATGCTCTCGCTGCCAGGCTTGGAATGGTAGATTTAAAGAGCGAACCCGAACGTCGCGCTCCAAAATCGAAAAAAACCATACCACCAAAGGATCAAGCGCGTTCGGACTCTTCTGCCAGAGAAAGAGAGCACAAACATAGTAAGTCTGAGACATCGGTCGCAGGTCAAAGAAAAACGGCCAATCCTCTGGCAATGCGGCTAGGAATTGTCGACGTTGGCGAAGTTGGCGAAGTAAGCGAGGACAATGAGTCCGACGAGCCGTCTAGGCCCTCTACCAGCGACAGACGAAGCATTTTCGATCGCATCAAGCCCAAACCGCAGGTGTCACCGGAACCCAAAAAGCCGGCCAAAACTTCGGTTTCACCGGCTCCCAAAACTTCCGAAATTCTCAAACGCAGGATCGAAGAGCAGAAGAAGATACGTGAGGCTCAGCTTCGCAAAGCACAGCAAATAAACCTGCTGCAAGACTTTTTGAAAGATGACGAAGACACAGGCTGGGAGGAGGATCTGTGATCCTTGTTGTGGGTTTAGCATAAGCAGCGGACCCTATTCTGATCTCGTTTTATTCTGACGTTTAAGACGCCATGGTATCTGTTTCTTTCATTTTTCACTGGCCTGGTACAGCACGTAGCGCACCAGCTCATTGTTTTCCCGTCTCAGGAGATCCACCTGCTGCAACTTGATGTCGACATGATATCTGCCCTTGTAAACAATCATAGAGCCATCCCCGAGATCCATCTCGCCCAAAAACCACAAGTGCGAGGCTCGGTGGTTCTGAGAATAGTGTTGAGGTCGCTCGTACTTGTAGTCCCCAAGTTCGCGATTAGCATTGACGACCTCAAGCAGATCCGAAGTGCCCGTCCCGAATCGGTCCAGAAAGCTGTCCACATAATTCATTACGTTAATCGAACGGGTTACTAGCCTCCATTTAAAGAGAAACGGGATGCTGTGCCATTTAGACACGTCCTTGGGGGCATTGTAGGGCGCGATAAGAACGCCTGCGAGACACGGATTTGGGTTTTCTTGCCAAACGGAAAACTCACGGCTTCTGAGCGGAACTCCAGGCGCATGATGCAGAGGAACGCCATATTCCTCTTTGATCATCGGGTGCATCGAGAGTTTTTCCAGCAGCTTGTAATCCGCCATTTCTTTGATTTCATCCACATTTATCGTTCTGAGCTCGTCTGCGGTGAAACTGCGTCTTTTTGGGACCGGGTACGCTGGTATGAAGGCCTGCTCGTGTAAATACATTACTTTGTAGCCTACATTGTAACCGAATATCGTGCCCACAACGGCAACTATGAACGCACTTAAAATCTGCTTGACTCGTCTACGGCGCTGAGACTTGATGCTCTCCTGAATAGCAGTCGCAATCGATTCTTGTCCATTGTCAAGCTTCTGGTTTGGCACCGTGAAGAAGTGTTTGGTATCTAGAATCTCATTATTTGAAGGATCCGTGAAAATATGCTTGGGATCGCGCGACCGTTGCGCTTGCAAACGGTACGCAATCAAAGACGCACCTGGGCGTGTTAAAATATGATTTCGAGCGCATCTACCTAGTCTAATCATCCCCGCATTTGTTCTTTTCCAAGCAAGTTTAGCTATTCAGAAGAATGGATAGGGTTATTTAAATCTTTACAGTACGAAAAGCGCCCTTACGTACAGCGACACACCAAAATCACCGAAATACATTGCAGTTTCGGGGTTCGAGTGGCAGCATGACATTGTAGAGAACAAGATTCTTAAGACACCTTTTAATATTAAATTTCCTTATAGAAATACCTTATGTATTCGATGAGTTAGTAGGCGTACAGACCACACGTTAGAGGAGTGGCCCAAATTTGTCACTAACTTTTATTGTATGTGTGTGTAGCCAACGGACATATGGACAGAGTTCTGGGCGTGGAGATGAGACGGCGTTGGAATAAATAAAAGCAGAGCAGAGTGGAGTCAAGCTTCAAAGTTCGACATTCAAAGTTCAAATGCGATTTTTTTGTTCAAAACCAAGCAGCCCCATGCGGTCCGCGCGTCGTTCACTGCGGAAAATGCCATGGTGTGAGATGTAACTGGTGGTGCGAAGTGTTTGTCTGGTTTGTGGTCGATGAATAAGAATAAATGAGAAAAAGCGTTGGAGGACGCTCACCGGTCCCCCTAGAGAGAATTAAAAGCTTCCAAAAAATCAGTTTTTCTTGTCCTTGATACCTTTAATCGTGTTTGGGATGTATAGGAATGGTCCCACGACAGCGACGGCAAACAAAGCGTAGAATGGGTAAATGTAAAAAGCCGATCTTGGGTGTCTCATCCACAAGGGTTTGGACGAGGCTTGGAAAAGTCGCTGGTGGTCGATAACTTTGTTAGCCATGGTAGAATATGCACTAGAGTTGAGCTGGTCAAAGAGCCTGGAAAGTCTGGTGTTCGCTGAAGCAGTTGAAGACCGGGTTCATCAAGGAGTGTTAACGTGGTGTAGTAATTTCCAAAATTTTCAGAATATCGAAACTCTCTGAGCCAATCAGATTAGAGCAACGAGGATCGCTATCGACGGAAATTTGTATCTGTCGCGTGATATCAGGTCATGTCATTATCACGTGTAGTGGTTTTGATCCAGCGTCAGCGTCAGCGTAAGTGTCAGCAGCATGCCAGCAGTGAGAAATGTTATGCAAGCCAGATGTTGGTGCGCTGGAAAGCTTATTGATTCGTGGAAGAAATTCCAAATTCATTAGTGTCATTGGTACACAATGTCTTTTCGAGCCCTGGTTGGCGGGCCGCCTTTTGCATTCTAATTGACGGAAAAAATGCTTACTCTCGTTGGATGTATGTTTCTCCCTTAATCCTCCTCGTCGCTGTCCTCAATTACTTGAAATCTTCGCTTTTTTATCTTTCTGCCAGTGTCTTCGTCTGCGCCGCCGTCCGAATCAAGATTATCTCCGCTTGCAAAGCCATCTTCGTCGTTGTGCTCCCAGAAATCGCTGTCGCGCTCCTTGTCCTCGTCTCCACTGTTGTCACTGTCGTCCAGTCTCACTGGTACTCTTGCCGATTTGCCTTCTCTTGATGATGTGTAACTGCTCTCTTCCAGCTCATCCTCTTCAGCCTCATCAACGATAAAGGAATTTAGATCGGAATCATTTTCGTCCTCATCTTCGGAATTTTGTCTGCGATCTTGGGCGTTTATTCGATTCAGAATGTCTCTGGCGCTGCCGAATGGAGCAGGGCGACTTCTGCTCTCGCCAACGTTTCTATTGAAATCACGCACGTAGTCCGTATCGCTGTCAAGATCTTCTCCATACTCGCTTTCTGAAGAGGAAATTGAATCTGCACGTACTGTGGTAGAGCTATTTCGAGCACCGCTGAAAGAGCGCTGTATAGAATCGTCCGTCAGAATCTCTTCCTCCTCATCTTCGTCGTACTCTCGCGTTCTATTTCTCATTCTGGCATTGCAATGGGGACACACGTCGCCCTCTACTTCCCAGTGACAGTTGCTGCAACGGGCCACGCCGTCGTCGTCGTCCACTACTGCCACTGCTGTGTTGTTGAACACATCTTTGTACAGAATGTTGTTCTCAACGTCGTTTTTGTACTGAGCGATGCTTTGGGCCCTCGTGCGACCAAGCTGCGGATCTGACCCAGCGCCTATCTCGATTACCACGCTGAGCAAGTGCTGCAAAGTGGCATTTAGAGCTGGTGGGTGTTCCAGAGGAGATCGACACTGCGGACACGTTAGCTCGCTGGCATTGTTGCTTACGAGCCAGTTCGAGATGCAATCGTAGCAATAGTTGTGACCGCACGTAGTCATAACGGGCACATACATATAATCGTGGCAAATTGAACAGATACTGGCATCTAGAAGTTTTGAAGTGACTTCTTTGAACTCATCGCCAGACTTGAAATGACGCAGTTAGTATCATCAGACCCTCGCAAAAATGGTCTTTTACACTAGAAGTACTCTCCACATACAAAGAAGGCCAGTTTTTGATGCAGTGAACTATCCATGACAGCTCACTATGCTCTTCTAACGGACGTGTTTTGTTTTTTAAAATACCACGACTTCTTGACCTTTTTTCAAGCTCATCACATCATTCTTAATACTAATATTCAGCTGTGTGAAAAAGATATCAAGACTTGGAAAGCCAAGAGACCTTAAGTGCCCGTCCATGAATTTGGGAACTTGTCTGAGGAGCAGAATGCAGTTGCCATGATATTTGGCTTGCGCGCTATGTACAGTTATAAATAAGTATATTTATCAAGTGCAATGCTTTTAGATGAAGCGTGAATTTGGCGTAAATGATCTTTTACGCATGCATGATTTAATGGTGATTTCTTGTTGATGGTGAGTCTTGGTTGTTCATGGCTTTACTTTTTCGAAAGTTTTCGGCCATCGTCCAGACTTTGACCTGACGTGCAGTACAGCTCGCTGCGCAAATCAGTACTGATCCAGTCTCTGAGAAAATGCGATACCATGCGCATATCATTGAGGCCTTGAAATTTGTAGTTGACGTATCTTGCCAGAAGTGCGTCTAGTTCCCTATCGATTTGAGCCATGATGTCGCGTCTAGTTATCGTTTGCTCATACGGCCACGCATGCTTCGCAAAGTATTTGACAAAACCTTTGCAAGAGCGTAGACTATCACGAGTTATGAGCTGAGCACTGTCGTTGTTGTTCCATTCCCGCAAAAGCAGCAGAAATTTGACGGGATCTCGGGCCCGAGTATGTACTTTCAGTGCGCTCGAGTAGTAAATGTACCAGTCTCTCTCATTCGAAGGATCCATGCGCTTTTTACCGCGCTCTAGCATGTGGACTGCAGTCTTTGCGTCTCTTAGTACAAGGGAAATACTAGAGAGCTGCATGTAGTTCTGAAAGTTGAGATGCATACGGCGTTCTCTTTCGAAGTCTTTAACTTTTGTGATTTCTATCTGAGAGGCCTCAAGCTCAACGGCTGGTACGACACTGTTTCTATCCATGAAATTAGCAGACCGTATTGCGTTATACTTTAGCCATAGAATGTCCACTTTAATTGGAATTTTCGGATATGTCTCCCGCATTATTTGGTCTACTATTCTTGCGGCTTCGAGGCTTTCCTCCATAAAGAATTTTAGCAGCAAGTATAGTACAGCAAAACTGGGCTTTATCCCGTGCTGAAGCTCACTAAGCATCTTGGTCCGGGCACTCGTCGCATCACCGCTCACAAAGGCTTCCTGTATCGCTTTGGCACACTCTGGACTGAAGTGTGAACTTAAGGCAGCGTACTTGTTACTAGCTCTTTTGCTGTTTTCGACTTTGAAAGAGGATATCCTTATTTTATCGCTTACAAGATGACCCCACTCACTTTGACTGATGTTGGCCTTCTCCTGATCTAACAGCAAGCAAAAATCGTTGGTGAATTCCTTGAACAAAATCGGGTACTTCTTCACAGCACAGCACCAAAGCTGTTCAACGTATACGTGGTTAATATGGCATCCTGAAGATTTTATCACAATGCGTGTCAAGTATTGCACCAAGGCATTGAGTAGGCCGTTTTTGACAAAGTAGCGGCACACGCGTATGTGAAATTCATCTGTAAGCTCCACCGAGGCGTCATTTTGAGCTTTCGCCGTAGCGAATCGAACCAAAGAAAACTTGTTTTTCGAAATACCAAATTCGATAACCTCCATGTAAAAATTGAGCCTTCTTGAGTTCTGTGTCGTTTCGAACACCTTTTGCAAGTATTCATCAATTTCCTCAACACTTCCAAGTTCGCCTATGAGTAAGCTTTGGTGAAATGAGCAAAGCGCAAAATCGTCACTAGTCTCATAGCCTGAAGCGAGAACTCGTGGATGCGTAAGAAAACGAGAAATGCCGTCAATATCATCATATTTGAAAAGAAGCTGATGGAAGAGTGAAAATGTCTCGCTCAACGGTGTTAGACTTGAAAGCTGAGGACTATCGAGCCATGAGAAAATGACTTGCTTCATCAGAGCTAAATCAGAGACTTTAAATACCTCCAGGGCAAATACATGCAAGGTGCGGGGAGATAGCGGGAAAGTGTCGGGATCTTTCAAGATTTGAACATAAAACTCTTTCGCGAGTGGAAGATTTCGGTTTTTTAAAAACGTAACGAGTCCAATGTCAACAATTCCGGGTTCTATATTGGGAATCTTGATGTATTCTGAAAACAACGATTCACACACAACATAATTGCGCAACGCGAACTCGGCTTTGAGCACGATTCTGAGGAAGGCTGAATAGAGATCGATCGAAAAATCTTTTTTCAAGGTAGGTAAAATGGATTTGTGTGTTTTGAACAATTGATGTATGTCATGATACCGCTCCAGGCTTTCAAGCTCAGATAAATCTTTGACCAGTCGAGGAAGGGATGCAAAGGCGCTTCTTATCTCATTCTGCATCTTTAGCTTTTCCGCATCAGCAGCTGAGTCGAATGTGCCCAGGACTGCTGTCGCAGACACGGGTTTCGCGAGTGTTCTAACTTCTGCAGGATCATGAATGCTATCAACTTCGCTTAGTTTGGCCTGGTTCCAGCTTTTCAAGCTGTTCCTATATTTCTGTTCAAGACAGTTGTGTGAGTTGTATCGTCGAAAACACAGCACTTGGTATATACAGCTCTCTTTTGGCCTGATCGGTCGTAGACATTCAAGGAGGCCATAGAATCGTGTTGCGGGGTTCATACTGGTATCAATCTACTCATAAACAGCATAGGAAGAATATTAACACGTAACTGGGCTAGGAATGGATCTGCAAAAGCGAGCACGTTGGTTGTTCTGGCCCTATTGGAACGAGCTCTATTTACAAGAAAAGGTCAGAATATATCTGGGGCTGGCAACCTGAGGCCTGTCACTTTTTGAAAGTGTATTGAAAACAAATGGGGCAGACAATCGGGAGCCTCAAAGGCCGGTAAAGATTCACGTAGACTATACTTTAGCTGCCCTCTTGAAGCGAAGACATGGCCATCGATTATAACGATTTGAAAATTTTTGGTAATTAGCTTTTTTTAAGACAGTTAGTTGTATGCACGAAAAGTGAAGATGAGGAAGACTTGAACAGCCCAAGGCAGTCCTAGGACAGTCTTAGGCAGTTCATTGAATTGTATAAAGTCTCTTCCCAATATTATTTTTAATCGTATATAGATTTGTATATATTTGCATCGTTCACAGCGTAATAGACACCCGACAAGATACAGGACCGCATTTGGGGCAGATATCTTACCAGGTGGTCCATGTAAGAATTTAGAAAATGAGCGACACATTTTGTCAAGGCGTCGTATACAGACTCGTCAAAACGGCACACATAATCCTGGAAATGGTGGACATTTTCGTAGCCATGCATATCCCAATAATGGGATACGGGGCATGTTGTCCACGATTTGACGTCCCAGTCTGTCTCTGTGATAAAGCGCCGCGACAAAGCATCGCCCGCAAATGCGAAAAAAACCGTAGGTATAATGTCCTTATAACAGGCGTCATTCGAGGAGTAGAACTGGTGATTCATAATAAACTGATCGATGATAGGTAGGACTTTGTCACAATAATCGCACTCACATCCATTCCACAACAGATCGCATACCAACACCTCGTAAGAACATAAGGAACGCAGAAACGTAGGGGTCACCAAAGTTTTGAGGCTGGTGAGCTTAGGAAGAACATTGTCATACAGAGTACGCCGCCTCGTGTAATTGCCCTCGACAGAATCCTTCTGAATACCGTTTGATGGCGGATTATGCCTAATGGCCAGCTTTTGAAGTGTGTTCGAAACGTTCGGAAGATGGTATATGAACTTGTTGATAGCCAGGTCCCAATTTTCCTCCGTGTAGTGGTCACCTTGGGTGATAAAAGTCTTTTCGATGAGACCCAGCTCGCGGAGTATGCAAAGCCGCGGTGCTAAGTCCATCAGAAATTCTTGATAACAAGGGCAGTCTTCCACTTCGCAGGAGCCCTCGAATTCCAGGCGCTCCAGCTTCTCTAGGTGAAAAACGCTTGCTAGAAAATCCGGAATCAACTCTCGCATTGTTTTGTTGTAGTCGTGAATTCCATGAACGTGGTTAAACTTCAGATATTTCACGTTTGTGAGAAACAAACGCTCGTCGTGGAAATACTGGAATAATCGAAGGCTCGAGTGCTCCAGATCTTCTACCACCAATTCTTCCAGATTCAAAAACAGGGCTGTCTTGACAGCTGGTTTCAAAGAATGGCGATCGAAGTCTGGGCTTGTCAGGAGGACTTTGAGAGATTTCATTTTATCAATGGATCGTAAATTATTCAATTCTGAAATATTCACCACTTGGCATTGCCGCAAGTTCGATAGCTGCAGATATTGCGAGTGAACTTCTAAGAACAGCTGACTGTCTCTGATATCCAGAACTTCTAGACGGTCTAAACTGATCAATTTTTGCACAAGTTTACCCAAAATCTCGAGTCCAACCTCCTTGTCTTCGAAAACATCTTCTTGTATCACCAACTCCCGGACTAAATTCAGATGCGGACTTTCCGCTAATCTGACGATGCGGTCGTACAGAAAAATGTCGTTTTGATCGCCTGTTTTACGCACCGATCTGTACCCTGCAAGATACGTAGTCCCGCAGTCTAAAAACCACTCTTGGGACCTCAAAACAGGGTTTTTAGCAATCACAATTTTTTGGTATACTTTTTTCAAAGCCAACTCATATAAATGTTTGTTGGTCCTCCCCAGTGACAGAAGATCATTCTGATTAAGAAACTCTACAGCGTAGCTCCAAAAACTGTGTTGCTGCTCCATTGTGTGGCCATTGTCATTCATCATAAGAAACAGGACCTTACAACATGGTAGCGTCTTAAATAAACGAGGCTCGTTTGATCAAAACGATCCTTCAAAAACGACACCCCAGGACAGGTCGGTCCTTCAACAAATTTAGGGCAGGGCGCTCTTTGATGAAATATAGAGCGGTGAAAAAATAATATTTCGACCTCGGTGAGGATTGAACTCACGATCTTGCGATTAACAGTCGCACGCCTTAACCAGCTTGGCCACGAAGTCCCGCTCTTGAAAAACGAAAAACTTTTTGAAGTTAGATCGATACAGAGTAGTCACGGGTCTTTCAGCTTGGCGGCTACTACTGTTTCCAAAATTAATATGTCGTCCCATTCCTATCTCCAGTGTCGCCCGGTAGACTAAAGCTTCGAAGCTATGTTGAGATCCCACAGCGAATGCTTTGATATTCGAAATCTAGTTTAGTTTGCAGGTTCATACTTTTATATGTTTGTGTGGACTGCAGAGATATTCGTGTTCGGAGCTCCTAGTTGGGTACAGCGACAAGCATGCTCAAAACGTAATACAATATCTATACTTGATTCTACCAGTTTGGTTAGGGTTTAATATATAGTTCGGCTATCCGTGAGTTCAAAGACTAGCGGATGGCATTCATACTTCCTCAAGGTTCGATCGAGAATCACGCGTTCAGGTGCCAAAAGGTTCAGAGCCAGCTTCCGAAGACATACTAATTGGGCGAAAAAACGCGTGTTTGAACCCCAACCCATGGGGCCGTCGCTGCCGCCAGATTTCTCAATCTGTGAAACTACTTCCTCCACAGCTGACGATACGAGTGATTGGACTTTATCTTCAATTCCAACACAAGATTCCAGTATCTCAACGTCTCTCAATCCTTCCTCCAGCACGTTTCGGAATTGATTCGCCGGTTCTACTTCGAATAAATCATCGTTTCCGTCTATTGCATTCGAGCAGAACGTAAGCGGGAGAAGGCTACTTTTGAGCCTCTCAAAGGCGATGAGGCGAGCTTCTGGAAGTGTTTGCATTTTCTGTACAAATAAGCGAGCCGTTGATGAGAAATTTGTTCGTCGTTTATTTGGACCTCGCTGAAGCACAACACTGTTGATGTGCTCTGAAGCGCTATTTCGTAGCTCTAAATCGTCATCATACAGAAAACGCTGCACCAAAAACAACAATTGAATGCTATATTCGCGCTTGGTGGCATGAACCAATGAATTGAGAGCCGATCTTCTCAACTCCGCATGCGATTCATCCTGGGAATAATCGGAAACATACCTCGCATAGTCACTTGTCACCCCCGCAACAGAAAAACCAGCATACTCCAGTGCAACAGCGCGGAGCTCGTCGTTACTGGAGTTCTTCATCACGTCCATCAATAAAGCGTAGTCAACTGGGACCTCGAGCCTGATCAATGCCTTCAAAACAGAGAGTTTGATCAAGTCCCAAACTGAGTTATCGAGAAGCTTTTCCAAAAGAACCTCCTCAATGATGGAGTTTCTAAGACAGGCATGACTTGGGTGTTGAGATAGAAAGTTAGCTGCAGCTATCTGTGCCTCAAAAAACGGCGATTCCAAAGCCAGCGCGACTAACTCGGGAAAGTTCTCCTGCGTTTCATTTTCAAGAAGCAGCAGCAATAAAGAGCGTACAAGAAGTTGTTTTGTTCCGTCTATCGAGTATTCGTCATTGAGCTGGATGAAGTAGTTACCCAAAGTAGCTGTCGTTATTCTTCTCTCTGAAACGGGAACAGAGCATTTCGAAAATACCGTGGCCACTAATTGAACAAAGGCCTTGGCGGTAACAAAGCAAGGATTTTTAGTAACGAACTTCGGTACCCCGCGCATGATTTTACGTGAAAGTTCTTGATTTTCCTGGGTCGACAGGTTCTGGTGGCCTTCGGCAAGCAACGCAGATAGTGCTAAAATAATTCCATGGGTTTCATTTTGAGTGGAGCGTGAAGTTAAAAGCTTTTCCACAAGCATCAAAATTTGGGCCGAAATGCTAGTAACAAGAGTTGGTAAAGTGCGCGCTGCCAACTGTCTCACGCTCCAATTTTGCGACTTCAAGCAGGATATTACAAGCGCGGTGAAATCGTCTAGGCCATTGAATCCTGGTGTTTGTTTCAATCTGGATAATAGCGTCAAAACCAGAAAAATTGATTCTACCTGTGAATCGACTGATGCCAGAGATGTCTCCTTGTTATCCAGGTCATGATCGCTACCAATAGAGCGGCTCACTGAGCTTTCGAATTGGAGCCGAAGAATCTCTCGAACTCCCTCAAAGCGTGCGAAAAATAAGCGGGCGCTAATATTCTTGCCTGCCTTCCCGAACAGCCTATTTTGTAAAGCAGAGAAGAGCATGAATGAACAATTTCTTAAAGACCAAAGAGGTGACGTGAATGACTGAATGCATAACACTAATGATTGGTAGACGTATGGCGCACATGCATTTGACAATGGGGACTCCACAAACAAGGCTTTAATACAGTTGAATGCGTTCACTTGGGGGAGATCAACGGTTTCCTCGTGCTCAGAAACCGGCACACTTGCAATCCGCATCAGCCGTTCGAATGTTAGTTCAAGCATACTTCTGGTACCACTGTTCTCCGAGCTGACTATACTGCATATAATGTGAGGGATGCCGCCCGAACGCCTGGTAATGAATTGCGTCTTAGTTTCAAGAGCATCCAGCATCGCATCAAGCCAACGCCGGAGGTCGAGGGGTTGCTCTTTATAGCAGCGCTGACAGCATGCGTTGAAGCTGGGAATAAGCGACTGAAATGCCCCACTGTGGCGAATAGTAGAGAGTTGTGTCAACATCAGCTCACCACACGCAAGAATCTGGTCTTTAGATAAAGATTTTACGGTCATCAACGTATTGAGCAATTCAGCAGAATCCTTAATAGATCTAAAGGCGTAACTGATTACTTGAGGGTCCGAAAATTTGCATTCGGCTTGAACATCATCATCTGAATTCTCGAAAGGGTCATCACACAGAATGAACTCAACGTTCTCCCAGTTCCTCAGAATGAGATCAATGCACCTATCTAGGTTTTGAGAGTACTCCTTGGCGTTGGAATCACAAGAGCCACTGCGAAGTATCAAGCTCAGGGCCAAGAAATACCCATTGACTGGAAGATCGATCTTTTTCATTAAATCACTGCTTGCAGAGTCAACACGTACGCCGAGTTCTTGCAGTAACGTATCAATGATGCCCTGTTTGTCCTTAGTAGCCTCGAATAGATACTCAACCATTTTAGCACCGCCTTCACAGCCTTTGTAAGATCCCAGTAAAGCCATACTTTTATTGAGCAAAACGTCGTACTGGGAGGCACTGAGGTATTCCTCATCAGAGGTGCTCCTAGAGAAAATGATAAGAAGCTCGAGACAATTGTCTCTAATGTCATTATAGTTATCACACAAATTATCCAAAAGAACTCTTCTTAGCGTGCCATTCTGAGAAATGCGAATTTCGAACGGAAATTCCATCCTCAGTCTAGGATCGAGATATTGTTTGAGTATGGACTTGTCCAAGCTGGATGATACTAGAGTCTTCAACAGTTTTGTGGATAAAATTTGGCGTTGATACTGGGAGCCTGGGGCCAGCTGTAGCTTTAGAAACTCGATTAACCAAGTCATGAATCGAAAAGCTTCGGCAATCAATTCTGATTTTTGAGCCTGCTCCTCTGGAAACTTATTTTTGACACGGAGTTTTTTGATGTCTCTATCAAGGGAGTAGACTGAGTCTCTTATTCTGTCCGTGAAATGCTTGAACAAGCTATGAAACTCATTTCGAGATTTGACTTCGATGTCGACGAAAAATTCGTGAACGTTTCGTTTTATCATGTCATAAATATACGGGGCCACTGTTTTAGACCTTTTTGGAGAGGACGTCAAAAGCTCGAAAACCGATAGTTTGTAGTCATCTTGTTGAATCATTTGTTCGAGGAACTTTAGGGACACCAGTCTGTCGTTTTCGAATGGTGCCTCTTCAATTAAAAGCTCCTGACCGATTTTTAGGAAGGGAATGAGCTCAGGGACTTCGCATGGAAAGTTGCGGCTAACAAACTCTTCAAAAACTCTGTCACCTAATGTCTTGAAGATTGGAATAAGAACACAAACTTCTATACGTTTGCGCATACGGGTGTCCTGAAAATAATGCATAGTAGGTTTTTCCCACAAAAGAAACCAAAGGCTTAGATCAGAGTTGTCCTTGTGGTAGTGTTCATAAAGATTAACCAGAAGACTTGCAATGCATTTTCCAATTGGCGTCGCTAAGGACTCAGTCCACATGAGACTCAGTGAGTGCTCAACGAAATCCGGTCTCCTTTCCAGAACTTGTGATAAGTCAGTTTCAGAAGCCAAGATGTGCAGTAAAAAATAGGAAACCCGCATTGTGGCCGGTATTTCCATTGTCTGAGAAACCCACGAATTCAGCAAAATCGACCAGTCTTTGGCGCCTCGTACCACCTTGGAAAGCTGAATAAGTTTTGATAGCAGGTCGTTAAGAGAATTGGTCAGAGCAGCACCACCTTCATTCCAGAAATCAATTACATATCGGAAAAAAAAATCGCAGTTTGATTCACTCAATAGCTCCGTTTCGAGTCTATGCGTGAACCACTGCTGGTCTTCATTAGGTGTATCCACTAATTTACCGATTTCCACTAGTTGACGGGTTCTCAGAAACCAAACACCCAGCGTGTCACTGAGAAGAAGTCTTTCTTGATCACTAACGGCGGTTCCGCTGTTCAAGATTTCAAAAATATCTTCAAAAACCGCGTTGAAAAGCTCTAAAGCTTCTCTATCACATTTTTTCAATCCTCGTGGCTTGATAGCTATGAGTCGTTTCTTGTAAGAGCCAATTCGCTCTAGCGCGACCATCTTCGCTAGCCGTTGTTCGCTTATTCCATGAGTAGCACATCTTGAGCTGCAGATTTTCATTATTTGAGTAACCAAGACTGATCACGTGATAAATTTCTATAATTGAAGCTAAGGCATTTTCGACTCTCAATCCAGATTAAAGATTTTGGAAAGCATTGATGATGCTAGAAGATGTGTGAATATGCTTGTTTAATGGTTTTTCATTTATTGGAGTTTTTTGGATTTTCAAAATCGTTCTTGGCGCCATTAACCGTTGTACTTAGAGTTTTCTCAAGACACTGACATATGTGACCGCCTTTTTTTCAGACAGATTGAGACAATTTTGCCATAACACACTGCATTCGAGACGTTCTGTTTGTCCAGTTTCGATCTCTGGTGAAACTGGGGACATTGGATCTGGGAATTCCACTATATCACTTCGTACCATTGTGTCCATGTCACATTGAATATTCGACGTCAATTCTCAGATGTCTGACAAGCAATTCAGCATTGCGTCAGCTAATCTTTAAAAAGCACTGCTATATGTGGAATAAATCGGAGGCTTTCAGGATATTTCAGGACTCGATATATTTATGACGCACATTTAACTCACCGTTTATGAGTAGAGACGCTTTTTGGTCCTAAAAAAATCTGTTTGTAGGAACAAACTACCATGCCCTTCTCAAGTGCAAAACAAGTCCTGGTGTCCTCCGTGAATAACCTTAAGCGATATGTTTTTATTTTCTTGAAGTTTGGATAGAACTCGACGCCTGTGAGGGAAATGAATTTTCCGAAAGATACAGACATATACCGAATTGCAACTTAACCGATAAATTGCACACTGGTCAGACTATAATAGCCCCAGATCGAGAGCAAGCAGAAAGTACGGGCTCTAAAATCGGATCAGAAATCCACACACGTGATCATTTTATGCTATCAAAATATTGACATATACATTTACGTACACAGTGACCAAAACTCAAATCTCGAAATTGTCAAAATGTCAGTGTATACATTCTAAAACTTGATGTCGTCTACATCACCGATAAACTGGTGGATCTGACAAACGGTGTCGATCCTGGTATAACGCAATGCTGGAGGATAAATACATAGGGCTGGTCCTGGCGATCACCTCGTCGCTGGCAATCGGAAGCTCGTTCATTCTTACGAAAATGGGGCTGAATGCAGCATCAGAACAGAATAACTTCGAAGGCGCAGGCTACGAATACCTAAAGAACCCAATTTGGTGGGGAGGAATGGCCACCATGGCCATTGGAGAAGTGGCAAACTTCGCCGCGTACACTTTTGCACCTGCGATCATGGTTACGCCGCTGGGCGCGCTGTCTGTGATCATCGGTGCCATTTTGGCAGCAGTGTTCTTAAAAGAAGAATTGGGCACTCTTGGCAAACTTGGGTGCACAGTGTGCTTGTTGGGATCCGTTATCATTATTTTGCATGCGCCCTCAGACAAGGAAATTCAAACCGTGGACGAGATCCTCGGATACGCAATGCAACCGGCATTTTTGTTCTACACGCTAAGCGTGGCCGTCTTCACAGTCTTCATGATTACCAAAGTGGTTCCTCAATACGGCACCAAAAACCCTATGGTCTATATTTCTATTTGTTCCACCGTGGGCTCAATTTCTGTGATGTCCATTAAAGCTTTCGGCATAGCATTGAAACTAACTCTGAGTGGAAACAACCAATTTACACACTTTTCCACATACCTTTTCATCTTGGTGGTAGTTGTTTGCATTATGACTCAAATGAACTACTTCAACAAGGCTTTGGATCAATTCGATACGTCGATCGTCAACCCATTGTACTACGTGACCTTCACCACTGCAACGCTGGTGGCGTCATTTATTCTGTTCCGCAACTTTGACCAAAGCGACCAAAAAGACTCAGTGTCCCTTGTGTGCGGGTTCTTCATCATCTTTACCGGAGTTTATCTCTTGAACTTGGCCAGAAAGAAAAATCACGACAGACTGTTCAGTCATCAATCGGATGTTGAGAACATTCCCCTCGACAATAATGTGGGTGGTTTCACTGTAAGGAAATCATTCCAGGGCACGCATCACAGAATTGCGTCTCAAACCTACCAAAGTGAAGAAATGGTCCATCTTACGCGAGATGATCCGGACCTTGATAGATTCAAAGTGTAGATTTAGAAAAAAGCTCTTGACTATTTCACAAATGGCAGACCTTAGGTCAGCACAGTAAAGAGTCAAACACCGATATATGTGCTTCAATATACATGTTCAGAGGACACCAGTACAACGAAAAGAGTCAACCAACTTCAGTATAAGGTCACTGGCGTATATATTTCGTTTATATATAATGGTACATAAAGGGAACACAGGGATATAAATTGTGTGCGATGCAGTGAAAGGAGTTTAACGTGTCCTTCCGAATATTTAGATGTCGTCAATGTCAAGATCGTCGTCGTCTTCATCGTCGTCGTCGTCGTCTGCATTGCCGAATTCGAAGTTGACGTCCTCGTCGGATTCGAAACCAAAGTTGTCGGTTTCGTTAATCTTGGCGTTTTCAGGCAGTTCTCCCTGGCTCTTCAATGTACGGGCCTCGTCCAAGTTGTACTTGTGCACAACATCGCACTGGTCGTCTTGGAAGTCTCTCAGAGACACCAAAATGATGTCACCTTGGCCCATCCACACTCTTTTTCTGAGTTTTCCTCTAATGTGTGCCATTCTCCTTTCGCCATCGAAACAGGATGCCTCTACTCTACCATTTCCCAACATTTTGGTGATTTGGGCATACTCCTGGCCCTCTTCCTTGTAGATAAGCTCACGCTTAGGACCATCGGAGTCGTTCTTACCTCTTCTACCTTTCTTACCACCCTTGGTGTTCTTCTTACCCATCTTGATAAGCTTGTTTAGCGGGTTTCGATACTTAGGACAATACTGGAGTGCTCCTATAGCTTAACTTTGCTTATGCTCTTCGTCCTCATCTTTAAAATTTTTCAAATCCTTCGTGTAGAGCTACTCTGGGGTTACTAAAGAAGTATATCTATACGTCAATAGTGACAGGTGAGCTGAAGAGCCAAAAGAGTCCAAACAATAGCTCCACGAGCACGGCTGTGATGGTGTCGCAACCACAATAGCAGGATGTGATTAAATCTGGGGTAGATGTTGTGCTCACATTCGCAGAATTTCCACTTTGTTATAATAAAAAATCTTGGGTCATTGTCTTGTATTTTTGTTTTGAAGTTTCCGTAACGTAATTATCATGTTTGTATCTGACACTTTGTGAACATTTCTGAGTCTAATGTATCTGGTTGAGCTTTTCTAGAATGGAGAGCAGCTCATTGAGACCCTCAATGTGCTCCTTCGCGTATGTCGAGAGAGAAACTCCGTAAACCACACTGTAGCCGGCTTTGACGGCCCTGCCTTTGACAAGTTCATTGACATATTCGAATAGTGGTTCCACCACGGGAGAGGTTGATCCTGTTACTGCCAGGAAATCTACATGAGAAGTCCCGCGGCCAAGACTGAAATAGGAATTTTGGGCATTCTGACTGACTGGAGAACTCAAACCATTGGGCAAAGAAGGGGCCATGAGAGGACTCAACAAAGGTGAGTTCTCCACTGAGTGCTGTGGCGTCGAGTTTGTATTCGCGTTGACAGAGTTGAAATACGCCATTAGGAATTGGACGGCCTTCAACGCCAATCCAATCTGTTGTACAAACACAACGTTCTTGTGCAAGTAAGCGTGAATACCTCTGTCCAAGAAAAGTGTGTTGACATGAGTGATTGCATCGCCGATGACCCCGGAAACTCGTTCCTTGTCGTCTGCATTTTCGGTATGGAAGCGTATCATCGACTCGCCTTCCTTGTAGTACGAGCCAGGGAGCCTTTCGACTTTATCTTCGATGACTCTGGCAATGTCTCCTTTCCAGGAAATGTCTTCCACAATGCTAAACCAGCGGCTATTCAGCCTCACGTAAGCACCGTTTTCTGCAATCAGACCAACATGAGCGGCTCTTGTGTACAGTCTCTCCATCATGTTTCGCGAGAAAGAGCTGAAAACGTACACTATACTATGACTTGAAAGGTCAGCCAAGATAGAAAGCGCTCTTGCGGTAGGGGGTTCCGATATCTTGAAAATGAAGACACGTTTTTTGGTTGCTTTATAGCTGGAGAGCATTTTTTCGTATGCTAGGTTGAAAACAGTAGATCTTTCTTGGTTGAAAAACCATGATGCCGAGATTCCATTCAAAGCTTCTTTGACCCAATAGTCTGAATCGTTTTTCATAATGCTCTTGTATAAAGTCTTCCACCTGCGTCTTTTCTCTTCAAATGGTAGCTCGAGAGCACGCTTGATACTTTGTGCCACTTGCTTGATGTCCCATGGATTTACGAGAAAAGCGCCATCCTTCATGATGTAGGCACTACCGGTAAACTCGGACAGCAAAAGGGGCGCATTACGCTCTCTGGACGAGACTATGAACTCGTGACAAGTCAAGTTCATGCCCTCCCTCATCGTTGTTATGAGAAACAGGTCTGCCTCGGAATTCAGAGCCAGGTACTGCGCAAAATCTAGGTCTTGATGTAGAAAGACAACTGGCTGCGAGACACTGATGTTAGGAGATAAAGCGTTGATCCGGTCAATTACGACCAGCAATTCTCTTTCCAATTCCGGATCTTTTTCAGAGCCAAGGCAAATTTGAATCAAAACGGTACGTGTGACATACTCAGGATTCGCACGCAAAAATCGCTCGTATGCCAATAACTTCTTCCTGAGTCCCCGAATACGGTCAAATTGATCGCGACCAACTATGAGCTTCTTATCTGGCCACCTATTACGAATCAGCTGGCGCCAGTTCTTAACACTTTCGGTGTTCAACTGGGCATCCAAGTTAAAAGCATCAATGCCAATTGGTGCATGACCAACGTCTATGATACGCCCTTTATATTTGAGAGTAGTCTTGTCAACGTCGGTCATCAGTAGACCATTGGTTGTTTGCAAGAAATGGCGAGCATACTCCTCTGTCTGGAAACCAACAAAGTTTGCTCCCACAATTCCGTTGAGTATATTTTCTCTCTGAGCAAAACACCTAAAGACTTCACTACTAGGAAACGAAACGTGCAGGAAGAAACCGATCTTAGCCTTGGGTAGCTTTGCCCTCACCATACCTGGAACAAGCATTAGGTGATAGTCATGAACCCAAATTGTGTCACCTTCATTGTAAGCTTTGACAATGCTATCAGCAAAAAACTGATTCAAATCCTGGTAAAAATTCCACGAATGGTCCTCGAATGCTTTCGAATTGGGGTTATCAGGAATCTGGTAATGCAACGTGGGCCACAAGATTTGCTTACAGAAGTTCTTGTAGGCGACTTTGAATGTGATATCATCGGAAATAACAGGTACACAGTCGTAGTTCGTTTCGAGCTCGTCACAAACCTTATGCAAAACGTCTTTAGGAACACTATCTGTAGGAATACCCACAGTACCAACCCATTTGACAGATTCCTCGATGGTTTTCTCACATGCAGCTGTTGTAACGGCATTTTTGAGTCCACCGTTTCCCTTTCCAGAAGTAACTATTTTCCAAGGCACCTGTGAAAAGATGTTCTTTGATCCCATCAGCAAAGAAGCTTTATTGGTTGAAAAGCCTCCAAACTGGGGGACATTTGACTTCGCGTCATCATCATCGTGGTCTGAATAATGATCACTGTCACTTTCTTCAATGACCTCATTCTTCAGCGCGGAAGAAATGTGACGGCCCGTTTCAAGCGGTCTGAGTGGGTGCTTACCTGGGGGGTAGTGTTGCGACGCCTTAGGGTCTTTCGGATCGGAAGAGGGTCCGGCGTTGGAGGACTTCCGATGAATTCTTCTCATCGCCGGCAATGAGTATTGCTGTTGCTGCTGATGCTTGGCTTTTGGAAGATCTACCACGCTAGAATTGAAGTCCGGCACATCTCTGGATTTCGGTGTGATCACAGTACTGGTAGGTTGGGAAGCCTGGGGTTGCGTCTTGCCCTCAAAAGAGGCGGGAACAGGGCTTCCACTGGTGCCAATCATGTTCTGGTACAGCGATTTGTTCACGCTTTTCAAAAGGTTCGCTGTAGAGTCGTGCTGTGGGAGAGGACTGAAAATACCGTCAACGCCCGGGGTCGAGGCATTCGAGTAGTTTCTGCTTGAAAGCCCACTAGGCCCGAAAGCGGCCTGCATTGCTCCTCCCGGGTGCGAGCTGAAAAACTCCTCAACGGACGTGTTTCCCTGGTTGTGTACGGGATTTGCGGGGGTTCCTCCCGCACCGGTGTTGACTGCATTGGCTGTAAGGTTTTCCATGAACATTTCAGACGAGATGCTGGGACTTGCGACCTTCGTGTGAGGGTCTTGTTCTCGAGCAACATTGGCATTAGGATAGTCTAGTAGTTCTGAGGGCCCATTACCGTGCTCAGCATTGGAAAAAGGCGAGCTTGAGTGCACGGAGCTTGTCCTATTTCTACGCAACGGGTCATTGTTGTCTAGCGACACTTGACCTGCGCTGCTGGGATTAGTTTGCGGAATTTTAACAGCATTACTTTCAAGCAGGGCCGCAGTATCGACGTCCGATCCGGATACCTCGAACTGAGGCTGGAACGGTAGGAATAAAGACGCGACTATGACCACCATATCGGCTGTTTGTCTGATTTCGCAGCTCACAGATGTGAAATGTAGAAGCTGTGCTGATTGCTTGATTTTTTTTGCAGACCCCTTTACTGAGCTTAAGTTATTGCCAATTGAGTATTGGATGGATGACATAAGCTTTGGCGTGTGTCCTTTCCAAAATCTTTCGTACAAAGAAACCAGGACACACGTGACTTGATTAAGATACGTCTATGACGATAATACGATGCTAAATCAGGAGCAGGAGCAGGAGCGGGAGCAGCGTGTTCGAGTTGATCAGGCTAGGTTGAGTGCAAGCTTTTCGTTGATTGAGGAGGGATTTTGAGCTGTTTAACCAGCGTTTTTTAATTGTTGTACGGCTAAGTTGTGAAATTCGAACGTTTCAAACCGGAGGTTACCGGTTCTAGAGAGCTCTAAATTCCAAGAGGAGGTTTCACTATCAACTAGTTATAATTCATGCTGAAAGATGTGCTGCGAAATTGGCGATTGGAAGTTCCATCGGTGAAAACGTCAGACGCGATGTACGGAAAATCGCTTCATGTGTGAGCGTTTCTCTTCTTTCCCACAAACCCAAAGGTAGGTCCATCTGCTGCCCATGTTCAGTAATCGAGAAGCTGGATTACCTGCCCTACCGTTTCCTATTCACCAGGTTTGCCTTTAAGACCGTTTTTTGACGACCGAAATAGCCGCCGAAGTACGAAATCTCTTGCCATGTCAATTTCATATTCACTTTAAGGACCCATGAAGAGTAACCCGAAACCCGCGTAAAAAAGCCTGTTCCTCAATTGGTACAGAACCCGCCAAAGACGGATCGATCTCCGGTCATCGAAACGACACAGGACACTTCTCAGCTGCGCGCGAAACCTCAACAACGCATACCAAAGAAGACGCAGGAAAAACGGCCAAGTACTAAACTCGGACCTATTTCGCCCATCTCCCAGCTTTATACAAGTTCACTTGTCGCTGTTCGACGCGCCCTAACTGCTCTTTGCCGGTTTTGTTTGTTTTCGCAGAAATTAGTGTAAGTTACTTTCGATTTCATCTTATTCATATACAGATATATATATATATATATATACATACAACACCAGAGATGTCACTGAAAGAATCGGCAAAAACAAACATCTCTGGTTTCAATTGGCAAGATCTACCTTATCCATAATTTTTGTGCTCTGAGCGATAGTCGTAGACCGTAACGTGTGTAGTTAGTGAATAAAAAAAGTGTTGATGGTGCCAGAGCTTGATACAATCGCCCTCAGCATATAGTTCAGCAACACCTCAGTCAAGACCACACGATGGCGTCGTATGTAGATGCACATTGCCATGTTACAACAAGCACTAAAACCAATGCAAATCCCATCAGCTTGTCGGATTTGCCAGTGGTGCGATGTGTGATGTCCAACAACAGTTACGACTGGCAAAAAATCAAGAATCTCAAAGACAGCGACCCCAGAACTAAGGTTGGATTTGGTGTGCACCCTTGGTATAGCCACTTGTACTACATAGCGGACCAAGGCCACCCGCCCTCGAAAGACGCCCATTACAGATCCGTGCTTCAATGCTCAGACACCTCAGAACTCGAGCAAATCATTTGCAGGTTGCCAGAGCCCGTGAGTCTGTCCGATTACATCCACACGGAGTTCGAAATCGCGAGCTGCGACTGCATCGGCGAGATCGGTCTGGATAAGCTGTTCAGACTGCCTGAAAACGGGTTTTACCAGGGCGATGACCACGCGCCCCTAAGCCGTGTCAAGGTGAGCGTGGAACATCAGGCACAAATTTTCATTCAAATGTGCCGTTTGGCCACCATCCACTCCCTGCCAGTTTCGATTCATAGCGTCAAGTGCCCGAGTCTCGTTTTCGACCTTTGCCAAGAACACTTACTGCCACACAGCAACGTCAATGTCTGTTTGCATTCGTTCACGGGCTCTCTAGAGACGCTTACGGGGGTGTGGCTCAAAAAATTCCCACACGAACGACTGTTTCTCAGTCTGTCAAGCTACATCAACTTCAAGAACCTCGATTCAGCTGCCAAACTGGTCCAAGCGCTGCCACCACACTGCATCCTGGCAGAAACCGATTTCACCTGGGACACCGCGGATGACGACACTATCATTCGGGAGTTGGACTTCGTGCTCTCGCAGATCGCTCTTCACCAAAAGCTACAGTCCAAGCAAGAGGCCAAAGAGCTTATATACACTAACTATCAGCGGTTTATATTGTGAAGCTTACGTGCTTTTAGGAATGATGAGTTTAAATTGTCATATATATGAAAAGTCCTAAGCTTCAGTCAAACAGGCAATAATCCAAAGACATCAAAGCAGTAAAGAGACCATCCATGCCCCCCAAAGCGCACAACTCAAACTCAGAGTCCGAATCCAGGACGCGAAGCAATGCTGGCAACCAAAACCAGGGTCCTGCGTCTGGAAACGCTAGAAATGCGGGCAAACAGAGATTGACCAATGCACAACAACAGTACTTGAAAGATCTAATACGTACGCATGTGCACCGCAACCACCCCGACAGCACCCCAAAACCAGACCCTGTCGACTTCGAAGCATACTCCGACGACTTTTTACGTCGCTACAAAGACCACTTCCAGCTGCCACTAGAGGACAATTTATCTCTTCGAGGGTATCTTTTGGGCTCGAAGCTCGGCCAAAAGACGTACTCCTACAAACGGAACGAGAAGGGCGTGCCCGATGCTCGAGTCACCAAGAAAAAGCTGGCTTCAGAGGTCAAAAAACACTTCACCTCCTACAATGTCAAGGAAACTGAATGCATTCCAGCATTCATCTACAAAGTCAAAAACCAGAAGAAACGGTTCAAAATGGAGTTCAGAGACTAACGGTAAGCCCCGGCACGGTGCCCAGCCGTTCGTCAACGGCCTATCAGGTCTGCGTGGTGACGCAGGCTTCATCCAGCTTTTCAGTACCGGGGTACGAACGAAGTCATATAAATCAACAGCCTTTCTGAATTGACACACTGTTCTTACAAGCGAAACCCGTAAAGAAAACGATGGACTTCTCCACTGTGACTTTTCTAGTTGTTCTACTCGCTACTTTTGCTTTAGTTAAATGGCTACTACAAGCTGAGTCGCACCCGTCAGCACAGCGGCCAGCAGCCTCGCCCGCTACCGGTTCCGCCACTGGATCAAATTCTAACCGGAGCAGAAACATAACTACAGCGACAAGACGGTCCAGAAGACCAGTCACAGATGACATGATTGAAGTAGTGCAGAACTTGGCACCTACCTTGCATGTTGAGCAGATCAGGTTCAGCCTTGAGCAGACAGGGTCCGTTGAAGAAACCGTGGAAAGGTTTCTCAGAGGCGACGAACTCGCCTTCCCTCCAGGTCACACAAATCGCAATCCAGAGTCTAGCCCTGTGGCTGCCGAACGAGGTCCAGCGTCGCGGGACAGTCCAGACATCAGAAAGAAGAGCAACATCAAGCCAGACAATCTGCTAACCAAGTACGACATTGATTTGACCATTGAGCCTAGCGGCGCCGACTACAACGAATTGAGCATTGAAGAACGGAAACGCCATCTGGTACGACTTGCTAGGCAGAACATGGAAAAACGCCTTGAGACGGAGCAAGAGCTCAGAGAGCTACTGAAATGAAGCAGTGCTGGCGCCATGAAATGCAGCTTGGAAATGTACATAAAGTTATTAACGTATGATTGACGAGCCCCCCGTCTTGCTGATAGCTAATTTTTATCATTTTGTAGTATCAAGGTCGGTTGTACCCTCCTTTTTACCGACTTCGCGCCGCCTTGTGTTTTGTTTTCACTTCCTGTGACGGAGGCATTCTCTTTCGGTCCTGTATCGAGCGCTTTGTTTGACGGCTGTATTGAGGCTTGCACTGTTGTAGCATCTTGCTCCGCCTTCCGCTTTACCGGCAGCGTGTTTACTATAGAGAGCACCTTCGCAACTGGTCCTTCCACTGTCGTTGGTGGTGCAATTGGAGTGTTCTCTCTCTTGATGTATTCAGCTCCCAAGCTTCCCTTCGCAACTGAAATGTAGGAGCAGAAACCGTCCGTGGACGATACCATAAGCATGGTTCCATCTCGGTGCCACGATAAGTCAGTTATCGGTGTATAGTGCAGGTTTCCTATGATGCAAATGGGTTGTGTTGCCTCGGTGTCATAGATAAAAACCTCGTCAGACGTGGCAATTGCAAACACCAACTTATAAGGTAACTGCACGTAGGGCGTTGGGTTCTCAGAGAGCTGATATAGTTGAGGACAGAATGAGACAACCAGGGCAGGCTTTTTGAAAAACGGCAAAACCAGCATTGGCTTGTTACTGTTACTCTTCAGATATGACCGTGTAAAAACGTAAACCGCGTTGGCAAGCTCATCATTGCCATTACCGCTCTCTGATGTGCTATCACAGTTTTTGAAGATGCCGGCTGGTAGACAGAGAAGATTACCACACGGGGATATGTCAAGTCGACGAAAGAACGAAGGTAGTGTTTCGTTGTGGAATAGGTACGACGACTTTATGTTGCTGTAATCCAATTCCGTGGAGTTAGCCGCTTTTCGACAAGGCCCATCTCCTCTGATAATTCGGTTCAGTAACTTGAGATCAGCTACAGTTCCGCTGCCATCGTAAACTATACGATGCAGATGCACCGAACGGTCTGCGGACTGTGAGATTATGAATTCGTTCTGTGGGTCCCAAACGATACCTTGTACGTAGTGATTGTGGTCTGCAGCAATTGCAACGCATGATTCACCAGCAACATCGAAAACTCTGACGCTGTTGTCCATCGACCCTGTTGCAACGAACTTGCCATCAGGGCTCCACGCCAGATCATAGATTTCTGAAGAGCCCGCAGCTGATGAGGAACGCAAACGCTTCCAGACGTACCATGATTCTTTGAAATCTGCAAATTCATCGTCATCGACCCCAAAGTCTTTCGACATGGTGTCGTTCTTCCTCCAAAGTAAAAGCTGTCCATCGTCACCTGCAGACGCTAGAGTATCATTCTGAGGATTAAATCTCACGACATTGACAGCTTGTTCGTGTTGATTCAGTGACGACAAAAAATCTATGGTATCAACTTTGCTCCTGTCTTGACCTTCGAAGTTCAAATGCCAAACTCGAATTTTATTGTCACCACCAGCAGTGACTAGTCTTGTCTGTTGCTCGTTTCGAGATCCTGAACTTTGAAACGAAAGACTGTAGATTGGCTGGGACTCATGCCAATAGATTTGAAGATTAGTTGCCTCCATAGACGCCCAGACAGCGCGATGCTAAGAATATATTGTTCAGATGATGACGCTTGATCTTTTATAGGTTTCAATAAGTCAATCGCCAAAATTATATATAAAGAGAGCAGTCTAAAAGGACGATGAGTCTCGGAGCCTAAACAAGAGAAAAGGACTAGCCGAAGCCTACGTGTTTATGAAATCAATTGTTGGTAAATGATGAATATGTAGTTTGTAAAAAGTAGAAAGGACTTTTACGATGTCCTTCCATGCAAATTCGAATACGACTAGAGAGACCTTAATGAGTTAAGATGCTCCATTAGTTACGGATCTTTCGTAGTTTTTTAGTTTTCTTGGCCATGACCCCTGTAAGCACAAATCTATACCCAAAATCCGCATCGATGATCAGCTTGTCATTTTCGACAGCTTCCCACGCGTATAGCTCGTCATTGTATAATTCAGGGCCAGTGTCAATGGTTTCGTTATTTGGAGCGGTCAGGGAAATTCGCAGCGCTGAAAATTCGGTATAAATAAAGCGGGTTTCGAATTCAGGCCGGACGTCGCAGACACAGTGGCCGTTTGGAGCTACACCAAGGCTGGTGACTCTGAGCTGTATGCGTGAGTTCTCGGTACCACTGTTCATGCAATGCATGTACTTGTTGACTGTTTCGTCGGATGGCTCTTCTTGTGAGCCCATCAAAATCATGGTAGCAATCTTGCGAGACGTAATGGTACCGTGCTGGGTACACATTATATATCTTGCAGAAATGTGCGTTTCGTCCAGATTAATGGAGTGTGCCAACTTTTTGGCTACGAAGCCAACTAGTTTCTGCCGCGATTGGGTTGTTATGATATACGCGGCACTGAGGCGCTTTTCCTTGAGATACATCTTGCCCATGTAAAACGTTCGAGGGTTGGCTGCAGATGGTAGCTGGAAAATTGCATCGGTCACTGCATCATTATGCTCTTTGAAAATACTTGAAATGATGCTCCGTTCTTCTGCAGGTCGTAAATATTTGACAAGCCCAGGAACGTGAATGAGCGTATATTGCAGAGACGGGCAAATCGCTTCGACAAATTCCGATAGAAATTGCCGAAATCCACGCAGCTGCCTAACACGGTCATCATAGATGGTGATCTCCTCGCAACAGCTGTAATGCATAAGAACGTCAGTAAGACACGAGGTTTTGTACAGCATAGTGGTATCATAACCACTTTTCTTCAGAAAGACACCGTGAAATTGAAGCCGTTTTTCGCCAAACACAGGTTCGTCTAGTACTCTCATCAGAGCCTTGACAAACAAACTTTCTTTACGACCTGTCATTAGGATCGATAGCGTGTCAGGGCTTTGCTGCGACAGTCGGGTCAATTTGACAACATCTTCATTCCAGTACATGCCGTCAATGGCGTCCCTCTCTGTGTCACTCAATTTGCCGTTGCGTGCCTCAATCCACTCGTTAATGAGCTCGAGCAAGAAACGCGGTTCGCTCCACCATCCTCCGTTGCTGAATCGCTGGGGATCTGTCAACAAATTGGATAAAAATGACGACAAAAGGTTGGGATTGGGAGCTGGCGACTTGAACAACGTGTTATCAAAGTCGTAGATGTGAATTTTGCGGATCTGTCGTCTTGACAAGTGCTGAGGGGGATTCAAAAGAGGCCCACAACTGTTCCATTTGTAAAGAGGAGAGTGTTCTTGAGCCAATTTATTTTCGTCAGGAGTATTGGAAGGCATGTACAATGAGGCACAATTCCTATTGAATCATGTAAATAGTGGAGTGTGGATGAAGCCGATCTTTTGGCATTTACCGGCTATTCTACATTCAACGGGGCGGGAAGAGTAACATGAGCCAGACGTTTGACGGTATTAAAATCACTATCTACGACAACGACGTCTGCCCGTTAGCAGTACTCATGGACTCGTTGATGTTTGTTGGCAAGAAGAGGTGAAGGCATTGATCAACGACTTGACTGGTGTTCTTATAAACACTGCGCTATGCTTTTCGAGTTTGTGTTTGGTCATTGTGCTAACGAGAGCCACCGCACTTGTATGTGTATATCTTTCATTTTGACAAAATAGTCAAAATGTGCGCCAGGAAAGGACTGAAACTCAGCCAAAAACCTTACTACAAGACTCTAGAAGAATAAGACTACGAATCAGCTCTTGACCTTCCACGACTATAACTCGAGGTCCGAACTTCATGTATATATATATATATATATATTCGTACACAGTGACACTGAAAGTTGAACCGGTGTTTCTTAGACTGTACGAGTCTGCTAATGATTAGTATCATTCCAAAGACGCATTTGCCCGTGCAGTGGAGGGTTTGCACGAAAGTTCTTTACCTCTTACGTCTCGCCAACTTTCTTCGCACACTTTCCAGTTTTGTTAGAGTGGGAGTCGCACCAGTCACGTGTATTCGCCATATAAAATTGTAAGCTTCACCTGAGAAACAGACATGAAGGGCATCGCTCAATTATATCAAAATACCGATTGAAGATTATGATGGGGCTCTTAATCCGAGAAGTTTTTAATTCACGATTGGATTAGAGACTCTTGATTTTGACGTATTTTAGCGATCGATGCTCGTAGAAAATTACCAAAATGCCATAACGTCTAATTGGAATAAGTAATCGCGATGAGCAGAGCGAGTAACCTGGAACTATTCGACATTTGGTCCAAGTCTCCCCTGCTTTTTAAGAAGGTGTCTTTCTGGCTCATCCAACACTTTCTATTGGAGACCCAATGATTCAAAAAAGACCCAAGAAATACGCTTGTCCAATAGTTGATTGTCCAAAGCTATATTCAAAACCCTGCCAGCTACGAGAACACGTCCGCTCCCACAACAATGACAGACCGTTTATATGTCCGGAACCAGATTGCGGCAAACGTTTCAATCGAATCTGCCATCTGAATGTTCACAGATGGACTCATACCAAAAACAAGCCTCTGCAATGTGACGAATGTTCTAAGCGCTTCACCACCAAACAGCAGCTTTCTAGGCATAAAAATACCCACCAAAAAGCTCGCGACAATGCATCCGGTATCCAGGCGCCTGCGAGCTTGCATGTTAATGCCTCACAACTTTTCAGCTGCACCTACGACAACTGTAAAGAGATCTTCAGCACGCAGTGGGGCTTAACGGAGCATCTACTCGACAGTCATATCGTGAGCATTATTGCGCCTGAGGATTTCAAAATAGAACTGCCGTTCGAATTCAATTATCCCTACACCGGTTTTGACGATGAGGACATTCAAGCTTTCTTACGGCAGTGCGAAGACATATACATCAAGGACTACAGTCAGGAGGCTGGTACATGGGTTGATTCTCGCTGTAAATATGTAGAGTGTGAAGGCTGGACTGCGTCTTCTTATTCTGAGCTGATCGAACACTGTGAGGAGGTTCATAATGAGGTGCCGGTCTCTTTATTACAGTATGGATTCAATGATGGTACGCAACAAAGTAAAATGATTCCCTAAGACTTGAACGGGTTGTGTAGAACGCAGATACGAACACTTTGATTTTTGCTCAACATAGCATACTATCTCGTTTGCTCCACTACAAAATTCTATTTTCGTGGCCAAAACTGACCATCGGCAAACTACAAAAAAGGTCAATGGTCGACATGAATGACCCTTTGCTTGCATACCTTGACTAAGTGTTATCATTTCAAGGAAACTGATTGTCAGAGAGCGAGCCGGACCTACTTCGCACCAAACACGTCAATAATCTCGTCAGCTATTTCAGCACAATGTGTCTCTAAGGCAAAATGACCAGTGTCGTAGAATTTTAAAGTGACGTTGGTCGCATCTCTCGTGTAGGCCTCTGCACCTGCGCATGTAAAAATAATATCATTTTTACCCCAAACGACGAGAACTGGGATATTTCTTGATCTGAGAAACTCTTGAAATTGCGGATACAAAGCCACGTTCTTCTGATAGTCGTGAAAAAGCTCGACTTGAATTTCTGATTCGTTCCTACGTTCAAACAAAGCGGTATCCAAAATGTAGCCCGACGGATCAACAATTTCAGGGCGAGAAACACCGTCATAATACTGGCACCTGATGTTTTCTGGATCTTCGACAAACGCCTTGAGGGTTTCCACGTAGTGTTGATCATCTTGATCTTTTTTCCAGTATTCTTTTAAAGGAGCCCAAAACCTGTCGTCCAAGCCTTCTTCGTACGCGTTACCATTCTGTACAATTAATCCAACCACCGAAGTGGGGCTTTTCAATGCCAATCTTAATCCCACAGGGCTCCCGTAATCGAAAATGTAGAGGATATACTTGGATATGCCCACGCTGGCAACGAAATCATAAATAGTTTTGCTCAGGTTCTCAAACGTATAAGAATAGTCGTCCTTCACCGTAGTAAAACCAAATCCTGGAAGATCAGGAGCGATGACATGAAATTTCGAGGCAAGAAGAGGAATCAAATTTCTGAACATATTAGAAGAGGTTGGATACCCGTGCAGAAGCAAGATGGTAGATTCGCTCTTCGACCCAGCTTCTCGATACCATACCTTTTCCCCTCCTTTAAGTGAGCACGTACGACAAACTGGAGATCCTTTTGCAGTCATTGTATTGGCACACAATCTGAATATTGTCTTCCATGAAACAATTACTCAAGAAACTCTCCCACCCACTGCTCTTTATATAATGGGAACCATATGTTGAGTCGCATTGTGTTTTCAACCATAAAACATGGTCTCCTATCATTACAGGCTTCAACTCATCAGCTGTTTTACTACTTTTGATAGGGCACCCTATCAATTGAGATTAATTAAGAACAACAAGTAGCGCCTGTGTCGTTTATTTGTCATAGGGTGCTGCGCACTCCAGCACTGACAAAAATTACTATGTGTACGGCATTTTGTCCACAATTTGTCGTTTTCTTGAATGAACTTGTTCTGGATGAGTTAATCATTATTCTTGTTTTTGTCACCGTCAGATGTTCATGTGGGGCGAACTACACGCTACACCACAAGGTGAGTGCTAAATTAGTAAACTCATTATCTTTTTGGCAACATACCAACTGAGCCAGCGTCTTTCAGAGGTCTCCAGTCTACCCTTTTATGTTGGTGACAGGGTTTCTCTAGTAGACAAAGTGAAAATATAGATCACTCTGCACTAGCGTGACACATCAGGACAAGCGGGCGCTGTCATACAAACGTCTGGCATAGGCCTCGGTGAAGCAGTTAAGAAACGGTAAATGGTTCAATCCAAAAATAAGTAAATCAGCGACTGTAGCGTTGTACTCATTCGAATAAAGCGTCCTTTGTTAGCTGTTTTCAATGCCATTGTTAATGGTCAAAATTATCTTAAATTCAAAAAATTAATAATGACGATAATTTACTGACGTCAAACTGTGGTGCCGGAGTCGAATGTTCAAATATGATAGAGAAGAAAGCATTGTAAAGAGGCCCATCCTCGTGTAAAATTCCGCTTTTCTGCGTTGTCCTTTTCATTTTCATGCTATCTGTCTGTTTACCCTAGAAAAGCATCGATTAGCGGTCTACAACCATTTCGCGGACAGTACGCTGACTACGCGGGTTCAAGAGAGAAGACTCAGTCACATTGATTGATCTTTCATTCACCAAGAAGAAAAGACCCGTGTTACAGACACAGTGAATGAAATAGAGCAACAAGAACATTGACAGAGACTTGATTGAGACTTGACTATTCCAAGGCGGCGACCAGACGCGAAAAATCCATCCGACAAAAAGTGCTCTTTAATCCTGATTGTGGCTCGGCACAATTCGAACCTGCTGGCTCCACATACAGTTGTTGTCAATGCATCACCATCCGTGTCGTGCATAGTACCTAAGTCTCGTCTTCGACCGAATGGTGCTGCTCAAACTCAACTTGAAAAGTGGCAGGCAACACACACATCACTCAAAACCATGATTGAGCCTTAAGCTCAAATCTTGCAAAGAACATACTCAAAATTCACACCCACATACTGGCGCACCAATATTTAGGATTTTTAACCGTTCTCTGCATACCTCGATTCATTTTTTTTTCGAACCAGAAGGCCACGAAAAATTCTCTCTACCAGTGCGTATGCCAACCGAACCAGAAACCAGTTTCTACTTGAAAGAGCGCATCAGAATGTCCGTGATGCCCGAAGAGCACCGCAGCTGCAGTTTGCAGTGCAGAACGGTGAACGATTACAGAGTCGCGATGTTTCCACAGTAATTTTATTCCTGAATCCCGAGAAACCAGGGCCAACCCATCGACAACTTACATGCTGCTGCTGGCAGGCCAGCATACTGTTATATTTCCGATATTATAACAGTTCACTGGTTTTCAATCATTCATTTGTTTATTTGCACTTGTGGAAAAAATAAGTGTCTGATCCAAGGCTTTGAAACAGATCTCAGATCAACATACAAAAAGGCCCAAAAAATAGGCTTTTAAAGGTCTGAGACAACAAGCCTCAGGGCCTTAATACGAGCTTCTCATATAGTGCCTTGTTGACACTTTTGAGTCACCATGACGTCCAATAGCAATAACGAGGGATCATCGATAGCGATCGGCACTAAGCAAGTGGTAACTTCGATTACTGTCAATGGTGCTGTCTTTTGTGCGTTTGTGGTTATCTTCTTAGTCCAGCGTTTGAAGCTGAAGAGAATTTACGAACCAAAGTCGTCTTTTGACTTAATCAACGACGAAAAAAAACCAGAGCCCTTGCCTCGTGGGGTATGGCAGTGGTTTCTCCCACTGCTGAAAAAATCCGATAATTTCATCATTCAACAGGCTGGGCTCGATGGGTACTTCTTCATCCGCTACCTGTTCATCATCGCCAGTTTTCTCACGATATCGTGTCTCTACATCCTTCCTATTTTACTGCCCATAAACGCTGCGAATGGGGTTGCGAAAACAGGCTTGGAAATGTTGGCCTATAGCAATGTCGACAAGAAAGAACGTTATTACGCGCATGTCTTTGTCGGTTGGGCTTTTTACTGGAGCTTCTTGTTTGTCATTTACCGTGAGCTAGTGTACTACACATCACTCAGACAAGTCGTGATGGCATCTCCACGCTACGCCAAGAAGCTGTCTTCGCGTACCGTGCTGTTCCAAACAGTGCCCCGGCAGTTCCTGAGCGAGACAGAATTTTCAAAGCTGTTCCAGGGCGTCAAACGAGTTTGGATTGCCCGTGCCGCAAGCCAGCTAGGCAAAAAAGTCGCAGATCGTGAAAAGATGGCCTTGAAGCTCGAAGAAGCAGAGTCTGCCCTCTTGACCAAAGCAGTCAAGGCCATCGCCAAAATCAAGAAAAAGGATCCATCTTTTGTTCCAAGTAGCAATATTTTGGACTATGTGCCTGCGAAAAATAGGCCTCAACATCGCTTAAAATTCTTAGTGGGCAAGAAAGTGGACACAATTGACTACATCTCCGAGGAGCTGCCCAAGCTTAACGCTGAAGTCGAAGAGCTGCAAAAAAATCGACTCGAGAATGCCCCATTCAATTCCGTTTTTGTTGAGTTTGAAACGCAATACGCTGCCCAGGTTGCAGCGCAAACAATCATTCATCATGAACCCCTAGCAATGGTACCAGCCCATATTGGTATTGCTCCTAAAGACGTCATATGGTCCAATTTAAGAATGTTTTGGTTCGAGAGAGCACTCAGAAAATATGCTGCTGTTGCCTTCATTGTTGCACTAGTCCTTTTGTGGACCTTTCCCGTAGCCTTTGTGGGTATGATATCTCAGATCACATACCTCACCGAAAAGCTTCCATGGTTGCGTTTCATCGATCGCCTACCCAGCGTTTTGAGAGGTGTCCTAACATCCCTAACACCCATCTTGGGTCTTGCAATCCTGATGATGCTGTTGCCAATTTTCATCAGAAGAATGGCGTGGTTGTCAGGGTGTCCTTCGGTTCAATCCGTCGAGTATTTTACTCAGCAATCATATTTCGCATTTCAGGTCATCCAGACCTTTCTGGTCACAACAATCGCTTCATCGGCCACAGTTGTTATTCCAGCAATCATTTCTGAGCCAACCTCTGCCATGAGCTTACTAGCGCAAAATCTTCCTAAAGCCTCCAACTTTTTCATTTCTTACATTTTGTTGCAGGGATTCTCCATCTCCTCTGGTGCCTTACTTCAACTGGTGACTTTGATTCTGTTCTACGTCATGGGCTTCTTATTGGATAAAACTCCTAGAAAGAAGTGGACACGATTTGTTGGTTTGGGAACTATGGCTTGGGGTACGTCTTTCCCAGTTTACAACGCATTGACGGTTATTATATTTTCTTATGCCATCATAGCGCCAATTATCCTTCTATTTGGAGCCGTGTCTTTCTTCTTATTGTACGTGGCGTACCTGTACAACTTGACATACGTTTTCAAGGAAGCCCCAGACACCAAAGGTAGCCACTATCCCAGAGCTCTTTACCAAACTTTTGTTGGTCTTTACATTGGACAGGTCTGCTTGCTGGGTCTATTCGTTGTGGGCAAAGGCTGGGGACCAATTATTTTACAGGCAATCGCTTTAGGTGTGACAACATTCATTCACTTAAACTTCAACTCTTCATTTGACAGACTGATGCAGTACGTACCTGTGGATGCAATGAAACCACTCGACGGCATTTCCGATACTCCCTCGTTCAACAATGAGAATAAACGCAAACTAAGAAACTCTGACATTCAAGAATTGCCCCACTTCCCGGTCAAGAGATATCAACCGCGCAGCTCACCTTCAGCGGACCAAAAAACTTCCAGCGTGAGAAGCGAACACACTTACGAGATAGCCGGTACCGCTGCGTACGAGAGTGAAAACAGCGTGATGGCAACGCCTTTGCTGGCAGACGGCGAGGAAACGCAATTGCAGCAAGCACCATTCTGGAAGCGGTATTTCCAGCCTCACGTTTACTTGTCCTACAAAGCAGTGAAGAACGTTCTGCCAGAAATTTACAATTTGCCTGATCCTAACGAAGAAGTTTCCCCAGATAATGTTCAACATGCATACGATTATCCTGCGGTCAGCGCTAAGTGTCCACATTTATGGATTCCTCGTGATCCGTATGGATTTTCTACGATTGAGTTGGCCAAACTAAGCGAAATTGTGGACATTAGCGACTGCGGTGCCTCTATCAACGAGAAAGGACAAGTTTTCTGGGAAACTGCTCCCCCATCTATAGACAAAATCGACGAATTTGAAAAGCTCGACGCCAGACAAAAAAATCCTTTCAACGAAGAAGATGAGGATAACTGACATTAATAGGTAATAAGCAACCATAATCGAGATCGACTTGATTTTATAATTTCCTACTTCTTTTATAAGCACTTTAAACTAATTTTTTTACAGATGCTGAGTCTGGAGAACTTAATCCACGTCTGATTCCCTCACAATGGCCAGTCGTAATGCTCAGAAGATCCATTAGTCGGCCTGCGCAAAGGCTGCTTATGACCAAGTCTCATTTAGAGACTCCTTTCTATGGTAAAGTAGTACAGGGAAGTAAGTTTACCCCGGAGTACGCGCAGTATCTAAAGTTGCCCAATGGAGAGGTGGGATCTTACTTCCACGATATTCCGCTTGAACTGAACCGCACTGACAACACTGTAAACATGGTAGTGGAAGTTGCACGGTGGTCCAATGCAAAATTTGAGATTTCACGAACTAGACCATTTAATCCCATGGTGCAAGACAATAAAAACGGCAAAGTCAGATTTATAGACAATGTCTTTCCTGCTCACGGTTTCATTCACAACTACGGGGCGATTCCCCAGACGTGGGAGGATCCCACGGTGCCGAGCACACACGAGGGTGTCGAGGGAATCAAGGGAGACAACGATCCGTTGGATTGCTGCGAAATAGGCTCTGCAGTTCTCTCCATGGGCGATGTTAAGAGGGTGAAAATCCTCGGGTCTTTGGCTATGATAGATCAAGGCGAACTGGACTGGAAGATATTAGTCATTGACACAAAAGACCCGTTGGCTCCGCAAGTTCACAATCTAAATGACGTAGAAACGCATTTCCCTAAAGTATTAGAATCCACACGCTCCTGGTTTCGCAACTACAAAATTCCTACGGGTAAACCGGCCAACGAGTTTGCTTTCAGTGGCCAGTACAGGGGCATTTCAGAAACCTTGTCAGTCATTGAAGAATGCCATGAATCGTGGAGAAAGCTGTTACGGGAACTGGAGGGCAACGAAAGTGTGCCTCAAACTAAGAGAGCTGGTGCAGGTGTGGTATACGAATCCCAAGAGCTCCCTGACGCTCCAATTCCTCCAGAAATAGGCAAATGGCATTATATAAAATGAGAACGAGTATTCGGCGTTACATTCAGATCCTAAGATAAAGAAAAATCGCCACCTGTACAGAGACTAAATAATAAGCCATGTCGAACATACGATGGCAGGAAAGCATACAGTTCATCGTAACTTAGCCATCGATGAGCTCAGTTGAACGAACCGATGGGTAAGAAATAATGTTGTACGGGTCCTTTTAATGCCAAATCTACCAAAAATTTTAGATGTTGATCTACTCGATGTGATGAGTTGAAGCGAAAGGGTTGAGGCAAATTCAGTATTGGTGGGTGAATTGATCGTGGAAGAAGCCCTTCGTCTAGTTTAGAATCTGATTCAGTATAAAGAGGATGGAAATATCGCACTTGTGCTTTGGCGATGTGTGTGACTTCATCAGAACAGCTGGAGAAACATCTGGAAACGAAGCAGAAGTACATTTGCTGATATCGCAATTTCTTAAAGACTACCACAAGCTTCTTTTAGCACCGGGCAGCTTCAATGAGCCAGGTGCAGAAATCGCCAGCAAAACGGCGCCGCTCACGATAGGCACAATAAAATATGACGTTTCAGCAGAAGTTTGGAAGGATGCCTCGCAATTGGCTCGATTTTTAGGAGTAAGTCATGAACAGGCCCTGAGAGTCGTCAGTCAAGCTAATTCACGCTGTTTTTCAGAAACAAATCGCAATCTATGGTATGCTGAGAGAATATTACAGGAGCGGCTGGAAGTAGTGGAAACATTACTTGCCTTGTTGAATAGCGACTCGAAGACCTTAGAGGCCAAGGAAACTCTCATCAAGACCATCTCCGGCGAGAAGTCTACGTTCTGTTTGCATTTGATAACCACGTTGTCGAAACTAGCAAGCACCTTTGCTGGTTTAAATAGATCAGATCGTCTCTGGTCACAAGAAATCCAAGATTATAAGAACAGTCAAGATTTGATTTACGCCCTCAGTATTTTGAGACTCCTTCCCCTCCTCATAATAAATTCTGATACACCGGTTGGTATTGTGACTCAATGGTTCTCAGTTTTGAAGGAAACAGAATACTTCTCTTCTTTTTTGAAATCTGGTGCTTCGAATGAAGCTTATGACCATATCGAAGCTCTTATGACCTGTATCACCGTTTTAATGCTCGGGCTGGAAATTTCCTCATTTTCCATCAATACAGATGCACCTTTCTTTGAGGACGTGGATTGCTTCAAACACATCAACACCATTGTCTCGGACCTCCCCCAAAGTCCGCTGATAACTTATTACTGGTCTTTCGTCATCTCTCTAAAGGCATACCTTTTGGAAGAAGAGCCCGAGAAAAACGCAAAATTCGTCAACGACGTGTTTGGGGTGACCTCAATGAATAACTTGACCTCCTGTCTTGTCAGAACCGCAGAAGAGTCAGGCGTTCTGGAAAAATTCGTGAACTTCTCGAATTCCTTACAAAACGACAAGCTGTGGCTCACCGTCTTATCGTCGCTTTTGGCAGTATCGCTAAATTTCATATCAATGACCAAAGATTCCTCAAAGACTATAAGAGATGTACTCAAGGGTGCCTCTCAGGAGTTCATTGAGAGGTTTCTCACGAATCCTGAAGCAGAGAAAAAGACTCTACTTCTCAGGAGCAAGGTGCCACTAGTCAATGAGGGGCTTTTGCCCCTAATTTATTTGACAAGTGTTCATCCAGAATTTGCGACCTTTGAGTGGAAGGAAATGAACACTTACACAGAGAAGCTGCGTCTTTCAGGCATTTCGTATGATTTAGCCGAAAGCGACGGATCATTTGCAGAAACTAGTGATTTCATTGTTCTCAAGCAAGAACTGTTGGTCAAGCCACCATTCGAGTGCGACGAAAATGTGCTGATGCCTATTCCAAAGGGAACTCGTGGTAAAATTGTTCCCACATCGTCGACATCCGAAGATGCGATCGTGTTCATGTACAGTTACAATGGCTGGTCTTTATTAGGAAGAGTTGTGCAAAGTATCTGCGAGACGTACACACAATCTGAGGACGATGCTAACAGAAAAAACGGAAAGTCAGAGTTAGTTGTAGCAATCATAGACCTCATTTCGAGCGCCGTAAGTGTTGATTCACCAATTGAACGATCAACAGAGGTTCTACAACACCTATCTGGCTATGTTGAGAGCGGAGACATAATTTCAGTTCTCTTTAAGCTCTTCGAACAAGCTTTACACTGGAGAGACATGGACGTTATCAATGCTGGAATTGGACTCATGATAGAATTACTCCCAAACTTCCCTCACTTTGTATGGTCACATTTGGCTCGCTCTAGTCTTATTGGTCGTGGCGAAAAGGAAAGTCTTGCAATATCGATTTTAGCAGGTACAGGGCGGACCTCGGCAAATTTTGACTCGATATATTTGTTGATCAAGTTGATGGAATGTCTCGTTTCCGAGGCGTTGAACATCGAAGAGACGTTTTCAGAGCGCATAAAAATGGAAATTCTGGAAAATTTAATGACACACATGATTCGGATTTACGAGGGTTTCCAGTTTCAGCATTACTCGCTTCCCTCCCAACGTTCAGAAATTGGCCTGCTTTTGACATCTTTGATCACCAAAGTTCTTTACGCCGTATATGGAGTCGATCCTGATACTTCATCAGAAAAGAAAGTCACTGCAGTCTTGGCCAGTTCGGCAACGGTTGCTGTCACAGCTTTTTTGAGTCCATCTCCCATCGAGAGCAGGGCAGTGGCATCCCTGATTACAATTTTGACGTCCATAAACAATAATGCTCTCGGGCACAGAAATTTAACCCTCAAAGGCTCGCATTCACAGCTTATTGAGCAAAGTTTCAACCTCGCGAATCTTCTCATATCGATAAGGTCACTACTGAACATATCGCCTTCAGCATTTGAGAAATGCATTTTTTCTAGGTCCGCAGATCTGGTGAACGTCTACTTTTCTCGACTCAACTGGCGACTTCAGATTATCAAGCTTTTTACTCATCTGGTGCGAGCACCATGGGATCTCGACCCACCATCCTTACTTTCTTATCTAGGTGCTGACAGGTCGAGGCTACTCTTGAGCTGTATCGCATATGATTTGAAAGGGCCTCTGACCAACGTGGACCTGACGAAAGGCTTGTACAGCTTTTTCTCGGCTATTATGGAAGGAAAGCAGGATGGTCTGGCTGTCCTCTTCTTAACGGGTAATCTCGTCACTGTCGGCGAAGTCGAAGAAAAGGGAAAAACCGAAAATACACCTTCGGATAACCTTCTCGCCATCCTCAAACACAATGCATTACAACTGAACACGCTACGAGAGTCAGTGAGTACTCATTTGCTCGATGCCATTGCCTATGCTCTAAACACATGGACGGCCGTCAGGGGATATGAAAACGATGCCAAGTTTCTTTCCATACTTGTTGAACGCTTAGAGGCATTCAAACCGCAAACTAGAAGTGAAATCATCACGAGAAACCAATCAATGGAGCTGTCCAACCAGTACAAAGTCGTTTCCAGAATCACTGAGATTCTTGCTCTGGCTTTGTTCACAACAACGACTAATACTGAGGTCCTACTAAAGGCTTTGAGCCGTCCTGATTTGGCTTCAAATGTGAAGAAAGTTTTTCAGGTTGATGGTTACGATTCCCAATTGCAAGGAAGCTTAGGAAGCAGGTTCAAGTCGCTATGGCCTCGTATCGAGCTGTCGATGTTCATCACGTCCCCTCTCTTGCGATCGAGCAAATCATTTTATACCAGCATTTTCGACATCCCATTAATGGATCTATACTTCTCACAAGATGAAAAATGGATAGGAGGTGAAACCAGTAAAGGATTTCGGGAAGAGGTGATCGCTGCCTCTATTAATCTCCAGCTTGTTACCAATCAGATCTCCGCAGCAAAGTCCTGGGGTGCTTTGTTGACGTCCTTTATAAAGAAGACACCCACTCCTCTTAATGACAATTATCTAACCATTGCATCCGATTTATTGGAAACGGAGCCGCTTGCAAGCACCAATGCCGCTGATTTCACAGACTTATACCTGGCTCGAATTGAACTGTCATTTTACATTCTTTACTCGTGCCTCCAGACTAAGAAAGAAATTTCCGACCAAATGCTGAAATCCTTGATCCTGAGTGCCATGGGCATGATGAAATCAGAGCGAGTGCGATTTTTGGAAAGTGTATCACAATCATCCAGGTATTTCTTCTACAGGCCTTTACTAAGGATTGTGCTGATAATTTTATCGTTAGTCAAAGATGGTAAGCTTTTCGTCGAGTCGTTATCTGACCATCTAATTGAATTTTTCGAGTTGACTTTGGGAAAGGGGGCAAACGTCATACTAACGAATGTACTATCAGAGATCGCCTCATCAGTTTCTCATGGAAAAAAGCCCATAGTGGTCAATTTAGCCGAAAGAATTCAGGATCTGCTTCTTTTACTTTCACTTTTCACCAAAATTAAGGATCTCAATCCCCCAAATGATTTTTTAGTCCTCTTGGCATCATCAATGAACGAGTCCGGCATCATAAAAACAATTTTGAACGTATACTCTAGTTCACATCTATTGAGTTTTGAGGAGGAACCAGTGCTGTGTGATTTGTCGTTAACTTTCCTAACCGAAATGTGCACGGTAAAGGATGTCGCCGAAAAATTGATAGCAAATGGCTTGTTCTCAGTTATTTTAGAAAGTCCCGTCTCAGTTGTCATTCAGCAAGGCAAGGTAAACCCTGAAGTGCATTCCAGGCTGCACGCGCTGTGGTCGGACGGACTCCTTACTATAACACTACAAATTCTGAGTAAATTTGGAAGAAAAGTTTTGCCAGAATGCTGTCTCTTTGTTTCTTATTTCGGTCATCAGATTGAAAGTGCAATTTCCCAATGGTCAGATCCGTCTCTTTCGGTTTCTATGTCTTTGATCAAGGAGACATCCCAGCTCATTGTGCTACAAAACATTTTCGCCACACTCGACTATCAAGATTATCTGACGGACTCAAACATTCGCACCAAGGTGATCAATGACGACGTGATATACGAATTGTTCAGCGGTCTGGATACTCTCGCTGAACGGAAAGAGCTCAGTTACTCTTTCAAGCATCTTTTGACACATCCAAAGTATTTGAACTCGAGAATTGTGCCCACCACCTTAGAAGAACAGCGCATCTTGGAAGAGGAAGATACGAGAACGGAATTTGTGAAACGTATCACACATGGCATTAAGGGTCTGAATAGCAGTCTTTTCTCGGCCTTTGCATAACTCATAGACTAAATAATTCTTAGTTACTACTTCGCAAAAAACATTCGACGGAAATCCTCGTTAGTCATTTTGCCTTTAGGGCACACATCCCTTGATTGATCTTTTGGTGAAGCTTCAACAGTCGAAGAAAGCTTGGTCTGCTTACGGACTGAAGCGTCTCTTGGGTGGTTGTTTTTCAGATCTTTTATATCACCACAGTGAAGGGTCTTCTTCTTAAACTGTATTCCACCTAGCGCCAGTGAGAGTTTCGCGGCGGTAGGTGTGTCTTTGGCCACTATTAGTGCACCCTCATGATCGTAAACCAAGTATATGGCCCGAAGGTCGTCGGGTGAAATTTTGGCTTGCTCAGAAATAAGACTTTGCAATTGAGGGACTGAAGTCTTGTCGTCAAGGGGGAATACGCTAACGATGTGATCTCTTTTCGACCTTTGACTTAAAAGACGCTTTACTGCTTGTCTTTCAAGATAGGCTTTTCGATCCGCTAAATTGACGTGCACCGTCGCACCTTCGATTTCGCACTTGTCCAACTTCAGCGACGATTGTGCCGCTTCTGGGTCAGCAAACTCGATAAAAGCAAAACCACTATTTAACTTCGGCGTCGTATCAGGCAGATTGCCATTGCTTCTTGGTGTGAGTAAAGTGACCTTTTCTACCTTACCAAAACGAGAGAATTCCTGTAGAAGCCTGTCCTGTGTCACTCTGGACTGATCAAGGTTTTTAATTATGACCTGCCTTCTCTCTAAAACGGCACAATCTGTTCGTTTCTCTGCCGCTGTGGGTTTTGAAAGTTTTACAACCAGCTTGTAATTGCCCAGCACCTTATCTTGGAGCTGTTCGACCATCGATTGGGCCTCGTCGGGGGATGCTAGATCGACGTAAGCAAATCGTCTGTGAGCATCAAACCTCAAAGATGGGAAGCGAGTACTAAGTACGGTCCCACCTGCTTGATTGAATAATTGACGAAGGGATATTGCGTCGTACTCGGGAGGAAAGTTTGTCACCCAGATTGTGGAATTCTGCAAAACTTCCACAAGAATTTCGTTGGATCCTATTGATTTGTGAGACTTGGTGAGGGCTGTTAGCACGTCATTGTAGTCCTTGAACTCAATTCTCGCTAATTTCGAATCACCACTCAACGATTTGACCACCTCGATGTGCTCGATGTCTCCACACTCAGAAAACAGCTTTCGTACTTTGAAAAAATTGTAGTTCGATGGCAGATTCTTTACCACCACTGTACTTGTCTCTCTATTCCTGATGTGTGATGGATGGAATTTTTTGGACTCTTTAAAGTCCCCAGAGTCGTCTTGATCGACCTGAGTTCGTTTCATTGGCTTCATCAGGTATAATTAATCGCCCAATTTCAATATTCACAGCATGTATCTACAGCCTCAGAGTTTCCAGAAATTCGAAGACTCTATGTATTCAAAGGAGTTCAAGTACAATAACATCAATTCTCCAAGTTTAAGTAAGTTCTGAATGGTATGTTCTTTGAGAATATCGATGAGCTAAATGGCATCCTTTCTATGAGGATATAATGTGAACATTAAAGACAATTATTACAGTAGTAATTTTGAAAAACTTCCCATCTCTTGAAGAGCGATGAGCTATACAAATAAGCGCTCATCTGAACGAAACCTCAGTCTTTACTATTGATCTGACCAAGAATGAATAGCAAGAACTATCTAAAATCTTATGGGTGGAAAGAAGGAGAAGGATTGAAGCCTGGGGCGTTGAAAAGACCAATTTTGGTCAAGCACAAGATGGACAAGAAAGGACTGGGATCGGCACCTGGCGGAGACGACGGAGACATGTGGTGGGAAACGCTTTTCGACGGGCATCTAAAAAATCTGAATGTGAATGACAGTGGGACTGGTGCGATCAAGTTTGAGAAAAATAAAGCTTCGAGCAACGTTGTGGTGAAAGATAAATCGCCGTTGTACAAATGGTTTGTGAAGGGAGAGGTTCTGAAGGGAACCATCGAAAAGAACGCAATAAGCACAAAAATTGAGACGGTAGAGAGCTCTCGAAAGAAACGTGAACGCGAAAGTGACGAAAGTAGCATCACCCGAAAATTCAAGAAATCCCGTAAGTCAGTGGAAAAGAAGCAGAAAGACGACGAAACGGCCAAGAATAGGTCAAAAGAACACAAGAAAGACTCAAAGCGTGAGCGCAGCCTAGATAGAAAGGATAAAAAGGATGCAAAGCGTAAGCTCAGAAAAGATGCAAAGGACAGAAAGGACGAAAAGCCTAAGCACAAACTAGATAAAAAGGATAGAAAGGATAAAAAGGCACTCGAGAAGAAAGAACGAAGCCTCAAGGATAGTAAGAAAAGCAAGAGTCGCTCAAAAAAACATGAGAGCAAGGACAACGAATTCTCGTAAAAAATTGGTTTTCGGGCCGTACCGCAAGGTGACGTTCAATCCCAACTTTTTGACAAGTCATTGGAACATCCTCCAGTTCAAGTCAGCCTTTAATCAGAGCGTCGCCATTGGAACTTACAACAGATGAAAACAAGAAGACTGTAAAAAAAAAACGTGCTCAGAAGAGTGTTGATTTTGAAGCTCACAGCAATGTCTCACCATGTGCATTTCAGCCGCTCTCTTCAAGCGATCTGCTACGCTACAAAATGACCCTTTCCAAGGTCATCCGTCACCACTACAATTTCCCCCTCGCGGAAATAGAAATCTTCGCCAATTTAAATTGCATAGATGCACCAAGACGCTTGCTGTGTGATCGATGTTATTTGATTTTCAATTATTTTCCACCGTTGGTGCTCTAAAGACAATATTCCAAAAGCTGATCCATTGAAAAAGAACTGACCAGATAATGATATACTCTCAACAGACATTTAGAAGGCTGCAGAAAATGAAAAGAGTAATGACGGGAGCTTGACAATCATCAATGGATCGTCTTTTAGCGTTCTAACCTTAAAGTCATGTGATTACAAATTTCGGGACAGAATTCGTTTCTGATCGATTGTGATCGATCTTCGGTTCATATGGCATCCACATCTTAAGGTGTAAACTGACATCCGTACAGAAAGCATCACAGCCTCTCGAACGCATCGTAAGCAGCGCTTGGAGATCAGTTTTGAATTGAGAATACTCATATATATTATAGTGTCGCGTTTCATGTCCTTACTCAAGCTCGTTTGATGGCCTATTTGTTCGCTACTGTGTGTACACTCTTGGGTGTTTATGCGCGACAGAAGGTCTTGAAGCTCCTTCTTGGAGTAGGGATATCCAAAATTGTATTTTGGATCTCACTGCTGATAGTTTCGCAATTGACCGCCATCCGGACTTACATGCCGTCTCCATGGACTGTTATTGCGTTGTTTCTAGTTGCGAGGGCTTTATCCCAAGCAGGCGAATTTGAAATAAAACCAGATCCAACTGCTCGGAAGTTACCAGGAAACGGAGGAGAAGACTCAAGATCTAGGACATCGAATCAGTCTACAAGACCTATATTACCAGAGGAGCCTGAAATTTCTTACGAGTTAGAACATATTATAGACAACATCATAAGAGATTTCGTTGTTAGCTGGTACAGCTCCATCAGCGATGATACGGAAGCCCCATTCCTATCCGAACTGAGCACAATACTAGACGAAATGACCAGAAAATTTCAGAAGACCGTGTGCAAAATTGATCTTCCTGAACTACTCATATGTAAAATACTCCCTGTGGTAACCAGACACTTCAAGGCTTATAAAACTGCTCGGAAAGCTGTTAAAATTATTCACAATGATGCTAGAGAGGATAATCAGTCATTTGCAATAGCGGTGGAGTTTGGGAGAGAGTACAAAATCCACAAATCCATTTCTCTCGGCCTAGATGACCTATCAATCGGCCTGGAAAAGTACTCGAGACTAAACTCAGACCTTCTACTACAGACGTTGATGAGCCCGAAACAACTTTCTTCAAGATTTGTCCGGATTATAAGTCGTGAAGTTCTTTGCTGTTGCATTTTTAGCCCTTTATTACAAAAGGTCACAGAACCGTGCTTTATTAATGCTTTTATTGTATCGACTGCTGATGCTTTACTTGAGGAAAGAAGCCAGGTCAGAGAACTAAGAGCAGCACTATCAAGTCAACTGGACGAATCCCCGAGTACTTCATCTCAGCCTTTCGACCAGAGCTCTTTGCTTAACGATGTTGTTATAGGCATCGAGGCTGATGCCAGCGGATTTAAGGAAGTTTTGAAGGGAATAAGCTGCATCAAAACCGAGAAAACACTGAGGTCACTTAAAGTCTCCCTCATGTGTCAGATCGTAAAACTAAAGAAGTTAGAAAATTTGAGGAAAGAAGAATCTCTTCTACTGAGTCGATACAATTTGGCTCTTAACTTGATAGAAAGCCGCCTCAGGTACCTGAGGACTAATTTGTTTGGGCTACCGCCTTCCCAAGCGACAGTTGAGTCGGGGGAATTCGAGGCTCTTGAAAAATTCATTGATTCGGTTTCAATAAGTGATGTGCTCAAGGACAAAAGTTGCAAAGGGTTTTTCTCAGATTATTTGCGGACGCAAGACACCAAAGGCGAGCGCTGTTTAGGATTTTGGTCGAAAGTGGAAGAGTTCAAAAACCCATTAGAAGATGCAAACAACGGGGAACTTGCGGTGGTGTCAGATGAGGGTTTCGATGATCTGGTAAAAATTGTAGAGGAGTTCTTCGCGGGTCGAAATTTGTTTATAATGCAGGCCCTGAACGAGCAGTGCGCGGCGCACGTTTCCGATTTTGGGTCAACTCTGACTCACAATGGGAAAGTTGCCGCTTCAGAGCATTACTCGGCTGCTCGGAGAAACGTCTTACAGCTGCATTCATTGGCATTCAATTTTCTCGAACGGTCCTGTTTTCCTGCTTTTAAACAATCCGATGAGTTTCTCCGAATGGTATCTGACTCAGAGTCTCAAGCCTCCATCTCTGCGTTCAAGACAATCGCAGCTGAATTGGCAAATAACGATGATAACATGGGCTGGAACTCTCCTCATTCGAACGCCAATGATGTGGCTCAAGTTCTAGAAAGTCTTGAACAGAAAGAGAACAAAGATCTTGAGGGCAGAACTACCAACGGAGTTCGAGCCCGCAAATCATATTCAAACTTGTTTGGAAAACGTAATGACAGCAGCCTATTTGAAAACAAGATCTTCGAGGATGATGGGTCTATGAATGAAGAATACGATACTTGCAGTGATGAAGACGGCCACGATTCTTCATACTTACTTGAAAGTTCGGAAAGCTCAAGGAAAACTGGGTGTGATGAATCTGAACCTGATTTAGCTATCAGAAGTCTAAATCAGTCAACGCTGAAGAACACCATTGCCGAGCTCACAATTTCCATTGATCACTTAAAGAAGCAGCTTTCACTTATCAATCATCTCGGTCTTAAAGCGGATCTCACTGACAGCGTTCCAGAATTGAGGCTTTTGAGAAAGTCAGAAAGAGCTGTCAATAGGGAGATTCTTCAGCAAGAGCTGTTAAGGCAACAGCTAATTGTTCAAGAGGACGCTAACAGTCTTTACAAAAAGTGCCAAATATCAATCAAAACCTCCCTAAGTGACATTTCTCCGAGGAGTGGTAGAGAAGTCGTATTTTACGTGGTAAGCGTGAGTCACGTCAGCAATGAGATCTTGACTTCTTGGGATGTACCACGAAGATACAATGAGTTTTACGAGCTGAATGCTTACCTGAAGACAAGATACAAAGGACTTGTCAACTTTCTACAACGAAAAGAGTATTTCCCGGAAAAGGTCAAAATGTCGTTGGTGTATCACGTATCCAAGAATCTTCTGTATAAGGAGAGAACAGTCAAGCTCGAAAGGTTCTTGAGATGCCTTTTGCAAATTCCGGAAATTTGTCAGGACACTCATTTCCGAAGGTTTTTAACGGACACGAATTCTGCATTTACTATAAAGCAAGGCTTGGGTCGGAAGGAAAATAGGGAAAAACTACTCTCAAGGGTAGACTCGGTGTCTTCAAAGCTATTTGAATCGAAAGCGAACGTGTCTGCGCCTTCCGGCACACTGAAGGAAGCAAAGACGAGCGTTTCGTTGCGGCACAATTATGATAATTTGTTTCTTGACGACGAAGAATCCAAAAAAGGTGTCTTTATCAGGCCACTATGCGGGTTTTTGGTATCAGTTTTTTCACTTAAAGACTCGCGGTCTAGTTGGCTGAGGGGACGAGCCTTACTCGTAGTGATTCAGCAGTTGTTGGGAAGCACCATTGAGAAATACATCAAGGATTCGATAGAGAGAATAACAAATCCAGCTAGTATTGCGGCAACAGCGAGGAAAATTCGCATGAAGCTCTGGGTCGATGATGTCTTTTTCAAGAACTCCGAACAGAAGGATCTTATTCGAGAAAGAGAAGAAGGTGCGCAAATTGGGATGGAAGCTAAAAGCAAATTACAAAATCTAATGGGAGAAACATGTGGGCGCGTGTTTGGATTGAAGACGTCAAAAGAAGCAAGCGCGGAGATCTTCTCGATGCTTCAAAATGAATATTTAAATGCCAGTTTGCTGCTAGAGATAATTGACATCATACTAGCGGAGCTTTTTGCTAACATAACGTGAGCGACTGCGTCGAATGGGAACCACGCAATCATTTATCCCATAGTCATTATCTTGCCCCATACCCAGCAATTTTGCTTTTGCGAAACTCTCGAGATGTAGATATGCTTTTTCGTCCAGCGAACGGTCGCGGTGCTTGTACAAAATAGACCTCAATTTAATCTTCTTCTCGAAGGGAAGAATGTTTTGGTGGAGAAGTTGTTCTGCTGAAATGTAGCCTGTTCCAGACTTGAGGTGGAGTTCCCTATCTTGGTTAGAAGCTCGCAGTCTTGCTGAATATTTGGTGAGCTCTTTTTTTGAAAGTTTAAAATCCTCACTCCTGTATTTTGATGGAATATCACCAAAAAGCTCTAATCCCTTCATATACACATCGTCCATTTCTTCACCCATTTGACACCCGCGCATTATAATATCCCGGTAATCTAATTTTATCTTTCTGTTCATGTCGAGAGGTTTGCCATTGGGTTGATGCTCGGATATTTTGAGCTGACTTGAACCACTCGTCTGAGCTATCTTCAATTTGTTGGTCGATGCAACGGAGGCGTGTACACCCTTGAAAAAATGATCAATCTTTTGCATGATAGCCGTTGAAACTCCTTCTGATATATTCATTTTGTCGATATCAAGAGTGATGCCACCATCGGAAGCCATTTTTGTCAGAGATTGTTGCCAAACTGCATCAAGTTCACCTTGAAGCATCTTGGAGCCATGCAAAAGCGCCTCTGGAGATAATTCACCAGGCTTTAGAGGCTTTGGGACCGTTGCTCGTGTGCCATTTACATCCTCAAAAATAGTGTCTATTTTAGGATCTATAACCGTAGAAGGGTTGGGCCAACTAGTCCAATTATCTTTGATCTGCGTTTTTATTAGCGTGTGGGTCTCTAACGCAAACTTCTTGCGGTTTGCAGCTTTGAGCACGGTTTTCAATAGGTATGTTGAATACAGATGGAGCGCTAAGTCGTTCCGATGACTGTGCTCAAGAGACTCCAAAAGCTCATTAGCCTCTTTTAACACCTCGCGATTAATATTCTGAGCAGAAGGATTTTCGGAGTTTCCTGACGCCGCCGGCGGTGTACTATCATTGTCGGAGCTGCTGCTCATCGTGAGTGTGATTATTTATCCTGCGTGGTGGGAAGATTTAAGAATGCGAATCTTTCAGATCCATGAAAAAAACAATAGGGTCCAAAATCCTTGTTATAGTCTCAAACGCCAATTGAATGAACCGCTGGAAGCCTCACGGTGATGAGTTTGGTAGGTGTTAACATCTACTTGAACGCTGCTTCAGCTCTACGTAGTGATAAAAGCATATATTAGCGGGATCACTTTGTAACATTCTGTCATCCACGAGAAAGATGGCAAGCGTTGACAGGAGCAGCTTGAAGTAAACGTCAGCGAGCTAAAGAGACCAAATCCCTGTGACATTGCACATCAAAAATTAGCCATGATCTTGGCTGTTTGATGAAAGAATCGTATTTTGATAATGTCAAATTTCATGTCCATAACTTGGCAAGCGACCTTAACTAGAATTGTTCTGTATGTTAATAGTTTTTGATTTCCAAGACTTAGTTAGTGAGTCGAGGCCCATTGGCGGATACGCCACTGAATTGATTTTGATCATTATAAATCGCGAGTGACTTTTTTTCGTAAAACTGCGCATGCTGCTGTCATCTAGGAATTAGTGTCGCACTTCAACATGAGTTTTTCGAGAAATTTGACCAGATGAGTGACTCCTACAATACTGTTGCAATGCCAGCTCATCCGGACCAAGCTTTGACCAAAAGTCGCAACAAATAGCTCCAAAAATTCTAAATATGCGTTTTACAGACAGTGGTGATAGCTGTTCTTAGAACGTGATAAACAAGATGTGGCATGAATGATGTGGCACGAATGATGTTTCAATTGCTAATTGAGCTTCTAGCAAACACAATGCAAAGGGAAACCCACGAAAGCTACATATATAAAATGTTAGCTCTTTAGCTCTCCATGACCAATATATTAATTCTATGAACGTAATAGTTTTTTTTCAAAGGCATTGATGAGGACTTCAACCAGTAGTGCGGCACCTATGTGGTGAAATCTGCAATGACCGTCTCGTAACTCTCACTCTTCGGCTAACAGTCGTTCTATAGTGTCGTATTGACATGTTCAAACGAGTCACGTGACAAAAGCTCGTTGCACAATTCCTGAACACTGCAGGGTTAAGGGCATCGAAACAACTTCACCAACTAGCTTTAAAACAAGTTCAAAGAGACCAGACAAACGACGATATTGATTGGCACTCAAGCTCTGTTCATGAACAGTTCTGAGACCTACTCACGTGACTCTTAATCAATTTCCTGGAAATCTCAAAAAATTTGAACTTCAAAGGCAGCGTCGAACAGAGAAATCCAACTTTGTTGGGAGCTCAAGCGGTTGGAATCATAATCTTTCACCTCTTGCCAAAATGCCTAAGCTTGAGGAAATTGACGACTACGATGATATTGACAACCTTGACATGGATCTTGCGGAGATTGATCATAATATGAAATCGCCAGTAGCACCCAGAATAGTGCCAGAGATCAAAAGAAGTCAGGACGAAGAGCCGGAATTGTTTCCAGTTAATCAGAAAGTGCCCCCCAGGTCAGAATCCGCAATGTCAGGACAGCCACAAGTGATGAATTTTACAGAAGAGCAGAGGCGACAATTGAATAAGTTCCAAATGCTATATCCATGCTATTTTGACAAAAATAGATCTCACAAGCAAGGAAGACGGGTCCCCGTGGAATGGGCGGTGGAGAACCCTCTAGCACAAACTATAGCAGATGCGGTGAGTCAAATGCAGATACCTTGCGTTATCGAAGCTCATAAATGTCACCCTCAGGACTTTGGTAACCCCGGTAGGATACGCCTTTTCATGAAGGAAGACGGAGTCTCAACATCTCCATATTTGTACAAGAATAAACGGATGCTTATGAAGCTTATTTCCAAACACCTCAAAGAGAACCCCACTACGCTAGAAGTTATAAAGGACGTCCCCGTGGAAGCTGGCGCAGAGGATTACGAGCCCCGGAAAGTGCCTAAAGTTAAAGGTTTTGTTATGAATGAGATCGTACCGATCCACAGTCCATTGAGCATGGGACATCCGATGGTCAAATCAATTTATGATGCGCCCGCCCCGGTGGTGGCAGAAAAGCCTGTTAAAATGCCAAAAAATAAATACAAAATGGTCCGTAGATAGTTTATATGATAAGTGCCTGTATCAACGGAATGCATCGTAATGAAATAGATGTTTTAATCAACGCCTAATTTGGAAAGATTCGAGAGTCCCGCTCTGGAATCATGCAGATATTTAGGACTGGAAGTTGATGCGATAGTTTCGAAATGCAATCTGTTCAGAGGCCTAATTTCATGGTAAGGGAAGACATCGAAGGTACAGACATACTCGGTATTGCGAGCACGACAATTAGCAAATCAAAAAAATACATATTAATTGAGTGTACGAGAAATCGTTGATGGTGTATAGGATCAAAGTCATCAACGAAATAGGATGACAAAATTATGTTGTCTCATAAACTCTTGGCAAGAGCGGAGTGCAAGTCTCGAGAAATGAAAATTCTATGAGTTCGAGAACAAGTCCTTTAACGGGCATCGTCCGTTACACGCCGTAAGTTTGCAAATAATCCTCCATCTTCCGCTTGTCCTCTGGGGTGATCTTAGCCTCTAGATAATGGATGATGTTGGCAAAAGTGACAATGCTCAAGACAGGAATGTTATACCTTTTGGAAACAGCCTGGGTAGCACTTAGGCGCTCTTTAGACTCGACGCTGAGGACCTCTTGTCTGTCCAGAGACACAATGGTGCCCACAACGATACCATTGTTCTCGGCTATGATGCCAAAAGCTTCGTTGATGGCGGTCCCTGCGGTCATGACGTCGTCGATGATCAACACACGCTGATCCTGCAGAGGAGCACCAACAATGCTACCACCTTCGCCGTGCGTCTTGGCTTCCTTGCGGTTGAAGGAGTACTGGACGTTCTGGAACTTGGTTCCGCCGATTTCTGCGAGCTTGACACACACGATCGCAGCGAGCGGAATGCCCTTGTAGGCGGGGCCGAAGATCACGTCGAACTTGAGGTCCGACTGGATAATGGCAATCGCGTACGCAGTTGCCAGGTTCGACAACAGCTTACCGGTGTTGAACTGACCGAGATTGAAGAAGTACGGCGACTGGCGTCCGGACTTCAACGTGAAGCTTCCGAACTTCAATGCCTGGCTCTCCAGCGCCAAGTCCAAAAAGTTCTTCTGGTAGTCTTCCAACACAGCAGGCATCTTTATTCACAATTGGGTACAGAGTGCGGACCACAGAACACGGCAAGGAGAAACGAGAAGCGCAAGCAATTAATGAACTTTTTCCAAAGAAGAAGATCCACCAACGAGTTCGCGTCTATCACAAATTGATTGATCGAATCGAATGCTATCCGAACAGCGACAAAAGGTGAGCGCTGAGAGGCTGATCCTGGTGTGGTATTGAGTTGAACTGACTGTGCGTTCTATCTCTGTTTTCTGAAGTTCAGCTCAGAATGATCAGATTTTTTAGGCTATGTCAATTTTTCCAGTGTTGGATGAGACTGGTGACAGTAAATATATAACGTGATTTGAGAGGTTTATTTGTGCTGTTGGAAAAGAGAAGGGGAACGTGGGGAGCTTCGTGAGTTTGGCAAAGCAGGGGGATACATAAGTGTAGTATTTTTGAAAAAAGAGACTGTTTCTTCGGCTTGAAATGCCGCTTTTTGGTTCAAAACTTGGGCAGCACCGGATAAATATGATAATATCATTCGGTACGTAGTGTGAAATATCAATCATTGGATACGGAAATAAGGACTTGTAATAGACGTGGTAATGGCATTTTGGCATTTTGGCACTCCAATGCGTTGGTTTCAGTTCGTTTGAGGTCGTTTAATCATATTCGGGGACTTTCAAGACTATACAGAGACTATACAGAAGTCTCATGATCAATGAGAAACGGATATTCCGTGACAAAAGTCTTGAGGAATTGTGAGTCTCCTACTTTTGGTTTAGAGTAATGTCCCCTCCCAGTACATTATGTCGCACATTAAAGCATCGACAGTCTCTTTTCGAGGAGTTTCTGGGACATGTTCTCGTCTGTCTAGTGGATATTACGTCTTGGCGACACATTAGTACGAAGTGATATAAAAGCTTGGTCCTTCCTTTGCGTGCTAGTAGCCCTTTCTTGAGTCCGAATTGAGTAGAATCGAGAGCTCTCTGAGTGACCGCTAATGCTATTGAAACTTGGAGCCCTTTTTTTACTCCAGTCTATGACTAAGTGCCACAACAGCCCTACTGGTGAAGTTCAGTTCCAGCTGGCCATTTCACAAATGTCGGGAGACACATGGACTACAGATTGTTTTACAAACTTTAATTTCGATGTTACCATTGATTTTGGAAAAATGGCTAGTAAGCAGATCTACGAGGTGCTTCGTGCTTCTACGTGATCTTTCAAGCTATTCTCGCACATCAACCATGCTCCGCAAACTTACACGGAAAATACAGTGACAGGTCGAGTTCCAAGGATGGGCGTTACTTGAAGCACACATATTCAGTTTTGAGACATAGTCGTTTAAACCACACAAATTCGTTTTTGGAAATAATCTTTAGAAGCGACTTTTTCGATTGTTTTGTCTCCTCAATAGCTCAAACCTACAGAAAACTTGGATTATCAATAGAGGCGGCGTAATCGGCACACATCATTCAATATCACCTTAACGCACTTGCCAAAGGCTCTTCATATACGTAAAGTTTCCCTGTCACTTTATAATTTTGAGTCTCTTCTTCTTTTCACCACAGGAAGACTTCGAAATCTCGGCAAAAAGAAGCACAGGACATTTGCACAAATCATTCGAGTAGTTGAATTAGCTCAATCACATCTCAACTGTCTCAACTGCTGTTCAACTTATTTTTTCGATTTCAGGCTCTGTCATCTCCAGATCTGACAATACCAGTCAAAAACCTGAAATTATACATAACACAGTTCACAGCTGCTCATCGAGATCGAGGATTGACAATGACACAGGCGGGAAACCTACAATTATGAACTCAGATCTACTTGAACGCATAGAGACAATAAGAAAAAGTGTCGAAGACTTTAGCTCGGCAAGACGCCTTCATAGGCCGCCTTTAAAGGCTCGAATGATTATTAACAAATACAAATACAAGACTAAGGCTCCCAGAACGAAGAAAAATAGGCTCTTACCTGAAAAGTTTCAGAAAGTTGGAGCGCTCTACGATCGAGTTTGTAATGTTCCCACGACGCAGTTGCGTGCCCCAAACTTCCACAATTGTCTGAAATCTTTGGTTCAAAACTCCCGAAAATTGACTACTGTTGAAGATAAAGCCAACCTCGCTGTGATAGCAGCGGCTGGATGGTGCACAGTACCGCTCAAAGAAATTAAGGACTCACAAACCCTCATTCTTAAATGCTCAGAGTGCTCTCAGGTGCTGTATTTGAAAATTGACGATTATTTAAACACTGTGGAGTTTGAACACCAAGCTGCAGAGCTCTTAGCTAAAGCCCATCACAATCACTGCTCGAAACACAGAGGCGGTTTCGACATCAAGCGAGACTACTACCTGAATCATGAAAATTTGTGTTTAGAGTTCCAGAGAGTAATAGAGGAATTGCGTAGTACCAGTTCCTGGGACTTGGATGCGGAAGTTAAGCTCGACTGTGAAAAATTGGCACCTATCCGGTCTATATTTGGTGTTTCAGACTGCTCTAGTTCGATTGGAAAATTGAGTCTCATTCTGAAGGGCTATAAATTTATCAACAGTCACGTAATTGAATGCACCGGATGCTACCACAGTGCGTTCGTCAAGACCTTCCAAGACCCACAATTCAACGGCCATGCCAAATGGTGCAAATATCACAACGAGTCCAAACTTGTCGAAATGATGCATACGCCCGTAAATGGAACACCAGGGAATCAGGACATCGACCAGCGACTAAAGGCTTTGACCGAGTATTTCAGCGCACCTTGAGATCTTACCGAAGACCATCCTTTTCTCTCAAAATTTCATAACTAATAGTGTGTACTTAAAGATTTATATCGTGTGCGTTCTACTCGAACTTTATCTTGGATAGCGGGGCATTCTCGCCCAGGTAAGTGCCAAAGACGTTGTCCCAGAACCAAGAGGTAACGCCGAAACCTAGCTCGTAGTTTTTGTAATGGTGCTCCATATGGTATCTCTTGAGTTTTTGCAAGTAAGTGGGGAGTTTTGCGTGGTGCAAGAAATAGTGTGTCAAGTCGTAGCACATGTAGCCAAACATGCCGCCCGCAAACCCGGCACAGGCCCAGTAATGAGGCAGCAGACCAAATACCAGCTTGTAGAATGGGGTACACAGCAACACGAACAACGTTGGTGGCATCACAAGTCTATATCTATCCATGGGCAAATAGTGATGGACACCGTGCAACAGGAAATGTAGAGTGTAAGCGATCTGGTTGTTGGGCAAGTACTCGTCCAAGTGGAAGAGGAAGCGATGCATGCCGTACTCGATGAGCGTCCATACAAAGAGCCCCACGCCAAACAGGAAGGTGGCAAACGGCCTGTTCATGTGCTGGAACGCGGTGTAGATGTGGTACAGGATCACAGGGAACCATACGATAGGAATCACGTACCAGGCCGTCTTGGAAAGTGGCTCGAGGAAGTTTCCAAACAACGGCGCCGACCCGCGGCCGTAGTGGCGCGGACGGTGGATCTGGTCCAGGTAGAACTCCTTGGTGAAGTCTGCACGCAGCATCTGCATCAGCAACGGCTTGTTGAGATCCAGGAACTTGTGACGCGTGAAGTCGCGCGAGTAGTCGGTGACGATGCTGAGTTTCTCCTCCGAGGGCACTTCTGGTACGAACACGGTGGAATCGTAGTCGTCCTGCAATCTGACCTCCACCGGAGGCGCAGCTCCGGACGGGTTGAGCAGCTTGCTCTCTTCATCTGGAGTCGCCAGATATCCCACTAGATAGTTCTCGTCCAGCGCCTCGTACGCGGTGACCGAGTGCTCGTGCAACGTCGCGTCTTTCAGCACTTCCGTGATGTCTTTACCGGCGTGTTCCAGGATCAGTTCCGGTCCGCCTGGATGTTCGTCTAGAAACTTGGTGACGTTGTAGAGTTTCCGGTTGTACAAGGAAACCCAGCAATCTTTGGCTGAGCTATGTTCTTGCAGCTGTTTCGCTGTGTACAGAGGTAAAGTCTTGGTTTCCATCTTAGCTGTGGGGAGGGGAAGGGGCGGAAAGCACAGAGATCGACAAAAGAGTGATGAAAGAAGACTTATCTGAAAAGTCTGTCTTTCTTGATGAGATGCCCTGTATATATATGTATGTTTATAAACGTATCTGCCATCTGAGTGGCATGGTTCGGTGAATTATTTGTCGTACCGAAAAACGCATCGGGAGAAGAGGTCGCTCTGTACGTTGAGAGAGGATGAGTTCGTGAGCGAGTAAGAGACGGCGTCACATTATTTATTGGCGTCGGTTAGATACGGGAAATGTCGTTAACGAGACGGGACTGGTGGGCTGCCGACGGCCACGAATGAGTTGTGTGGAATTTTGCAGAATTTTGGCATTTTTTAGAATTTTTTAAACTTGTATTCCTAGTTTTGAGAACTACAATTGATGGATATAAACCTGGGATTTTTGGATTGAAAGGAAGCCTAGTCAGCGCCGGTTTGAGATGGAATAACGGACCGCGAAATATCGAAGTCGATGGGCTTAGAGGTGTCGTGTATAGTGAGGTCTTGTTTATATACTGTTAAAATGGCCCTATTTCATATATAATAATAGAATATGATAATATAATAACGAAATGTGAACATAGTCAGTGTTCAGTGTTCAGTTCCACATTGTTCAGCCTCGAGAGTGTGTTCTTTTGTGGGTGTGGCCATTGAAATAGCCTTGTTTGATGCTCATAGACTGTAAATAATGTCAAGACGGGACTTGACGCAGAAAAACCCGTCCGAAACAGGAGACAGACACGCTGCAGATGAGCACGGAAGTAGTACCAAACCAAAAGTACAGGTTCTGGTCAAAATTGACCGAGCAGAGACGAATTTAGATCTGGAACTAGCGCAAAGCAGACCCGAAGAGACTCCCAGCGCACTGGACAACCATTTTGAGCGAGATTCAAGCGATTTTGGCAAAGACACTTTTGCAAAAAGACCAAATCTCTCCATCGTCACGCAACAGAGAGGCAGCTCTTCGACTGATAATCCACGAACGGCGTCCGGCCAGCTCTCGGCCACCAGCAACAAGACCCATTTCAAAAATCTCACAACACCTTCGAAGTCACGGGACTCATCGGACGCGACCTCCAACGAACGGCACAGCTTGCAGATAGATCGGCATTCCGGCAGCGGAGAACGTCGCCATTCGCTTAATTCCCGCACCTATAGCGATACAGACAACGACGACAATCTGAGGTCGGCCACCATCATCTCAACAATCGACGAAGGCGATCTCAATGACTTTCGCGACCTCCAGGACGATTTCACCAATGCCATGGGCAATGGGAGCTCGACGTGGCTGCCACAGATCAGAAGTGACTCCAATGTGCCAAAAACGTCGGCAGAAGCAGACGAAGACGCACACTTATCGGACTATGAAGAACAAAGGCAAAATAGCAGGAGTATGATGAGGACCCCCAGTCCCTCACACGTTCGGGGAAGTAACTCGCAAGCCCATGAATCGGTTTTAAATACTCCCAGAAATTTGCATAATTCCAGCATCAAAAAATTCAAAAAAGTTGGTTTTGAAGAAACCGAAGAGTTCGAAGAACGAGTAGCATCAGACAGCAGCGAATCGGATTCATTAACAGGGCTCGAAAAGGACAACTCTTTAAACTTACACGGAAACTCGCTGGGACTCTTTTCCCCGAAAAATCGTTTTCGTGTCAAGCTGGCATCAATCGTGATGAACAAGTGGGCGTACCGATTCAACTTGTTTCTGTCCATATGGCTGGTCTCTACACTCTCTGTTGCCTTTCTGAGTGATCCCAACAAACTAGAGTACTACTCTTCCCTAACAGGTGCATTGCTATTTGCGGTGAACGTACTCTATACAATCGATATCCTTGCTCAAATTATCGTATTTGGTTTTTGGGACGATTCACAGGTCTTTCACGCAAGAGGGGAGGACTATAAAACAATCTATGAAATTTTCGGCATTACTAAATTCCATCAGCGTCTCGAATCCAAATACGGAGCGGATTTTGTGCGCAAAATATCACCTTTCAAAATCAGCTATGACAAGCTTGCAGGCAAGCCCGCTCATAAGCAGATCAAAAGCTCTGTAACATTTGTTGGCTCTCCTGATAAAACGCCTGCTGAAGTGCCGCTCCACCGTGCCTACGCTCGAAGCAGTTGGAACAGAATAGAGTTAATCTCCACAGCTTGCTTTTGGATGTCATTGTTTCTGTCGATAAATGATTATGACTACAAACATGGTATACGCATATTCAAGGCGCTCGCAGCGCTTCGCATTCTCAAACTCGCGACTGAAGAAGGCAGTCAGTCTCGAATTCTGAACACTTTAAAGTTCGGGCTACCGCAATTAATAAGTGTCTGCTTCATGCTTCTATATTTCTGGACCCTGTTTGGGATTCTCGGCGTTCAGAGCTTTCAGGGCTCCATGAGAAGGCAATGTGTCTGGACTAATCCAAACGACCCATCAGAAAGCTATACCAATAGCATGCAATTCTGTGGCGGTTACCTAGAACCGGTAACGAAGAAAAAGATGCCATACATTTTTTCTGATAATGAAGATGGCCCAATATCTAAGGGATTCTTGTGTCCACAGTACTCTAAATGCGTTTCGACCGAAAATCCTTTCAATGGCAGGGTCAGCTTCGACAACATTCTGAGTTCGATGGAGCTGGTTTTCGTGACTATTAGCGCCAATACGTTTACGGACATCATGTATTATACTATGGACTCTGACAGTATGGCGGCCTCACTCTTTTTCGTCTTTTGTATCTTTTTTCTGAACATTTGGATGATAAACTTGATGATTGCAGTGCTGGTGTCCTCTTTTGAGAAAGCCAACAAGCTTTCTAGAAAAGGCTTACGGAAAGAAGCCCCGTCTTTGATTGAACGAGTCAGGAAAAAAATTATGAAGTTAGTTGAGAGCAAGGCTAATCTCAAGGAACTACCAAATTGGAGTTTAGTATGTCTGAAATGGTACCAAAAAGTGGAGTTCATCTTTGTCCTAGTCATAGTCGCGGATCTTATAATTCAAGCTACATTGAACTCAGAAAGCAGCGAGGACCAGATGGAGACCATTTTCATGTTTGATCGCGCCGCGAATTACGTTCTGTTGTTCGAATCGCTCATACGAATAATCTGTTTTCTTCCGAACCTCTGGAAACTGCTAATGACACCAACTTACATGTTCGATATTTGTTCATGTATTGTATCAGTTATAATAACCATCCCTCAAAACAGAAAAGCTTTGGGGCAGGGCTATTATTGGCTCAACATTCTCCAAATATTGCGCTTTTACCGAGTTATAACGATGATCGAAGTCACCAGAAATTTGTGGAAACAGGTTCTGGGTAATGCATTGCTTATCTGGAACCTTTCAGGATTTTACTTTCTTTTCCTCTTTTTGGTTTCGGTGATCATGTCGGTCTACTTCACAGGGTCAGTGCCGGAAACAGAAAAAGGGGAAATACCATTCGCTTTCTATGATTTATCAAACTCTTTTTTGACACTCTTCATCATAGGATCCACGGAAAACTGGACGGATTCATTGTATGCTGTTCAGCAATATGCTCCCAATTATTCTTCGCAATTCTTTGGTTCAGTTCTATTGATAGTATGGTTTTTTTTGGCGAACTTTGTTATGCTGAATATCTTCATTGCGATTATAGCAGAAAGCTTGGATACCCCCGAGGAAGGAAAAAGATCATTACAGATCAGACATTACTTGCAGCATGTCTATCCGGAGAAGATTAAGGAATTTACAAGTTCAACTCTCGCCCGTCGTATCAAGAAAAGAATCTTCAAGGACTCTACGGATGAAACCTCTAGGGATTTTAGGCAATTTCTGTTCAGAGGAACTGCGATTGTCAGCATTGCACAGCAACATAACATTATGGATCTCAATGACGTGGGGAAAAAGCCAAATGAATATTTTCCACGCTTGTCAAAGCTGGGTTTTGGTAAGCTCAAAAAATTGCCTTTCCTAAAGCCTTTCACTGAAAACCCATTTGGCAATAAGCCTGAGGTGGTGTACATCGAGTCCACCGATTCAGAGGGGTTAAACAAAAGATACACTTTGAAACTAAATGACTTTGAGGAAGACAAACTAAAATACATGAGGGTGCATCCATTTTACAATAACACCTACTTCATTTTCCCTCCTAATCACATCTTTCGCCAGTTTTGCCAAAGTCTTGTTCCCCCTTGTGTTGGCAAAAGGACTGACGGGATTCGCTTCTTTGAGGATAACACAAATATTTACGAAAGCGATTCCAATTTCAGGCACTTAAAGCGGGACATTTTTGTTGGTTTCATTTCGATCACGACAATTTTAATGGTTATTTATTCCTGCTTTATCACACCCTTGTATCGTATGAAACATTTCGCCGTTCGAGAATGGTCGAAGTATTTCGATGCTACGTTTGTCATAATTTTCTCCCTAGAATTTATTATAAAAACGGTTGCGGATGGGTTGATACACACTCCTAACGCTTACCTTCGCAATCCATGGAATTGCATAGACATTACAGTTCTGGTCTCTATCTGGATCGACTTTGTTGCCAATTTGAAAAACGATGACGACTTATCCCGTCTCTTTAGGGGACTAACTGCTCTTAGAGCCTTACGGTGTCTCACGATCAGTAAAACGGCCAGGGCAACTTTCAATCAAGTTCTTTTTGATGGTATTGGCAAAATCATTGGTGCAGCCACTATTTCGCTCACCGTTCTATTCCCCTTCTCCGTTTGGGGGCTAGGAATATTGAGAGGGCGTCTTGGCGTCTGCAACGATGGCGTTGATCTATCCAAATGTTACAACGAGTTTACAAGTGAGGTCTTTGATTGGGAAATTTTGATGCCGAGAACATACTCAGAGCCATATCTCTACATGAACTCTATTTCAAGCGCATTTAGATCGCTTTACGAAATAGTGTCATTAGAAGGCTGGGTCGATATCCTGACCAATAGCATGGCAAGCACAGGGGTGGGAACCGTGCCCGAACCCTTTGCCACAACTACCAATGGACTCTTTTTTGTGCTGTTTAATTTCTTGAGCATGGTTTTCATCCTGACACTCTTTGTGTCTTTCATTATCCGTAATCATGCTCGAACAACAGGAAGTGCATTTTTGACCATTGAAGAGAAATCGTGGCTTGAAGTCAAGCGACTTCTTTCACAAGCACGGCCTGAGCCGAGCCCCGAAATTTTATCCATGGGTTCTGTCAGATTGTTCATATATCGGCTGGCGGTTGAAAAATCGTTCTTTTGGTATGCTCTCTTTCTCCAGCTTATGTTGTATGTTCATATCTTGACTTTACTGGTCTACACTTATCAAGAAAACGGCTCGCTTCAAAGTTATCAAAATGCCGTTTTCATGTTGTCTACCACAGTTTTTTTGATTCAGGAAATCTTTTACATTATTGGTAAAGGAACAAGACTGTGGTTTGCCAAAAAATGGGATGTTTTCAAGTTCTTCATAGTCATTTGCTCCTTTGCTCTTAATATCGCGAGAATCGTTCGTCATGAAGCTATTCTTGGCTTTACTAATATTCGTGATCTGTTCCAACTTGTGATCTTTTTGTTTGTGATACCTCAAAACGACGTTCTCAGTGAACTTATAAGCACAGCCATGGCTAGTATGCCCTCAATTTTATCTCTGACCTACACTTGGGGAATCCTGTTTTTGGTATATGCTATTGCTCTGAATCAAATATTTGGGTTGACAAAATTGGGTCCAAATACAACAGGAAATTTAAACTTTAGAACTGTTGTCAAGAGCTTGATTGTTTTGTTTCGCTGCAGTTTTGGAGAAGGGTGGAATTACATTATGGATGATATAACGGTTACCGAACCATTCTGCTATGTCGATGAGTCAACGGGTCATTCAGATTGCGGATCAAAGCCATACGCATACGTTTTACTGATGTCTTGGAACATTTTGTCCATGTACATCTTTTTGAATATGTTCGTGTCTCTTGTTTTGGAGAGCTTCAGTTATTTATACCATTCAGGGTCAGGTTCCAAAGCTGTGGCCAGTAGGGATGAAATAAGGCGATTCAAAAACGCGTGGAAAAAGTTCGATCCTGATGGCGTGGGAGAGATAGAACACAGCCAACTGCCACGTCTCATGCACTCTTTTGATGGAAAATTGTCCTTCAAAGTATGGGAAGGCAGGCTGTCCGTCAAGAATTTGGTCGCCAACTACATGACGGTGAACCCGCTTGATGCTTACGATGTGAAAGTCGACCTGGTGGGGCTAAACGAGGAGTTACAAAGCATCGATCGCGCCAAGATTATGGAACGAAAGCAGCAGTACCGCAGATTTGTTCAGGAAGCTCACTACTTAAGTGCATTCAAGAACGGAATTACCTTCAGCAAAATTATCCAGCAGATTCCGCTATATACAGCGTACTCTCCCCAGGAATGCCTGGGAATCGATGATTATGTGAAAAGGCTTTATGTTATGGGAAAAGTCGACAAATTTCTAGATAACGAGAGGAATGTTGAAGTTTTAGAGATGGTGGTCACCAGATGGAAATATTTGAGCGAGTGTCGGAGCTTCCGGAGCCGGCCAACACGGCCAAGGCCCAAATATGCGTCCAATTTGTCTAGCACGGAATTGGACCCGCCAGACACACCGGGCTTAGACGTGGGCATAAATAATTTCAGCTGGTCGCCCAGACAAGTGCACCAAAACCGCTCTGGCAGCTTCGATTTGTATTGGGGAAGCACTGGCTCCCACTCTAGTCAATGAATATGGGGCTTTTCGGCTGAGCATTCGAGAAGCGTGAGTGTCCCTGCGACATAAATGATAGAAATTTGCCATGCCCTACAGAAAGGTTTGTCGCCCAGAAGTATAAAACTTTAAGCCGTAGTGCATGTCAAATGCCAAGAAAAGTATGGAAGTGTTCAACGCTTAGAATCCCAAAAATAAACGTGATAAATCGAACATAAAACAACACCACTCACCTAATGAAATATATCAATGCAATGCGACAGAGGAACTGGGCGGAAAGTTCGAAAGCAGTCGACGCTGACACCAAACCTGTTCGTCATATCTATTCACGTACATAGTGATATATTTTAAGAACGCAATTTCCTGGCAATTTTCGATACCGTTGAACCTTCAAGATATTCAATAGTTTTCGGTCCCGTAATCATGCTCACATTGCCCAATCTTCGGGCCTTCAAATAGTCTACATTCGTTAATTTATAGTCATTATTTTCAGTATCGGACACTTTCATCACATGACCTTCAAATAGGGTTCAATTCTGCCCGCTCAAAATTTTTCTTCTATATTATATCTCCTAAACTTATAAAACCTACAACTTGAACAGCTGCAAAAACTGACATTTATTGGCCCAAAAGGCGAATCAAAAGACCTCAAAATTGTCAATTAACTGGTTGTTTTAACAACACAAGACTCGTTAACTGCTTTCAAAACATTGTCTGTTCCTTTCCCTCTTTTCCTGTGTTTCTGTTTTTCGATTTCCCTTTACTACTAGGAAGGACGACACGTTGTAATTAAGAGAAAGACCCGCTCTGTCAAAACACATATACGACGAAAATGGAGTCGATTTTGGACTTTTCGCGAGATCTTGATATCAACGCTTTGGACCAGGTGGTGGACACGTTGTACAAGGGATCAGGAGCCCAGCAAAAACAAGCACAAGAAGTGTTGACGAAATTGAAGGACCATCCGGATTCATGGCAAAGAGCTGACCAGATACTGCAGTTTTCGCAGAATCCGCAAACCAAGTTTATTGGGCTGTCTATTTTGGACAAGCTCATCACGACGAAATGGAAAATGCTTCCTCCAGAACACCGGATCGGAATCCGTAATTTCATCGTTGGAATGATCATCTCGCTGTGCCAGGACGACACGGTTTTCCAAACGCAGAAAAATCTCATTAACAAATCGGATTTGACCCTGGTTCAGATCTTGAAGCAGGAATGGCCACAAAACTGGCCTGACTTTATCCCAGAGCTGGTGCAAAGCGCTCAATCGTCTGTCAACGTGTGCGAAAACAACATGGTAATTCTCAAACTGCTCTCGGAAGAGGTCTTTGATTTCTCGGCCGAGCAGATGACCCAGGCCAAGGCCCTGCATCTCAAGACATCCATGTCCAAAGAGTTCGAGCAGATTTTCAAACTCTGCTTCCAGGTCATGGACGCTGGGTCCACCACTTCGCTTGTGGTTGCTGCATTGGAATCGTTGCTAAGATACCTGCATTGGATTCCTTACCATTACATTTATAACTCCAACCTCTTGGAATTGCTCAGTACTAAGTTTTTGATGTCCTCTGAAACAAGGGCAGTCACAATCAAGTGTCTGACCGAAGTGTCTAATTTGGATATTCCAGAAAATGACATCAAAATTGCGGAACAAACAGTCCTTTACTTTCAAAACACGCTGCAACAAGTCTCAGAGAACGTCATACCTGTTTCTGCAGACCTGAAAGCCACTTATGCCACCGCGAACAGCAGAGATCAGTCCTTCTTGCAGGATTTTGCAATGCTTTTGACCACCTATCTAGCGCGTCACCGTGCTTTGCTAGATAGTGACGAGAGGTTGAGGGAATTGCTACTAACCGCTCACCAATATTTGATCCAATTATCGAAAATCGACGAAAGAGAGCTTTTCAAAACGACCCTCGACTACTGGCACCATTTGGTCGCTAGTCTGTTCCAAGAGGTTCAAAGACTTCCAGTCGCCGAGCTAAATCCACTTCTTCAGCTTTCGGTCGGATCCCAGGTCATCAGTTCTTCTGGTGGTGCGCCAAACCCCGAGTTTCTAAAAAGATTCCCACTTAAAAAACACATTTATGATGGGATCTGCTCTCAGCTAAGATGGGTCGTAATCGAATCTATGGTGAGGCCCGAGGAAGTTCTCGTTGTAGAAAATGATGAAGGTGAGATCGTTAGAGAGTTTGTGAAAGAATCCGACACAATTCAACTTTACAAGTCTGAGAGAGAAGTTTTGGTTTATTTAACGCATTTGGATGTTGTCGACACCGAGGATATTATGATTAACAAATTAGCCAGACAAATCGATGGCTCTGAGTGGTCATGGCACAACATTAACACTTTGTGCTGGGCAATTGGCTCGATTTCCGGAACAATGGGCGAAGAAACAGAGAAACGATTCGTTGTGACTGTCATCAAGGATTTGTTAGCCCTCACTGAGAAAAAACGTGGTAAAGATAACAAAGCAGTGGTAGCCTCAAACATTATGTACGTGGTTGGCCAGTATCCACGTTTTTTGAAGGCGCACTGGAAGTTCCTGAAGACAGTCATCGTCAAATTATTTGAGTTCATGCACGAAACTCATGAAGGTGTTCAAGATATGGCATGTGATACTTTCATTAAGATCGTTCGCAAATGCAAGCACCATTTTGTTGTCCAACAACCAAATGAACCCGAGCCGTTCATTCAGACCATCATCAGACAAATTCAAAGCACAACTGCAGATCTTCAGCCTCAGCAGGTTCACACCTTTTACAAAGCGTGCGGTACAATCATATCTGATGAAAGAAATGTCGGAGAGAGAGAACGTTTGCTTGGCGAATTAATGCAGTTGCCTAACATGGCATGGGATGCCATCGTTGAGCAGTCTTCAGCTAATCCTGACCTATTGCTGGATAGTGAAACGGTAAAAATTATCGCCAACATCTTGAAAACCAACGTAGCCGTTTGTTCCACAATGGGAGCTGAATTTTATCCACAACTGGGGCACATTTATTACAACATGCTCCAGCTTTATAGAGCAGTCTCTTCCATGATTTCTGCCCAGGTTTCCAGTGAAGGGCTTATTGCAACAAAAACTCCAAAGGTACGCGGTCTAAGAACGATAAAGAAGGAAGTTTTGAAGCTTGTCGAATTTTACATCTCACATGCAAAGAATCTTGACGATGTTGTCAAAGTTTTGGTAGAGCCCTTACTAAATGCCGTTTTAGAGGACTACATGAACAATGTACCAGATGCCAGAGATGCCGAGGTGCTGAACTGCATGACCACCGTTGTTCACAAAGTGGGGCATATGATGCCAAACGGTGTCATTCTAATTTTACAAAGTGTATTCGAGTGCACTTTGGATATGATTAATAAGGATTTTACAGAATATCCCGAGCACCGCGTTGAATTTTACAGACTTTTGAAAGAGATTAACAGCAGATCTTTCAATGCTTTATTAGAACTTCCCCCTGCTGCATTTAAGTTATTTGTGGATGCAATTTGTTGGGCATTTAAACATAACAACAGAGACGTCGAGGTCAATGGTTTGCAACTTGCCCTTGACTTGATCAAAAACATCGAAAGCTTAGGTGCTACGCCGTTTGCAAATGCCTTTTACGAGAACTTTTATTGCACATTCATCAGCGAGACATTCTACGTTCTCACGGACTCGGATCACAAATCTGGGTTCTCTAAACAGTCTCTGCTTCTAATGAGACTAATATCCATGATTGAAGAAAACAAGATAGGAGTTCCGCTATATCAACCGGGCGATGTTCCTGAAGGTACGACCAACCAGCTCTATCTTGCAAATTACCTGGCAGGCATGCTAAGCAGCGCTTTCCCTCATTTAAGCCAAGAACAGGTCACTGGGTTTATTAGCGCTTTGATCAAGCAATACCAGGATTCATCGAAGTTTGCAGCGACACTCAGAGATTTCCTAGTACAGATAAAAGAATTTGGCGGTGACCCTACGGATTATTTGTTTGCTGAAGATAAAGAACAAGCCCTCCAGGAAAAGACAAGAGTGGAAAAGGAAAGAGCAGCCGCTGTTGGTGGTTTATTGAAGCCATCTGAGCTCGATGATTAAGGAATGGCATAGGCATGTAAAGGGAATAGTTGTCTACGGATTAGTATTGCACATGCACTTAGTAGTATTCGGAAAACAACTTCAGATTTAGTTGCACACGTTGGTGGTATCTGTTAGAAGCTCTAGTGTGAAAGTCACGGCGTATGTGATTATGACTTCTAAAAAACAATGCTACACTTATTTACAGGATTATGTATCATGAGGACTTTAAAATTTTGGAGCCTTTTTAATAGCATCCTGAATTCTAACGTAGGATCCATTAGGACCCGCTACCGAGCCTTTCACTATAACAACACGGTTCTCGTCATCAACCTTTAAAACTTGAGAGTTCTGGATTGTTACCTGTTCAGCACCCATGTGTCCCGGCATTTTCTTACCAGGCAGAACACGACCGGGCGTCTGGTTCTGACCATAGGAACCACCGTGTCTGTGAGATACAGACACACCATGGGAAGCCTTGAGACCTTTGAAGTTGTAACGTTTCATGACACCGACAAAACCTTTGCCTTTACTTATGGATCTCAGATCCACATATTGACCTTCTTGGAAGAAAGAGGGCTTTATAACGGTCCCCGGTGGTAAAAGGCCAGATTCGGTCTTTACACGAAACTCCACGACTTTTTCCTTAGGATTGACGATCTTGGAGGCAAAGTGACCCAGCATTTGCCTTGACACCTTGTCGGGGCGTTTGTCACCGAATCCGACTTGGCACGCAAAATATCCGTTGTCCTGAACTGTTCTGTTCATAAGAACTTCGACATTACTGAGCTCTAGAACTGTTGCAGCGACTCTTTTTCCGGTGGCTTCGTCAAAAACTGGAATCATACCTCTTTTCACTGTAATTGCACCGCATCTTTCGGGCAGTCTTCTTCTCAATTGTGCTTGTTCCGGGCAGTGGTTGATAACAGGAGTGCTGCTTGGAATTGTAGATATTATAGATGGAGCTGTCAGCGACGCTCTAGAAGACGCAAATCTCGTCTGAAACCTAAATAAATTTGTTATCAGAGAGTTCATGGCAGATTCTATATTTGATGATTCCTAGATCAACAGAATCGCCGAACTTGGATACGATCTGTAGAGATTTAATTCTATTTAAAAGTGTAGACATCATCTCAATAATTCTGAATATCGTCAATTTCCCAAAATTTTCTTGAAGGTTCCGTATATAACGAGCATGTCGGCGACGCTTTATTCAAAAGTGATATTTAAGAAGCGAGTAGGTTTGGTCTTTGAGTGAGTTGACGGACGGCAGAGACGTCTTGTTAGCTTTCTCAAGCCTCTCCTTTGTACCAGCGTATTGCGTTTACTCAAATATTCGTGTCAGAAAAAATTTTAATCGATCCGATATTTCTATGTACAGTAGGTTTATGCTGGGCAGGACTATTTGATCTTTTTGTCCTTCAAAGTTATTTTCTCGTCGTTGATGTAGATTCCCTTACCCTTGTAAGGCTCAGGAGGATGGAATTTCCGCAAGTTTGCGGCGAATAAGTAGACTTGTTGCTTGTTGCAGCCTTCGATGATCAAAGACGTGGGGGTTGGGGACGTAACTTTGATGCCTTCGGGCACCGGAAGACCCTGTAAGATGGAGGCCCCGACCTTCAGACTGACAAATTTGCCTTCTTGCTGAAGCTGCGCACGGTAACCTGTTCCCACGAATTTCAAAACAGCCATGTGGCCCTCGTTGACACCAACCACATGGTTATTCAGATGACTTCTGACAGTGCCCCATAGCGCTTTCTGCATTTTGTCGCTCTCGTTTTGCACCGAGACCGAGATCTTGCCGTTTTCGAAGTCTTCATTAATTGTTACGAATTCTGGGACTTGCATTGAAAGGGTGCCCCTGGGGCCCGTCACAGAGACGATTTGCGAGAGCGTCAGCGATTTGTTCCCTTTTCTGATAACATGGGCCGGTTTCAACTCAGAAATTTCGCATTTGGTATCTCGTGTGGTATATACAGGTAGAGATCCAATGTGTGAAAGCACGGTTCCAGACCCGCTAAAATGCCGCCTGCAACCAAACGAAGTGATTCCACGACGATAAAGAACACTCATTAATGGCAGAGAGTCGAAATGATACAGTTGGGAGGTGAACAGGGCGCTCAATCGTCTGTTATTAGAACAATCTTGAAGATGTTCTAGAGACTAGATATTCTTCAATTGTGGAAATTTTTGACTATATAAATAAGTCATTGTGTACGGGATGTAACGTTATAGGCCAGTGAATATTAGAGCTCAATCCAAAGTCGACTAACGAGACAAGACACCTTGGAATCTCCTGATACAATCTTTGGTTGTCTCTTTTGTTTGTTCTTGATCTTTTTTTAAAGTTGGGTGTTTGAATGGACCAAAATCGCAATACAATGGGTACAATAAAATGTCTATTTTACTTTTATTGTTTCCCTGTCATTGTGACAAGAACAGAGCGTTATAACTAGCCAGTAGCTTTGATCAGGTATTCTATCAAGCTTTTTTAGTGCAATCGACCTTTTGTTGGCCATCACGGTCTAACAGAGTGCTGGATGAGGTATCCCAAAAGTTTGTATTTTTTGAGCAGTTTAAATACAGTCCATTCAAGCCGAGCCTAAACCTTTACGCTCGAAGTACTCAAACTGTCACGAATCGTTGTGTGCAAAATGGTACTTTCGACCTTCTCAGCCTTTTTCTACCCACATCTCTAGTCCCACCGCCAGTCGAGCTTTTCGGCGTCCTCTAGTCGCTTGATAACTCGATACGAAGAGAATTTTTTAATTGCCAGCTACAATAATCAATCTCATCTCATCTCATCTCATCTCATCGCTAGTCAATTGAACACACCAGCTCCATCAACATAACGAAACACACTTGTTGGAACCCATATCGCTATCAAAATGGTTCGTAAACTAAAGCATCATGAGCAGAAACTTCTCAAGAAGGTCGACTTCCTGGACTGGAAACAGGACCAAGGCCATAGAGATACCCAGGTAATGCGGACATACCACATTCAAAACAGAGAAGACTATCATAAGTACAACAGACTATGTGGTGACGTTCGTCGCCTTGCTCACAAACTCTCGCTCCTGCCACCCACAGACGCATACAGAAGCAAGCACGAACAGCTGCTACTGGAAAAACTATACGCAATGGGAATTCTAACAACCAAATCGAAAATTTCAGATCTCGAAAATAAAGTTACCGTGAGCGCCATATGCAGAAGGCGCCTGCCCGTTATTATGCATCGGTTGAAAATGGCAGAAACCATTTCAGATGCCGTCAAATTCATAGAACAAGGGCATGTCAGAGTCGGTCCAAATCTCATCACTGATCCTGCCTTTCTAGTCACACGTAACCTTGAGGACTACGTTACCTGGGTGGATAGCTCTAAGATCAAGAAGACCATTCTCAGGTATAGAAACCAAATCGATGACTTTGACTTTGCATAGATGGCGGAAACAAAGTTTTCAGCCCTCGGGACATATATTTTGGATAAATGTATTAATACAATGCTGTAATGCTTACAATATGTACACTATTTTGATTGAATAATAATCATTTGACACTTGGCCAAAAGCCTCAATCGTAAAAACAAACTCCTAATTTCCTAATGTTATGAGGTGGGGGTTTCCATAGAGTCGAATGTGTTCAAAAGGTCCTTTTCATGACGTATTGTAATTATCCGACGAGCCCAGTTGTTTTCTCAGCTCCTCATGAGATCCGCTGTGTGGTAAAATGCCGCCTACACGAGGGGGTGGAAAAGTGTCATGGTCATCCAGTATACCACTTACTCTTTGATGCGCTAATTGCGATTGATACTGCTGGAATGTGTGCTGCGAAGTCATGCTATTGTTTCTGGAATTTGCAGCACTGATGTTTCTGAACGAACCGGCAGGCTTGTGCATTTTTGGGAACGCTAGCTCGGCTGGGTTAGTCATTACTACACTTTGTCTTAAGTGATGTGGCAAAATTGGGTTTTGACCCGTGCTCTGCGGGGTGGTCCCCGATGGCGAAATGTTGCTTCCTGACATTTGGTTGTAGAAGTATTCCGGATGGTCAATGGGGTTAAGTGACGTACCGTTGATACTCGACGCCTGAAGCTGCAAATTTGATTTTCCAGCCTTTTTATATGAGGTAAGAGAAGTTGTGGACGAGAGAAATGGAAGATTCGATGGATTGGGTAGTTCTTCGATGTTTTCTAAAACTTGGGGATGGTAGTACTGCTGGGGGCCGGATCCCATCTCAGAGTAAGCATAAGCTGATTCTGGAACGCCAGCATAATGCTGTTGATAATTAGGTTGATATTCGGGTTGGTACTGAGGCTGTTGGACGTAGTGTTCCTCCTGGTAATGTTGTTGCCCACCATGGTATTCTGGCTGTGCCGATTGAGGAGGAAACGTGGGTAGTTCTGAGTATATAGAGGAAACTGCCCTTCTGTCTGCACGGTCTTCGTCATCAGTACGAGGCAACTGTAGTGCATTTTGATTTTCAGTTGTGGGAATCTCATTGTGTGACTGCTGTGCATTCAGACCATTTTGCAGATCTGTGGCGTGGCCAATGGTCAATGGTGCTTCCTGTGGGAGGGATCGGGTCGTGACAAAGGCATTGCTCTGAGGCTCGGTGTCAGTAGCTTCTCCATGTTTTGATGGTCTCACCGTCCTTACAGTTCCGTTTCGGTCCAGGTAAACCTCGTAAATGCTTTTCATTCTCTTGATGTTCTCCTCTTCTTTAGAGCTTAAATATAATTCTTCTGAGTCATCCTTTCCGGTATACCTCACCTCATTAATTTCCTGTATCTCACGAGAAGCGTCGACAAAGCTTTCAGACGATCTGCTTTCACTGTTACTTTTCTCAGGGTCTAAGCCAATCGCACTGGTAATGAACCCCTGTTTAACTTCGCCTGGGGCTCGTTTTATTGGACTGTCTTCCATCTCAGAGGTTGAGTCACCATTTACAACACTTGACTGTGTCGATAAGTTGTCATCGTTTGCAGCCCAGTTAGAAGCTGATTCCACAGAGATCATGTTGCTGCTAGTAAAAGAGCTACTCTTACCATTACGAGCCAAAATTTGTGGTCTCTGAAATATTCTGTCTGACCGCACAAGAGACACTTCGCTAACGCTGCGAGACGCAAGCTTGTAAGCGTCCAACTCATGATTATTCACAGAGCGAGCAAATGACCGAAGTTCCTCAGCATCGTCGCCTCGTGGCAGTTGGAATGGGTTCAATGGGAAATGAGACTTGTTAGGAGTGCACGCATGGGATGGTGTCGCATGGCTTTGGCTTTTTAACTCAAGATCTTCGAAATTGCTGTCCGTGAACGTTCCCGGTGCGCTAAGTTCCCTAAATTTCATGTTTTGCTCATCTGACGGGAGATATTCGCCATCTCCATCAAAATCTGGATCATTATCCTCACTTGCCTCCTTTTTCCCGCGTTTCCACACTTTGTAGAGGACGAATGCTAAAACCAAGCACACTACAAACACTGGTACAACCACAGCGATGGCCACCGCGTATGATTGGGAGTCGTCAGTTGGTTTGGTACAAGACGAACCATTACATTTAGATGTTGAAGAGCCAGACGAGGTGGACTTGGATGATGAGCTTTGGGACTTGGTGGTGGAATCCGCTCTTGGCAGTAGCAGTCGACTAGGTGGCTGGGCCCCACTGCCAACAACGTCCATGGGAACACTCATCATTTAATTCCCTTGCTTGGTGGGATTTTGGGATAGGTCAAGTTACTGTAGTCGTTTTGTTTTTATTTGCCGGTCGCTCCGAAGCTGGCGCGATTTGAACGGATGAGAACGCCAGAAGTGATCGGTGCCAAATCTTTTTATTTTTGGTATTTTTTTTCCCGACTCTTCACCTGGAAACGGAAATCGCAGACGGGTAGTGAACAGCTCGTGCGTACACCTGGTGAGCGCAATGGTTTGTCAGATTTCGCTTTTTTTTCTTTACAGCGGCGAGCCAACGCGAAAATGATTTCCTACTGGGGTAAAAGTGCGGCATGTATTGTCAGCAAACAGACAGAAGAGACAACGCGTTAACGTTCTCTTCTAGTAAGCAATGGCTCACGCGAAAGACGGCTGTGTCTAGGAAACGCCAACAATGTGGAACTGATCTTAAAGTAGTTGCAGCTGAACCGACCAAGAAAGGTTATAGAAGGACTACATAGCGGACTTTGACTGAGCAGACGAGCGAGACGAACAGGCCGTCACTACAACAGCAGAAGAAGAATATCGGATTTAGCGCTCCTGCTTTCGACATCGCTTTCGACATCGCTTTGGAGCCAAGGTGACGCAAAATGATGCCCTGCTCATCTGGAGATCACTCGTTGACTGCCAGGTTATATGGTGATGTTTAAACATGAGTTAAGAAGACGAAGTTGACAAAAATGACAGAAAAAAAAAGGTATCACGACAAGTGCCGTATTTACATGCAATTTGCTCCAAAAAAAGTCTTGCCGATGGCCTCATCGTGCCAAGTTTTGGATGTAAACAAAAAGATCACTCATTTACTTTTCTTACAGAAAAATATCCGAGAAAAGGGTTCCAAAAAATAATCAGTACTGAACCCCGCACCTGGCCAAGACAACACCCGGATGGTTCTGGTAAAAGGCAAGAACCATGTTCGTTATAGGTTAGACGCTGTACCAAAGGTACAACGCTCTAGTCTGATGTTGATCTTGCCGTTAAATAGATGACGAGGCAGACTTTGGTTTTTTAAGAAGATAAGTTCAAGAAGCGCCAGGGTCAAAATCATGGCTCTTTATATACAAAAAATTTCCAGAGGCGGGGTAACACTAGCAATTTATTAGCTCGAGATTTATATAATTGTAGTAATTAGAATAGAGCTTAGAGATGAGCTGCAAAAGAAGACAAAGTTCAAGAGCGCTTAGTTATCTTTGTATCTTCATGAGCTCCGGACCAGCTGTTAGAAATGTCCTTGGCCGTTTAAAAAGGGCTGGACAGTCGGTAGGATCTCTTCCTGCTCTTTCAGACGGGATAATTGCTGGTGGGCACACTGGTGCCGCCCAAAATATGGACGCGGGAAAGTACTCCAGATCGAATATCTTGGACTTCAAATCGTACAATCCAAGCTTAACTAAATCAGATTTTTCAGGACTGCTACCCCAGTCTAGGTACTCTGCTGCTGGAATAGCTGAGAGCGCTAGGGATTTTGATGTGCTGAAGGTCCGAGACCCCAGGTATTTCCAGTTCAAGGACAAATATCAGCTTATCTTCGCCAACCATAAAAGTATGCGCGAATTCTCCCGAAACGTGGCGTACAGTCGAATTGAGGGCGCTAAGGCTGTTTTCACTCCCAACAGCTTGCGTCATCCGGAAACTCGGTACGCAAAATACGTCAGCAATCTCGAGGCAGCATTTGAATCCAGCAGTCGGTACTTTGAGCTTTTAAGGTCGGAAGATGAGAAATCCAAGGTCCTGAAGACCTCTCTGGAAATTTCTCTAGAGACTCTGCGGCAAGCAGCACAACCTATGGAGGCCAAATCGTTGTTGGTTTGGAATTTTCCTGCAGATATGCCGCCATACGTGATCGTTGATCGATTTTGGCTTTATGATATCAAGCACTGTTTCAAACTTTATTGGGACGCAGCGACAGGAAGGACCCTGACGTTCATGGCCTTCAACACAGAGGAAGACTGTGTCAAATTTAGCCGCAATTTTCATGGCGTTTTTTCCGTGAAAACGACGATTGTAAGCTCCTGGTAGAGCTTCTGACCTGAACTGATGTGGTGGCAACAAATTCGAGGCCCGAAAAATAAAAAAAATATTGGCGTTAATTGGTTTTTACTTGTATCCTATACATCACAGTTTTCGCCAGCTCTCCCTTATAATCTCCCACTCTTTTTTCTGCTGCGTCGCTGGCGATGATTGCAAAGTTTCGCTCACAGTGTATGTCCTGGGTTCTTTTTCTAGAAGTGCGTATTTTTCCCATATACCGCTATCTCTCCACACCAAGATCAAAGAGTCATCATCGCCGTCGTGGCACCAGCCTACTTTACACCGGTCGTTATAGAATTCTTGATCGTTCATGGTGCCCTTTCCCTTAAGAGCAGAGTGCAGATGTAAAGAGCACATTGCCCAAACAGATGAGAGATACTTGGGCTTCCAGAGCAAGGGTATATCTTTCAGAACATGTGTTTTGTTTTTCGTGTCGCTGTCATCATCGGTAATTTGGAAAACATGCAATGTCTGTTTGTCGCTAACGACTGCCAGACGAGAGCTTTGCGAGCTCCAAGCCATTTCGTACAGATCTGCGCGGTTTAGGCCTCTTCTGAATTCGCTGATTAAAGAGCCATTTTGAGTACTGAAAACCCTAATTAGGGTCCCTTGCATCGAGCAAGTAGCAACCATGGCGCCGTTAGGGCTTATTTTGATAAGCCTTATAGGGCTATTGTGTGCTTTTATTATGGAAGTTGGCAATTGCGCAGCACTGGCCTCCTGTGCCTCGCTGGACTGCAGATGCGACAAATCTGCCAATTGGACCTGCCCCGGGTTTCTAGCGGAGGGAAACGCTAGGATTCCGCGCGTAATCGTAAGGGGAACATTGGGCTCCGAAGCTGACCCCCTCCGTGTCACACGTTGACAGACAACAAAATCTGCAGCAGCCCCTGCGCATGTATCGAGCGGCGCTAAGAGTCGCTTGGGACTCGCACCAAACTCGAATATTTCCAGCGAATTTTCCAAAACCACGACAATGTGTATACGTGACAGAAAAACACACTTTACGGTAGACATGAAGCTCAGCGTAAGGGACTCACGTTGCTGCAGATCATCCCAGATTACCAATTTGTTGGGGGGAACCTTTGGTTTTCTACCACCGCCAACAAGCGCCACATAGTTTGTGCGGTAGAGCATTCGCGTTAGCGCTATTCCACATGCATTTGGGTTACTGAACTCTTTCGAAAGCTTGCATTCAAGAGGATCTACATTGAACACCATGAACCCGTTTTGCGTCGAACAACTGAAGCAGGTGTAGTCTTGGTTAAAGTCCACATTGAGGAACTTTCCTGTTCGACTAGAACTGCTTTCTACAATGGCATTGCGAGTGTTCATGGCAGATCTATTCGGCGATCTGAAAGTGCGTTGTAGTCTTCCCAGCTTTGTTAATGAGCCATCATAAGCAAATCCAATTTCATACAGGACAGCATAATCACGTGATACTATCGACAACGCGACAGACTCGGTGCGATGAGCGGGGCTGTTGAGCAGTGTTGGCGTGGATAATGTGAATCAGGGCGGTGTAATTTTATCGTAGGAAATCTGGTGATTGGTGCTTGGTGATTGGTGTTTGGTATTTCTCCACTGCTGTCATCGTTGGAAATCTTTTGACTTTGATTTTAAGAGTGAGAGTGTGAGAGTGGCTTATATGTGGAGACACGTCGTGTTTTGTCTTTATCCGAAATTGCGACTTCTCAGCCTAATTGGAGCGGGAATTGACGCAGGATAGTCATGTGGAAAACAAATAGGCCAATGAATTGTGAGGGCTCGAGAGTAGAAGTCAATAATCAGCAAAACTGCGGCCAAGGATTCAAAAATACAGGCTGTTGATAAGGTCATTTGGCAAGCTGCGGGCTGCTCTTTTTTACACTTGGTTTTGGTAAACCTTTTGTTGAATGCAGATTGTTCAATTCTCGAGTTTTTGGGGTGACGAGAGCCTGTTTGCTGGCTAGATGTGCATACGTTCTGATCGAAAGCTCGATGCTCTGATTTATTTTGATGCGACATGTTGTCGAAATTTATCGACTACGCATATGAACGATGAAAGCCTGGAATCTTGAGGTCTTGAGCATACTAAAATCCGCCTTTAACCTAGGCAAGTATGAAACTCGCTTACATTATTTTGAGAGGTCAGCAAAGTGACGAAAAGTATATGATATCTGCTAATAGCTGCCGGGTCTAACTGATACTAATAAATGAGCAGTTAACAATCAAGAGGCAATTTAAGATTTATTTCTATAACAACAGATGGTGTCTCTTTTATGATATGCATAACCAGAAAGCATCAAAAACAGACTTGAAAAGTGGCAGATCAAGGGCACATTCTTGCCATTTGATAATATCGTTGACGTTTTCCAAGACCAATAACCTACGCGCAAAAAAAGTGTCAGAAACTTGCTTCCAATTTCCAAGAGCCATGTTCTGGTCGCTGATGATCTTGTTTAAATGTTCTCACGAGTTTCGTGGTGGCTATTTGACGGTCAACGCCCCACTTCTGTTCATTTGTCCATGCGTCAGTCGCTGCGTCACGTGCCAGAACGACAGTATAATTTAATGTGACGACATTGCAAGCAAATGTCGTCTGGCTGTCATCGTGGAGTGCGCAGCTCTAGCATTACATTATGTGCATACTGGATGTCTTCAAACCTGGCAGGGTAGTGATGAAAGATGAAATTGACCGATTCTTCTGGCATTTGCATACAAAATATATCTCTAGCACCTTAACAAAACCAGTTATTGAGCTGGATTTGGCGAGAGATGAGAGAATACTACGTTTATCTCCGACAAACTAAGCTGCACTTCACACCCACGCTCGTCTCACCACTTTTACCATCGAATTGAAAAAATCAACCATTCATATTTTTTTACTCCGCTAATGGCAACCCGCAATCCAAATGCTTCCCCAAAACCGTTCGTCCTCTCAAATTAACCACAACAATGAATAACTTTCTCAGCCGTGAAACTCCCTTCCATCACCAGAATGCATCGTACCAACCCAAGAAAAGAACCACAGAACAAACTCGCAAACGACGTCTTTCTCAGATCTGAAAACTCTAAATCAAATTCACAGTAAATACCCATACCTAGCAATTAATTTCAATCTAAACCTACAATAAACACCAATTTTTCTACTCAAAATACCCACAAATTTCTACAAATTTCTACTCAAATAAAACCCACAATTTCAAAATTTACACATCATTTTCAACCTTGCCATTCTTATTTCTCAAATTATAAACACTTTCACTCTTACACTTATTCCCTCTCTTTCTCTCTCTCTCTCTTTCTCATATACTCGTCTATTCCAACATTAACGGCGGAGAATTTATGAAGGCCCCACACACGTGCGGTTTAAAGGTCAATATATATAACTTTAAAAATACAGCGTTTCGTGAATTTCAGTATAGAGATGGGTAAGGTTCACATCGAGGTAAGCTGTAACAAGTACACAGAAAAGCTGTGAATTAGCTGGTATAGCCCTGAAACTGGCAGAAGAAGCCGGTTTTAAAGCTTAAAAAACTGTAGGAACGGCGAACAGGGATTTTGTAGCGTTCCAACGAGCTTTTTACGATGAAATTTGGTAAAGATTTGGAGTCCCGTCAGCTAGCGTTGCCAGAGTATAATGGCCATTTTATCGACTACAAGGGTTTGAAAAAACTGATTAAACATCTGTCGGGTCCGCCACTGCCGCCCACGGTGGAGGGCGCCGAAATGGACCAGTCTAACGTGTACCAGGTGCTGCAGGAACACAAGGCGTCGTTCTTCTTTAAGGTCGAGCGCGAGCTAGAAAAAGTCAACGGGTACTATCTCGAAAAAGAGGCCGATTTGCGCGTGAAATTCGAGCTTTTGAGTTCGCGCTACCAGGACTGTGTCAAACGCGGGAAACTGTCGTCCAAGACCACGGTTGCTTACAAGCAGCTACGTGACGGTGCCAAAAAATTCGAACGCGATCTTTCGCATCTGGAGCAGTTTGTAGAGCTTAACCGCACCGGGTTCTCTAAAGTACTCAAAAAATGGGACAAACGATCCCATTCACACACTAAAGACTTTTATCTGGCAACCGTGGTGTCTGTGCAACCGATTTTCACACGCAACGAGGCTTCGGACCTCAACGATCAGGTTTCCGCGGTTTTACTGGAACTCAACGCCATCAGCACCCAAGAGGATCCTCTCGCGTACTCGGCACTCTTCGCGTCGCGCTCATACCCGAAACTCTCGGACCTGGGGGTCACCAGCTCCGCCTCTCGCATTTCCTCTACTAATCCGCTTCCAGTGCCCAACACCGGAAGCATGAAAACAGGTTTCCGAGCAGAAACTCTTGACATCAGCTTGGATATCGAGACCTGGTACTTGGAAGCACAAAACATCGCCAAGTTGAAAGACGAAGAACCGCGCGTGCGACTCCTGCGCAAATGTGCTGCTGAAAAAATACCGAAGTTCATTGAAGAAAACGTACCGAGAAGCCGTATTGACAAGGACTTGATCCTCAGAGATGCACTGACAAAGGTTTTCCTGCTGCTTGTCAGTAGCTCAATCGATGATGATTCACTAAGCGTATTTTTAAAGGCTGCTGCTCCCCACATTGACTTTTCTTACGCTGAAGAAGACGAAGCTGTCTTTTCAAAGCGAAACATCCTTCATGAGGCAGCCAGCTGCGAAGTGCATGCTAGAAAGTTCGTGCTTCAAGAAGCAATCGAACAATGCCGCGATTCAATCTTACCCCAAGAAGTTCTACGCAAACTGCTAAATTCTCAAGATGCCAACGGTCGTACTCCTTTGCATTACGCTTGTGAACTGGAAAAAAAGGAGTTCGTTGAACTGTTGATCAACTCTCTGTTGCTGGACACGGTGGACGTGGTCGACAATGACTCTAAGACTCCATTGGTCCTTGCAGTGAGTAGAAACTGCAATGAGATAACAGAACTTTTGTTATTAAACACTCACGCCGACTCGTCATCAATAGTAGCGGACTCTAAAAAGCCTCAATTCAATCCGCTCAATGTGGCATGTGCTTATAAAAACTATGAAGCTGCAAAACTGATTCTCAAGCTCAGTAACGTCGATCCTACAGCCGTGCGCGATACACAAGGCCGGTGTTCCTTACACATTGTTGCGAAAACTGGTGGAGATTCTCGAATGATAGAACTATTGATTTCTCACGGCGCAGATCCCAATGGTGTTGATGGCTTCAACGGATGGACCCCCATCTTTTATGCAATCCAGGAAGGTCACCGCGAGACCGTGGCAGAACTGTTAGGATATGGCGCTCGCCTTGACGTCAAGGATGATGATAATCTCTCGCCCTACTTCTACGCTCTTTGGGAAGGTCACCTAAGTGTTATCAACCTTCTTAAAGACCATCTTATCTCTAATCTCGCCACTCCGGATTCAATTACCGGCCTCATGAGGTCGACACTGGAGCCGGTCGATGTTTTAAGCCTGGAAGATTCTTTACATGGAATTCCGGACTTTGCTTTGCCGCCTCCTATCATCCCGTTACGCAAGTATGGCCATAACTTTTTGGAGAGGAAGATTTTTGTCAAAATAAGTTTCCTCCCAGGTACATCTTCCATCGTGCTTAACAAAGAAGATGAAATGGTTTTGTCATCCCCCGGCCGCGTGACGCTCACTTCAAACATCTCCAACATAATTCCCAGGAACATCGTTTTACCGACCAAGGACGACGAAGAGAACTTTGTTGTATTCCAAGTTGATTCTTTTGACAAGTTCTCGATCGACTTCGAAATTTTCCCCTCCTTTGGTACTCGTATGATTGCCAAGACCACTGCTCTCTCAACCTTATTCAAGAAATTTCAAAGCAGTCCGTTGGACAAGGGCAACTTCGTACTGCCGTTATTTGATGCTCGTTTGAAAAACGTCGGTGAATTGAGACTAAATTATAGACTTGTCTTTCCCTACAGCGGAAGACCCCTGGAAATTACAAAGTATGAGACTTACTGGAAGTCAACAAGCGGAAATGAGCCTGGAAAGAATGGAAACCAATTTATTACGTCGTCTTCCTTATCCGGCCGGTACATCAACTTTTTTGTCACGACCTTAAATGATGGCACGCTCATTGTGACTCCTAATAAGACGATTACAGTTGGCCCAATGAAATTAAGACTGTTAGATTTGAATGCCAACCAGTTGGAGAGCTTGGTTGGTTACTCTTTAGATGGTCGGGGTGAAGCTTCCGAGCCTCTAACTTTCGAGCTGCTACTCACCGAACGCTTCACCACCTTGAAGTCTCTTCTAGAAAAGGTACCGCAAAACTCCAATTTAGAAATAGAGGTTTGTTTTCCCACGGAGTGTGAATTGAAAAGCATTCCTCTCAAATTATCCACTCATATCAACATCAACAGCTATATCGACAACATTTTGACATCTCTGTTCAGTCACGTCCGTCAAAGATTCCACGAAGGACTTACGTCGTCAGTTGTGTTCACCTCGCGAAACCCTGACGTTTGCTCGATCCTGAATTGGAAGCAGCCAAATTTCCCCGTTATTTTCTATATGAATGGCTTGAGAAAAGAAAATGGGGTCTTGGTCAAGGACACTCCTCATCATTTATCAGGATTGTCACTTACTCCTGAAACTGTCGATTTCAGGGATTCGTGCTCTCGAAGCGTTCGCGAAGTCGTTCAGTTTGCAGCGTACAATAACCTATTGGGAGTTATTGTCCCACTAGAATTGTTGCGTGCCAGTCAGCAACTAATTCGCGAAATCAGGGCACGCGGACTGTTGCTGATCGGTTCGTTTTTTGAAGGAGACGAAGGAACCGCCATTGATTTTGTCGAAGACGACATCAACGGTCTAAGGGCGCGAGACTTTTTGGATTTCAAGGGAAGCATTGAAATGTAGAGGGGAGGAGGGTGTCCCGGAAGTAATCTACATAGACAGTTTTTGCATTTTGATCATAGATACGTTAATTGATGAGCTAGTGACAGAAAGTAATCACTCCACATTTTGCAGGAAAAAGGCCTTCACTTTTTCATCTGCAACGACGTCAAGAGGAGATTTGTTATCAACGTCCCTCTGATCGCGGTATTCGGCTGCGTAACTTTGCACCAAAGCCACTGCTACATCGCCGTGCCCTTCTGACAGAGCGTGGAAAAGAGGTGTCCAGCCGTTTATGTCCTTGGTGTTGACAGGGGACTTGTTTTTGCATAGCAAATCGACCATAGGCATACTTCCCACACTTGCAGCGCGGTGCAATGGCAATTGATTTCTGGAGTCCTTCAGTCTCACGGAGGCACCCTCTTGTATGAGAAATTTCGCAATGGAGACCTGTTTTTTCGAGCACGCCAGATTTAGAGCCGTCGTGCCCTGGGAAGTTGCCAGGTTCGCATCTGGTTTAATGCTGTGATTAACCAATTTGACGAGGATTCCCAAGTTGCCCACGGAGCTTGCTATATGTAAAACAGACCAGCCCGATTCATCGACGAGATCATCCAAATCGACTTTTTGCATTCGGGACAGCAGAAAATCCACTATGTTTTCGTGCTGGTAAGATACTGCCCAGTGAACAGGGTATCTAGAGTCCAAATCTTTGGCTAAGACGAGTTTTGGCTCCTCATCTACCAATTCTCTTACTTTGGAAATATCGCCTTCACGGCACGCCTCATGGAGTGGAAAAGTAGTGTTAGTGGACATCATAGTGGAGTCATTTGTTAGCTGAGTATCGGGTGTGCTAACACGTAGTTCTTGAATTATGCTATGCTCACGACATGCGATGAGATGAGATGAATTTCGTATAATGTGATATGTGCTGGAAGCAGTTCAACTTACAGTTTTCCCGTTTGCCGGTTTTTGCCAATTTCGCCTCATGTTTGTACACCCATTTTGCCCTCCCAGTGGCTTTCCCAGCGATTTCGCAGGTGTCTGGATACAAAGCTATGATCATTATTCTCCGACTTGTTCGATAATCCAGAATCTGGCTTTCTAGTAATTTATACCGTGTATTAACAATTTTCTGAGCATCTGAAGCTTCAAATCTGACGTCTTTCAGGCTTCAATACTCGCTTGCCTAAAAACTGTCGTTCTGTAAATCCTCGGTACTCGTGAGTACTTTTTAGATTTAGGTCACATCACACTGTACGTACCGAAGTGGCAACGAATATCGAAAACTAAAGGATATCCTCCTCAATCCCTCCCAGATGCCCTTCTTTCGAACAAGACAGAGAGAACACAGTGTGTTTCTGTTGCAAGTTTTCTTTACTAAGACTTTACTGAGTTTTCCTTTCAGTCCTACATCTACAATGAACAGATCCCCCGGAGAATTTCAGCGGTTCGCCAAGGCGTTCCAGCAACAGTTGGCGAGAGCCCAACAGGCCGGCAGCAGCGGCAGCGGTGGCAGCGGAAGACAAGCACCAAGAGGAGCGTTTGCAGGCCTAGGAGGCCTCATTTTTCTGGGTGGTGGTGCGATGCTTCTGAATGCGTCGCTTTTCAACGTGGACGGTGGTCACAGAGCCATTATGTACTCGAGACTGAGCGGGGTTCAGTCCCGGATTTTCACAGAAGGAACGCATTTCGCTATTCCATGGCTGGAGACTCCAATTATCTACGATGTGCGTGCCAAGCCTAGAAATGTGGCCTCTCTGACCGGCACCAAGGACTTGCAAATGGTCAATATCACCTGTAGAGTGCTTTCCAGACCTAACGTATCGCAGCTCCCCACCGTGTTCCGCACTCTGGGCCAGGACTACGACGAAAGGGTGCTGCCCAGCATTGTCAATGAGGTTCTGAAATCTGTGGTTGCCCAGTTCAACGCCTCGCAATTGATCACCCAGAGAGAAAAAGTGTCCAGACTTATTCGTGAGAACTTGGTGCGCCGTGCGTCCAAGTTCAACGTGCTGCTAGATGACGTTTCGATCACGTTCATGACCTTCTCGCCCGAATTCACCAACGCCGTTGAAGCCAAGCAGATAGCGCAACAGGACGCCCAGAGAGCCGCGTTTGTAGTGGACAAGGCCAGACAGGAGAAACAAGGTATGGTCGTCAAGGCGCAAGGTGAAGCAAAGTCTGCAGAGCTGATTGGTGAAGCCATCAAGAAATCAAAGGACTATGTAGAGCTGAAGAGACTTGACACGGCCCGTGAAATTGCAACTATCCTGAGCAACTCTCCCAACAGGGTCATCTTGGACAACGAGTCCTTGCTGCTAAACACCACTGCCGATGCCAGAACCAAAAAGTGAGGTTTTTTCTATTCTTTCAAGTTAACATTATATAGCATGATCTTGTGTATAGCCCCTAATGCTCGAAATATGTCGATTTTAAATGGGTATTGAACAGGTTTCCTGGGTAAATTGTGTCGCGGATGGAGGTCGAGGGAGATAAAGCGATTGAAATGCCGACCGGCAGCGATTCATGACACTATCGTATCGATCGATCGGCCGTGGGACCAGCGAAAGGAAGGAATTTTAACGAAAGTGAGTTTTTGGTGATAACAGAGAGCGATTCAGTGCGTTTCTGGGACGCGAGACATGGAGACCGAATAAAAATGAAAATAACAAATGTGAAAAACCAAATAGAACGTTTTCTTGGGCATGGCACTGTTCATCTTACCCCTCGTGCGTGGGGTGACCCTTCGAAGTAGAAATTTCGCGGGAAGTGCCTACTCGTCTTCGGAATCTTCTCCGCTTTGTTTTGTAGCGAAATTCAGCTTTGTGGGATTCGCCTTAGATGAGAACAGTTTAGATTTGTGATCGTTTAGTTTTTGAGAGCATGGTGACAGCATATCGTCAGTTGGAGACGCGAATTTATTTTTGACTGGAACTGTAACATGGTCTTGTCTTTTGAACATGGATTTGTGTAAGTTTGGGACCGAAGCTTGTGCTTGGTGTAATGGCTGAATAGATGGAGCAGACATGTGGAATGAGATATTTGAAATCTGGAAAAAAAACCTGTTTTCTTGTCGACGTGAAATCTGATTCACTAGGAGCTGGTTCAACAAGTTAAAAATGCTATCGACAGTGAATACAAGCTCACTGGACTCTGGAGTGGTCCTTTCTATGTCAGATTTCAGCTTTTTCAATTTATATGAAGCAGAGCTTGAATATTAGTGAGTATAGATATTTACTATTTGCCCAATGCGGGATACTTATTGGTAACGTAAAGGCGAACCAAAAAAAAATCGAGAGATGAGGATGCGATGGCCGGTGTTTGCGACGGAGCAAGAAGATTAGTAGGGCTGGACAAAGTGCCCTCAAATAAGCTTGTTGTTTATGAATTAGGATGCGTGTTTCGAGCAGAATAATTAACTCTTTGCGAAGTTAAATAATTTTTACGCGCGGTGTAGGCAATTTGCGAGTGTTGGGTGTATATCATTGGCACCACAAACAAGTGCGCAATATAGAGAGCTCTATCACGACCTTACAGTGGTCATTTTTGTCATCAGAAAGGAAATGATTATAGCGTTGATCTGATGAATTAATCACGTGAAGAGGTGACAGATGACGAATTAATATAACATGATTTTACTCATCTTGGTTCCACCAGGGCAGGGTTTGACCATGGTTTGAAGCGACAAGAGACATGGTTTGGTGTTTTGGGGAACTCAAAACCATGAGGCAGCTAATGTCATCTGAAGAAGCACACACATCTATATCCATGTATATTCTATCTAGAAGGTTTAGTGAACTAAATGGATTTCCGGGGTCGATTCGGACCAAATAATAGTGTTGGTTATCGATGTAGACGCCTCGTTCGGTAAAGACTATTGCCAAAGTAAGTGAAGCGGAATGACAGTCCTTGGGTTAACAGAGTTGCGGGATAGTATCTACTACATGATGACGTAATCTCAAATCACTCATGTGATTTAATGACTGATGACAGCATTGGCTCGAAAATGATGGTATCACGGCACTGACATCAGCGACTATATGATCATCACGGAACAGTGGCATTATAGTGCAATTGACTACCTTTATGCGGCGAGCACTCAACCCTTTACATCGAATTCGTGGATTTCTCATCCTTGAGTGTGCGGGTACTTGCGTTAAGTTCACTGGATCAGAAAGGTAGATGTCTTGAAACAAACACAGAGACGCGGGTATTTACAGCCTGGAATAATCAGGCAAAAGAATCACTGGTGATGCCTATCGATTATGCGCTGAGAATGGCTGGAGTTTTAAATTTTTTTCAAAAATACAACGAGGAATTCAAACCTTTTAGTGTTTAAATCAAATGTTTTGGCTCCAGCAAGATGCCTGAGATGAGGTTTTTGCACAATCATTTGTAGACTTCATTTTGTCCAGGACAAAGACTGGTTGAATTGTGAGACAGGTCAATCTCCAGAGGGAACAGCGACATATAATCTAATATGAAAACGGATTTTGCATCTAAAGACCCTCCGGTAAAGTATTTCATTTTCGTCAAGAATGTGGGGGGTATTGTAAGTTCGTGTTCTCTTGTTGTGATGCTGGTGCGCGACGCTACAAAAAGACTGCGAAATACGAAAATAAAAACTTATACAGCGCTGAGGAAGCGCTCTGATAATTATCTTTCATGTTTTGGTTAAATTTGACGATATAACAGTGCTTTTTGCAATAAGATGACAATCGCACACACCATTTTGATATCTAACGATCGTAATAGCGGTTGTGCTACATTTTTCAAATCGCCGCCGCCTTGAAAGTATTGGCGAACTTTATGACATTGTTAGAAATAAAATGGAGAGTTTAGATGTGACATTATTCGGGTATCACCTAAAGCACAAAATCATAGGTGGCTTGCTTCAGTGGTATATTTATCCTGGATTCAATAATTTGTAGTATAACATCACTGTCACATACTATTCACGCAAAACAACTATCCATGCTTCTGCCAAGCCCAAAACATGGCGGAGTTATTGTACAGGAAGAAGAGATCTGAACTCAAAAGGTGCATTAAAGAACATAACATACAAAGACAAGAGCAATACTAAAGAACTATAATTAAGTAAAGTCTGCTGGTGTATTTACTCCAAAAAAAAACCACTACAAACCTCATCCAAATACTCTTTTTTAGCAATCGAATTGATTCTCTTCAACATCGCCTTTGAACCTTATTTATCTAAAGCTGATCGTTCTTGCCTGTCAAGACTAACCTTTTCTTATCCATAAAGTGTCAGCGTCGTGAAACTTATTTAAATACAGAAAATCGAAATAACAGCATCTTTCAACCACAGATTTATATCTAAGAGTCAAGAGAACCTCATTTGCTCTGTTTCCAAAACCATAAAGGGCACTGAATACTGTCAAAACGTTTGGACCATCGTTACAAAATTTGGGTTTTCATACTAACCACCACTCGTTGACATATTTGTACCTCTTGATTTGCTAGAAATCGAGATTCGAAACAGCATCTTACAAACATTGTATCAAACTACTAAGAAGAATCATAAGAAAATATCTCAGGCTAGGGACTTTACATTTGCAGTTTATTTCCAGTGGTCAAAAAATCGGCTATCTTTTTCAGTCCCTCTTTTTCTCAAGTCTAACCGTAAAGAGTTCATATTGCCTTTGCTAGTGTCACCGATCCTGGGATAATGAGCAACAGACACCAAAACCGTCATGTTATAGCTTCAAATCAAGGCACTTCCAAGGTTGGTAAGGACAAATTTGCCACCAGTACTCCAAAGAGTCAGAAATCAAGGAAAAATACTGGCAGGTCCAATGAAATAACGGACCGTTTCATTCCACAAATGGCGTCTGGGACTGCTTTCAGGTCAGCCCGAAGACTGCAAACTTTGGATGTTGCTACTGAAGGTCTCAATGAAAGTAATTCCAGCATGGGCTCCCCATCTCACCTGAGTATGCCTGGGTTTTTCCGCGACCTAAGATCTAGGGTGCACTACAATTCGATAATTGCAAACCGCTCCATAACGACACCACCTACGCCAAATGAGAAGCTTGAGCTACAGAAGCTACTCAGTTTTCAGAAGCTCTATCGGCAACATGTGGCGGACGCGTTAGGTTTGTACTCTGACAATCGCGTCTATCAATTCGCAGCCGCCGAGGTCCATAGCGCTAAAACTGCTGCTGATTCAAAACAAGCCGCCTCGGGATCGTACACACCAAATAACTCAAGGGTAGATCCACTGCTGTCTATTTTGGCACCAAATCAAGTTCTGTCATATTTGGTCTCCCAAACGTTTTCCAAAAGCTTGAGAACCAAAAGCCTTGTGCCAACAACTCCAAGGCCAAAAACGAGACCCAAATCCCACGTCCCATATCGCGTGCTTGATGCGCCCTCTCTTCGCAATGACTTCTACTGCAATTTGGTCTCCTGGTCTAATAAGACAGAGAATATTGCGGTGGGTCTCGGTTGTGCAGTTTACTTGTGGTCAAACAAGAGGGGGGCTGCCAATGTGCTACATTATTCTTTTTTACAGTCGCGCAAAGATTATGTGACTTGCGTGGCCTTCTCGCCCTTTGACGAGCATTTGGCTGTTGGTACCAAGCAAGGGCGGATAATGCTGTTTGATCAAGTAGATGACGAGGAACCTAGCTGGGATGGTAACAAACCTAAATCTGTGGGGACCGATGATTCCATCACGGGTGTTTGCTGTCTTGAGTGGATGCATCGAGATGGAAAAACCTATTTGTTGGTTGGGCAAGAGAACGGCAGCGTCCACATCGTTGAAGTGCTTTCTGAATCTACTCGTCAATTTGAACACGAAGAAGGCCTGGAGCTTCAATTGTCGGGTGACTTCAGACAGCTTGAAAACGTTCAAGACACCAACGGTGAATTTCCCGTTGTTGGTGGCCGAGCTCGTGAGATGAATTCGACAGGCGCACAGAAAAAACTGAACAAGCTTCAGAATAACAAATCGGTCTTCCGAACTACATCGAAAATTAAAGCTCAGAGCCAACAAGTTTGCGGTATCTATCGCTCACACACCCTTTACACCAAAGCCTATGGCATGATCCTGCGAATATTTTACTAACTTTATCCATATAGGTCTCTCCCTGGATAGAAGTGCAACCCAGTTGGCAGTTGGCGGTAACGACAACTCGTGCACGATCTGGGATATAACAGAATTGCAGTCCATAAAACTCCAATTTGTGCTTCCACACAAAGCAGCCGTTAAAGCTGTGGCCTTCTGTCCTTGGTCAAAATCACTTTTAGCCACTGGCGCTGGTAGCAAAGATCGTAATATTCGCTTTTGGCATACAAAATCGGGAACATTGCTTAGCGAGACAAAGGCGCCGGGCCAAATCACTTCACTAATATGGTCACTTCGCCAGAAGCAAATTGTTGCGACTTTTGGATTTGGAGACGCTGAAAAACCGACATTGGTGTCAGTATATTCTTACCCGTCGATGACACCCACTCTGGAGGTGCACTCTGTGACCTCACTTCGAGTCCTGAGCGCCGTTCCGTCCCCAAATTTTGGATCAATATGTGTGGCTACGAATGACGAGACTGTGAGATTTTATGAGCTTTGGAGTCTGAAGGACTGCACGATTTTCGAGGCCCAAGAGAAGGGCATTTATGGAAGCGATTTAATCGAGTACACTGAGGGAATCCAAAAGGGCCACGAACAGATCCGATGATTGACCCATTCTGAACAGCATAATAACAAGAATTTACTGCTGGTATATATAGTCAATGAACTCTATATCAGCATGTATGTGTATACATGACGTATATATCATATTTATATGGAAAGTTAAATATCTATAATTTATTGTCTTCTAACTCATCGCTGACAACCCTAAAACGTCGAAAGCCAAAAACTAGACATGCCTCAGCGATCTCCTAGTCGTGGGCGGAGGGATTCGGTCATTGGAGGCTTGATGGCACGCAAATATGAAAGTAAAGCGAAAGCTGAGCTCGATTTGGAGCCAAAAAGGGTTACAAATCGACAGTTAATACATGGAGTTGCCAGTTCTTTCCTGGAGGCTGCTTACCAGCGGTTGCAGTCAAGTAGACTGACTGACAAGATCACCATTGATGAGGATTACGACAGTTTTGCTCAAACGGCGAACTCTGAGACTTCTGAAAGCTTCTGGAAAGATGAGAACTTCAGGCAGGAATATGAGCCTTCTAGCGACGCAGGAACTTCGTTAGAGCCACTGAAAGCTGGCTACGCTAACAGCTCGAAAGAGAAAAAAATCACTAGTGAAACCCAGGAGCATTTTGTCGACATTTTGCTGGACAAAATGATCTCTACGATTTTACCCGATAACTTCCCTGAACGCGAGCAGTTTACGCAACGAGTGAACGACCCGCTGCGCAAAAAGCGGCAAAAGCTGTCTGCCACCATTTTTGCTAACAACCTTAAAGTCTTAACTACGAAGTTGGGAGCGATTTTTGAACTTCAGGACTCTGTTATCCGTCTTTTAGCCTGGCGAAACCCGTCTGGGACGGTCACAATGCTTGTCTTTATAAGCATGATATGTTTCAACCCAATTTTTCTCGCAATTTTGCCTCTTCTTTATGTACTGTACGGAATTATGGTGCCGGGCTACATGCACCGGCATCCACCGAACAGGACAGCTTTCCTTTCCAGACGCACTTACGGGAAATCCTTTCTGGTCTCTCTTACCAGTGGTGGCGAAAAGACTAGCTGGCATCCAAGTGATGACATCCAGGAGTACGATTACAATTTGGATTCTGATCCGCTGGGACACCAGCGAGCACATCATATCAAACAAAGCATGGAATTTGTCGTGAATTTGCGAGATCTTCAAAATAGCATGTCAACGATGGTCTCTCTATCAAAGAGCATGGAAAAGTTTGTGTTTGGAACAGCAGGTTTCAAGGACGAGCATAGATCTACAGCTTTATTCCTAGCAGGACTGGGTACGCTGTTGCTGCTGTGGCTAGTATCTCCACTCATCAACTGGAGCATGGTCTCTACAGTTAGTGTTTGGACGGTTATGATAGTCATTCATCCAAAAGTCAGGTCCAGGCTCGCTCAAATAATCAAAGAAGATCAGGTCAATAGGAGCAGAGAAGTACTTGAAAGAACAGAACGCTACGACATTATCTTGGATGAGCCTCCGGATGTTAGATTCATCGAAATCTTTGAGATTCACAAGCAAGGGATAATGCCAAAAGACTGGGCTTTCCTGAAGTTTTCCACGAATGTATTTGATGCCCAAGATAGCTACAGAAAAGCTCAAGTTCCACCTCCCGGAGTCGATAGTCTCGAGGAAATTAAGCCGCCGGTTACATGGGCATTTGACAACAACTCTGGCTGGGAAATTGACTACAACGTAGAAGCTTGGTCTCAAGATCGCGGCCTGGAGCTCGACATTGAGGATGAGTTTCTGGTTGACGGCGCATTTAAAAGACGAAGGTTAGTTCGCAAAGTGCTTAGGTACGCTAATCCAGCGCGGAAGCCATCATACAAATAACCTGGGATAGGATTATGGCGACATTCAAAGTTTGTAGCACAGGTTTGTTCTTGTAATACTTGGAACGTTTTATATGTGATGCTAGATGATGATAATGACACATGCAATGTGTTACGACGGGACACCTTCTTTTTCTGCGCTTGAGTGCATATTGACAATTTTTTTCCAGCGCTTTCTGTTGTCCTGGATGGGTACTTTACGCCAAGTAAGGAACAGCAGCAGAGCTATCGTGAGAGCCGAAAAAACGCTGACGGGTGTTATGATTCCGACGAAGTTACGAGAGGAAACTTCCTTCTGGTAAGGACACGATGCATAAGGTCCACCTGGGACCCAACAGTCTGGCACGGAAATTGAATTCAGGTCTACCCATGCTTCATGATCCTCCAATGCAAAACTGTTAAAGTATGCATTCAAAGCTGCTTCCTCTAGTGGTGTTTGTGGGAGGGCAAGCGTATAGTTATCAGGACAAATATCTTCGTCATCCTCATGTGTGGAAAAGTAATCGTCGTTCTCTTTGGAAAGGACCCAGTTAAAAATGTTCTCTTTGTTTCGACAGAGGGAGCGACTTTTATCATAGCAGTTGGCGACAGCCCAGTAGCTGGTTGAATTCACCGCCGTGTAGTGGACAACGGCGCACCTTCGCGCCACAAGTGAAGTAGCATTACTCTTCGTGGTCTCGTAGTTGTTTGGCTCGTTGTAAGCCCATGACCATAATAAGCTATTCTGCAAAAGGTCGGAGATACCTGATATATTCTGTGGAGTAAAACTGTTGCGTATTATGGGAGAGTAGCCACACATTATGTACTCTCGAATGTCACTGGGGACAAATTGAGTTTCGAGATAACGCCAGCCCTTTTGGGCCACACCAGCGAGCTCGACACTGTCATTTATTGGACACGATACGGTTGTGTTCGACATTTCGAAGCTCAGCGCTGAGCCATCGAAAATGTAATCGCTCGGTAGCGTATCTGATGAATTAGCATCCGTGTAGGCCACCACCACTCTTTTCTGTACTTTGTAGAGAAAATACTCCAAAGTGGGCCAGCCATTTGTGTTTGGTTTCCCTTCGTAGCCCACGGTAAGACCCTGTGTACGGTCAGAATTCAGTTGCAACGTGCTGTAGATATTCGAGAGCCCCAAATTCGATTCCAGCTGGGCTGTGATGTTTGGGAGGTCCATGGGGAGCGAGTCGTTAAACGCTGACTGTGCAGATGCAAAGTTCGGTCGCAACAATAGCACTAGCATGTTAGCGTTCAAATAGTTATTGCTGGCTGTCACGTACTGTCGTATCGTGGCAAGAAATGTGGCAAAGCTCATGGTAGAGCCAGAAAGCGTGAAGTTCTGTTCAACGCTAAAGTTCAGGTCGACGACATACGATTGCACGCCCACACGAAGTAGATTGTTCAGAGAATCCAACGCCGCTGTTTCATTGTACGATCCGCCCGCAGACAGCACTTGACCCACATTTACTCCCACCGTAAATACCTGGTCAATACTCACATTCGCTCCAGCGTCTCTCTGTGATCGCAGAGCCAACTGAGGGCTTGCTGACAGCGATGGCCAATATTGCTGGCAAAGCGCTACCTTCACAACAAGGCTCAGCGAAAGCTCATGAATCACCAAGTTCATATAACTGATAGCGGTGTAACAGAATGAAATGAGTGTGGACGGCTAGAAGATTGTCTTTCTGTTGAAATATCAGCGATGAGCTTGTCTTTTGAAGATGGGATTAATTTATATATGATTGTAACATTATTTTATAGAACTTTACATCAGAGTTGAGAATAAAACATATAAAAACAGTTCAAACGGTATTTAAAGGATCTTTGAGGCCTCGAAACCAGCTTCATACGATTTTTTAGGCGGACTTACCTATATAATGGATGCCAAAGAACGGAAAGAACAAGATTTGGATGAGAAACTGGAGCAGGAAATCCTGCACGAAGTCGAAGTGGGATTTCTAGCCAACTTGGTAAGTTGGCCGGTGCTGATGGTGGTTTTTGGTGTGTGTTTTTGGAGAATAACAACTCGGACCGTCCCATACCCGTATATAGATGAGATATTCCATGTGTCGCAAACAGTTCGGTACATTAACGGCGCCTGGAGCTCGTGGGATCCAAAAATTACGACACCTCCGGGTCTGTACTTCTTAGGTTGGTTGAACTATCACACAATGCGTGTTGTGAGCTCTTGGTCTACGCTCACGGTGCTTCGGCTTACTAATCTCATCGGTGGAGTTGTCGTTCTGCCTGCAGTGGTACTGAGACCACTGTTGCTTTTCAACGCCATCGGCTTCTGGCCCGTATCATTGATGTGTTTCCCACTGCTGGCTACGTTTTACTTTCTGTACTACACGGATGTGTGGTCTACGATCTTCATTTTGGAATCCCTGACACTGGCGATAACCCTACCGTTTGGCGAAACAAAGAGCATATGGCTAAGTGCTCTGTGCGCCCTTGTGAGCTGCTATTTCCGGCAGACAAATATCGTATGGAATCTGTTTGTGATGGTGGTGGTGATAGAAAGAAGAGCGTTGATTCAAAAGGATTTCAATACTGTAAACTTGAACAACTACCTGAAGTTTGTCATACATGCACTGGAGAACTTTGCGCAGTTGTGTGTACCGTACTGCGTCAATTTCGCATTGTTTGGCGTATTTGTTCTTTATAACAGGTCTTTGACGCTTGGGGATAAGGACAATCACACGGCGGGCATCCATTTGGTTCAAGTGTTTTACTGCATCACCTTCATAATGATCTTCAGCATGCCAATTTGGATTTCGAAAATGGGTCTTCGCTACTACCAAGGGCGCGTTCTGACCAAGAGGTTCAGAACTGCTTTAGAACTGCTTGCAATGATGCTAGTCATACGATTTTTCACTGTTGTTCATCCTTTTTTGCTAGCAGACAATCGACACTACACTTTCTACATTTTCAAAAAAATCATTGCCCGAAACTTCTGGCTCAAGTATGCCATTATGCCGTGGATCTATCATTTCTCTGTCTTTCATTACATCGAAGCGATGAGAGCCAAAGTCATGCATTTCCACCCCGTTCTACCAATCGAGATCAAAAACCCAACAGAGCTTCCAGTGCAACTCACGCATATTTCATGGACTGTCTTAATCATTTGCACATTCATGACCGTGGTTCCGTCACCCTTATTTGAACCACGGTATTACATTCTACCGTTCATGTTTTGGAGAATATTTATGACACCAGTAAGTGAGGGTGTCTTCGCGGACAGCGACTCTCAGCTCGGAGAGTTGAAGTTTTGTAAGCGGCTTTTCTTAGAACTTGCATGGTTCCTCTGCATTGACGCGATCACGCTAATGATATTCATGTTCCGGTCATTTAGTTGGGAAACTGAATCTCATTTGCAGAGGATAATATGGTAGAATGAGTTTCTTAAGATAGCGTTAGTTTAACATTACGAATAAAAATTAAAATGCGCTTCACGAAAACGTTGTTATATATTACTGTTTGATTGCCGCTTATTTAAAAACGCGCTGAGTCAATCTGACTAAAGTGCAACATTTTCGAACTCTTCCTTCAATTCATGTACATCATCGTCTTTGGCGGCGTCTTGACCCTCCGGTGCTTGGGTCTGTGCTGATTTTTCATCGTTCACGCCATTGTTTTTGCTTTCTTGATCTTCTTGGTCCTTTTGGAGTTCATTTCCTGCTGACTTCGTGGTGTCCAACACAATCTTCTGATCGGCGGGCTCATCCTTTGAAGCTTGAGGTTCAGTGTTGTCTTTCGCTGGGTGTTTGTCTTTAGACGCATCTTCGCTGGATAGAGATGCTTGAGTAGAATTGACCGAAGAATCAAGCACAGTTGACTTCGTGGTTTTCTTTTCTGCACCTTTGATATCCTCGGTTTCCGCCGTAGAGTCTGTCACAGCTGTCGGTTCTTGTTCGACCAGAGAAAGGGACGAGATGAGGGTCTGAGACGTTAGATCCTTGCTGTGACCTGCTGATGTTCCAACACTGCCAATTTCAGCCGCAACCTTCTTTTCTTCTTGTTGCGTTTGCCACGCTTTGTGACTTCTCCACTTGAGTACCTCGAAGTAATCTCTAACAGTGTTTCCGGCGTCCTTGTCACGGAACACCAAATCACCGGCACCGCTGAGATAATCGTCGTCACCATCCATAATGTACCAGTTGCCTCTCTCCAGGTCGTTTGCGAAGGATAACAGAAAGTCACCCCAGTTATTGGCCACCACATACTTGATGTCAAATTCTCTTCCGAACAAAATAATCTGACCGTAATGTCCCTTGGGTCCCGGTGCCAAGTCCACCGCGATATGATTACCTGCATTGTCTGTAACCAAAGGGATCCAGCCAGGGTTGGCATATAACGATTGAACAGCCTCTAAAGGAATGGAATTTTGCTGCGGGATGGAGTTCAATTTGAACTGCTTGTTGTAATTGTTGGAAATATCGCGCTGCAATGTTGGATTCATACCCTGGAAATCTTGAGTCTCAAGTTTTCCGTAGCCCTTGGACTTGAGAACCTGGGGTGTGGCAGCCTTGTTGGGGGCTTCTACGTTTAATCCCGAAGCTGAAGCGGACGACGTTGCTGAGGGAGATGTTTCTCTGTTGTGCTTCGCCATGTTTGCTGCCACGTTTCTCCAGGTTTGTGTCATGTGGACCACTTGATCGAGAGACATGAGCTGCAGTCCGAAAAGTAGGCCTGAAGTTCCAGTGAGAGACTCCAAATCTTCTTGACCGTCATGGAGACGAAACGAGGCTCTCACGGAAGCCGGAAACACGATATTGAGGTCTGATTCCGCTCTGGAAATGTCAGTTCGCGTGCAGGGCTCGCTCAGCGTGGCATAAAGATCTGAATGGTGTTCCGAGGCCCAAGCGTCTATGTGTCTCCAGGCCAGCATAGTCTCGCTAACGCCGTCGTTCGTGCCTCCCACGGGTCCGTCCGTGAAGTCTGTAAGCTGGATCTGGGACGAAGACGCCGCTGGATTGGCCACTGACGAAGCTGGTCGCGTTGAGTTGTCAGAACCTTCGGTCCTTCCATTGTAATCTGCGTAGCGATCTTCGGTGCTGAAAGAGTATACCAACTCCTTCCATTTTTTTTTGAAGTTTTGCATAGCTAAAGGTGAGTTATTGGTCGTTTGCTGTGTCCGTAAACCAGGTTAACTTTGGTGTGTTGAACAATAGTGTTGAACAATAATGTTCAGATGGTAGAGTTGATTTGTCCACATTACTTAATTCGAGAATTTCGGGTCAGATCTGGAGGTCACGTTATACGCAGCCCACGATATAAAATACAATGTAGTTTAGCCCAGGCTCTCCAGTGATGAAGACTGCCGTGTTCGATAGTTTCAGATAATGCAAATGGTTCAGAGCATTTGATATTATATGATTAGATTCAGTTTTGTTTTTCATGGTGCTTTTAGGTTGACTTAAAATTCAAAATGATAATATTTGATGTATAAAGAATTAAGAATTAATATGACAGTGAAGTCTGGAGTGAGAGGTGATTACGGGATACAAGCGATTTTGTTTGGCCCTGTATTGTATTTTGGTGATGGGTAACACTTATACTTTTCGAAAATACGTTAGAGTCGCGGTTTCCATCTTTTAAAGACACATTAATATAAAGTGATCAGTCGTTGCGACACCTTTCGGATGGAGACTGCTCTTGTGGAAGTGCATCCTGGCAGAATATATATTCCGTCTGCTTTTGACGGGCGTGACGCGAATGGAGGACGTTTTGGTGTAGAATGGGACTAGTAACATCGGGATAGTTTGGTAGAGTAAATTCTGAAATGATTATTCTTTTGAGTAGTGAAGTGTCGTCTCGGCAATGTCGTAAATCCATATAGCTCCCAAATATTGAGCCCACTCTGACTTCACAGTCGCAAGTTAAAAGAGCAGAGCACTACTTTTTTTGTAGTGATCACGAAAAAAATTAAAATTTGGACGAGACCGGAGTCGAACCGATGACCTCTCCCATGCTAAGGGAGCGCGCTACCAACTACGCCACACGCCCATTTGATGGAAATGGGAACTGAAGATGAGATTCATATCTGGCTGTAAAGACCTCGTGACTAAGACAACCGACCTTTCGCACGCAACAAGGTAACGTATGATGGCATACAGAAAGATTGCATTTGCTGATCAAGGTTAAAGAGAGCACCGCTCAGCATTCTACACTTAATGGTTCAGCTCGCCTAGTTTCAGTCAGTCATTTGACAAGTTCTTCTGTCATGTGTTGAGACGGCAATTATACCTTGGAATTGAATTTTGGCCTTATTTCCCGATTTTTCAAAGAAATGTAGGCTTTACTCCATCAATTGAAATTCTTTTTCTGTAAATTAAAGATTTCATGGCGCCAGGTGACATTCGAAACCAATTGATTGCTTGTCAACCGAAAACCCTGACACCTTCTCTAGACAGTGGCATTATACTGACCTGCACTGTTCAAAATAGTCAAGAAAACTGCATCTTTCCAAAGCTCTTTCAAACATCCAGAAACGAGTGAATGTTTGATTTATGAGCTTTCATTAAAGGCTTTACAGATCTCACAAGTCAAGACTCTTCCCTGCTAGAATGACACCATCTACCAATGGCATAAAAACTACTGTCAACTACTATCAAATCGCCAAACAAGGTGCCGCTCTTCTGTATCATTTCAGGACATCGCTCGTTCTTAAAAACAAGTCACGTGACCCATTATTCTATCACTATTCGACACGAACCCAAAACGCGTTAAAATAAGATGCCCTCCATTTACCTCATAGACACCTACTAACAGTCAATGCCCGGTACCAGCAAGCTCTTCCATGGCCTTAACTTCGTAATTGTCAGCAATGGGAACACCGATTTTTCTGTGGACGCGATTCTTGCACGTTTGAAGGCTAATGGTGCTAATGAATGTGTTGTATACCACGACGAACCAGAGGCGATTGAGCTTCGAGATACCCACTTAGCAAAACAGGAAATGTGTCGTCGTTTTAGCCACGACGTACATGCGATTATTGCAAATACGTCAGATTTCTGGTTTTATCGCGTTGCTGCCTTTGACTTTCTCATCCCAGTCGTAAATCCTGATTGGGTCGAAGTGTGTGTTTCGACCAAACGTATCACTCGAGCCAGTGCATTCTCGACAGATCCAGCTCATGTGCTCAAAAACTGTCAAATATACATCTCGCGTCACTCGTTTAATTCCAGTGAGTACGACTTCTACTCTGCACTAATACAGGCTCTAGGTGGACTATGCATCGATTACTTGTCTAGCAGAGCTAGTCATATTGTCACAAAAGATGCCCAGGACCCTGCCATTACAGCTGTTGCTAACATCAAGGGGCTGAGTATTAAATACGTCCTGCCGACGTGGGCTGTCCAGACATTTATCACTGGTCAATATGTCGATGAAGCTGCTCATGTTTTGAATCCTCAAAGCCACCCCGAAGATGTCCAAAAACAAGCGACAAAAGTGTGGAAAAACATGGAGGTCATGAAAGTCGAGTCACCGGCTATGTTTTTGCAAAATCACAAGTTTTTCCTGTCGCTAGATTTGATTCTGCCATCCCAATGTTACGGTTTCTTTATCGACCTTATACAATCCGCGGGTGGTGATGTCATTCGCCACATACAACACACAGATATACGACGGGACTCTGGAAACTGCTTTGTGGGCCAGTCAGGCGACTCTGAAGAGTGCCTTCAGGCTAGTGAAGAGAGATTACACATCGGCAACATTTCCTGGGTATTTCAAATGTGGTCTATGCGAAGCTTTATCATTCCAAGTGAGAAGCTGCTGTTATCTCCATTGCGACCCCCAGTCTTCAAGAAAAATGAGCTTATCGTCGGTTATACCACATATTTGGGCCAACAACGGCAGTACATTCAGAAAATAGTTAACGCGTTGGGTGGAGTCAGCACTACAGAGTTTACTCGGAAAAATACACATCTTTTAACCTGCTTTCCATTTGGTCAGAAGTACGAAGCTGCTGTTAGATGGAAAGATTCATGCAAAATCGTAAATCACTTGTGGCTCGAGGACTGCTACAAACTTCAAGCGTCACTGCCGAGCGATAAGAAAACATACACCGAGATTCCAATTTGCGGCGGACTTGCAACGAGGCTAGGCCAAATGCCTTTGGTGACTCCAAATAATAATACACTAGATGAAGATTTCACTGACACCATCGTACCCCAAAACTCAGTAGATGCAACTTCTTCCAAGAAGCAATTGACACCGGTAGGTTATGAAGATGAGGCCTTCGACTTAGACTTACCAGTTCAACAGGAAGTTGATGAATTTTCCAGTGTTGGCAACAAAAGCCCGAGTATGAATAAACTTGATGGCCAATTAAATGATGACCTGCTCATGAGTGACACTTTTATTACCAATGGCGCCATGCCACCTTCCTCACAAATTGGAAATGTTCTAGGGATAAAACAGGCGGCTGCGGAATCTGATAGCAGTCCTGCTGGTCAATTGACTCAAAGTTACAAGGACGCACTACAGGACCGTGACAGACTCGTGGAGCAATCAAAATCACACACACCAGAAATAGATTTGCCAATAGAAACCATAAGCACGCCACTTGCTGGTCACTACCAAGTTTTGCCCGGATCTGAAAAAGCTACACAATTGCAACAACACACAATTTCATCACCCGTTTCTGAAGTTCACTCACAGTTAATGTCGAGTGGAAATTCTCGCCGAGCAAAGGAAAAGGCCGCCAAGAAACTTCACACAGATATGGAAGCGCTCAATGAATTTCAGCAGAACTTGAAGAGGAAAAGGAATGGGTCGCTGTTACCAGAAGAATTACAGAAGTTAAAACAGTTAAAGAAGCTGGAAGACAAGGTAAGAGGACTTCTTGATAACATGAATGCCTCCGAGAAACCTCGAGGAAAGAACAAACGACCATACGATATCGTAGCTGTCTGCACGGGCTGTCATGAAGCAATTGACGAATGGGATCTTGAGCTTCTGAAAATGCTTGGTGTTACGATCTTAAATACTATCACTCCTCAGTGCAACGCCATCATTGCGCCAAAAAAGCTAAGGACTGCCAAATTTCTCACAAGCCTAAGTTTCCATCCATTGAAATATGCTCTTCTTCCAGACTTTCTCACTTCCGTACTCGCTCTGATGCAAGATGACACTCCTGGGAAGAACCTTCCTGATGTCGATGAGTATTTGATTCCTGATCTTGACATGACGGTTCTGGAAAAGACACACTTGCAGTCGAAAGTTTTCCAAAGGGCGGGCATTGTTTCAATAAATATTACCGACGATGTGCCTGGAGGACAAGAAGTTCTCTCCTCAATCCTGAAGGCCCATGGTGTTCAGCACATACAGGTTTTACCCAAGAAATTCACGGAAAACGACATTAGCATTAACAGCAACAAGAAGAAGAGCCCGACCCATGTACTAGTCGCACAGAAGGCAACTCAGGCCAAGAGGTTCGGCAAGCTCTGCAGCCAAGGGCAGGGTGAAGATAACGTCCTGGTAGTCGAATGGAACTGGTGTGTAAACAGCATCTTCAGACTAGATGTCGATTTCAATGCTTCTGAATTTGTCGTCTACCGAAGCTGAGGCTCCTTCGGCATGTTCTTGGAAAAAGGGTGTTTTCATAAAGGAAGTGTGAATATTTAGGTGGCAGTGAGAGTTACTTACTCGATAGAATTTATACATTCAGACCCGTCCATTCTTTAATGAGGTGCGTGGTCTTAGAAACAGTTCCTGACACGAACTTCGAGGCGTTTTCCGTGAAAGTAACGGTTTTTTGCAAACCGTTTTTGCAATTAGTATACAAGGCTAGCTGACCCTGAGCGGCGGCGGGGAAAGCCTGCTTCTCGAGATCGAAAAGCAAATCGAAAGTATTTGACGCAGTTTTGGGGAGAACATAGGAGTAGCACAGAGTACCCAGCACTAGAGGCGCCGTGATTCTGGCCAATATGTTCTTGTTTCTGGTAAGCACAGATCCCGACATTGCTGCCACCAGGGTGTACGTGAATCCTGGCACCAGCTCCTCTCTAGGATCCGAATGTAGGTTCGCAATCGTACTCGTAAGTCTTTTTTCGTGATTGTAGTACTTGCGAGATTTCTCGTCTATCGTGGTGTTCACCGCATTTACGGTGCTGGAAAGCCTTGTGCGCCACGAGTTGAAGAAAGTCGTGAGATATGTGGGGGATCTTAGCGAAATGCCGTCTAGAAGCTGATTGTCGCCAATTACTTCGGCAGCACGATGACTAAGTGAGTTCTTTCCGTCGTGAGATGGCGCGGCTTCTTTGGCACTGGAGGAGAGAACCGAGCCGGTTTCGGGTGGGATAACCGTCTCACCAACAAAATCTACCGGTCTGTAAAAGTTAGGAGCCATCTTCCCGGGGAATAGACGCTGGGGTTGCTGGAAATGTGCTGTGGATGGTGGAAGTGTTTTTGGATGTGCTGATCGGTCAGTTAGTTGACTTTGATATCTTTGAATTTGGGATTGTCTTAGTCACGTGTCGTAGATCAAAATTTATTTGATTATGTAATAGTTATAAAATTGAGATTACAAAATCATCAAGGACCCAGACACCAATATTTTAACCATGCTCATGTGACTATTCCATGAGCATCGAAAAGGCCAATCCCGTCGTCCTTCATTCAATTCATTCAATCAATCATTCATTACAGACAGAGAAACTACGTAACAACAAACAGCATTCTGAGCATGCCAGCGATCAGTGGGATAACCACACAACAAACACAACAAATGTAGAAACAACCGTATAATTAACCCTTAAGCAAATCGTCACGTATGGATTTTACATTATTGAAGATAACATGATGGCGTTCGCTTCTTCCACCAGCTTCCGATATTGTTCATCGTTTGCATATCTGTTGCGGCCCCCGATGTGCCACGCAGCGATGGGAATGTCACCGGTCCGTGACAATTTCGCTGTTTTTTTACTTGTTTTAAGAACATTGTCTGCAGCCTCCGAGGCACTCACAGCTGGATGCTCCACATTCGAAGTGCGTTTTTCCAGAAGCTTGACTTTAGATCCCAGGGCACTGATCTCGTTGGCCTCCTGCTTTCTTATGCGGGGGAGATAATACGATCTGAGGTACATGGTGGGAACAGCTGCGCCGCACACAATGCCGTAGAAAAGCATTCTCATGCGTGGCATGAGTGCCAAACGATGCGCTTCTTGGTATATTTTTGAATCGAGTTTCATGTTAAGGTGAGTTCAGTTAAGTTGTTTGTGAGTCCGAGACGACTGAAAGTTCATTACTCACATCGATCCTGATCTTGGACCTGGAAATGTCTCATTTATACCAGACACACATACCCACAGCGTTATTGGAGAAATAAAAACCTTTGGAGAGACCCCTACCCCCCACTCCTTCCATATACCAGAAAGTAGTAAAGCGACCATTCGACCTTGATCCCATAAAACCTTCCACTTGCTCTTAGGTGCAAGGGTGTTCAGGGGTACCGATCGCTAAGCGATTGTTCAGGTGGACGGTGAACAATCGCGTGACACGTGATGTGGATCATAGAAATGAGGCCCACCTGCATGTGACTGTTTGGCGACCGGAAACTCCGAAAGGGTCATGGAGAGGGTATGGCGTTGGACAGATGAAACTATTTGCCGAGCCCTATCTTTCGAAAGAAATCGCCCAACTTTCCGCCCTTCTTCTTGTTTTCTGTCGCCGGAACAGTATCCATACTTTTGGTTCGTCTAGTGCTTGGCGGTTTTCTCGCTGACGAGGGCTTACCATTGCTGTGAGTCGAGGCAATCGATTTCGTCTTCTTAGCACTGCCTCCGTCTTTATCGTCATAGTCTATCAAAGATTTGACTTTATACATCCCGTTGTTGTCGCTGCCGCTAAACTGTACTCGAGAGCTCCGTCGGCTGGATTTGGAGCTTGCGAAGGACGTTTGCTTCGACAAATCACAGTCTCTGCGAGTTGGAACAGGTCTCAAGTACCCAACCCGTTCAAACTCCTCCAGTTTGCGTTTTGTCTCAGGGTCCAAGGGGAAATATGAGTCCACACTACCAGTTTCTGTATCTGTTTCTGATTTTTTTGGTCCGTCTTTGGGTCCGTATGGATTTGTGAAGGTTCTCGATAAGATTTTGTCTATATTTCGAGTGACTTGGTCGTCTGTCATGTTGGGTTGGAAAGAAACATTTCTTCGAGTCTCCTCCACTTTTTCTCCCAGCAGTGCTGGGTCGATAAATTCATAAGGAATGACATATGTGGGGACCCAGAAATGTCGCATTAAGAAATTGGGGAGCTTTACGTGGCCATTCTTGAATTTAATGTGCAAATTTGTGCTCACGGTGCTAACAACTTTGAAATCAGGCCTATACAAGGCAATGGCTGACGTCAAAGCATATGTTGTGGAGTTATCTTTGATAAGCTCCACCGTGACTTTCATCACTTTCCCTGAAAGCTTACCGAGGTAGTACAATAGCATCTTTTGACACTTAGAGCGGGCTAAGGCGTCGATTTCCAGCCCTGCCAGTTCGCAATCAGATGTACTCGGTCTTCGACTCACAGGGGGACTCTTGATCTTGTCATTTTTGAAGTCGTATCCATCCAAGAGGGAAGTTCGCGAACTGGTGGTCTGTTTTGCGAGTTCTTCAAATTTGGGAACTCTAGTGACGATCACCAAATGATCTCCATCTTGAGCTAGGTTTTTCACGTACCAGTCCACCGCAGACCAAGTGTGTCTTCTGCCTGAGATGGCACAAACCATGGTCCGAAGACATTCTTTATCTTCTGTGTGTCGGTGCTCCTGCACGTACGAGCTGAAATCGCGATGCTCCTTGGTGATGGTTAAAGCCTTGTGATTAACACAAGGCCTAGATGGATAAATTGTTTGCGGCCACTGATTTCCCGGGCCAATAGGCCTAGAGTTGTCAGGCTCGATGTAAAGCTGTTCCTGTTCACCGAAATCGAATTGCTTCACGTCATAATTGGTTCTGGAGGCCGCCTCGTATTTCTTTTCCAGATCAGCAAGCTCTGCATCGCTCATCCCTGCAAAGCTTTTCCTGTGCGACTTGGGGGCCGCTTTTTGCCCGTTATGGCCTTGACGCATGATTTTGTCTTCCACTTCGTTCAGGTTCGTGAACGCAGAGGTGGTGTAGCCGTGCGAGCAGCCAGAGTTTTCCTGAGTGTTTTTGTCGGTCACAGTATTGATTTGGTACTCTTGCTGGGAATCGACCTCTGTCAAATCGAAGTCTTTGATGTCCTCATGGGCCTTGAATTCCCGTTTCCGCAAGATCGACCGTCTTTCAGCCTGAGGCGAATCTCGACTAGGGGTATTCGAACCGCTTTTGGTGGACGAGTTTGGTGATCTGGGTGACCTTAGAGCTGATTCATGGGCGTAGGTGCTCGAGCCTCGCGATAAAGTCTTGAAGCTGCCGGATATATCCAAATTAGACAAGCTGCTGCGCGCCGCGCGGTCAATCCCTGTAAGATCAGAAACCTGCAAAAACGGGTTTTTGAAGTCCACTTCGTGGCCAGCCTTGTGACGGGTCAGAAGTGGCTGGTTGTCCGCCACAAAAGACGGGGCTAAGTCGTCGAACGAAACGTGGTTCACGTATTCGCTGGTTATGGCCATTTTCTTGCTGTATCGTGTAAAAATGCGATCCTTGGGCCTGTTGTGGCAACTGAAAATCGCTACTCGGTTGTTTGCTGCCCTTGCCGAGCGCTTTTTTCACCTGCCTCCTGTGTTGAAAATCGCCAACACTTCGCAATTGAGGTAAAGTGTTGTAAACCCGCGATCCGAATCTCTTGTGTAGCGAAAGAAAGCGTCACTGAGTTCTCAACACAAACAAAAGCTCCAGATTAAAGTGAAATCCTGCTCGAATCGCTCTTGCAATGCTCTTTTCTGATGTTTCTCCTGTGAATGAGCCTCTACTGGATTGAAATGCCTCTTTAAATAATCCTTAATTATGGTCAACTCAGGGTCCATATCGCTGTGAACGAAAAACCAAACTATCAACTGGCTCAAAATCAATAACACAATAATGGAGAGAACCGATAGTAAAAAGCCACGAAAAAGACGGTAAAAGGCTCTATTTTATAGGTAAAGAACCCAATTTGAGTACACAGGACCTCGTTTTTCGAATCCAGCGACCCTTTTTACCTTAGAACAATTATTTTGACTCGTTTTTTCGTCATTCTTAAGGTGGCATTTTTCGATAAAGTGGTAACCACAAGGTTAAGTTCACCTCAGCGGCTAAAAAAATACATGAATATATATATATATATATACACATATACATAAACAATAGTTGAAAAAATATACAGTCAAGCTGAATTGTGCTGAAGAAGAGTGCTCAACCAGAATTCACGACGAAAGACGAGGTTAAAGGTCTTCGCCATGAACAAGTCTATAGTGAGTGTAAAAGAGTTTGTAAACAAGTATAATATTCCGAAAGAAATCAGTGCTCGATTTCTACCATTGGACCTCGACGTGTTTGTTATCTCAGAAGAGGAGTTTCAACGGTTACGGGACTCACGTAAAAGACGTAATAGCGACGTTATGGAGTCTCCATCTCGCGCAAAAAAACCGGGTATCGGGGGGTATGATCACAGTGCATTTCCAGAAGACATCAGTGCTGCCCTTAACAGCCACCAATCGTCGCTACAGTGCTCAAACACAGTGGATTTCTCAACGGTCGACACCTCGTTTGAGCTTCTGGAGTCGTCGTTCCTGCTATGCCACGAAAATGGCGCTCCAGGTGCGAGTGACGTCGCCATATTACAAAGCAGCGAGTTTCATCCTATCAACTCAGAACTGAGCAGCCCACCGCAGTCAAGCCAACGGCCCGAATAGTGCGCCACGCGCCTTTTCGTTTAAATGCAAATACATATATGTTACACTTATTACAAACTCAAAATCAACCTTTAACGTTAATCTTCCTCGTTCTCGAGATTCAACAATTTCTTCTTCAGCTCCATCAAATTTTCGTTGAGCGAGTCCCTTTCCTGCTTTATAATGAACAGTTCCGCCTTCAGGTCTTTGATCTTCAAGCGATAGGGAGCGTCACGCATGTCGTTTCTAGAGTCAGAGCCCACTGCGCCTCCTCCAACACTCATAATCGACTCGTCGTTCGAGGTAATGCTTACGTCGCGACGATCGTTGGACTTGTATTTCAACTCCTCAAGTTCGTCTGCCAGTCGTTTGTTCTCCTGCTTATACTTATTGAGGTCGTCTTGGGACAATTCCAACGCTCTGCTAGCGTAATTTACGGAATTTAGGCTACTTTCATAGTTCTGCTCCAGTTTCTTTACCGTAGCCTCCAGTTCCTGGTGCTTGTCTTGTAGATCCTTTAAGGATTGCGAGAGCTCTACTCTGGAGGTCTCGTTTGCCTCCTTCTCAACGGTAAGTTTCTCTAGATTGGACCTCAAATCGTTGATTACTTTTTGATGATGATCAGAAATGGGCGCGGCGGTTTCCGCTTGATCGCCTCGCTTTTTAAATGATATAAATTCTTCCAGCTGAACATTGTATTGCTCGATGGTAGCATGTAGGGATTTAGTTTGTTCTCGATCCTGTGCTTTTAGAGCCTCATGCTCCTTGAGCAGCTGTTCATGCTTTGCTGTCAATTCTTCATGTTTCTCTCTAAAGATTTCATTATCATCAAACGTGCTCAGCTTGTTGCTTTGTACTCGAATGATGTCGTGTAGGCGAGCTACGTCCAAAAATTTCTTGGAAAGAAGATCCTCCATCTCGTTAACTCTGTCTTCGTGCACCTTCTTATCAGCAACGGCAATATCGAAGTCTGTCTGCAACCTTACTAGCCTCGATCCCGCGCTGCCGCTCTCCTTCAACTTATCATTTTCTGTCTCCAACTCCTTAATCCGTTGACTGGCAGAGCGTGCGTTTTTTTCTGCTTCCGATCTCAGTTCACCGAGCTCCACCCTTAAAGCATCGATCATGTCTTTTGTCACATTTTTCACCTGAGCTTGCGCAGGCGTTTCGTTAGGAAGTTTTCGAGCCCTTTCCTGTTCTGGCGTTGAAGCTGCTTCTTTGAAGTCTTCGCGCTTAGGGGTTATATCTTCGGGAGCAGTTCGATCCCGTAAGTTTTCTAGCGTTTCGCTTTCAGGTATTATGCTCTCCCTAACGACTGGGCGAGAGGGTGAATTACCGACCAAAGCAACGCCATATTCTTCGCCGGTTTCGTAACTTAGTTGGCTGTCATGACCTCTTGAAGTGCCGAGCTCCGAATCATTGCCCGAGCTTAATGAAACAACACGAGGAGGTGGACTGTGGGGGCCTCCCCACTGTGTGGTTTTTAGCTGTGGAATCGGTGACGTCGGCTTTATCATGTCATGTGGAGCCTGTAAGTCGGCCGCCGATTGGTCTTTTCTCACAGGTTGGGGATCTACAGTCTTGTCATTGTTGGGCGAGCTGTGATTCTCGGCAGGGATGAATCCACCCTGTTCAGTTTTAGGAGTCTGGTATCTCTCGGTGAATGGTGTCAGAATATTTTGTTGCTGACCAGAAAGGATCCGATTTTGAAGTTGTGAAGAAGCGGTGTTTGGTTCTCGCATTTTTCGAGACCCGTCAGTGCGAACGGCGTCGTAAATACCCGGACAGTTTTCCCTTAGCCTGGTCAAATCCAACAAGTAGAGAATAGTTCCACAGCCCATATCCACTTCTGAAGTGTGGAAATCGGCGTCATCGGGTCTGGAATAATCAAATTTGTCACCACCCATGATCAACAGTTTGTTATTGGGTAGCAGAGTCAATGAGTGACCCGAACGGCCTTGAGGAATTCCCATCTTGTAAAGAGGCAGCTTGAACCACTTCAAGGATATCATGTTCAAAAAATACACGTCATTGGAGTAAATGTCTTGTTCGTCCTTACCTCCAACGATACACATGAGATCGCCATACAGGACAGCAGCATGCTCCTGCACGGGTGGTGGCTTCTCACCAGTCGTTTGGACGACACGCCAGTCATTGAGGAGAGGGTCGAAGAGAAACAAGTCATTTATGAGACCCTGTGGGGTGTCTCCACCAAAAACCCACAATTTAAAGTCGTACGACACCATGGTATGGTTGGTCAACGGTGGCGGCGTAAAAGTATAGGGCTTCACAAATTGCCAACGGGAATCAGGGCGTCTGAATGACGACAAATCGAAAACGGCCAAGTCATTAAAGTAGGTGTCGTCAAATTGACCGCCAAAAACGTATAGCTTGGTTTTCAACTGAGACGTGGCAATGACACTTATCTTATGGCCGTATCTGCCTAGCGGCCTTGGTCCCACAGGTTTGGGAATAGTCCATTTGTAGGAGTTTATGTTGAACAGGTAAACGTCATCGTCCATCAAGCCTTCACTGTTGACCTTGTGCGTGTCGCCACCAAAAGTGACAAAAGCGTTACCACACAGGGTAGAGGCGTGTCCCACGCGTGGGGGCGGCGTGGACTCGGTAATTTCTATAGTTTTGGATGATAATTTGGTACCTTCGTCGAGCGCAGAAATTATCCAGGTGTCTCCGTATACAGACTGGTCGTGAAGACCGCCAATGACAAAAATCTGATTTTGATCGGACGTGTATGAAGATGCAACATGACGATATCGTGGGAATGGTGAATTGGAAAGTTTGACTCTATGCCACGGCGTGTAATCGGCCTGTTGTAATGCAGACGCGCTTGACACGTTCCTTTGTTGTGAAGGAACAGGCGTTGGATAAATGCGAGTTGCCAGAGCCTCTGGCACGCTCGAAATGGACGGCTTCTCACCTTGCATGAAGCGTTTGGGATTGTGAGGTGGAATAGCTGGCGGCTTAGCCTGTGGTTGAGCTTGTGGTTGGGACTGTGATTTAGGTTGTGGTTTGGCTGGTACCGTTGCTTCAGGCGGCACAGGCTCCTGCTTGGCCTTTTCCTTAGAACTTTTTTTTGAGAACTTGAAAGGAGCCATCATCAAAGCACTGGCAGCTTATCTCGGATTCAACCAGCGACTGCTTAGTCTGCAAACGAGTCCCTTTTGCAAGTTGTTGTTGTTCAAGATCAGAGTCCGAAGTAATAGGTAAGAAAAGATCAATTTCTAGAGACACATCATGTTATACGTAAAGATGATACTCGACCACAATTCAAGCGACAATGTTTGTCGAGATGGAGCGGTACGTTAGAAGCATTGGTGGTGATAAACTTCTGATATTCATTCTATCTGAATACTTAAATGGCTTTCATCGATTTTTGCTTCTTTTTGGTATAAAGCGATTGATGAGTGATGGCAATGTTAGCCAAGATCGTACAGACGAATAGTTCTTAAGCATACCTTATCGTGCCCTATGCAATTGGATAGAATGAAATCGGGTCTGTAATTTCCATTGGTACTTTTAGAGTTTATATTCGGGGAGAACAAAATCAAAACAACGAAACAAATGAGTCTAGGTTACTACTAAACAGCCTTCATTACTTTCAATCAAATTCAAAGAATAGGTTGCAAGCTCACAAAACAAGAGCTCCTTGTAGTCCAGGCTCTTCCTGGAATGAATGCTCGCCATTGCCAATAAATTCATACACGCTTTTCGAACAACTCCGTCACCAGTCACTTGGTCACGTGCTGTTGTGATATTTAAGCGGCTACTCAAGCTGACGCGACGCTTTCTCGGATCCCACTTACCCATTTTTCACTGCGGTTCGTCTTGTGGCCTATCTTTGTTTCCCAGTGAGTTTCTCTTTACAGCTTATTATCTTTATCCCAAATCCATTACCGTAATGATCTTTCTTGTTATCATGTTACAGGCGCCATTTGTTATTTGCCTGGAACATACCTAGGCCAAGACTAGTTTGAAAGCTCTTGATATGACAAAACTCTACAGGGACCAAATCGAAGGCACTTTAGTATGCTCCATGTCGAAAAAGAATGCAAGCAAGGTGCAATAAATTCTAAAAATGAACTCAACTCCGATTTGACAATCTCGCCTCACTCAACGAGAGAATTTGGCTGGAAGTACCAAAAACATGACACTAGTTGAGAAATGACCGACATCGGTGAGTATATTACGTAAGGCAACGCTTTAATAGTACCTCTTTGATAGCTTTACAGTACCGTGTTGAATCGCAACCAGCATTCTTCTTCAACAGCTGCAAAACCCGAGAATCAGAAGCAAGTCCCATTGTGTTTCTTATTTACGACAGCGCGTCTAACAATAAACAAACCGGTCGGTCTTCTTTCAAATCTCTTTGGCCCCCAACTCTCGAGCCAAGGTCCATTTGATGACGCTGTCGTTCCTTAAAAACCATACTTGAAGGTAACGCTCTCGATGTTCCAAAGACTGAGGATTCAGGCTTTAAATTTGCCAACTGCCGCGCCTTAATCCTATTTTAAGAGTCACCACTCTCAGCAGTCTCCATCAAGACTTCAAGAGCTCCGTATTCCTACTTCTCTGCTCTTTATATAGCTATCAATGACTATTGAATATACATGAATACATCATACCTGGAATATACTTAACTTTCCCAAAGACACAAATAAAGAGATAAAAGCGACAGGATGATAAGCAGGCTTGATAGCTTCATCGAGGCAAATGATAGGGAAGCCTCAATGGATACCAGCTCGAGACTCACCAAGGCAGAGCTAGACTCTTTCGCAGCCGATGACGAACTCTCAAGAGATGGACAAACGAGCACAACACCAAATGGCACGAAAGGCATCAAGATTCAAACACGAGCGAGCCCAGCCAGTCCCAGTGATCAAGATCATCCACTCAAACATACCCCGACACGCACACCAGACCATTCTAAGTTGGGACGTTCCAATACCATGAAACGGCTTTCACTAATCCAGCCTGTGGTCTCGTCAAGCCCCACGCCGAAAGATCACCGACAAAGCCAACCAGCACTTTTGAAAGTTAGAACACGGTCGCAAAGCGTGAGATCTGGTCATTCTCGCAGCAGCAGTGCTGCTTCTGAAGTACAACAACAAAGAGATGCTGGGGAAAGTGTTAATTCATTACTGCAGTTGCTGGCCAACAAAGAACTTGAACTTTTAGAAACCAAACGCAAAATCGATGAGCTCAGAAAGGGTCTCAACCAAGAGGAGGCTCATCTGCAGCTTCAAACGCAGCAGCTCCAAGACCTGAAAACTCAGGTTGGCAAAACCGTGTACAATGGTATGGACGATCACAAATATACCAAAACAGTCCAAAGTGCAGCTCAGCCATCACAATCGAAGAAATCAGGTCCGACAACGTTAGAAACACCACGTCTTTCATCTAATAGAGAGTCTATGTGGTCCAAACCGCTTACTTTTTTCAACCAGTTCGACCAACTGATCCAGCATGAGCTGGAGAAGAAACTACACTGGGATGAAGTGCCTTTGCCGAAAAAGCCGTCTAACGCGGAGCAAGAACCACATAGCAAACCGTCCGATGATGTGTTGGGAAACGTCTCATCGTCGCTTTGGAGTTTCGTCAGCGATGTGAGGAGTGGGCTGATGGGAATAAATGAGGAAGAAACGACAGAACAAGAAACATTGAAGTCACAGCGGCGTTCGAGGAACCCAAGTCCTCTCAAGTTTGTGGGGAAAGAAATGGAACTCGAAGATTTACAGGGGAAAAAAGCGAATGATAATTGATTATTAGCACAGAGCAGACTGTAGTGATTATATTTAAAGGCATTGAGCAAAGTAGGGCGTATAATTGATTTTCGTTTCGTAAGCATCGTTAAGGACATGATAGGTCGCATCAGGCATCTAGAGTGGTATCCGACACCGAAAAATATTCGTTACCCACAACCTCGTCTGTGCTGGGCGAGAAGAGCTGGGTGTACTTTTGATTGTTTTGATCGTCGGTCTTCAAAGTGACTACACCATCGCTTATGCTCCGCATAAGACCCAGAAATTTGGAGTTTTTAAACTTGGACTCCAATTCCGGGGGTGTCTCCGTTCCTGGAGATAGACGATGGTGAATTTCGGAGGCAGCCTGTTGAAACTTTATCTGCTCTGACGAGAAAACAGGTGCTTCTGAAGGCGACGCACTTTCCTCGTTCAGCTCGGTTTCGATTCTGTCGAACTCACGAGCAAGCATCTCGTTTTCATGCAAGTCGAGACCAGACTGGGTAGACATGTTTGAATTTGATGCGTAGAAGGACGGCTGCTGCACGAGTGCAGGTCTGTAGCTTGGAGCTGGTTGCTGCATGGCAAAGGAGGAATTTTGAGGCGTTTCATGCTGACGCTGGTGAAGGTGTTGGTGGCTGTGAAAATGCTGCTGGGATTGCTCGTACTGATTGTAGAGCTGTTGGTATTCGGAAGTGAAGCTCAAAGGATCGCGGATTTGCATGCGAGCGAACTGGTCGGACCATGAGCTCATATCCTGAGAGACTGGCTGCGAATGCGAAGACAAAGGCGAAGAAAAAGACGAAGACAAAGACGAAGAGGATGTGCCCTGGATCACATGGGAGCCACTGACGGGTTCCGATAACTGCGAAGAGCGGAAACTGGCCTCAAAACTCGCATTTTTCACTTGTCGAGACCGCGATGCACTGGCGTGTAAAGATGTGTGTTGAAAGGCCTTGTTGGCGGTGGGGAACTGGTCAGTTTTCGACACAAGTCGAGCCAAGGTGGACGGCTGACACACGGACATGTCAAGTCGAAGTTGAAAAGGACGAAATGTGGTAGCGGTTAAAGTTCGAAAGCTGTATTGTTCTGTTCTGATGAAAGATTATTGATGAAACTTCTCAAGGAAAAAAAAAGCCTAGAAAAAAGCTACCAATGAAAGCGACAAACGGTCCAAGTCAGGACTAAAAAGATGTTCAAAGCGGTCTCAACCAAATAATACACTTTCCTCGATTTCCAGTGTTCAAAACTTGTCTGATGTGTCAAGAAATGTCAAGTTTGTCGTTCCACGTTCTTGTAGTTTCCCCGCTCTTTTATAACAATAGCTGAAAAATCATGGTATTCTATTCCAAGCGCATCGCCTCACGTGACGCGGAGTTAGTGCAGCCAGAAGAAAGACAATCACAGTCGGCGAAAAGAGCAAGCGTGTGAGCGAGCGCGCAAGCGAGAGTGAGCTTTGATTTTAGAGGTGGTCAGTCCCATGACATTTAGATGGATGCGCCGTGTGTCAAATATGATGCGTTATTTGAATATTATGAGTTGACATTTTATTAAATTGAATAAAGGGAGTTTCGAAATAACTATGAAGAGAGGATTGAGGAGAGAAATTAGAGAGACGGTTGTGGACGTTTTCCAGGACCAACAAGGAGTGTAAATGGCCGAACTAAGCTGTGAGTTCTGTATTAAACCGGTGAATGGAACCACAGTTTCCAGATCACTTTGTACTATTGTGTCGCGTTCTTAAGTCCGAATGCTGCTTTTTCGCTTTTACTTTTTTATTTCAGTTCTAAGTAGACATCACATAGTACGATAGTGACACCTCGTGTGCTAATGTGGTCAACCTAACGGCAGATCTTAGCGTGGATGTACGAGTGTGAATAATAATGTAATGCTCACGGTGCGATAACCTTTTCCATCGTGGTACGGCTCAAAGTTTGCAATGTAGTTTTCAGGCGCAAGTTTGATAAAATATGGATTAACTTCTCCGTGGGCATATTCATGAGCATTGCGGAGGGACTCTGGCAATACACTTGCTAAAGCCTTTTGAGTTAAACGCGCTGTAGCTTTAGTTTGCATTGCATACGGATGTAACGACGAAAAAGCTGCCCGAAATATTGACCTGTGACGAACGCAAGTAACAACATTTCAGACCGGGTCTAAAATCACAAGGATTTGATAAAAACTATTTCATTATTCAGTGCGACAAGCGATAAAAGATTCCCACTCAAAAAACCAGCTCTAGAGAATGCATGTAATTCAAAATCTTTCGTGTCCTTGCAATTTCCCAATTTTTTGAAATTCTCGACCTGAACTCTGCATAGTTCAACCATCATCATAATTGAACCAAGTTTCTTCCAAATATAATGCTCAATACCACCGAGACCAATTTCTTTGAATGCTATGGGCTAGCTTTTAAGTTTGCAGAGCGTCCGTCGTTGGTTTTTCGCAGCATCATACAAACTAGCGCTCTTCGTGATGTCGAAAAATCAACCCTAAGCTCCTCATAATTTGCATCCACTGTGATACTTAATTTTAAACGCTCAGCACGACTACAAACCAACTAGGTGTCACCGTCTAGTCTGCTCGTCCGCCTCACGACAGTCCATGACGACAAAATAGTATAAAGTGATAGGGACCCTTTCAATTGAAAAAGGGTCCATCTCATAACAGTACATTGTTTCCAGCAACAATGCAAGCCCCTTAGGTGAACTCAACGAGGCCGGAAAACATATAAAATGGCACTTCACTTCCTAGTCAAACCTCAATCGTTTTGGTCCCAGATCAGGTTCCTTCGACAAGAATGATTATGAAGAACAAAAAAGCACCAGCAGAAGCTGCGAATTCCAAGAGAGAAAACACGAATAAGACAAGCCTACTCAACTTGCCACTGGAAGTGGTGGAAATGATTTTCAATCAGTTGGCTACTAATCCAAAAACAACGGTCATGGACTATTACGGTTGGCTCACAGCTCTGGGAAGTTTGGACTCGCGCATCAGCGAACTCATCAAAAAAAGGGTTTTTGTCTACAATATGTGCGAAGAACCCTCAGAGTTTCTAGAAACGTTTCGTGAATCCGCTCAAACGTCAGATTTCGAAAACAAGGTCACACCCAGCTGCGTGAACCATATGATAATAGCCATCGATGAAGACATCTTCGAGAGAAATGCTCCAAATCAGATTCCAAATGAGATTCCACAGCTTTATGGCGACGTTAAAGTATACTTGGCGTACCACTACACTGGCGATAAAATTAGCTTGAGAAAGATACACGATGCATATGTTGACCACTTTCCTCATGGATGCATGCGTCCTTGTCATATTATCACAATCGCAAGAGACTCAACAGATCTCTTTTTCGAAGCTAATGACGGAAATATGTTTGACTCTTATTTCTATCCAGATGCACAGCATTTATTCAAAAACATCACTTTCTTCAACGCCAAGACAATGTTTTTCGAAGTTGAGTGCCTCTCGAGCTTTGCACAAGTGAGACAACCACATTTAAGGTATGATTGTCAGAGCGGAGAAGGAGCCTATTTCGTGAGTTTGGCAGATGGAAAGAGATACCACAGCTCTGGTTTTGAACACCATGCTGCTAGAAATGAATATGAATGCGATGAATACGGCATGAAACGCTCTGTCGAAAAGACCAAAACTGCCATGAGTAGCGAATACCGCAAACTTATGGGAAAGTCGTATTTGAAATTATATCTAGATCTGTCAATCAGTTGCCCTCAGGTGAAAGTTATAAAGTTTGGGAAGAAAGGACGATCGAACGACGATCTTAACACTATAGACATCTACCATTATCTCACAAACCCGTCTGATTATACATTACAGGAATTTTTCAACTTCCATTCGATGCGAGGGTGGCACTTACCTTCGATTGAACACTTTGGTGGTCACAACTTTCTGTGGCATACTAATACCGGGGATAACGCTGAAAGATATAGAAAAGCGAAGTCCTTGATTCCAAAACTTAGGACAAGAATTCAGAATGGAAGCCCCGACGGCCTTCTTCATATCAACGCACAGCTTGTTCCAGATGGTGCAGTTCACACAACCGTCAGCAACTGGATTCCCTTAGATGTTGCTTTTGACCACGAAATCAGCAAAAGTGGATCACCACTGATCTGCTTGCGTCAGCCCTGCTTGAAGTCATTGAAACTTGAGTTAATGGTGACGAAACCGGAAGGGTGTCTAGTCATCGAAGGTCTTTATTTACCTCGACTCGAAAGACTAGAGACTTGTTATGACACAGATTTAGTACAGTCAACGGCACGAAACCCGATATACAATGTTATTTTTTCGGACTGGAATGATTTGACTGATTGTAAAAACTTCAGTTGTGATCTGAAAGAGTCTTTCAAGGGGATCATTAGTGTGTTTGTTCCCAATCTGACGACTTCACTACCGCTTTTGAACATAGAAAAAGGAACCAAGAGCCTTGAACAGAAGCATGCAATTTTGTTCACAAGCAAAGGCTTTCCCGCTAGTGAAATCAGGGGATTGCTGGACTGAAGCCGGCTTGAATAATTGCGCATACTTTAATGAAAGTGGGCAAAAACTGACCAGAGTTGAACATTATCGATCGATGCCAGAAGGTTTGCAGATAAATCATTGTCTAGTAGATGGTGCGACCAGCTAACATTTGAAAACATGTTCTATTTCGGATGCCTTGCCGTACAGAAGAGTTTGTAAAAGACACAAGTTTGTTTTTTTCTTGAACTATCATACAAATACTAAGGTGAGTGCAGAAGATCGTTGACTGGGTTTAAACCGGCGATGGTCAAAGGCTGACCACTATTTCTGCGTTTTGCTGTAAGCAAAACCGAATTTCCCTAAGAGAAAATAAAGAAGGTTCCCTTGTAGAGGAAACCTAAAAAAAATTCGAAGCAAGCTCCCGGGATCACGACATAACCTTAAACACCGGACCATGGTGGTTCTCCATGTGGCATGGTTTTTCGCTATTTCATTTTGTTCGTGAGTATGAGTGTGCTTTTATTTTATTCTATTAAAAGGTATATATGTCAGTAAGCCCTAGTTATTTGTGGAGGTTTTCACAACTCCACCGTGTACATCACAAACGGCTCATATTCGGTATCGACAATAGACGCGTATTCGTGTAACGAGCTGTCTTGTTTCTTAATCTTGCCCGCTTTATCCTTGGAAAAAGCATTGCCTCCCAAATACCCAAATTCCTTGATGAGCTCGCTCTTACAAGCTGCCAAGTTTTTTGGTGGAACCGCGATCAAACGAGTGTTAAAATGAGGTGGAAGTCCATAACGCAAAACGCTCTCTACAAACACTCGCAAAGCTTTGATATGAAACCAGTTCATAAACACGTCGGAGTAAGCGGTTTTGGCAAGACGGACCAATTGGACGCGCAAAGATTGCTCTAAATGAGCAGCGGACTCGTGTTCCCTCGTTAGTTGATTTATGAGCTCTTCAGAGTAGTCAAAATCACGGGGAACAAACTTCTTTTCACGACACGCGCTCACAAAGTCGTTGACAGACTTCTTAAAAAGGTGCACGTTGAACAATGCGTACTCACTGTCTTGTTTGAGGATACTCGCGGAGCAAGGAACAACGTTCTTGGCCAGGGTCTCGTAGCTTTTCTGGAACTCCTGTCTCAAATTTTGAGGAACGGCTACAAGCACCGTAGTGAGGTGGTCTGAGCCCAGAACGAAGTCCTCGGGCTTGACAATGTCGTGCAAGGACCGCACAGACAAATCACCGGTTTTCTTGCGTTCCGCTGCAGCCAAGTTGGTCTTGGCTGAGTTGTAGTTGGTCGCGGTGGCTCTCACGTCTGCATCGAGCTGCGACGACTCGTCGGCAATGTCGCTTATGAGCTCTTTGATGGATCTATCAAGTCTGAATTTGCGAGTTTGCCATTGGAAGTTTTCTAGATACTCCATGACAGGCACGTTGTTCACGGGCAACGTTTTGTAGGCGTTGGTTTGCGCCTCGTCCATGTTTCCCAACACCTCGACGATCTTGGCGACAGAGCCACCGATCTGAGTGTCGATTTTGACGAGTTCCTCGGATTGCAGCACGAGGGTGTCGAGAGACCCAATTTTGAACTCTGGGATCTTAAACTCCGATACGAACGGTCTGCCACCGCAGAGCTCTTCCTGCAGCCAGCTCTCCACGTTTTTGTCTGGTGCAGAGCTGGGCTGAGCATTCAAAGGTAGCGAAAGTAGCACATACTGGCTAGCAGTGTGCAACGCAGTCGCCATGCTTCAAATAATAAGAAATGTCGATACTAGCTTAAATAAACCCACGAAATTGAAATCTGAAAAAAAGTCACCCTATTTCCGACTCGAGAATTTTCACAATATAATGCCAATCTACAAGGAATAGGAGCTCTTTGACCTGAATTAGTGTATTATCTTAAGTTCATCGACCTGGGTATGGAAAGTTACTATTCAAAACCCCTATGGGTTTTTATGATTTTGAAAAATTCTGATATATCACTGCATACGTGCATCGTCACATCATAAGCTGAACGAACTATAAAATGAGGAACTTTTGACTAAAAAGACGGTTCAACACCAGCTCCAATGGCCAGTGTCAGTTTAACTTCGATTGAACCGGTGGTTTTTGATTCTCAAGCTGTAAATTTTGGTGTAAAAAATACGTGAAGTTTTGGTCTTGCAATTCCTCAAACAAGTTTTCCGCTCTTCGTATGGCTAATTATTGTGAGTTCATTATTGTTGGTGTGTCGCCAGGAGCGTACGAGCACCATTGCATTCTACAAAGTGGAAATGCCTATATATTATTGCGTACATCGAAGAAGCTTTGCTAAAAAATCAAGTAGACTTAGCTATCTAGGAAGAATGGGGTCGAAAGTGTAAGTTTGGTTTAATTGTCAGGTAATTTGTTGCGCTTATTTCAACACCTTACCGTCGACAATCTCCTTTTCTTGACCGTCAACGACAACAGGCTTGTCCCAAGCCCACATGTTGTTGATGAATTCCTTGTCTTGCTCGTTAGAGGCGTCTAGCTTGGTGAAAGAGTAAGACTCCCAGTCTGGAGCAACGTCGAAGGCTGGGATAGCGTCCTGGCCTCTGACCATAACGGCACCGGTGATACCGTTGTTGTTGTTCTCACCGTAGACAACGAGACAGCCGAACATGTACTTTACAGAGGCGCTGAGTCTGTTGAAGAAACCACCAACCAAGTTGTTGGACATGAAGGTCAAGGTTAGCTCGTCGTTGTACTTGAAGTCCACCTTCCACAGAGAGTACTCCTCTGCGTTGTAGTGTTCCCAGAACCATGGCAAAGCGACAGGTCTAGTGTCCTCGTTAGAGTACTTACGCTTCCACTCGTCTAGAGAGAAAGTGGATCTGCCTAGAACCTCTAGAGGGTGCTTTGGCTTCTTTGGCTCAGCAGGCTGTTCCTCCTCGGCCTTTGGCTTTTCGGCAGCCTTTGGCTTCTCGGCCTTTGGCTTGTCGGCCTTCTTGGACTCCTTCTTTGGTGGCTGGTAGACCACAGATTTCTGCAAGAACTTGGACTGGTCGAACAAACCGTTTAGAACAGGGTGAGCTTCGACGGTCTGGTACCATCTGTTGATAGCAGGGTATTGGGATCTGAACTCAGCACCGAAAACGAGGGTGGAGGCGAAGGCGTAGTAGACACCAAAGAACAAATCGGCAAGCGAAATGTCCTCGGTGGCCAAGTAGGTGTATTCTTGCAGTCTATTGTTGATGATACCGAAGCATGTTTCCAAAGCGGCCTTCTTTTCGTCACAGATCTTCTTGTTGTATGGAAATTTGCCCAATTGCATTAGAGCGTAGGTTTGGAATGGAGTGGCCATGTCGCCGTTCATGAAAGAAAGCATTCTCAAGACCTGGGCTCTTTCCTCGGTGGTGGCACCACACAAGGTTTGTGTGATTTGTTCATCACCCTTCAATTCAACGACTAAATGTGAAAACTTGTTAGTAAAAGGATTCTAGTGGATAAGGACCTTGGAATAGGACCCGAAAGATGGCGTTGCAACGATTTTCTGGCGTGTCCCAATTACGTTGTTTTCAATACTTTTTTCGCTCACACCGTTAGACTCAGAGTATAGAATTCTCGACACAGGAGCTTAGCTTTAATGTTGCCCATTCAGACAGGGATAACTGTTTAAAAAAAAGGTTTCTCATCATGCTAACGGACGATAAACAACTAGTGAAGGAACGCCAGAAAAATCCTGCTATGCCAAAATAAAAACTCGCACCACTCATGATCACATACAGTAGTATAGGACAGCGATGATCTCAGTCAACTGGAACCCTTCTGGACCCTTGAAGGCTGGAACCAAACCCAATGGGAACTCTTTCTTGAAAGCTTCCATGTCTTGGCTGACATCAACGACATTGATGTCCAATTCCAAGTATTTGGCCAAAGCAGGAGGCAAGATACCTCTGCCAAGCTGCTGAACGAATAGAGAACCTTGGGACATCTCAACGATTTGTAAAGTCTTGAAAAGTTCTTGACATTTTACCAGAAATCATCAAGTCAACAAAACTGAATATCTTCCTTTAGCTTTAGCCATCGGTGAAAAAGTTTTTACCTTTTATACTCTCAAGTTGTCGAACTTGGTGAAAATTTCTTGACGATGAGCGGTGATGAGCTGGTGAAAATTTTTGACGGCGCGGACGTAGAGCGTGGGAACTCGAGGCTATTTGAATCCGCGTGCTTACCCGGTAATAATCGAGTGCTGTGAAGAGTGTTAGGGTGTGGACGAGGGAGCTGGATGAGGGACGTGGTCAACGTTATTCAGTGATGAAAGGATTTGAGCGTAGTTTGTGAGGGCGAGGGTAAGATTTACTGAGGAGTGGGAAGTAGCGAATTTTTGTGTGGGACAGGACGAGAGCGTTGCTTAGCGTGCTAGGAACTCTTGTTTAGTGAAGTCGTTACTTAACACTGTGTGACGGGAAATTCAGAGTGTATAAGCAAATAAATGATATGCTAATTGTAGAAAGGTCGTGGTCGGGAAATAACAATTCTTGAAGGTTAGGGTAATTGCTCAGTGGGGTGAGAGTTCTTGATTAAGTAGGGCGACACTCAATGAAATAGGTGATGCAGTTAGCACTGTGTGACAAGAAATTCAGAGTATATTAGGAAATAGCCATGGGAAGGCAATGATTTTAGAATAAAAATTCTTGGAAAGTTGAGTGGTTGTCTAACGGAGTGAGAACTCTTGAAAAGTCGAGTCCTCTCTCAATGGGATGGGACTTCCTGAAAAATGAACTCTTTACTCAACACTGTGTGACAGGAAAATCAGTCTAATTAATTTAATAAATAATACACTATGCGTGGAAAGGATTTGGTTGTGGAATAAGAATGTTAACGAGCGAAAGGGATTCTCAGCGAAGTGAATGTAATTATTCGATGAGTTATCTGAGACACTATGTGACGTGTGATTGGGTTACTCATGTATGGCCCTGGGAAAATAAAAAATCGGGACTCATATGTTGGCGAAGATGAAGAATTCTTTAAGAGTCGAGCCATTGCTTTACAGGATGAAACCGCAACTTCAGTAAAGTAATTGCTTAGCGGAGTTAAAGTTCTACACAGTTGAACTCTCCACTCACTTCTGTGTGACAGAAAATCCAAAGTTTTTGATCAAATTACCAATATACTACCCGTACATTTCTCACAACATACTATAACAATTGCATACTCTCTTTCACCTCAACCGCACACCCAAGACCGACCATCTGGACTATCCCTCCACGGGTTACCTCCATCTCCTCACCAATTCGTCCCACTTATCACTTTTTCTCGCAATGACGCCCGGTGCTCATCGCCGGTATTTGAAAAATTTTAGGCGATGCGATGCGATGAGCTACGAATTCTACAACGTCTTCGAGAGCTCCAACTTGGCACAACTCAGTCGTCAGTCACCATTTCATAACCACATACCTCTGTCTACTACCACGCTACTCGGAAAAATATGAGTAACTCGCTCGAAGAACGGTTGCGTATAAATTCAAGCGCCTTCGATGGCCTGCTGTCACTAATACCAGCTAAGTACTACTACGACGATAAAACCCAGGAACAGTGGAAACAGAAGAAAAAGAGTAAAGCGCAATCTAAGCTGGATAAGCGTAGCAAGCTGGATCCCGAACTGCAAAACGAGGAATCCGCGTCAGCCCTCGAAATTAAAGCCCAAAGAGAAAAAGACGGACAACCTGTGGTGCTTCCGGGATCCAAAGCGGTACCGCAAGCGAGCGACAGCTCAGATGAAGTAGAAGAGGACGAGGAAGAAGAAGAAGAAATAGAAGAGGAGGAGGCAGAAGGTGATGAAGACCAGGGGAGGTCAGAAACAGAAAACTCAAAATCTACATCAGTTCAGGATGGAAAAGATCTGCAGATCCCCCAAGCTGCTAATGCAGGCCCCGCTTCGGAAGACGAAGAAGCGATAGACGTGATCTTCGACGACGAGGGCAATGAAGTGGGCAACGAAGTCAACTCCCAGACCACCCAGGTCCCCAAGGAGGACACTAAAGCTAGCAAATCAGATTCTAACAAAACTCCAAAGGCGGACCGGAAAGAAAACTTGGCAAAACTACGTGCTAAACTGCAAGAAAAAATCCAATCACTCAAAGAGAGACGGAAGGCACCTGGAACCTCGGTATCAGGAGCCCCCAGCTCGCGTGAAGCCATCTTGGAGCAACGCAAGCGCAAACAAGAACAGAAACGGAAACGGTCCGAGTTAGACAAGGCTAAACAAGACGAATCTAGCGACAATGAGTCGTCTGATAGTGAAGCAGAAGAAGAGACCGATGTGGTTGTTAAAAAGAGAAAAACCGGTGACGAAGATCTAACTAAGGACCTCATGTTCCAGAATATCGAGTTTGACGACGGCTCCCGCGCAACCTCTGACCTCCAGCGTCTGCGGAAGTCCAGCAATAAAAAGGGACCAGCCAAGAACGACATCAAGGCCCATTTGCAGGCCTCGGAACTGAGACGTGCCAAGCTCGAAGAAAAGGACGAACTCGAGCAAATCAAACAGAAGGAAAAAGAGAAATGGCAGCGTGCCATGCTACAAGCCGAAGGCGAGAAATTCAGAGACGGCGAAAAACTGTTACGCAAAGCCCTGAAGCGCAAGGAAGCAAAGAAACGCAAGTCAGCAGTCGAGTGGCGTGAGCGTAAAGAAAGTGTCGCCACAGCCATTTCCGACAAGCAAAAGAGACGCGAAGAGAACCTACAAATACGGAAGGACAACAAGGGCAAGAAGAGATCTCATCAGGAAAAAATGAAGCGTGGCATTAAAGGAGTAAGGCCTCAAAAGCGGGCTGGTTTCGAAGGGCGCCTTAAGAGTCAAAAAAAGCGCTAAATATAGCTCATAAGAGCGGTCGCTTCGTTTTCAAGGTTTGATTCAAACACCCCACTATTATATATTTTCGCAGCAATGGCATACGTGATTCTTACAATCATAACACCAGCCCAATAGCTCGGGAAATAGCATATTTGAAGTAAGAAATAGCACAATTTAAAGCATTCAGGTTTCATTCGAAATGCGTTTTGTCAGATTTCTATGAGTCGATCATATATGAAATGCTTGCTCATCGCTTAAGTAATCATAATTTGTGAATATTTCAAAAAGTTGGAAAATTTACCGCTGTCAACTCAGTCGACAAACCCGATCAAAAACATACAATACACTCCCGTTTCAATCACTTAGATGGACTTTTCATGATCATTTCAAGAGCCGCCAACAGTAAGTTCAGGGCTCTTTCATTGATTCGGTGTTATAGAAAGCGAGTAAAGTCGCAAATCAGCCATGTAAACCAGGTCAAAGACCGACAAAATGACCTCTTCAAGCCCCAGGAAGTAAAAATGCGGGCTGAATCCCCAGATAGTGTGGAGAAGAAGCTGAAAAAACTTGGTTTCAAAAGCTTGGAAGAAAGTGGCTCTTCAGAGGAATTATTTGTGGATTATCTTAACTCTTCCCCATCTCCGTTCAAAAAGTCTCGGTCTGAGCTGGACAAGCTCAAAAAGAGTGGAGCTGAAAATCAGAATGATGCGAGCAACCGAATGGAGCTTTTGTTTGACTTTATGTTGGAGGAATCTGAAAGAGAAATCAAACGACTAGATAGCATGGGACCGGTTCAAATGCAGAAACTACAGAACCAACACATAGAAGCACAACGTGGATTTGAGGGTGACCGGCGTAACATAAATTCCGAAAAGGAGCTTGAAAGAGCCATTTTCAAGGATCTTGAGCAGGCCTCGAATGCTCAAGATTCTGAGCGGTCTTTATTACCCAACACTGAACGAATGTTCAGGGTTCTCTCAGATCTAAATATGAGAAAATTGGCCTCTGCTGGAATAATATCCCCAGATCAAATGGTTGGCGCGTTCGAGGCGTCGAAGGTCATACCTCTGCGTAACATTAGACTTAGAGGAGTGTTGCTTGCAGGCCACTTGATCTATTCCCTGGGTAGAGTAAGAATGGACCCTGTGAACGAGTCTTTCTACATTGAGGCACTCGTCTACTACGGATTTTACAAAAAGGCGCTTGAGCTATTCAATTCTAATCGCAGGAAAGTCAACCAGCGTTGGTGGTACGAAATGGGCATGATGATATGCCTTCGTGCCAATCACCTTGCGCAATTCGACAGATTGTTGCAGCTCACAATGGACTCATTTGGTTCGGACTATGTTGCACCCAGAATTTTGCGAACAGCTATTCGTAAAAAGCTTTACATCCGGGACTATGTGGGGTCTGGAACGCTGACTGACTTGTTCACTAAGATGACCGCGACATACGGGTGGCGGCCTTCCAAAATTGAGAGTCGCGATAACAGCAAGAGTCTATATTTCACAAACGAAGTGCAAGCAGATCAGTTCTTGAATCAGAAAGAGCAGCCAACCGAACTTGATTATGTGGCATTGATACAATACCATTTTTTTAGAAAACGCAAGGATGAAGCGCTCATGCTCTTGCTAAAGCTAGCAATGCTTCCCGATATGGACAAAGAATTACTAGCAAGTGTTATGTGGAAGCTCAAAATTCACTTGTTACAAAGCTTTGACGTTCTTAAGAATGAGCTTCAGGCATCTTTTTCTACCGAAACTGACTTCCCTATAAGTCTCCTCCAAGAAGCGTTCAAGACAGCACAACTACAAAGCGGTATTCATGAGCTGCCGCAACAGCATAAGCACATCTTGTTTGACAACATTAGCGCGGTTGCTCTACATCCCTCCTTAGTGAAGCATGTCGAGGATCTTGCAGATGAATTATTGAAAGGATTGGATAAGTTTGAGAGCAAAGGGTCAGGCCGAGAGTATTCATTGAAAATTCAAAACGTCTTGAAAGCGCTTTTGAAGAATGACAAAGAGGTCCCTGCGTTGGAGCTCTTAAATAAAGTTGAGAAACCTCTAGAGGATGAAGAAAACCATTCGACTCAATTCACAAAGGCGAATGCTCATCATTACGCGGTTTTTGTTGATTATTACAGTGCCAAAGCTCAAAACACGAAGGTTGCTAATGATATTATCAGTTATGAGAACAAAATCGAGCGTTTGGTTACGAATGTTAACGAAAAAGGCATCAAATACAACGCAATGCTACTGTCATCTCTTTTGCAGCATTATAGAAAGACAGGGAATCTTGACAATTGCTTCAACATTATCAACACGATTCTGAATTATAAAGCAAATCCTGAGACAGATGATCGGTTCGGACACCTTTTATCCTTTTTTGAAAGGCGCGAAATCACCAAGCCATTGTACTTAGAAATCTGGAAATGTTTTGCATTGTACTATTCCTATTTTGATAATGGTCTTGGCGTCACAGAACTTCGCTCTAACCACGGCGCTTGGACGCGCAACGTCTCTAAAGAAAGGGCTAAGATAAATGTCCATCCGGCATGCGACTACAGGACTCTTTTCAAGACAATGGTGCTGGAGGACAATATTCTACCCGATACTTACTTCTATCAGCTCATTATCAAAGCTCTTGTTCGCGTTCGGGACTGGTCATATATACCAGCGCTTTTGAAGTATATGAGCGACGTTAATGGTATTGAACCTGATGAAAAGTCGCTAAGATTTATAAATGGTGGGCTTCGGTTGGAATACATTGCCATAGAGCGTGAAATGCTAATCAGCGATAAAGAGGAAATTCACAAATGTCTCACCTCTCTAATGAACCGCGCAAGGAGAATTGTGGAGAATCAAATCAAGGCAGGAACAATTTTGAAAGAATCTCACGACAACGATAAACAGCAAATCTTGGAAAACATATTAGACTTTTTGAAAGAATATCGCAGCGACGAGCTCATAAAAGTGAATTTGGCATTGGAGGAGCTGGATCTCAATTGAAAGCAATGCTTTAGTTAGGACTATCTTGTAAATATACTTGAAAATTCATCTACTTTTTGCCTAGTTTTAGCCATTTTGGAGTTTGGCCAACACGCAGACCTTTGCTAGGCTTTTTCTCCGGACTATTCGGTACGGGACTGGGTACCGTTTGTGCTTTGCTATCACCAGTTTCACGCAGATCTGAGAACGTCTTGGCTTTCTTCAGCAGGTCCGATCTTAGTTTAACGTCACTTTGAGTGGTCTGTAAAATCAGCAAAGTTTTGGAACCGAATTTTGCGTCCGCGACCAGCTTTGAATCGTTATCCGGTACCTGCTTATGAGGGTGCGAGTGAAATAATGCAAAAGGCGCTGTCTTATCGTTCAAACATCTTGCCACAGCTTCATAAACCAAGTGGACAGTATCGTCCGGCCTGAAATTAATGTCTATGCAAGTACGATCAGGAAAACGTATCCGAACATTACAATTCTCGATTGTTTTTGGGGGGCTTTCCTTCTCTTGCAGACGTTTCGTAAGGAGAGGATGGTTCCCACCGGCGTTCTTAGAGAGCATATTCTGATATTTCTTTAAATGGTTGACAGTAAGCTCAAAATCCTCTTCTTGATCGGAATGAGAGATCAGAGGTGCTTCTGGATCGGGAATATAAGCCGCTATTTCTTGACAATGATCTTTAGGTTTTGATGACTGGTCCTCTTCATCCTTGATGCTGGTTTTTTGCGATACCTGCTCCTCTGCGACTGGTGAAATATGAGTTTTGGCCGCTTTATGTTGCTCAATGGCCTGTTCACCGCTTGGAATGAAGGATATTCTAACAGAAACATTATCAACAATGCCCAATTGAGCAAACGTGGAGTTGCGTAATTGTTCATATTCGAAGATTTTGGCAAAACATTGTAGCTTCAGCTTCTCTGCAGTCAAAGGCCAAGAATTACGATCAAAAACGTTCTGAACCGCTTCCAACACTTTGGTAGACGGCGAACCAATCCAGATGTCGGTCCCACGTTTCAAAACCGAAAACTTAATTTTCAAGATCTTGTTTCCAGTCTCCGATTGCTGATTATCTTTCAGCTCAAGAGTTGCACCACTAGCCAAATTCAATAATCTTAGAGGAACTGACAATGGCAATTGTGTTCCACCATGGTGAAGTGCCCAATCTTTGTTTTCGCCACTGAGCTTGAAGTGCTTTAGACTTCGAGGCAGAATGTCATTCAAGTTGATACCGGGCTCCACTTTCTCTCTGTAACTGGCAAATTTATACGAGATCTGAATTACTGACATCTAAGTAGCTTTCTGTGGTTCTCATAAGGTATTGAGACATCAAGTTGTTGATGAATTGAGAGTTGTGTAGTATATCGATCGATAGCCTTGAATTCGAAGCTCGTTGGGACCGTAAGAACGACTAGATAAACGGGCGACGAACCAACTCGATGGCGTCAAGATGTCACTGGAAGTGAGCGTTACAGAGAGTTGTGTTCACTCACTGCTGGGTGAGACGAGACTTTAAGATAGTTAATAGATGGCGAGAATCTTGAGAGGCGAGTAGAGTTTCAAGTTGTAAAATTACGGTTTAGACATAATTTAGAATAGCCTACAGTAATTGAAAGAGGTCGAGAATAGAATAAAGATGTTGAAATTAGCTGTCTAAAGCTATTTATGATTTTATAAAGTTTCACGAGTTTAATCAATGAATGTCTGTTGCTGCCATTCTTTCTGCTTTATGATCATAGCTGTCAAACATTTCAAGAGAGGTTGCACTGAAGCATTGGTCGGCGAGAAGCCTGGTTTGATTGTATTGTGGAGTCAAGAGACTCGATTTGTTTTGTATTGCCTATTTTCTTCTTTCACAGCAGTTTCCATAAGTTAAAAGCTGGTCTATTACGTTATGGAAGCTTGGTATAATGACAAGACATAACACATTGTATAAAGGTAGATTATGCAGAGAAAGCTGGGTGTCGATAGAGTTTGTAACAGAGCAATTGTAGTTGAGAAAAGGCTTCGAACTCCAAGCATAGTCTCATAAAGATACGGCTAACTGAAGAACGTATTCAAAGGACACTGCGTCTCCTCTATATTTTAGCTTCCACATCTATAACATGCTTGGAGCGAACAAAATATGTCTTTTGACAAATGCTGGTTTAATGCCTTTCCTTCTGGAAAGGCAGTCTCTTCGTGCACACTGCGTGTGGGGTAATGCACTTACTCAGTGTGTTTGACGTTGTGGAATCGAGACAAAAAGCGAAGCACGAGTTAAAACAAAGACGCACAGAATTATGTCAATCAAGCACATATCAAAGATCCACTGTCCCAGTGCACTGTATAATCGCGTGTCGCATAGCGAACCAAAAACTACGACTGAAAAGTGCCTTTTCGCAAACCAAGTAATCGAAAAGCAGACCAAAACAGGAACCAGACTCGAGTTTTTCCAAGCCCACCCAATACCATCTCACAGTACTTTATCACTTTGTGAATATCCACTTTTTCTTCCCGGTTTCATGCGACACTGTCATTTTACTTCTCTGTGTTGAGAATATTCAGTAAAGCCGTGTATGGTCTTGATTTTCGAGCAAAACAATATGCGTCGCTCCCATGAACTCTCCATCTCACGCCTACAATTCAAAATCTGCATGGCCCTCTACAAAAATCAAATGGCTGGACGCTACAATATTTCTCAGCCTTCTGTCGGACGTTCTTTCAAGAGGTACCACGCCAAGACTTTTATATCTGAAAACCGTCTAGCACATACCAAAGACAAGAACATCCCTCCTATGACTTGAAAGCTGTACCAGCCCTCCTATAGTCCACTAAAAACATAGATTAATCCAAAATTCCAGTCCTCTTCACCAAAACCTTTTGCAGTGACGGTCCTGATACTCATGCCATCTACCCATTATTCGTGTCGTTCCTCTAGTCGTCCGAAACCTTCTATGATTATAAATTGCCAAACTGACATCTTTGCCAACCTTTAAACACCCCACCGGTGGCGAATCTCAACAATCAGTTCACCTCAGTTAAAGCTCCTGGAATATGTCCCAAGAATCACAGCCGTCTCGCAATGAAATGCGTACTTTTAAGGAGGATGAGCTGGAAGAATTGCGTAAAGTTTACGGGATGAGAGAGGCTTATAAGACTTGGCGAAAGGGATCGGATCCCAGAGAAAACGAGAAACGTCTGTTATCGCAACTAGATTTCTTCCCAGACGGAGACAAAACGCGAAAGTGCTCGATTTTGGACGTCGAAATCGGTAACAAGCTACATATTCATGAGTTCGAGGTTGAAAACACCGAAAAAACCGATCGCAAGCATTGCAGAGATATGGTAATAATGCATGGGTACGGCGCTGCGTTGGGACTTTTCGTGCGTAACTTTGACGGCCTGAGTCGCGTTCCGGGGCTCAAACTGCATGCCATCGACATGCTTGGTTACGGACTGTCATCGAGACCCAAATTCCCCGGAACTGGGTTTATATCCAGCTACGTGAAGCGAGGCGACATTACAGTGAAGGAAGTCAACGAGGCCGAGGACTTTTTCGTAGACTCGCTGGAACGATGGAGACAGAAAAGACAGCTCGAGCGGTTCGTTCTCGTGGCTCACTCGCTGGGAGGCTATCTGGGCTGCTGCTACGCGCTCAAGTATCCCGAGCGAGTAGAAAAACTGGTGTTGGTGAGCCCCGTGGGCGTGGAAACATCGGTGTTCGACCTCACGCGCAAACACACCGACAAACACCTCCACGCCACAGAATTGGGGCCCGATGTATCGAAGGAAATGTCAGCGGACAAGAGCAACCCCACGACAGACAACCCAGTGAAGACGTCCAGCTCATTCCACGTGCCCGATGATTCTGGCAACGTGGAGCGCGTTCCCAACTTGCCGAAGGTGTTTGCGTTCATGTGGTCGTGCAATATCTCGCCCTTTGGTATTCTGCGCACCCTGGGTCCCATGGGCGCATTGATGTCGTCGAGATGGTCTTTCAGGCGGTTTACGCACTTGAAAGACCCACAGGACCTGTTTACGTTCCACGACTACTTCTACAGTGTTTTTAGCGGCGCCGGTAGTGGGGAGTATGCGCTAACGCGAATTCTGGCGCCCGGTGTGCTGGCAAGACTGCCCTTGCTGTCTAGAGTCCCCGAGAACCTGAAATGTGATTCTTTCTGGATGTACGGCAGCTACGATTGGATGAGCAAAGAGGCCGGCCAGGTGATAGTGCGCAAAATCAACGAAAAGGCCGCAGGTGTCACAGCGGACTATTCTGTTGTTGCCAATGCCGGCCATCACTTGTATCTTGACAATCCCTCAGAGTTCAACCGTAAAGTGCTCAATTTTCTTAAGCTTTCGTCTTGACAGTAGCAAATAGAACAGGTATAAAAGCATTTTATGTATATTCAAGACCACATAAGAACTGGTAGCGTCCCGTAGGAGACACATCCCAGCGCTGCTGGCACTGCTGGCACTGCTGGCATTCTTGTCACTTTTGTCACTTTTGTCACTACTGTCGCGAGCTTTACTATCACGCGACTATCACATGCTTATCACGCTTTTTTAACGTTTCCCATTTGTTTCCCATTTGTTTCCCGTTTGTTTCCAGAACCGGTGTTTCCAGTTCCGGCTTCCAACTATACTCTTTTGATTGCCCGAAAAACGAAGTCTTAAAGCCATTAAATTAAACCCTTCTTTCTATGCATAATAAGTTCTTTAATGGTATAATTTCCATCGCATCGCCTACAAATAAATCAAGACCCAACCATTTTAACTTAGCTTTTTGAAGCCAAAGCTACAAACAAGAGCTGTTTTCGAGCCCTATGCTCGAGAATCCAAGCGTAAGACTACGAAATTCGGTAATTTCGGGCAAACTTTCCATAGTCAAGCGGATCCTGAGCCGGTTCCCGGACCTTTTGACAGAAATCGACCCTGCCAACGGGTGGTCGCTATTGCACTACGCTTCGTACCATGGAAAGTACCTGGTTTGCGTGCATCTACTACAACTGGGACTCGGTAGAACTGAAATGCTGAAAACATTCGAAAGCAATACGTGCGTGCACCTTGCACTTCTGGAGGGCCACGAACAAACGGCACATCTGCTTCTGCAGCATTTCCCTCAATGTTTGAACATCAAGGGCCACAGGGGCCTGACACCTGTGCAAATGACATGTATGCACGACCATCACAGGTGTCTGAGCCTTTTGCTGGGCCTGGGGGCAGATCTTAGTATTCGGGACGATGAAAGCTATACACCATTGCATACATGTCTGAAACACGGCAGCGTGAATTGCATGCGAATGCTGATTCTAGAGGGCGATCTGGCCGCAGAAGAATGTCAGACGGTCGGAAAGTGGACTCCTGAAGACTTATGTCTCAGCTTCCAGCTGGTAGACATTTATCGCAAGGCACTGCGTGACAAGCGCACCCACAGCCGGCTGCCGAAAAGACCGAGCTACCAATCGATGGTCTCTCCGCTAACTATCCCGAAGCCGGTCTTCGAGAACAGCGGATCGCCTGTTTTGAGCACGTCTCCTGCGGCTCTGTCGTTTGCTTCTCAATTACCACCGTTGCCCGTAATATCAACTAGCCGGAGAACATCGGTCGGAAGCCACCACAACATGTTGTCGCCAAAAACACCGATATCGCATACGTTTCACAGTAGTTCCCCGACCAGACGACGGCTCTCAAACTTGAGCCATGTCAACACTGCATCTTCGACATCTCTGTCTCGACGTGAGCCAAGTCCCAGCGTTAGTGGGAGTTCCCGTAATGTGCCCAATCAGGCCAATTTTGAGTGGTACAACAAACACAGTGTGTCCACTATGAGCATGGAGAGTCACAGGAACGGCCCTAAAAGCGGGACATCGACTTCAAAAGACCTGGCAACACCAGAGGATTCGCGGCAATTTGAAAAATTGGCTTCATCAAAAGGCGATAAAGCACAACCAAACAAAGACGTACAACTATCGGTGCTAAATGTTCCTGTTTCAAAAATAAGGAAATGATTGCTAGAATTTGAGGAGAACGTCGGTGCGAATGCGCTTGAATTTGCTATATATCGAAATAGATGTTGTAGTGTAACTTACAATTAGGATTAAACGGTGCAGAGCAGAAGGGACACTGGAGATTTGACCCGCAGGTCAATCCGTTCCGGTATTGGTCAAAAGTCATAGTGTTTCGACACACTCCGCACAAAACTACGTGAGTTGTGGAGTCGTTTGCAACTTTATACCTCTGAATTGGGTGTTCTTCCAAAAAATCGTGGCACGAATGACAGGCGTAATAGCGATCACAGCATTTAAATCTAAAGCAGACAACGTCTAGTTTGGAGTTCCAATGAACACACCGGGACTGGTTGTCGACCAATAGGCCCTTTGGTACAGACATCTCAGACAAGAATGCAGATTAACCGAAGATTGGATTAACGCTCGAGCAATTCTGCTTTGGAAAATATACCAGAGTTGTAAATGGATCTTGATCTTAGCTTGTGAAAAAAGTGAACGAGTGCAAAGAGATGCACCTTACCGAGCATTGGGTTTCATTAAATGTGTATATATCATTTCATTATATAAATATGGAGGAATATAAGAGATTCGGTGTCGTTACAGGTTCATAATTGATGGATCTCATCATTCAAGCCTCTGTGACGAACTTGACACCCTTCTCGATGTTCTTCTTCAAAGTCTCCTTGCACTTGGCCAAAAGTTCTTCTTCTTCAGAGGAGAGTTCTCCAATAGAGTAGATCTTTTCCACACCGTGAGGGCCGAGCTTCACAGGGGAGGCAAAGAACTCGATTCCTTCGCTCTTGTACAAGGGAGAGTCGACGAAAGCGGGTTCAATGACGTCGCTTTCGCCGTCAAGACCTTGCAAGACGGAGTTGGCGAATCTGGCACCGGCTTGGGCCATGGACAAAGTGGCAGAGCCAGCACCGTTCTTGGCCTTGACCACCTCGTCACCGCCGAATTGGATTCTGTTGATCAAAGCGTCGCGAGCAGCAGTGTCCATGTTCTTGTGCTTGGTCTGGGAGATCAATGGGATGATGGTGATACCGGAATGGCCACCTATCACGGTAACCTTCTCCTGGGTAGGGTTGGTTTTGGCCACCTCTGAGATAAAACGGGAAGCACGGATCACGTCGAGGGTGGTGACACCAAATAGCTTCTTAGGGTTGTAGACACCCTTGCTCTTGAGCACTTGAGACACGATGGGGACGGTGGAGTTGACAGGGTTGGAGATGACCAAAATCGCCGCGTCGGGCGCGTTTTCGGCGCATGCGGCAGCCAGGTCGCGCACGATCGACGCGTTGATCGAGAAAAGGTCGTCACGGGTCATTCCTGGCTTTCTGGGCACACCAGCGGGGATCAACACCACCTCAGTTCCCTTTAGCGCTTCTTGCAGCCCGTTGTTGTCGGGAGCAAAGCCCTTGACAACCGAGTTGGTGGGGATGTGTGACAAGTCAGCAGCAACGCCAGGAGCGCCCTTGAGATCGTAAAGTCTAAGATCGGTGACTTTTTGGTTTAGTTTCAGCAACAAAGACAATGGTTGTCCAATTCCACCGCCCGCGCCTAGCACGGTGACTTTGTATGGGTTGAAACGGGTGGTAGAAAAACAACGTTTAGCGGCAGAGAGCATTGCAATGTGTGTATGTGCAGTTTATGTGCCGACCTGTCTGTAGAGATTCCTTATTCTGGCTGAATTCTACGATCAAGAACTCACGTCAAGATGTCGAAGTTCTGAGTACTTTTCCCGGATTTCTCAGCGTTTATATACTCTCGGCTATGTATTGTGGGTCAATTGGCACTATTAGATATTCGAGATCGGAGGTCGCGCAATACGACGTGAGGTCTCTCTGTGCGGGACAGAAAAAAGGGGCGGGCCCAACCCCGCGTGACCTTCGCTTTATTTTTTTACGAATTCGGCGCGCTGCGGTGCCGACACGGAAAAGTCACGGGGGGAGGGCAAAATAAGAACCCAGACACCAATAGAGGTCACGTTACTCTTATTTTGCATGTGACCCGGTTCTGTGTATCGCTCTATACGGACTCTTCGCACTTCATACACACACATATACTACCATCAGACTCACGGAAGTTCTGTCCTATCGACATCGTTCGCGTACTCTCTGGACCATATAGTGCACATCGATCCCAGTTCACACCACTCTTGTGCATCAAGTCCGTCTTTTGTCGTTATTTTTCTTGTGTGTCTCGGGTGTCCACAAACTAGCGTTTCTCGCGCCCTATATATCTACTAAGCTTACCGAAAGTCGAGCCCTTTACCTCTATGGACCCTTCCTTCACGAGATTTCAAGCACTGTTTTGCCCGTGGTCTTTCTAGCCTCCAACTCCGTAGCAGCCTGCTTATACTCGCTCATGGAATATGTTTTCGAGATCGGAATTGTCACTTCGCCCGAGTTCACCGCTGTCACCAGCTCGTTCGAGTAGTATTCCCACTCCTCTTGGCTACCGAGATACCCGAAAATTCTGGGTCTCAGCAATTTTACATTTTTGGGTGAAAGCTTCGCCAATACCACGGGCTCGACGGGTCCCGAGGCGTTGCCATAACTTACAACCGTTCCCTTGCGTTTCACCGCGTCCAAAGTGGTTTCAAACGTGTCCTTACCCACCGAGTCGTAAACGACACTAACACCCTCTCCATTCGTGATTTGTTGAACCCGTTCCAAGATGTCTTCCTTAGAGCTGTTGATCAAAAACTCAGCACCGTATTCCTGTGCAAGCTTCAATTTTGCATCCGTAGAGGCTACAGCAATGACGCGAGCGCCGGCTTTCTTCAAAGTCTGGTCGAAAGCCAGGCCTGCACTTCCAGCAGCAGCGTACAAAAGTGCGAAATCTCCCTTTTGGATCGAATAGCACTCCTTCGTAAACGTCAGTGCCGTAAGCACGGAAATCATCGATGCTGCGTAAATTTTTAGTTGGTCATCGGAAGTCGACGCTGGCAGTTTCACCAACAGCTTATCTGAGCCCACTTTGGTGTACTGCGCCATGGATGCACCTGCCACGTACGCTACTTTGTCGTTTACCTCCAAACCTTGCACATCTTCGCCAATGGCCACGACGGTTCCGGAAGCTTCTTGGCCCAGCACATACGGTTTTTGCAAGGGATAGATACCCTTACGGTAGTACGCTTCGATGAAATTTACACCGGCGTATTTGTTCTTGACCAACACATCTTTGTCGCCAATCTTGGGCACTGGAAAGTCGTCATATTTGACCACATCGAGGTCGCCGGTTTCGTTAAGAAACCAAGCCTTTTGAGTCTTTGGAATGGTGCTAGACGCCTGAGCTGACATTGTTCTGAGAAATGTTCTCGACGAACTTTGAGCAAATCTTAACATTTGCAAGAAGTTAGCTTTTTCTGAGAAGTAGGTTGACAACAATCAACTTGATGTTCTTATAGGCAATTTCCAACACTAATAGCTGCGATGGTCAAAGTTTGTCAGCAAGCTAAACACAATTGATGAACTGGGACAACGTTGATGAACCGCGGCTATTGACGAGGACATGGGAATTATGGTAAAGTCAAGATAATTCGAACATTAATGATATCGGGTGCTGATTCGGATTTTAAAGAAAAACGAATTTTGAGGTTTTAGATTCGAGACGGCACTCCGTCTAGCTACGGATACTTGTATTTACCATCATTTCCAGACAGCAAGTGCTAATTCTCAGCGTTGCAATATCGTTGATATCAGGGTCCAGCGATACTGGTGGAGAGAAAACCATTTCTCGATCTTCAATAATTAGACTTCCAGAGTGAGTGAAAAAAGGTCGTTCGATTATACTAAACACACTTAATACCTACCCGTTGAGTGGATTATGCGGCGGGAGTCCCAGTGACGATGAATTAAATCGCAGTCCCAGATGCATCGATAACAGATTCCACTGTTGACCGATATGGTTCACATTTTATACAAAATACATCGCCCAATTCCAAGCAATTACAATCGTCATGTGTCCAAACGATAACAGATGCAGTGCCAAAAACTCTGTTGTTGAAAGCATTGACACAGGAGCGTAAACCTGTCTCCTGTTTCTAGCCGTGGTCGTGTCACTCTGTATTATTCTGTCACCACAACGGGCACCGGAAGCCTTGGCATCCCTTTTTCTGAGAGCTTACGTAAACCTTTTCAAGTCAGGTGGTATTCATATTACCAAACACGGAATCACTTTTGACACACCCGTCAGCGTCACATGCGAGAACCTTTAGTTCTGTCTGTAATGGTCAGGTGTGTGGATTCAACTTTGATTCGCTGCCTGTTGTTCGTTAGTTGGCGGTATTTCAAATTGACTTAAAAGCTTTTATCATGATATTTTGGTAATTTTAAATAAATACTGTAATATCCTGAGTGAGTACCGGACCCAGATTTATCGCCCAATAAGCCCCTAAGTGCTTCCTCGTAGGCTTCCGGATGCTAATATCTCTGCTAAACTCACCATCATTTTGTAGTTATCCGTCATCGGTCGTTTAGTCACGTGACTAACCATGACCGTCTTGTGTCAAAAGGACATCAGTTCTGCCCAGGAATGACGGCGATCGAGCCTCTATAAGCCAGCCCTGACCTTCTGGTATCAAAAAAGATCATTGGAATTTGTGAGCAATGCCTTTTCTAGATCCCAAGCAGGCGCTTCTAATCATACAAGAGGCTGAGCAACCGACTTGCAATACATGAATGTATTTTAAGGAGACGAAAGCGGTCATCGAGCTAACTCTGAATAATCTTCGACAAACGAATTGTATTGTCGGAAAGTGTTGTTTTCTTGGACTTGTATATATTTGGCATTCTTTGTATTCTCGGAAAGCTTCGTATTTTCATTCCCCATAAATACACCTCTGGTAGAAAAAGATGAGCATTTCGGACTGCTACCACCTGCCATTTGATAAAGGCATTCCGCTGCTTTATCTCCAACCTATCTTCTTCGAAACTATAAGCCTCACATTTGAAATCGATCAAAGTCACACGAGCTTTCAATCACTTCGCATTAATTAACATCTGGTGCTGCTGTAACCTACAGTCTGTATAGCCCTCTTAGGTCCGTTAGGACCCTCTCAATGCTCTCAATTAGTCAACCACATTAAAACTCGTCTTCGTCCTTACTCACAATCGTTCCCGACTCTTTGTCCTTAGTTAAATTGCCTTGACATCCTATTACTTAAAGTCCTATTCTTTCGGTTATTGCGTCCCTCTTGCTGGATCCACTGGCACTGTACCAGTGCCATACATGCAATCACCTGCGAGAACCATGGCACACCCAATAATCCGTACGCCGTGGCGTCTGTCTCAAAGTCAACCTCACCCACCGTCACAACTGCCAATTTCTTGGTCAATTTAGGCAGGAATGGTTCTCCCACGTCTTCAAACTTGGCCCACACGATCGCGTTACGCTCGAGCGCTTTGGTGTTGCTGGGTTTGGATGCTCTCACTTCACGTGAGTCCAGCAGCGACCGCGCCTGGGGCGGTAGAACCACCAGATCGTAGTTCTCCGACGAGGTCCGGCGCCACCCAACGTTCCACTCACCTAGCCGGGCGTCAGAGTCCAAGCACATCCGATGTTTGCGTGTACTCACACTCGTGGTTCCATCTGGCGTGTAAAAAACGTACTCGAACGCAGACCGGCCGCCTTCGCCAAAACTACGCGTCACCTCGCAAAACGGCATCTTATAGATAGCTTTCTTACCGTCTTGGCACACCACCGAACAGTTTGAATGCGGCAGCGTCGCTGCTGCATCCTGTAGCACGAACTTACTTACGCGAAAGCGTACGTTGTCTCCATTTACTAGTCGCACCAACGAATAAGGATCCTCGAACTCGAACAGCGGCACGCCCAGGCCTCCGTCAAGTATATTCTGAGGCGTGCCAAACTTTTTGCCCGCAGCTTTGAATCGGTCGTAGGAATGTGGTGTTGAGAAACATAGATACTTCCTGCGTTTGCCAAACATGGTGACGATCACCATTTGGCGATGTCTCGAAAACCTCAATGAGGGCGGGACATTAGGGTCTGCATTTTCGCGGTAAAGTGGTCTACTGGGATTGTTACCCATGATCAACTGGAGGGGGACTTATGAGAGTTGTTGAAGTTGAATGATGTTTAGTGAGGCTGAGAAAGGAAGGTTGTGAATTAGGTGAAATTATTAAATGTATGTTGCACTGGACAATCAAGAACTCCGGTAGAGAACCTTAAGCTACATTAGACAATCAATAGCACTTCCAAAGAGGCTAGAGACATCAATGAACAATTGAAAGAGTTCTGACGATGATTTGGGAATAAAAAGGGGCGTAGTGTTACTCTTGAAGAATGAAAAGTGTCAGCGGTTGATGATGAATGATAAAGATGACTGGAAAACACAGGAATGAATGAAATTTTTGTTGATGGATCTGTGGGCAGGTAGAGAGGTGCATGCGTAGCTTCACAATTGCGCGTTGACAAAAAACTACAAATCGAACGAAGAACTTCGGGTGAGATGGTCCCAAATCATGGTTAGCCTGTTTGCCCGCTAGTGGTAGGAGCGGCTACAACTGTAACAGAACAGCTGGCTGTTCCAGTACCAGGAGCTTGTGGTAGAGTGTTTCGTGAGCTTTAAGCAATGTGAGCTGTATTCATAATGGTACTCATGGTTGTACTCACTGTGGTACTCGTACTCGTGGTTGTATTCGTGCTGGTGTTGATAGCTCTGTATGGGAGAAGAGCTATAACGTCACTTTTCAGGGCGGGAGACGAATATTTGGAAAATCTCGAGTGCGAAACCGCGTATGGACGGCTGTTTGTACCTCCATTTCCTTGTAAACGCGATAGCCAATTGCAATTACTGCGGAACCGAAATCTCTCTTGTTGGTCGTAGAAATGCATTTTTGAGTCGTAAGTGCTCCATTCGTAAAACTACAATTCAGTTGCAGCTTGCCGTACCTCAGGTGTGAATACGCCAGCCTAATGGGCCATGGATTCGTCTCTTGCCTTGCAATCGCAAGTCCGGTGACATTATTATGGAAAGTGACACCTAATCTTATAATTAATTTTGACAAAATTGTTGTCACATTGCGAGAGAGGCACCACCATCAAGGCTTGCTGACATTATCATAAGAAGGCTAGTTTTCAAAAGTTTCAATTCGCATGCTGCTAGTAGGAACGCAGCTGGATATACCCATCTTTTGGTAGTGACAGTAGATGTGTGTCTCGTAAAAAGCAATATGAGTGACTGCCGTGGGCAATAATTATCGTGCGACGTAAAGCTAACACTAGTGTTTAGCTTACTCTCAGTTGCACAAATACGTCCTTTTACGTCTGAAACAGTGAACATTTCGCTCTGCTCGAACATCTTCGCTTGGTGACAGATCGTTTGACCAGTAGCACGTACATTTCGTGTAGAGCGATACAGAATGTGTCCAGGCACTTCACACGGAGCTCTTTTTCGCAGCTCTCCATGTACTTGCAACTAATGGCAGACAGTGACACTTGTTTAGCTGCCGAACTGCTTTCTTACTCTTATATTTATAATTTGCTTACATGGTTAGCTTTTCACTTGTAATTGCGCTCCTCTAGCTTTTTGACACGGCCGTTGAATTTTGAACTATAGATAAACCACTAACCAAAAATCAAAAGTCATTCATCGACACTCAACAAACAAAGATTATTCCATGAATTATCCCTTGTAAGATAGCGTTGAGCCAACACTCTGGCGAACACCCGGTCCGGCCTATTCAAAATTGAGCCACCTGTCATCGGTCATCTGGTCACGTGAGCAAATGTTATAAGCATACTCTATACAACATATACATCAAAAGCTCTGACGCCGGATGACAGAACTTCAGGATGTTCTTCTCTCGATCAACTGATGTTCTGGCCGTCTTTCTATTTGGAAATGTCAAGTATCTTCAGCATTTTTTTTTTTGGTTTGGAGAAGTCAATAAATTCTAGTGGTGTGATAGCGACCAAACTTGAATGAGCAGAGAAAGCCTATGGGCAAATTCTATCTCTTCCATGTAAGTGATTCCAGCAATTGGTCTTAGATAACACCCGAGTTTTCGAGTTTTCGGGATTCTCGAGATATCCTCGAGCATCGGCGATCATCACGCTGGAAAACCTGTCATCGTCAAATTCCAAATGCATTCTCCTGAAGACCAAGTTCTAATACATTTCCCCCCCCCCCCCCTTCTCTCACTAGTCAAACATGTCGTCAAGTGAACTGCCCACGTACAAATGCAACTGGCTTCTTGTGGCCGGTATCAGCTTGCACCGTACTTGCACGTCGTCGCCAGTCTCGCGCGCGATACGATCGTACGCCTGGAACCGATGACACCCTCCAAACGCAAAGTAGTACGTTTTGCCTTCGTTGCGCACACATAAAACGTCGATAGGCGGTAGTTGGGCGTCCATGGCAGCAGCCTCCTCTTTGGTACAGGTTTTACTGGCCTCGGGCAGACCTTTTAGCGTGGAGACCATGGCATCGATTTTCTGGTGGTCCAAAACGGGCGCGATGGGACGGCGTATTTGCGAGAGTGACACCAGGCTGATTTTGTTCAGGCCGCCAGTTTGGATAGACATTGTTTAATACCAACGAGACCGCTATAAGTACGAATGAATTGAAAGTGTCAGCGAAGAGTGAGTGCTACAAGGACAGGATTTCAATTGAAAACAATAGCGATCAATTGCAGAAAAGTAGCGGCTGATAGTAGTTGAACGTAATTTGAATTAAAATCGAATTCGAAATGGTCCCAATCAAATTTCTAGTAAAGTTGAAGTTTAAAGATTCAAATTGAGAATTATTAACGATCTTTAGTATAATAAGCAGAGCGTGAACCTGGAAAAGTGAACTAGTTCCCAGATGAAGAAAAGTAGTAGCTTAAGAGTAATCCGTTCTCGAACAAAACTTGCCCTTATATATGCCTTCCAGTATCCGTTTAGTCAACGCTTGCTTACTGATACACACGGTCTGGACTTGTCCATAATTCCTTACGAAGTCGCTCATCACAGCAGCCCGCTCTTCTTTAAGTTCTGCTGAACAACCAAGTCGGCGACCGCGGTCAATACGAATCGCATGCTCTGTGGATCTGTCGCACACGTCCGGTGCACGTAAATGGGACGTTGAGTCTTGTTCAAACTCAAAAATACGTTCTCGAAGTATCTCAACCCGGCCTCTGCGTCGTTCACACGACCCTGATAGTGTGGGAAGAACTGACGGATCGGTGACCGAGTCAGCTTCGCGCGGAAGAGGTCGGTCTTGTTCAAAAACAAAATGAAAGGTGTGTCTGCGAACCACTTCGAGCTCAGCAGAGTGTCGAACAGCATGATAGACTCGTGCATGCGATTCACGCGTTCGTCTTCGAACAGCATTTGATCGTATTCGCTCACTGCCAGCACGAATAGAACTGCGGTGATGCCCTGGAAACAGTGGATCCACTTACGACGCTCAGACCTTTGCCCTCCAGCGTCCAGCACTTTGAGGCTCGACGATCCCACGCTGAACGTGGTTTCCGTGATGCCCGTGGTCTTGATCCGGCCCTTCAAAATGTCCTCATCTGAGCATACGTAGCCGGGCGTCGCAAACTGGTCAATGTGCTCGAAGTAGTACTCTGCAGAGCTCTCCAGTTGGAACTCGTTGGACCGTGCGAAACACTGGCGAATTCCACGGTCTTGTCGCCAAAGAGTTTGAATGGCCTCAGCCACTTGTGCTGCCGTGCTCGCGGGCTGTTGCTGTTGGTGCTGCTGTTGTTGTTGTCGAGCAAACGCTGGGTTGGCCTCGCCCTCGTTCAACCCTTGTGACAGTTCTTGCAGATCCAGATCCAGGACCAAGTCCATTTGTTGAGCCTGGCCCTGTCTCTGGCCCTGTCCTTGCTGGTGCTCCAGTCCTGCACTGTAGCGAAATGCTTGTGCTCGTCCTGTGCTTTGGCCCCGTCGCTTCTTCTCGCTAGTCTCCGAATACTTCAAGACGTAATCGTTCAGGAACCCGGACCCTCCTGCCAAACCTGCATCGATCAATTCCAGTGGCTTGGCCTTCAACAACAGACGTTTCTGCTCGAACAGGTGTCGATTGGTCTGTGGGTTATCACAGTCCAGAGGGATTCCCAGTCGCCGTGCTTGAATAATCAAGATCTTCATGGACTGAATCGCATCTGCCCAAATTACCTGCGTGTATTGGATGCGTTCCTGGTTACTGAACCCACCTTGATGCAACAGTCGCAGTTGTTTTAATACCGTAGACTTGCCGGACTCTCCGGCTCCCAAGAGTAACAGCTTGATTTCTTTGTTTTCCTTCTGTTTCTGCATCTGTAGAGACCTTTCGATAGCTTCATTGGCCTTCTTGCTCTGCAAGAACAAGTCTTTTTCGTCCTCTGGCGCCATGGCGCTGGCACCACACCCCATTGTTTCGATTTATTTGAGCTTTAACCTATAAACTGTGATAATTCACCGTAGATATCGTTCGAGTATGAATTTTAGTACTAGTTCCCAAATTCACACGCTTTCATGGTCTATTCTTCTAGCCTTGACTCTCGCTTCAAGCCCAGGCACCGTCAACGATTAATAAAATCTCCCCCTGTTGCCTCACCAACTTTTTGAGGTGCCGAACCCTTACTGTGTGTGTTGTAGCGAACCAAGCGTATTACAGTGTTTCCCAAAGTAGAGTTTTAGGCTGATTTGAGGCTCTTATAGGTGCTTGGAAGCTACGGTTGGCCAACACAACGGACGCACAACGCAGCTTGAGTCGAAGAAAATTGTGGGAATATTCTATTGTAGGGTTGGTCTCGAGGGTCGTATTGTTGCAGCGTCCTTGAGATTTGGAAAATATCGGGCAATTATGGGATGTTGAGTGACAGTTTTGTGTTGTAGCTTTTCCATTGCAGAGTGTCTTCGTCCGACTTCACGTAATTTAGTGACGTCGGGAAATAATACTGGCATATTTGTCAAAACTGGGAAAGTTATCGGACAAGATGTCAAACAGGGTGTCCAACGAGAAGTTTTGGTAGTGCATAAATCGTTGTTCGGGAGGGCTTCAAGGCTAAACTTTCTAGACGTCGAAACCGTGGAGAACATACGACGTATATTGCTTGTTGTATGACACTTGCTCGAGGTTCGTCAAAAACTTAGAAAACTCGACAAAGCGCACCTTCATACAGCTCTTGACTGCCGCTTTATTGCTATAGAGATTACAGATACTGTATAGCGAGCTTTCTCACCTTCCAATATGTCCAAAAGTTGTCAAGATACCGAATAATGCACATATATCTTATAAACTGGGCAATATATAATACATGGCATATATGGATAGAAAAGAGAGGAATTGCCGAAAATGAGTCTTCTCGCGCAACGCGTTGCCAATCCGCATCAGGGCGAAGTGGTTAAGCTTGGATCAAGTCTTAGCCAATGTTCTATGAATGTGCTTCTCACTCGAGTCAGCCCAAAAAGACATGACAGAATAGTACAAAGTGACAATAATGGACCCTCATATTGAGAAATGCCGAAAAACGTACTTTAAAACGAGGGCTAGTACAGCATATGTGATGGAAGTCAGTCTTTCAGGAGCTTGTAGATACGAAGGTATGTGTAACATTAAAAATCCAGTCGAAAATCGAGTTTTCACAATGGAATTTTTGTTCGACGAAAAAAATTGCCGTTCTTCCCATACTAGACTCCATTTTTTAAGCATAGCGAGGACAAAAGCACTCATCATTGGGCTTCTAAATCCTATTCGAAGCGCCTCCTTCATTCTAGCTCTCGCGCCATAGTAATTTCAAGTGAATACTATGCTTCTTGATTGATGTTATTTTTGACGAATTTCAGATCTCTAAAATTGAACAATTCTAGCAAGAACAATGCGTTTATCGGTACACTCATCACCAGTCGAGAGAGACTGCTTTGATCGCTTGCAGTGCTCATTATTATATCGTGCACGAAATTGAGCAATACCTAAAACTGCCATTTCTAACTTTTGTTACCAGTTTCTCAAGCTCTTTGGCTGAACTAAACTATAATAGATTTAACAATTGGAGATGTCATCGAAGGGTGAATGTCCAGTAGACCACTCTGCTAGGGAGGCTTGGATGAAAAATATGGCCCAGAAGAATGACTCGAATACTTCCGGCGTTGCTGAACATTGTCCACAACACAAGCTCGAAAATGGTGCAGAGGCCGCAGTGTGTCCCAAATCAGGCTCTACAATCCCAACTTCACAATCTACAGACGCCTGTCCGGTAAGTCCTGAAGCCCGCAATGTCTGGCTTCAAAAATCAAGCTCTTCAAAAACGCCAGAAGCCGTCGAGTGCTCTTCGAACGAAATTCCCGCTGTCCCCACTTACAAAACAGATGTCGAACTGCCCACTGAGCGTGAAATTTCCAGCATTCCAAGAACAGGTACCAATGAAAACTGGGTGTATCCCTCTCAAAAGCAGTTTTTTGAAGCCATGCTGCGTAAAAACTGGGACCCTTCAACCGAGGACATGAAAACAGTCATACCGATTCACAACTCGGTCAACGAGCGTGTTTGGAATTACATCAAGCTTTGGGAGAAAAACCAAGGAGGCGAGTCTTGTGGTGGTCTGCAGCTTACCAGCTTCAAAGGCGATTCGAAGAAATTGACGCCCAGAGCCTGGTTTCGGAGCTCTATCATGGGCCAAACCAAGCCATTCGATCGACACGACTGGACCGTCGATCGCTGTGGTAAGCAGGTAGACTATGTTATTGACTTCTACGGCAGCGAGTCTTCTAACAATGGACCCGGCATATATCTAGACGTGAGACCTAAGCTAAACAGCCTTGAGGGCTTCCGGTTAAGGGGCAGAAGGGTCCTGGGGCTAGACTGAAGCAGCAAACCACGCTCTGTGTTTCCGACAAGTCTGCTGACGAGGATTTATTATCTATTTAAAACATCCTGTATATACAACAAATTAACATCACAAAATATCATCATGATGGTCTCAGGAATGGGCGTGAACCGCCTACTATGAACACGAATAACGACACGGGCACGATTCTACACCTAGAATTTACCAGCGTTTCCGAAGGCGTTGCCCAGTTTTTGCATGTTTTCACCAACTTTGACGTTTGTCTCGAAATACTTCGATACACATCTGTCGATGCAAGAGGACTCCGTTTTGTTGAGCTCGCCCTCGTTGTAAGATGCTTGCACGCACTTCTTATGGCAGTTATCCACTAGCTTGTTGAACATATCGGTTACCAAATCAAGCTCAGCTTCAGCTGCTGAAACCTTTTGTTGTGAGTTAAGCTGTGGTTGACCGCCGAATCCTAGGAAGGACATGTTTTTAGGAGTGTGTTGCTTATTGTTTAAGACCTAAAGGTAGCAAATAAAAGAGCTTGAAGAAGGCCTGTTTCTTGTTCAAGGAAGCTGTTTAGTTCTTGATTCTCAGCAACTTTTTCAGTATAGTATTTTTCAGTACCTCGGTGACAGTTTAGCTATGAAATTACAAGAAATAAGACGACTGGCAAATGCCACGCCAGGAAGAGATATTCCATACTTTTGCAGTGCCATGAGAGGGTTTTTAGTTCAACTCACATTTTAGATATCTTTAGATTTACTTCTCTTGGAAAAAAGGGCCATTAGTTTAGCAATCAAACGGATGGGAATTCATTATGTTTTCTTGTTTTGAATCTAAATATTTGCACCCAGCTGAAGTCTTACACTGTGACTAAAGCACCAATCCATTTATCACAGGGTCCTCCATTTCATGATATCATCGTTTCATCAATTTTGCTCCATTTGCATGCTAAAAGTTCTTGAGTCTGCGTGGTGTTCTTATTGAACAGGATATGATAATCCTGGCAATATCACGGTGTTTCAACCGGGAGCCAGCTCTTGAGCTTTCGGTGGATCACGTCCAGTAATACAAGGGGGTTTTTACACAATGCGATACGGGATGTGCTCTAAGGCAATAGTTTAAGTATGCTCAGCTCTTATGTTAGGGTTCCATAAAACCCTGGAGAACGCAAAAACAGCTCTAAACTCCCCAATGTCTAAGCCGTTTTTTGTTTCCCGCTAGTTCTCCTTTTTCTTCGGGGGAGTTTCTAGGTTATTCCGGCTCTCGGCCATTACATGTCGCCTCACAGGCGCTTAGTTAAAACATCTCTGTCGACTCCGTCTCGTAGCACTTCGTTTTTGCTCGATATTCCCCCAATGCACTTTCCTTTGTCATTTTTCTTTTGGTATTTGTTTTCATCGCTATTGCCAACTTCGCCGTCTACTTCGTCGTCGTCATCGTCATCACCTCCATCAACACCGCTATCGTCAGAATCGGTTTCGTCCGGCATGTTCGTATCGCCTTCCTCTTCCTCGTCGTCATCATCTTCATCGTCTGCCGAATCTTCATCAACATTGCCTCGTATTTCTGCTACTTTTTTGGTCAGAATATCGACAATGTCATGCCAATCGCGCATTCCACCCATGCCAATATCGCCGCAAACCAGAACTTTCTCTACAGGCTTTAATATCGTAATATGAGGTGATTCTTCCTGTAGCATCATCAAATGTTTCTTAGTGACAGGATGCGTGTACATGAAAGTGTTCATCGCGGGAGCTACCAAAACTGGAGTGGAGGGAGTCCAACACCGGAGAAGAGACGTGAGCAGATTGTCACAGATGCCGTAAGCCAGTTTTGCTAGGGTGTTTGCAGACAAAGGGGCAAGCAAACACACGTCGGCCCATCTTCGAAGCTCGGTGTGAAGCATAGGGTCCCCCATACGCTTGAAGCCGCACCATTCGTCTTCGTCACGCCATATTTTCACGTCTGTGGATATTTTCAAGCCGCGCAAAAAGTGTTCGGCAGGCTTGGTTAAGACCAGCTGAATTGAAACATTGTCTGGACCATAAACTTTGTATAGTTTGTCGATGATGACAGGCACCTTTATGGTGGCCACGGATCCGGTAGCTCCTATCAGTATATGGATTTTCTTATCGTCCTGTTTTTGAAAAAACTCCGTGAATGGCAGCTGGGGTCCCAGTTGCGCCTCGATCAGTGCTTTATTGACGTGATGCTGCTGTTTGCGATTGCCACTCGAGTTGTTTGAAGGAGAGTGGGATTGAGGTACATTTTGAGGCGGGCAATCCATGAAAATGTATTCTCCGGGCATGTGCACCGAGTTCTGGCGAGAAGAGGCGGCGCTGGACTCAAAATGAGCACCCACGACCGAGTTTTGGCGCCCTTCCAAGCCTGGTGGAGCACTTCCTGTGCCACCTTGGGCTGTGAGAGCCACCGACGAGGGTCGTGCTGAAATGGAGCCCCTGTGGGAAATTTTGTCCGCTATATCTGCCATTGTGAACGATACACCAGTCGCCAATGCGCTTGTTGGGCTTTTGAAATCGTCACTGCCGCCTCCCATTTCGAAACTTTCCGTTGCGCGTCCATTTTCCTTGTTTCGCCTGTTTCCTGAGGTGACAATTTGCAGTTTTTGCGGGTTGACATACGTTGTATCCTCTATTGGACGGTAGTTGGGAGATCTCTGGCTTTTGCCGTTTTCATAGTTCGCGAGGTTTCCCTTGTAAGCAGTGATTTCTCGCGTAGCACTGTCGTTTTTCGCCAAAATTGACACTGGGGAGTGTTTATTGAGGTCTCTGGTATTCCCAGGCATATCAAATGGTATATAAACCGATGAAGTGACGATGGTTTTGGGCTGATCTGACCTGGTTTGGTAGATGTTGGATTTGTCAAAAGCTGAATGATGAGACTTTTTTTCAGCACATTGTTGTATGAGATGAGATCATGAAAATATATATATATTTAAGCCAGCGACAGCGCGCGAAATACGTCAAAAGTATAGCTAGAGAGAGAGTTTAGGAAGCATTCCCATTTTCTTAGCAGTATGTACCTTTTTGCCAACTCAACGGTATTTTCAGAGTCTTTTTTGGAGCCCTGGGGATCGAGTTACAGTATTTTTTGTAAGGAGAATTGTGGAAGTTGTTGATAGACTTGACCACGAATCTGATAAAGACTGGGAGCGTTCGGGTGCTTGATTCGATTGTGCTTGACTATATAAGCTTTGGATGAGACTTTGTATCACATTTTTTTTTTCACTACAGACTGACCGGGCTTTTATTTGCTTAAATATAAACGAAACTATCAAGAGTTCACTGTCTCCTTTTTTTGATGTGCCACGTTCCTGGTCGGAACGTCTCCTCGACCATGGTACTTTTGTCACTTAAAGCACCGCTATACTGCTCTTCTTTGTGTCTGTCTCCACTTGCGCTGTCATTTCCCGCGGTCGAGGGTGCTGTAAGATCGAACGGCATCAAATCCATTTCTTGCAAACACCGTTCGATATTTTCCTCTGAGCCCAAATACCGGTCTGTGAGTGTGAGCTCGTTGCGAATCCGGCTTCGATGCAACCGCAACCGGAAACTGCGAAGCAAATCAAACCTTCTTTTAGAGGAAGATAGCGCGGTGGCTGGAGACCTCTCCGTATTATCCGACAATGTAGCACCTGAATCTGAATCCAGATAAATTCTGCTAAACATGTCTAATCCATTTTCCTCAGTGCCACAATCATCTTTGAATCCTATGGAAGGTAACGATAAGTCGTCAGCCTCTAATCCTCCGTATTCATTTTTAAACTCACTTCGCTCACGCAGCTCTGCAAAACGCTGGGTGTCCATGCCCGCAAGCTCTTCGGCCTCGCTCCAGCTGCAAGTGAAATCTCTCTCGCGTTTGTTGAGCCATCTGCGAAATCTGTGGTGTCGTGTCGCTGGCGGGGATGGCTTCAGTGGCTCCAGAGGTTTTACCCAGGCTCGTCTTATAGTTGACCTAAGCGATCGAGCTGTTCTTGGTGGGTCCTTGAAGTCAATAAGTTCCTGCGAATCTTGTGTTTTGTCCAGAGTCTCTCGAGAAAAGCTGTATTTGCCCAAATATACCGTCCCCGGCCTTGTGGGTATGGATCCATTCAAACTAATGCTGGTCATGGCGCAAATAGTAACCCAGAGTAAATTATTTCATCAGATCCACTGGGAAAGAAGAAGAGTGGTGCCAGATGACAGTTCCTGTTCGATGGCTATGATTTTGTGGATTTCGTGCTGACGCTGTAGAAGTGCCTGAAGAAAACCAAATGTGAAAGTATAAATATGGATTTAAAATCAAGACATGAGTACGAAGTAAGGATACCACAGGACTTCGAATACTCTGGGAAGCTGGGCAGCATAGAGGTCAGGCAGGATTGAGCTTACTTTCAAAGCGTTAAATCATACGACACAATAGTACAAAATGATTTGTTTTAGCGTCAGAAAAGAACAACAACTGTGCGCAGGGTGGTAGTTGATTTAGTGAATCAGATTTGTGCTTTGCGCTTCAAGATGAGGCGTCACATATACTTTTTTGGACCACCACGATAGGCTTAGGGTCTGATCAAATATCGAAATTGAAAATCGGACACTTGAGTGTCAGCAAGGATAAGTGGGGCAAAGCTAGATCGCAAGTGGTACGTGCAGTATTTGCTTTAGTACTGAATTTTCCACAATCACTGTTGAGCACTTTTTACTGACGTTTTTAAATACGTAGTCCAAATTTGGTCTTGATTTAAATGGGAGTCTTTCGCCAATGATCTCTTTAATACCACCTGGACAATTGTTCATGAACGCTCTGTTGGAGACTAACGCACAACAGCTTTACCGAAATCACGTCTGGATGTTTGCCTTCTCTTCAAATATGCCAGTATCGTGGTGGCTAGACAGATCGACTGGACTCCAGAGCATTTTCTGAGGCGACACAAATGGTCGAATTTACAAAGCCTATTTTATAGAGCAGTGTGGGCTCACAAAGTATTTTGTAAGCTTTGAAACGGTCGTTCCAATTCAAGCATCAAACGCATATCTCATGTAGCTTTCTTCTGATCTGCCTTATCTTCAATGGTCCTATACATATATCAATAGATGTATATATATTTACATCTAGTCGATCCCCGTTCGGTTTATAACTCAGAAAAAGTCATGGTGAATTATTCAACATTACATGGATTATCGTGTATATGTTAGAGATACCGTTTATTGTAGTGCACCGGGCTCTTTACTCTTTTCAATAAAATGTCAACTCTTTCTGTTGTAGATCAAGCTGGAGTTGACTATTAAAAAATTAGAGCATTCATCTAATCACCACTCATCGAAAAGTTGATGCTTTTTACCAAGCTGGAACTCCGCACGATATCAATTCCATATCCACTTGGTCTGCAAGATGGGTACTAAGAGAGTTATCAGGTCGGTATTGGACGGTGTTGACTATTTCTGTCGAAAAACTGACAATAAAACGCTAAAGAAGTTAGCGCTCTCTATTGGGTCCCAGGCTGGCACTACAAAGACAGCACTGCGAAGCAACATCGTGGCACAATGCGAGCTACTCAAGAAATTGTCGGATACGAAAAAGTCCATGGGAAAGCTTGATATTACAGCAATTGACATGGGTTTAGAGAATTTCGCTTACAGTAGACTGTCATGGCACGCAGACCAAAAAATCCCCGAGCTAAGAGAATGGAATAAAATGCGGATTAGTAGTCCAAACGCGGACTCTGATGATATAAAAACGCCCTTTACACCAAAAATGTTCACCCAAGTTGGTCAAACTCTAACAGACACCCTCACTGCGAAATCACCCGACCTTTTTGTTGTCGAGAGACAGCGAACGAGAACTCTGGGTTCAGCTGCGGTACCAGATCCCATTCTCAAGGTCAATGCTCTCGAGCATGTTCTATTCATGAGTTTAAACGCGAAGAAATTTTACGTCAAAAACCTTCACTATCTTGTAGAGTCGTCCGACCCAAGACGAATGACCGACTTCTGGTGCCAAGCGATACCTATAAGAAAACTTTTAGAGTCTGCATATGGCTTGGACTCTCCTAAGGCGCATCTCAAAGCTACCAGCTCGACTCTCACCAAGATGCTCAAAATAGCACTTGTAAAGTCGATGCTCCTGCGGCAGGCTCAAGAAAAATTCACGCTGTCGCCCCTGCTGTCTTCGCAATTTACAAACTACACACCACGCAAGAAATACGATTTGTTCGAGGCTTTGCAGCTGGGAGACTCAGCAGGCACGTCTAAAGAAGACGACCTGGCCGATTCTTTGCTGCACGGTTTGGCCTGGGTAGAGTGGTTAAGAAACTTCGACGAACTGGCAGCAGTTATATCTGGTGAAGAAGCAGACCAAGCCGGGTTGAAGGCTTTCAATGACTTCAACAAGTCCAAGTGGACGGAACGTGAGCATTATTCAAAAACATGCATATTGGAGCTGTAGAATCAAGCTTTCTGAAGCAAAAAATGCAGGAGGCCATTGGAATCCAAGTAAAGGCTTCCATTCAGGATTCTAAACATTGGCAGTCGTCAAAAATACTTAGAGAACTCCTAGAGAAACTAAATATGGCGAGTCGTTCTTACAGGGGAAATCAGATTTGCTGCAAAATCTCTTGCATGTTCGAATCTCCATTTGCAAGCGGGATAGTCTTCTGTGCCGTTATTTCAGGGTTTTCCAAGACAAGCTGGATGAATTGCGCCAAATCTTCTCTTTGAATGAGATAAAAGTCACTTTTTTTGGACTGGATCTGGTCCAGCTGGCATAGTTTTCCGGTTCCACTTTCGGAGCCCAATGACCCTGGCTGTAGAATGGTGTATTCTAGCCCCGAACAGCGCAGAGCGAAGTCTGCGGTACGTTTAGCGATGTAGTAGTTTCGCAAGGCCGTGGACCACCAGGCGTCCCGCTTTTCGGCGTTGATTGCCGAAACCATGACAAATCTGGAAATTTGTCCCTTCTGACATGCTTCAATTGTCTTCATTGCGCCGTCAAGGTCAACCGTGAAAATCCGTTCGATACCCTTGCCACCGGCACCTGCGGTCCAAACCACGGCCTCGCAACCCTTCAGAGCATCACTTATCTCTGCAACAGAGCTCTCCTCGATGCTCGTTAGGCTTGCTTCAATGCCAAGATCTTGCTCGAAGTAGTTTTTTTGGTTTTGGTCTCTAACAACAGCCAGTGGCTCAAATTTCGCGGATTTTTTCAGCAGCTGACATAGTATCTGACCCACACGGCCATTTGCTCCAATTACTGCGACTCTCATGGGTACTTTGTCGAGTTGTTTGAGGCAAAGTAGACGTGTGATGGCTCGAGTAGGAGGAGTTCGTCCTTATATATAGGGTTGTAAGAAATACTCCGGATTTCGTACTGTATGATATGATTAAAGACCATGTGAATGTCACATGATCAAAATAATCGGGCGAATCTTGCATCACATGACTATGGGTCGGGTAAATGAAATCGAGATTGAATGCCAAACGTCAAAATAACATTTACCTAAACACACCTCAACCGACTCAGCCAAATCTACAGCGCAAGATCGCCAACTCGAAGTTCCCAAAATGAATCTACGTTTGGAATTGACACGGTTCCTAAACCTGTGTTTTGCATTAGCTTCAGCATTTATGTTTTGGAAGGGTCTTTCTATCGTTACAGACTCGCATTCGCCCATCGTGGTGGTGCTGTCGGGCTCGATGGAGCCCGCCTTCCAAAGAGGCGATATCTTGTTTCTGTGGAACAGAAACGCGCTGAACAAGGTTGGCGATGTGGTGGTGTACGAGGTCGAGGGTAAGGAGATCCCAATTGTGCATCGAGTGCTGCGCGAGCATGTGGACGAAAAATCCGGAAAACAACTGCTGCTCACCAAGGGCGACAACAACGCTGGCAACGACATACCGCTTTACGCTAGGCGTAAAGTGTACCTGCAGAAGGATCGGGATATTGTGGGCACCGTGAAGGGCTACATCCCACAGTTGGGTTACGTCACGATTTGGATCTCGGAGAATAAGTACGCCAAGGCTGGGTTGATGGGCCTAATTGGCTTGAGCGCATTGCTGAGCAACGAGTAGTACAGCAGTGTGATGTATGCGACACCCAAAAATATTCTGTCTTGACGTTTTGGCCCCGTGTTTTTTTTTCACTCTTGGTGACTTCCTAATAGTCGAGCTCCACGGGCGTCATTTGACGCTTTCGCGGCAGTTTTGACGCAGGAGGGGGCGCATTGGGAGTCCCGGTGCTACCAACCAGTTGCGATGCTGTTTTACTGGGTTCGAAAGCCTCGAATAAGCGTCTTTTGGTCTCTTCGTCGGCCAAATCTTTGTATTCTGCGTAATTTTTGAGCTGCTCCTGTGCCTCGTCAAAACTAGCTGGTTTGGGTCTGGCTTCCGAAAACACACGTTGCAGTAGAAAGTTGAAATAGTTTTTACGTTGCTCCAGCAATCTATGCTCCATCTCTGCTTGGCGAGCCAGTTTCTGATCGCGTTCAGTCAGAAGTTTTGAGATCAAAATCTCTCGGTCGGGATCGTCAATTTCTAATAAATGTGCATGGACCCTCAGTAGTTCGTTTAGTTTCTTCGTGTTGATCTCTCGGTCAGCATCCCATTCGTAGTTATTATCAACCAAGATTTGGCTGGCAACACTGTGGTGTGCATTCATGACCAGCGCTTTTTCTTCGACAACGTCTAAAAACAGATCCAACGCAGAAGAGCCGTTTCTTCCCAGTAGTGCCTTGAATCTCGGTTCTGACTTGATCAGTGGGTAAACATCTTCCCATTTGGAATTGCACCTTATCAATTTGCTGTGTTCACTCAACAAATGTCGAAAGCGATCCCTGGCCTTGCGGTCAGCGGTGTAGTTGGCCGCCTTAGTTCGCTCTATTTCGTCCATGATTTGCTTCGAGAAAGTTTCCACCATAGCCACGTATTGTTTCAAAACGTCATGCTTCGATAGGGTTTGAAAATGTCGGTTGGAGGTAAACCGCGTACTGTTTTCGAAAAGGTATTTGCTGGAAAGTTCCTGCCATGGTATCAATTGCTCCTTGTTGGGAATTATCGCATTTAGATAGTCTTGCAATTCTGAAAGGGCTCGTTGCCTCGTCTTTTCCACATTTCCAAAATGTTCCTTTCTAAGGTCGTCCACATACTCCTGAAAGACCGTACGCTTCGTTTTTTCGCTCACCACAGAATGCTTATAGATGGGCTCGTTCGCGAATAGGCGCTTTGCAGTTGTCCATCTTGTGTAGAAGTGAATCTTAGAGTTTTGTTCCAGCATTGTGCGAAAAGCGTCCTTAAACTTGTTGACCGCGGAATGCTCTTTGAGAAGCTGATCTTCGGATCTGTTGGCCAGATACTGCTCGAACATTTTTCTTTTCCACAGTGGATCGTCGTCAACACACCAGTAGCGTGGATCTGAGCAGCTAAGCTCGGAGATAATTCTATTAAATGACCAGGTGGAATCGATTTGATGGTCAGCCAGCATTTGCAGGAAAGCTCGTTCAGCGTCAGTTCGAGATTTTGTGGCAGACTCAATAAGCTTCGATTGCAAAGGGTATGATTCCACGTTTTTCGAAGCGCTGGCATCCTGGATCGTGGTGTCCAATGTCTCTGTCTTCGTGGATGTAGCAGTTTCTGTCACTACATCATCGTTAGCAGGTGCTGGAACTGAGACTGGAGCTGGGACTTCCAGTTGCGATTCTGTAGATTCCGGAAATGTCGGCACTTCCCAGCTGGACTGTCCAGTTTCCTGGTTGTAATAATAAATTTGTCCCTCTTCTGTTTCTCCAGCTTTCCAGCCATGTTTATCAAGTTGCTGCTCTAGCTCAGTGTAAAGCTCACTGGGTTTGTCCCATGTAGTTTCTCCAGTTTCTGCGTGATAGTAATATGTCCGACCCTCAGGATCGTGCGCTTCATTCCAGCCACTCATTGTAGTTCAATTTCGTCCTAAATCTTTGATAATAGTTCCCTTCTCTTGATTGCAATGCTATTGTGGAAGAGCAAGACCAAAATTTCTAAACTACTGAAAAAATAGTCTTTACAGTTCTTGAGATTCCTAGACCAGTTGACGGTCCAAACAGGCTAAAGCGTTGTTAACACTGTTGCTGAAAGACTAGAGTTCACTTTTACTTTCTGTCTGGCAATGTCTTTATTTTTCATAATTTAGCCGATGAGTATGGTCGAACTTATAAAGCTATAGAAAGACAACTTCACGACGACAAAACAAAACAAACCAACACGAGCCTAGCAAGTGGAATCGGATCTGAATCCATAAGTTCGGCTGGGACAATACCAGCACATGGACATTGCCTAACGCTTCCCGTTCGCTAGCGCTTCTGAATCAGATCATTATCTACGAAACATGGGTCTAAATCATCGAAAAGGGATCAATATTAGACCAGTGAACATTGAAATTTGAATTGAACTTTGAAATCTCTTGTGAAAGGACCATAAGATCCGTGCTTTCTTTCCATACTCCTGCTTCTGGTTCACAATGTCACAATCGCTGCGTCCTTATCTTACCGCTGTGCGCTACTCGCTGCAAGCAGCGCTGAATTTGACCAATTTCTCATCCCAGGTGGTGGAAAGACACAACAGACCTGAAGTGGAGGTTCCTAACACGAGTGCAGAACTGCTATTACAGCCGATGAATGTGTCTCGTAACGAGCACGAGCAAGTGTTGATAGAGCCCAGTGTCAATTCCGTAAGGGTCAGTATCAAAGTCAAGCAGGCAGACGAAATTGAACAGATCCTGGTACACAAGTTCACACGCTTTTTGGAACAGCGTGCAGAGTCATTCTACGTGCTGAGAAGAGTGCCCATCGAGGGCTTCAGCATTTCGTTTTTGATCACCAACAAGCACACGGAAACCATGAACACGGAGAAACTGGTGGACTTCATCATCGACTTCATGGAAGAAGTAGACAAAGAAATCAGCGAGATGAAACTGTTTTTGAACGCCAGAGCGCGTTTTGTCGCCGAGGCGTATCTTGGAGAGTTCGTTTACTGAGCGTGGGCGCCAGAAACCCCCAGTTTTTTTTGTTGTTTTTTGGGCTGCGTCAAAGAGACCCAAGCGACGTGGAAATAGTGTCACAGGCATCAAGAGAGTTCAACAACATAACAACATGAGACAAATCTCACAGATCAGTGCATGAGGGACGAACCGCTGTTTTTTCAATTTTTCAAATATACAACTACAAGAAACCAACGATTACGAACTGAAAACCTCACTGTCTAGCATCCAGATCTGATACAAAGCGTGCCAATCCTTCTATTGACCATTGTCCTTACACGTAGAGCTTCTATCTATCGCTGTCTTCGTATTACCCGGAGACGCCAGCCTCCGTACCAAATGCTATTCTATATAACAATTTGATCCGCGTATATTCCAAAAAGAACCAGACGGGAAGCGAGAGCATCGATACTCATCGCTCACCCCCCAAACAAGGACTTTGGCTTCAACTGAGTGTATAAAGGCTGTCTCGACAGCATTTAGTGTGGCAGATATAGCAGTTGAAAGTCTGACTCGAAAGCTCGGCTTTTAGCGGTCTTCCAGTCTTTCACACACGATGTCTAATCACCAGTCATCGCAAGCCTGGAATCAGAATTCTTGTGGGCAGAGCCCTCACAACATGAACCATTCGATGCTGAATTTGAACGACGATTACGCTAATATCTTGAGTAACCTGGCCCATGGCAGCCCGCCGGTGTTAAAAGAAAGTTCTAATATTGGCCAGGGTCTGCAAAATGCATCATCACCAGTCCAAAATGCCCGTTCAGGTAACGAGAAACAGCCAAACTTGGACTTGTTACTGCAACACTACCAGGAGCTGTTCAGTCGCTCTAACGGAGCCAATAGCAGCAGCACCGCCAACACCAACACCAACACCAACAACACCAACACCAACACCAACACCAACAACAACAACAACAACAACAACAACACCAACAACAACACCAACACCAACAACACCAACACCTACTTCAATAAAAATAACGGGCCAACCGGTAACAAACATGGACAGGACGTGCCAGAACCGTCAAATCCAGGCCACGGTTCCAACATTAGCGCCAAGGCACTAGCAGCTCTCGAACAAAAGTCGGTCATAGCAGAAGACCCCTGTGATCATTGTCGTAGAAGACAAATAAAATGTGTTATAGTCCCAGGTTTGGCTAACTGCGTGCAATGCGAAACAAAGGGGATAAAGTGCGTATATTCAAAATCCCCAGTATCGCACCAAAACATGGATACTTCTCGAGACGCCTTCAAGCGTAATCGCGTGGATGAAAACGTCAACGTCCACGAGCTCCTGAAACGCTCTAAAGTCAATGCTGGCCATGAAGGCATTTCCGAAAACTACACGGACTTACTCCGAAGTTTGGACCAGGTCACGAGCGAGAAGCACAAAAGGAACTCTGACAACCTCAGTGCTTCCGCTATGGGCAATTTGTCTAGTCCCTACATGATGTTTGACTCTCCTGGTCAGAACGACCCAGCCAAGAGCTCGGCCAATAGCATTCAGACAGGGGCGTCGCCCTCTAACTTTTCGGCCAGCACAAACTACAATAACGGTCAGCAGAAAATGACACATACTCAACCCCCCATCCAATACCCTCGGTCCTCGTTTTACGTTGGTCCCACATCCGTGTTTGACATTAATCTGGTTAACAAGGTAAAACTGGATAAGATAGATCAAGTGCAATTGTCTAAGACGCTAGCTCTCCGAAAAGTTGCTCCTAATGTGCAGTTTCTACTCAGGGATGATCTTAATCAGTCGCTGTACATGAAACAAGAACAGGAAGTTGACATGGTGGAAAAACTTGTCCACCCACATGGCAAAATACTGGTTGACATTTTCTTCAAGTTGATACATCCTCAATTTCCAATTTTACACGAGCGGGTTTTCTTGGAAAAGTACTCGAGATCTTACCGTGAACTCACTGCCCCTCTTCTTGCGGCATTGTACTCTCTTTCGTTGCAATGGTGGGATTTTCATCCTCAGCTCGTCGGATTTGCGAAACCAGATGTAACTGACCAGTTGAATAAGATTGCATTGAGAACTTTCTTCGACGTGATAGAGAGGCCGAAGCTAAGTATCATACAGACGGGTTTGCTCATTCTACAGTGCCGTAGCGAGAACTCGAGTAATTGGGCCATATGTTCCGAGGTCGTGGCACTAGCTGAAGATCTTGGTTTGGGTGTGGATTGTCAAGACTGGAGACTTCCTCGTTGGGAGAGAGGTCTTAGAAGACGGTTAGCATGGGCCGTATGGTTACAAGATAAATGGACATCCATGATTGAGGCTAGGCATTCTCACCTAATTCTAGGTAGAAATTGGCTGGTAAAAATGCTTACCGACGAAGACTTTCCAAGCAGCTCACCAGTTATAAGTAGCGCAACAGGCGGCTTTCAGTTCAACAGCCAAATGCTTAGAGACGTTACAAGCCCAGTGGGTGGTAGATCCATGTTAGATCTGTCGCCCACTGAGGAGGATTTCAAAAATACCAAGATCATGTTTCAGTATATGATTTCTTTGAGCATTATATTAGGAGAAGTGCTGGACACCTTTTACACGCTGGGGGCACTTCAAACTGTCACGCGAATCGAAGAAGTACTCAAGCTTGCAAAGCCGTTGCAGCTAAAAATGCGGGAATGGTATCACTCCTTGCCACCTCAACTTTCGATGAACTTCTTTCAGGAAAGAAAATTCAACAGTAATGCATCTCTGACCCTCTCGTATTTTGCTGTTGAATTGACTCTCCATAGAAAAATCATAACTACTTTGAGTAATGGTTCCTCTCCCGAACTTGTTCAGGTATGTCGTTTAGCAGCAAAAACGAGGCTAGTGGCAGCGATAGAGTTTGTACGTGACTTGAAGTTCGAGCACATCAATTCGTTTTGGTACACTGGCTCTACGGGCAACCTCACTTTAATCGGTACTTTTGCTGCGCTGCTGTATGTTACAGCTCCCACAAAAGAAGAAGCGGCCATTTTTAGAGACTGCTTGAGAAACTACGTGTGGATTTTGAGAATGAGTTCCAAGAGCTTTGAAAAAGCTGGACATGGTTTGAAAAAGATTCACATGCTACTGGCCCAGATTCCAGGCTTATTGACCGACGACATTAGCCCTCCGCAGCACCAGCAGCATAATCTTAATCCTTTATCAACTCTCTCGCCGTTAGTGCACCAACAAGAAGTTCAACAGCATTTCGCACCTTCGTTGGCTCAGAGCCCACATGGCTCACAACCTGCTGTCAATCAACTGAAGGGCTTAAGGCCAGATATTCTTCATCAGCTAACTAACATCCAAGGGAACATGCCCATGATTGGCGACTCCCAAAATGCAGCAGACCAGAATGGATTGAATAAAGCACCAGTTGACGAAGGCAGAGACGGGAAAAACATGGGACAGGATTCAAACCGTATCTCGCCCGCGGACTCTTCGCCCGGGGCGAAAGCATCGCCCAAAAAAGGCGCCAACGTGGAAGGCGACACCGGGTCTCCAAACATGCCTTTTAAAAGGAGGAAAGAAGGAGGCCAATCCTCGGACAGGCCCACTAGGATGGTATCGAAATCAAAAGTGCTCACACCGCAAAGCGTTACCGAAGCCAATGGAAGAAGCAGTAAATCAACGATTTCGAATGATGAACATCCGCAATCTGGCAGTGTATTTGACTCGCAAAATCAAGATCTTCAAGTCTCGCCGAGGTCAACAGAGGAGCCACAAAATAAAGATACAGCAGCGGTACCGGATGGCTCATCACCCAGTCTGTTTTCGAAACAAAATGGAGACGGACAACCGACTCCAGGCAGTCAACAGGAAGTTAGTCAGGAAAAATCAGATTCGAATGACTAGTCTCATGAAACAGGATTTAATATATTTGCATGTAGAGTAGTACTACGTTGTGTCTACCACATGGGCTGTTTCGCCTCGTGTTAGTAACTTGTTTGCGACCCGTTGTGCTGGGATGGGGGCGGTTAATGATTCTAGCAGCTGACGCCCGTCAATGGAGACGAAATTATTCTGCATTTTCTGTGATCGATTGTCCTTTCACAAGAATCTGGACACTTCCCGATCTTCTGCAGAGGTGCTGTAGTCGCCCGGTGTTTCTACTATAACATGAGAATCAGTTGCAGGTTTAAATTTGAGCCTTTCCTTTTCGTTTTGAGCGTTCTGGGTCAAGAAGTCAGAATCAGTATGGATTCCTGATTCTCCAAGAGCCGGTACCGGACTACTCTTGGTCTTTTGAACAGGTATATTTGCGTCTGCGCTCGTTTCAAGAGTAGCAGGAGTGGATCCAAGCGTCTTTCCGTCGTCGTCAACGTCTTTCATGATATCTCGGAAGAGGTCTCGCAGCGATGCATCGTCATCGACACTTTTCCCGCCATTGAGTCTGCTCGTCATCTGCTCGTGAGTAAGGATGCCAGCTTTTTCGTTGTGTTCCCGTATCTTGGACGCTTCCTCTTCAAGGAGAACGTACTTGGACTGCTCAAACCGGTCGAACAGTTTGTTCACGAGCGCCAGTTCCTCGCCAATGTCGACCACCTCGTTATTCTGCACTTTGACCATAAGGTCTTTGAGAATTCCGATTTTCAAGGCGTAGCGCCTTTCCAATTCTGCATTCTTCTTCTGCTGCTCCATCACACTTGTGAGCATCGAGCCGAAGAGAACAACGATTAGCGCTGGCTTCAGCATGCTTTTGTCGAATCTGGATTTTTGAGCCGCAGAAGCATTACCAGAATTACCAGAATTGTGAGTGCTATACAGTCTATTAGTCAAACGACGGTAAGACACACTTCCGGTTCGTCTTGCAAGAGTCCACATAACCTACTTCTACAAAACTCCAAATTCACAAAAAACAAGCGCACGAAGAAGCTTGAAAAAACCACCTATAGCTAAAATTCGTCCAGATCCGTTAAATCTGATCAATTAACAGATATACCTCTTCAATGGGGCTACTTACCAACCTTTTATAGATGTCGGTTCAACATCATCATCATCACCATCATCATCATCATCTCTAGTTTCAATCTCAATTAATTCATTAATTTTCTATATTATGTAAGAATTCACAAATTATCCCAAGATTTTCGTCCAAGGTGATATCATGAAATTTTTCAGCGTAGTAAATAGTACAATTTCAGCTCATCGCATCGCTAGCTCATCGCACCAAATACCAGAATATAACGGATCTGAGTCGAACAATAGCGTTGAAGAGGTCACTATAGCCGCCTAAAAGTGATCAGAAAGTACACTTTGATGAAAGACAGTATTTTGAACGGAGATTCCGCGGGATTTCGTAAAAAATCGCACTCTTTTAAGGCCAGCGATCCAAGCTCCACGTTCGATGATGGACTGTTTGAAAAACTACAGGAGGTGCTTTCAGGAATCGATCTTATCAATGAAACGGCTTCCAACGATTATAGACCAATTCTCGCTTTTTTCAGCAGCAGATTCGCCCCACAGCTGACGCAGGCGTGGTCGTATCACGCTCAGGTCAATAACCATGCCAAATTTACCAATTGCACCTCGAAGCTCGCACGGGCTTTGCGCGTGCTTGGGTCTGATCCCAGCACTCTGGCGTGCGGCTCGTCGCTGATCCGTACAATCTTGCTCGAAAACGTCAAAGTGCTGTACCGCGGGCTCAACAACATGAAGCCTGCAACCACGAACTCCGTTCTCCGTCTAATGCGCGAAATGGTCGCTTTCAACAGCGGAGAACATGTAGACGACTTCCTCACATATTTCGATTTGGCACTGCCCAGCGTGTTGCGCATCCTGGCGCCTACAAGAGCCGAACTCGCGGATTTGGATCATTGCAAGGCAAACCCTGATTTGTCTATGCGCTACAACTTCATGAATTTCTGGCTTACTCTGATAGAAAACTCCAGCCCACTTTTACGGAAGGCTGTTCTGACGGAAAATTCACGAATTATGAGCGGCTGGTTCAAGCATATGACAAAGGTAGACTCCGTGAAGCTTATGAAGCATTGTGTCAGCACAATGTCAGAAAAGGTTTTGCGGGAAAGCTCGTTGAAAAAAGCCACCAAGTGCAAAATTTTGAACGAGGCCTTTATCAGTAGGCTACACCACTTCTACTACTCTGGCGATGCCAGCTTGGTGAAAGCTGTCGATCAGTTTTTTGAGCTATATTCGACGTCTGAAGAACACAGTGTGGCATTTTCAGACGACAAGCTGTGGTTTTCAGAGCCAGTGTACGCCAAATCAGCCTCCGGGTCATTAAGCAACGGTGCAATGGTCATGATTAACAACAAGAAATTTTACCTTTACAACAAGATACTCTACACGATGTTGACTTTTTTCAAGCCTTGGGAAGATGAAAGTCAGCTTAACAGGGTGATCCAGGTTCTGCAGGCTCTTCCGGAATTGGTCGCCCCTTACTGCTCATACCTAGAAACCCTAGGTCATCACGAGCCCAAAATGACATCCTATTGGTTTGGGATGACTCTTCTTCTCGGTCGTATCATAAATCTGCCAATTCCACAGAAAATTCTGGACGTGCAGACTGACAATATACCTTTGCCGCCCATTGTTTTGGAATCCATCGCACCATGCCCATTAACTAAAGCAGCACTAAGCAAGGCGCTGCAACACGAAGTACCTCTTATCAAACAAATGGGATGTCAACTTCTCATTTTTTGTTTCCAAAAACTCGAGCATATATTTGAACTTTACGAAGACAAAGGATGGAACTCTGCTAAATCTGAACTGGTCGGTCGCTTAAAATCAACTCTTCCCGATCTCTCAGTAATAGCGACGACACTGGACTTCGTTAGCCGGCATAAGAGTGAAAATAAAATTCTCGCGGCATCGGTATCGCTGGTTCTCAATCATTACAGCAAGTTCTTTCCGTTAAGCTTTAATTTAACACTACCCAGTGATAATATTTACTCGAAGGTCATCAAATCAAAATCGTTCTCAGGATTAGACCTTGTCATTCTCGACAGTTTTTTGCAGTTTCAGGAGCTCAACAATTCTCAAGCTAAGTGGTACAACCCAACTGCCACCGAAAACTCTACTTTCACGACTCTCTTGAAGCTAGCTTCATCGAGCAACGCCACTGCATCATTAACAAATAAAGTTGCTTCACTACTAGACTCCCTTTTGAAGTTTACGGTGGTCTTCGATGAGGCATTGATAGCGTCACCCATTCTTGCATTGATTAATAGTTTACAAGTCATGGCAAGAAGCGATCTCGAGGATAATAGTCTGAAAGAGGAGAGAATATGGAAATTACTCGATGAAACTATTTCGAGGTGTATGAAAACTCCTTATAAATACGTTGACAACTCAGCCGCCTACGGACATTGTTCTCCATTCTTGGTTGCTCTGACTGAGCAGTGGCACTTTATGGATCATCGCGATGATTGCGAAAAGCCCCAGAAGTGGTTGATCATCTTTTTGAGAAGTGCCGCTTTCATTGGCGAACCTTTAGATGGAATACGAGCGCTCCTTAAGTCTCTACCATCGATATCTGAATCTCTTTTGGACACTTTCTTTGATTTTGAAAACTACGACATGAGCTTGAACTCCCTGCGAGACACACAAAACCTGGTCATCAACGATGTGGACTTTTCCTTTTTTCAGCACATTACGCTCACGCCAGCTTTAGACTTGGATGCTGTAGCGAGATATCCTATCAACAGGTTCGATGTTGCTGGGCTAATTCAAAGACTTCGCCTTTTATTGAACGGTAATAATACCTCCATCACACATTCCAAATTCTCAGCAATTGTCGATAATCTTCTAGCGAAAGTAGCCAGTTACGCCTTGTCTCAGGCAGAGTTCAGAGTACAGTTTACCGAAGCACGCTTTTTTGGCAAGTTTATGGTTAATGAGAAAATAGACCCAAGCAACTCGGTAGCTTGCGAGAGGTACGCCTATGTGTCAAACACCATAGCCGATATCTACTCACAGCTTAATCAGAGCATGCCTGACTTCCAGCATTACATCCATAGTTTGTGGCTAACCTGTGCCATATCCTGGGAAAAGAATGATGCTCTTGCCTCTGTTTTACTGAAGGGACTTGCATTTTTGTCGCCAAACCAACTTCAAGAAGTTCTTCATTTGTTGCCCTCAGATAGCCAAAAACTGCTACCTTACGTTGTTAAGGAACTCCTTCATCAGAAAATACAAATAAACAATGACCAGTTTATGAATTTACTTTCACAAGACTCTGCCCTGCTAATTCCAGTGTTGCAAGCCTTCATCAAATTTCAATTGATTGAGGCACCTCGTTTTGCTGAAATTATACCTCTTGCTTTACGACTTACTTCCTACAAGCCGATTATCGAAGAAATCCTGCAGTGCACGGAAGGCGTCAATGTTTTATCAGAATTCGTTGACAAAATAAAAGATGATGGGTTAGTCATTAAAATCGCTGCATCAGTGACTTCTGCGAATAGCAAACTTGATCCATCATTCATAGAAAAAGCTCTTTCAGTTGCATTTGAAAATTTGACAAGTCTCGAGGACACTGATCTCGACGCAGCCATCAAGCTCTTTGTGAGTCATTTCAACGAAATCCCAGAGCTCCGCAAGAACAAAATTGTTGAGATTATAACCACTCGGTCTGGAAGTAGGTTTACTCCACAGGTGCCAAATTTCATTGCGCTTCAGAAGGTTGAAGGTGATAAGATTATACGTTCCTGGATGCAAAAGTGCGTGCTGTTCATTACGAAGAATATTGTAGAGAAATCACAGCCCACCGCGAGATTTTCCGAGTTCCTAGCAAACTTCCTCAAGCTGCATGAAAAGATCAATTTCTGGAAGCACGGTATGACGTCCAGCCTCAATTCTCAGATTCAAGCTATTGTGGGTGGCAATTGGATTTCTTACCTCGGGATCTTGAAATACTTGAATGCCGTTCTACTAGGAGCAGAAAAAAGTCAATTGAACACCAGCAGAATGCTCCAGTTGCTGTTGAACAATGATCAAATGTGCTTTAACAGCGGCTCGAAAGATGCTCATATCCGCTTTTTGACGACCAGCTGCATGTTCATCCTTTTCAATGTGGATGCGGCTGGCTGTTCTAGCGTTATTGTTCAAGAAAAACTCCTGCTATGTTATGGAGGTACAATTTGTCCTTCCGATAGGATGATACTCAACATGCTAGAACAAATCGAGTCAAAAACTATTTCGTCCTGGACCAACAATATATTTGCATGGGACTATCAAGATGTTACAGAGGATCAAGAGGAAAGCGGCGCTGCTGATTACCAGATGATAGTGCAGGAAGCAGAAGGTTTTATTATAACAATACAGCGCAAGCTTGTAAAGTTCACTGCTGAAAACTTTGCTGTGACGATGCCCGCCCTTCCAATCACGGATTGCACAAACTCTTCTCAGATCAAACAAGATTTCATTGATTTAAAAGAAGAAACAGACCTACTCTACAGCGAATCGCAGTACAAAATATATGATCCGATGTTCTTGTTGCTATCGATGGTCAACAACGAAGAACTTTTCAAGAATAACAGCGACGCTAAAAATGGTAGTAATGAGGTTTCTTTCTTTGAGATGAAGAGAATCATTGATTCCGGATTATTGGAACTTGTGCTTGTCTGTCTGAGCTTCAATGGGGAAATCGGTGAGATTGCATTGTTACTGGTTCACAAAATGCTGGAGTCCTTGGACATAGGAAATTTCAAAGATAAGCAAGCGTACAAACTCTTACTCATGAAGATTGCTTGCACGTTTCACTTGTACGAGAAAAATGATGCGGCAGATACTGATAAAGTCCCACCTTTGATTTGGTCTACGGTGGCACGCGTTTCTACTGTGCTAAGTCAACCGTCGTCATTTCTTTACGAAAGGGCATACCGTTGGGTACTTTCCTCACCTTCGGTTAACTCCCGACACATCCCGTTCTATGACACTGTAGTTGCGAAGAAAGACGATGACGGTGAGCACTACTACAAATATCTGCATTGGTTTTTGGAGAGTATTCTGCAAGGTTTGAAAACAGATGAGGACCTACATCTTCTGAGGTCAAGAAACGTTTTTGAGTGGGTTATGAACTTGCTGAACTCGCCATACATCACTTTAAAACTGCGCGTTCTCGCAGTTTCATTTTTATACAAATCTCAGAGATTGGAAGGAGGAGGACCAACCTTACTCACGCGGTTCGCAGGCACATCTTTCCTCGAGAGTATGAATATTGGCACCGCGCAGCAGCTTGTTACCTCAAATGACCAATTATCCACTAATACCAAAAACAAACTGCATCTAATGCAGAACTTGGTCCTGCAACAATCTCAAGTAAATTATTCTGAGTTGGGCGCCGGTTTCACTGCGATCGCCAAATCCCGCAAACGACTAGTCGATTGGGTGGAAGGCGATGGTGACAACTTCTTGAAACGCATGTGTCTACCGGAATAGATTGAGCACTCATAAGCGCATCCAGCTAATTCTAGGAATATCAAAAGTTTAGATTCTATATTGTTGCATATATTACAAATATCACATACTAAAGCCGCGTAAAGATCACTTCATTGCAACAACGAGGTCCGATTGAGTGAATATAGTACATTGTAGTGATCATTAAAGCGATCCCTCCTCTTCCGCCGATCGTTCAACGACGTAAAGGCTTCGACCTTTAATGTCACAATATCAAGCTGTCTATCAAGAACCTTCGCCACTGAAGTTGGAGATATGAAAGTCGCTGAAAATGTTTTCCTCATCCATGGATCCGGCCGAATTCACGGCATTTCCTAGCCACATTGCCCTATTAGAAATTTCGGTCCATAACTCATTTTCAAACGCTCCGATCTTATCCAAACCATCTAGGAATTTCTGAATCTCGCCGGTGGATTCTAATGACAGAGGTTCGAATGTGCTGGTGTTGTTCTCGATGATTTGAGCCCCCGCCTCTGCCGTGGCTATATCAGCATTATTCTCTGTCTGGTCAGAGGTCAGTGGGCGTGCAGTCGGTAATTTGGTGATAGGTATTGATATAATGCTCGTCTCTTTATAGTTCTGATTTTCGTACTGGACATCAGGTTTCAAATCATCGCAATGTTTCGCTATTAGCTCCTTCATTGCGTGTTGAAAATCTAAGTTGCACATCAGCTTCAGTATTTGCGCTCGCCGCAGACCTGCTGGATTGTTCCCCAAGTTCCGCATCTTAGTGAAGATCAACAACGCATGATCAAGATGCTCAGCAGTTTGTTCGTAGATACCGAAGGCTGCATTAAAAAGTAGAAGGGTGCACGCGGATGTGAATAGGTACTCACGGTCCATATAACCAAACAGGGCTACCATGTTTTGATGCTTCAGGTACCAGAGAGATCTTATCGTGTTGATTGAAGCTTGCAAAGAGCAATTCAAAAGTGAGGAAATGGTCTTTGAGTAGTTTTGCAGATTGATGTAGGTGTTAGTATCGCGCCAATTTTCAAACTTCAGCGAGGCAAAGTGAAATAGCAGTGGTCGAATAGCTAGGTTCATTCCCTGGAAATACTCTGTGAATACGTTGGTGCGCAGCCTAGAAATTTTCAAGTCCTTCTGTGTAAAATCCACTTGAAGAAAGCTGGAGAGTGCTTTTCGCCAATCCAAGAGTTGCATAACAATCTCCCTCAAAGTAGGCAGGATATTAGAGGTTGGAAGTCTCTGATACAGTTTATTAAGAATTTGGGCATTAATCTGTGTGATCTTGACGCAGTTAGTGATATACTCTGCTTCGGGAAAGATATAATGCTCACATTTTGCTGGTGGGTTCGACATGTTGAAGTCTCCTGGTAACTCAGTGGTGATGCTTTCATCCGCAAAGCTTAGTGGAAGGCCAGCCTTGCTACTGAGCATTCTGTCAAACATGTATACAGTCCACCACAAACGACGCCTATGTTCCAAGTCGAAGCGACTTATGGTGTCCCGTTGTGCATCGACATGCCAGCCCATAATGAGACAAGCGCGCAGGGCCTGTCCGAAGTAAAAGTAAGAAGCTACCGTACAGTCTGCGACCTGCAAATAGAACGCGTAGAGTAACATAACCTCGAGACCACCTTGTTTCGTGACATTTTCGACGCGCCCACTAGAGAAAAGACAGCTGAATATCTTTGAAGCCTGTTCGAAGAATCCAGAACCCGGCAACCTGGTGCTATCCTTCGAAGTAGCCTTAGTACCGTTTGCATTGTTGGAGATACCGAGGTACATTTCACCTGTGGCGAAAATCAACAGGACCTTACAAAACCAAATTGTCTGCAAGGTGTTATCGTTAAAGCTTGTTGTTTCATCATAGATGTTTTTCATCTCATCCTTCACAAGTCCCTCGTTAAAGAAGTAAAAACAGCCATCATTGTAAGTAATGAAAGTATCAATCAGTAAAACTGCATATGAGTACGATGGAAGGGTAAAATTGACACTAACGTCATCATCGCCATCGTTTTTGGACAGAACGATTTTGTACGCGTTGCCCTCTTCTTGCAAGACTTCATCAATAGGCTCTGCAGTAGCGGTAGAATTTGGTGCTTTGTCATCCAGAGCACTAAATCCTTGGTCGCCAAGCTGTTTGGTTAAACTCTTGGGTATCAGGGACTGGATCTCGAGACCAAACAAAGTCATAGAAGAAGACCCCACAAAATACTGTTGACCGGTTCTGGAAGCTACAAGTCGCCCACGTCGCTCTGCGAAATTTGGCACAATTTCTTCGTCCTCTGAGTTATTCTCCACGGAGTTTTTGTGAAATTTCACATCCATCGGTGTCTTGTTGAGTTCAGAAGTGGCGGTATCCATTTCAGCACTATGTTTCTGGTCTATAGCAGCCTGTAACTTGACGTTTTCCCGTTTCATATCAGCCAAGTCCGATTGCAGTTTTTGAAGGTATTTCATGGAGACCACAAGCTTTTTGTTTGGCTCGATGTACTCACACGCCACTTTAGCAGCCACACATTTGGCACAGGGATGGCCTCCGGGGCATTTAACATGGCGTCTTCGACACCGCACGCAGGCTAATCCAGAACGTTTTTGACGCTTCCCAGAGCCCTCCGGGTTGACCTCTTCCAGGTCCAAATATGGAAACTCTTGGGGTCCCTCGGTGTCAGAGTTTGAAACACCATTCGAGTCGCTTCTTCGCATTCCAAGGGCACTGGAAGGTAGCGTTCAAGCGGCTCAAATTTTGGTGAGAATGAGATAGCTGGCGCGAATCATGATGGTCTGCGATGTCAATAATGAGCCATATGTTCGTTCAACGTGATGGGTTTGTATGTTAGCATTTGAGGACGATATTCCGAACGATTAAGAGGAAGGCATGAGTGAGTGTGAATCGAGCAAAGTTGTTTGTCTAGAGACGTTGGAGAGGTTTGCTCGAGGTTGTGTTCAGAGTGTCTTTTTTATTCATTTATTCTTTAAAGTCTAAATGACACTCGCTGCGTCAGAAACATTAATTAATTTGGCCATATAAAAAATGGTGACGAGAAAAAGAGTTCGAGGTAGCTTTGACGAGGTAGCCCTCACTGCATGCAGTGAAAGATGGTCTTAGTAATTACACGTTAACTCTGTCGCGTGTCATTTGAATATGGACAATTATTTCAATATTTGAAGAAAAATTGGTATCTGACCCAAAAGTGAGTATTTCTTGATTCCGAATTTCTTAATGGATTCGGCCAATTGCACTAGATAGTTATTGCCAAGCAGCTAACATAAAGAGAAGTCGTACCAGTTTTATTTGTATGACATCATCAAGTCAACATATATGTCACAAGAGTACAAAGTGATCTAGTAGGAAAGCTTCAGAAAGATCAGATAACTTTGCCGTGACGCTGAGAGGAGAACGCGGTGAACTTCCTTCTCATCCAGCCTGGATACTTTATTGATACCCTTTCTACCTGTTTATGAACTTACGTATGCCGCGCGTGACGTTTTGCCTCTATATATTACTTAACTTCTCCCTTTATTTCAACAAACGGTTGTTTGGCCGAGCGGTCTAAGGCGCCTGATTCAAGAAGTTCGCTTCTTAACACTGTCAAACGGTGGAAAACTCAGGTATCGTAAGATGCAAGAGTTCGAATCTCTTAGCAACCATAATTTTTTCTAAATTCTGTATTGAAAGACGTAAGAAGTGATATGTACTTTTTATTAGCTGGATATCACCTTGTACTAAACCAAAACCTTCCCAGTGTTCTATCATTTCACTCGCCCGACTTTAATAGCCAACGCTTCCGGAAAGCAGTTGCTTGAACTTCGTTCCCAAATCTCGTCTATGTATTACAACTACAAACTCGTTCCTTAACCCGAACGTCGCCCTTCATTCTCGATATACATCTCAGAAATGATTCTGATTGGCTGACGGGCCATCTAATCACTTATAACGAGGTGTGTGAATTGGGAAAAAGTTTTCCAGCCTGTATCTTTTGACAAGTTAGAAGCCAAACAGGGAAATCAACGATTTCAGGCCATAATTTGTGACTTTGAACTCGTTCTTGGGTCATTACCTAGTTGCTCAAATCTCCCCTAACGTGCGGAAGCTAATTCTCCAAGTTTCAGGCGTTTAAAGCTTACCTTTTTTGCATTGAAAACCGCATTTTATACTCCCAAAAATGTCTGTTGCCAAATCCGCCGCTTCCAAGTTGGACTGGGCCTCTGTCATCTCCTCTCTCAAACTCACAGGCAAAACTGCCACCCAGTTGACCTCATTTAAGAAGAGAAACGATGAGGCTCGCAGAAAGCTATTGGATTTACAAGCGCAGCCAAAAACCGTCGATTTCGACCACTACCGTTCTGTTCTAAAAAACACCGAGGTCATCGACAAGATCGAATCTTACTACAACTCTTACAAGCCTGTGTCTGTGGACATCAAGAAGCAGGTGTCTACCATCGAAGCCTTCGAATCGCAGGCTTTGGAAAACGCCAAGGAAACCGAGAAATTTGTTGCTCAAGAATTGAAGGATCTAAACGACACTTTGAAGAACATTGAGTCTGCCAGACCTTTCGACCAATTGACCGTTGAAGAGCTTGCCAAGAGCAGACCAGACATCGACGCTAAGGTCGAGGAAATGGTGAAGAAGGGCAGATGGGAAGTTCCAGGCTACAAGGAGAAGTTTGGCGACTTGACTGTGATGTAGAAACCTTTGAGTTATGTAGAAACGAAAAATTATACATTCCATACTTTAGAAGCCGGAATAGGGCTGGGCCTGCTCGAACTTTAAGTGTAAATTTCAGTCTTTTAAGAATTTGTTAGAGTATACATGTATATTATATATATATATATTCATACCTTGTCGTTATCTAAAAACATTCAAAGCTCGTGGCTTTCTGGCTCCCACTTCAACTCCTACACGAGTATGAACAAGGTTCTAGGGCAGACCTTTCTCGAGAGTATCCTCTACGAACAAAGTCAGGATGTCGAGATCACCGCTAAACTCTTAGAGTCGCTTCCAGTCAATCAGCTGGTCGCTAAAGGACTTGCTATAAACCACCTCACCTTGCAAAATGTGCGCAGTGGACTGGCTGGTAAACTGTATATGGAACTCGGGCCTGACTCAGCGTTTGATACTGAAATCATCCGTGGGGACGTCAAGAATGGAGATTTGGTCTTACTCAAGTCGTCTAGCAGTAAGAATGACGATTGCTGCTGCGAGGGTGTAGTCGCCAAAAGTACCGATAAAATGATTACAATTGCAATAGATGAATCCCAAGAGAACACAGCTCTGAAATTCTACAATTTCTCTAGACTCTATTTGCTGAAAACTACCAACACCATAACTTACAAGCGCATGCAGTCCACAATGCGCAAACTTTGCGAGTTTGAAGAAACCCCAAACAACGAGATTATCCAGTACCTCGTGAATAAGCGTGAGTTCACCCCACGAAACCAAAAACTCAACACCAAGTTCTTTAATGATAGCCTCAACGATTCTCAAAAGAAAGCTATTGATTTCTCACTTCAGAACCAGCTTAGCATAATTCATGGTCCACCTGGTACCGGCAAAACTCATACTTTGGTAGAGCTTATTCGTCAATTGTACGGACAAGGTCATCGTATTTTGGTGTGTGGACCATCAAACATTTCAGTTGACACAATTTTGGAACGTTTGGCAACAGTTTTGCCCGGTCAAGCACTGCTTAGAATCGGACATCCTGCACGTTTACTAGACAAAAATTTGGCACACTCTTTAGAAGTGCTTTCAAAAAGCGGTGACGCGGGCGCTATCGTTAGAGACATTTCGAAGGAGATCGATGATACCATTGCAAAGAACAAGAAATTGAAGTCGTATAAGGACCGGAAAGCAAGCTGGAATGAAGTCAAAATTCTGCGCAAAGAGCTCAAAGCCCGAGAACAAAAAGTTATCACAGACCTAATTCTTTCTGCTAGAGTAGTCGTGTGTACTCTTCACGGCTCAAGCGCCCGCGAGCTAATAAATTGTTACTCGCAAACCGATCATTTGTTTGACACATTAGTGATCGACGAAGTATCTCAAAGTTTAGAACCACAGTGTTGGATTCCGCTTATATCCCACTACAAATCGAACATCCAAAAGCTTGTGCTGGCTGGAGATAATAAACAACTACCACCAACAATCAAGACAGAAAACAATGACAAAGTCAAACAAACGCTGAGCACTACTCTTTTCGACAGGTTGGTAAAAGTCTACGGGGAATCCTTCAGAAATCTTCTTGATACGCAATACAGAATGAATAAAATGATTATGGATTTCTCGTCTCAGGAAATGTACAGTGGAAAGTTAAAGGCTGCCGACACTGTTGCAAATTGGACACTTGCAGATTTACCCGAGAGCGACGTTAATGACGAAACAGAGGCACCTTTGATTTGGTATGATACACAAGTCGGGGACTGCCCTGAAAAGGACGAGGATATCGATGTTCCTGGGGCTATTTCTTCGAAACTCAACGAGAACGAGGCCTATTTGGCTCTATTTCATGTCTCGAAATTAATCTCCAGTAATATATCCGAGGACTTAATTGGAATAATCTCTCCATACAATGCCCAGGTATCTCTGTTGAAGAAAATCGTACATGCCAAATATCCCCGGGTAGAGATTTCGACTGTCGATGGATTCCAAGGCCGAGAAAAAGACGTCATTATATTGTCTCTGGTGAGAAGTAACGACAGCTTCGAGGTAGGTTTTCTGGCAGATGAGCGACGTCTCAATGTCGCCATGACCAGACCAAAAAGACAGTTGTGTGTTATCGGCAATATGGAAACCCTGGGGCGCAGCAAGGTCAAGTTCTTAAAAGACTGGACAAGATGGTCAGAGCATAATAGCGAGGTGAGATACCCGGACCTCAGCGAAGTGCTGTGACTGAGACGACGAGTTACTTTATATCACCATCTATACAGGTTTATCAAAAACATATAGATCAACACTTTCATCGGCTGTGACAAACATGCTGTATTTTGGATTAAATGCAATGGTTCTGGGACAAGAGTCTGGGGCTGCGACAATAGACGCACAAGGTTTGAGAGTTTTTCCGCTGATGGACTCGGAATGATTATAGATGGCAATCTTACCAGCGTAGTCAGTGCTGAGCGTGAAGGCGCCATCCGGTGTGAAACATGCAGAGCCAGCGTCCATAAATTCTCTGAGCGGGAAAGGACGAGTCCCCGAGAGCTCGAAAAGCTGTGAGCCATCAAACGCGTCGAGTATAATTTGTTTTCCGGCAGATGAGGCCAGGAGAATGTACTTACCATCATTGGAGAATTCGAGCTTGGACCACTGATGGAAGCCGGGGTTGACTTTTATAACGAGGAACGGCCCATTTTTCAGTTCTTTAAGGTTGTATAGGCCTATTTCGTGATTTTCTGGGTTTCCTAACGCGAAAACAAGTCCACTGGGGTCGTACGCGATGCAGTTAGGTACCAGACTAGGCACGATAGCCTGGGCTTTAGATGTGCGCAAATCCCAAAGTCGTACCGACTCGTCGTATGATGCAGACAGGAAAGTGTCGTTGAGCGGACTCATTTGTAGATCGCTTACCAAAGCACCATGGCCTGTGAAATACCGCAGATATTGATTGGTTTCGAGATTCAAATGTCGAATATCGAAGCTCTTCATAGTAGACGAGTAGACGCATTCGTTTTGAGAGTGTGTGAATTTGGCAGAATGGCACCCGTATTTCTTGGAGGCTACCGTGTTCAGAAATCTACAGTTCATAGCGTCGTAAAGGTGCATGTTATCGTTGGCGGATGCTGCTAATAGATAGCGACCGTGGTCGTCGAAATTCAACGAGGTGACCGGCGCCACATCGTTGTCTCCTGGTTTGAAACTCTTTACAGCCCGAAAACGAGCCAAAGTGTCTTTGGATATATCTAGCGACATGGCAGGAGCCTTTAGTGCAATCCTAGGTTGCTAGATTCTGTACATGAATTATGGTTGATGGAAGTAGTCATTTAGTTATTTTTCGACAATATAAGAAATCGGTTTATTTGACAACAGCGATGAGAAGGAAGATAGGTCAACAAGAGAGTGAGAGAAAGACCGCAAGGAGTTCAGAATAGGTTGATCAAGAAGAGATTGAAACGGGCTTCAAAATGCAGTTTCAACGGTCAAAATCGAGTAACATAATGTAAAGTACCGAGAAATAAATCATATAATGAAGGTTATTAAGTAGCATATAGAGTAGAACAATTACTAGTGCTGGGCTCTTGTAAATGGTGTCAATATGCTCTTTGCGGTCTGAAGACTTGGATGCGAGAAATCAGCTCACCGCATTCAAATCCTGTATACGTTATGTTATATGTTGAATCGCAGGCAATGTCGCGGGCCCTGCTGATGACAGTTGCGACGATTAAAAAAATTGGCATGTAAAAAGAGACTTGTAATCCATTTGCTCATCTCTCTCAAATAGCTGGTGTTGCGTGTTTCGTCCATAGCAAATCAACATGCTCTGACCTGTCACAAGTTCTTATTATTTTTGGTTTTTGAATTGAGAAGTGAATCAATATTTTTAAACACATCCTTGGGAGCATAGAATTGTAAGCACATTGCCTACTCCACGATACGTCGTCTTGACATACCGTTGGACGCATTCCCAGCTGACGGTTGACGCAGCGTCAGGTTAGTACAAAGTGATCAACTTGTCTTTGAAGCTTTACAGCTGTAAGCAAACGTACACCGACGTCGTAACAATGTTTGAAACCTTAAAAGGTGCTATTGAGCAATTACAATCAATCTCTCAAGCCGCCTGATGCTTTGACAGATGATTGTCTCTCTCTCAAACGTGTATCATGTTTCACGAACAGTACCTTTTCAAGTGCTGGCTTCAGTATATATAAAGCTTAGAAAGCACATACTCATCGGTAATCCTCAAATCTCGAATCAGGCTCGTTATCCACCTGTTAAACATCAATATGACATCCGTATGCGTTCTTTTCCCCAGTTCACCAATCTTGTGCAGTAGGATCCACAACTAACCTTCGTGGGGGCTCCCAAAGAGCTCTCATATCACAGCTCAAACAATTAGCGCACCTTGGATTTGATCTGGCGCTGATATCCATGATTTTAGCAGGACTGCGCCGCAATACTGGTCTGGTTTTGGCCTACGAGCATTCGGATCTGAAAAATTATATAAGACGGTATTTAGACTGGGGCGATGCCATGTACAGCAGACTGGTCCGGATTGCACAGCGAAGCAAGTATTTCAGGAAAGAGACGCCGCTGGATGGCTTTTTGGATGGAGTTTTCAAACGTGTTGAAGAAGTGGGACGGGGCCCTGCAAGATCTGTTCATCGGGAACAGAATGAATATCTGCAAAAGCATTAAGACTTCAACTTAGGCCAAGTCTTGCGAGGGACGCGAACAAACGCGAACATACGCGGTATAATATACTTTTAAATATTGAAAAGTGCTGCCCAATAAGCTACTGTTGAGCTGGGCTGGGTTTCGGGTGAAACGGCGAAGTATTCTCACCGATGGGTTGGTTTCCTGGAACCTCATCATTAAACAACTTATTGAGAATTATGCTCAGTTAACAACATTCAAAAAAGGCTTGAAATACCATCTCAAGAGCACCCAAGGGCATGGATTTTTCGCTTTTGAGTTCGTTAAGCTTGGCCATGGACACCATGGCCGAGAATCAACAGTGCCATCCTCTAAAAGACCTTCCTGTCTTCAAGACTTTGGATGAATCGAGTACTCATCGCAGCGACTCGCGATCATGGAAATCGCGACCAAACGCGGTGCGAGAAATTCCAAGCTCTGCAAGGAAACCTGTGAATACGCCGCCGCTGGCGGCGTATTCGGCTTCTGCTGAACAACCGTTTTATCCCAGGGGAAACCCACACTCTTCGTCGTTCAACGCGTTCGAAATGCAGCTTGAACTGCACGAAAGACAACTTCAAAGAATCCGATCGATAGGCTGGGACTCTATAAGGCCCATTGGTGTCGACCTCACTTTGAGAGAGCGAGAAGAAATCGCCAAGATCGAGGCAAAAGAAAAGGAAGAGGAGGAGCGTAACTACCGGCAGCTCCGGCAAGAGCAGTCTCTAAATGACCCTTTTGGTGAGACCGTCGCTTCTCCAACCCCAAGACTCCAAACCTCGCTGGAACAGTCTCCTCCGCCTCCTGATATGGACATAAATCTCGACCAAGACGTGCAGGAAGACGAGACGTCCTACGACTACGACGATGAGTTCGCCAGGATCGATGGCGAAGAAGAACAACCGTCCGCCCTGGCTCAGCGTAACACAGACCGACCGGAACGGATCGTGCAACAGTTCATCGAAACCTCCCATATTGAAGGCTTGAGCCATCCTTACGATGTCGAGAATACGTATAACGGCTACGACTACGACGAGGTCGATTCCCATGAGGGAACGCAGCCTCATCTGGGGAGTGTTCCCTCACTGTTACCACCGATTCGAAACACAGACCTGGGTATCACAGCACATATGACCGACGCAACTCCAGTGCGCAATCCCATCTTATCACGCCGGCGTCAAGAAAGACGAGTCACCTTTGACTCCAGTGATTGCGAGTAATTACACGGTTCGAAATTCATACTGTACAGTGAACCTATGTATCTATTTAACCAGCTCTGACCCAATAATATTGGGCAAAGCTTTTTGAGAAAAGTTTACTTTATCTACTTTAGCATCTTGTAGATAGATTGCCGGCACCATCCATTTCCCACAGCTGCACCGGGAGCCTTTCCAGTTATAGGCGCCCACTTTAGACGAGCAGTTGGGACAACTGAACTTGCCTTCGAGTTCCTGTTTGCCTTGAAGTTCATCCTTCATCCAATTGAGCGGTTCCACGAAGTAGTGTGAGCACATGTCTTGCGACTGTTGAATATCCACAATTCTTCTTCCACCAGCAGTTCGCCTGATAAAGTGACCCTCAGTTGATTCTCTGCTTGGTGGCTCATGCTCGATGAACGAAGTCGAAAGTGCAAGACGCTGTCTGCATTTTTTACAGCGTATAGCATACACTTTGGCCAGTTCTTCGGGAGTCATTTCTTGTAATCTTTTTTGATCATTGTGCTTGAAGGTATCCTCTTGAGCCAGTATTGTTTCTTTAGTGGCATCGTCCTTAACAGAGTTGGCCAATTTCCAGACTTTGTAGCCCTGGAAGTCAGAATCGACGTAGCAAGAGCCCATTGCCTCGTATATTTGAAGCTGCTCCATAAAGTTGTCGTTTGGTTGAGCGCCGGGGTGTTTCCGTTGAACGGCATACAAAGCCGACTTCAGGCTCAATCCATACCTGTACATCAAGTAGGCAACAATGAATGTGACGGATCTGGAAACGCCAGCGTGGCAGTGAACATACACACCATTCTTTTGAGGTTTCTTCTTAAAGCTCACTTTCTTAGGATCGTACTCTAGCTCATCTGGGAAAAGACAGTTATCCAGAAAAGTATTGGTTTCGTCGAGATACTGTAGAATATCTGTTGTCTCGTCGTCATTTATCGCAATGTTTTTCAAGGTGTAGCTCTTTCTTATGAGGTACTCTGGTAGAACTTGGAATTTCATCACCGACAGAATATGCGTAATGTTGTAGTCAGCTTTCAACGGCACATGATCGATGATTGGCTGTACTGATCCAACGTAAATGTTTCCCAGAACTCTATCTAATACACTCATAGCTCAAGTAGTCAAGTACTGCCTTGTGTGTTTACCTGTGTTGACTACTTTTGCTTCTTTGTTCGATGCGATGAGCTAGAGATGCGATGAGCTTCAAAAAATTTGGTGCTAACAAAACGTCACCAAAAAAAAAAATGGAAATACTAAAGGAAAGTCCAAAGATGAATGAGTTGGGTGATGATGGTCTCAAGTAATTGAGCTAACTTTCACTTGCAAAACTAAGCTGTGAGGGAGCGAATTCTGAAGTCCCAGAAATTCTTGCGTATAGGATCATAATTGTCAGATAATGCTTGGTATGCGCATTTGGCCTTTTCATGGGTGCTTGGGTCCTGGGCGTACACGTAGGCAAGCATTTCCAATGCATATGAAGATAAAATTTGTGGCGGAGACGCGGGGGACTCAAAAATGTCTGATGTGAACCTGCTTGCGAAAGTTATAATATCGGCATCGAATTTATCGTTCAAAAATTCTAGATGAATGCCGCGAATGTAATTCCAGGGGCTGATATTTTGGGGTGCAAGCTCTATGGCTGTTTTTGTGTAATGCAATTCTGTTGTCAGAAGTTCCGCAGGTGGCTGAGAGTTGAATTGCGATTTTAGAACAAACATACGATGACACCAGGCACTGTTGTTGTAGACGTCGCGGGCTATTAGGTCAGAAGCGAATTCGAGTTCGTGCTCAAAGTTTTGAAAGTAATTCACGCACCACCGGCGGTAAGACCAGACGTGGTAGTTCTTGGTGTCGTCATCGATCATAGACTGTAGAACGGGTAGCTCCCGTGGAAACTGCGGGTTCGGGTGCATTTGCAACAGTGCTTGACGGTAAGACCAAATTTGATAATTTTTCGGATTGTTCAAGGTGAACTCGTCGAGCCAATCGAGCTCTGCGTTGAGCTTAGCTGCGTCGTTTCCATGCAGTTGTTTCACGATCTGGAAACGGTAATTCCACATGGTGTAGAAAGCTGGCACCAGCTGTATCGCCTCAGACACTGCGTGGAGCGCTCTCTCTGTAAGCTCGTGCTTCTTCAAGAGTGCTCTGGCGATGCCCATCACTTCGCGATACTCGTCGTCGTACATAATTTGGCACAGCTCGCCGGGTTGGTCGCTTGAAATTGGAAGAGCTTTCACGTCATCATAATTGTAGTCTCCAGCGTCGAATAGAGAGTCTGTCATGTTGCAAAGCGGCGCTTCAAAATCGCTATTGGTGTTTTAACGTTTCCAAGGCTGATCTCGAATCTGCAAGACTTACAAAGCAGATTTCTGGCAGAAGAAGGATGATAAGAGTTCGTATCGGTGCAATTGACGCTCGATGCACTTCTGGTCGCGATCAAATGGTTGGAAAAGGTTAATTTACAAGCGCTAGGGTGTTCGGTTCTTATGTTGAACTACCTGTGGTTATACATTTGAGGTAGGACGAATATCCGTATATAGTGACAAAAACCATGCAGATATGCTAGCGCATAAGCAAGCGGCGACAAGAAAGACTATAGTGAGGATAGCAGCTGGTGATGTGTACGGTGCTGTTCAGTATCGTTGCTCGGCTTTAGTTGGGATAATCTAGCGGTGCACGTAAACTTGGGTGGTATGTCTATAAGATGTGTCACGTGATGCGGAGCTATAAAAACAAGATTTATCACTGGAGGAGCGCTATTCAGAAGTCACATAGGACTTGTGAGTTTGGGGGAGAGTTGGATTTTATTGTCGACATTCTGTTGTTAAACTGTGCACTGTTTATCCGAGGCTTTTTGCTTGGAGGTCTTTCCGAAGAATACCTTTTGTAGTCGATACGCACGTCAAGGGCTCTTAAAAACATCACAATTAATATATTTAATGACTGCAACGACGACAAGAAACTTGGACTAGCCACGCATCGGCGACATGCTCTACGAGACTGCTGTTTTCTGCCCGATCCATTATACTACCACGGCGTAATTGTCTGTCATCTCAGCGACAGATTTATTTAGTATATATTACAAACTGTAAAAGTCCTATAAAAAACGCATAACCGACAAGGCCACTATGGCTGAGAGAATACCGTAAACTGGAGTATACACGCGACATGCCAGTCTCAATCTAACAACTTTAATCTACACGCGCTTGTTTTGTTGTAACCAAATATCCCCATCCGTACGTAGTGATGTGTCTTTTTTCAGTCCCAGCGATCAAGAACCCATACGTGATCGTGAGGGTCAAGTCTACTCGTGTCGCCTTCTGTTGTTCTGCCCACTTTGGCACAGGTCTCTCTGCCGCGGTGAACTATTATTGACCTTCCATTCTCGCAATGACGCGAACTTCGAAACAGGAAAATCAATAGCACCAGCTTTTGAGGCTAAACTACTAAGAATGTCGATTGTCCTGTGCAGTTTGAGGACATATCGGCTACGACGCGGCGAGCAAGCATTTCGAGCAAAACGCTGGGAATATCAGCAAACCGTGGTCTTTTGAGGTTTTCGTTGTCGGGCCTACGTTGTTATCTTACAGCCGAGCATAGGCACAGCGACTAGATTTTTGGGTAGAAGATCGAGTAGATAGTCAAGTGGATGACGTCCCAGTAGCAGCGAATCCCAGTCGAGCTTCTTGTGTGTGTGTGTGTGTGTGTGTACAGCACACCAAGCACACCAGGTCCGCCAGGCACACCGAGCACACCAAGCACGCACATTTTCCCTAACCACCTCCACCCAAACGCAATCCCCTTTACGCATCCAGGCATTTCCCGCATCCAATTCTGACCCCCACTCGATCATTTTCGACATGTATGTATGATATGAGCCTCAGTGAATTTGCCCACAACTGCTAACCTTATCGGCATTTCGTGCCGTGCTGTGCCCAGAAAAGTTTCCTGCAACAACCACGCCAAATTTACAAGAGTACAAACCTCACAATTAAGACGTTGTTAAAGCAAGTCTGTTGTGCTCTTAATTCCAGATCATGTCGCTACTTCAGGCCTGCCAAAAGTGTGCGATAGGCAGAGCTTTTTTTTCGCTACTGCTCATCTGTAGAGACAGTGATAAAACTTATTTTCCACACACTATACACGCAATTTGGCACATTTCACATTCCTAGCAAACGGAGATCAGCTAGCCCGTAGTAGTATGCAAAAAATAACCGATAAGTAGAGCACACAACAGGAGGAGGAGGGGACACCACAACAAGCACGATTACGCAGGGAAAATAGTGTAGAAGGGCGTGTGTATGTGTGTATCAAGAGATTTCAATCACGTGATTGATCGAGTTATCGGAAAATAAGGTTTCTATATAGTCCGCAATTCCAAAAAGGCTTTTAAAACCCCTTGAAATACAGCTAGTTATGTCGTGCGAATTAGCGTGCCAATCTTCTGCTCTTATTGGTGGTTTGGGAAGGTTTTATACTCATTCACACTCTCACTCTTTCTTGTCCCGTGCATAGCGATATTTCTGGGGCTTTTTTTCCCAATATAATTACTCCCTCTCTCAGCTCATATATCTTAAACCTCATCTCATCAATCAACTCTTACCGTTGGAACTCTCTTTACAAACCACTACACAAACTGAAACCACCCTCATTCTAGCGTTTGGAAACCACTGTTTTTCTAGTTTTGAGCGTGATCGTTGCGTTTTTACGAGTCTACACATACCAGCAAGTCCCATTTGCCGCTGGCGTCTCGAAACGAACGAGCTAATATTTGCATTTTTAAGGCAGAGGTCCAGATTCAAACAGAAGCTTCGGGCTGATCGTCGGTCTTTCGCGACCAAACTAACCACTTACAGGTGTCGAACCGCGTGCTACACTATCCTATGTCGAGACTCAATACCGAAATGGTCGAAACCGAGCTTTTGGAAGACTTTTTGTTCACCGGAGCCGGGAACGACAGCACCGGATACGCGCTCGATGACGAGCCTGGAAAGCATCCAGAGGATGATCTCTTCACCTCTTTCATCAACACCGAAATGCTGCAGCAAGCTCCATCCAACTACACCATCAACTCACAGCACCAGGCCATGTCGTCCACGTCGTCGCTGGTGCCCCCACTCGCCACACCAAATCTCCTCGACGGTTTTTCTGGGACCGAAGGACGCCGACACCTTGAGAAATCGGTCAGTCCTCTCGATCCCCTGTCCATGGCAGGCTCCAAGGACGTGCAGCACAATGCACGCGCTGTTTACGACGCCAACGTCTCCGATGCAGCCTCGGAACAGCAGCCCAGGAGCTACAGCCAAGGCTGCGAGCGTCTAGTGGACCACACGCTGCAGTTCGGCAGAACCAAGCCCATCCAATCCGCGTACCTCAACCCAAACGACTTCCTCAGCATCACGGAGGACTCGTTGCCTTACAAACTCACGGTTTCGGGGATGCCCTCCACGTCGCGTGTCGAGACTCAAATCAAGCTGGAGCTAGTCATATCACCTCCACCTCGCGAATACGTGGTTCACTTGCCCACCGACTGTATAACCAAACAGAAGTGGTACCTCGAAAACGATATCAGCGCATACCCTAAGCAAATTCAAAACGAAATGCTATATCTGGAGAGTTTCTTGGTGTGCGCTTCCAATGGGAAGCCAACTTATGTCTGCAGCCGTTGTGTGAAACGTGAACAACGTAGAGCCTCTAGACGGAAGTCCGGACTCTGCGACAACATGCTATGGTGCAATAACGAAAACAGGCGTGCAGTTGTTTTCAACAGCAGGCAAGTTTTCTCCATCAAGGATCACAATTGCAATAGCCAGTTCAAGATGTTCGATCTCTCTGCTAGAATTGTTTGTTATTGCAGGCATCACAAGGAACCAGAAGGCTTCAAGATCTTATTTGTGCTAAGAAATGCTCGCCAAGAGGTGCTCGCCAAGAGCGTCACAGGTCCCATCATGATCATGGACAAAAAGTCGAACAAAGATTCTTCTGGAACTGTGTCACGCCAAGAATCTGCAGTGGACTTGAATAACATCACTGATGGCTCGCGTAGTGAACGGAGTGAAATCCCACATGTCACTTCAACAAGCGACTTGAGCGGTCTAGAAAATTACAAACCAGGGGACGACTTCATGCATTTGGCCGCCAGGGGTGAAAACATGCTCTCTCCAACTTCCATGGGTGGCGACAGCTCTGAAGCACACATTACTGACGCCAATACAGCAGATCATCCAATATTTAGGAGTGTTCCGGGATATTCAACCTCCAGGCTTGACTCGGCCCAGGCCAACAAACGTAAGCGGACCTCAGATGAGTTCGTGACCTCCAGTCTTTACAATCAAGATTTTGCCAAGCCTTTGACCGTTCTAAACTTTTCTAAGTCGTTGTCGACTTCGTCGTCTAGTCATTCGATACCTCAAGCATTGCAGGATACGAATCCTTCGAGCTCTCTCATGACGGCGACTAATAGCATGCTTCGTGGCATCTCAGATATCACTGATCAAGCCCAAAATATACGTCCTTTCATTCAACGTGTTATTCCAGCCCAAGGTCCGGTCAAGGGTGGAATTGAAATCACTTTGCTGGGCTCCAATTTTAAGCCTGGTATGATAGTTAAATTTGGAGAAAACAAGGCACTCTCGACTCAATGCTGGTCAGAATCAACCTTGGTCACCTATCTTCCACCATCTTCCAAGGCCGGTGAAGTCTTGGTTACTGTATTCGAAAAGGAAGAACAAGACGAGGAGCTATTGGGAACGATGTCCACCAGCAAAACCATATTCACATACGTGGACGACACTGATAGGCAGTTGATTGAACTGGCGTTACAAATCGTTGGTTTGAAGATGAACGGTAAGTTGGAGGATGCTCGCAATATCGCCAAACGAATTGTGGGTCATGACAGCGGGTCCGCCAATAACTCGCCTGGTGGGAGCACGGGCAACGTACCTCAAAATCAATACAACATGGGCCCTGGCCCAGTTTTGTTCTCGGACGAAAGTTTGTTGCTGAGAGTAATCAAGTTACTCAACTCAAGCTCTAACTTGTCCATGTGCGATGAAGAAGGTCAGACCATGTTACATTTAGCATGTCTAAAAGGCTACTACCAATTAGCTGCGGCTCTAGTGAGAAAAGGTGCCAGAGTGGACGCAAAGGACTCCTTTGGGTTTTCGCCTCTTCATTTCGCATGCTTGAACGGTGACGGTAAAATTATCAGACTGTTAGTGCAATGTAAAGCGGCTATTCAAGTTGAAGCCATGAACGGATCGACTCCTCGTGATTTGTTTATTGCAAATCATGACACGGATGATGAAAGATACGAGGACTATCTGAACGAAGTTCTAGACGCTCTGGATATCGACATCAGCAGTGAAGAGTTGTCAACAACTATGGGAAGAAAAATGTCCGACAGTAGTTTCCAGTCCTCAGTATTCGATGCGGGATCTTTAGCATCTCTAAATGATAATCTCCAAGTGCATATTTCTAAAATGAGAGAGGACAGACTATCTGATGACGATGAAGATTTCGAGGATTATGAGGAAGATGGCGACGAAGGGCTTTTGGGCGACGACGAAGAATCTACTCGGACCGACGATGCTAACTCTACACCACGGGAACTATCGCCTCTAACTGCGGCTGGCGGGTTGGGCGGGTTGAGCAGGGAACGGCTTCTCAATCCTCATGTCCGTCACGACCCCGCCTCGGTCTCTACCACCAACATCAACGACAACGACAACAACGATAACAACAATAACCACGACAGCAACGACAAAGACAACAACAACAACAATGACAGCAGTAACAGGAATTCAACGGAGAACTCGATCTGGAATCGCATGCTGAGTGCGTTGAACGACGAGCTGCCCACGTATGACGACCTCTTTCCCAGCCCAGGCAGGGAGAAGCAAATGCGGGTTTTGCAGAGCACACCGGAACCTGGAGAGCAGCTCTCGGCGATCTCGTCTAGCGCAGTCGAGGACTCCCAGGCGTCTTCGGAGGACGAGGAAGACGCACTTCAAGCTCGTCTCAACCGCTTCTTCCAGCAAAGACAGAATTTCCAAAACGACAAGATGTTGTTGTTTTTCTGGTTGCCTCTTACGATCATTCTGCTTTCCTCGTTTTTGATCTACGAATTCGGGCATGATGGCAACACCGTGCACTACTGGTCAGAAGCCGTGTCCGAATACTTGCGCGTGGGACTTGCCAAAGTCATGTTGGGTAACCAACGCGTAAAAGGTGCCTTCAAAGGTTCTCTGCATAGTCTTCAGGCTGGAATCATAGAAAGCACAAGCTAGCAATATATAGTATATATAGTTATGATTTATGCATGTTTGACAGAAGCCGATCAAAGATTTGACAATGCCAAAATTGCTTGAGAGATGATAAATTCAAAGTTATTTAAATGCCAAGCAAGATGATGTTATGGAATCAGTCAAAAGTTGCCTTAGCTTAACTTTCTCCGACTTCGTCAAAGTTTGTCATTTTTGGTGTATATACCGTATATAAAATTTTCGATCTATAAATGAGATTAGATGAGATGAGATGAGATGAGATGAGATGAGATCAACTTGATAGACTAAAATCACATATTTAGTGCTCCTAGGACCAGAAGAATGGCTCACAATCAGTTTAGAATTGTAGTAGGCTCTTACGAACACAATTTACTGTGTCTTTCGGTAGATTTGTCGCACGAGACGCCTGTTTTCACACCTATTTTCCACTTCCAAGCGCATGCATTGAGTGTGAAATGTTTAGACATCTCGAAGCGCTACTTGGTGTCTGGCTCCAACGATGAACACATTCGGATCTATGACTTGCAAAAACGTAAGGAACTGGGCAATTTGATGAGCCACCAGGGCTCGATAACGGCTCTAAAGTTTTCCAGAGGAGCACAGCTGGATGACAGCAGCACCAAAACCCAGGAAAACTCCAAACGTGGGGCGCAGACTAACAGCAGATGGCTGCTGTCTGCTTCTGAAGACAACAATCTGTCATTGTGGCGGGTCAAAGACTGGGAAAACTTCGGCACTCTTAAGGGCCATTTGGCGCGGGTCAACGATTTTGACATCCATCCTTCCAGCAAAATTGCAATCAGCACGAGCGAAGACCACTCCATCAGGTTGTGGAATTTGATGACGCTGAAGAATGCTGGGGTTTTGAAGCTGAGAAAATACAATCAAAATGGACAATTTGTTGGGTGGTGTGGCAGCAGCGGTGAGTTCTTCGCTGTGGCCCTCACTAACAAGGTTCTGCTATACAAGACTTCCACTGCCAAGGTCCATCGTGAAATAGAAACTGGAAGATCTTCTATCATGCATATGGAAGTGCAAACAATCGACGATCAGGAATACATAGTAGTGGGTCTCGGAAACGGCGCGCTCGCCATGTACTCTACAAAAGAGCTTTGCAAAGAAGATGACCAGGAGGAGGAAGAAAAGCAGACCGTTTCTCCCTCGTTCACTTTGCAAGGTCACAGCATTCGTATCAAGGACTTCAAATTTTACACCAATGAGTTTGGCCTCTACCTGGTATCCATAAGCTCTGACGGGAAGATAGTTATTTGGGACATGGCGACCAAAGATCAGATCGCCGTCTATGACTGCGGTGAGAGATTGAATTGTCTAGCGTTGTGTGACGAGGCGATTGAGAAATACGAAACAGTCAAGAAAAGAGACGCTGAGGAAGCTGACTTGGGTGAGCAAAGCGAAGCCGAAGAAGACTCTGAAAAATTGAAGCAGATTATGATGGGAAGAAAGCCCTCCAAGAACAAGAGCAGTAACAAGAAATCGCGGTCCAAGAACAAGAAAGTGGAAGTTCAACTAGAGTGAACTGTAGTCAGCATTAGCATGCAGTGTATATCACGCTTAAGCCTATATCACAGGTAATTGCATCTATAAAAATTATGGTTGCGGAAAAGATACATCAGTGTTGAAATAAGGCCGACTTTCCAGCAGTCTCTTTTGAAATCGATTAAAACTTAGATTCTCTGTCAAGACGAGCGCAGTGTTTGATGTAAAGAGCCTTGGCTCTAGCCCACACAGGTGCCTGGTCTCTGTTAGGCAGCTGCTCTAGAGAAGGCAAAAGGTCACGAGCAAAGAATTCGGAAGACTCTCTAGGCAGTAGGGATGGCAAGTGATCGATAGAGACCACAGATAGCTTGGGGCCGGCGGAGGTTGGTACTAGTACCGTAGGTTTGCTGAAAACGGTGGCAATAGTGTACACGGGAACCGGGTTGTGAACGTTGGTGGTATCAGCAGACACATCGACAATGGTCCTTAGCCTTCTACTGCTGCTATTCAGTAGCTCCGAGTTGATAAAGGGAGCGATAGGCTTTGATAGGTAAATGCAGTTGATGAAAATGTCGGCCTCCGCGATTTCTTGGAATGGGCCTCCGCGGGCAGTCTCCTTCATATCCCATTTGATAATATTTTGGGAAGGAATGCCTGCTTTTTGAAGCATGTCAACAGCACCGGAACCACATCTTCCCAAAGCGCCAATGATCAGCACGGTTGGCTTTTTAGCACCCTTCTTGAAAGCTTTTTTCAAGTCTGCAGTAACGTCTTTGACAAGTTCGTGCTCGTTTGGGAATGGTGTAACGCCAGGCAAATCCTCAGAGTCGGCGTGAGCTTGTTTGAAAGCCCAGTCTTTCAAACCCAAAGCTGCACCTGCGAAACCGGCGTAAAAGCCAAAAGCGGCCACTCTTCTGCCCTGGTCATTTTCCAAGAACTCAAGGTCGTACAAAGTTCCTTTCCCTTTCTTAAAGCGGCCCAAGACTTCTTTCCAGCCGGCCTGGTTCTTGTAGCAATGAGCAAATTGGATGTGCTCGTGAACGAGTGGGAAAGTGTCGTTTTCGGGGAGTTCTTTCAAACCGATAATTATACGGTTTTTAGGAGCGTTAACCCACGAGCCCTTGGGCACGATTTCAGCACCAACTTTTTTATATTCTTCGATGTCGAAAGTCGATTGTTCGCTTTCTTCCACATAGATTTTGAACCCTTGCGCCAGGAGTTTTTGCACAGTGGTGGGAGTCAAAGCCGCACGGGCCTCTTGGTCTTTAGTTTCTGCTCTTAGATGGAGAATGACAGGTGCCATGATAAATGTTCGAGATTTTTTGGATAATGTAAGATCGATTGGTATTATAATCAAGCAATTGGAATTATTGCAAACCAACTTGTTCGAGGCTTCCCTTTTATACTGGTTTGGTGAATTCGATGGTTGGTCGCGATGGTATAGTTCCTAGAGTCATATTGATGCTTTTTCTCGAATCTGGGCCAAAAGAAACCAGGATTCCACCGGAATTATTTTTCCGGAATTTTCCGCCGGAAAAACTGTGAGTGCGTGCTTTTCACGTGATGGGAGCCTGAGAGCGATCGTGAGCCTGAGAGCTTCAACGCGCGCTTGCCAGTGACAGGATACGCGAGTGACACATTAGAACATTGGCGATGGGTTGAGCGTACGTTTAGGGCTAGATGAGTCAACGCGTCCATGAAAAATAGTTAAAAGTCGCGGAATATCAGCCAAGATTTGGTAGAAATGGGAATACACGTCTCTTAAGAAGAGGATTGGTCTCAAAAAGCTAGCTGTGGTGTCTGTTTGAATCCTGAAACGACTTCATTGGCCAGTAAACAGCCATGAGTAGCTGTGGCCTTGGTTTGGGTCTGGAAACGTCTAAATACCAAGATAAGTTGTTTGTTTTATTAACTTTTAGGCCTCTTCTTTTATAGAATGGGAAAAGTTAATAAATGAGCTCTAACACAAACATTACGTCGATTCATCCTGACGTGGACACCAGCTAGTGCTTTGATTCGCGAAAGTAAATCCTGAGGCTCGGTGTAGCACTGAATGGCGCCTCTAGCGAGAAAAACAGGAGAAACCGTTCTTGTATGCCCACGCAATATCCATTGTACTCAGTCTCAAGCCATCAAACACGTCAACTTCACATGGCAGTTGAGCTATACCTTCCCATGCGACAAGTACCACCTTGCTTGTTTCTCTGCCATGAATTTTAAACATCCAAACCCTGTGCTTGACACGTAGTCTAAAAAACCTGAAATCAAGGTCATTGCCCACCCTCCCTCACTCAAACTAACCCTCAGACTCATGCTCTCACTCACTCTCGCACACACTTATATCTTCTATCTCGAAATCTTACATTCCCACATCTCACATCTCACAATGCCATGTCTTTATATCTTGTTTAAGAGACCTCGGCGGCTAAAACCAGGGCACGAAAGAAAAGGCGTGCTTACGTCATCCCCTTCTTGTTCTTCTTGAAATTTCGTCACTATTGACGAACTTAATAAATGAGACTATTATACCCATAGCTTTGTGATTGTCCATGTCAAAACTGACACTCCCAACTCAACGTCCAAACACACTCCACAAGACCGTTGGGTGTTCTTCTGCTATGTCTCGCGGAAATACGCCATCGCAGCATAACTCTACGCTAGCGATTTCCCCCCTGGTCGGAAACCGGAACCTGCAGGTGCAACAACAGCATTCACAACAGCATTCACACCATCAGGCACCACAACAGCTTCCACAACATGCACAACAGCAACGAAATGATGCACTGCACACTCAGGGAAATAGGCAATGGAGTGGCAGCCATCGAGCAGCCCAAACGCCGCATCATGCTGTCACATACAGCCCGTTGGTGCAGAAAATACAAAACAACGCATCGCTGGCCACTCCGGCGCCAGTGCAAAACCATGGCGGGTCAACAGCAGGACTGTTGGCGTCGATGACCAAAAGCGGGCTTTTTGGACCAGCCATGCCATCCACGCTGCGTAAAGTCAGCGCAGTGACCGAACCCACCAGATCTCCTTCAAACGCACGCCAAACCATGACAATGGACGAACTTCTGGACTCGAACCAAATCGTGAACTCCATCGACATAGCACAGTTGCCGGCAGCAGAAAAACTACGTCTTTGGCGACACGATTCGCTCATGCAGCATCAGTACCGCACCGCGGAGTATATCGGCGATAAAGTCTACGCCATGACAGGAGACCCCAACGACGCGTTTTGGCTCGCCCAGGTGTATTTTAATAGCGGGTCGTACATTCGCGCCGTGGAGCTTCTGACGCGCAACAACCTCGATACTTCCAGCGTGATGTGCCGGTATCTCACGGCTCTTTGTCTTGTGCAATTGAAGAAGTACGAGGACGCACTCGATATTTTGGGAGAGACAAATCCGTTCCAGGACCCACAGGGCAATCGTGTGAGGAATCAAGATGGAGGAATTAAGCTAGAGTCTTCCATGTGTTATCTGCGAGGGAAAGTCTTCGCAGCTTTGAACAACTTTGAAAGGGCCAAAGAGTGTTTAAAAGAAGCTCTGCAGGTTGACGTTAAAAACTTCGAAGCGTTCGACGAGCTCATATCCAAAAACTTGTTGACGCCAAATGAAGAATGGACTTTTGTTGCTTCACTCGATTTCTCGGAATTGGACGATAACGAGGACTTTATAAAGTCTTTGTACATTTCCAAGCTATCAAAACATCTTAACATGGACCAAGTCCGCAAAGCTCAGAACTTTTTGATTACCGAATACAAACTTAATAACAACACTGATATCATCCACAGTCATGTGGATCTGCTTTTCACCCAATGTAAGTTCTCAGAGTGCTTGAAACTGTGCGAAGAAGCCTTGGAGCAAAACGAGTACTCATTTACTATCCTGCCGACATACATTTCATGTCTGTATGAACTAGGAGGAAAGAATAAACTATTTTTGGTATCGCACAAGTTAGCCGAAAATTTCCCCAAACATCCCATTACGTGGTTTGGAGTCGGGGCATACTACATGTGCACCAACAAAATCTCTGAGGCAAGGAAATACTTCTCAAAATCATCCATTCTCGATCCAACTTTTAGTCAAGCTTGGATCGGGTTTGCACACACCTACGCTGTAGAAGGAGAGCACGAACAAGCCGTCTCTGCTTATTCTACTGCATCCCGGTTCTTTCCAGGAACTCATCTCCCCAATTTGTTTCTGGGAATGCAGTATCTACTCATGGGAACATTGCCGCTTGCGGAAGAATACTTTATTTTGTCATACGATGTTTGCCCTTATGATCCTCTACTATTGAATGAGATGGGTGTGTTGTACTTCAAAAAAAATGATTTTGTGAAAGCCAAAAAGTATTTAAAGAAAGCATGGGAAGCTATCAAAGCGCTGGACTCGGAATCGAAATCGTGGGTTTCGATTCACACCAATTTGGCACATTCTTATCGTAAGTTGGGGGAAAACGAGAGGGCCGTAAAATGTTTCAAGCTCGTGTTAGAGACCGCTGGCAAAGATACTGACACTTTATGCGCTTTGGGTTATGTTTACCTCCGAATGAATAGAATAGGAAAAGCGATTGAATCTCTACACAGTTCGCTGGCCTTGTGCCCGTCAAATCAAACAGCGCAAGAACTTCTCAAGCAAGCTTTGGAGGTGAATTTGTCAACTGCTTTAGATGAAAATCATCCTCTCGTGGTCAGTTCTCAAATTCGAGAACAAAGCTCTGGTCTCGATAGCCGCAAACGGGGTGCTCATAAGTTGGATGCCCATGAAATGGCGAAAAGACTGAAACATGGGCGAGATTCTTCTGATGAGGAGGCAGACGATGGTGACTCAATGGAACTAGAGTAAACTTAACCAATTTTAAGTAGACGATCGATTCAAAAAAACAATTGACATTGAAGCATGCAAACTTTCCCGCATGTGTCGTAACGATACTGCTATATCATTCTGGTCTGCTTAAGGTTTGGCTTGAAACGACTAGGTCTCCTTTTCTCGTTTTTGCTTTGGCTTTGGCTTTGGCTTTTTTACTTTAGCCTTAGCGCTCTTGGTAGGTCTGTCGCTTGAATCAGAGGTTTCCTTCGATTGCACGTCTTGTTTCTTATCCGCCTCAGGTGATTGGTTTTTCGTAGAGGCTTTAGAAGGAACGGGGTATTTCTTTTTCCCACCTTTCTTGGACTCAGTGGACTTCTTCTTGTTTGATTTGTTTTCGATCTCAACCTTGACGCTTGTCTCCGTGACTTCGACAACATTTTCATCAGAGTTACAGCTATTAGCCGTCTGTGGAGCATTCTTGCTCTTATTTCTACTCTTCCCACTACTCTTTGTTTTCGGACCCTTACCACCAGCTTTTGGCGGTGATTCAAGCGACAATTCGTTCAAAGCAAAATTAAACAGAAAAGTTTCATCCCTGGCAATGGATTCGAAAGTCTGGCGATCTAAATCTATAGTTTTGTTCTTCTTTCTCCTTAGATTCTTGTTCTTGTTTTTAGAGCCGCTTCTAGGTTCATGATTAGGGCTTTCCACCTGAATATCGTCAATGTCCAAATCAAAGCGGCTGTCTTTCAAAATGAGACTAATAAGGTCTTCCATCGGGTCTTCAATCACGTCTTTCGGGCTCGTTCGTTTCTTCCTCTGCTTAGCCTTCAAAGTTCGCCTGCTGTGTGGGTTCTTGGTTCTTATTGAGTGGCCAGTATTCACCGAGAATAGGCCATCCTGAGCCAGCCATTTCCGCTGGACTTTATCGAAGTTCTTTATATCATCTTCAAAGTCATCCTCCAGCAGGAAATCTACCAGAAGTCCGTCGTTCATGTCCTGTGCGAAAATTAAAACTCGATGTGGAAGATGGGCGAGACTAGAGACACTTAATTGTTAATTTTATATAGTAAAGCCAACTCTAAGAAATCTGCAAAATTAACATCAACCTAAAGGTTTTAATCGGTCTTTGATATTAACACCTGGGGCGTTAGTGCGATACTGAAGATCTTATTTGAAGAGCCCAGAGTCTAAATTTCAACGTAATTTTGAGAGTTTCATCAATTAATCTCTATTTATGACTTTATAACAATTTCTGTGTTTTACTAGTTTCCGATCTTGTCACGCACCGCTGCTTTGACTTGCTCGTAGACTTGATCAACACTGTGGTCGCAACTGACTTTTACCACCTTGTCTTGTTTCTCAAAATGGTTCACTACAGGCATGCTGGTATCGAGAAATGTGGCGAATCTCTTTTTGATGGACTCAGTGTTGTCGTCGGCTCTACCGCTAGTCTTACCACGCTCCAGCAACCTCTTGAGCATAACATTCTCGGGACAATCAAAAAATAGGGTGAATTTGCTGGGCACAATCTGCTCCTCGAAAGTCAGCGCTTGATCCATTTTTCTGGGGAATCCGTCTACAAGAAACTTCTTCTTGCCTTGGTCGTAGTTCTCCTGAATAGCCTGTTTTAAAAGCGCAATTGTAACTTCCTGGGGAACGATAAGACCTTCCCTAATGTAGTGGTCAATCATTTCACCGTATTTGGAGCCCTCGCGACTCTGCTCTGCACGCAGCAGATCGCCGGCGGAAAGGTGCACAAAATGGTGGTCGCGAACCAAATTAGCACACTGAGTTCCCTTTCCAGCACCTGGTCCACCCAATACGAAGATAACGGACACTTCTTTTTCCGAGAACGCAGGCGAAATCTTCTGCTCGTTATCATCATTGCCAAGTTTCTCATCGGTCTTGATCTTCTCTACAAATTCCATGGGTCCATTTTTTTGGTAAGAGATCGATGCGATGGTAGATCCCACGGCCAGAGCACCTAGCAGGGCAAGTATCTTTCCTCGGTTGCCGCTTGGTTTGGGATCTGATTTAGATCCGCTTTCCGAGGAATAAAGGCGTCCCAAAGGACGCAATCCTATACGTGCGGATCTTAGCACGGCTGTAGCACTAGCGGTACGTCTTGAAAAGCTGCCAATCATCGACGGAATGGTATAGATCTGAGCTTGAACACTGGTGCACTTGTGAATGAGTTCGATTCGCTATATGATCACATTAAAAAGACGCATGAGTACATGTACTCATCCGAGGGAAAGGTCACATGGTATATTGCCGCGTAAAAGAAAAATGGGCTTTAATAGTGGTGTCTGGGCGTTCTACGATAGATGAACAATGTGGATGGAAAGGCCAGAATGTCTCTCTGCGTACTACCCACATCAGCTTTCCATTGACACTGACTAGCTTCGGCTAGTAATCTTCTCAAAATCTTTTTTGCTCGCTGTGGACCAAGAAAACCGTAATATATTTGTTTGGGCTGATGGGAGTATTTGAGTCAAAATATCAGCACCGGACCGTTTGTTAATACGATCCAGATCATGGAAATAGTTCTTTGCAGCTATGATGAGATTGGTTTTGTTATACATGGGTGTAACTTTAGTATTCAATTTGCAATGGATTAGACATGTCTTTGAAAGCATCTTGAGCACCCCCAAGAAATACTTCCTTAAAACGCTTGAAAAAAATTTGAGACACCATACTTCGTCAAATGTTTAGTAGTAGTAGCACCACGTTTGGCAGTCCTTTGACAATAAGCCACGTCTGAAAACTTGCCGAGCTGTTCTTCCTGTAATTCTGAACCATTGGAGGGAGTCAGATCCTCGAAACTCCCACAATACGTTCTCCTTGGCTTCGAGCTTTGAAATAAAATTAAGCCGTTTATTTCTGACCACATATTATCGTTTTTCGACGACTTCGCATACACTCAGAAGTTTTCTCTGGCACAAGGAGTAATTTTCCTACAAGAGAGACTCACTGATTAACTGTATTCTGTTAATTGAGCGTCGTTGTAGCGAAGGTATTTCCCATTGATTTCTGCACGAATGCCCTTCAAAGCTAAATTGGCGTAAATTGTGGCCGGGACTTTAGGACTCAAAAGCTCGCCCTTCTCGTGTAGATCGGTGAATCGCTTTAGAGCTTCTCGCGTCATGTTGGCGGGTCCTAAACTATCGCGAATTTCGGTTTGCATCTGGGTGTCTACGACACCAGGAGCGATGGCCACAGCTTGCACGTTCGCTTCTTCTGATGCCAAGGTCGTAGCAAAGTGGTTGAGCGCTGCCTTGGATGCACCGTAAGCGCCCCATGCGTACTGAGGATGAATGTTAGTAGATTGTGGGGTAGCCAGACGCAGATAGAAAAATATGATCACATACGTAGGGTTTGACGCTCGCACCAGAGCTGACCAAGATCACGTCTCCCTGACTCGACTTTCGAAGCTGTGGCAACAGGCGGGTCACCAGGGACACAACGCTGAAGAAGTTAATATCAAATAGCCGTTTCCACTGGCTTATATCTGCCTCATTCACACTCTGAACAGGCGACAAAGTACCCGCATTTGCTATAATGGCATCCACGACTGATGCTTTAGAGGTCAAAAAATCGCTGACGGCTTGCTCATCGGTGACATCCGCACACAGATACTCGAATCTTGGACCAAGTTTGATCTGCATCTCTTTGAGATCGTTCAGAGACCGGGCAATGCCAATCACCTTGACTTTTTCGTCAGAGTTGAGTAGCTGTTCGACAATGGCCCGTCCAATACCCTTCGAGACGCCCGTTACGAGCACTGTTTTGGACATCTTCAAATGTGTATAAAAGCGGTGAAGTACAGCGATAGTTTATATGGGAAGTAGATCTGGAAAGGTCGCAGCTGTGCTTGTTGTAGTTTCACAAATATCAATGCAGCAGTTGAAATTGATAACCTGCAGAACTATCTCAAGCTTATCGTCCAATATTTCAAGTTTGTTTGACATTTTGTGTAAGTAACGTTAAAGTTGACTTTTAACTTTCCACGTCGATTTTGTTTCATTATCAAGAGAAATCAAATACCTGCGACTACTACATTGTTAAGATGTAAGAAGAGCCTATTAACCTCTGAAGCTTGCTCGTAGCACCGCGAGCTTCGCGGAAATAGCCACGCGCTCAGAAATTTGCACATTCATAGTAAATGCTGTAGATATATTAAGTTTGAATTTTGAGCTTTCGAGACCTCTGACACCATCGTTTTTGTCAGTATGACTTGTCCAAAGAAAAATGCTGGTACGCAACGGACTTATTCTATGGTAGAGCTATCCCATTGTTTTCGCATTTGAATACGTGTCAAAAATTCAATTTACGCAGGCAACATTGAGCACTGTGATAAGCAGCATAGGTCGGTTTAATTTCTGTCTAGAAATTAATAGACTCGAGAACTATTTATTTAAATATTACACAATTGTTCTGGGGACTTGATATTGCGACAGCCAGCTCAATGACCGAGAAAAGATGCGACCATTTTTTATTAACATGTCAATGTATTGATGACTTTGTCAATGTATTGATGACTTTGTCAATGTATTGATGACTTTGTCAATACTGAGAAAATGGTGTACAGTTCGGTTCATGACAGAGGAACAAGCGTAGCCACGACAAATGGAGAGGGTACTTTAACTCGAATGTTTTGATTTTTAAAGGGTCCTTCGTACGTATCGTACAGCTCTAAAGCTCGATGCAATCGTCAAGAGGTTCGTTCACCACCAAAGTTTCGAACCAGGTTCACGTTTCTACCGTATAAAGCCTCGCAAAAAGCGAAATTCATGTTTCGAGATTCGAAACCTAAAGTTTCAGGCGCAAACTTTCCAATGACCGAGAAAATGCGATTTCCGTCGAAACTATTTTTCTCGTTACAACTGGCCAAAATTATATCAAGTCATTGAACGGACGTTAAAGAAACAAGGCAAATTTCAAAAATATACATTGAACAAACACGGATAAAAAAGCCTCGAACAGTCGAATGGCAAGAATCCGTATTTATCCCGACAAAGAGTGTCCTAAACCGCGAAGTTTATCAAAAAAATAAACCAAAAGCATCGTCATCAGAAAATAAGCTATTCGAACTCCAAAAAAACCGTCAATGAGGGCGTTTTTCACAGGCTTAAATCAACCGTGAAGTTCCTATGCTCCTCTCACAGCTCTCTTGAACATCAACGAATCTTGAATCGAAATAGAGTTCTCTGTCATGTTATACGTGCCCACTACGGAGATGTACGCGTTATTATGAACTCAAATACTCAATTTACATAGAACAAAAACTCGGTCTATCTTCAAGCACCAAACATAGACAACTTGAACCAAAGAACCGCGGTTTCAAGGCGCCAAAGCGAATAATTGCAATGGATAAAGCCAATGCCGAGTGGGCAAAGGACATTCCGTGCAAAAACATCACGATTTATGGCTTTTGCAAGTACGAAAATGAAGGATGTATCTTCAACCATGGAAAAGACACCAACAGCGGTATAAGCAGTCGACCGGCCCTGAATAGCAGTCTAAGCAGCAAGTTCAATGCAAAGACAGCTCCGTCTTTCACGCCTTCAAAGGCTTTGAATGCCAAAACTAGCTCATCAACGGCGATAAAGGCCGAAAAAGTGGCCAAAGCACTGCAATCCGTCGCAGACCAACAACCGGCAGTTTCGTCGCCGTTGGCTGCGCAGTCGGCCCCATTTGCGTCCTCTTTCAACCCCTATGCGGCCAACTTCACACCGGTGGGATCTGCTGGTGCCGCCGGCGCGTCTTCTCCGCCCTCTTCTGCTCCTGCGCCAGCACACTCAGCGTTTAACCCCTACTCCGCATCAGGCGGACTTTCCACACCAGGCGACGAGCTGAATCCAATGCAATCCTCAACTGGGTTTATGTCAGGCTCTCCAGGGCCTTTCGCACAAGAGTCCTCTAATAGACACACTAATTTCCCTTCGATATATCCGCCGAGTCATTCAATCTTACAATATCACCTATACGCTGCAGACCCACCTCTCCATTTGAAGCTGCCGCTAAAACCCAACGAACGATCTCCAGAAATGCTTTTCATCCCCAACGACATCCGTGAGGAATTGCTGAAGAAGAATCAGGCTGCACTGCAAGTATTTCCTTCTGGTGGAAATTTGCCAGAGATTGTGGGCGACTACTTCGGCCTAGTTCCACTAGAATTTCACAACAGAGTTTCGAAGACAGACAGATACCAGGGTCATCAAAACTCTCTTTACAAAGTGTTCTCCAATTTTGATGGGAAGATCTACATAATGCGTCGAGTCCATGATGTCAAAATACTCGAAACGTCGCAAATCTCGCAGCCCTTTCAAAATTGGAAAAAGCTTGTTAATTGCAACGTCGCAGAAATTCGCGATGCATTCATAACTCGCGCCTTCAACGATTCCTCACTGTGTGTGGTGCACGATTATTTCCCACAATCAAGCTCGTTGTATGAAACGCATTTCGTCAATTTCAGCCCGGCTCCGCTTACCCAAGACTTGCTGTGGTCATATCTTGTTCAGCTTTGCAGCGCTGTTCAGGCGGCTCATTCGCTGAATCTTGCGTTCAACAATATCTGCCTTGACAAGGTAATAGTCACAGGTAGCCCAGGACGCATCAAGATCAGCGACTCGTGTGTGCACGATATTCTGCATTTTCAAGAAGACGTTGACATTGTTCAGCAACAGCAAAATGACTTCTCGGATATGGGATCTTTGCTGCGAGATCTGAGCTCCAAAATTTTAGGTTCCAATCATGACGCAACGGCTGTTGATGCTGCGGATCATGAATTTCGCAAGATTCTGAACTACTTGCTCGACCCAAGTCCTGCGGGACCCAAATCGCTGAACAGCCTTCTGCCGATGTTTGCACACAAAATACTCTCAGTAACAAGCGCACTTCAAACCTCCGCTGAGTATACCGAATCCATTCTGGCTCGGGAGCTGGAAAATGCACGTCTTTTTAGACTCATGTGCAAGTTGAATTTCATTTTCGGACGCACTGAATCTCGCATCGATATCAATTGGTCCGAGGCTGGCGATAAGTTTCCTATAATACTATTCTACGACTACGTTTTCCATCAAAGTAACGAGTTGGGACGACCTGTCATGGATCTTACACACGTTCTAAGGTGCCTTAACAGGTTAGACGCTGGGACAAGCGAGAAACTCATGCTGGTCACCCCAGATGAGATGAATTGCATAATAATCAGTTACAAGGAGCTCAAAGATCTGATAGATTCGGCTTTTCGAGCAATGTCGCAATGACCTGTACATATCTAATTATTTACAAGTCATTTTTAGAGGTAAAGAGGTAGGTGTGCCATAACGCGACAGCTTTTTAGAATACTTATTTGGTGTGCTGCGCTGCTATGAGAATATGAACTTGTCGAACAACTCCATAATTATAGAGTTCCGCTTTTTTCGGCACCTTAGGTAAACAAGTAAGAAATTCACTTAATTTAACATCAGCAGTTGATCAGAGGTATTGTCTAAATCCGTTTTGCCAGGTCCACAACGTCCTCAGGGTCCTTGGAGGTTTTTTTCTCGATAGAAAGCCCATGTTTTTTCTGCCGCTAAATCATAATATTGAATCAAAACGCATTTTAATTTGCTTCATGGCTATTTTTCCTCGACAAGTACCAAATAGTTCCTAGCTATCTTCGGATGACAAAACATAGGCCAATCCCATGGAACTTGCTTTGATATATAAACATTTTATATCTTGCTCCCCGGACCTTATTGCATAAACCAGACTCTGGTCGGTGCTTCAAACTATAGGAACATCCTTTAGGCTGGTGTGACGACTGAGCGCGAGTGTGTTACTTTTTTGATGGTCTGTCGTCGCGGCACGTGATCATAAATACATTATACTATGGTATACTCATCCTCGGTGAGCGACACCTCTGAATAACGTCAGAGATCGGTTCCCGAAAAGACAAGAGCAGTTGAATCGAACTGCGCTGGTTGACTGAACGAGGAGCCCAAATTCAAGAGATAAAGCAATCCTTAGCTTACGATTAAATCAGAGGCAAATATATTTTCCATCTTCTGCGTGAGGAGGACACTCAAAACGTAACCTTTGAGGAAGGTATAGCCTTACAAACATTTTTATGGTCATAAAAAAACTTTCATTTTGTCCAAAGCATCTCTTCACAAGTTTTTTGGTTCAATTTATACCTTCTTCTTTCGTTGGATGCTCGTAAGTGTTTTCGATTAGAGCAGGGAACATCCAAACTCCAGTCCATAATCGTATAATTTATGACTTTTCCCGGAGGCTTTTCTTGACGAGGGTGTGGCAGAAAGAAAATACTGTTTTGTCAAGTCTACTGCCCGTTTTCGCTATCATTCCAGTCAACGTGGATGTTGGGATAGCCTCAGTTTCATTGACACCATTATCTAGATCCCATGAAGCAATGTCACAAGTTGATTATGGCAAATATGAAGCCAGGTCTTTTGATGACGGCCTTTCAAGGTTCCTATCAGCGAGCTATTTCTGTTATTTATTTTTCTAAATCGCCTCATGACAGGTTCACATTCTGAAATGACGTTCTCAGAGTTTTCGTGTAAATTACTACATCGAAGTCATCATTTAAAAAATTACCTGCTGAACCGATGCACAGACTTCTGCATTTGGTGAGTTTAACGTCTGGAATTTCGCACAGTCAAGTTGTGGGATAATGATTTTTACGTCATTTCCACGTACACCAGCACACTTAGTTGTAGTTGGTCCATAGTTGCTGGTCGACAAAGGCTGTGCGAAGAAATGGTTGAAGCATGGTTAAACAGCTGGCGTGGTATGGTGTGTATATGGTCCCCGCATTCGAAATTGATGGGTGTGCCCCGTATTCTATGCACTCGGATAAACCTCCCCGCCTTTTTTTCTTCTTTGAGCGTCCTCGGATGATTTTTTTTCCGAGCTGCGCCTCTTGATTATATAATCATAAAGGGTTCACGATCTTTTCTAAGAAGGTGAAAACGTCGATCACGGGTCCCTGCAAAGAGTTTTTCCGAGCGCTCGAGGAAAAAGAAAAGTTAATCCGGGGAAGCGGTTGTTGGCAGGCGCAGGGCGAAACTTCGAAATTAGCGCCAGAAAAAAGTTTCGAGATGAGCGATACAGTTTCGCTAAAGTTTCTCTCCCCCGGAAATTGTATAAAAGGACCTCATTTGTCGTGTTAATTCATTCCCCAGATATTTTACCTTCTCTTCTTCTTTTTCCTTCTCTATCCAACAAGTACTCAGTTGTCACTGCTTGTACTCCAAATAAGAATTCAAAAATGTCATCTGTCACTACGCCCGCTAACAACATGTCGGGTAGTAGCACCAATGTGGGTGCGCCCAGCAACGCGGCTGTGTTCGATTCACAGTCTATGACCCCATCAAACAAAATGAGCGATGACGCCTTCGAGCTCAAAGCTCGTCCCGAAGAGCACCGTGAAATCCCACAAAAGCCTCTGTCTGAATATATTCTTGTCATGTCCCTGTGTCTCATGGTTGCCTTCGGTGGTTTCGTGTTCGGATGGGACACTGGTACCATTTCTGGTTTTGTCAACATGACAGATTTCAAACGCCGTTTCGGTGAATTCGACACCGAAACGGGAACCTACTATTTGTCCGATGTTAGGACTGGTCTTATCGTTGCTATTTTCAATATTGGTTGCGCCGTCGGCGGTCTGACTTTGGGCCGTCTCGGTGACATTAAGGGCCGTCGTCTGGGTTTAATGAGTGTCATCGCCGTTTATGTTGTCGGTATTGTCATCCAAATTGCTTCCACCGATAAATGGTACCAGTATTTCATCGGTAGAATTATCTCAGGTCTCGGTGTCGGTGGTATCGCTGTCCTATCGCCAACTTTGATTTCTGAAACTGCTCCAAAGCACTTGAGAGGTACATGTGTGTCCTTCTACCAACTGATGATCACTCTAGGTATTTTCATGGGCTACTGCACCAACTACGGTACCAAAACCTACTCTAACTCTGTGCAATGGAGAGTTCCTCTTGGTCTCTGCTTTATGTGGGCCATTTTCATGGTAGCTGGTATGGTCTTCGTCCCTGAATCTCCACGTTTCTTGATCGAGAAGGGCAGACTAGAAGAGGCCAAACGTTCTCTTGCCAAATCCAACAAATTGACCACCGAGGATGCCGGAATCATCGCTGAAGTCGACCTTATTAACGCCAGTGTCGAAGCCGAGAAACTAGCGGGCAACGCTTCCTGGGGCGAGCTATTTTCGCCAAAGGGTAAGATCCTACAACGTGTTATCATGGGTGCTGTCATTCAATCTTTGCAGCAATTGACTGGTAACAACTACTTCTTCTACTATGGTACGACTATTTTCCAAGCTGTGGGTCTAGAAGACTCTTTCCAAACTTCGATCATTTTGGGTGTAGTGAACTTCATGTCCACTTTTGTGGGTCTTTACACCGTTGAAAAATATGGCCGCCGTAAGTGTCTGTTGTGGGGATCTGCCGCCATGTCTGTCTGCTTTGTTGTCTTTGCATCTGTCGGTGTAACAAGACTATGGCCAGACGGAAGAGACGCTCCATCTTCCAAGTCCGCTGGTAACGCCATGATTTTCTTCACCTGTCTCTTCATCTTCTTCTTTGCTACTACCTGGGCTCCTATCGCTTATGTTATTGTGGCCGAAACTTACCCACTTCGTGTCAAAAACCGTGCCATGGCTATTGCCGTTGGCTCCAATTGGATTTGGGGATTCATTATCGGATTTTGCACACCTTTCATTACCTCCGCTATCAACTTCTACTACGGTTATGTTTTCATGGGATGCTTGGTTTTCTCGTTCTTCTACGTGTTCTTCTTTGTCTGTGAGACTAAGGGTTTGACTTTGGAAGAGGTTAATGAAATGTATCAAGAAGGTGTCCTACCATGGAAATCAGAGCAGTGGGTGCCAGCTTTGAGAAGAGATGAATTTTACGGTGCTGAGGAATCTTCCAACTCTAATGCTTGATCTTGAAGAAGCATTTTAAAGACAAATAGTCTTTCTTGAATGTAAGAATTTGAATTAATCAATGAACAATAAAGATATAAATATTATTATAAATATAAACATTAAGTAATGAATGTTTTGGGCTATGAAAAAGAATACTTCTGAAGTCTCTTGGGGACCTTGAACGACATAACCAGCAGAATACAAAGCTTTCACAATATATGTTTGTTGAAGTGAAAGCCGGAGAGTTGCGATGTACATCTAATGATATGACATATACTCATTCGATCGCAGATAATGATGACTCAGTTTCTCAATGTCCGTAATCAGTAAACCGATCAAACTTATAGATATACCGGTAAGTTGATTTGGTTTTGAGTACTGACGCAACATACTCTTTTTAAATTACGGATCTAGATTGAAGTATTTATTTAATCTATGGAATCTAATGATTAGAGTTCAATTAAACTGCTAGGACACTAAATTGAAGTGTTTGAGCTCTTGAAAGCTTGGCTGTGCGATGGTTTCGAACCAGCGCTGGGTCCATTCTCAAAGTTAAAAGTGAATGGTCACTGAATGCAAACCATCATGTGACTAGACGACAAGCTACTATAAAATGACGACTAAGGCATCAAGAAGAACGCAAGAGGTCGAGAAATCGTTGAGCCACTTGGTGTGATCTGGTACCAGCGAAAATGCCCCGAATCAACTATGTGCGTTCAAACACCAAGTCTTAAGATTGTTTGAAATTGATATATCGCTGAGGACTTGGTCGGAGAGCAGTTGCCCCGGGACTTTTATTTTAAAGAGATCGATGGTCCCTTGCATGAGCCTACCATATGATATGCTTCTTTGTAGTGCCCGCCACTGAACGCTAAAGGGAAGCCCAGAAAATAGCTATAAGCAGTTGAAGCGATCGGGCTTTCTTCTTTAACGGTTGTTAAAATTGAAGTTTTAGATTGGTATATGAGCAATTTGCCCTTCGAATGAACGTGTGATTCGACTCGGCCAGCTCAAAACCGATCCTATTCTTTAAAACTGATAAATGCTGTCAAAATTACGCTTGACGTCTTGAATAGTGCTATATTCTCATTGCTAATTTACTTCCCAGATAAAAGAACATCTTGTATACTGTAGCTCACACTTTTGACGCTCAAAATAATCTCTAATAATCAGTTGAACAGATCTCGTCAAGTCTAATAATTTCCTTCAGATTATAATGGGGGCTAATATTAAAGTACATCTCTCAAAAGCATCACAGGCAACCGGTCAGCTCCAGATGGTAAACTGGTCTTTCTGCACCCCACTCGGTGTTTGGAAAGGTTCGAAAATTATTCAAGTTCACTGATCTATTCGATAGTGTCAGAGACGATAATGAATTACGACCCCAGCCGATTTCAGCTCTTTGAATCTTGGCTGCAATTAGATGCTATTTGAAGCCTTTGAGCATAACACGCATGTTAACCAACCCTAGTCCTGAATGAAGATCTCGCTCAACCCTCTTTGGTCTCCTGACATCATTTATGAGTATTTTTAGTGTTGAGGCCAATAAGAGTTCTGTGCCAAAAATTTTCAAACTGTTTGCATATCCAAACGTGTATATGTTCCAGTCGGCTGCAACGCTTTTACCGAGCTCTTCGCCCTAACTCTGGACATCTTTGGTCCTTTTACTGAACGTGTGTGGCGTTGGTGAGGAGAAGCGTCACAGCACCGCGAGACATCTTCTCCAATTGAAATTTAAGCTTCTCTTCTATGTAGTAACTTCTCGAGGACCCAGGCGATGTTGCATACTACATGCTGTTGTGATCGCTTTTCAAAATATACTTGTCGTTGAACGAGTACAAATTTGAAAGTGTATTAGTTTAAGAATATGGAATACATAAGAGACTGCAAGACAAGTTTGTTTCGACGCAGGGGAAAAAATCAACACTTGAGTCCAATTCTACACCACTAGTTTACTAAACCTTTCGCGTACGGATTCCATATCTAAATGGACGCTGAATAGAGATAAATGTTGTTGATTAGGCATACTATCTGTGCCTGCCATGAGAACTCAGTTCTGATGATCACGTGCCACACAACCTTAAACGTCTACCATGTTAATGTCTACACATGCCAGTCCCCAATCGAGTGCCTTTCCTGCTGAAGCGTAGCCCGTCCCATGAGAAATCTACACCAAACGACAAAAAACTAGCCATTCCCGATTATATACGTCAATCGATACACAACAACTAATTTTCCGGCATTTACGGTACTGACATCGTTTTTTTGCGCTTGTTTTTGGATCTGTCCGGCTCCCAGGTCTCGTAACACTTCTCTGCTCTGAAGCGGTCCATTCGGCGAATACAGACTTCACTTTCCGTACGTCAGACTTTAGTCTCTGACGCCCTATCGGACGATGGCTTACATAACCCTACTCTTAGTCATTGCCCTTTCTTTTTTCAAGACCGTCTACTCCGGAACCGATCGAGAGATGGAGGGCGACGCGAGAGCGAGAACGTCAGGGACAGAGAGCAGGCTACGAATGCCATTTTTCCAAGTGACGTTTCGAGAAACCGGTTCCGAGGCGTCGAGTGTTGATCTGTTTAATTTTGATTTTTTTTCAGCTGTTGTGGGTGCTGTTTGCCTGCGGTAGCTCGACCGCGGCTTGGAGGGGAACGAAATAAGCTCTTATCGAATATTCGTCCTGCGTTGAAGGGTTGAAGCGACACCGCCGCGCGTCGCAAAAACAAACTGGCGCTGTGTGTATGTGTGTTTCTCAAGCTTCTATTTTCGATGCAGGCGCGTTGCTTACATCATCACCTTATGCATGATGAGGTAAGCAAGAGTCTCGAGGAAAAAAAACCGTTAGAAAGCAGGGAAAAGAAAGGCAAGCCAGATGGATGCCGTTTGGTGAACAATTCCTTGCAGGCCATCACCTGTAGCTTGTCGAGTTTAGGCGACATGCTGCATCTCTTGGAGACACGCTGTTATATTTTTTCCGACTGTCTTTGACCGTAAACTGTTCACAGCCTTGCGTAACGGAGCGGTGCGTAACGGACTGGCACGCTTACGACTACGCGACAGGCGATGTTCGAGAAAATTTTGAGTAAAGTTTATCGGCACAAGCACGATGCAACTGTGAGAGTTGGTCTGCTGCACACAGCCCGGCGCATTCGGATAGACGAGGCACGCCGGGTGCGAAAACACACGAAACCAAAAGTATCCGTCTAACAAATTCCAAGCTGGTCGAACCCGGAATGCTCGACAGTTTTTCTTGGGCTGCGTGCGTGCGACCCGTACGCCAGTCACCACACTCTCCATTCCTTCAGCATTTTACCGCCACTACACCAGGACGACTGCACTGCCACCAACCTTGCCAATGGGCGCCAATTGAGCTCTGCATTGCACGGCCACCGTCACCACACCAACCTCTCCCGTAAGAAGATGGCACACCGCTCGGACCTCACATTGCCTTTTCTTCGACCGTCTCGTGTCGGTCGACGTCTGGCATCGTGCGTGCATCAAACATTCCATACATATGAGAACCACGTCGGTCTCATTCGGTGTGTCGCATCGGTGCCTGTGCCTTACGGTATTTTACATCACGTGTCACGAAAAGTCAAAATTCGTTTTAACGGTATATTTGACGTACATGCGAAGAGCTAAGCGTAACACTGTTTGGAAAACACCATTGCATCTCGAAAACAATCGTCTTTTCGGAGACAGGAACACGTATCCTGCGGATATTTCAACGACTGGAAGACATGCAATGCGTGATCTCTCAAAGAAGCAGGCACAGGTTGGTTACGAGTCCGAGTTACGGTGCAATATGGCTTAAATACATACATTAAACGCTTGGACGAAAGTGAGGACAGTGCAGTAGTACACAGGACTGTACAGTACAAGACAGTGTATTGTCGCACAGTGTTGTGGGAGACCATCGTCATTACGCAACAGGTCGGTAAACAGCCCTTCCAAAAGCTGTCTGTCGAATCTCTGACTATTTAAGCTGGGGGTGGTTTTTGGTTCTTGGAAAATGTCTGCCTCATACCCTAGATCTCCAAAAGCGAACTTCCATCATGATTTGGCATCCCCTACTGCTCGCACTCGGCCTCGTGCTAGGTGCTGCGCAGGCCAAAGACCTAGGAAACGTTTTCACTAGCTTCGCGCTGGACTGCCCCTCATGCAAAACCAACGCTCCCAACGAGTTGTGGGAAGCATACCTCGATTTCTCCATTACCTCTGCAATGGCAGCGCAAAAAGGTGACACCTTCACCTTGGAAGCTACCAACGTTTTGAAACTTTACCCCGCAACGACCATTGGTGACGTCGGCTATGTGCCCATCAAGGATAGTAAAGGCGCGACCATCGCCAACTGTGTGATCCAAAATGGGTACCATACCGATTCCAAGTCCTTGCTCAAGTGTACCGTTGGCCAGTCTAACATCTACAAGGCCTCGGGCGCTTTGCAACTGGGGTTCGTCTTCAACTACGGTGGCTCCGGCGACGGGGCCGCTGTCAACGCCGCCAACACCTTTATCCATAAAGGTGCCAACAAAGTCACATGGAATGGACTTACCACTACGGCCAACTTTAATCTACCCGCGGATATGGTACCAGCCTCGAGCTCCAAATTCGAAGGCTATGCATCTCTCTTCCCGGCCCCTACCGTATACCAAGAAATGTTCTACCTGGGTACCACATGCAGCTCTTCATTTACCGACACTATTCGGGTTTACTTTTCGGGAACTCCCGGATCGAACGGAGACTTGGCCTCTTGCGAGAGCGTCAACGTGCATTTAACCTCTTCGTTTAGCGACTTCAACATGCCACTAGAAGCCAAGAGTCCTTCTTCCGGAAGTTACAGCATTCAATGCTACGATAATGTTGCTACAATCACCGTCAAAAACATCCCTGCGAACAACTACATGTATGTTACGGCAATGCAAATGATGGATCGTAGCATTTCAAATGTCGTGTACTACAACAAATACCGTGAGACAAAATACTGCGGAGGAAAAACGGTCTATAAGAATCTCGACAAGAGCTTTAGTTTCTTTGCAGGGTCTGCTGAAGGTTGGGGGACCCAAGAAAAACTGAAGTGGCACACTACAACTGAGGGCTGGAGTGGGTCATATACAACTAGTCGCACTGCCACTACCGCTGTTACAGGTACAGATGGTGTGCTGACCCCGGAACCAGTATTGGTTATCGAAACGCCAACCGTTGGAATCCAGACAACGACCTACACTCCGTGGACCGGTTCTATCACCTCTACTTATTCGACGTCTCTTAATACCTGGACCGGACCTAACGGTATAGCTACTACTGAAACCGTGCTCTACGTGGAAACCCCCGCAGTGGGCATTCAAAAAACCACAACCACTGGATGGACTGGTTCAATCACCTCCACGTACTCCACTGCTGAGACAACCTTCACCGGCTCAGACGGTATCCCAACCACTGAGACCATCTACTATGTCGAGACCCCAGTTGTTGGAATCGAGTCCACTACCATTACTGGGTGGACTGGATCTGTTACATCGACTTACTCAACCGACGTGACCACTTTCACTGGATCTGATGGTATTGCAACAACCGAGACCATTTACTATGTCGAGACTCCCGTTGTTGGAATCGAGTCGACCACCACTACCGGCTGGACTGGATCTGTCACTTCGACATACTCCACCGAATTGACCACCTTCACCGGCTCAGACGGTATCCCAACCACTGAGACCATCTACTACGTAGAGACCCCAGCTGTTGAAATCAGCTCCACCACGACTACTGGCTGGAATGGATCTGTCACTTCGACATATTCCACCGAGTTGACCACCTTCATCGGCTCAGACGGTATCCCAACTACCGAGACCATCTACTACGTAGAGACTCCAGTTGTTGAAATCAGCTCCACCACGACTCTCGGTTGGACTGGGACTGTCACTTCGACCTATACTACTGAACTAACCACCTTCACTGGATCTGACGGAATTGCAACGACTGAGACCATCTACTTTGTGGAGACCCCAGATGTAGACGTGACGTTCACCAGCACAACAGGATGGTCCGGATCCATCACTTCGACCTACTCGACTGCTGAGACAACCTTCACCGGCTCAGACGGTATCCCAACCAC